ATTGGCACAACTTTGCGGTTACTCCACCTATAGCTGGCGCCGATATTGGCGCCTGGCTTAAAGAATGGGAGCATTCGCGCCTTAAAGCAGAGGTTGAGGGCGTCTCAGCTGCCAAGAATGATGATGCTGTGTGGCTCTTTTTAGAGCTGGTAAAGGATATACTGCCAAACTGGTGGCAGTCCTGGCATGGAAAGATTATAGTTGATCGCGAGCAGATCTCTATGCGTCGCCTTCTAGATCATTTCAAAACCACCTACCAGAACCAAAGACTAAAGCAGCCAGCCATCTTAAAGGGAGCGTTCACGATGTTCTAAGGACACCAGGAAACAGCTGGCTAAGCCAGTGCTCCTGCCCCTCATGCTCCTGCCCCTCATGCTCCTGGCCAACCTAGTGCCCCTGGTCAAGGGAAGAAAGCTCTGGCTAGAGCTCAATTCCTATAGGAGCAGAAAGCAAAACCATTTAAAGATAGGGCATGCCTATGTGGTTGTAGCTACCCTGTCGATAAGTGCTTCAACTTAAATGGTAAAGGCAGCAGAAAGCCAAATGCTGGCATGAAACAGAAGATAAAACAGGCCCTGGACGGGGATTTAGGCTGGAAACAGTGGATCGACACTAAACTGAAAGAATCCACCAACACCAGCAATACCCCAGCCGAGCTAGCTAGGCAATCTACAGCCGTAAACCACACTGCTAACTATACTATAAAACCAGTGTTTTTCGCATCTCAAACTACCTATGCTACCGATTTAAGCGACAGTATACAGCTCGCAGGCACTGCCGAAGACCAGTTTCTCGGCCGAAATACTATAATCTCAGACACTCTAGACATAGCTTTAGATACTCTGAACACTCTAGACACAGTTTCAGATACTCTAGACACTATTCCAGACCTCTCTAGTGCATTTATAGACTCTATATTTCTATAGAAATCAGCTTTCCTGACCCAGTCTGGTCAGGAGCTCCAGAAAGATAGCTAGGTGCTAGATATAGGCGCTAGTGCGCATGTCTGCAACAACTTAGGTGCATTCGTCAATTTCGAGCATGGAAGAGACACCCTTCAACTAGGATTAGGAGAGGTTGAAACCCTTAGTAAAGGACAATGCGAAGTCAAAGGGATACATCCAGTAACCAAGGAATCGACATCAATCATCCTGTCAAATGTCCTCTATAGCCCTGAGTTTAGATTGAATCTACTCTCTTACTACGCCCTGAACGACAAAGGAGGCGATTGGGTGCCTTCGAAAGACTATCTTATTAATAGGGACGGGACACCTGTCCTAGCCATTCAAAGGATTCATAACCCAAATTTATTGATCATGGAGCCATCATTAGCTGAACAAGATTCAGATAAAGAGACAGACAAGGAGACACCCGACGAGATTTTTTCGGCGGAAAAGCATGCATATATGGGCAAGGATTCCAGAAAACCACTAGAATCTAAGGCACCAACAGAGCTCTGGCATCATCGTCTAGGTCATTTACACCATGATGCTATACAGCAGCTTCCTAAGCTTGTTGACAGAGTCGTTTTAAGCGATCAACCAGACTCAACTGAACCAGTCACTAACCGTATAAATAGCCAAATACAGAGCCCATGCTCTGTTTATAGTCTTACTAGAGCTCCTAGACAGATATCTAGACGTTATCTAGGACATAGGTATGGTCGATTCGGACAGATCTCTCTAGACCTGATCTAAATATCAATCGTGTATAATAAAGAGCGTTGGATTTACCATTTTTACGTTGACGGAATCCACTTCTATTAGGTCTTCACCTATCATACAAAGAACCAGATAAATGATGCGATTCGACACTTCATTGAACTCCTGAAAAACTGGTGGAATTTACCCATTCGAGCATTCCACTATAATAATGAGAAAGCTGCAGGCCTTACTATAGAGCGGTTTCTGGCAGATCAAGGTATTATAGTGACGCATTCAATTCCAGGACATCCTGAGATGAATGGCCTAATTGAACAGGCAGGCGGCATCATAATTACACGCGCCAGGGCCCTCCTAGAGGAAGGAAAGCTCCCCATCAGCCTATGGCCAGAGGCGGTAAAGGCTGCGGTTTACATACTAAATTATACGCCAATAAACGCAAATGGTTCCTGGATAGTGCCCTAGGAAGAGGCGCGTAAATACGCTAATTCAGACCTATAGGATAAACGAACAACACTACCTAAGTCGAATCTCGCGAACATACATCTATACGGCAGTCTAGCTTACTGCAGAATCCAAAAGATTCCGAAATCAGACAAGATGCTGAGAAGGGTAGAGATTGGATTCCTTGTTGGATATATGGCATCTAATGTCTGGAGAATCTGGTTTCCAGATTCAAGGGGTGGTCAAGTCAGGCCAGTCAGAGACATCGTTTTCGACGAGAATAGGCGATATACAGCTGATTTTATACCATATAAGCTAGTGGAGATGCCTGTTTTTTCTGGTCCTAAGCCAGTTATCCTGACTAAAGAAGAGGCTGACGACGTCCTCTAGAGGGAGATTGGAGTCCTACAAACCCACCTATAGACCAATTTACAGGAGATGTTACCTAAAACATAAGTAGTTGACCATTCATATCTATCTGATCAGGATACTAATAGTCCTATCCTCTCTCTCGATGCTCGATCAGTTCAATAACCTGACGCATTTACTAGAAAAAGCAACCAGTCTGGTGTATCCATCAATGCCGAAAACCCATTTTTCGGCCGAAATCCTGGACCAAATACACCACAATACCCTACACCAATAGAACATGACTGGATTCCTAGGACATTCCCAGAAGACCTAATCGAGCCTAATATAACTAACGACATACCGAATTCACCAGATTCGCTAGACTTAGTGCCAAATCAAGGGGTGGGGGTGGCTCCTATAGAGCCAACTAAAGGGGATTCGCCCCTATTTACTACTCAAGATAGTGAACCATAATTCCGATAGATTGGTCTAGACTTAGACGAGTCGAACATTATCCCTGGTAAACATATTCGCCATCTAACCAAGAGAGATGATGCCTACTTTACACAGCTTATGCTGCGGCCAGATAAGGATCCAGATAAGCTTAAGACACAATCTAAAGCTTATTACCATGCATTCTATACCAGAATGGTGTAGAAACCAGCGAGCCAGATGCATAGAGACGACCTTCCACCACCTCCGAACACATTCAAGGAGGTAAAAGGGCATGCGTTTAAAGATGCGTTTAATACTACAATGTAAAAGGAGATCGACAGTCTTACTAAAAAGCACACATTCTTAGTCGTCCCAAGGCCAAACGATAGATTAAAGCAGATTCTGCCCTTGAAATAGGTATATGCTTACAAGTTTGATGAGAATGGTTTACTCCTGAAGTGTAAAGCTCGTATCTGCGTACGCGGAGATATAGAGTGGATATCTACTAAAGAGAAACGTTCAGCTACACTAGCCATCAAAACTATACGCATGCTATTCGCAATAATAGCTACATTCGATCTAGATATACGTCAAAGAGATGCTGTCGCAGCTTTCCTAAACAGCTTCCTTGAAGATAAGGAGGTTTACACAGAGCTTCCCTCTGGCTTCAGGAGCACCAATGGCTAAGTTTGGCACCTCCATAAAGCACTATATAGATTACGCGTCTCACCAAAGCTCTGGCAGAAGGAGGCCTCTAGAGTCCTGTTAGGCCTAGGTCTTACATAGTTACTAGAGGATCCATGTGTCTTTATAGGCGACGGAGTCATAATATTCTTCTATGTTGATGACTTCCTGATTGCTAGCCATAAGACAAAAGCTCAATACGCAAGGCAGCTTGAATCGGAACTCGAAAAAGCATGGGAACTGACTGATCACGGCGACGCAGAGTGGTTCCTGAACATACGCATTGTACGCGATCGTAAACAATGTAAGCTCTGGCTATGCCAGGACAGCTATATTGATAGTATGGCTGCCCGTTTCGGCCTAAATAACCAACCATCAGTGGCTACACCAATGCCAATTGAAGAACTCTTACCATATGAAGGAACTGCGTCGCCTGATGCGATCAAACTCTACCAGGAAAAGATTGGTTCAATATAGTATGCAGCTACTGTAACCAGGCCTGATGTAGCCAAACCAGCTACTAAACTAGCCCAATTCCTGCAGAACCCAGGTCCGCAGCATTCTGCTGCGGCAGATAGGACAATCACTTATCTGTTCCACACCAAGAACAGAGCACTTAGATATGGTTTAGGACACCATTCTGATGACACCTCTAACCCTGATTTCGGCCGAAATAAGGATCAGACCAACAACGCAACCCACCAATCTATAGGCACATCGGCACTAACCATCGCCAGTGACGCATCTTATGGTGACCATAAAGACCGTAAGAGCTCTGCAGGCATGATATGCATGCTCTTCGGCGGCCCTATAGATTGGAAGGCGTCTAAACAAAAGACGGTGACGACGTCCACTACCGAAGCAGAATTGCTTGGTTTATCGGACGCAGCCAAAACACTGGTATGGTGGAAGAGAGTACTAGTCCATGTTGGACTAGAAATGGAATACGACAATATAACTCTCGACTGCGACAACCAGAGAACAGTTGATCTGCTCACTAAAGAGGGAGCATTTGAGACCAAGCTACGTCACATAGACATACACCGCAGCTGGCTACGCCAGGAGGTGCAGGAAGGACGTATTAAGATCAGATGGGTCCCAACAAAGCTTATGGTGGCAGATGGCTTCACGAAAATCTTGCCAAAACAGAGATTTGACGCCTGGATTCGTCTTCTCAATTTGGAAGATATAAGTGAACTGCTCTAATCTAGGGTCTTACCCCTAGATTCAGAGGATTTAGAGCATCAACTGCCTAAATCAGGATATAGACTGCGTTTTTAGAGGGAATTGAGGCGATTCAACAGCCCAAATCGGCCCTATGTTTAAGGCCAGTTTACACCTTGGAGGGGTGAAAACTGAAGGGGTGTGTCAAAGGCCCGATTCCATTTACAGTTAGTCTATTTTAGTCAGCATTGGAATCCCACAATGGGATTCCTCCATTCTACAATCTATACACATACACACTTTGGTACGCATACTGCGTTCTCATTTGCCCACTAGAATCCACTATTCCTTGGTAGTCGACCTCCATTTGACACTGGTGAACTATCACGTGGTTGTACCACGTGACCCACCAACCGCATACCTCACGATTCCACCCCGAATTGTTCACGTTCTTCAAGGATTTTGTAAATAGCATGTGCCTAGCTAGTTCTGAATTCAAGATTAGCTTTAGCCCTTCACAATTACGACGATGACTCAGACCAGTTCAATATCAGTGACTACTATCCGCCTGCCTCTCAAGGCGCTATTATCGTCACGACCCGGCGACAACATATTGTTAACGGACGCACCAAAACTCTTAATATTAAAGCTTTTCAAAACATTGAAGACAGCCTTGCCATCCTCAAAACCCGCTCAAAACGACTAGATGTTCGAACTGGTATGTCACTTAGTCTATCTCATAAAACAAACTAACTAGTACTATCAGATCCTTATGCAAAGCTCCTCGCAGAGCGACTTGGAGGTCTTCCTCTCGCTTTAGCTACTGCTGGGACGTATCTTCAACACATTCCTCTTACCTTCAAGCGTTACCTACAAGAATATGAAAAACGCTGGAACATTGATCCCTATCGCCCTACTGAGCTCCAGGATTATCGTGAACACACACTCTATACGACATGGGATATCTCATACGACTCTCTAAAGAAAAAAGACCTAGATGCGGCAAAGCTACTCAAACTCTTGGCCTATTTTGGTAACCAGGGCCTTTGGTATGAGCTTTTTTCGGAAGGTCTAACAGAAAGGTCTCCAGAATGGCTATATAACATGCTCACAGACGATTTATCTTTCCGGGGAGTCATGAGGGTCTTAACTGATTGGTACTTTCTAGAAGTTGATTCATCATCAGGATTATGGAGTATGCATAACTGCGTTCATGACTGGACGTTAGCCGCGCTTAATAAGGTTATCAACACACAGTATTACTGGTTTGCTATAGATTGCGTTAATGCGACTACGAGAGAATTCGACACAGATTTTTTGGGAAATGTAGTTTTTTCCCGCTTAACTAGTCACGCAACACGACTAGCAAATCAACAGTTTCTCGAAGCGATCTATGATCCTACACCCGATCAACTTGATCAATTATTATTTACTTCACAATTGCTTCAAGATCAAATTCAGCTTACTACTGCCGAGAAGATGTATATGCGGGCGCTAGCTGGGTACGAGAAAGCGCTCGGGTCAGACCACACATCGACCCTTCTGACCGTCAACAATCTCGGGCTTCTATATAGTGATCAAGGCAAGCTGGACGAGGCCGAGCAGATGTATATGCGGGCGCTAGCTGGGTACGAGAAAGCGCTCGGACCAGACCACACATGGACCCTTGGCAGCGTCCATAATCTCGGCAACCTATATCGTGATCAAGGCAAGCTGGACGAGGCCGAGCAAATGTATATGCGGGCGCTAGCTGGGTGCGAGAAAGCGCTCGGATCAGACCACACATCGACCCTTGAGACCGTCAACAATCTCGGCAACCTATATAGTGATCAAGGCAAGCTGGACGAGGCCGAGCAGATGTATATGCGGGCGCTAGCTGGGAAGGAGAAAGCGCTCGGATCAGACCACACATCGACCCTTCTGACCGTCAACAATCTCGGCAACCTATATAGTGATCAAGGCAAGCTGGACGAGGCCGAGCAGATGTATATGCGGGCGCTAGCTGGGAAGGAGAAAGCGCTCGGATCAGACCACACATCGACCCTTCTGACCGTCAACAATCTCGGCAACCTATATCGTGATCAAGGCAAGCTGGACGAGGCCGAGCAGATGTATATGCGGGCGCTAGCTGGGTACGAGAAAGCGCTCGGACCAGACCACACATCGACCCTTGACAGCGTCAACAATCTCGGGCTTCTATATAGTGATCAAGGCAAGCTGGACGAGGCCGAGCAGATGTATATGCGGGCGCTAGCTGGGTACGAGAAAGCGCTCGGATCAGACCACAAATCAACCCTTGAGACCGTCAACTCTCTCAGCAGCCTCCGACATCATTATGGCAAGCTTAATAAGGTGAAGCGAATTTACATGCGGGTGAGGGCTAGGATAAGATCATAGTACTCATTCAAAAGATGGGAGCGACGAATCATCAATATATATTCATTGATTCTATTCACCAATGACCGAACCAAATACTATAAAATACCAAAGCTGGTACATGTATATACTAAACAGCTTCAGTGACCAGAAATCCCGGATACTCGACCATGGATCCAGCCACGGGGATTAAAGAACATTTTAGTCGATACACGCGTTACCACGGAAACTTAGGATTATAGAACAAAATTTGTGAGTAGCGGGTTTGGAGAGTGAGGCTGAGGTATCATGATCTCATAGCCAGTCATCTTCGTATATTAGAGATGGGCACGGTGTCGATAGAGCCTTACAAAGCAATCTGGTTCGGGACAAATACGCTGAAAAGCCCAAGGTGCTCTGCAGTAATGAAACCGAAGATACAAAGAGGGTGTTGGTACAATGGGAGTTGAGGTATCCGTTCTGATTGGACGGATACTCTCACTCCTAATTGGACCGGCCAGCCCCAAGTGGGGCAGAGGAGTCTCTTTTAGTTCAGGAATAGATAGACTGGAATAAGACACACTTTACAACTCCAGCAACACGTACGTACAAGCGTACCTACTGTGTTCAACGAGCGAGTGTCGCTCCCGACAGAGAGACTGTTGGCAGATTGCCCATTCAACCTGCTATGTTTGCATGGTTTGCATTGAATCAGCCTGGATGATCAGGGTAAATGGCTGTCTGTATCCGTGGGAATTGATACAGCCACCCCAAAATTTTTACTACACCCCAAAACCAAGCTTATGTCAGCCACCCACCCCATCAAAAACATAATAGCCCTTGAAGTAAATCCCATACGAGCGGATCAACCCTATACACCATAGTAAACTCGAATAGCATATCTCAACAATCAGAAGTTGAAATCATTTTAAATATTGAATTTGGATTATTTCTAGTTAATGCAATATACGTAAAATTAGGAAATCGTTAAGTGAAGTGTAGTTAAAGCTAAAATAGATAAACTGCATCGTAACTCATGGTACCGCTATAATTTATTCATCTAATTTACTTAAATTGAATTCATTCTTCATGAGGAACCTTATCGTTATGTCACCGAATACTTGGATCTTATCGGAGTCATGGTTTTTGAGATATGATATTTAATTTTTTCGAGTTTACTATGGTGTTTGGGGTGATCCGCTCGTATGGGATTTACTTCAAGGGCTAATAATTGGGGTGCCCCTATCAATTCCCGGGCGTGCTCAGTTCTACTCAGTAAGCAAAAGCAGCGAGGAGGTGAGCACTAATACGGAAGGGGAACGCCAAGAGTCGGCAGAGGAAAAACAGTACATAGGTGTACTTACGAGGATTCCCCTCATTACTGACTCATATTGGTTTTTCAATTCGAATATATACTCCTTTTACAGGCATCTTACCTGGCTATCTAGTATCCTAAGAGGACTGCTCTGTATCACCAATCATTCAATCATTATACAAAATTTATACCATTCTACCATGGGAGACATCATGACTGAAAGCCAGAGGGCAGCCAACCTCATGGATGCCCAAGATAAAGCCGTGGCGCTCTTTGAAGAGATCGAGCGCGATCTCATCCGTCCTGGTATCACTGAAAAGACCTTGAACGAAGAAATCTACCAACTGGGATTTGACCGGTACGGCATCAAGACTCACTGGCACAAGCGAGTCATTCGCAGCGGTCCAAATACCTTGATGCCCTTCTCAGAAAACCCTCCAGATCGTGTGATTGAAGAAAACGACATCCTAGTAGTTGACCTGGGTCCAGTTTTCGAAAAATGGGAAGCTGATTTCGGACGCACCTATGTTCTCGGAACCGATGAGCACAAGTTAAAGCTCCGGGACGCACTTGAACCCATCTGGAAATCCGTCAAGGCAAAGTACAGGGAAAATCCTGACATGTCTGGTGAACAGCTATATGATATTGCGTGCGAAGCTGCTACGCAGGATGGCTGGGATTTCGGTGCCGATATTGCTGGGCATCTGGTTGGACATTTTCCCCATGAGAGAATCCCTCAGGATAGAATCTCTCTATACGTCGCCAAGGGAAATAAATCCACTATGAACACGGCTGGCCGGGATGGATTCAAGCGGCATTGGATTCTGGAAATTCATCTTCGTGATCGTGTTCATAAATATGGTGCTTTCTATGAGCAACTCCTGACAGTCGATTGACATATATAGTCAGTCTCATATAGTAATGTAATTCCTTTACATAACAATATATACATCATTGGCAAGAGGATTGTATCATTATACCCAGGATATCGTTAAAGCCAGGAACTTGTAATCTACTATCTAAACCCCTTACAAAAAGCTCCTAATATCCTTCTGCTGTCCATTTTGAACTAACTCTGCCTTGATCTCTGCTTCCTACCTGTGGAGAGCCCTAATCCGGTTAGGGTCGCCTCATACTTTTCTTTATATAAATAGAGTACTTGTAGCTCTAGCGCTTGTTATGATGTAACTAGCGCCTGCTCTTCAATGATCTGTCAAATATCCTCTTCTTACACATCATCATCCTAGCTTGAGCCTTAGATTTGCAATAAAACTATCTCTTTAATTGACTAAGTTTTATCTATAACTTCTTTATATTATAGATCTATGAATTGATGGATTTCTATAGGGCTGTGAATGACTGAATAATGATCTCATAGATGATTCATATCTTTAGTGATATCAGACTTAACTGCTGAAATTTGAAGGTATGGATATTGATATTGATCTATATTGATCTAGCTCAAGTGCTCTCTTAAAGTAATAGCAACGTACGGTACCTAGTTATGGATCCGTAAACGGGGAGAGGAATTGTATAATTGGCCCTCGACAGAGAAGATATAAGGAAATGTGGTTGAACGTGGACCAATAATATGTTGAAGCCAATACATCTATTAATCCTTGAAGGAGCCCTTCAAGAGTTCCATTGAAACCGATATTCATTATCGTCCCAAGGTCAATTGCTCATCACTGACTTGGATGATCCCGGGCCGTTAGTCAATTCCCACTTCCTTTCTCAATTACAAGGGTCTCATTCTGTAGAGTATTCCTGTAAATATCTCCTGTAATGTCCCACGCCGTTACAAGATGCCTTTCCCAGAAAAGCTGCTTCCTCTCGAATAACTGATCCTGAGATGTCCATCTACTCTTTAGCTTATTATATCCACGTGAAAAGCGCTTCCTCAAGCTCTGACCAGTTCTCTCGATGAAGGCGGTTCTTTTTTAAAATCCTGTTTAACAATATCATCAAGGTACTTGTATCATTTTGAAAAGATCTAAGAGATAAATGGTGAGACAGGGTGTTTAAATTGGCTAAAGAACCACTCTCTAGCTTCCTCATGGGTGCGGGAAGCACTTGTACACTTATGGGCTCGTAGAAGGGGTTTCTGTGCGAAGAAGATAGGCTGACATGTTGTGGAAGGCGTTTTGTGAGATATTTTAGCAGACAATTTCGTGAATTTGGCTGATTAAGAACCTTTGTATAACTATGAAATTTAGCGATAATCATAGTAGGGGAAAAATCGTTATAGGCAGTATCGTTATGTAAAGGAATTACAGTATAGACAAGGACAAGCCTATGAATTGAGTTGGTCTCTCTTGAGCGATTGATTTGAAGTTTTGAATCAAATAGCAATGTTGCATTGTTGTTAATCGAGTATGGCTTTACAGTACGAAAGTGAATAATCTTCTGCAAGATTTGCCGGAAGCGTGAATAGCGATGTCTCAATCTCTCCCTCAAAAAATTGCCACTCTAATTTCTATTCACTATGTCCGAGATTAATCCTTCCAAGGGTTCTGGTTTCTGATTTTTTTTTTTTTTCATTCTTATTTTCATCTTTTTTGTACCGTGGTCATACTACTTGAACTACTGGCTCGGCATCACATTTGAAAATTATACTGGAAATATTCATCAGAAAAAGACATTAAATTTTGAGAGTGTATTGAATACAATCTTATCTCAACAAACTAATTACATACAACATTCATAAATAATTATCGCTCGTGTTCCATGATGGCATCAAATGCGAATAAAAAACAGCGCTTGACTCAGTTCTTTTCGGAGTCAATGACCTCATGATGCTCGCCAATGGGCTCATGGACAAGAGCTGTCTTCAGGTCCCCAACATTCTCCACACCAGCCAGACCAAGCTCCTCATTGATTCTCTGCATGCGGAGACGATCGGCCTCAGCAATACCACTCTCACTGCCACCGAAGAAGACATCCAGCTCCTCTAAGGTCTTGTCCTTGGTCTCTGGGGCGAAATACCAGACAAAGATACCACCACCAGCACTGAAGATTGCAAAGAAAATGTAGGTTCCGTACTTCATGGACTTCAGCATGTCCTTGGTGGTCAGTCCGATGACGAAGTTGAACATCCAGTTGGTAGAGGCGACGATGGCGACACCGCGCGAGCGCTGGCTGTTGGGGAAGATCTCCTGGGCCAGAACCCATGTGACGGGACCTATAGAGTTGGCGGTTAATAATCTTGAAAATGAAGAAAGAGAGTGGAAGAAACATACCCCAAGAGTAAGCAAAGTTGATGGCAAAGAGCCAGATGAAAGCAATGGCGACCCAGCCCTGTGCTTTGTACAATCCCTCATTAAGGTCCCAGTAGTTCTCGTATGTACCCTCAACGGCGGCAACAACAATGTGACAACAGAACATGCCAATAGCACCGGTAATCAGGAAAGTCTTACGTCCGAATTTGTCGAGGTAGAGCACAGCAGGCAGGGTGAAGATGATCTGCAAAATACCGGTCACACCAGTAGCCAGAAGAGTTTGGGTAGTAGATGAGAATCCGAAACTAGCAAAGATTTGAGGAGCATAGTACAGAATGGCGTTAATACCAGTGAACTGCTGGAAGATCATCATGAAGCATCCAAGACCCAGACGCTTGAGCATGTTGGGTGCAAAGAGGGACTTCCATGGGGCCAAGCGGCCGCCAGAGCCGACGGCCTCGCGTTCGGTCTCTTCGTCGAACATGACAGCAGCCTTGATCTCAAGGAACTCAGCCCGGAGAAGAGGGTCATTTGGAGAGAGACGGCGCAGCTTAGAAAGAGAAGCAATTGCTTCTTCTTCACGGTGCTTCATCATCAACCAACGAGGAGAGAAGGGGAGGAAGAACATGCCGAAGAACAGGACCCAAGCAGGGATGATCTGCAGGGCCAGGGGCAGACGCCATGCAATAGTTTTTTGACCCAAGCAGGTGTGTCCGTGGTTCGCGGCAGCGTTGTAGGTTCCATCGGCAAGGAATGGGTTGTCGATGCCTTCGGGATTGCAGTGGACACCGCCAACATACTGCATGCCGTAGTCAAGCCAGAAGGCAATGGCAGTACCGATGGTGATAGATAATTGCTGAAGGGAGACGAGAGATCCACGGAGCTCTGGGGGAGCGATCTCGGCCTGGTAAAGGGGAATAACCATACTGAACATTCCGATACCGATACCACCGATGACACGACCGGCGAACAAGTAGGCGGGGGTCTGAGCACCGGACTGCAGACTAGTACCGAGAGTGAAGATGATGACAGCAACTTTCATAGCGTATTTTCGAGAGATGCGATCTGCGAGGACACCGTTGATCAAAGCACCGAGCCATGCACCCAGCTCCAGAGCTGAGACCAGCCAACCTTGAGTGGTAGATCCCATGAACTCAGGGAAGTGGTTTTCAAAGTTCTCCATGACCAGCACAGGACTCATCACACCTTGATCGTAACCGTACATAATACATCCTAGGGAAGCAAAGCAACAAGTCATGAAGACATAGGGGTTCTTCAGCATACCCACGAGACCGTGGGCTTTTTCCGCATTGGCACGGCCAACGACGGACTGGCTGGTTACCGCCACCATCTTGAGCAAAATATGATGGAGATGATATGGGAAAGGGTAGAGGAAGAAAACACAAGATGTGAATCACAATCTGAGAAACCCTGGTCTTCGGGGGCAGGATGCAGCACCTTATATAGGGCTTTATAACCCTTTTTCCTGTCCTTTTTCTATCCTTTTTTTCCCGCGTTATTTTCTTTCTAGGGCTAGCGTCCTGGATCAGACTACCGAGGGCATGCGTACTCCAGACTCCATGTTCCCCCAGACCATGAAAATCTGGTAAAGCACATGATTTGTGTTAGTTGCCCCAATCCCATGGCTTACTATACCATGTGGGGGACCCCGCCCAGAGTAAATCCATATGCCAGCCTCGAACCAACGAGTGTACTAGGTCGATAGTTGGCTAGTGTCGGCAAGAAACCAGCATCGGCAATGGTATACTCCGGGCGTGCGAAACACATAATATAAAACATTCGGAAGCTAGCGAGCGCCACAGAATCTTTTGGGTCCCAAAATAGTCAATTGTGTGTCAAAGTCTGGCGCTGAGCTTGGTAACAAACAAGCCTTCATTCCGGGAACTGCTACTATTGGCTCTGCGACTACGATAAAATCCTTTCCCTAACACGTCTATGATCCATGTCTCCGGGGTTAGTGCTTATGGTGAAGTACGACGGCGAGCAAGCCATGCAGCTCAATTGCAATGCAACCCCGGGGGCTAGGTGTCTACCCCGCTTGACGCACATATTGTCCAGTCCAGTCAGAGCATTATCTCAACCTTGAAATATGCTTTTGAGTGAGTACTTAGGTATCTAGTTAATAGATAATGTCTACATTGAGGGGCCAAAAAGGGAAGGCAACAGGGTTGTGGTAGAGTGCCTAGTACATCGTACTTTGTATTCCTTCTTCCTTTTCTATAAACAAAGGTCTTTCTAAAAAGGGGCCAGGAAACATGGCTAAGCCCTAGACCATGTGATTTGAAAAAAGGGGAAAAGTGAAAAAAAAAAAAAAAAAAAAAAAAAACGAAAAAGTTCAGGGCTAATTGTGGATGCATCATCTCAGTGCGCGATAACACAGTCCCACTTGATGACCAGCGAAGTAAGTTTTCTCCCTCATAGTGGGGGCGTAAAGGAAGGAGTGAACCTCCAGAAATTATTTGGAGAAAATTATGTTTAGATCGGAAGGATCCGATCTAGGTCGGGTTGTTGACTCATACGACTTGAGAAACCAAGATGGCAATCAGGAACGAAGATTCCTTCGTCACGAGGCTTATAGTCTGGGGATGGGATGATTTTTCGGATCATGGCCGTTGAAAGTGTCGGCATCTAATTAAGTGACTAGGTCTTAGGGTAAAAACCCACTATGGAGTCTTACTCGGGGAACCGACTCAACCGAGACGGGGGAACACGGGGGAAGAAACGGAGAACGGGAACGGGGAACGGGGTTGACGCGTTGCCCGACTATTTACTTATTTTCTATGGGGTCTAGATATCTGAAATCTGGAGATCGGTCACTTTTTCATATACTTAATACACCTTGCCAGTTCCAGACTACCGGTGAGACAAAATACTGGGGCAGGAAATCTGGGAAAATCTGGAGATCTGGGGAACTTTAGACCTAAGCACCACCTATTATAGAACATACATAATGATTGCTTAATCGGTTAACCGAGTCTCTTAAATGCCGGTTTCCCGTGAAATCTTGGACCGCCAGTTCTTGTCAGCCCTCTTAGCCAATCAAAGAATAGGCTGGAACTGTCCGTGGCTTTGGGGAGTACCGAATATTAGCCGCGATGAGATGAATGGTGGGGAGACTCCTCTCCTACTCACTTAAGTCAGTGGCTTGGACCTCCTGATTAAGAGGAGTAAATATCAAGTAGCATGTTAATTATCAGCTAAGCATCCGGGACAAGGCGCCTTGGCTGCCCAACCATGGAACGTGGTCAGCACGAGTCATGAAAGCCAATATTGCTCATTCTTGGCATTCCACATTAGCTGAACGACGGACATAATGTAGTTGGTAAGTGTCGAGTATATTATGACTTTGATTTATCATGCTTGAGCAAAATGTTCAATCCAACTAGATTAGAGTAACTAGGAAATTTTAATCCTCCTTTCTCCGCAATCTCATCACCCCATACTCTGTTTAGTCATCCGGGGTTAAGCTGGGGATAATACCTAACCGATTTGAGTCCCCGGTGTGATCAACTCTCTTGAGACCCTTAACTCCATGTGTTTTGACAGTTCTGGACCCGAGCTAGTGCGGAGTATCACATCTCGTTTAATACTTTTCCCCGGATGTTTTTCAAAAATTTAAGAGCCTAACAAAGCACCTTAGATAGACCATGTGGGAATTGTTTTTATGAATTCATGATAGCCCTGAACTTTCATGGAACTATACATGCTATGTAGCTAAATATTTCAATAACTATTTCAACTATGACAGCTCCTCATATAACTATTCTATCTACAAGGTAAATTTAGTATTAACTATCCCCAGGTGCTGACTATGACCTGTCATTAATATCATCCAATAATATGAACCCAAGTGGAGAAATGGTCTGTGCATACCACATTCGTACCTACCGCAAACTCGATTGATCATCGAAGTTAGATCAGTTTCACAAAATCACACGAATCGGCAGATCGGCTTCATATCTGACTATTCTCGAGGGAGTAGCCTTGCAATATACTAAAAACTTCGCAAATCCTGTTTTTTCCGGATCAATTGGCAGTATGCCGCGCAGGACACACAAAAAGTCTCGCCACGGCTGTAGGGAATGCAAACGCCGCCACATGAAGGCATGGCCCTGAAAATCACACCTGGGTAAGACCCATGATCAACAGAATGTTTCCGCTGACTTCGCTAAGTCTTAGTGTGATGAACAAAGACCGATTTGCTCCAATTGCATATCCTCGGACCGGAAATGTGAATTTGTGAGCGATCCTTTGCCGCGAGGCGCCCGAAGCACTAGCTTGAATAGTGCTACTGGATCACCTGCTCTGGATTCACCCACAATGTCGGCTCACATGACCGAGAATGGCCCGGTCAATATGCTTCATGTTGAACTTCTCCATAACGGGATCTCGGAACTTTCCACGTGGACTGACAACGCTACGACCACTGGATTTTTCTTTGCCGAATTGCTATCCTTCGGTCTAGATGCGCCTTATCTCATGAACGAAATGCTTGCTTATAGTGCTTTGCATCTAAGCATTGTTAAGCCCGAACGCCGCGATTTTTATCGAAATCATGCGGCTCAACTTCAGATGCATGCGCTAAATCAGTACAACTTGCAATCTCCCCATATTAATGACCAGAATTGTGTGTCTGTATTTGTATTTGCTGCATTTCTGGGTCTGCACATGCTTTGCGACACGCTGGTCTTTCGTGAAGATAGCTTCGAGGCGTTCCTAGATCGTTTCTTGCAGTACGTACGACTACATCGGGGCGTTCGCACAATCGCTTCCGAGGGAAGATGGTCAATTATTTGCCAGAATACCACCCTTCAACCCCTATTGGAGCTGGGCTCTCGGCTTCCTCCGATGGATGCCGAGCTAGGACCGAATTGTCGTATCTTACTTGAACGCATCCAGACCTCCGAGACAGAGGCGTCTAATCAGGAGATATACAAACAGGCTATTCAAGCGCTACATTCTGTGATGACAATAGTCAAGGCGAATAGTTTCTACAGTGGAGGTTTTACAGCTCTGACGGCGTGGCCTGTACTTGTTCCCCGTGAATATGTTGACCTACTATCGGCACGGCACGGGGAAGCTTTGGTAATACTGGCATATTATGGAGCCCTTGTTCATACCGGACGGCAATCGTGGATGTTTCAAGACGGCGGTCAATTTCTCATTAGATCCGTTTTCCAATATTTGGGTCCCTCGTGGAGCGAGTGGCTGGAATGGCCTCTAGGAATACTAGATGGTACTATTTTAATATGAGGGAATTTTTCCTATACAACCTTCCAACCTTGGAATGTTGGGTTTACCAGCTTTTTGGCCTCCATCTAGTGTATAGGTGGACTATGCTTACCTAGTGGATATTGATTCCAACCGAACCTCGGGAGCCCCTATGCCCCTGAATGAAGTATTAATGACGAGAGAATATTGTAGGATGTTTTGGACAAAGATGTCATCAATTGAGGTAATAAGTGTGAATTTTGTAGTATAGCCTTTATAATTCACATTCGAGATAGATGTTAAATTAAGGTTATGGAGAGTAAACCTAACTGAAAACTTACAATAGCGGACAATATATTCCATATCTTTGCTTCCAGATACTCGTAGAAATCAGTAACTTTTAAAGCTACCTATATGTATTCTAAGGCTGTGTAGAAATCCTGAGTCTCAGGGGTGCCTACTTTGGAAGTAATTTTGGAACTCAACTTCTCACCTGGACGCTCTTAATTCTGAGTCCCAGAGGTTCTTAGCACTATCATCTTCACCTTCATTTTTAACCTCACTTTCCAAGGCTCACATTTGATATTACCCTATAAGCTAGCTTCCCACATGATCTGTTGCTTCTCTTCCATCTCCTCTTCTAGCCCCTCCGGGTAAGGGATCCTTACCATCCGAGTTTATATATATGGTCTTCAGAGCTGCCACTTCAAGTTCAAAATGGTTCCTCGGGCTCGCCACCATGTTAGGGAATTAAAATCGCGTTTATCATGGATTAAGATTGTGGTCTAGGTGGAAATAGGATGAAGCAAGAAAAACCCTGGTGGCAACTGAGGTCATGGCTGACCCACAATATGGCTAAGAATATGTTGAAAGCAGCCTTAGTATTCTGGAAGTATTGAATGATTAGAGAGCCTGTAGTCATTGGGCCTTAAGGCATATATAATAGGTGTCCAAGTGTGCAACCTTCGAAATCTATTTGCCCTTCCAAGGTCCCAAAGTTCCGTCCATTACTCCAGGGCTCTAGTGCATAGCGAACTATCAACTTCGAAGGTTGGTTCCAGATGGAACCTTGGAAACATTCAAGGTTGGAAGGCCAATGTCGATTTTTCTGGTGAAAACCGGAGCAAAAGCCTGACCCAAAGATAATTTTGAAGACTCGTCCGTCTCTTACCCTAGGGCAATCATTGCTGCGACAAAAAACTTTGAATCGCCGGCGAGTGCCCTCATTACAAACGCCACATGTAGAAGTAGTGAAGTTATTACTTTGCTCATGAGTCAAGTCATTCAATTGCCCCTCTGGCTACCAGAGGGGACTCTTGGGATTGAAATACACTGAATAACACGTGAAATATGCAATAATATCTGCCTGGAACAGCTTTTCGTAGCAGAGCTGTATTCGTTCCAGACGAATGTAGACTTAGAAATTGGTTGAAACGTCAATTTCCGGAGCAGCTAGATGGTGGTGGGCAAACTTCGCACATGTTTACTTCCCAAAGATATCAGTTGCTGAGGGCCTGTATCAGTTCAGCATGGGTATATGACTGATAGCCTACACTCTGTCGGAAGGTCTCCACAACCTGGACAATAATCGGTGTAAATATGACTCGGCTTGGGATTTTTCCAGGGAATGGTCAAGAGAAGAAGGAGAAGACACGTAGAATTGTTCAATCATCGCCCTCGTCTCCGCGATCGACACTGTGATCTCTATCACGATCGACATCTCGTTCTTCCTCGTCTCGTTTTTCCTCTTCACTATCCTCGTCAAGGTCATCCAGTTCGTCCTCCAGCGGGCTGATTCGTTCATCCAACAACCCAGCATCTTCCAACTGTTCTCGTGAAGGCAACTTCCACAAGCTGGTACCGCATACACGGTCCTTGGTGAGGAGATCGTCCACAAACTGATCCATAAATGTAAGGGTGAAGGAATCACGCATCCTGCGCTTCAATTTTCGGTAGTCGAGTAGAAGCGGTTCCAGCGTCTTGTAGACATCGACCGCGTCGAAGGTGAGTCGCACGTAAAATGCTGCCAGTGCACGCAGGTATTTGAAATCGCCCCGAGATTTGATCACACTATCTTCGGCATTATCGCCATCCTCATCACCATCGCTACCAGGGTCGGAGAAGTTCAGGAGTTCGAGGACGATGTCTCGATCCGGATGGAGTTGTAGAAGCTTGAAGGCGAGGCAAATAAATGGCGAAGGTTTCTCTGAGACACCATATGTACCACCAACAAAGCTGATTTCTACTGCACGATCACAAAGGGTGGCTGCATTCAAACCGAAACATTGCTCCTTGAAGTAGAAGGAGTCTGTGATGCGATCTCGTACGGCTTTCTCAAAAAGTGTAGCGGGGTTGACACCGCGCACAAGTGGACCGGTGTATCCTCGAGTATCGAGGAATTGGCTAGCATCAGCACGGTGAGTAGCCATGATGAAAACAGCGACGGTCTCAGGGGTGTGTATGTGACGCGATGGACTCTGGAGACTTGAAGGAAAGCGAAAGGTGAAAAGTGGTCAAAGCGTTAAGGATGCCAAGACCGCGGATTAACTGTTTATCGATAGTCGCTCGGTCAACGCAAATGCAGTAAACAATCGGAAACTTGAAACTTGAAACGTATTTCACTAGAGCTGAAAGGGTTCAGTGGCGTCATGCATGTGGCGTTTCAATTCGGAATCTGTCCTGGTCCATTCAGATATCCTTCACATCTCATATCTCTAATGTCAGACCCCTTCTGGACATGGTGCTACTCACTTCCTCGACAGTCTCCGCCATCTTGTCGATGGGGGTGATTGCCCTATTTACCATATTATTGTTTCTGGCAGGATATGTGTTACAGCAACAGTCTGTAAAAAGCATTCAAATTGCATTGCGACCCCCTGAACGGGCTTCACAAGGACATGGGTCATTAGGATCAACATTCCAAAGCCCCATGCAGCCACGTGGAAACTATGCCTATCTCCAGCTGCTATCCCAACCCGATCCATCCGACATTTGCTCTGCAATTCTCTTTTTCAAGCAAATCGCCACCAATGGCTCTGCTATACACGATCGCCTCTTTATGTACCCTCAAGAATGGGATCGCATGTCTACAGCGAAGATTAGCAAGCCTGCAGCCACAGCGCTAGCAATTTTGCGAGCTGCTAGCATCAAGTACGGCATCTGGCTGCTGCCAATAGACATGACTGCAGCTACATCCATGGGGTATGAACCGACAAACACCAAGCTGCTGCGCTTGGGTCAAGTCCAATTCATGCAGTATGATAGTGTGCTGTACCTGAAAACACCAGGCATAGTTCTGGATACGGAGAAGCTCGATGACATTCTCCTATCTCGGCCACTGCCACTTGTATTCGACAGAGATCGACCCGACTCTGTGAATAACGAAGCATGGATCCCTACTCCGCTTCGCCCAGATCGCGACACGTATCTGCCACCAGCCTACTTAATCACGGTCAACAACGTTGCAACTGGGAATGTTCAGGCCCGGACCCACATCCCTAATGTTAATCTTCCGGGATTTGGTCATCTTGTCATGGGAACAAAAAGGTTCAGTGCAGAGAATAGTGAGGCGCCTGGCTATGTGTTCTTTGACAATGATCGTGACGGACACGTCAAGTGGGATGGAAACCCTCTTTTTGGAACTTGGCGAACCCAGCAATATGAAGTTTGCGACGGCTTGGATTTTGAAGATTATTGAAATCCAAACAGTAACGAGTAATGTTTTGTTCCATTTTATACCAATATCTGGGGAACTTCCAATATCAGTTTGGATGTGGCGTTTTTTCAAGGCATCTCACAGTCGTTCTTAGTGATATAAACTTCAACGTACTATTATAGCCACACAGTAAATACGGCATTTGATAGGTTTTAAATTATGGGGTTTGGCTGTCATAGAATTTGAGCTAGAACATCAAAATTCCTAATCTTCCTCCAATTAATATTGGTGCAATTCGTACATGGTCCACGGGTATCACAATTGGCGACAAGAAAAATTTCAATGCCGATCCTCAACTCACGCCGGTAGCCCTATTTCGTATCCAAGAATAACTTCGGTAGTGTGTCCTTCCCAGCCGCGGTTACCGCTAGCTGATATCATGAAGCGACATGCGTTGTCTACATAAAGCTGAGAAATTGTTCCAGTCCGATGTCCGGGGATAATAAGGAATGGCGTTGTTGACTGCCGAGAGAGCTGATCGTGTTTTAGGTCATAAAGACGTAAAATATCATGAGAGGCACTGCAAAAGGTTAGAGGATTTGCGTCAATATGGGACGGTTGTAAAATATACGCACCAAACTAGATGGCGGCCATTAGGCATAGCTCTGAGAGCTGTTACTGAGCCGCTTCCCTGAGGAAACTTGAACGTGCGTACGGGATCCCGAAGGCTCTTATGCATGCTGTATTCTTCAACTGTGCCATTTCGTCGTCCAGCATAGATATAATTCCCATCCGGAGACCAGCAGGCGCTCATGCACCATGGAGGTGTGTTCCGGGATGGAGTTATTCGAGCAACTGGGTCAGGTTGACGTCTGTCCCACACCCGAATTGTGCCGTCGATAGATGCTGCCAGGAAGGTAGTATCTGTTCCAGTACCATGATGTTCCGACTGCATTGACTGGGTTGGGTCTTGACCTCGCGAAATGGTTTCCATCTCTTCTGCTTTGGGTAGCCTTTCAGCTGACTGTGCGAGCGCAGTTGTCATTTCAATGTCAGATACCTCTGGTTTCGTGTCAGCCCTGCCATCAACATCCATACTTGAATCATAGGGTAGTGAGTTCGGGTTTGCCCTAGATTCAATTTCTGGTATCATTGTGTCAACTTCCCCCGGGGCATCGGCATCGGCATCGATATCGGCATCAGCATCAGCATCAGCATCGGCATCGGCATCGGCATCAGCATCAGCATCAGCATCAGCATCAGCATCAACATCAACATCAGCATCAGCATCAGCATCAGCATCAGCATCAGCATCGGCATCGGCATCGGCATCAGCATCAGCGTCAGCATCAGCATCAGCATAGGCATTAGCATCAGCATCGGCATCAGCATCAGCGTCAGCGTCAGCATCAGCATCATCGAGAGTACCATGGGCCATTGCACGGCCAAACTCATCATCCTCTTCTACTCCGAACATAACACCACCAGATGGCACTCCACTATCCGCTGCTGCACCATCAGCATCCCCGAATAGTGAATCAGCCCCACCAAAAAGTGAGTCTGCTGGCGAGCCCGCCTGCGGGTTCTCGACATCGCCTGCTTCTCCAAATTCCGGGGGGTTCTCTGTGAAGTCGAAGCTTTCGATTCCGTTGGCTTGGTAATTTGAAGAGTATGTACCATTTGGCTGAAAAGCATCAATAGTGTCCTGCGGCACGGGTAGACTAGACTCTGGTCTGAACTGGAGGGCTGAGATTTGACGAGCACTGCCTCCAAAAGCACGCCGAGCTTGCCCAGTATTCAAATCCCAGTCAAGTACCCTCTTATCCCAGCTACCTGAGAGCAGCGACTGTTCGTCCGATGTCAGATTTAATGTGGAGACTGCCGAAGTATGTTGACGTAGAAGCGCGACCTCTTTACCTTCGTCGTGCCGGAGGGTTTGAAGCCGTATCGCACCCGATTGTAATCCAGAAAGTAGCCAAAGACCCTCACTTTGACAAGCCAAAGAATATACAGGCGACAAACTGTTTCCGTCCATATTTTCCCAGTATGTCATCAATACACCAGCTTTGACAACGCTATCGACGAATGGGTGTCTTTGCGCGACAGTCAACATTAGCTTGCTGTTTATCGAATCAGCCCAGTTGAATTTGCGCACATATCCATCGGAACCTCCAGTAAATACCCAGCGCATATCGGCAGTCGCAGTGATTGCATTGACTGAGGTACTGTGAGGAGCAGCTGTGGTCGGAAGAATGTCATAGGTCTTTGCCGTCAGGCATTCCGGGCGTACGCTTGGGTGGTAAATTGAAAAATATCCGTTATCTCCATTTCTAGGGGAGTCTCTGTTTGCGATATCTTGGTTTTGCTGAGAGGTCATGCCAGCGCCCTCTGATGTCTGACTTGCGTTGGAGGGACTATCAGCATCTTGGTCCCCATCTTCCCCGTCTTGATCTTGATCTTCTTGATCCTGATCCTGATCCTGATCTTGATCTACCTCCAGGTCCGCATCAGGGTCGCCGTCTCCATCATCCACATCGCGCATATTATCATCAATCTCATTATCGGAGCTTCCATCCTGAGAACCTAATTGCAAGCAGTGGTCAGTGGGCCATGCACGCATTCTGAGTAATTGAAAAAACAGAAGATGCAAGATTCACTTACCTGCCAGGTCACGGTCCTCTTCTTCCTCGAGCGACGCCATTGAATTGTTCTAGGGTGAATAGCTTCGTTGGTAATACTGCCGTGAGAGCGGGAAATGAGGAAGTTGATTGTCAAAACCGTTGATTGGTTCCCGATACACCGCTTAGCATACCGCTCTACTATAGCAGTCAAGTCTATTTTTTACAGAAAGTTTCAAAGCAAGCTTCAAAGTTTTAAGCATGGTTAGGCCAGTACTGTTGGTAGTCTCCTAGACAGTCAATCTTAAATTGATCTCGCTTTCCCGTCAAGAAATGTACTTTAATGTTGTCATTAGTATTGTAGATATAGAGTATGAGGCGTTAGGCTTCACACCGCCTTTGGCAGAATAGATCCATTCTAGTTAGATCAAGCCCACACCTCCACAAACGACTCTGATTCGCTCAAAAGTGAAGATTCAAGATAGCAAGTTAGACAGTCAAGGTGTTCTATTCATATCATTAAATACCAGTCAAGTAGTCAGTCACATGCGAATTTGATCTGACTAGGAAATGGAACGGTCACACGAGGTGAGAGTGACGATACGGCGTATTCTGCTAAACGGCGTGTGGTCAAATTTAAGGTTACTGAAGCCTTAAATATAAGGCAGAAACAGGAACGCAGGCGGAAAAGCATTCATGCGAGGTATAAAAGTGAAGTGAAGCGCAAACAGTCAACCTCACTTTCTAGCTCTCCATCCCACATACCCCCTTAATCTCCGAGTCATTCATACTTCGCCTCTTACAGTCTCAGGCACTAGCATCAACCTCAAAAGTATGGATTGGGTTCAGACTAACTTCAGCTGTTCAGCGTTGACTGCCTTACCTAGGTATCAACCTCACTTTCCAACTCTTCTTCCTCTCTTCTTCCTTTCTTCACAGCAGCCTCACTTTCTAATTCAATACGCTTCCATCGATCTTGAAAGTATGCATTTCAATTAATTTCGGGGAGAGCATTGAGGGTTGACTGCCTTATAAACAAGTCAACCTCACTTTAGAACTTTTTACCCTCCACAACATTCTTTCTCCACAGCCTTCTTTCTGCGCAACCCTGTTCCTTTGAAACTTTCAGCTAATTATCAACCTCCAGCATTCATCAGCCACAGTCATGGAGGACAAGACCAAGTCCGATAAGAAGGCCCCGTTCACAAAAGTGCCGAATCCGGCTATTCGTAACTACTTTGACAAGGATCATGAAAATGCCGAGAAATATAGCACAGATCCAGATCCACCTGGAAGATGGAATTTGATGCCAGAGTATCCCGCCACTGATGAGATCTTGGGCTTTGAGAGAGAGGGAATCACCCTTCCTTTCAACAAGAACACTGGAAAATGGCAATCTGCAGATATCTACTTAGGTACGTATTTTAATCTCATCCGAGAAGAGGCAGTCTCTCCCCTCCGAGAGGCCGTTGTCGAGGTCCGAAAAAATCCCAAGACACTAGATACTAGCGAGTTCTGGGTTTATGAGAAAGTGAGTTTCACTGACAGTGAACCAAAATGCTACTTATAATCAAAGATTGACTGACTCTCTACCACCTTGGATATAGGTGTACCTCACCCAGGTAGTCTTGTCAGATCTTGGACTTGGGTTCCGCATGCAGTTCTCGACAAAGCGCGCCGGTAAAGATGTACGCTGGGACAGCTCTCCTCGTCTTACTCCTGGATCTCTGCTTGCATTATCACCTATTCAAGACTCATTTGCAAGCAAGTGTATAGTGGCCACCGTTGCTGCACGTGCAGACGAAGGCCTTAACAAGTCTCCTGCAGAGATCGATATCTTTATTCCTGATCATAAGGATTCGATCATTGATTCTCAACAGGAGTGGATCCTAGTAGAGGCACGTTCTGGGTATTATGAATCGAACAGACACACGATGGTTGCGCTCCAGAAGCTTTCGAAAGAAAAGTGAGCATTACAATCAACTTCGGAAGCACAAATCCAACAACTAACAATCATGATTCACTAGGTTCCCATTCAGTAAGCATGTTTGTCGCTTGGATCCCGACGTTGGCGTTCCGGAGTATGTCAAGGAAAATCCAATCATGGATTTCCGATGCTTGACTCCTGATGCTGATGAAGACACGAAATTTAACGTCATTGAAGATATGCCCGCTCATCTCATGGAGGGTATACTAAATTCTTCTCAGCAGAAGGCTCTCCACAAAATGTTGACTCGACAGCTTTCAATTGTTCAAGGACCACCAGGAACTGGTAAAACTTTTCTTTCTGTTATCACAATGAAACTGATTTTGTCGCAAATGACCAATGGTGATCCGCCTGTGATCATTGCTGCGCAGACTAATCATGCTCTGGATCAGATTGTCATGCACATCTCCGAATTTGAGCAGAACTACGTTAGAATGGGAGGACGTAGCTCTAACCTCGCTATCCGCAAGCACCAATTGAACTCAGTAAAAAAGTCGCAACCGCAGGTACTGCTAAGCGGTGGATCTCTTGGTCCGGCCAAAAAGGAAATGAAATATCTTCAACAACAAATTGTGAAGTTTTTCAGGTCCTTCCGAGACAATGGCGAGCAGCTTATTGCGGCTTCTGTCTTTGTTGAATATGGCTTACTGACAAAGGAACAACTCATAACTCTGCCGTCATATAACAACCCATGGGTAGCTTGGCTCAAGAACCAGGTCTTTGAGTTCCATCCCAAGGAAGACGCATCCAATTTCTCATCTTCCGAAAAGTTGGATTCTGATCAGGAGTATATGAAGTTCAAGAAGCTTGTCGCGGGCCAGACAGAGTTGCAACAATCCGACCGTCTTCATGGCATAACCGTGGACTTGAAGAAGACATTCAGCGGACAGGGTGGCGAGCCCATGTCCGACGAATCTATTCTTAGATACATTAAGTGCCCTGACTTACGAAGAGTCCCACACGAGGCACGCGGAAATATTTACAATCTGCTGCGCCGTCAACTTTTCGAAATTCTCCATGCCAAGTTTGGAGAAATGGCCGGTCGCTACAAAAAGCTCACTCAAGCCCTTCGGATTGGAAAATGGGAAATTGAACATGAAACCCTCGTAGGCGCGAAGTTTGTTGCACTGACAACTACCGGGTTGAGCAAATACCGAGGCCTCATTGCTAGCCTTAAGCCTCGGGTTATTTTGATTGAAGAAGCAGCGGAAGTCACGGAAGCTCCAGTAGCCGCGGCATGCTTTGAATCATTGCAGCAACTGATCCTCGTGGGTGACCACTTCCAGCTGAAAGGTGTCTGCGAGGTAAAAGATCTCACTGGGAAGCCGTTCTATTTAGATATGTCCATGTTTGAGCGCCTTGTTGGAAACATGATGCCATTTTCTGTCCTTCGTGAACAGCGTCGAATGGCTCCAGAGATACGGGAGCTTGTGGAGCCAATCTACGGCCGACTCTACGACCATATATCAGTCACCGAGTACGATCCTGTGCCCGGAATGGGAAAGGCTCGCGCATGTTTTTTTAACCATCGTTGGATTGAAACAGGTGATGATCTGGCATCCAAGTTAAATGAAGCCGAAGCTGAAATGGTGGTGGAATTCTTTATCTACTTGCTGAAGAAAGGGGTCTCACCAATAAAAATTACCATCATGACTCCTTATGAGGCCCAGCGAAAGACGATCTGGAAGCTGTGCAAATCTCGCCCTTACACGAATCACTTGAATCCCAACATCGTTACTGTCGATTCTTATCAGGGTGAAGAGAATGATATCGTTTTGCTTTCTCTTGTTCGAAACAACAACAATGCGTCACTTGGGTTCCTTTCACAGGACAACCGAATTTGCGTTGCCATATCTCGAGCCAAGCGTGGGTTTTTCATTTTCGGCAACAAGAACTTTGTTCAAGCACACAGTCCTCTGTGGCTTAAAGTTATCTCCATCCTGGCCAACAGAGGCCATATTACTGATAAAATGCCCCCGGGCTGCAAACAATTCAATGAAGTTCCGGGTGGTAGACCCCGTTTCCCGAAAATTGGTTCAAGTGATAGCAGCATTAGCAGCGATACTGGCGATAGCAGCGATACTTTATCCGCACCGCCATGCACATTCGTATTTCGTTGCTGTCACACCTATTGCGGGCTAACGGAGCCACACGATCATGAATGCGTCTGCTGGGAGAGCACGAAAGAATGTGGCGGAAATGGTACTTTGGAAACTATCGACCCCGAGGAGATGCAAATTGTCACCCTCTGGAGCAGACCTGCAAGTCCCGTTTCGAATTCAGTCTCCACCGAAGAGAATCCGAAACTCAGTCCGTTCGGTTATGTTGGGACTGGACGCCATCTCTTTATCCAAGGCGGCAAAGAAAAGCGCAAAAAGAAAAACAAGAGCCCTACTGGAGAGCAGTGCTTCACTCGGAGAGGACGCCACACTCAGCCTAAGCGTAGCACAGCACCGGGCCCTACTCAAGAAGATCACCAACAGCACCATACCCGAAACGATCCCAAACAGGCTGGCCCCAAGAGAGGTAGACCTTCACGCCAGAATAGCGGCTATCACCCAACATGTTCTCGTGGTAAGGCCTGGATGGACTTTGCCCAAGGTGGCGCCCAGAAAAATGATGAGCTCTTGAAGAAAGAGGCTCTGGCTAAGTTTCAGGCTTCCAAAGCGACCGGGCCCAGGGTGCTTGTCCCGCTTAAAGTTGTGCACGTGGAGTCATATGAGAAAGCGGCTGCAAAGGCCTGGCAGTTGGATCATAACTCCCAGCCCATAATCCACTTGCATAAGTCCCAGAAATCTGAGTTGGACAGGCCTGAGAAACAGGAGGCCAAGCAGCAGGAAATCAAAGTCCAGGATACCAGCCCCAAGGATAATCAATCACAGCTTCCATTCCAGGATGATACGCCCGAAGTGCCCAACCCATTTGATAGACTGTCGACATTCCACAAGTCGATGGCTATTGCTAAACAGCCTAAATCTAAGGGAAAGCTCATCGATGATTTGCCCGAATTCCCGAACCCGAATCCTGTCAACACAGCTAGCCATATAATGGATTTACCTAATGAGCAATTGTTCTTCTGCGCTTCTCTCCTGCCAGTGCACAACGGTCAAGATCGCTCTCCTATGAACTTGATGGATGATCCTGTGCTTTTTGATGGTGAAGTTGGAGGTCCGAGCCCATTACTACCCGGTACATTTGGCGGTTCGATTCCAATGGCAGTCAATGAAGGTGATGGTCTGAACCAAGTGCCCATCGATAAAGTTGACGACTTGAAGCCTGTCACTACCGGAGTTGACGACCTCGTTGACTTGGGCTGGGTACCTGTGATTCTCCTCGATCTTTAGTATAGTTTTTCATACTTCTTTTTAAATTTCCAACTGTTCGTGCGATGAGGGGTTTCAGTCCCAAGCGACTGGATACTAGGTATTAGGGGACTGATAGGGATGAACAGAGACCGGCAGACTTCACTTTTTATTTCTTACTTTTTTTTCTTGCGCACGGCGACTTGCCTGCACTGCTGGGTATCTAAGATTGGATTGGAGCCTACAAATAGTATTCTTTAGAATATCTATTGCGCGAAATAGAATGCCGAGCCCTATGCCCCTAACTTTGCAGATAAGTATGCACTGCCCAGCTGCGTAGGGAATTACGCCACTTATTCAATGACTACATAAATAGATAGCTACAAACTAGGCACCGCTTGAGTTGTAGAGTATTTCAGGTGGATGATTTATTTTATAAAGCATAAATCGTGTGCTCATCTGTATTACGGTCTATATCATGGTCCTGTACAGCTCTAGACTCTCTAAGTGTGTTCATAAACGACCATTGGTTATTTCGTCAAAATACTCTAGCTCACAATATGAAAATAGCCATTTCCAAACAGCCATTTTCAAAGCTACCAGCTCATGACCAGGAAGTTCTTCAGATTTATCTTCCAAATTAATGGAAGGCTATGCTTCTTCATCAACACACTGAGTCTATCGAAGAATGCGGGTTTTATTTTCTGCATGAGCCATTATCAGCAATGAAAAGAACACAGATGCGTGGAAATGATAGTAAAAAAGCCTACCACCTACCACTTAGTGCCAGATCTAGTCTTGCTTCGACAAGGCTGAAAAGCAGCTTGCCTCATAGTACAACGCATTCAGAGCTGGCACGTGAATGCCGTGCACCCCAGCAGAAGGCTTAAATTCAGGCAACATGGTCAATACCCAAACAAACTGGGATACTGAGTGAGCAGCGTATAACAAGACGGGAATAAGCCGATAGCCCCTTTCTGGTTTAGGAGATTGTCAAAGTGATGGTGCTATAGTCGTTGGATTGCAGGTGTCGAGACGGCGATAAGGTCCCAGAATTAGAGAAATCTGGACGTAGGCAAGTCCTAGAAGAGCTAGAGGTGAACGATATGGGACCGTTTTTATTGATAGCATGATTACTGGTCTTTTAAAAATACAGGCCCATCCACTCATGCGAGAGGAATTGTGTGGATCCTGGCTCGACTCTGGGGTTCGACTCTAGGGTTATTACCATACGGATGTCCAGGAACGTAATGCTCACCTAACTATAAGAAGTTAGATGTGGTACTGAAGCTGTAGAAAATTCCAAACTGACTCGATTTTGTTGAATTTTTCAGTCAGTAGGGCGGTTGAACTGTTCCCATCTGGCAACGGCAGCTCAATAACAATATGAATACGTTGGACTAAGCCGTTTGGGGCACATAGTTTCCCAGAGGCGCAGGAATAAGAACTGGTGGTACTGCTAATCTTAATTTCTGGAGCAAAATAGTGAGAGTACCCTGGAAAAAAGTTGCTGAGGTCCCCGCTCCTGCCGAGCAGCTACTCGACAGAATTATTTGTAGTCCACCCTTTTGTTAAACAATAAACATGCATATGAATTTCATTGCTTCAAAGCGAAAGATGAACATTGAATGCAACATTATGCATATGACTGAAGCAGAATGCTATTATCTTTGCTCATCGGACAGACTCTTGATGAACTCTTGATGAACCCAATGATACCAGTTAGAGGATGAAGTATTGAGTATATTTCCCACGATAGATGTAATCCGACAGTCAATCTATTGGTGGAAATATCTAAGATAATCTCAAGCAAGACAATTTTCCACCAAAACACCATAAATTGATCTAGATATAGTTATTTTTGCTCTATTTACATATGGTTATGTATCCATTCGTCTTCCGCTAGCTCTTTGGCTAAACTACACTTACCGGGCTCCAATTGTAGCATTTTGTGTAGAAATTGCAGAAAAGATTCTCTCTCCGCTTTTCCATGGAGAGTGGTTTCTGTTCAAGCGGTACTAAACCTGCTGGGGAGAGATCGCAGAAGCGACGAGAACATAGTAGTCTAGGAGAAGAAGAAGAGCGTGCGATGAATGGTAGTCTGAATATCGAAGAGAGAACAAAATGTCTTTCAATGTAGAGTCGAGTGTGTTCAAGTTGTTTTAGTCTGAAAGGGCATGAAGGGTGCCAAGGGCGAAAGATAGAGATTATGGGGCCTTTGGAGGATCCAATAGTTCCACTCCAACTTGACTCCAACTGAACCCACGCCGTTTTAGCTTAAAGGCTAGGCTGTCACGTTAAATACTCATAATGTCAACCTGAAATTTGACCGTCCAATCGTAATGGTTGACGAAACAGATTTCTCGATCTAGGGATGAAAAGCTACTAAATATACGCCCGTTATGGATCCTGCAAACAATACAAGCAACAACCCCCTCTTTTCTAAGTTGACATATAGCCCTAAGAGGGCAGGTCGGACCAGAGAAAATATTGACGAGTCATAAAGCTAATGGATGTCCGGCCTGATCTTCTACCACCAGTGGACCAATTTATACTCTTGCCGTTGAGCTATCAAGTAATAAAGCCAAGGTGAGTTCCAAGGACAGGTCTTTACTTCCAGGGCTACGACTTAGGTATAATCTCAATGCTCTATCTGGCCAAGTTCACAGGCATATTTCTATCATAACCTCCATCTCTTCAGATGCCTGGATTCTTACAACCTTGCCGCAGACTCCGGGTATAAGCACGCCCCGCGCTATGAGCGGCACTGTTTAAACATCTAGTGCTGGTATTGAGGTCTCTTCTAGCGACAAAATCTCTTCTAGAGCTGCTGTCCTGATATCTGACGACCTCAGGCTATGTCCAGAAGAGTTTGACTCTTGCTAGCTTGACATTTACCAGCTCAAATTCCACTGACAGGGCCTCTACTACTAGTTTCGTGAGACTTTTGTACACCGGTGCCACCTCTGCTATCTATTACGATGTCTTCAGTGACTACTGCTTTGGCTGCCCTTCTTATAATTCTGATTCTCTCTATGATAGATTAATACAAGTCTCTTAGATATATAAAAGCACTGATAATAGATGATTTTTATATCGCATTGCAAGAAGCCTCCATGGAGTATGGATAGTACCTAGTGGTGAGGTAAGAATGACAACTTGAAGCCCTGGAGAATCTAGCCCCACCTCCTACCTCTTGCTTAAAGCCTTGAACCACTTACTCGCGCACTTTTGTATTCCAAAATTGGGATTATCATTTGGAAAGTTCAAATATGCTTTCAGTTGGTATTTCGCTATCGACATCGAAAAAAGCGTGGACGTGTACTCCGTACTTGAATCCAATTCAAATCCTTTCAACTGTGCCATAGATACCCTGTAATTTTATTTTGAAATGGCTCAAATGCTGTATTGATCTCAGTTATAATTCCAAGGTTATTGCATGTTTACCCAGGAACATTGGAAACTATGGAAATAAATACTAAACAAGTGCTAGTCAAGGTACACGACCGGCAGTTCAATCCCGAGGCGTGACCCCCGCAAACAACCACTAGTCGACCTTATCTTTCCAGGGTTTCCCTCTTTCTTCCATCTTCCATCTCCCATCTTCCCTTAAAATCATGATTATAATCCTGATCACTCTATTCTTGTGTTTCACCTGAGTAACCTCGAATCGTCCTTATATTTGTTGTTCACGGGTCTTCCCAGTGATTCAGTTGTGACTTCCTCTTATCGGCCTTCCGTCACTATACCGGAAATTGAAAACGTCCAGCTGAGCAATACTTCGCCCTCACATTAATGATCAACGCCTATACCCTATACACAAAATGAAGTTCCAAATACCCCTGATGCTGCTATTCAGCAGCCTCGTCGCATCAATTCCTTTACCAGTTTTGATCTCATCACCACAATCCACACCAACCAATCAGAATGCAAAAATTGAGCACCTGGCCAAGCCCTATCCTTATCCTTATCAAGATGTCGATGTCTCAGAACGATTAACCGCTCTACGCGAAGCTGGCTTCATGCCCAGCTCAAAGCTCAATGGGAAGTCACGGGCATCAATCGACTCTGACTCCGGCTTCGAATCCCCTATATATCGAATTCTTTCCCAACACTTGAGAGTATTTGATTCTCGGACGGATCCAATTTCAGACGCTCCTGTCTTTTTCTTTCCAGCTGAAATCGCTCTGCTGGTCATGATTTCTGCATTCTATTGCGTTGCTACTATCATTCGAGGAGTGTGTGCACGACATTGAATGTTAAATGCGCCGATCCCAATATTAATTTAATCTCCTACGTAGTGTCTAGCGTCTTGACGGGAGAGTGATTTTCGTTCTCGCTACCTGCCAGGGGTGACAGTGATCTCGTATTGGATGAACGCATGTTGAAGAGTAGAAAGTAGCTTCTGGAGAGGAAAGTGGACGTAATGAATCCCGAAGTGGAAAGCACTGTCGGTAGCTTTCTGGCAAAACCGAAGAAGTTGGACGAGTCCTTATCATCCGATAAGGGTTGCATAGCAGACAGCTTCACAGCAGCTGCACAACAGCCCCCTCGATAATAGACGGCACGGAGGACACGAGAACGAAGTAAACAGAAGCTTGACAGGAAATGATTCTACTACTTAAGAGTCGTCGTCGGAAGTAAAATGATGCAGAAAACAGTGATGCGCATTAGATCGTAGCCTCAATCAATCAATCAATACGCTATTAACCTGATGCAGCCTAACTAGTAGCGTATAGTTACACGGCGTTCCCTCCGGTGGAAACAAGGGCATTCTGAGCGCCAGAACATTAAGAGTAGCTACAAAGGAGATATGGAGTCGTAGCCCAAATCCTACGTAAGCCCAAATGCCCTCCCTATATCCCACTTCCATCGCTCTTCGTCTACTATTCGGTATTCAACTCCTCTCGCTTTCGTCTTGTTGTTTGGCGGTGGTAATGTATATCTGTCCAGGGATGCACGGTAAGTTGTGGCTTTTGGTGTTCTTAATACCCAGCGTCTTCACCAGGCTATGTCGTTGCCATTAGAGTAAGTTGTTGCCATGATCTTCTTGGTCTGACCCAAGCGCCTCTGACATTATTAGATATTTTCTGGTTCAGTAAGCTTAATGTTAATAAAATAAGTATGCCAGAGTAATACATGGGCCTACTTCGGGTTTTTTATCCTTGAGCGGTGTTTACTCTCAGCATTCACCGTAAACCTCAGGACGCTACGACCGTGTCACATCTTTCATACCATATGGTCTAACTTAAGATTAAAATTAATATATAGCTCATAAATAAGAGCTTTTGGAATTATGAGCTTCATTTAAGCTAAGAAGGTTGCTGGCATCTACTCAAGAAGACTGCTAGGATGTACTCATGTCCCCTACTTTGAAACTTCTAATTGGCTCATTAATTAGGATATGATATAGTCCAATCCCGTAAAATGTCTTTCTCTGTATCCCCACCGAATAAGCAAAAGCCATTTATGAACAGACTCGTCTTGCCTCCTAAGAAAAGAAACATCATATTCTTTTTTTTTCATCGCAAATTCCTCCAACTCATGATTTATCGTAGGATTTCTCTTATATATGCACCTCTCGTAACGCCTCCACCGATGATGACCAGGTATCATATCTTTATGCTTAGCAGTTGACTAATAACCAGACCAGAAAGTGTACACAAATAGTAGTCGTGGGTGAATACCTTCTACTCCACAACACATCGAAAGGTGTCCATGTCCGGAACTCTGATCTAAGTCCTTTCGAATCTCAATTTTGCATTCTGTTGATTCCCTGAGATATACTTGAAGGGTCAAACTTAGGGAAGTAAGTTTATGATCACTTGAATGTTCCATTGTTTGGAGCCAATCCTGATGGAAAAGAGAGTTAACAGTAAAATAATCAGGTTCGAACGGAAAAACCAGCTCTGAATAATTAAGAAAGCAGAGTTCATGGCGAGGGGTAATATCAGTTCGAAAGATTGATGTCTCTAAATCTTCAGGCGTGAATTTTGGAACAGCTAGGTCTATTGAAAGTATGAAAGATAAACCTGTATTCTAAGAAAAAGACTTGTAGGGAAAGCTCCCGGAGACTCACTGTAGTTACCACAAGCTTTGAGTCCAGTACGTACATACAACACTTTCAGTATCGGTATAAACTCATTACTAGTTTCCAGGCTCAAGAACTTGTGTAAATCCCTGCGATGTAGTCTCGGAGTCTGCAGCGCGCAAAAAGCTCTATATCCAGCAGGGTCGTTCTTCTCCCCACACGTGTATACCCCTCTTCCTTGTGTCATAAAATATCCTTTCCTATCTCTCCTTTAGCTTCTCAGATTCCAAAATCCAAGATGACCTCCAAAGATCAGAAACATTCGACTCAAGACTGGTCTGCCAAAATTGCGGAAAGAGAGTATTATATTCACGATAGATTCTTCATTAAACGAAGTTTACGACCTACGGAGATTGTCCCCTCCTATAAAGGAAGATTACACACTCCGCGTGTAGGTAAACAAAGACTCCAAAATGAGACTGAGGCTCTGCAATTTATTCGACGTGTCAGCAATATCCCGGTTTCAACTTTATATGGAACCTTTGAGATTGACGACTCCTATTTTGTGTTCACTGAGTATGCTGAAGGCTCTTCTATGGCTGCACTTCCTGTAAACCAGAAAAAAGTCGTGGAAACCGAGCTTCTCCAACATCTTACGACCATTCATATAGTCAGTTTTGTCTTTCACTAACTTACCACAATTCATCGGATATATTTTAACGGCCTTACATACAACAAACTCGGCAGCCTTTCTGGAATAGTTTTGCCTCCTTGGTGGGTGGATGGCCGTACAGAAATAGAAGATTGGCCACAAAAAGTCGTAGGAAGTCCGGATTGCGTTTTTTGTCACAATGATTTATCTCAACAAAAAGCCATTGTCGACTTAGAAACATGAAAGATTAAAGCTATCATCAATTGGGAGTACGCTGGTTTTTCCCCTTATAATTTGAGATGCCTGTCTACAAGAGACTAGGTCCATCTGTGGCTATAGGTGATGAAATTGATAATGTCCCAACTGGTGAATTCCCTTCATCCTGGAATAAAGCTGAACGACGAGGAATGATTCAATACACTATAGAATTCCACTTCGATTTTTCGGTCTTCTCGTTCATCATCTTTGCTCTCATGTACATTTAAGTAGATTTCTTTCCTTCGTTAGGCATCCCACGAGAATATGAGCATCCGATAATGGGAAACGAAAGGCCGTAAACAAAAGTCCTTCACCTTGCTTCTTCTTTTCTTTACCTTTCTCTTTCTGTTTACTTGAGTTTTCTATTTAGGCGCATTTTAATCTCGGTCCAAATTGACAATCCTCTGCTCCATAATCTTTAAATCTTTCTAGCTGAAGGTTAACTCTATTGAGGCTGTGTCTTTGCCTTCCCAGCATATTGTGAACATATGCCAAGTTACTCCAACCCTATGTAGATAGTCTATTGCCGAGTCAATCGTACCCAAAAAAACAAGCACAGCGAATCTTTAATTGTGTAGAACTTCCCCGTCCAGCCCTTAAGCTAACGATGTAGAAGTCAAGTCAGCTCACACAGCAGACCTAGTGGTTGAGTAGGCAGTAATTGTGCTTTGACGGAGCCTTTGTCTGATTTTCCACCTAAACGCGATTATGCTTTATATTTCCAGAAGTTGGTTCAAGAGCTCGAGGACGCTTCAACCACTTCACGTCCTCCAAGTCAATGACAGCTAAACGCCCACTTGAGCCACCCCACATCATATTAAGCCACTTACCGTCGCTGCGGACGACGCTATGCGACCGGAGCACTGTCACAGACTCACAGCCTTGTCTCGATCCCGTTTGAAGAAGCTGGAATCTTCATCGTTAACAACATGCTGAAGCTACGTTCCAGACTAGCTCACGATCATCATCTGGATCATTGTTGGAACCAATTAAATCTGTTTTACAGCAGTGAATGGACTCGAGAGGTGAATAGAACTAGTGTAATCGGGGCATATCCGATTCCATCGTGGGAACTTAGAATGAACACACATCTTACCACACACTTCCTCCACGTATCAACGTAGTAGTAATAGTGCATCGAGATCCCTGTGAGCCGACAACCATCGACTCACCGCGGTGACCTTAGTGATCACAGTATACCCATGCGTAAGAAGGGTCGTTTGAACCAGGTAGCCCGTTCGACCGCACTTATGCAATGGTTTAAATCCCTGTTTCGGTTATTTACGAGTTGACGGTGTATTTTATGCATAAACTCTACCAGGCCCAACGAATGCCTCTCGCCGTGATATATATGACGTTACGAGCTAGGGCATACTTTATATCAAGTGCCTTGAGCCCGGACTTTCTAGTCATTATCTGGTATGTGTCCGAATTGAGAAAGTACTCTCTCGAGAATAATGGTCGCTATAAATGCTACTCTAGCCTTGATACGGGTCCATTACTTGTTCAAGCCGCGGTATCGGCACCTAAACTCAAGCGGTTTGCTATGGTTGGTGGACATATACTTGATGGATAGGCGTCACCGGTCTCCAGTAAGTTTTCCTCTTCCCAGCCCAAGCACTGCTTCAAATCCACCTGGGCACGATAAGTGGGATGATGTATCTGACAATTTGTTATAGAGACCGATGGATTCATGCCCCAAGTAAAAAGCCTCGAGCTTCGAGGCTCTCTGTAGGCCGCATCGGCCTACACGTGGTTTGACAGTGGTGGCTTAAAAGTGAGATTCTAGATAATAAATAACCCAAGGATAGGGATGTATTACGATGGCTTATAAGATTGGCAGGCTGTGCTAGATGTGCTGAGTGCACTCAAAGATCTAAATCATCTCGACCTTCCAGATCTAGGGGGCTTATGTCTTGGTTTCGACAGCGAACCTGATGTAGAAATACTTATTTTGGTAAGCAGGGTGTGATGTTCCAGCGTTAAGAACTTAAGCAAAGAGTCAAAGCATCTGAGAAAGACGGGGATATTGTGGTTGCGAAATTGCCACATTTGAAGGGTTTTACTATCAGTGGAGAGAGCCCTGTATAGCTAACATCACAAGAACTGACCACGTACGGAGGTCTGAGCGTGAGGGCAAAGATGTTTTGGATGTGTTTACGAACGACCTTGGAACATGGATCATGGTTTCATTATCTTGACCTTCACTAAGTGACTACTATCATGTACCTAGATAGCAGCCCCATGCGTTGTTCTCGACGCAGCATTGCTTCTAATCTTAAGCGTAGGTCATTAAACGAATGAGTAGATAGAATTAGATACTGGAGAGCATCCCCTTCTCCACAGCCTCATCAGAACATGGATGATTGCCAGCAGAACTAGAAGCAGCAGTTTTCACCAATCGCTGTCAATATTTGTAAAGTCCTCATTAGTATGAATGATTCCTCCTTAGCCATAACCTCGGTATCAAGCCCTTCAACAAACAGCTTGAAACTTCGGGGGTTCAGTGTAGATTCTTGTACCCACTTATTTGTTGGAGGTTGAATATCTAGATGGTCTTTTTAGATGAATTGGGCTATCATATCTGGGTTTATGCCTGGTATTGCTGAGCTTCGACGAGGTTGCAATTTTCAGATGTCGTATCAATACATAGTGTATTAAATTAGACAAGGCTCACGAGGCTGCTTGCCAACCATTGCCAACCCTTGCGAACCTTGGAATGTGTCTAGGTAAACATACCGCTTTTTTTTTTTTTTTTTTTTTTTTTAACTGGCGTTATCAAATTTCTTGTCATGATATGTATGAATCAATCCATCAACGTATATATGCTGTCCAATGGTTGGAAGTAGCCGTCGAGAAAGCAACTGGGCCACATCATCCTTAATATGACTCGCTAGACCAGTTCAAAACCAGACAATAATTGAATACAATTATCTGAGTACGCCTGAAAGTCCTACGTTGAAATGTTGCACCCAGGCAGTCCGAATGTAAATTATCGTTACTCAAGTTCAAAGTATTTTGATGACACTTCTAAATACACCGTAGTAACGCCATTGCAGAAACCAATTCAAACAGTGTGTTTGGTGAATAGTGGAAAATGGGAGGCTGGGGGAGTAGCGACCAATGAAATTAAGAATAAGAGATCGAGATGAAGCAGGAAGGAAAGAGGGGGAAATGGTCTATGTACTCTTGAAATCGCTTGGTGCGGCATCATCCATGGTTGTATGCAAAGTAAGTATTCTGTCGCTCATAATCTCGTCTCTGGTGTCGGACGTTGTCCAGTTAGGTGAATGAGGATCATGCTGTTTCGGGTTCCGAAGACCAGCTATGGTAGGGTTGAGTGTAATAATGGAGAAATTGAGTAATCCGTCACGTATCACCCCATGATTTTCTTCAAACTATCACCTTAAAGAATGAAAAAGACCAAGGGACGATTGGGTATCATAACGCAGATGGGTTGGCAAAGATAGCGCAAGATTAATGAAGAGGGACGCAAGGTCAGAAAAAGGGAAGAAACGAGGGTGATGATCCGATGCGGATTTAATCGGGGTTGGTAAGCTAGTAAGTTTGTTAGCATTGAGTTTGATGAAGGGTTCAGGTTAGCAATTCATACCCGGAGGACTGGTCGCGAATAGTCTTCATTATCTTGCAGCGACACACTGCTATCGCGAGGACCGTTGGGATAGATGGTGGTCTTAAGGCGACCATCGGTGAAAGTTCCCTTGCGTCCCAGACTAGTCGCGCCTTGAGGAAAAACGCCGCGGGAGAAGTTCGAGCCTTGGCTGGTGCGGTCAGTCATGTCTTGACTGGGAACAGGACTGGCAGTACGCGCTCGCTTCCGATAAAAGAAGACCATGAAGATGAGAGCGCCGACAAGGGCGAGACCTCCAAGCACGCCGATGACAATACCAGCGATTGAGCCTCCGCCAAGTCCCTTCTTGGAAGTGCTGGCGGATGAAAGATCGAGGCTGGAGGTTGCGGACGACGCTGCAACGGTAACGGTTTTCACTTCTCCACTGGCATTGGTCTCGACGGCAACAGTGGATTGGGCGGTAGTTGTGACATCGGAGGTAGTCTATCGATCTGTATTAGTGATGCGAACGCGAAAATGACTTGATATGGTGGATTGTTACGATCGTGGGGGTGGGAGTGGAGGTAGCGGTGATCTTAGTCGACGTCTGTGTCTATGCCGGTGGTCAAAACCATGATTCCATGGAGTACAACAGACGGGCCAAAGGCAAACAAGTAGCTTGATGGGAGGTGTGGGACAAACAAAAGAGCGGAACTTACAGAAGAGGTTGATGTGGTTGATGATGTCGATGTGGATGTAGTAGAATCAGACGCCGTAGCTGTGCTTGTGACGTCGTCGTCGTTGCCAGAGACCGCGACATACGCGAAAACGCCCTTGGAAGAGCTACCACAGCTATCTGCAGGGTAGCCAGGACAACCGGTAGAACAATCCGAAACACTTTTCCTGTCGGCCACAGCGGGAGCGACGTCCGTACACCAGCAGTGCTTCCCTTGCAAGACTCCAAGACCGTAGCTGGCACAATGATTTTCGCACAATCCGTTCGACTGGAAGTCACTGTAATCTGGAGTAGGGATTAGATTAGTAGGGAATATTGATATCTCAATGTTTCATAGCTTACTTGACGCTTGGGAGGCACCGGTATTTTCGGTAGCGCAGTAGGTCAGAACATTTTCGGCCATCAAAGGTTGAGCAAACAGAGCGCAGGCCGTAACCAACAAAGAGAGATGCATGTTGGATAGAAAACCACCCGAGGTGGGTTTGTTTACACCAGTCGCCCAGTTTTCGAAGTGAGTGTTTCTGTTTTGGTTTGTGGTCCCAACTCTCCTCAGATGTAATGTAATGAAATGGTTGAGTGAAGTGGAGATGACGATTGAAGGACGATAGAAAAATTAGATTATGGCGACTGGAGGGCGGTCAATTTCAGTGAAGATCGAGAGACGGAAGACACGATTCAATGCCAGCTGATAACCCATTTAACCCTTAATCCTTGACGTGAATACTGTGTAAAATCTTCGTGTTGAAGGTTGATCGGTTGTCCCTCCAGGGGTTTGTTGTGTGTTTAGGTAGGGGTGTGTTGTGGTAGAATGTAGGGAAAAGTTGCAAAAGAGGAGAAGGGCTGGAAGTCACGGGGTGTGTAGTCTTGTCCCGGCAATGCCGCTACTAGAGATAAACTGGGAAAGCCTGAGTGGATACATTACATTTCATCATTTACTGAGTACTTTTCCACCGATTTACCATTTTACTGTACTGTGTAATTGTTATTATCTTAGTACTCGGGTATTCAACATGTTTTCTCGTACCTGAATGGATCCACAAAATTCAGGTACCGTATCATGGAATTCCAGGTAAAATAGTCGACATTCCAACTCTTTTGTTTTGTTTATTTTACATAGTACAGATAGTACAACACTATCTCGTAACGGACTAGTCAAGCCACGTATACGTAATTAGTGGATATGCAAAGACTGTCTCAATTCTTACCTTATTATTTTTTTTGGAATCTAGTAAAATGCTAGAAGTTCAATAGTGAGTTCTTATTACCTATTGTAATATGTTTTGGTTCTCGACCTTACCTAGAATTAAATAAGTGCTTTTGTGCATCGTACGTATAAGCATACATCATCGGCCCTAATAGTACCTCCAAACTATTCCTATTTCTTCCATGCCCAGACTAAGAATCAATACGGAAAACGGATTCACGCGTCAAACTCGGAATTACACGTACCCAGCAGGTTTCCAAGTTTGCCCTGATGGGTCATAATGCATCTGATGTACCTGCTCCGTACCTCCACTGTGGAGTATGAATAGGGAGTATCCGTACCCGATAATGATATGTAATATGGCTTTCACCTTTAGGGTATATTACAGTAATTAGAGTAAGAGACTGCCTAGGTAGAAAAAGAGAGTAAGAAATTAGAAATATCCCTATGAATCTCGGGAAAGATAAAACAAAAAAAAATAAAGAATGAAAGGGCGGAATCCTTCAAATATTAAGCCCGATCGATCGACTCCGATGAAACATGCATCATTTCAGTGCTTAGGTAATCTCAGGTCAGGTAATTTCCAAGATTCCAAGGTTCCGAGGTTTCCACTTGCATCGAAATCCTGCAGATCTCACTATCAAGTATCATACACATCACAACCTACCTTGAACCTTGGATACGTTAAAATCAAAGTGACTCGTCGAACCTTGGACATCTTTTCCCCTGTTCCATTAAACTGATCAACCACTTAATGCCGTTCGGTACCTGATCAGTGGAGAGTACATGGACCCACTCAATTCCATTAATATGGCTGAGACAAGTCCGGGTGGCAACAGGAGGTACTGTAATTCTCAGGGGCACGGTTCATTAACTTCAAGTCCTTAGATGCCATTGACAGTTGGCTTACCGCTTTGACGTTATTTTTATTTCAGTAGTACGTAGTACAGATGGTGGCACAGAAGTACCCAAGGACTTAATCTGTGGATTGTGGCTTACTTAGCCCTGGTTAGGAGTACTGCTCCCGAAACTAAATATATAATAATTCATACGATCGAAAGGACTTCGATTCAACGCTAAAAATTGGATTGCGTAACGCATAATGATAACGCAAGATAATGTCTTCTTCCAATGTTCAATATCACTTCGAGGTTATGGGTTTTCCGCCTCACAATAAAATACTCCGAAGTCCGAAGTCCTACCTAAGTAATCGAGGACTTCCCACTTTTTTCACTTTTCAAAGTCTCGGCATCCCCTTTAGAGAAGCATAATGGGACCGGGAATGGAGGTGATCAAGAAGACCAGGTTGACATGCCCTTCAGAGCTTGATCTCCTTTGAGATTCCACAACGGGATTGCTCCCTTATCATCATCTGCATAATGCGGATATCTCTCCGGTAGACGTTGGGTGTTTAAACGAATCAGCGATTTGAATTTTAAGGGGTAATCTAGACTTTGTCGTCACACGAAGACCACTCTAATCGAGCCGTGTTTTCTGGTATCAAGCCAGAGTTCTATCCTAGAAGACGACTTAGGCAGCCCTGAAGGTCGCTGTAGTCCAGCTGTATTAGGCCTTCGTGGTATGACACGAAACGCTCGCGTCCAATAAAATCCAGGCATTGGGACACAGGCAATGAAGCTGCCCAGGTGCAGATGTCCTTGCAGGAGAAGGCGCAGCCAAAGCCGAGCCCCACCGGTAATAGGTCCCGAGTTCATGGCTATATTCAGCGGCATACTCTCTAGTCTCGACGTCCGACAGATTAGGCTGGCGAGGATGGAGCGATGAGCAATTATGTACCACAAATTCTTGAAATAATAAAATAGCGCATTGGGATACACAAGAATATCTAGTTACAAAGTTACAGAGCCCGCGCTCTACTAAATTAAGTTTCATCTTCACTCTAGGGCTTTCAATTTCAAGAAGTGTTGATAGTTGAGCTCGATATTATGTGAACAAGGCGCGAATTGGGTTATCAGAGCTGAAAACCCATCGAATTATTTCATTCACTGGGCTAGATTAGCACCACCAGTGAGTTAAATTGATGAAAATAGAGTCAAGGAAAAAGAGGAAGTGAAAATATTGTGAGGTGTCGTTTGGGGCATTTGACTAGAATTCAATTTATTACCCTAGAGTTTCAATATTCGGGACTTGATAAGTTTAAGTCGTAGTACACTTGAGCCTCGTCCAGATACTATATCTGCATTACAAACAGAAAAAAAATATAGCGCTGGTTGACACATTAAATACTGGGGCCATTCAATAGCCTCCTTTTGGAGATGAAGATAGATACATTAACTGTGAGAGTATAGAGCCTTTCAACCTTGAAGCTGCCTTTGGAGTATAACCACAAAAGCTCCAGGATTTAATATATAGTAACTATAGAGTCTTAAGAAGAGAGAATAGAGAGTTATACCTAGGAAGGCCTGGATAATGAAAGAATTACATGGTTGAACCAATATCTACGGTGAGGAGTAAAATAAAGTCTTTGCATTTAACTGAAGATATGGGGAACCCTGACAAGGGACACAAGCATTACAAGGCCGACATGAACAACCACACTTCATAAAACCCAGTTCCAGCCCAAGCCCAATGATCTCACTAAAATTAATGCCATCCACATGTAATCATCAGTCTCGTATAGAGAGCTAAACGCCTAATTCAGCTGATATTGCGGTTCAAGAAGTCAATTTAAAAGCTGAAGTCCGACTGGAGGTTGATATTGGGGTCATCATCATCGATCTAGTCATGCTCGTTGTAGCTATTCTCATCGGTATATTTAAATTTTTGAGAAGGCTTCTGCAAAAAAAGGATCAATTTATGAAACGATCACCGGTCTTGATGAGCCGCGTCTTGTCCGGGCTCTTTTTGTCTGGGCTTTTCTTGTCTAAGTCATCAATACAGATCTCATCCTTCGACAAATCAGATAGGACATTGAGATCAACAACTCCACTTTCATCATGCGACGCTCTGGGGAGCCATTGGAATTCGACCACGATTCAAGTCGGATCTTCCGCCTCGAGTATAGGACGCAGTGCAAATAGACCTTAGCTCCATACATCGTGGAGATTGCTTCGTAAGCAGATCGTTTTGGATTGGAAAACTTATCTGTTCCATCGCGACTAATTGTTGCCCCGTCAGGAAACATTTTGTTTTGACTTGTGACTGCAATACATAAAAGTCACTGAATCCAAGCCAGCATCTATCCAGGGCGGCGAAATCAGGGAGGATTTGAGCAACTCGGAAGACCGTCTTTATCCTTCCAAGGCACACTTAAAGCCATTGCGAGAGGTGGCCTCCTTGTTAGCCATCTCCATATGACATGCATTCCTCTTGCTATAGTTGTTAGCCCGGGGTGACTCTGCGCGAGCTATTTCCCTGGCTCTAGCTTATAGCCAACCGGTGAAGCAGATTGGCAACTTATCAAAATCGAAATTTCCTGTACGGATTGTCAAGAGCAGGTCTTTGAGCTCTCCAATGTCGCATGGTTGACCCAGAATAATCTGGAAAGAGCCTTTTTGACAGATAACCCTCAAGTTCGTTGACCAGGAAAATGTGCCCACGTGTTCCGTGAATGAGGTAATGCTCTCCTCCATGATAGAGAAATAAGAAGAGATAACGACTAAAAATTTGGGAGTTGGCATGAAAAAGTAGCATACAGCGCACTAAGAGGATCAATATGCGGCAAACTGGGAGCCGAAACTGATGGGCTGAGTGTTCAAAAATCCTTAGAGGAAGAAATAATGCTTGAAATTCTTGTTATTGGATGCGAAGAAGTTGGTCGAACAAAGAATGAGTGATTGGAAAAATGAGTTCATGATTGACGAGAAGTTGGGGAGGAGGGGAGGAGGGGAACAGCTTCACGTTACGTCGCCGGCGTAATGGTAAACACTGTCAACGTAAACTTGCGACTAAGCAGCACATAGCGACTTATCAGGACATGGAAGCGGGCGTTTCCATTTCCGTGACAAATGAGGCGGCAGCTCCAACCCGGATGCATGCCCACTACTCAGGAGGGGGCTTTGGGATCTGATCACCAAAATATGTGTATGCTCATATTAAAAAGCTTGTTGAACTGATCAGCAATATGGAATTTCTCTGGTCAATAAACTTGAGATTTATTTCTAAGAAGCCACTTTACTGGATCAATCTGGGCCTTTGCTCAGCTGGGAGACCTCAAGGACCTGTTGCCGAAATCCTTACAGAGAGGACGTTTCGGTTTTGACAAGTTTGCTAATATTCTCCACCAAACGGATATCACCTGGATCCAGGAAAATGGCTCATGCGCAGCTACCCCGGTTCTCAACTAAAGCAGGGCAGATGTCTGAAATATCGTAATGGCCAGTGAAGTTGAAACAGACGATACTTTCAAATTTGCGTTGAAAGTCCAATGGCTCGAAAACCTGTCGATTCAAGTTGTTGTTGGATCCTCAAGTCATTTATCAATGCCTGGAATCGAAGGTCCATCCACGCTCCCTACCTCTTCTATCATCTCCAGCCCGGCGACGAGGTGGTCTGTGGTCTGAAATAGGAGTGAGCTGTGGTGGTATCGGTTCTCGTTCACGTTGAATCTCCTTAATAAGTCGTCGGCGAGACCGTCGAATCCGGTCAGAGAGTTCCACAATCTCATCAATATCCGCCTATAGCGCAGCTAGGTCAGCACGAGAAACCAGATCCTTGGGTCTCAGAGAGCTATCCATACCGGCTGAAGGAATGAGAAGATGTAGTAATAAAGTCTCGTTTCTTCAAATTCATACCCAAGCCGCTCAATTGCTTCCCGAACGACCAAAGACTTGGTTATTTCGGTCCAGCACTCATTCCGTGGCTCCGATACTTTGGCAGCAATGTGACCTCTGTGCTCAATCTTTTCCAGAGAGTCACGAGGGGCAACCTCAACTACCTGAAGAGCCCCGCTCATTTCGATAGCATCATCCTTAGAAGGTGTGTGAATCACTGACCATTCATCTGTGTCCTTGAAAGCTTCGTCAACCAAAGAGCGAGAGCCAGACACTTCCTCTTGAACCTCTATCCTGTCATTCCCTACGCCAACTTCAAGATCGAGTTCACGTTTGGGGTGATCATTTTTGTGCAATACCACAGACTCCATCTCCACCTCCGGGAAGCCAAGTGGTAGGCCTCTGATTGGAGACGAAGGTTCCTCTTCAATATGTTCTTCGATTATAACATTGTCATTACTTCGTCTGATTTCGTGACTGCTAAAGTAAATGTGAGTTTCAGAAGAGAATGGAAAAGGAAAACAAAGTGGGGGTACTCACAGAGTTGCTTCATCTGCGCTAGAACTCGAAGAAACTTCGCATCTAGGAATATGGGGAGCTGAAATATCATCAGCAGGTAGCCCAGACTTAATGTTTGAATAATTTGACTTACTACGATGTGTAGTTAAATCGTGAAGGGGAGGTGCACGAATGGGTTGGAGTGATGATCGTCGTTTGTTGCGAAAGATGAACGTCTCCCTATCTGAGTCCTGGTGATTATGGCGTCGCTGAGCCCCACGCTGACCAATCTCTCTAGGTCCTTTGAACACGCGTTGAGATTTTGATTGCTGGGATCGGAGACTTGTCTCTTCATCGATCTCATCATCTCCTCCTTCTGTGAGCTCAGACTCTGATGATCTTTGACTAATTTCCTCGGCTGATGGTCGGTCTTTCCATTGCATCACGAGCTCCTCTTGTGATAACTTATCATCATGGAGTTTAAAAAGAGGCAGTCTATCTTTTCTCTCAGTAACAATAAGTTCGTCACGTTCATCTTCTCGCATGCGGGGCTTTCGCGAATGTCTTGATGACCTGTGAGAGACCTCATCATCCGCCTCAAACTCCGCCCTGTATGGCCTGAAATCCCCCTCACTATCATAGACACGAGATGTTCGACGACGCTGTCTACCATTAATGATAAGATTTTCATTTGATTCGCGTTCACGTTCACGAGGCCAGTATCTTCTACCGGGGCGCACTTCCTTCTCATCGATATCAAGCTCCATTTCAGATTCTCGGGGACGACGTCGTCTTTCTCCACGAGTCTCTTGTTTATCAATAATGAGATCTTCTTCAGCCTCAAGATGCTTTTTCTTACCAAGGCGAACCTCTCTCTCGCCAAAAACAGTATCTTCTTCAAAGTCATGAGAATACCGTCGCTCCCCACGATAGTCTATTTCATCAAGAACGGACTCCTCGTCAAGTGCCTGTGGCCGATAACTCCGCCGCGGTGGCCTTTCGCGTCCGTATACTTCTTCCTGCTCAAACTCTGGCAGTACCTCGTTCATTTTCTCTCTCGATCTTCTCACAACCCTATGTCCCCGATCTCTCGTCTCTCGTACAAGATCTCTGGCGGGTCGTTCTCGGATTCTCGAACGCTCCAACTCCTCCACAGGAGGCATTGATTGCCTGCGAAGATATTCTAGATCTTCTTTATATCTGCGATCCTTTCGTCTGGATCGGGTGTGACGATCACGATCGCGCTCACGTTCGAACTCAAAGCTCTCACCATCATAGTACTCGCGGGGTAACGTTCGACGAGGCATGTTGACTATGCAAGGTATTCAATCTACGGGGGTTCAAGATCTTTATCATTGGGAGACTGGACTTTGCGATAATCTCTCCAGGGCTATCTGTCTCAATTTGACTTGATTGCCTCGATACCGAACTCGTCGCAAAAGTACAGTGATGAGACAGAGCGTTTCGCCTATAATTATCTTGGACAGAAGCCGATAGGATACTTGGGAGGAGGTATGGTTTCATGTAAGGATATGAAGGGAGAGTATGCGAACTTAAAGAGGGCGCAGTACCCCGCGGCATGTATGCTGATGTCACCCACAGAAACTATGAGAGCGGCTAACTATCACTTAGTACTCCGCTCTGAGGCCTTGTTTTGGTCTGAACAGTATTTATTATTTACGGGTTGTCATTCATCCATTCTAATGGTTGTTTACTCTATAGATCGGCGATCCATGGATTAAGGCAAGTCTGAGATAGGTCGAACCATACATGGAGCTACATGAACCGTGGATCTCTCTCCCTGGTTGAAATTGACGTTTGATATAAACGTTGGGCCGATACTAATGTGATACATATTGGTACATTCTATTATTGACCACTGATATGTCCAGCAGCTATTGGAATGCTAGTCGCCTCTGTCCTTTCTCTGGCTTACCACGACCTCTCCGACCCCCTCTGCCACGAGTACTAGATCCTCTGGTGTTGCTGACCCCACGTTGCTGCTGCTGCTGCTGTTGGGCATACCTAACTTCTTGTTGGTCCTGAATTTGTAAGTCTTTGGCAAAATGCCAATCATCGTGCTCTTCTATGTCTAGCTCGGGTATAGATTTAGAGCATCGGGTGCAAGTGTAATAGGGTAATGCACCATTGTCCGATTCTTCAAAGGCACCAGCGAAGTCATTGGCCAAGGCTTCAGTTTGTTGTTCTGACTGTGGTTTTGTTTCTGACTGTGTCTGTGGGCTCTCTCCCGGTGCCTCCAAAATATCAGGTTGAAGTGGTTGTGAGAAGAAACGCTTGATGCCCTCATTAGTCTTCCTCTTTTTCTCTGGCTGTTCAGCCGGACCGTCACTATCGGTCTCACGAAGCCTTGGCGCATGGCTCAAGGATTTTGCCTGGTCGCCCCGGAGTAAGAATCCTTCAATCGCCCGATTTTTGCTTACGCCATCATCAAAGTTTCCAACACTGAGTGATAGGTTGGAACAGGGCCACGCGTTTCCATCGGCCACTACCTGACGAAGTAAAGATTGAGCAAGTTCATGTAATAAATTTTCGTCGATTGAATTCGAAGCAGGGATGGGCATTGAACGAGATCGAGCTTGGTGTTGCACGATCCGGTGGTGCAGAGTGATCACCTTAGGGCGACGTCTATTTTCAAGCACGCCATCCACTACTAGGCGACCGTGTATATCGGCTGCAAAGATCTGTAGCCACCTTTCTGCCTGATTCACCGAGTTGATACTCGGACGAAAGGACTTGGCAGAGAGCATGGACTTGATTTGCGTTCGAGGGTTGATTTCGCTTCTGTCTTCTCCCCTGATAATTCCATAAAGCCAAGTCGCTGTGTGATCATCGAGTTTGGCACGTAGCTGCTCGAGGGTCACATTGAGAAGATCACTGACTTGTTCAGTCCCAAATAACGAAGTGATTTGATCACCCAGTTTGCCTCCTAGCATCCGGATTTGGGTGAACTTGTAGCCACCCAGGAATTTTTGGATTGCTCGGGTCCGTACCACCGTCTGTTTGTCTGGTTTGTTGCAGGCACTTCCCAACTTTGCCATCATTTTGTTGCGAGCAACACCAGCAGAGCAGGTGTAGTGGAGTTTATCCCATACTGACTTCCTTATTGACCTGACTATCTCTGCCGCTACCAGCATGACAATATCATCCCAGTCGGGATCATCTTCTTCTCGTTCTGGAACTAGGTCTATCAGAAAATCTTCAGGTACCCATTCTAGGGCAGTGCTGGGTGGACAAGGAAGCTCGGCATCTCGGTTCTCATTATCAGCGATTGTTCGGAGTTCAGGGTATCTCTGCAGTAGAACACGGTAGACCAGCGGAGATAAATCAACAAAGACTTCGTCGATACCAGCTTTCTCCAGCCCAGCAGATATTCCTTGAGTAAGATGATTGATTTCCTCGTCTGAGTCATTCATGGACCACCGCTTCAACTCCTCCTTCATCGTCTGGATAATCTTTCGCGATTCAGCTCTGTACGGGTCCAGAGAAACCTTGTCGGTCATGATGTTTCTGAATGAATCATCACGATACGCCCACCGGCCGCCTTCCCCTTCTCTGAATGTTGCCACATGCTGCAGAATGATATGCGGACACAATTTGCGAGCTTCGGCACAATTCACCATTCTGGTGATTCCATAAGACCGGGCGGCGTAGTTGACCGCAATCAACGAATCCCACTGACGCACTGCGAGGGGCGCATCTCGAGGCGATCCCAGCCGCACCATCTCACATTGTGCGTAGAAGGCATCGAGGTCGATGTGTGCTATAGCGCGGAGAGGAGAGGTCGTTGAGCCTTGACGTAGCAGTTGGAACTGGCGGTAAGTGTAGCGGGAGCGTTTTACGGTATCTTGGAACTGTTTGAGTGGATCTGCAGATGACATGACAGCGTCATGGCGACTTGGGAAACCCTAAATGTAGGAAGCTGTTCGCGCCGATCTGGGGATATTCCTACATCCTAAAGTAGGTTAGCGCGAACACGTGGTCATTTTTGGAGCCTCAGGTTTCCAACCGAGATAATCAAATAAACAAACACCCCTGAATTACGGACTACACTGCTCCAGATAGATTAGGGGAACAAAAAAGATACCCCAATGCTAAGACTGACAGCACGAAAGAGAGGTGAAGATTTGAATCCACCTATATTCTCCTCAAATGTTCAACCATATACGCCGTAAGCAACCTCGGTACAAACCCCGGCCGAATTCCAAGGCAATCTAAGAGTCGTAGCAAATGGGCTCTTTTTCACAGGATCATGCAGGATCACACTGCAGGATCAGGGAGGTTTGAGACCACATAATACAAAACGAGATGTGTTCCAGCGGTAGCAGCCAATGGGAGTTGTTATGTGTGCCCAAAGCGTTCAAGCCCATTTCTGCCCAACTCTGTTGGCCAGGTGGCAACGGTCGCAGCCCTTACCTCTTTTCAGTAGGAGATCCCTTGTTTATCCTGCTCACGAGTTCATGTCAGGAATCAGGATATCCAAAAGTTTATATTTGAAGTACATAGTAGTACATCGAGGGTGGTTCAAATCCATAATTCAACCACCTAGGTATAGTCGGTACCCAAATAAAGTATCACGCATACTCCATCTACTCCGTACTTCGTGCCGTGATTTGGGCATTAGAGTATAAATTGGTGGAGTTTGAACACCTTAAGGGCACAGACTAAGTAGCAATCCAAGCTGGGAAAGATTCTTCCAAGGTTCATGGGGGATCTACTCCGTACCCCTACTCCGTACCCTCCATATCAAAAAATGAAAGTGGCAATTTAAAGAACTAGGGTTTATAGTTCTTCGGGCTTTCACTAGCTCCTTTCTTGTTCCTTTTTTCGCCTCTTAAACAGGGCTGGGTTTTCGCTATGAGCGGCTACAGGCAGGGAACATCGTAGTACAGTAATGTTGTTCTTTTTTTTTCCCCAATTTTTCCCAATTTTTCTACTTTTTTTCCTCTGATTTTTTACCCCCAACTAAGCCTGATTCGACCGTGCATGCTGTTTTGGCCTTGATAGTGGAGTAGTCGTGGCACCAGCCCAAGAGGACGGCCCAATTTCGCCCTGCCCACTTTACTAAGGCTATTTCGCCCCCCTTCTCTCTTCCCTTTCTTCCTCTTCAAACTTCTTAGCTTTGGAAGTTTTTTCTCTCTTCTCTCAACTCACAACTGGATAACTATTAGGACTCAACCTAAAGACCTCTTTCCCCGGAGGATCTCGCTTCCCTTACACCCTTGAACGCTTATTCTCCTCCCTTCTGAACTCTCGCCGTGCAAAGACTTGATTCTGTCTCACGGTTTCTCACGGTCTGCTCGAAACTCTTAAGGATTATCTTTTGCCGGAATCTACAAAGGAACCATTTAGGATTTTCCCGGATTATTGAATTCCCACCTGGAACGGACATCATTTTCTTTCTTTTTTTGCTATTCCGACCGGATTGCTTTTTTGTGGCCACTTTTTCCTTGGACTGTTCGAGTCTTCTTTCTCCCAAGGACTCGAAATTACTCAGACGTATCGACATTGGACCCTTTGTCGATTAGAAACCACAGAAAATTATACATTCCCAATATAACGGACACATCACAACATCTTTCCACGGATTTCTCTGCCCCGGATTTTCTTTTCTTGTTTGGCCTTGAGGATCTTCTAAAAACGATCTCGCATCCCTTCCTTCAGGACACATAATGACAGGCCGTCAAAATGAATACTTCATCCCCGGTGATGGAATTAGCCGGGAGGTCATTCAAGCAGATATCTGTCGTTACCTCGGAAATGATGCTCTTGTGAGACCCGGCAACCACAATGTCCGTCCCTTCTATGCTTTTTTTTTTTTCTTCTTTTTTTTCTCTTTTCTATTCGGAGCGAATTAACTGACCATCCACAGGGTCGCCCAGGGTTCTTCATCCGAGCTTATCGGAATCTCACCTCAGTAAGTGAAATGAACTATTAAAAACTACCGGACCAGCCGAACGACAGGACCCCCCTCTAACTAAATATCTTATTCGGAACAGGAGATGATTGCTGATTTGAAGAATGACTCCTCTCGCTGGGAAGCAGACGTCTCCCGTCGGGCTGACCTAGGCCATCCTAGAGGAAGTTACTCTCAAGATGCTCCTAACCCTGTGTCATCGAGCTATGCCCCAGCTCCCATCCATGAGGTTCGCCATGAGGTTCGCCAACAACCGGGGCCTTCCCCTCCTACTTTCAGTGCTGCTCCGGTACAATATATGGACGGCGGCTACGCTCACTCCCAAAGCCCATATGGAGGATCCCAAAATAATCCCTACAACCAACCTCCTGTCTCTTACCCCACATCTCACTCGCCATATGGAAATGTCTCAGCCCCTTACCCTCCTCCTCAAGTCTCCTACTCTGGTCCCTCTCAACCCATTGTAACGGCAGCTGACATCCACCCTTCATCATACACATACTCCACCACTGGCTATGGTTACGAGGGCGGCCGAAATGCCCCCAGGTACCCGGGACCCGGTTATGATAATGAAGCGGATTACCCTCCCCAGACCAGCGGGATGACTTATCCTCCCACTACTGCCCCAGATCCCCGGATAGGAATGGAGCCAAGATATACTCCGGAATTTGAGCGCAGTAGGCCCCAACCTACCAGAGAAAGAGAGCCTCACCGTCGGCGGTAAATTAAAGATTGACCCCATAAGTTGACTTCTGCCAAGCATGATGAATTTTCTTCTTCCTACTATGGCCCAGTGGATGAAATCCCCCGGCTTTATCCCCTTGGTATATGATTAAAAAAAAATTAAGTCTCCTGAGAAACCATGATGTCGACGACCACAGCTTCTTTCTCCTGAACACGAACTTCACTTTCACCTTTTACCTCACTTGTCAGACATATCTCCTCCCTTGGATCTCATACCTGAGGCCCTTTGGTTCCCTGGAAATACTAGGAGAATGTCCATATGGAACCTCAAAATATCGAGTACGTGAGACCTAATTGGGTCCAATCTTTTGCACAATCCATTGGACTGAATACCATTTTCCTTTGCCAATGGACCGGATTCCCACTGGAAAACATTCACCACCGCCCAAGTCCGTGACTCCGAGTATCTGGATATGGGCAGCATCCTCTAATTGCCCTGCACTATCATGCAGATGACCAGATAGGAGAGTGTAGGAGCATTATGCGGTGAACCGGGGTTTATATGGTGCTTGGTTTTGGGATTTGCACTTTTATATTTTTTGCACTTCTATATTTATCTGTCTGCCTTAATTATTTTGCCGGATACCTACTCGACTTGGGAACTTCGTGCTTCTTGCGAGTGACGTTTTTTTTTCCTCTTTCTCTTTTTCAACGGTGTACAGGATTTGTTTGCTTTAGCAATGTTTGGAGCACATTTCTTCGAGCTGTCCTAGGTTGGACATGCTCGTGTTTGTGTTTATTTTGAAATGGGCCCTGGAGACGGGCGAGACGAGATGAGACTGCTTTGATAAGCGACGCTGATGAACAACATGTAGATATGAGCATTTATCGGCGTTTTTCATTCCGAGACGTTTTGATGTTGATCAATTGATTGGTTTATGACCTGGAAGTCTCATGATTCCCTTCTAATCTCTACTGTAAGCGCCTTGGGCATGCATCAGCCGTTAGATTAAGAAGTCACCTGGGCAGCAGCTGCCCTACGTGGAGTCAACCCTACGGGCTTATCCAGTGGGACGCAGCTCATTCCAAGTCTACAGGTGATTATTCAATGTCGAAACCAAGATGAACTGTATAACAAACATGTTGGCTACATATAGAGGGATTTCTACAAATCCAGTTTTCTCTCTTATTCACCTCTTTTAAGGCCGGATTTTGGTCCTCACAGAAAGCCAGTCTTCACACTATTTTCAGTTAGTAATAGTTCAAAAAACTAGAATTCAATGTTAGGACAGCTCACCAAAATAGCAAAAACAAAAACATAACAGTCAGGGTTCGCATATGGTCACCATGCTACTACTGACCGGCGTGTGGCTTAAGGGGAGTCCTGTTCTCCACACCAAGTGGTCGCATGTACTATATACTTCTAAATTTGGGATTTTAAAGAGAAACAAAAAAGGGCCATAAATTGAGAAATGAATGAGACGCAATGGTCTGCTAGCTGCGCTACAATAAGACTAAATTGGCCATCGCTGCGCTCCATCAAGCTAAGTAGGCATAACCTCAACTTATTTACCTGGATGCGGGAGCTTAGGTTAGATGGTATGTCGGCAGCAGGGGAAATGGTTACGGCGTTACATTGACCTTTGAATTATATTTGGATCTTTGATTTTGAATCTCACCCAAGCATATTTATAAATTTTACAGGTTGTGGTGGTTAAACTTGGCTTTGAAAAAGAATTGATAAATATTTTGCATTTGGTGGACTTAACGTTATAACATACATATTTTGTCAGAAGATGAATAATATGGAATTTACGAAGAAGTCTGAATCTGGCCCCCTCATATAGACAATATTTACAGAATTCAATGCTTGTAACCCTTGCCAGGAACATATCGGGCTGTGAACTTCCACTCGCCGTATACGAACACAACACATTTGACGACCCAGATCATCCAGACCAGGATGCAGATATTGAATCCAGCTTGAACATTGCGGATGATATCATAAGCAATAGTGTCAGAGAAGGATGAAGAGGAAACATATATGCACTCGGAGACTGCGGAGCGGAGAGAACCGAGAGAACTAGAGAGAAGAATGTCCGCAGAGTAACATTAACCAGCACAGTTTGGTGGTTATGAGTGCTTTCACCACTTAGGGTGCCTTGTAAGCCCCGTTTCATCACCAATTAATTAAAGAAAGAGAATAAAATATACGTGGTTTGCTTAATAAAACGCCGAACAAGTTTAATCATACCAGAACGAGTCTTCCTCCTCGTCATCCTCTTCATCAACATCAGAAGACTGCATCATCTCCACACTCTTAGTGGAATCTACCACTGCATTGTAGATGTCATCCGCAATGGTCAAGCTGGATCCAATATCTGCATCCTGGTCTGGATGATCTGGGTCGTCAAATGTGTTGTGTTCGTATACGAGTGGAAGTTCACAGCCCGATATGTTCCTGGCAAGGGTTACAAGCATTGACTTGCGTAAATATGGTCCAGGTGAGGACCAGAAATCCCTTTCAGCTTCGACCTTCTTCGTAAATTCCATATTATCCATATTCTGACAAAAGATGTAAGTATAGAAAGCGCTTTGCGGGACGGGCTTCGGTCAAGAACATTAGCTCCTTTCCATCCAGATCCTATAAATGTTAGGTGCTTCATATATAATAGGTTTGATTAAAATACTTATGTTCCATTTGCAACATGTTAGCGGGAACCCATCCCTAAAGGATATCTGGTTTCGAGAATTTTCGTCCACTTCCAGCGGGAAAGGTTGCAAGTCTCACTCTCGTCATCGAAAATAGGCACAATGTAGGAAAGAATAATAAGAAAAACGATGAATTTGAATCATGAATGTGTGAATCGAAAAAGATGATGGTTCGAAGTGGAAAGAAGTATAGTAGAGGGAAGGCCTAGTCCTTATTCGGTCAGTTTATTTCCAAGACTGGTCCTTCTATCTTTTAGGATTCCCCAAGCTGTCATTATTCACGGCTAAGAAGATCTGGGTCCCAATATGATACTAATCAGCTTATAAATGGCATAACTCAAGTGGGTGATCGAGCGCTTTTTCGTGAAGAAGTTGATATAGTTCCCCAAGATTTAATCTCTGTTTCTGATATAAAAATTACATCCTCCTGTTTCATAATTCATGAAAAATATTATTTGACTATGGCACAGTTGGGAAATAGTCTTGAATTAAGATGATTCGTCACTATATGATCTGGAAAATGTGACGAAGTCAGACCGGAAGACACGTGATCCCGATGCGAGCGCCTCCAATGTAAACAGTAGAATAAGTCGCCTGGTTTATTAGGGGTACTTGCGACTTCTTACACTCAAAGTTCCAAGTCTGTGCTCAACTTGTCTTCAGATGCCCTGCAAGTGAGGTGCACTTATACATATCGAACACAGGAAAGCGACTCAGTCGGTTATATATGATCTCTTAAAACATAGAACATACACGGCAGCGCAATAATCTCGAAATCCAACAGCTCCGAGACCATACACGCAAACGAGATTGGTATCAAAACGCCTCTTCATGGAGATGGAAAGCTTTTATTCAACATGCATTGCTCGAATCATGCTGTGAATCCCAGTTGTGCAGGCCTTCCACTTTCTCAACAATTCCATCGAGCCCCATTCTACTCCAAGACTGAAAAGACAAGCAGTCGCACTCGAAAATTGTTCCCTTTGGTCCTCTTACTCGTCGTCGTAGCCCTGAGGGATCACCCGCGGACCAGTCGGAACTATGCGCATTAGAAATCATGATTAGTCTAGAATCCTGGAGGCACTGATACGCGATTAAATTCAATTAGAAGGTCATTCTTACTAGGATATGTGAGGGGAATAGGCTCCGGATCAACATCGCCGAGGGCCCGGCGGATCGGGGGCAGACTGAACAGCGCAACGGGACCCATGCCACCGATAATCAGAGAGTAGAGAATTGCAGGCTTCTCGTGAGAGGCCCAGCGAATGTAACGGAGGGGAGTGGACCAGAATTGAGGGGAGGACATGGTGACGAGATGCGGTCGGGCGACGACGGTGGAACGAAGAGTTTGCGACTGCGGAGCGGATTCAACGTCCGAAAAGCAGTATATGACAATCCAAGAAAGAATGGATTGGAAACGAATACAGTCGCTCAGTGGCTGAGTAGGTTGTGGTGAGATTGAAGCGGGATCAAAATCGAGCGTGGGGAAAGAAGTGAAGTTGGATGTTCGGAGATGCGCAGACTCCAAGTCTTGGCACTGGCCCATTAAACACGTCGCCCTTTCTAGTGATCTATATACAACTTTCAGTTCTTTCAACACACCACCCTTCCCTTCTTTTTCTAACTGAACTAACCTGGTCACCATCCCGCTGAGCGGAATTATTCCAAAATGCGGTGGTGCCTTGCGTTGCTTCTCTGCAGCTTCTTGGCCGCGGTAAATGCTCTGAGTAGCTCTGGTAGCCGTTTGTTGGTAGTTTTGGACGAGAGCGAGAAGAGCCCTTACTCAACCCTGTGGGCGGATTTGGAAGGTAATTGCTTCTTGTCCAATGCCGAATACATTTAAATTTATATACTGACTCTCATTAGCTCGAGGATACGACCTGACATTTGAAGGACCCAAGAGCGACAAGCTGTCCCTCTTCCAACATGGTGAAAGAGCTTACGACCATCTCCTGGTTCTACCACCGAAGTCAAAAGGTGGGCAGCACTTATTTTAACTTCATTAGATATCAATTGACCACATTCAAAAGGACTCGGCCCCTCCCTCACCCCGAAACACATCCTAGATTTCCTTGACAAGGACGGCAACATTCTCCTCGCCCTCTCTGGCAAGTCTGCGACCTCCAGCTCTATCAGCTCCCTCCTCCTCGAAGTCGATGTTCACCTCTTGAATGATCGTTCCGCTGTCGTTATCGACCATTTCAACTACGATACTCTCTCAGCCGCTGAGAAGCATGATGTCCTTCTTCTTCAGCGTCCGGGACCACTGCGTTCTGACGTCAAGTCCTTTTTCGATGGCGAGGGTGTTCTTGCTCTTCCTCGAGTAGCTCCCCAGACCTTGTCCAGCGACAGTCCTTTGCTTGCGCCCATTCTGCGAGCTCCTGCCACTGCCTATTCCTATAACCCTAAAAATGAGATCCCATCAGCCGACGAGATCGAGTCGACTGGTTCCCAGCTGAACATTGTGTCGGCTATGCAGTCCCGTAACTCTGCTCGCTTCGTTGTCCTAGGATCTGTGGAATCACTAGAGGATAAGTGGTTCGAGGCTTCTGTCAAGGCCCCCAACGGCAAGAAGACTCCCACCGTGAATCGCGAGTTCGCCAAGCAATTGACCGCATGGGCTTTCAAGGAGACCGGTGTCTTGAAGGTTGGAACTATCGAACACCACCTGGCCACTGATGGCGAGGTTTCTGCCGAAGATTTGAACCCCAAGATCTACCGTATCAAGAACGAGACGGTATGTAGTTTAAACCATCCATTGCTTACTCTTTACCAAATTAATTCCTTTTCTCATAATACAGGTCTTCAACATCGAGATCTCCGAGTACGTCTATGACAAGTGGGTTCCCTTCGAGATCTCTGGTGATGATGAGCTGCAGCTGGAATTCAGCATGCTGTCGCCCTTCCACCGTCTGGCCCTCCAGCCGAGCCGCCAGACCGAGACTAGCCAGGTGTACAGCGCCCAATTTATCGTCCCGGACCAGCATGGAATCTTTTCCTTCCGTGTCAACTTCAAGCGACCCTTCCTCACTAACATTGAGGAGAAGCACGAGGTGACCGTGCGCCATTTTGCTCACGACGAGTACCCGCGCAGCTGGGCCATCAGCGGTGGCTGGGTCTGGATCGCCGGACTCTGGTCGGTCATTGGAGGGTTTCTGGCATTTGTCGTTGTCTGGTTGTACTCAGCCCCTGTGGTTGATAAGACCAAGAAGACGCAGTAGTCCAATTATACTACATGGACTTTTTTGTTGTCATTACCCTTGAATATCTCCACATATAAAATCAAGATGTTCTCTACATAGTTAGCGTATAAATGCCATGCCATACACCATGTACTACTCTGCTGTATAGGAAGGACTTTATTGCGTAGGAATGGAGATCACGCCACCTGGGCAATAGTCAAACAAAACTCCATTCCATGCCAGCGTATGTTAATCAGGTATCCTACATCGAATAAAAATACAAGAAGCCGTTCAATTGACAATGCTCACAGTCCACGAGTCTTCTCAGGGTCCATTTGAACCTCGTCACCACTGATTTCCTTCACGGAATTATACGCAGGCCGTCCAGCATACAGTTGGTCCGACTTGCCAGTCTTATTGTTTTCATCCTGCTTCGACAAAGCAATGGACTGGTTTCCACGGAACCGCTTGCGCATATCGATCATTCCACGTCTATCAATAGGCACCCATATTAGCCATTATTTCCATTTCCTGTCATTCGGCATGGACCAAATGACTATGACTTATAGTCGACTCACTTGCACTCGCTGAAACCCTTACTCAGCTGCTGACACTTTGTAGGCAGCTGCTCGGCGAGAGGAGAGCTCAGGCATTCACGCGGCGAGTGCCGCTGGACCATGATGCAGTCAGACTCCTGCAGGCATTGGGCCAGTGCCTGTCCTTCGATACTGTCAGCTGCTATTAGGGGCAATTGGGGGGTTCGAAGTCGCCTTAGAGCACATGTGGGGGGAAGTATCACAGGTTTTTTCGGCGAGACTTACTGATCTCGTTACATGAGCTGGGCATTGTTGGCTTTGGAGATCAATCAACAACGCTGCTGACTCTCTTGCGGCAAATTCGGGCGCATCATTCCACTTGTTGTTGATTGGTTGACCCCGGATGAGGTAAGCGGGTCTCCCTTCACGGTGACGTCGAGAGCTTTGACTTGATCTGTTTCTTTTTCTGTTTTACCGTCAGTTACCAATTACAAGAGTACCCTGATACAGCTTACTGAATCTTACTTGAGACTTGCATAATCGTATACATGGTTGTTCCATTTATCGGGAGGTTATTCTGGTATGCTTGGATCCATATAAGACCCCTTATCAAACTCATAAAGTGATCTAATTTCATCCTTCCAGGTATGAATACCTTGCGCTTTTTGGCTCTCTAGTCTTAGTACTTCTTGAGACTATCATTCATCTAATTACGTCTTGTCTTCGTGAGTTGATAATACCGAGCTTTCATAGGGATATGTTAACTGATATACAAACTAGCTTCGCCTATCATCCAGTTCTGTTACCGCCAATCAAAGGCCCTTTTCACTATTTTCCTTCCATTTGAGTCGCGTGATAATCGGACTAAAGAGGAAATCTTCGCTGCTTCTGTAGCCCAAGCTTCGGACTTTACTGAGATATGCGCCTTGTTTGGATACGAGGCAGAGGAGCATATCGTACAGACCACTGATGGGTATCTACTTGGACTTCACCGGTTGGCGTACCGCAAAGGTGAAGAAAAAGTGCGAGTGAACCAAGGAGCTGGGGGTATCACTAAGAAAGTTGTTTATCTCCATCATGGTCTGCTCATGTCCAGTGAAGTATGGGTTGCCTTGACCGATGAACAACGGTGTCTGCCATTCCAGCTAGTCGAGAAAGGCTATGATGTCTGGCTGGGTAACAACCGTGGCAACAAGTACGCAAAGAAATCCATCCAGCACTCGCCAGGTTCGAACGAGTTCTGGGACTTCTCTATCGATCAATTTGCCTTCCATGACATTCCCAATAGCATAGAGTACATACTGGGAGTGACAGACCAGCCATCGCTTTCATATATTGGGTTCTCCCAGGGAACTGCACAAGCATTCGCTACTCTCTCTATACACCCATTGCTGAACCAAAAGGTCGATGTTTTTGTCGCTTTGGCACCCGCAATGGCCCCCTCTGGCCTTCGTAATCGCATTGTTGATTCCCTCGTCAAAGCATCTCCAGATTTCCTCTTCCTTCTTTTCGGTCGACGCAGCATTCTATCATCAACCACAATGTGGCAGACTATTCTCTACCCGCCTATCTTCGTGCGCCTGATTGATACTGCATTAACCAAACTTTTCAACTGGCGCTGTCGCAACATCAGCCACACACAGAAGCTAGCTGCTTACATGCACCTTTTCTCATTTACAAGTACAAAGTGCGTCGTACACTGGTTTCAAATAATTCGCAATAAAAACTTCCAATTCTACGACGATGAGCTTTATGCCCCGTTTAGCATTGCCGCCAGCGAACGGTTCTACAAGCCAGTTAAATACCCTACCCGAATTATCAAGACACCTATTGTCCTGCTGTACGGCGACTGCGATAGTCTGGTTGACATCAATGTCATGCTGCAAGCTTTACCGAGAAATACGGTCGCCAAGCGGATTCCAACTTATGAGCACCTTGACTTCTTGTGGGCTGCAGATGTTGACCGCCAGGTTTTCGGCCATGTGTTTGAGGCTCTTGAGACTTATGGTCCGAAGAGCCCTGCAGCTGATGAGCAGTCCCCTTCTCGCCCATCCATCAGTACTCATGCTTCTAATAGCTCTTTACCGAGGCAGCATTGCAACACTCATAATGATCTAGTCAATGGAGTGCATTAAGGCTAGGTTGTACCATTTTTTATCGTTATTTAGAGTTTCATATTGCAGTATTACACTGCATACCCATCACATACGCACTAAGCTTGAGTTATTGGTATACAGGGGCCAACACTACGGGCTGTGGCTGTGCCTAACTATGTCAACAATAGATTGAATATGAATGTAATTTCTATCATCACATACCCCTAAGATCTAGTCCGTGGTAAAACTGTAGAATGGCCAAGTTGCAGAACGATCAAGCCATGAAAGCACCACCAGAAACTGAGAACGTCTGTCCAGTCAGCCACTGCGAATCAGGACTAGCAATCAAAGATGCAACACCCGACACGTCTTCCGGAACGCCAACTCGATTTAGAGGTGACCACTTGGACAGCATGGTCTCAATCTGCTCGTTGGTCATATCACGACCACCAGGAACATACTCTTTTGCCATTTCGTCATACATGTCGGTCTTAACGCCAGCCGCAGCGATGCAGTTGACAGTGATGTTTCGTGAGCCAAAGTCGACAGCAAGACACTTGGTCATACCCATAACAGCAGCTTTAGAGGCAGCATAAACAGCATGACGAGGAACACCCTGAATACACGCAGTAAGCAGTGCGAAATCATGAAGTAAGTAAGGTATATCATCTCACCTTAATAGCCGAGATAGACGAAGTCAACATCACACGACCAAAATCCGCCATATACTTATAAGCCTGTTGAGCGACAAAATACTGGCCCTTAACATTGATTGCAAAGACACGATCCATATCCGCACCCGTGACCTCGAGAACATCGCCGAAGTATTCGATGCCGGAATTACTCACGGCAATATCCAGCCGGCCGAACTCATTCATGAGCGTCGTGAACATGGCAGCTACCTCTTCTTCCTGTGAGACGTTGGCTTTGATCGCTATGGATCGCACTCCTAAAGCTTTAATCTTTGCAACTGTCGCCTCTGCTTCGGCTGTTGCGGATACGTAGTTGATTGCTACATCTGCGCCTTGCTGTGCAAATTTCAGAGCGATTGCTGCGCCGATTCCTCGGCTACCACCAGTCACTGTATGATATTAACAGTTTAGAATAATGTTAGGGTTTAATGGTGCTTCGTACCGATTGCAACTTTCCCAGCGAGAATTTTGTTAGACATGGCGAAGGTGTGAATGGAAAAGAATGTAGTCATCTATCTTTCTCCAGGGAGGGGTTAGTCTTATATCCGTATATTACCCCTCATTCTTCGTGTCGACTCAGAGAATCGTGCATATGTATGATATGTTATCTTTTTTATACTCCGTTTGAGTGGTCCATTTACGGTTGTTGCGTTAGGGCAAGACCCACTCGGGTCGCCCCGCAAGTGGTGAGCCATTCGGGAGTCAAGGAAAGCGAGATCTTGGAAAACTGCCAACAGAGCTAACTCTAGACTTGTATTCTATTTATAACCAATCTGGGCGTAAGGTTACTAGGTAGACTGGTCCACGTGCTGAGTATAGAGAGTAGCTGAGTATCAAGTCCAGAAATCCATCTAATACTAATAGTGGAAGAACATCAGTATTACCCAGGTGGTTGAGAGTTGTAGCAATGCAGTGAGAGTGTTGAGGAAGGTGAGTTTTACCTGGTGCAATAGTCTTTCTTATACACCCCTGGCCCGGAGAAGCGACTTTATGAAACATTCACCCAGGTGAAGTAAATCTTGGAGTGAGGTGAATCTAGGTAGTGAGTTGATCTCAGGCAAGACTACAGAGCGAACTTGATGATAGGGTTGATCAATTGAATATTAAAATTGATATGCGATAAGAAATTGATAGTTGCTGAATATTTTTCATCTGAGCCAAACCCCAGAACCTACCCAGCGAAAATAATATAAAAAAAAAGCAAAAGTTAAACGCCATTCCGCCACGTAAGGAGTAAACGTTCGAATTCCGTCAAGAAAGAGATACGGTAACATCGTTTTGTGAGAAGCTAAGAGTGAAGAAATGAAAGGGTGTAGGGAATGACGGTTTACTCGTCTCCAAAGTCAACTCCGTCCATGGGACTGTCGTAATTGGCGTTGTTGAAGGTGAGCTTCAACTTCTGCTGGCTAGGAGTACCGACAGTCATAGGTGTATCAGCACCGGTTAACTGGCCCTCAAAATTGGCAAACTGGGGGTGATCCTCAGTCAAGTGGCGCAATTCTGTAACACATTTATTCTGTACAAAAGTTAGTATCAATTAATGAAGAAGAGAAAAAAGGAGAGTAGCTTACCTCGATGTCATTGGCATCCTGAAATAGAATACTGCCATCCTCGTTGTAGGTTCTGGCATTCTGGCAAAGCAGATGGATATCGTCACGGAATTCTTTCAGACCCTGATAATCATCACGTCGGATCTTCTTCTCGATTGTCTCAACTGCAATGGGGTTCGTAATGAACTGGTAGTAATCGGGATATTGGGAGCGAGGCGGGGGCTTCATGAAAGGCTCAATGATGGCACGAACAAGCGGGCCTTCTTCGCTATCAGAACCTTCAGCCGGAATTTCCTGCTCCATATCCTTCAAGGACTGCATCACGCTATTGAGAATGCTGTTCAACGTAGCACGATCAGCGCCAGACAAAGTGTCTGGAATCTTCGGCTGGCGACCTCTCTTGCGCTTAGGCTGTGGGTTTTCTTCGTTGATCTCTTCGGCCTTGCGCTTAGGCGCAGGACCACGGCGACGCTTCCGCTGGGGGGTCTCGGCTTCTTCAATCGATGGGTCCGGTGAAGATTCAGGGGCGCCTGAGACCCGCTTCTTCTTGCGCTCCTTGTTGGCTGCCCGGTCGGCCGTACGACGCTCATTATTCTCGATGACTTGTTCCAGAGTGAGCTTGCCTTCTTCGAGACCTTCCATGGCATCTAAGAACTGTTGCTCAGACAGGCCGTCATCGTATCTGGTGACCTTTCGTTCACGAGCTCCACGGCCATAAACCTCAGCCTCGACATCCTCAGTGATGGGGTTATCTTCCTGCATGTAGATATCTGGAAGCTCTTCTTCGCACATGAGTCGAGGGAAACGGCGACCAGGACCGTATTTGTCATTCGCGATCCGCTCTTTGTCCATTTGCTGGAAGACACTAATTTCAGCTTCAGAACGAGCCATGATTTCATTTAGTTCGTCATCGTCCATTTCCTCTTGGTCTCCAGCTGCTTCGGCATCTTCTGCAGTCTCCAGTAGTGTTCGTAAAAGAGCGTCTCGTTCCTCGTTGGTGGATTTGTTGTCGAACTTTCCGGCTTGGATGACCTTGCCGTCCATATCAAGCTTGAATTGCGCACGTTCCAAGATCTTCTCCTCGACAGAGTTGGAACTGATCAGTCGCAAAATACGGACCTCATTCTTCTGACCGATACGGTGAGCACGATCCTGGGCTTGCAAATCCTGGTGAGGATTCCAATCGGAATCGTAAATGATGACGGTATCAGCGGTCTGCAAGTTCAAACCAAGACCACCAGCACGGGTGGAAAGCAAAAAGCAGAAGTAATCTGAACCAGGTTCATTGAAAACTTTCAAAAGGTCTGATCGATCATCTGACTTAGTGGAACCATCAAGACGGAGGTACTTGAGGCCTCGCATACGGAGGAAATCCTCCATTATGTTCATGATCTGGGTCATTTGGAAGAACATCAAGACACGGTGACCAGTAGCACGGAACTTGGGCAAAATGCGATCAAGCAATTCAAACTTTCCAGCTGTTCGCCAAAGCAAGTCGTTGGTCATACGACTAGGATTCATTTGATCTTCAACAGGCTCGAAGACGAAGGGGTGGTTGCAAAGCTTTCGCAGCTGCATCAACATGTTGCTGAGACCTCTCATACCAGTCTTACCGCCCTTGCCATCGCTGACAGCCAACCTGTTGTGAGTCATGAGCTGCTTGTACAATTTAGTCTGCAAAGCAGAGAAACGACACTTGACGACACGCTCTTGCTTGTCAGGGAGATCCTTCTCGACATCCTTCTTGAGACGACGAAGCAAGAACGGACGAAGAACCTTGTGAAGACGACGAATGACCAGAAGCTGTTCTTCTTCACTCAGATCCATTCGATCTTGACCACCGGTGTTGGCGAACGGAGTGTTGAACCACTCATCGAAAGACTTCACGGACTTGAAAATGTTGGGCAGAACAAAGTTCAGAAGAGCCCACAGTTCAGGGAGGTTGTTTTGAAGAGGAGTACCAGTCAAGATCAAACGGTAACGGCTGACGTAGTACTGCGACAACGCATTACTGAGCTTTGACTGGGCATTCTTCATACGGTGACCTTCATCAACAATCATGTGAGTCCACTTGATCTTGCCAAGAAGAGGTCGATCTTTAATGATATACTCATAAGTCGTCAAAAGAACCTGGAAATTGCCCCAGCGGATCTGCTGCTGCTGCTGTTTTCGAGCGTTGGGTGGACCCTTGTAAACAATCTTGCGAACAGACGGTGCCCATTTGTCAAACTCGAGGTGCCAGTTGGTCAATGTACTGAGGGGCACGATAACCAGGAAGGGCCCGTTGTTATGCTTCTTCTCAATGATGTGGGTAATCAAACTGATAGTCTGAATGGTCTTACCGAGACCCATCTCATCTGCCAAGATACCGTTGAGATTGTTATTGTAGAGGGAAATCATCCATTGCAGACCCTTCAGCTGGTACTCCTTCAGAGTTCCGCCGACAAGAATTGAGGGCTGTTCGGTAACCTCCTCCTGGATACGATGAGCAACAGCATAGTAGTCAATTTTCTTCTTTCCAGAGGTAGCTTCCGAACCATCACCCTCATCGTCACTGTCCGCAATCTCAGGTTCCTCTTCTTCGATCTCGTCACTTTCGCCATAACGCTCAGCCTGGTTGCGCTGTTGCTTTCTAACAGACATTGCCAGCTCCTTCAAAAATTTGTCGGTTTGCCTGAGCAAGTGCGAGATACGTGAATCCTTGGCCTGGTCCAAAAGCTTCAGGTATGTAACCTCGTCATTGGCCTTCAAAGCCTGGAGACGTTGCTTAGCATTGCGTTCCTTGCGTCGCACCTCTTCACGCTCGATATGTTGGTGATGTTGAAGCACCATGCGACCGAGCTTCTGAACGCGAACGGTATTCATGAGGGCCGCATTCTTGAGCTCGGCACCATGATTGAGGATGGCCTGAAGTTGGTCGTACTGCTTCTTCTTCTCACGCGTCTCACGAGCATCCCGCTGTTGTTTCTCGAGGCTCTCCGTAACACGTGCCTCTCGTACATGCGGTTTCTTCATGCGACGATGGTTAGAAGTAACCACTCTTGTGTTATACTGGGACATTTGACCAAGTATGCTGCCTCTGAATTTTTGTTGCATTGGCATCAAACGCAGCTTTCGGCGCTGGATCTCAATACTAAGCTTCAACGAGTCATCGCGCGTGGGTGCATCGCTTTTGCTGGCATCCCAGACGCCAATGTTGGCTGAAAGCTCATCTAGCCGCTTCTTGTCGGCCTCTGTGCGCTGATACAACACAATCTGGCGTTGATCATGAAGTTGTTGCGCGTCGACGCCATAGGGCCGCAAGGCTGGATACTGAGAGCGGTTTTTGCGGACACGGTGCTTCAACAGACTAATTTTGTCGTGGAGCTGGGGTAGTTCCAAATGCTCGTAGTGGTCCTTGGATGGGACAGTGTTTTCACTGCCGTTGGTGGGTTCAATGGACGCTTTTTCGGCATTTTCAACGATTTCTTCTGCAGCGGAGACGATCTCCGAGGGTGTCGGGGTCACAGCAGCCTTGAGAACCTCATGTTTCCGTAGGTGTTCAGGAGTGATAGGAATGCATTTAGCAGCCATGTTAGCCATTAAAAATTGATGTTCAAACAATTTAAACTGCGCCTCAGACATGGTTCCGCTGGAGACTGGGGTAGTGCGAGTCTGAGCTTGGGCGGCACCAGTAGACGATGAGGATACAGAGCGGCCTATTTTGAATTAACTTTCAGTCGTGAGCCCTAAAATAGCGACAGAATGTAGAAAGCTTACCATGAGCACCATTGGTGGCGGCCGCACTGGCTGAAGTACCATTCAAATTTTGCCGTTGAGCAATTTGCTGTTTGCGAATAGTCTGTTGATTCCGAAGGTAGCTGAGAATTTGGCCGATTCTGTTAAATTCAGCGAACTCGGGGTCGTCAGGGCCAACACCTTGTGCTTGCAAAGCTTTGAATCGCTGCAGTATTGTTATTAAGATTGACATGTAAGAGAAATAAATGAGATGTATAGTAGAAAGGATATGATTAACATGGTGTTGGAAGTGGAAGTGGAAGTGAAAATGGATGAGTTGGTGCTGTCTACTGATGGCACCAAGGGGAATGTAGTCTTACTCTAGCCATGTTTTGGATTCTCTGAGGATCCAAATTCTTCATGCTCCCCAGGTTTGGAACCTGTACAGCGCCAGGCGCCGCATTAGGCGCCGATTGCAGCGAAGCCATATTGAAGCGCGTCGACGGTTCAATTCATAAGTCGAAATGACAAGTCTTGGGTGTTAACCGCAGTGATCGCGACAGAAGGTGGACCAAAAAATGAATGCGCTCCACCTGGATATTACCGATCGCGTGCTGATATAAAAGGGGGCGGGTGTTGAATAGCAGATTAGCTTGGGTCAAAGGGTGGAGATAGCGACAGGCGATGTTGGGGATGGCGCGTGGGAGTCCGGTGACTAATGAGAGGAGATTTCCTTGGAAGTCACGTGTATATGGCTTAGTCATGTAGCAGTGTCTTCGCGCCCCACACATGTCCGTGTTTGGTGCAACCATCAATTCCATCTATTCTATAAATTCACGACGTATCCGTTCAAAATAAAGTATATATCTCTCTATCACCGCCATTAATGAAGGATGGACAGGTCCTCTTGATCTATCTTCCATCTTTTTCTCCTCTATTTTCATCTCAACCTCCCCGATCCTGTTGTGGTGGCTCATAACCATATCTTTTTTTGTAATCTTTTGCCCACTTCCTCTCTTTTGCCGCATCTTCTTTAGCTTTCCTGGTCGTAATTACGCGATTTGCATCACGTACAAATATTACACCAATATCCTGAACCCCCTTAAGTTGTCATTTAGTTTTTGAGCGGCGAAGTGGTTCTTGCGCAATCCTAGTATGCTCAACTATATCTTTACATAATTGAAGCTCTTCCTGGAGTAATCGGGAATAGTGGCAGGGATTTGTAAGCTCTCTATATAGCTTTGGTGTAGGAAGATCTATATACTTGAGTAGCTTCTCCTAGTTCTTCTGAAGCTTTGCTATGGTTTTCGGAGTATGTTCAATACTGGACGACGATGGTGGCGGAGAAGGTGTTGGGTCTTCAGGGCGTTTAGTAAGGCCACCTTCAATAGTAATAATAAGATCAGATATTGCATCTCACTGGTTAGGGAGCTTACTTACCTTCAGTAATAATAATATTCTTAGATATCATATCCCACTGGTGGGCTTACTTAATACCTTATTACTATCCACAGGATAGATACCACGCTCTTTGAAAGAGTCTCGAATGATTCGTGGATTGAAGGCCTTCTGTCGTACAGGTTGAATTACCCGTAGAAACTCAGTCTTCATCATAGGCGCGCCAGCCCAATAAGAGATATCATTATTATGCCTTCGAAAACACTGTTTGTAGGCTAAAAACGGCTTCCCATCAAGTGGCTGGCAAAGATGCGTTGAATATGGCAAGAAACCAAAAGGTATAATCTTATGATCTTCACATTTTTGCAGGAATTCAAGAGTAAGATGCGAGCCATGGCTATCAAAGATAAGGACACGCTTCTCTCCTATATATAAAGAATAAGAGTAATAATAATAGTAAGAATAATAGTAAGAACAAAAGTAAAATATACCTTTCTTCAGACGATCAGGTGTATTCGTAGCCTTAATAAAAGAATCTAGCCATTGTAAAGCCATTTCACCAGATATCCAGCCATTCGGGGACGTTCCTACCACCATATTCGGTGGTAGATCTTCATCGAACCAAGACTCCATAAAAACATTGTCTTTCAAGATGAAAAGCGGATCCATTACCCAGCCATCAGCAGCAATACACTCAACGACAGTGATATTTTCACCTCTTTCAGTCTCAGCAAGATCAGGAACATTTACTCTACTAACCGCCTTCTGATTTTTATCTTCATCGGGTCGGAAACCACACTCATCAAAGTTATAGATCAACCGCGAAGGCACACCACGAAGGACGCATTCAAGTAGATCATACCAATGACCTAGCTTGGCTGGATCTTCAGCCTGAATTCGCTTCAATTCCTTAGTATTTCTCTTCTTAGGAGCTAGTTTTAGCTCTCCAGGAAGACGCTTAATAAAGGGATATACCCAATTCGGACCAACAGGACTAGAATCTCCAAGCAAGCGATTTGCCCATGCCTCAATTAGCTTCGGTGTTGGCGGCATACTCCAATTATTCAACTGAATGATCCAGCGTACTAAAGCTTCCTCCTGGATATCATTCAAAGCCTTGTTAACTGGCTTTTGTTGAGATTTCGCAGTCGCCCCCTTTTTAACGCGGTCATAGAGGGTGATTCGTTTGACACCATATTCGCGCGCAATCTTCGAGATATTTGGTTTCTTTTCGCGTTTAGCAGCTTCGCATGCCTTAGAGAGACGGGATTCAGTAGATTCGTCGATTTTAGGCATGGTGGGTAGAGGATATTGCTCTTAATAGTATAATATTCAAAAGTGTCGGAACCGGTGGTGCACACCCAAACACACGATGCTCTTGGCATTGCTACTGCTATCCTTGGAACGATTTACTTTAGTCACATGACTGTATACAATTTGAAATGTTAAGGTCTATACGCGACCACCTACAGTACTCTTACTTTATTAAATAAAGAGTAACTTGAAGAAATAGTCATATTACGGAGTAGTAATCGATGTTAATGAACTGATATCCCAGACCCCCTGATTCCCTGATATCCCTGATATCACTGGTTGCCCCGATAAACGATAAAGATATTAAAAAACATGCAAGGTTGTGACTATCCGAACTCCTGACACCCCCAAATGTTGAAAAGTTGAGACCCCATGTCAACATCATATTTCTACGCATTCAGCATAGTCGATGTTGTTGTCCGTTTCATGGGCGGTGGAGGCGGGGGCTTCTGCAGTCGTGGATTAGCATATCGCATAGACTAGGTGATTTAGAGCTAGAGCTTATAAGTTTCATACCTTTGCACGAGAAGGTGGGGGCGGCGGGGGACCCTTTTTCCCAGTAGTAAGTCCAGCACTACTAGTGCCACTAGGACGTCGAGAGGACACACCGCTATCAAGAGACGTAGTGGGAGAGATAGAGCGACCACTGTATCCACTGTATCCACGCTCAGGGCTAGAACGGCCGTAAGAACCGTAAGAGCTAACTTCCTCGGAGTCTGCGTAAGGATCAACTGGATAACGGCCACTGAAGTTGCTGTTTTGACGTGCAGTCCAACTATCGCTGGTGTTGGTTCGCTGGATCCATTGTGGTGCAACCGGAGGCTGCTCCTGGCGTAGCTGTGCCGGTCCCTCGAAGGTCGAGGTACGATTCAGCATGAGTCGAGAATACGCATTGTTGGCTGGGTAATCTCTCACAGGAGATTCAGAGAACTGAGTCGACAAGGCTCTGGTCGAGCGGATAGGAGCTCGGGTCTCAGTCACACTTGACGGTTGCTCCTGCAAAAGCGCATGGCGATCCTGGTAAGAATTGCTAGCGTTTGACAGGGCTCGGTCCTGGCCACGCGAGGGGGGTGGGCCTTGGCCGGACATTCCAGGCCATTCGTTTTTCAGCTGCATAAGCGCTTCTCGGCAACGATCGTGGTACTCGAGCTGAGCATCCAAAAATGATCCGAGGTCCATAATGTTGTCCACTTCTGCATCCCGGATATCCTGAATGCGACGGATCACATCGTCGTTAGTCTCTTCGTATTTAACTTTTTGGGTCCGCAGCTCTTCTTCCACGCGGAAGTCTTCTTTCTTAGCCTTTTCCATCTTGGAAAGAGAGGTATCGTACGCCAATCGTCGACTGTCAAGCTTCTTTCGAGCTGTCTGTAATACCGTTAGTCTGCGATTCACACTTACTGGCTTCTGTCAGTCGGTAGTTTATCGTACCTGGTAGTCTTTCATCTGGGTCATTGATCGGTCGAGACATTCGAGCCAGCTTGAATTGGCCTGCGCAATGTAGCTCTCCTGTGCGCGTGCAATGCGCTCCTCGGTCCTTCCAAACACTATCGGAACAATTAGATAATACCAATATATGGCAGAGCCACCTCAACTTACTGGTGAGACATTGTCCGTATTCAGATGCACCGTCAAAGTCCTCTCCATGGCTGACCATGCTACTTCCCAAGTGAGCAATAGGGAGAGTCTTTTCCTTATCGCTTCCCTCGCTGCGCTTAGCAATAGCTTTCATATAGTCCGTCATAGACTTGTGAATACGATCCACGCCTTATCTGATGTTAGCGTTGACGTAATGTGATAAATCGTTGGCATTTGATGTCACACCTTCATGTCGCACGCTCATCTCGGTTTCCATAGCTTTGAAGTCATTGGATGTGTTTGTTTTGACTTCTCCGCCCATACGTTCTCCAGCCCACTGCTTAAAGCGACCAATTCTCTTGTTCACGTACATTGTGAAGATGAAATCGACGTACAATGCAAGGTGGGTGGTTGGACTTGGACAATTAGGTGAAAGGGTAGGTGAATATTGGGGGCGGGTTGGGGTAGAGTAAAGTTGAAAGGGTTAAGTCTCACTTCAAAAGTTGAAGTGGAGTGGATTTAGAAGCGAAAGTAAATGAGTTCTTTTTTTTTTTTTCAATAAACAAAGAAAAAAAAACACCAGCTCAGAAAAGAGAGGCAATCCCGGGGGGTGGGGATGAGAGAGGGTCTGTGGAGTTCTGGGGGGAGACAGAAGAGGTTGGGAAGGGAAAGAGAAGAAACGGGCAATTAAATTGTTTAATTTAAGACCAAGTTCCATCCTACTTAAAAATCTTGGACTTGGGTTTCTCCAATTTCCATCCAATTGCGTTTCAGCGCATTCAAACGTCGATCGTTGAGGAATGCGCTACGATCGATGCAGATTACTTACTATTAGGCTCTTGACCAACCTCCTGCTTACCCATAGATACTTTGTCAGCCAAAGTCTTTCATCTAAACTTTCTCTACTTTTCCACTTTTCTACGTAGGTAACCCAACCTTGGAACCTTTTCCATATAGTATTCTACCATGGCCAGGCCTTCTGGATTAAGCAGTGACACGCGTTGGTGGGCCGACGGTGGGGACTAAATTCCAATTGGAAGACCAGGAAGCCCGAATGCTATATTTATCTACTTGGAACTGGAACCTTTTACTCTCGCCACTTACTATACAGTTACAAGGGTCATCTCCAGTGTCTATTGTTTCACCAATCAATATAATCCAGGTGTTTCCGATATGCTCTTTGCCATTCAATATCTACATAGCCACTACGTCTACAAAGAACAGGTTTCATGTCTTCATGTTTCACCCTGGGTTTGAAGTATGGCGTAATCTTCAACTAATAAACTATTTTCAACTGATAAACTATTCTCTGCAGGGACCATCCCTCGCTGCGGGCTTGGTCGGACGCTTATTTCATTAGAGATCCACACTGGTGTACGGCCGTACATGCTTTTCTCGCATTAGTACTAGTACACACCTAGATAAATATTATTAATGATTTCATTTCGAACGAGATCAAGATCATTTCAGGATCAATAGGAGTCCCAATCCCAGAAGAACTCCTCTATAGCCAACAAATCGTCAAACTCATTCCACGCCTCCATGGTAACTGTAGAAATATGGCCACCCGGATCTAACATATTCCCCACAGATAAATCAGAAACTTCATCTACCTCATTCAGACCAAGGGCCGGTGTTTCAGCATCATACGTAACAGCACTCAAAGATCCCGGCGGGGAGTGTAAATTCATAGAGACCAGGGTGGCATTGGCATAATGACCAGGCGTAACGCCCATGCGCTTCTTAAAGACACGATGGAAATGGCTTGGGGTCAACCCTGCTTGGATCGCCAGATCTTGCAATCGTGGTTTCAGCCCTCTCCCTAAAATATCTTTTATATCCTGGCATGCTCTCTCAACCATCAAGTTCTGGGGGTTGCTCTGAGCCGCCGTGCCTCCTGATTCTGGCCGACAGCGCTTACAGGGTCGGAAGCCTGCTTTTTCGGCCTGTGAAGGAGTATCGTAAAATTGTACATTGGCACGACGGGCGAGGCGGGAGGGGCAAGAGGGGCGACAATAGATTCTTGTGGTCAGGACGGCATAGACGAAGTTGTTGATTGTTGCGTCGCGCTTGGTCACAACTTGCCACCGCTCTGCCGATGTGAGTGTGCCACTGGATTGGCGGATGCGGGGGATCTTCTGTGGGGGGTTTGGACTCATGGCAAATACATTCATGAGTGATCAAGCCCTGGAGGACATTTACTGGGTCAAGGCATCGCAGGAAAGACATAGAGGTGGCAAATATTCCATATCCAGTGCTGGTACCGTTGATTGGTCATATTGAGGTCAACGGAGTACCCGTAGACATTCTATATTTCTACCTGTACAACGCACCATGTTGACACGCCTGTAATTCAATCGGATGTTAACCCTCCGGGATTAGATGAGGGCTATGTTGTACTATTTCTTTTTTTCTTCTCATGCATTCTTAGTTACTTAGGTACCTACAGGTACTGATGTCCACAAATATATACTCGTGTCCGCAAGTAGATACACTTACCACATACATCAACTAGGCATGGAACTTCAAAGGATTCCTGGGGCCCAAGGTTCCGAGGTTGGGACGAAGAATTTACTACCTAGGTAGGTGCACTAGGTATCTAGATGAGTCGACCTCGGGAGATTTAATACAGGCAGTTGTCATCAATTTAAACTTATCTACCTATGATCACTCCAGGTCTTAAGATCCGAACCTTGGAAGATCCTAGCAATCTTCCAGCTCCATTAGCATTCCCGGCATCCATTCATTTGCGGCCGTCTTCTGACCAAACACTGTGATCTTAGAGACTCTCTTCTTCCCCAATTGGGCCCTATGTTGGATAAGCATATAAGCTGTCCCTGAAGCGTTAGGAGTTCCAAGCAAAGCATTAAAATTATCGGTGCCACGGTTGAAAGAAACACCGTTCTCATACTTTTTCCAATCTTCAAACCCACTCTTCTCATCAAAAGCATCCTCTATAATCGATAATGTGTCGTAGCTGTTGATTTTGCTTCGAATTACCCATTTGAGACGACTGGGTGAAAGTCCGTCGTTGCTGCATAAATGCTGCCACTCCAGGAATGTGACATCAGACCACTTTTTGAGCTTGACTAGATGTACAATATCGTCCGGACACTGGTCATATGAGTTTTCGGGACTGTCATTGTCGTCTGCAATGATAGCCATGTCGAGAACGTTGTAGATATTTTGGAAGTATCCTCCAGTATCCTAAGAAGTCATTAGATCAAACTATCAATGACATTGGATTGACTATTGTAAGCACTGGAAGCCTTACTCCATATTCCAATCCATCAACAATCACAGTTCTGTCGTGAATCCACCGGATCCGCTGCGATTGAGCAAATTCGAACAGGTAGGGTGCCTTCTTAAGGAAATTAAACATGGACGAGGTCACATCAAGCTTTCTGACTTTATCTTTCCAGCCCCAAGTCGCCAAATCCTCATACTTGGTGAATGCGCTGGCTACAGCTGATGCAGCGTTCATTTGAGTATCCAGCTGTTTGCCCTTTCCCTTCGCTTTGTCCCAGGTCAGGGCTTCTCCGAATGTACGAGCTTGAAGATTCTCACGAGGGAGTGAATTGGCATGGCTTCCTAAGAAGAGGAGAGTAGAATAGAATAGTAGACAATGAAACCATATCATCTTGGCGATTGGGACCTGAAAACCCGGATGAACAAACTTCACAGTGGAGGAGCCTTGGAACCTTGAAACTAGATAGGTACTTTAAGTATCTCTGCTACTGAAAAAAAGTATGAGGTACCGAGGTAATCGTCTACCTACCCAATAGATCGGTAGGTAAGTAGGTAGATAGGTGGGCGAAGGAACCCTTGGCCCCCTGGGCGAAATACCTATTTTGAATCTATATTTTGAAGGAACGGTCTTTCGAACCTTGGAATCGTCCCACCAATCTATCTATAGTTGTCAGATCGAAACCTCCGAAAGTGCCCAGGTGATTTCATAGGTAGATTGTAGTGTATGGATCTTTCCAAACTTGGAAGCACTTATCAGCTCATCCAGACTTCCAGAGGGATTAGAGCTGTGGCCTATCCGACTTCAGGAAGAGCGCTGGAGGCTCTATTGGAAACAAGAAGGAGTACTTGATCCTTTCAAGCTAAATCCACCGGGTAATTCAAAAGTTATACACAGAAAGATCCAATTCAATCGATTGACAGGAATAGGGCGTACGTAACCTTGCAAGATACTGATGTATCTGAAATATTCTTACGTTGAATCGCAAGTACCTGAGCCACATGTATGCAGCCCTACCCGTGGACGTAAGTGCTCCAGGGTTAGCCCATGCATGAACGAGCCATCAGGGAATGTAGCTAGCAGTAAAACCATGCACGTCTAGCGTCTAGATCTACGGGCGATGAAATCAGACTTTGAATAATAAAAGGTGTATCATTTAGAGCCCTCAGGCTTTTTTGAATTCCGTCCTGCCCTTCACTATGAGGCCCCGGACCTCATTCCATCGCCCTTTTTATTTTGCTCGACAAGAAAAAGGATGGTGGCCACAACCTTAATTCGCTAAGGGAGTATGGGATGTTTATCCGCAGCCGCCTAAGTACACATGTCTCATAGCAGAAGTCCATTTTCAACCCGTTGCAAGAAAAACTCCACAAATTATCACACTTACTCCTTGGTCTTCTGGGTACCACGGAGCAGACCAGTGCGGCGAGCGGCAATAAGACCGGCCTTTTGACCCTGGGCAGCGTAGCGAGAAATGGTAGAAGCCTTACCAATGTGCTGGTGGTTACCACCACCGTGAGGCTGGAAAGAGAATGCTGATTAGGATGCTGATGTGACACACATATTAGGCCTGAACTTACGTGATCGACGGGGTTCATGGCGACACCACGAGTCTTGGGCCAAGAGTTACGCTTAACAGCGAACTTGTGCTTGGCGCGAGAAGCCTTGAGCAGAGGCTTGTCGGTACGGCCACCACCGGCGACGATACCAACCATACCACGGGCGGTGTTCTTGACGACCTTCTTGGCACCGGAGGGGAGCTTGACACGGGTCTTGCCATCCTCGGGGTTGTGACCAATGACGGTAACGTAGTTACCGGAGGTACGACCAAGAGCACCACGGTCACCAGCCTTCTCCTCAACGTTGGTGATGACGGTACCCTCGGGCATGGAGGCGAGGGGAAGGATGTTACCGACGGTCAGGGCGGCGTTCTTACCGGCGTAGATGAACTGGCCGGTGTACATGCCCTCGTTGGCGATGAAGGTCTCGGTAACCATCTTGAACTTGTAGGGGTGACGGAACTGGACCTTGGCGAGGGGGGCACCACGACCGGCGTCGTGAATGATCTCCTTCACGACACCACGGGTGTATCCATGACGCTCGGCGAAGTCGAGGGTACGGAACTGAGCCGGGGCCTTGTTCAAACGGGTGTTGGCCGCTATAAGGAAAAAATATCGAAATCAGTAATCCAATTCCATCTTGCGGTTTTTTTTTTTTTTCCAATTCCTATTTCGTTCTCTGTTGTCTTCGCTGTTTTAATGCAGCGCCGAAAGAATTTCGATCCAGGATGGAATTTTTGAAGTGGTCGCACTCACTGAAAATAGAGCCACGACCCTTTCTCTGGTTGCGAATGACACGACCCATGGCGGCTTGTCTGGGAGAGAAGCTACGTTAGTATTGATTGATGACCGTCGTAAGTCGGCGCAGGCGACGTGTGGTGGAAAAAAAGCATACCTCGACTTGAAGATGGGCTTGTCGTTGGGAGATGAGAAACCGTCGGAGATTGGAATGTGTGGGCTTTAGGGTGCGGTCGCTAACCTAGCCCAATTGGGATTAGCGCCCAATCGGCTTACATAAGTTTCGAACTTCTTATAGAAACAATGTGTCTGAATTTCCTGAGTTTACGTAGAGATACAGGCAAATCAAACGCTGTCTAACAGTGTGGATATTCCTGCAAATTCTTCATTACTCAACCTAATTACAACTATTCTGTCGAGAACTACTTCGTTCAATCTGAAGTAAAGCTGAAGTTGAAAGCCCGGAAATGTTGCCCTTATCTATCATCACATGACATGTAAGATAACGATTGTCATCATCGCCGACCGACTCCGCATATTGAAGAACGTGGATTCAGGCCAAACTCCCTTTAAACTCCTTTACCGTCATTCGAAGCTGCATTCTATCGCTCTCCGCTCTGGCTTGAAGAAGCTTCACCATCCTGCAAATAGACAGCTACCAGGAGGCATATCGATAGCATCATATAAAGGCGCATTTATACCTCGGATTCAAGTCCATCGCTTCCATCTGAATGAACTAAGAACCATAGCTCCTTTTATCTGGAGTCCGGTCCGAGCCTCCCAGGTCATCTAAGCGCAAATGAACTCCATGTAATCTGTAGTTCATGTACAGACTCTTTGACTACGGTTCTATACAATTTAAATACATACTATGTTGTTTCTGAATTCCTAGAATTGTCCCAGATATGAAAATTGACCAATAAGTCACAGTGTAATAAGAGCGTAGGGAGTTGATAATCATTCTGCCGAGGTGATGTTCTGGAAGTGACCTTCAGCGCGGTGTCTAACTTTCTTTTCCACCTACTCCTCACCAACATCCAACATGACCCCCTCAGATTCTGACCTATCTTCTTTATCATCGGCACCTCCAACGGACGACGAAGCTGCCATGACTGTAGACGAGCCCCTCGGTATTGCAAAGTACTTCAAGAAGAAGAAGGAGTCAGAGACTCCGCCGCCGAAACGGGAGCCATCCCCACCGCATGAATATGTCCTGGCCGACAACCCTACCATCCCTGTGAGTTTATTCTTATTTTATATGGATTTATCATTTCAAGGCGCATTTGGCCACGTCAATTACGCGTTGGTTTAAATTAAAACCCAGTTTCTGATCTGTCGCAATGCATAGTTCATCGTCATGTTCCGCGCGCGTTTCCACGAAGCTTTCCCGAAGAGCCTGCCAAATTTCGGTCCTCAAGACGTCGAGAGTGGTGTCGAGGAGTCTCCTCCTGGCGAAAACATCGAGCGACTCTTATGCGCATTGCTGGGACTTGTTTTGAATCGAAAGAAAGATGTTGAGTATGTCGCCACCTGATACCTAGGTAGACCAATTCCGCGCGAACACCCCCATCACGCGCGCTTTTGCCTACCGATGGTCAATTGACTGCAGACCCGATCGCTAACTTATTACCTCGCATTTATAGACGTAATCATTTCACTCGGCCCCTGGAAGAAGCGATTCACACACATCACTCGCAGTGGTCTAAGACATGGGAGGGTAAAAACCCCCTCCATGGGGGCCGTAACTTCACCACTATGTCGCCAGAAGAACGTGTATGTCAAGACCATATTATTTTGAAGCTTTGGATACAATTCTAACATTTTCATAGCTCGAACTTTTGAGATGTTTGATTATCTGGTCTCTTTCCTCATCTGATGCGATCCAGGCCAAGATCAAGGAGTCTTACAAGCAAGCGCGCCATGAAGATGACCTCAACCAGCCACTATCAGTCCAACATTGGGGTCGCGATAGCTTAAAAAGACGATACTGGCTCATCGAAGGGCAGGATGATACTAGCTTTCGCTTATACCGAGAGAGCAATCCTGCCCTTAAAAATGTTAACTGGTGGAGTGTCGCTGGAACCATCCCAGAGATGGAAGTAATTGCCGATAAGCTCCAGGAAGAGAAAGGCATAAACTCCAAGAAGCTCAGTGAGCGGATCCGAAATGCCATTCCTCGATTTGAAGCTTCAGAGGATGTAAGTCGCCGCCAGATCTACCTGGGTAGTCACAAAGGAACGCGGGCTAATCATATCAATAGAAACGCAAACGACGCGACTACCGCCTTGCACGCAAGGCCGCTTTTACACGCCCAGAACCTGGATTTTCCATGTATGAAGGTCGCACCCGCGGGAAGAAGCTGAAGTACACATACTCGGAAGATGAGGATATGTTTTCAGATGAACCACCTTCCAGACGATCGGGACGGAATGTTCCTGTGGCTGCGACTGCGGAAGAAGCTTCACGTCCTCGATTTACCGCGAGTGGAAGGCAAATCAGGTCTCGTGCGGGGGGTCTCTATGGCGAGACCCTACTTACCGGACAGCGCGAGGATGAAGACGAAGAGGGAGATGATTACGGTAGACCGCAGAGAACTCGCACATCAACTCGCCCTAATGGCTACTCCGGATATGGTGCCGATGATCTTGATGATAACGAATCTCAATCTAGTGGGAAAGAGAGTGGCAACGAATGGAATGCCGAAGACGATGCAAATGACCCCGAGGGCAGTGATGATGGTGATGATGGCGAAGATGATGAGGATGAATCAGTCCAAGAAGGGGAACATCCCAGTCTTGTTGTTCAGCTTCGAATTGGCAAGGGAGAAACGCCAAGTGACCCCCAGAACCCGGTGACCCAAGCCTCTCCTACGCAATACGTTCAAATGAGCGATAGTAGCCAGCCGACTGCACCTGCAACTTCATCCATACCTTCAACAACGGTACCGACGAACCCCTCTGTCCTCTCGCCTCCAGTTTTCACCGTTCATGAGACCCAAGAGACGCAGCCCCCAAAACCCCAGGTTGAGCTAACCAGCGTTCCTGGGTTGAGCGCGATTCAGCAGTGAGACCGAGAGATATTGCTTGAAATGACCGGAGTATGAATTCTGAACGCATCTTTAGCAAGTAAAGTATATTCTTTGCTTTTGTGAAATTGGCCAAGGACTGCCCTGCACATCTGGCCAAAGTGCGATCAAACATTGAGAGTTTCTCAGTTAGCTTCTTATGGGACTATTTACATTTGACTGGGATATTGAAGCGAAACGAACCCACTAGCAAATGTATCCTTATTTTTGCTATGAAATTAACTCATTGACCCAATTGTATCGAAGATTTGCTTAATGCAGAGGTAATTTGAAAAAAATTGGAAGAACCGGTTGGAATGCATGTATGTAAGAGATATTGAAGGAATTGTCCGGGAGAGGAGCTCAATGCTTAGTTGACAATGCTCCTTGGAAGGTTCCAAAGTTCCTACTGGAATTATTATGTTCAATTTCTGAGGGAAACTCGGAAAGAGAAGTCCATCTAAAGTTTTGGACATAGAACAGAAAGTGATAAATCGATAAAGCCGCAACTCCATATATCCAACGCCAACGATGCTAGTAAAAGAGCGGATTATAGTCTCAAATCTCTTGAGCCTAGCTGGCGACATCAATCCGACCCAGCCGAGGAGAACTGAGCTTGATAAAACTGTAAAAACTCCAATCATCGTCAGCCCCAGAGGCTTTGTTAAAAAGTACCTGCCCGGCGGTTATAGAAATGGATTGCTCACATCTTCAACTTGCTGAGCTAGCTTCTTGTCCTTGGACCAGGCCTTGGGAAGTTTCCAGTTGTTCACTCCATACCACCACCTGCGAATCTTGCTGCCCAGTGTCACGCCGCTGAGCGAGGCGTTACGGTTCCAAAAGCGCCAACCGGAGAGAGCGAGTGTCCAGACGGTGCCTTGGATGAGAGGAAGGAGAACCTGAGGAGGAACGATGTTAGTTTTCTAGATCTAATTGATTTAATTGACTGTTTTCTGGATTTCTCCTCTCGCCAGTGAGATAGAAGGGTTTCCTACTTGATCTCTGACGGTGATCCATGTTACCCTTCCCCAGCTGTCGGCATCCCTCAAACTGTGGAGGTAGCTTTGTTCAAAGCGTAGATCTGGCAGAGGGGGAAGTGTCTGACGTCGGCGTATAGGTCGAACGACATTTCTTGGGCTGACAATGTCTGAATCAAGACTGCCGGAGTCCGACTCTGGCACGGCGACTACAGGTTGCTTCTCCGAAGCTGCGGTGGCTGGGTTGATGTCATGAGAAACGTCGGGATTGTGTACGATATGGGCTGTTTGGATAGTCTCCGCGATCCCTAGTACATTATCGACCATGATGGAGTAAATGATTTGGTGCGGGGACAAATGTTAGAGTCTGGAGATGTCAAGGTGGTTGTTGATGCAGATGTGGAGCTGACATTAATCTGGCGGAATAGCCGCCCTCATAATTCTGCCGACCCCTCCATTTCTGTTCTGCTTCTCCCCTCCTTTTACTCTACCACCCCAATTCAATTTTCTAATCCCATTAGATAATTCTTTCAAAATGGCTGCTGCTCAAGGTTACCCTCTTTTGTGCTTGGAAAACCCTCTCCTCGGTTAGTACCTCACCTAGCAACACTAATTAGTATAATTACTGACATGCTCCATTTCAATGTAGACATCCAGGCTCAAGGGTATGAAACTATCATTCAATTAAAGCTTATATTCTGATATTGAGTTTCTAGTGATGAGGCTCTTCTCGAGAAGTATGGCCTTAAGGCCAACGACGCCATCCTCGCTGAGGAACAGCACATGGGAATCTACGATGAGCTTATCCAGCGGGATGCTAAGCTGATCCCTGGAGGTGCTGCCCAGAACACTGCCCGTGGTGCTCAGGTATGATCGACATAATAATCAACTGCTCTAGATTCGGTATTGACCATGTTTATAGTACCTACTCCCCGAGAACTCAGTTCTGTACATTGGCTGCATTGGCAACGACAAGTTCGGCGAGACCCTCAAGCGCACCTGTGAGGAGGCTGGTGTCCACACCGAGTACCGTATCGATGAGACCCAGCCTACTGGCAAGTGCGGTGCTGTCATCACTGGACACAACCGCAGCTTGTGCACTCACCTTGCCGCTGCCAACGAGTACAAGCTCGAACACTTGAAGCAGCCCCAGATCTGGTCCCTCGTCGAGAAGGCCCAGTACTACTTTGTTGGAGGTTTCCACCTTACTGTCTGCGTTCCCGCTATCTTGGCTCTCGCTGAAGAGGCTGCTGTCAAGAACAAGGTTAGTTGTTTCCTTCGCATTATAACATAGGGTTTTTCTTTTCTCACCATGTGAAACTTCCAGCCCTTTATGCTCTCCCTGTCTGCTCCCTTCATCTGTCAGTTCTTCAAGGATCAGCTCGACAGTGTCCTGCCCTACACTGACTACACTGTCTGCAACGAGACCGAGGCTCGTGCCTATGCTGAGGCCCACGAGTGGGGCACCGAGGATGTGGTTGAGATTGCCAAGAAGCTCGCCCTCCTCCCCAAGAAGAACACCCAGCGTGGCCGCACTGCCATTGTCACCCAGGGCACTGAGCCCACTGTTGTCGCGGTCGCTTCTGTCAGCGGTGACGTTGAGGTGAAGGAGTTCAAGGTCCACGAGATCTCCAAGGACTCCATCAACGACACCAACGGTGCTGGGTGAGTATTTCCAAATACTTTATGAAACCGCAATTCATTTCACTAATTCTATTCCTCAGTGATGCTTTCACCGGTGGTTTCTTGGCCGGCCTCGTTTCCGGCAAGCCCCTCGAGGACTCCATTGACATGGGTCAGTGGTTGGCCAGCAAGAGCATTCAGGAGCTTGGTCCTTCGTAAGTTTCCATTTTCGACATCTTCCCAAGCAATGGGTATATAACCACAACGAGACATGGCTAATATGTAATTTCTATAGCTTCCCCTCCCCCAAGCAGGCTTACTCCCGCTCGTAATTCAACAAAATATCTCCTAATGGAAGATCTTGGTGCAATTAAATTCTTTTGATTCAACATACACCTCAAAACTTTGGATGATTCAACCCTCTATACCCAAATTATTTTGATTTTTTTATTATATATCTTACTCTGCTCTCGACTTTAACCTCGAGAAATTGAATTGGAGCATGGGGAACCATAACTTGCGCCGTGAAAAGTGCCCCGTTTTCAACAACGATGTGATGAAATGCAATACAGTTTTACACTTCTGCAATTTTCAAATCCTAATTAGTATAGAATAGGATTCTATTACTGTTTCATGATGAAAGAACGGAAACTCAGACGTGTAGCATTGCTATTCATTCTGACTCCGACTAAAGTAAACAATGACCTAAGAAGTGGTAGGGCATATCAGCCAACCACTAGATTCCTTGGATCATCAGAACGTTCCACCATGATCATATCATTCCTAATAGAAAGAAAAAAGAAACACGGCTAAGAAAAAGGAGAAAAAAGGGGCGAAAGTGCTGGTCATTGGTAGACTTCATGTCGTGTGAGAAAAGACAGAAAGGAGATAAAAAAAGACGCTAAAAGTTATTTTCCAGGCTAAGATAGAACCAAACCAAATAAGAAATGGATCTTTGGATATTCTGCTGTGTGGCGTGTTGAACGCGCAGTTGCATGTGTCGTGATCGGGACAAGAGAACTGCCACAGTGGATATGAGGGGAAAATAGGAGGATGAATTAGCTCCATCGTATGTGCAAACTGCAATTGCTTTTTCCTTGACTGGACTAGGCTGGTGAGGCAGGGGTCGCAGAATTTGTCTTTGATTTGAATCGAAGCGAATGGATTCATGTCTTTCCATGAGCCTTGCATCAAAAAAAAAAAAAAAAGACATCTATTGCAAATGGTGGCTTAGAAAAAGTTCCGGTTGTGCATACGAAATGGAATTCACCATCTGTCGTTCATCTGATAGCGGTGTATGTGTGCACTATTGTGGTTCATGCTATTGGTTTAGTAGCGGGCGAACATTGTGATCAGCCTCCCTGACCACATGGAGGAGTTTGACCAATTGCACCAAGCTGGGTGCTTGACTTGCGGTTGCCGCTAAATGGAGAGTTGTAGTTTCCAGCACCCGATGCCAGGCTGCTGGCAATAAACGCATTATTGGCCCATGACTGGTTTGGAGTGGCATTAGAATACGAGCCAAGTGTCATGGGGGCCAAAGGATCGCGATCCCAAGTGGTAGAAATAGGACGAGATTGTGCGGTGGGTAGGCCAGGTGGTGGCATCCACGAAGAAGCCATTGATCCATTTGCATCGAGAGAGCCCGTGAGCTGGTTCTGATTTCTCAAATTGTACTGGCGCAGCTCACTTTCAATCTGCTGCTGGGATGGGGATAGCTCTGAGACGTTTATGTTCGAACCATTCGTCGCATGCGGAGGAGGCTGTTGGCCAAGACCCGGGGGAGTTCTGGGGGATGGACCATTTCGCAGTGGGCCTGCGGATGTGTCATTCCATATGCTTGGAATACTAGGAATGGTGGGCATGGGCGTAAAAGACCGAGGTGCGGATGCACGGAGAGAGTCTGCAGCATTAACGACCGGCGGACCAAGCCCAGGGGGAGCCATGGGAGCAGCAAAGTCGGAATAAGGGAAACTGTTGGTAGACGATTTAACATGCACAGATGGTGCAGCCATAGCTCGAGGGTCGTTCATGAAGGCGAATTGATCAGAAACCGGCGGTGCGTCCTCACACGTGTCAGACTCAACCAACCGCTCCATATCTTCAACAATGCGATACATGTTGGCAGAAATAGATGCGGACGCAGACTGGGAACCACCAAAAATGCTTAGCCCTTCTCCAACTGAGTTTGGATTCTTAGCAGGTTGCGGGATGTCCTCTCGTTCAATGTTGGCAGCTGAGAGAGTGTTCTCACGACCAGGGGGGCTTGAGAAAAACTGAGATGGCAGTCCCTCCTCTTGGTAAACGAAGATGTTCTTTTCTTCGTCATCTACTAGAGCAATAGGAATTTTCTTTCCTACGACCAGATAGAGGCCGTCGATCACGAACGCACGGACTCTGTAAAGCATTTCCATGTTAGGATGACTTCTTTCGACACCCGGGTCGGTCATCCGAGGCTTAAGCTGTTCATCGTCGCCAGTAATTCGGCTCGAAGATATTGCATCACCCAGAGGGGCAAAGCCAAGACTTTCCTCATCTTCTTCAAGCAGATAGTCAATGTCTGTGACATCACCCGTAATGTCAAATGTCGAGGCTAAGAGGGTCAAAGTTCCTGCATAAATTTTCCAGAATTCTTGGATTTGAATTGACAGAGAAGAATCCTTCTCTTCCTTCTGCGCAACCAAGAGGTCGCTAGTGGTACCAAGCCAGGAGCTGTAAAGCCGCAGCGCAGGCATGATCCGACGCGCGACGACGGTAACCTTGTCGGAACCATTTTTGGAATCTTTGTTGCTCGAGTCTTCAACTGCGAAGCGCTCTAATTCAACCAAAAGGATTTGTAGCAATGTGAAAAACGTTTTCACATTGATCCGTTGCAAGAAGACGCATGCATTCGAGACAGGCTCTTCAACTGACCGGGCTCGGGCAAAGGCTTCCGCAGCTATGTTGACCATGCAAATCTTTTGAAGCGTTCCTTCAAGAGACCGCTCTCTGATTTCAACTGCAAGCTGGCTCATGACCTCACTCTCGAGTTCGTCAAGCTCGGGAAAGTCGTTTCCCTTGTAGCATTGGGCATGGAGATAGACAAACCAGGAATACAACGCTTTTCCTGGAATTCTAGCATCCTCAGGTCGAATCAGCTCCCTTTTCGCCCACGCATTCATGACTTTCCGGAACTCAATCTCCAGATTTCCCCTGGCCGAGGGATGAGGCTCCTGGGCAGACAGTGCCCGGTAAAGGTGATACGTGGCCCGGAAATGATTGCCATCTACAAGAGCAATGACTGCCAGCTGGTTATGCGATGCGCCCGATGCAGGATAAATCGCTAAAGCCAAGTCATAATATCCAATTGCGGGTCCCCAATTGCGGACCTTGCTGGCTAGTTCAGTCTCCCGGTATCGAGAGAGGTCGCCAAGTCGATTAAGGGTGGCATGGCAAGACTTGAGGATTCGGTTGCGCAACTCAGGCGCAACCGTAGACGAAGGATATGCAGAGAGATCTAGGGGAGTTTTATTGTCAGTACCCAACCATTGCGAAAGCAGCTTGGTTTTAGAGATTTGCGCACTCTCAAAATTGAACTTGCGCGCAACTTTATCCAGTTCAACAATGCCGCCAAAATGCGACGATAAGTGCTGGATATAGCCCCGGTAGAATCGCTGGCTTGATTTGATGAAGTCCAGGTAATGCTTCTCGAGCTTCCGTTTCTCTACCGGCTTCTTCTTCGAGTTCTCTTCGCGATGCTAAACATTGTGACATTGATTAGCTAACAATTAAGACGAGTAAATTTGTAGGCGACAACTCACGCGAGAGAGCAGCTTGCGAAACCGACTGTTGAGTTTCACGTGCGCATCCCAGAGTCGACTCTCGACATCGGGATCCTCCATGTCGAGGTCGCGAGCCATTTCAAAGTTGAGTAGGATGGCATTCTGGCATGCGGAGCGGAATCTAATGAATTGTCCATGTAAGCGCAGGCCAGGGGCGCACTGGTTCAAGCAATCGGGTACTGACGTTGTTAGGAAGTGCGAGATCTCGGCGAACGTCGGTTCCTTCTCAGCTAAACATCGTAGTAGTTCTCTTTCGGCGTCAAGCGCATTACTAGCAGCAAGTGATATGTCAGAACTCATGTAGTCGAATAATTTCGAGTTGATAAGGGAAACAAAAACTTACTGCCACACATCCTGAAATGAGGATGTCATATTCTCGATGGGAGGTCCCCCCACCGTTGATGTCAGATGACTTCAGGCAGGAAGGACTTCAAGCAGAGGCAGTGAACAAGCCATCAGTCATTGGCGATCAATAGTGGTGAGAAAGTAGTACAAAGCTGAATCTTGAAAAAGCGTGGAGTAAAAGCGCGGTCCCCCCTGTGCCGACGACCGCTGATTGGTGGGGCATTTCAACTACACACTTCACTTCACACTTCACTTCACTTCAACCAGCCAACACCTCTTCAATATCTCGAGAACTTGCTAATTATACCAATATCAGATTCACATTATTAATCGCATAATATGATATTATCATTGGACTTTTCACCTTTCAAGACTCCGAATCGAAACACCCATTCAATGATACAGCTTGCTGCTGACAGGATAGAAATAAGATAGCAAAACTCGGAAAAAGACCAAAGAGGAACTGGCAGGAGAGATTCTCGGGCCACTTTCTACTAGCTATGGCCAAAATGGGCGAGACATGATCGGAATCTCCATGAATTCCGGAGATTCAAACCATTTCACCATGATTCCAATGACGGACCCAACTTTTCATCGGTTGGAGCTGGGATTCCGACTTTCACTAGATTAATGAGAAGTCCAGTGACTATCACTCGCACTGTACTCTGTACTCAGTATGCCAGTTCTTGGCGTTCCTCTTCCGTATTAGTGCTCAGCCCCTCCCATGAGCGCCCTGATCCGATCAGTAAGCATTAGAATCCTTGGGATCTGGATCTGGGTCTGGAATCTCGATTCCTCCCGGCTGATACACTCACCCCTTCTACTAATATCATTGCCACCCGGTCAAGGCCCAAGCAGTTGCCACCCAGTCGAAGATCCCAGTAGTAGATTTTTTTTTACCCCCCCTTGCTAAGCTATATGCTACAACGTTTTTGTTAATTACATGTTTATTGGGTCCACGGAGATGATTCCAAAATTCCTGAGAGGCCAACTTTAAGCCTCACCTAGTAAGGCCTGTCGTGGCATTATTGCTGTTTGAGATGTTAGGCTGCGCTCATGGCGCGGCTTTAATGGGTGGACGGCAAATTTTCGTATTTGGCTGCATTTCTGCTAGGAACCGCGAAAACGCGGACAATGCCAAATTCAAGAATCTGGACGGTGACAGTGTTGCGGATACGGCTTTGTTACGAGTTTGATGGACCAAGTGTTCCATCCCTTGTTCTCGATCCGGAATGGTGACGGTTTATTACGAAAAACGGCGGTGAAGATCTTTGATCATGAGTGTAGGTATGGTAGGATGCTGAAGAATAGAGGCATAGGTTGGTTGTTGGCTATAGGGCGAGGAAATGATGGTCGGTATCGGCTAGAGAGGTTGGGATAGTTGCGATTCTGGGTCTAGTATGGCGGGTAGCAGTTTAACACGGGAGTCGAGAATGTTCCTTCACTACAGTAGGTGCAGTTAATGTTGATTGGGGTTGAGACTCTGTACTAGAGTCAGCGGTGGTCTGTGTACTGGAATCGGCAGTAGGAGTTGACTGTTGAGGCGAAGGGAACGGGTGATTGAGGAGGTGGTGTTTTTAAACACAACAGATTAAAGTAAATCACATACTAGCGGTGCAGACATGCATCCAGGACACCATAATAAACTCGAACAAATTGAATATCATATGTCAACAACCGCCCGTTGAATTGACTTCAACTCTTGAATTTGGATCATTTATAGTTGATAAAATAAAAATATAGAAGAAGGAATATAAAATCGTCAATTAAAGTGTAGTTAAAGCTAAGATAAATAAATTACATCATAATTTATGGTATCACTATAATCCATCTAATTAATTTACTTAAAATGAATGAAATCTTTATAAAGATTCTTATTATTTTATCTCACCCAGTATTGATTCTTATGAGAGTTATGGTTGTTGAGATATAATATTTAATTTATTCGATTTTACTATGGTGTTCTAGATGCGCCACTTGGTTGTGTGCGCCGCTCGTATGTGATTTACTTTACCTACTGCAGTCTTCTTTGGGTAGAAGGTAGACAAGCGTTTGGCCGATTGGCGGGCATGCCAAGTCGCCGACTCCTGAAGGTTGGTAATGAAAACTATTCTAGACTAAAGTGGAGTAACACTAATACTATTCCTTGGAACGAACGAGCTCGGCTATGATGAGTAGCGGTCGAGATGAGACGTTGTTCGTGTGGGGTTTGCGGGGATTGCGATTGCGGGGTGTTCGGGGTTTAAGGCTTCCGAGGTCTGGAAGCTGGCAATCTATCGCCATCCGCCATCCGCCATCAAATCGTCAAATGGTCCTCCGCAAGTACAGGTTCCAATAACAATTGGATTTTCTTCTATTTATGGCTGATACCTATTTTGGTATAGTTTTCATGGTGTAGACAGAAAGATTGTAAACCGAAAAAAAAAAAATTAATAATAATAATAATCTTACTGTAACGTAGTAATGGGTAATAATAACCTGTGCGGGATATTTCGGGATATTTCGGTTCTGAATATGAAAAAAAATACATTCTTCTATTAGGACCCTGCAAAGCACATTCTAAGTCTATTCACATAAACAACCATTTTTTTGTCATGCTACCATCAACTCTATCAACTCTATTCAAGATATGCAAGAGTGTAACGAGAATCCGTCTCAACTCCAGAAGTGTAGAGGAAGAGATTATAAATATATATATATATATATAGACAAAAACAGGCGCATGAATGATCAGAGTGTATCAGAGTCGTAATTGAAACCAAGACAGTCCAAACATCCCGAGGTCACTGTTAGGTACCCTCTCTCTAGTTGGGCGGAACGTAGTAAACAGAGTTCTTAGTCGGGGGATAATTGGGCTCGGGAGAGAAGAAGCTGGTGTTGCTAGCAGCATACTCTTCAAGCTGTTGGATTGTGTTGTTTTTGTGCAAAACAAAGGTACCAGTCTGCTTGGGGATGTAAGACGGGTATGACTGATACAGCTCGCTGAGGATGCCATAACTGAACTCGCCATTGATCTATAATGCCAAAAGTTAGAATGAGCAATTTTCCAAGTGGAGTGCGAAAATACTTGCATCGTATGTCTTGTTCAAAAAGGCCGTGGTGTTGAGAGTAGATTTGCAGTACGAAGCATCCGATGTGCTACTGGTATTGGCAATGATGTTTCCCGCTGTGTTAAAGATGAAAGAGCTTCCAACCGCAGCAGAGACACTGTGGACCTGGCTCGTAGCTGAGTAGACTCGTAGTGAAGCAATGTTGACACTCGTAGAGTCGACAACACTCAAATCAGTTTTGTTGTCCACGGCTTGAAGATCGCTCAAGTAGGGGAAAGCTCCGATGTGGATATCCTCCAGCTGAGCTTGCATGGGGAAAGTCATGGACGGGTGGAAGTGCCTGTTGATATGAGTATACTGCAGTAGCAAAAGATATGATGGATCAACTTACTCCCAGCATTCAAGCATTCCCATACGACCATAGGGGGTGTCAACAACCTTGAAACTGTGCAGGAGACCATCACTCCACAAGTTTCTTTCACCTCCAGAAGGCCGGAGCTTGTGTCGGTGAATGAGCTTCTCACCATCAGGTGAAAACAGAGCCTGAGCCATGTAGAGATAATCATCCTGGCGCTCTGAAAAGCCGAAAGCGAGGTAGATACCGGTGGCCTTAACAGCAGCCACAAGCTTCTTCCAATTGGCATCATCTTCAACCAGCGAGTTATTGATGTACTTGGTCGTAAGCGAGGGATTGGCTGTCAGGCCAAATGGATATCTAAGATGAATCAGACTGGAAAAGCCACGGTTGATAAGGAAGATGGTCTTACCCTGGAAACCAGACCTCTGGAAAGGTCAAAAGGCCCACGCCATCCTCGGCTGCCTGCTTGATGATACTTACGGCCTTGTCCGTCGTATAATTGATGTCCCAATTACTTTGGAAAAGTCCACCATCCGAGTTCTCACTATGCAAATTTGGTCAATATTCAAGTTCCTGTAGCGCAGCATAAATGACTCACTTGGACTGCGCGCTGACAGCAGCGACGACAAATTTCTCGGGGTCGAGGTGAGAATAGAATCCATTCTCCTTCCGGTATTTGATTTCTTTATCAACAAATGGCGTTTTAGCATTGACACATGCACCAATGCAAGCGCTGAGAATAAAAGCAGAGAATACAGATCTGAACATGGCCTCGAATTCGGAAACTGATGGGTTTTCGAAGAAACAAGTATGAAATGGAAACTCGAATGCTGTCTACAAAGGAAGGTTTGTATGGGGTTGAGATGTCTCTTTTATACTCAGATCAACCCACACATTTCGCCGCAATATTTTCGGGTAAAATAGAGCGAATGGGTCTCCGGCAAGACTTCCATGGATTGAACCCACTTGGCAAAAATATCATTAACCAAAAAGCCAACATGATACGAGATTTCCCGTTATCCATCTAATTATTTCTGGTATTGCCTAATTCGAATGATTTACTCACTAGATAGCAAGGTAAAGCATCTGGCTCGAGCTTTCCCCTGCCGGCAATGATCTACCCTTTATCGGCAAATCCTGATTTACATTGGGTAATTAAGATATCAGGCCTAATCAGAGTAAGTAGATATCGACTAGTTAATCGTATCAGCGGCGGCATTTAAACGCCCGCCGCTAAGTCTGTTTCTGGACTAGTGCAAACCTTTGAAGATCCGACCCAAGACGACAATCCATGCAGGGTTTCTTTTGCTGTCTCAAGCTATGAGAGAAAAGAAGATTGAAAAGAAGTTATTTATGCATAGAATATTTGGCGGTCCAATCTTTGAATCATTTCCCGTATCGAACATAAAATAATATGGACCAAATCTACTTACTAAGTAGCCGTACTTAACTATTACGCCTTGGTCTTGTCAACTTCGGGTAGGCGGGATTTGAGAGGGTTCCAAATTCAGGTTTTGTGGTGGGGAACCGTCAACAACTTTCCGGGGTCGTTGACATACTACTAACGTAATTCACTTACGAGCTGGACTCCTTCATATCATCAAAGATTCTACGCTGGGAATAAAATGAACAACTAGGATCGATAACTAGGTAATGGCGGACATTTTCAAATGCTGAAGGTATAACAACAATCCGATTCAAACAAAATTCCAGAAGTTGGAATTTTGAGCAAATTCGTCTGCTGCCCTTTCCGAGAACGCCAAAATTTCATCAATATCTCCAAGATGGGAAGTGGAGGGTGGTACATCACCCAGACCAATAATGCCCGTAGTTTCTGCACGAGGATTATCAAAGTATTCAAAATTTAGCTGATCAATAGATTCCTGGCTTAGAGGGTCTGATGAATCCAGAGAGTAATTCTGTGGAATTTTTGAAGATTCCCCAGGAACCAACAGATCGTCTATCGTGCATGCATCAGCTGCTTCATCCCACACGAACGAGTCATGATCCGTTGCGGCAGTTAAGCGTCCGGGGAGAGGGAAGCTATACTGTAGAGGCAGCGCTGCTACAGTATTCCAACGCAAGGCCAAGTCTCGTAAGAGTGTTATTGCTCTTCGGGCTCGTGGCCATCGATTTTGCATTCCCGCGAGTGCACCAAAGCAGACTCGAAATTTGCCAATAGATTGAGTCCTTGTAGTGGGATGCGTTGATGTTGAAAAAAGAAGAAGCGTCACCGCAGCTGTCGACACACAGTGTATCATAATTGGGTGCGCGGTGGTTAATAAATAATTGCTCTGATAGTCGCGGACAAGTCGAACCATTGCCGCCGCCGCGACCGACATTGATCGTAGGGCGAGTCGATATGGCATACTTTGTGGCGGCTCTTGCAAGTAGGGTCGATGGATTAGGAGGTAGGACATATTACATGACATATGAAACAAGAGAACAGTTGATGTACTGCTCCCCTTTCGAAGCTGTAGAGTAGGATGCAATTGGCGGCGAAGGTTTAGGAGATGGCCACGTGCTTCCATGAGTAGACGATAACGTTTTGTGTCTTCCAGGTCCTTGAATTCGAAAGAATAGCTTCGAGACTGTCAGCTAACATTCTTGTGCATGATTTAGTTGTGAAAGGGGGGTGCATAAAGGATCCCCTACATTTGATCCATATATTGATCATGAATGAACCATAGCGAGCAGTGAGCATCGAACAAAATTTCTTCACGTGATGGATTCGATCCAGCAACGCTCAAGATCGGAGGTACCCGTACACGTCTCCATGGAATCATACAATGTCTGCCTAGGAGAGAGGTTGCGACTCTGAAATTTTAGCTAATTCATTCCAAGGGGATGAAGATAGATGCAAATCTCTGTCCACTCACCTATCCAGGAGCAGGAATGCCCAAATAGTCCTGATACGACTTATATCGGACTTAACAGCACTCGTGTTCGAGCTTGTGTCAACTTTGATTGTGGTAAGAGAGGCAACATGAAGGCCAAGGTGCAACGAAATACTCGCGGCCATAGCTATCGAGAATAGTGATGTCAGCAAGAAAAGTCCACCAAGGCAGAATTGTCGTAGCGTACGTACAATTGTACAGCCAGGTCATATTGTCATGTTCCAGTGTGAGTTCGCGCCATGATAATATAAGCAATCCTTGGATCGTTCGTGTGTTTGGGTATTGGTGACAGACTTTTAAGCAAATATTTTCCGCATGGATCGCCATGTCATTACCATAGGATATGAGCTGCGGATCCTCTGTGAAAAGCGCACCTGTGCTCAGGATCGCATACTGAAGCAATTTCATACTGGGTGACATATCATGTTGTAATATGGCTAACGTCTCCTCATCTACAAATTGATGAACCGGATTGATGTAACTCACAAAGAGATGAATCAACTCTTTCGAAATATTCGGCTCATGAGCTAATGGTTGGGGTTCCAGTGGCTCTTCTGGACATGGCCTGGCTCCCTCTAGCGACTGAAAGACATCGTGATGCGGGTCTGGGAAACAGAAATTGCCTGAGGGCCCGATGAATGATGACTCTCCGTTTTCATGCACAGTGAGGCGCCACATCAACAAGCTAATATCATCGACTGCCGAAGAGTTGCCCAAGAACGGTGGTGACGTTTCCAGTGCCTCACTCTCTGCCCGGTCCTCATCGGCAAAACCTTCTGGCGGAGCATCCTCCTGATCGGCGAAAACATCGGCATAATGAGGCCCTGCAGATACGGTGGGACCGAGGCCCTGTAGTCGACGCACCTCTTCCTTCAGCAGCTCCACCTGGTCTTCCAGGCCTGTGATGTAACCCAAATCGTACTTTCTTCTGTTATAGATTAGCACAGTCAGCAGTTTTTCCCTAGATATATATAGAAACGGACCTTTTAGATCTAGTGACAAACCGACAATCGGCGCCATTTTGACGACACCAGGAGCATACAGGATGACACCCATCACACTACAAGGTTTCGTATTAGCAGTCGTTCAACCAAGGGCATCTATCTGGTTGAATACCTTTCTCTTACGCCTTCGACAGGACTCGCATGCCAGGGCGACTCTGGAGGACTCGCTCATTGATAAGCAGCGACGACGTGTAGTTAGGAAGTATGGGAAGAGCAACTTCTATGAAGACGGCCACTAGGAATTCCAACCATCCCTCTTTGGGGTTAGCGTCATTGAATTTGCCACCGCAAACGGAGCGAAGATAAGAGACTTCGGTACTCCATACTAGTTACCCCCTTTCATAAATTACCAATCTATTAAAGTATTTCACCACTGAACGGGTCACACTACTGAACGGGTCACCCCACCAATTTTACGCGTCAGTCTGGTGTTTCCATTTTCAACTACCCACCATGCCCCCCCTAAATGCTCTATATGTCCAAGACAAACAGGATCAGGAGAATAGGGTCTTATTAGCTTACCAAGCTTACAAGAATGGCGATATATCATCAATGCGTAAAGCTGCAGCTATGTTTAATATACCATTTTCAACCCTCCAACGCCGCCATTCTGGTGTCCAATTTCGTCTTGAAACACACCCACCGCAGTCTAAACTGACTGAATCTGAAGAGGATTCATTACTTCAATGGGTCGTCTCTCTAGATGATCGCGGCTGTGCTCCTAGAACTAAAGATGTTGGTAGAATGGCTAATATCCTACTCGCCGACCGCGGAACCAACCCTCCTCTTACGATCGGTAAAAACTGGGTTACTAGGTTTGCGACGCGTTTACCTGAACTTAAGACGACCTATTCAACACCGCGCGATTTTACACGTGCGCGTCAAGAGGACTATAATGTGATCAATAATTGGTTCAAACTGGTTGAAAACACGATCGCAAAATATGGTATCACCACCGACGATATCTATAATTTTGACGAGACTGGGTTTGCGATGGGACGATGTGCGACCGCGAGAGTGGTTACTAGAGCTGGTTATTATGGTAAACGCGCAAAAAAACAGCCTGGTAACCGGGAATGGGTTACTGTGATAGAGTGTTTAGGCGCGTCTGGTTACGCACCTCCACCCTGTATTATCTTTAAGGGTAAGGTGATGATGCAGAGCTGGTTTGCTCCTGATCTAGGTTTACCACCTAATTGGCGTCTTGAGATTAGTCCTAATGGCTGGACATCAAATCAAATAGGGCTCCGTTGGCTTGAAAAGCTCTTTATACCTGCTACTGCTCGTACTAAAGGACGGTATCGCCTTCTGATCTTAGATGGCCATGGTAGCCATTTAACACCTGATTTCGACAAAATCTGCCAGGAGCATGATATTATACCATTATGTATGCCTGCGCATGCGTCTCATCTTCTTCAACCTCTTGATGTTGGGTGTTTTGCGGTGTTAAAACGCTCTTATTCTCGGCTGGTTGAGTCTAGAGTAGAGCTTGGTTTTTCCCACATTAGTAAAGGAGATTTCCTAGAGATATATCCTACTGCGCGTATTGAAGCATTTGCATCTGCTTCTAATGCGTTTGCTGCAACTGGAATCGTGCCACTTGACCCTACTAGGGTGTTAAAAAAGCTTACTATGCGCGTCGATACACCACCACCACCACCCTCTATAGGAAGCGATTCAAGTCGAAATTGGACACCTAAGACGCCTAGGACGCAGAAAGATTTACGACGTCAACACCAAGCTATATTACGCACTGTATCTCGAACGCCACCAACACCATCTAAGAGAGCATTAGACCAGATAGTAAAGGGTGCAAATTACCTATATCAAGAGAATGCTCTCTTACGCCTGGAAAACAGAGATTTACGCGCCGCCCATGAGAAAAAGAAAAAACAAAAGAACGTCCGAATCGTCAATTAACAGTAGTAGGGGGTCTTACAATTCAGGAGGGATTAGACCTGGTTGACGCGTCGAATGGTGGCCCTAAACTTAATGATGCCAATTTACAAGAGGGCCAGGCGCCTGTAAGGGCGCCTGTAACCCAACGCCGGTGTGGGATATGTAAGACACCTGGACATAGGAGGGAAACCTGTCCTAGTAGGCCCATTCAGTAGTTTTTTTTTACTATATTACATAGTAAATAATGGAGTTATTGGGATTCATAAAAATAAGTGGGTCAAACTGACCCGTTCAGTAGTGTGACCCGTTCAGTGGTGAAATACTTTAGAGCATCTACTATCTAGCATAAGGCGAACTCAAATAATTGACGACGTCATGAAGATCTTCTTTTTCAGCTTAAATACTTCTAAGTGAGATTGATTCTCAGATTGGGAAGTATCAAGCTTACCGTTTTGTATTTAGTTTAGATCAGGTAACCTATCAGCATTAGGTAAGAGCATTGATTTAGGCATTGATTTAGTTATCTTGATATGAGTATTTATTGCTAATATATACATGTATATAGTATATTATATCCTTCTTCCTGATGCCATCAAACTACTTCTCCATCGAGCGGAAAGGCTAAACTCGCCACCCAATTAGCGACGGATTTTACTGTTGATACGATGGACTGAAAGTGATTTTCAATCATGAGTGGAGCCCAGATTTATTGCAGTATTACTGCAGTAAATCTTTGGCACCTAATTGGTTTTGTCAGTTAATGAATGGGGAACTACTTTTGGCAGTTTTGGAGTGGACTTGAATAACACACCTCTTACAACCCGCAACGATACATTTACAAAGTATATGTATATGAAACAGTAAGACGCGTCAATATTCCGACATTTACATATGGGACGAATAGTAGTGGGATGGAGTCGGACTTAGACAAATACACCCTCCAGGTGTAACAGGTTGAATCCTGGTAAACTATCACGTGGTTGTACCATGTGACCCACCAACCGCATACCTCACGATTCCACCCCGAATTGTTTACGTTTCTTTAAGGATTTTGTACACAGCATGTGCCTAGCTAGTTCTGAATCTGAGATTAGCTTTAGCCCTTCACACCAGGTACAGTAAAACATGTTTATATGGAGTCACTATAGAGGAGCAGACTTTCACAAGCGGAAATCGGCTAGATTCTATTCCGCCATATCAACAACAAGAAACCTCCTTATAACTATTACACTAATTCGTAAGAAAAAAAAGGCTCCTCTATACAAAACTCGCTAGGTATGCTCAAGCATCGCTTCACCGGTCCAAAACGCCTCGCCGATGGGTCCCAATCAAACGAACAAAAGATCTTGAATGAATAGTGTAATCTTCGAAGAATGGCTCTGCTGGTAGGTCTCTCTCATTCCTACTCTTGATTCTACTTTTATATACCCTCTATATTAGTAGAACTGTTGCGACAGCCGAGAAACAAGGCCATCAACAGACGGAAAGTATTTCGGCCGAAAAAGCTTCTGCCGAGACAGCGACTCCGGAACTGGATTAGTATATCACGGCATCCTTGAACGATATGCATTCATCGCAAACGACACCCTTGAGCGATGCGCATTCGCGACAGTAATGTCCCGTCTTCACCGTCTCTTCTGTCTCGGACGAATGTTGACATTCGTCCAGAGCAGAGGGGCGCCCATGTACTATAAGTAGCTAGTTCTTTCATCAATGAAAAAGCAGACTTCACAACAACCACAATATTCAGTACTGTAGAGACCACTACACTTGGTGGTTTGTCTACGGTGTTGAGTAGTGGTTCGTTGGAGCTCACTGTTCTCAGTAACGAGCGATTAGCTAGCTACGCTCGCTAAGCGAGCGACAAGAACAGTTGTCTTCTTTGAGACAATTATTCTGCATATGAAACTTGAGTCAATGCCATCAGAAGTAGTATATCTCTACTAAATACATAATACACTAATTATCGTTACGGGTGGATATCTCCTATACAATGTCAGAATGTCTTCGTATCAATGTTTAGTGTAGGATTGAGTTTAAAGGTATATAAGTGGAGCTTGCACATGCTTTCGTGAGAGAGAAATCATAATGGTCTTTTGGTCGAAGCGTTTGGATATGAGTGCAAGCATACCCTTAACAGTTATATGCCATCTACCAAATGCAATGAACCGATTGTAGCCATTTAACCAGGGTATACTCAATATATAGAAAACATGCTAGAAGGGCCGTTGGATTCAATATGTAATATCTGAACTCCATCAAGACAATGATCCAGTGGCAACTAGGTATAAATATTTTCAAAACAATTCAGTGGGGTATTAAAGCATGGAAGCTCGATATCTTAGATACTAAGTAATACTAGAAGGTGTACGAACAAGGTACTCTCACATGATATAGCTAATACTAGAGATAGATCTTTAGCCTCTTCTCGCTAGGGCTGAATAGTCCTGGGTCAAGGAAACCACCATGAGTTGCAGAAGAATCCTGGGGTATCCAGGACCGGCTCCTGCGAGAGCACCCACGAAATCATAGATCACAGACTCCATTGCGTGAGGAGACAACATCTCGGGTTCCCAAAAACTGATAGAGATCAGTGGGAAAATGTGTTGGTCAACAGATCAGCAGGCGTTATACCCACTGGATGGTGGAAGACCACTATGTCAGTGAGCCGTCGGCCTGCCCGATGGTTGGCGTATCGAGTCCCTTCCATTCCTGTGCCCCCGTTCAAGAGACCATATTTACGTGGTATAAACCATATGCTATTTACTGAACTTTGAAGGGATCCTTCGAGGATTAATTACTGTATTGACTTCAATATACTGTTGATCCATCTTCAACCACCCTTACTTATATCTTCTCTGCCCAGGTGTCTACCTAGGTAGGGCCTATTATACAACTCCTCTCTTGGCTTACGGATACATACTATACATTAGACCTCACCCTTTACAAGTTTATCATTCCCATATATAAGACAGTTCAAGATGATTTTGACTTCATTTCAGGAGGATGGAGAAGAAGAGGGAGAGGAGCTATTAGAAGCACCACGGGCTCCAGTACATAAGCCATTCGCGCGTTGCAAATACTTCACTCATTTGAAGGTGTCGGTTTACAGGGATCTCGATGCACTATTACTACAATGTTGTAAGTTATGCGGTAAGATGTGTGTTCATTCTAAGTTCCCGCGATGGAATCGGATATGCCCCCGATTCCACTAGTTTCATTCACTTCCCGAGTCCATTCACTTCCCGAGTCCATTCACTTCCCGAGTTCATTCACTTCAGTAAAGCAGATTCCATTGGTTCCAACAGAAGGATAAATCATGGAGATTGCTATATTATAAGTGACTTTAATCGATATGAGAGGGAGCTAGAGAGACGAAAGACATCAGGCTGGAAGCAGAGGGATATACAAAAACATTTTGGATACCTAGGTAGTATTTTAGGTAGCTGCACGTAAATATCTATATATACAGGTATTTACCTAAATAACATAGAACTAAAGTAAATCCCACGAACGGATCACACGGGCGAGCGAATCAACCCAATACACCATAGTAAACTCGAATAGCATATCACAACAACCACACATTGAAATCATTTTAAATCTTAAATTTGGATTATTTTTAGTCAAGAAAATATGTATATGGGAAGAAATATTAGGAAGTCATTAAGTGAAGTGTACTTAAAGCTAAAATAGATAAATTACACCGTAACTTACGGTACCGCTATAATTTATCCATTGATTCTTTATGAGGAACCTTACCGTTATATATGACCAAATATTTGAATCTTATCGGAGTCATGTATCGGAGTTATGGTTTTTGAGATATGATATTCAATTTTTTCGAGTTTGGTATGGTGTTCTGGGTGATCCGTTCGTATGGGATTTACTTCAGTTAATTTTTTTGGATTACTAATACTATCTTGTCACATGCCACAACTCTGCTAATACGAGAACTTTAACGAATGATTTTGCTAACTCGTTATAAACATGTTTTACTATAGTTCAATGTGAATCCAATTGGGGCTGCTGTTGAACTATTCAAGTGGGACTATTGACACTGAATACATCCAGTACTGTCGGTACTTCCTACTTAGAACCATAGCATGAACACATGTGCAATATTTGAGTTTACTCGTATAAACGTACTAACATTTGAAGATGATGTATCTCATTGCTAGAAGAATTCAACTGTTAACGGAGTAGCTTAGTTCCCAAGAAGCGTATTTTACAACGTAACTATTGCCCAAGAGCGCCCTACTAGCAATACTCCACCATCCCATCATCCCATCCCATCACTTACAAAATTGAGCGATTACTTCACAGAAAAACCTCACGGTGAATCCATATAGTTAAAACCAATAAACATACCAATCAGAATCCGTCAATCTGATCTGTGTCTAGAATCTGAAACAAGAATTCTCTCTCAACTGATTCGCTGGCCACCCGCTAACGGGAAACGTAGGCGCTAATGTGCAGCTAATACTGCTAGCCAATACCACCACTTAGATGGTCAGGTACATGACGCCCTAGGCACGGTCAAAAAATTTAGTGCGACATTGTTGTTAACTAAAAGGCTCTTTCATGAACAGTGGTTGGTGCGTTTCTCCAGCCGCCGAGTCTCAAAACAAACATATCGAAAATTTGCCCACCAGGTTCCGAGCCAATTATTGGCTGGAGTTGTCGCCCTTGATCAAATTTGTCCTAATTTTCTCCTAACATGTAGAGCATGAAACATCCACTGCTTTCGACAAGTGCCCAAGTGACAAGTGCCCCTCTTGTGGGAAGTTGTGGCTTCTGAGATCGCGAGAAGGCAAGATGGAGAGGAGTCAACCGTTATAGGCATTCAATTGATTGGAGGCTTCTAGTTCTGCCGTGGAAAGTCTGTACTGGACTTACGACATCTGCAGGAATAGACTGAGATTTCTATACGTATAGTATGACGGTGTAGCCGAGTACGCATAAAATATAAAGTCTTCAGCGCCAACCCTACTTTCCTTTTTTTTTTTCATCCTCATTCCTGATCCTACTTCTTGTTTTCTGGTTGAATCCTCTCACAGGCTGGACCTGTATTGCTATTCCATCCTTTGGTAGTCTGTCATTCCTTAAAGAGACCTCATACTTCACACTTCACAACAAAACAATAGAGGGTTGCAGAGCATCCCTACGTCTTTACACCTTTACGTTTTATCTGAAAGAACAAAAGAGTTGTTCACAATCAAAGGTATTGTTCAATGTTTCTTATTGTCTCATTGATAACTATTTTTTGTCTTGGCGTTTCAATATGGAAGTGAATGCCTATACTTCTAATTACTTCCATTTCCTCCCTCCACCTGGGTAATCTTGCAATGATTTAAGAGATTCTTCTCTCCTCTTTTCTGTTTTCTCCTACAACAGACTAACACAATAGAACAGGAGCTTTGGAAGCTTCTTTTCAATTATTATCGCAACTACCAATATCCATTCCTTTTGCCTCTCTCATTCGTCTGGTACGAAGAGGATATCAACCCATTGAATTTTCTCGTTGAATCAGGAATCAGAACAAAAATACCTCCTATCACCAGTATGTTCGTCAAATTGATACTGGCTGCCATGCTTGGCATCTCTATCGCCAATGCTCATATGATTATGACCAACCCCGTGCCCTATGGCAAGGACAGTTTGAATAACTCTCCACTGGCTGCAGATGGAAGCGATTTCCCCTGCAAGCTTCGCTCGGACACGTACGAAATTACCAAGCAAAATGTCATGGTCATTGGAGAAAGCCAGACCATGACATTCGAGGGCAGTGCTACACATGGCGGTGGCTCGTGTCAAATCAGTTTGACCAGTGATCTCTCACCTTCGAAAGACACAGAGTGGAAGGTCATTCAGTCCTATGAGGGTGGCTGTGTGGCTAACGTCGAAGGAAACCTGTCAGGTGGCGCCAGCATGACTGATCCGGATACTTTCAACTACACCATCCCCGATGGCTTCACTCCTGGAAAGTACACTCTTGCTTGGACATGGTTTAACCGTGTCGGCAATCGCGAGATGTACATGAACTGCGCTCCCGTCACGGTCGAAGCCAAAGGCTCTTCTAAGCGTGAAGTTCAAGTCAAACCAGTCGAAAAACGCTCATCCAACTATCCACCTATGTTCATCGCCAACGTCAATGGCTGCACAACCCCGGAGGGTGTCGATATTCGTTTCCCCCAGCCTGGATCGGCTGTTCAGTATCTCGGCGAAGCTATCAACCTCGCAAAGGTTGGCGCTGCGGCTTGCACTGGTACCGCTACCTTTGCCAGTTCTGGCGATACCACTAGCAGCAGCAGCAGCGACTCGTTAGCATCCGACTCCGACTCCGATTCTGACTCCGGCTCTAGCACCGCAACAGCCGCTGTAATTAGCACTGCCACTACAGCTTCCAGCCAAGACACAGTAGCTACTTCAGTCTCCATCGCAGCCTCCGTTGAGACAGACACTCCTGCGGTCTTCGTGCCCATTACAGCAACTAGCACTTCGCAGGCTGTTGCCGCCTCAGCCTCAGCATCCAGCACTTCTAGCATAGGTGCTCTAAGTGGTTCTTGCAGCACCGAGGGTGAGTGGAATTGTATCTCAGGCAGCTCCTTCCAGCGCTGTGCAAGCGGCCAGTGGTCCACTGCTGAGGCTCTGGCTTCGGGTATCGAGTGCAACAATGGCAAAAGCGTAAACCTGTCCATAAGCGCTGCCAAGCTAGATCGCAGAATCTCGGATATGCGTTTCCACAAGCGAATTCATCGCGAGTCTCACCATTTGTAAAGGAGTATATGTCCTGCGCTGGCGTAGGACGTGGCACTTCTGTTTCTTGTTGTTTTCTTCTTGAATTCTTCTTCTCTTCTTTTTCGCTCGAGGTGAAGACACTTAAAAATAAAACACTCTTTTTTCCACTTTATTCCAATGTGCGTATTTTACGAAATGGGATGTGATGCTCTTTAAATGGTGTGCTGTAAATCTGAATGTTGCATTATAATACCGTGGTAAAGGTCTGACTTCAAGCTGCTAGTTGTTAGCCATCTCTATGGTGAGTATATTTCGTAATTGTCAGCACTGATTAGTTACATGATGAGAGGTGGCAGCATAACTAGTTAAATGTAGATATTTAGTACTTTTCAACAAGACCCCGGGATGAGTGGGACTGTTATTACATAATCATAGAATATACATTAATCCAAATTAGGGAAGGGCTTAGGGTTTCCCGCACCCACAGCTCCACCAGCTCACCAAGCGAAAAATTCCACTGAGCCTCCCGATCTAGGAAACACTTGGTCTTCAACCTCACCATCGACACCGAACGACAACAATGGCCTCCCGCCCGACCGTCTCGATCGCTACAGCTGAGGGCAAGGCCTCCGGGGCCACCCTCCCCCTTCCCTCCGTCTTCAATGCGCCCATTCGTTCGGACATTGTCCAGTACGCCATTCCGAAGTGAAAATTTGGGTAGAAATACTGACGGTTTGCTTTACAGGTCGGTTCACACTGGTATTGCCAAGAACAAGCGCCAGCCCTACGCTGTGAGCGAGAAGGCTGGTGAGCAGACTTCTGCTGAGTCCTGGGGTACCGGTACGTTTAAATTTCCCTCATCTTTATTTCGAGATTGGTTATCAATTTGGATGCAATCGAATCGACGGGGAGCAAGATTTTTTTTGGGCTCCACTCCAGAGAAAATATTCAATCAAAGGACTGTGACTGACAATTATTCTTAGGTCGTGCTGTCGCTCGTATCCCCCGTGTCTCTGGTGGTGGTACTCACCGTGCCGGTCAGGCTGCCTTTGGTAACCAGTGCCGTTCCGGTCGTATGTTCGCTCCCACCAAGGTCTGGCGCAAGTGGCACCAGAAGGTCAACGTTGGCCAGCGCCGTTTCGCTACCGCCTCCGCTCTCGCTGCCTCTTCCGTTCCCGCTCTGCTCTTCGCCCGCGGTCACCGCGTCGCCAAGGTCCCCGAGGTTCCCCTCGTTGTTGAGTCCAAGACCTTCGCCGCTGGTGCTCTGACCAAGACCAAGGCTGCCATTGCCCTCCTCCAGGCTCTTGGTGCTGGTGAGGACCTTGTCAAGGTCCAGAAGTCCCGCAAGATCCGTGCTGGTAAGGGTAAGCTCCGTAACCGCCGCTTCCGCCAGCGCCGCGGTCCCCTGGTTGTCTACAACCCCGAGACCGATGGCAAGGAGCTTGTCCGTGCCTTCCGCAACATCCCCGGTGTTGAGACTTCGTCTGTCTTCTCCCTGAACCTCCTCCAGCTTGCCCCTGGTGGTCACGTTGGTCGTTTCCTCGTCTGGACCTCCTCCGCTTTCGAGGCCCTCGACAAGGTCTACGGTACCACCACCACCCCCTCGGCTCTTAAGAAGGACTACCTCCTGCCTTCCAACCTTGTTGCCAATGCCGACTTGGCCCGTCTCATCAACTCCTCTGAAATTCAGTCCGTTCTCCGCGCCCCCAAGGGTGAGGCTCGTACCAAGCGTGCCCACGTCCAGAAGAAGAACCCTCTGCGCAACAAGCAGGTCATGCTCCGTCTTAACCCCTACGCTGCTGCCTACTCCAAGCAGAAGCTGGGTCAGCAGACCGTTAAGGCTGAGAAGCCCAAGCGTGCTAACGAGACCTTCCTTAAGACTCTCACTGAGGAGTAAGCGTGTTCCTTATATGGAATATGTTTTTTAACGTTCGAAAAATGGTACTAGTTTGAGAGCAAAAATGAATCAATGCCTTTTTGCAAATACCCATGGGTTGGCGTAATAATATGACCGGTTCTACTTTCTATCCTTTCCCTTCATGTCCATATCTGGTAAGTGTATTGTACGTGTAAACCTAGGGCCTACCTGGCAAGTTGGGGGTCTTCTTTCTTCCAATCATTGAAAAGATCTAAAGAGACTTCCATGGATGTACCTGACAGCCGACCTTCCTCGGAACCTTCTAATGTTACCACGTCCACACTTGGGCATGGATGCACAGGTATCTCTACCTAAGTAGGTACCTAGTGCTACTTCGGGGCACCATCGCTCGTGGAATGGAACACTCTAACACCTGGGTACTATTCAAGGTTCACTCTTGAGATCCTGGAAGGTTCCTAAAATCTGCAATTTCAACATGGACTTCCAAAATGAACGTATGGATATCTTCAACACCAACTAGAAATGATTACGTATATCTCTCTTCCCACTATTCCCGCGGTCCTGTTGAGGTACTTAGCTCTTGAGGTCTCGTACGAGGGCAGGCCCTTGGGTATTGCGGGCTATGTCAAACTCACGCTACGAATCATCACGAGCCAATCGTAAATTGACAGCTCATCGAAAAGAGGTTGTCTTTACGGTTATATCTTCTGGAAATTTTGGCTGAGATTGTGTCTCTTGAAGCGTAGTATCCCGAAGCTTGATCCCTTGAGGGTTGGCGCCGACGATGGGCTGAGAGTCATGATCTAACTATAGAGCTTATTTAGGTACCTTCATTGGGCATGAGGTTTTCCAATGACCTCGAGAATGTTCTTGTTTAAACCTCGGGATGGTTAGCTTGACTACTTAAACACCTGCCTATGAACATGGATCGATGGCGGGGCGCGGTTTTATATCCATGGATGCTTGTCTACTGAACAGTCATACCTACCTGCCTACCTGCCTACCATCCAGGGCTGGGCATAGAACCCCTGGGTATGAGAAACAAAGAGCTCTCTTTTGAGTCTGTTCGAGGGCTTTAAAGAAGTGGAAGTTAAAGAACTTCTCTAATCCATTCCGATAATTCTCAAGATGCCAATTAACCTTTCTTTCAAGTATATTTCTTCCAAGTATATTTAATGACTCGAGGTCAAGTGACTGCTAAGTCTTTCATATTTTTCTTCTATTTTCTTCTATTTTCTTCTATTTAATTTCTTCAAATAGGTAGGTAGATTACCTAGCTATTGAACTTAGTCAATAAAGACCCTCTAGGTAAATTTCGAAGTCCGTACTAAGGTAAGACCAACCTTGGATCTCAGGAATATCATGGCACGCGACTTAGAAATGCTGCTTGAAATAGCCACTTAGCTAGAGGTCAAATGCCCGATGGGAAATCATAGATTACCCAATTAAAAACCTACCTAGCCGCTTAACTTACTTGCCTCGTAGGGTAGCCTATCTTAGTGGCAATATCAGGACCTAGGTAGGAAGGCACGTGGCGATGTAGGTACCCTTTCCAGAAAGTATTGTCGAGGCAGCCATGAGGGAAGACGGATGGTCAGCCCACGACTGTCAGATCCACCTGAATCAGCCCAACGGAAAGAATTGAGAAATAAGACCTGTCATCAACGCACAAATCCAATAGATCTGACGGTGGCAATCGTGGTGAAAGAGCCTAGCATCATGCATGCCCAAGTGGCTGGAACTGCGCAGCGAGAAGTTTATCCATAGCCTTGGAATTTTCAAGCCGACCTCGGGAGAATAATCTTGAAAGTTGACAACCGTGGCGAATACGATGCCATGTGTCAAACCTGTCATTTGGAATAGAAATGTTCTGCTTCGGTTCTCATGGAAGTTGTTCTAGAACAATCTATTATTATCCGATATATTTCCCATGATTACTCTGGTAACGATCATCCAATAAAGTGTCCAGGTGAGATGCACAGATGCATATACCCCAGGGGATCGTATCTTACACGATCACCTGGTATACCGGGCTCGGACACGTAAGAATCCAGATCGATGAGAATAAGCACAGACGCGGATGAATCTTCTAAGGTTGGAAATATTTTGGGAAATCGGCAATGTGAACATGTTCGGGTCTGGGATCACTTGGAAGAGACAATCCATAATTAATATCTTTAGGTTTGTCACCACTGACACAGGTTCATCGTTCTGTTTGATATCTCGGCTATGAGCAGATGTTCCAAGGTTAGTTGGTAGGGTACGGAGTGAGTAGGAACAACCTGGAATTGATATTCAAAGGTAACGTGACCGAGAACAGTTGAATCGGGCTTAGTTCACTTTGTCTTCGTCAAGAACACCTTCGGGAAGTTATAAGGTTGAAGTTGAAAGGATTGAGATTCTTAATGGATACGTCCGACTTCAAGTGATCACGGAAGAACCCTGGAGCCCTGGAGATGTCGGTCCTCTTTCAATTAACCGATCACGAAAAATAAACAGTCTAAACAGATGTCTCAGCCATGCGACCACGGGACGGACCCCACGCTCTAGATTTTGGGAGGAAAGAAATAAAAAAAAGGCCAAAGGCAATGCAAAACATACTAACCTTGAAAGTAGATCCTGGTTATGCAGTAGCAGAGTTGCAGTACATTAGTGTTGTGGGTTTATCCAGTCTCCACCACTCTCCTGGCTTACTTTAAGATGAAGGATTCACATTAGTTGCCTGCATGCAATGTGTCCTTTTCGTATTGATCCGAGCAGGGATTCAGACAAATTTGTATGGGACGCAAAGCTGCTCCGAGTCCAGGTGGAAATTGCTGTTCCCCTCGTTACTAGGTACTAAGATAAATACTTTAGTACCTCCGTAGGTACTCCGGATACCTCAAGTACAACGTCCAAAGTTGTTTGATTCCTCCAATGAAAAAGCACTTATAGTCGGCACTTATTCGGAGTAAAACTGGGTCCAATGGATCAGCCAATGGTGTGATATCTTGAAACTGCCCTGTGCATAACGTATTCGGCCTTCGGAAATCCCAGACTCTATTCATCAATTGCCGGTAAACTTCGCCATCCACTTATAAGGATTTTTTTTTATTTTTATAGTTTATTTTTGCCCAGGTGCCTTTTACTAAATGGGGACAAGTCACGAAGGCCGGACAAAATAGGTGGCGATCACATTCAACGTGCATATCGGATGGTCAAGCTTTTGAGACAAAATACGTGGATAACTGGGGATACATGGACTTCAACTTTACTTTGATTAGTTCAGGTGACCCCATAACATAGGTATCAAACAAAGCGTTTTTCCTCTAGACAGGGCTATAGAAGAAGAGTACCTGGGTAGTAACCAGATGTCGCAAAAGTACTTTCCAAGGTTGGGTAGCCAAGAATGAACTGATGCATCACAGCAACCTTGAAATAATCTACAAGTATTTTTTTAAGTGATATCAGATAACCAACAAACTAAGTATATTCCCACCGATAGCACTAGTAGGGATTCACGGTGAGACGCAAGAAATGAACGTTATCCACTGTGGAGGGTCGAATAGTTGACTATCAGAGGGGTCTCGGCTTTGCCTCTTTATTCGGGGCTCAACAGGTTAAAACAGGAATGGAGCCGAAACGTAAAATCCAATACGAAGTAGTCAAGAAGACTTCCACCTCTCTCATTGGAGTAGGGAATAAATGAGTATTTGATACTTCATGGTTAGACTCCGCCCATCCGGCCGAGGACTGACCCCACTGGGAGCCACTGGTAACTTGGTAACTATTCCGGACCGCGAGAGTTTCTTCAGCCGAAAAGTTTGGCGCTTCTTCCCGATGATAGTACCGAGATCAACAGCTCCAAAAGTACTAGTTAGATGTAGATGGTAAGATCTATACACGTTGACGTAAGTTCCAGTGGAACACCCTGGCAAACAGTTTATTATTATCATCATTTTGTTATTCCAAGATTCACTTCTGTCATACCTACTCTCCTTTAAAGCTTTGAATCCACTGAGATTATCTCAATTGCCGGTAAATAACGATCCGTATAAAATACTTGAATCTGAAATTTCGTGTCTGGGCTTTTTTGGTGGCGCGCCCTAAGTGAGAGCCGCCTGCAGGTCAGAATTACAGGAGTGTTGTTTCATTTTGCTAATCCCAGAAGAGTGTAGATCGATCCTGTCGATCGTTTAAATAAAAATATACTTAAATACCTTCTATAAAAAAAATTAAGAACTGTTTTTTCTAGTACTTTTGGAACTGTAATTATACAAGCAGTTAGTGTACGGACTCTACGGGAGTACGAGTTACAGCCCTAGACCCTCCTCTATTTCTGTTTCTATTCCTCTCTTCCTCTTCTTTCCCCTTATTGATATGAGATCTTTCTTTTTTTATTAAAAAAAAAATTAATTTCTTTGCCTTCCTGTTTCTATTCATCTCTCTTCTATAGTTGGCCACCGCGGCTATCATTTTCCTCCTACCTAGTGGAGACACTACTTTCAACTATTCTTTCTGTCCATCCATTTGCGAACTAGCTTGGCCACCTTCTTTCCAAGCTTTCTCCTGTACTAGTTCGAACCGCCAGCATCTGCCATCTGGAATCCATTCCGAATCTATTATCTCCGTGGTGGATAGTTCTCGGGAACTAGTTGAATACGGAACTAGATTTGCGCTTATTCCTTTAGTCAATTTTCCAATTTGGTCTGTCAAAAGGTCTCCTGAACCTCTTTACATCTCACGACTTGTTCTCGGCTTTCGTTTCCCTGAATGTTTGCAATTGCCTCTGGTTTTTGTCGCTGATGCAAAAGTACGGGCCTGCAGCCACCCTGGTATCTTGAACATGTACCCAAAGCTGTGAATACCTAGGGCCCGTTTGCGACATGCTGGGTTTCTAAACCTATTCCAACTCCAATATTGGTTTGATCCGATTCTCGTCGGTGATTATTTACTTTAGACTTGAATCTGACAGGACTTGGCTTTCTCGGCTTTTCTCTTTGCTTGTGAACTCGAATCTACCCAAGCCCATTGCCATCTTTCATTTCATCTCGAGTTCAGATCATTTGGAGTTTTGCGGGGTTGCTCGTTGTATGCATCTGGACCGGGTCTATTCAATTGCCTTACGATTCTTCCATATCTTACTATTTGGTGAGCTTGGAATAATTCAATAAAATAGCCTTCTTGCTAAAACCGTCTAACTTCTAGATACTGTCCAGGGTTTCCGGTCGTTGGTCATTTCCCCCGGATCCTCAAATCAATCAATTCTCCAAACCCGCTCTATCATTGCAGGCAGGTGCTAGTCTTTTGTCAGCAGAGATAGTGGAAATCAGACTCTCCATCGGCACTTGAGATGGTGATGTAGATGGTGATATTGTCCAGACGAAACGACCCTCTCCCCTCTCTTCTTCTGCTTTTCCGACAATTATATCATGTCTGGCTACTATGGTAGCCCATTTGGTCGTATGTAACCACCGATAACCTACTGAGCAGGTCTAGAGCGCCCAGCTAATCTATCAGAATCTGGGGATAACCCATACCAGCTGCCGCCACCTCCAGGATCCATAAATGCGCAATTTGGTTCGAATGCATTCCGACAACAGCGCCATCAGGGAGAAAATCCCGAGTCGGGAAGAGACACTCAATCATCTCAGAGGATTGAATTACTTCCTTCTGTCCGATCTTTATTGACACCCACTGGCGCGAGTTCATCGCCGTCTTACCATCAGCCATATAGAACCCCGACACCTAGCCAAGACCGTCGTGAGAATGCTTTTTCGTATCACCAACAGGATCCCGGTCTCCCTTCCAAAATTTCAGCTGTTGTGCAAGATAGAGCCAAGCCCCGACCAGAATCATTTCCGCAGCGCCAAACTAGCGCACTTCCACCACTATCGCAGGTGACCATGCACAGTCCAGGAGACATGAAGCATCACACACCAAGTCGAAGCGATCCCGCAGTAACATTCCAGCATGATCGCATCCCTTATCATGGGGCACCTTTTCATGAAAAGGCTCTCGGTGAAGAAACTTCTTCTCCTGATACCAAGGGAACCTCTGCACTTCCTCATGTGATAGATGAGCGGTTTGTTGAGGGCGAGGGAGTCTGTTACGTCTATGCGGATGGCTCGCACGTTCCGAAATCAATTGACGGTGTCGCGGTCAATGCGAATTGGGGCATCACTAAAGCAGGAAAGCCAAGAAAGCGACTTGCTCAAGCATGCCTGACATGTCGTGAGAAAAAGATCAAATGTCAACCAAACCTGCCCAAATGTGAACAATGTCAAAAATCTGGTCGTGAATGCCGGTTCGAGAGCGCGTACGTAGCATTCCCCTCGAGCTGCCAACCGAAGCTTTGCAAAATAAGTATAATGCTGACCTTCATCCAGCCCTCGTGGAAGCCGATCGTTCCAAAGAGCTTCACATCCACCCATTGCTCCTACGGCTTCGGATGCTTCCACTTCGATCTATAGCATACCTCGAGTATCGCATAGTCCTACTTCACTCCCAGGGACTAGCGGTCACTCACCTCTTTCAGAAGGGCCAATACATACACCATCTGCAGAAGCCGGACTTGAGGCTACGCCAGATGCAGAGAGGACTTTCAAAGCACGGATATATAGAGCTCCGCGTCTATCCGAAGGCACTGATAACATAGTTGCGCGGACGCTAGATCACACCGAGAACCGGCAACCCGAATACGCAGATATTCTAGGAGATATCAGAGACACGAACCCTCACGACCCGCTTGCAGGCTCCTGGAACATCGATCCATACGAAACAGAACCAGAAAACACTCTCCACTATGTTGAATCCTTCTTTTCTAGCGTCAATGACGGCCTCTACTACATCTTTCCCCACACACGATTCATTTTGTGGTTGAAATCATGCCGTACAAAGTCTGCCGAAGATAAAATGCTTATTTACTCTATGATGTCCCTGGGTTCCATCTTCTCCGACCGATCAGATCGAATTGTGGCGTTGAAGCAATATTCACGAATTGCACGCTTTGCCATTCAGAGAAGTCAGCATACGGTATCTTTGCAGCTGGCTCAGAGCCATCTGATAATGAGCCTCCTATACTATGCTACGGGCTTTTTAGTTGGTTCATGGGATTCAATTGGCGCAGCAGGGCGAGCAGTCTGTGGACTTCGGTACAATGTCGAGTCTGGAGGTGTAGTTGTAGATCAGGCTCAAGCTTGTGACTATGGATTTCACCCACATGCTCTGATTGAATGTCGTCGCCGAACTTACTGGGTCGCCTTTATCTTGGATGTAAGTAGCTACTGACTGAGTCGGAAGGGAAAGAGAAAGAACTGACTGAACTTGTCTCTAGCGAGTCTCAAGCTTCTTCTCCGCCTCCTCCACTTTCATTTCATCCGAGGCAGCTTTGATCAGACTTCCATGCCGAGAAGATATCTATGAAGCGCAACAATATGCAACGGCACCATTTTTCCAGTCCGTTCTTAACCAGGCGACTACCTCGCCCGATGAGGATTGTTCCACCCTCAGTCACATGGCATTTTTGATCCAGATCATGTCAATCTGGGGAGATGTCTCCCTTCATGTGTTCCGTTCAGCACATGTTCCATCCGATGGCTACGCCCGACTCGCAGAGGAATTTAATACAACGACCACCCACCGAACAGAAGACTGGAAAACTCGAATACCAGAACATCTAACCTTTTCAGCCATCAATCTGGAACGAGCGATACAGACAAAGAAATCAAATGCTTTTATTTCAATTCACATGTTTTACCACGCCACTTTGATGAAGCTGTACAGACATGCACGATACTCAAGTCTCCGGTCCGAGGTCTTGGTCCAATACATCCACCGAGCCCGCTTCCACGCCGTGGAGATTTTGAGGATCGCTCTTGCTTTTTTCCAAGCGAGCGAGATACAGTATTCCCGAATCACAGCCGAAAATCTCACTCCTACCACGAACATGTTAAGCCCCTTCCTGGGCTACGTGATTCTTTCAGCTGCTGACTTGCTCAGTGCTGCTGGCATGCTAGTGGAACTACCCGACTGCATTTCTACTATCAGGGGTGCTCTCGGTATGGTCCGTCTTCTCGGTCGTCACTGGGACAGTTCTCTGGTTTTAGTCAACACCATACAAAGACGCCTAGAAGTAATGGTCGAGTGTCTCAATGATCGCAGTCGCATCCAAGATAAGATTGGATTTGCTGTGGATGGACCATCTCTCGAGACGAAGATCCACGAGGGTGCACCTTCCTCTCATCCCCCGAGTGCTCTTGACGAAGATCTGTTCTTCGGTTCAATGCCGCGAGAGATTCTCCTCCGGGCTATGAATATCGAAGGTATTGCTGTTTCAAAAAACAGCATTGCTTGGATGAGAGACCGTTAAATATGAATTTTTATATTTCATTTCGTTATACTGTACTTTTTCAACCTTTTTTCAACCTTCAAAAGTAAGGAATGTGTGGTTTCTTTTTCTTTGATTATATTTCTTTGACTTTTTTACGACATGGAGTTATAACGGTGGTTTGATTGCTTCAAAAGTGAATCTTCATAAGCAACCTCTGCATCACCTCAGAAAGGGAACGGGTTCCTTTTCCAAGGTTCCGTATTTAGGTGGCCCTGTATTATTATCTACTTCATGACCATATCTTCAAGTTGTTCAGTGGCTTACTTTCAAATTTTATAGACACCTGCCCGTGCAGGTGTATCAGTATTTTATATCTTTTGTGGAAGAAGCGAATGGACATGGATTCTTCATTTGATATATGAAATGAAGATGATGGAAATCTAAAAGGAGCGGTTTGTAAAGTCAACCGCTTGCACCTTTTCAACAATACCTTGAAGACCCCCAGAGAAAACACGATGGACTAGATCACCTTGTAAGTAATAGACTTGGCCATCCGTGTTCTGGAATTCTACGACAAATGCCTGTGTTATTCCTTCCTTTATCATAACAGAATTGATGTCAGTCATCAACCAAATGAACTTCATTGTAAGGAGTGACTTGGGCTTACCTGTAGTCCTTCGGGCGAGTGATCATTCCTGCCAATTGCAGTTTTGAGATCAGGTTTTGAGGAGGGAGGGCAATAACATGTTCTTCCCAGGTCCATAAAGCTATCACAGATCTTTCATGCACTTTTGACCTTGCAATTGGTTATAGGCCTGTCTATATTACGGCGGAATCTACGTCTTGTATGGTTTCAGGGGCCACATTGGCTTTGAATTGGAAGAGAAGTGAGCTATCCTTATCAAATATCTGCTTGGAGCCCTCTAATTTTGACTGACTAGTTTAGAGTGCTAAATCCAACTTCAAGACAATTAAAAACGAGGAGAGACTTCCATTTCTTTACTCAACTCTCAACATTCCAGATTCATCGACAACGCTTCGAATATGGCCTGTGTGGCAAAGGGTTTGCAAACAAATATAGTCTCATCCGTCATACCTCGAAAGCAGTCTGTAATGATGTAATCACTCCCAGCTCGCTGAACTTGTGATCGGAAATTACTATGTACAGTAGGGATTTTATGTACTTAGTATATTAGGGAATTTTTTACTTGGGCGAGCTGATTACCATATTTGGACTAGCGCCCGTATTTAGATTACATAGTTCGACCATAAATTATATTACAAATTCGACATCGATTTTGAGCTTGAAGTTCCTATCGACACCTTAGTAATCAGGTACTGAAAATAGCTAACTAGAAGTTGACCTTGTCATCCCACCACGTTTCACTCAACAGAGGAAATGGCCGTTTGCTTGCCCTCATAAGCCCATCATGCCCAACTGGACAAATCAGAATGCTTCAATAACATCCTCCTTCGATGACAACGCCTCCGAGGTGGCCCGGAATTTCGGCGCAAATGTGGAAGATGACGGACTCGATGGAAGCTACGACATGACTGCGGACACGGACAACTCTGACGAAGTCGACTATTATACCTTACTTGGCCTATCTTCAAAGCCAGCGCCGACCGACTCTGAAATTCGCTCCGCATATCGCACCCTTTCTCTGAGTTTCCATCCGGACAAACAACCGCCGCACCTGCGCCATGCAGCTGAGGAACAGTTTAGACGCATCCAAGAAGCGTACGACACACTCATTGACAACAAGAAGCGCACTGTATATGATTTACTGGGAGCTGAAGGTGTACGGCGAGAATGGTCCGCCGCAGGTGCAATGGGTGTTAGAGGCGAGGCGCAGAGACAGCACATCGGTATCAAAGCTATGTCCCCCGATGAATTTCGACGTTGGTTTGTGAAGCGGATGAAGACTCGCGAAAGAAAAGCTGTAGAGAGCATGGTTTCGAGTAAGGTATGTATTTGCCCTTATTTGCAACGCCTTGAATCGCGAACTGTGGCTTATTCCAAAATCCTGGCTTTGTAGGGCACTATCACCATTATGCTCAACGCGTCGAACACTATAGATGTGGATGAGGATCGAGATGTGACACTGCACATACCAAGGCCTAAACTGCAAACATTTGGTGCCGCGTATCAGTTCAAGGTTCCTTTGCCTCTGCCCGAGTTTCTGCACGCAACGAAGAAACTGGAGGACAATGATCAATCTGAAATGAATGAAACTGAGGAAGAAGATGATCCTATTCAGGTGACTTTTAATGCCGGTATCGTGGGGAACGTTAGGCCTACAGCGCATAAGTATATTGTTGAAAGGGAAGATGGTTCAGAAACAGAGGAGCTGGTATGTTTCCACTTCACTCCGACCAAAGAGTCAATTTTAATGATATATTTAGATTCCTGGACCTCCATTATTAGCAAGTCAAAACATCACCCTTGGTGCTACGGTGACGCCCAATATTCAGGGTTTGGCCGGCATCAAGGGCATCTGGCACAAACGCCCTCTTTCATTCCTGAAAGACTCTCAAATCTCATTTAATTTGACTGCCCTTCCTGCCCCGGCGCTGCAGACAACTTTCTATCGGGCTTTTCAACCAGCTCCTGGTATTAAGCCTATTCAAGTCAAGGCCGTTACTACTATCAAACATTCTCTATTGGAACTTCCACCTTCAATTGAGCTGCAAGCCACTAAAGAAGTTGCAAAGGGAAAGATTGGTTTCATTCAATGGTCCAGTGGGTCTTTTGGCTGGCCTGACCTTCTTCTCGACCGGTTCAGATTCCTTGGGATGTCTTCAGCAACATTTTTTGCCGCTGAAGATGATGGTAGCAGTTTGCAAGTTGGCCTTATATCTATGCCCAGTCAGCCTGCGCTGGTAGTTGATACTGATGTCGATGACGATGACGATGAAGACGGAGAAAATGCCGAGCACCTGCGTGAGCTCGAGAAAAAGAAGCAAGCTATTGATCGCAGTGCTGCGTCGTTCCGAACACACCTACACGTTAGCCCAGAAGGAGGAGGCTTTGTGCTAATGTATGGACGAAACGTGTTCTCTGGCACACCAGCCGATGACCCTGTCAAGTCCGAATGGAGTTCTGAAGGGTACTATCCAATGCCGAGAATGGAGAGTGAGCGAGCTGTGCGAATAGAATTCACCAGCGTCATTAGTTTGGGCCAATCTCCTAGCTGGTCTGTCAAGGGTACAAGGCGAGTGGGCGAGTACACCAAAGTAGGACTTGGTGTCGGGTTCGCAGGGAACGGCATCACCATGAACATCCACTGGAGTCGACTTGGTCAGCGCATCAGTCTTCCTATTGTGCTTTGTCCTGCCGACAAGGCTGTCCACGAAGCAGCGGTTCTAGGGGCTGTCATCCCTTGGCTCGCCTACTGTGCCTTTGAATTTGGGTACATCAGGCCAAGCAACAGGAAGAAGCGTCGTCAGCTCGCTGCCCGTCGTCACAACGAGCTGAAGAAGCTTATTCCTCTGAAACGAGAGGAAGCCCTACAGGCCACAGAGCTCATGGTCGACCAAGTGCAAAGACGGCAAGATCGAGAAATGCTACAGAGTGGCTTCGTTGTCACCAGGGCGGAGTACGGATTTTATCCCCCGAAGAACAAGAAGGCCAAGCCGGGCTTCAACGAGCCCCGAGTGATTGATGTGACCGTCCCCGTGGCTGCGTTGGTGGACCGAGGCCAACTAATAATTCCCCAAAACACAGTCAAGGTAAGATGAAAATTCCCTGCTTCATTTTTATGTATGCTGACTCAAAAATTCCAGTTCCAAATTCTCGGATTCTATGACCCAGCACCGCTGCTCCCCAAACGGTTAAAGATCTGGTATACCTTCCAGGGTCGTGAACACTACGTGGAGGTCGGCGATAAGGAGGGTGCAGCTTGTCCTATGCGTACACACACTACATCTTCTTGAGTGCACTCTGTACTCAATCTCAGCTAACATTTGGAGACATCTGCTCCTGTAATTGTACTTCTATACAGGTATTTGCCACACTAAAGTCTTCTCATACTCCCTCGAAAGCAGTGTCTGAGCGAAAGGTATTCACACATGTATTAATACAAACTCAAATGTTTTTCAAAACGTAAAACAATCTTTTTTTTTTCCGTAGATAAAGAATTAAAGTTGAGGAAAGAAAGACGAAATGAAAATAGGACGTTTATAGAAGGTCTTGGCGTAAGTGGAGGCAGACGCACCTTTTGCGCAGTTCCTTCAATTCAGGCGCATCACTTTCAACTTTCCTACTTATCCAGCTACCTCCACTAGGCAGCTTTTGTCTTGCGATAAGTTTTACAATGTCTTCCATTGCATCAGGGCTTAACAAGGCCCTACCAAAGCCTAAGTATACTGGCGAGGAAGAAGAGCTGCCTGCACATGCACGACCCCGTGGTCCTCGTGTGGTCGGCGCCGACCAAATCGATGAAAGCCAAGTTGTTTTACGGGTGAGTTTTCTAACTAATGGAATTATATCAATTCAATCTAACTAGAGTTTCTCTGATTCAGAGAACTGGCCCTCCTCCCTATGGAAACCGCACAGGATGGCGCCCACGAGGCCCTGAAGATTTTGGTGACGGAGGTGCTTTCCCCGAGATTCCTTTGGCACAATACCCCCTCGATATGGGCAAAAAGGGAGCAGCGTCCAAGTCAAATGCGCTTGCGGTACAGGTGGATGCGACTGGCAAGGTCAAATACGACGCGATCGCGCGCCGCGGCCACACCGATAATAAAATTATCCATGCTTCATTCAAGGACTTGATCCCACTGCGACAGCGGGTGAACATGGGAGAGATCTCACTCGACCGACCTTCAGAGGAGGAGGTTCATGCACAGATGGAAAAGACTAAGGCCGCATTGGCTATTTTGGTCGACGGCGCTGTGCAAGCACAGAAACCCAAAAGTGCACTCGGTGGTAAAAGAGCAGATCCCACATTTGTCAGATATACCCCAGCCAACCAGATGGGTGATAACTCTCACAAGAATGATCGGATTATCAAAATCGTGCCAAAGGAGATCGATCCGATGGAGCCACCCAAATTTAAGCATAAGAAGATTCCTCGCGGTCCTGGATCGCCGCCGCCGCCAGTTATGCAGTCACCACCACGAAAGCTCACAGCGGCGGATCAAGAAGCCTGGAGAATTCCCCCTCCCATCTCGAATTGGAAGAATCCTAAGGGTTTCACAGTCCCTCTAGACAAGCGTCTCGCCGCAGATGGCCGTGGAATGAGCGATGTGACAATTAACGACAAGTTCGCCCAGTTCGCCGAGGCTTTGTTCACCGCCGATCGACACGCCCGTGAGGAGGTACAGCTCCGAACCCAGATGCAGGTCAAACTCGCAGAAAAGGAGAAGGCACAGAAGGAAGAGACTCTTCGACAATTGGCTCAGCAGGCCCGTGTAGATCGCTCTGGACCCAGCCGTGCCCGTGTCCGCGACTCCCGGTCTCATTCTCGCGATCGAAGTGCCAGTCGCAGTGTTGCTGATCGCTCCGTTAGCCCGAGTGATGGCGAAGAGGTCCAAGAGCGCGAGCGTGAGCGTCGTGAGCGACGACAGGAGAATGAGCGGCAGCTACGCCAGTCCCGTATGGGTACGGAGCGTCGCATCCAGGCTATGGCACGTGAGCAAAACCGTGATATCTCCGAGAAGGTTGCTTTGGGACTGGCCAAGCCTACTCAAAGCGCCGAAACTATGTGGGATTCCCGTCTGTTCAACCAGACTAGTGGTATGAGCACTGGTTTCAATGATGACAACCCATATGACAAGCCATTGTTTGCTGCGCAAGACGCTATTAACAGTATCTACCGCCCGCGTGCCCAGGCCGACGTCGATGACGGCGATGGAGGCGAGGCCGAGATGAACAAAATAAAAAAGGCCAGTCGCTTCGAAGTCCTGGGACGGGCTAAGGAGGGATTCCGTGGTGCTTCTGATGCCGAGGTAGGCCTTACAACATCCAAACTAACTACACCTTGATATGCTAATTGCTCTTATTTTTAGGAGCGCCATGGGCCTGTTCAATTCGAAAAGGATACTGCGGACCCATTCGGTATCGATCAGATGATTGCCGAAGCTTCGACTGGTACTAAGCGATACGGCATTCAAGAGACCGAGGACGATCGTGGATCGAAGCGTGCCCGAGTCGATGATGACTAAATCGATAAATTTTCTTAATGCGAAGTTTTCAATCATCGACAAGGTGGTATACTTCTTGGGGTTAGGTTAAGGTTAGTATTCTTGTGCATTGCGGGTGCTTCGGTGTTCACTTTTTAACTACAAAATTTTACCTAGCGATTGGAAGGTAAATCGCAATAACCATGTACGTTCAATTATTATCAATCTAGGTTGAAGCACAATGAACTCTTGTAACAAAATCAAGAACAATTTCAATTTCAAAACTCTCTACACTATGGAATTTGTCTAAAAGTGTATAGTATCTTTTCTCTCTTAACAACCTTGGACCCTTGGAACTCTAGTTCTTGATCTCTGGCTCGTTGGGCGACAAGACCTCCTCTAGCCACTTGTAAGCGACAGGCAGACTGTGAGGGTATCCCATGTGCAACAGGCCCTCGAAGAAGCGGCCCTCCTTGGGGCCGCCGTGGTTCAAGAGAACAATAGAGTCCTCAATGGGGACAACGCCGTCATCAACGCCCTGCAAAACACGTCAGTACCTAGGTATCAATGTAGGTATTAAGGGAAAGTAAAACAAACATTAAGCAGCAGCAGACGGCAGTTGGGCTGATCAACGATTCCCGTCTCAACAAGAGAGAACTTCTTCTGCGCATTCTCAATGAAATCTTCCTTGTTAGCATAGCCATACTTCTCAGCCCAGCTAGCAGTGATCCTGTAAGAAGCGTCAACAGCCATTCATCGTCAGTCCAACCGATTACACATAGAATCAACTTACTCAAACGGATACTCGTGGTCATTCACCTTACTCAACCACTCCTTACCGAGGAAATGATGTGAGCCAGGCCCATGAGCCACAGAGCCAACAAGTCTTTCCCGATGCGTACAAGCAGCCCGAATAGCATAGAAGCCACCAGCACTAAGTCCCCAAGCCGCAACACGACTCGTATCAAACTGAGGCTGCAAAGCTATATAATCCAACACACTCGACCACAACCTATCAGCAGACTCCGGATCAGCAGGGTCAGCAGGCGAGTCTGCCGTGCCAGGGATCTCAACGACCACAGTTGCCCAGCCGCGGTTGATGATCTCGTGCGTTCGCTGGCTGTTATCGGGTCTGTACCCGTCCAAACCAGTCATTAGCAGCACGACAGGGACACGGTTTCCGGCGCTGGCTTCCTCGGGCAGACGCACGTAGGCCGGGATCTGAGCGCCATCCAGGCCGGAGGCGTGCGAGTGTGGGATTATCACTTCTTTCAAGACGGGCTTCCAGAGAGCGGCTGCTTTCAGGTATACATCCTTTTGGCGGTCGAAGGCTGCGCGCTTGACGGCGTTGTCTGGGCGCGTCTTTGGGCTTACGTATGGGAAGCGAGCAATTCGGAGGACTACTGCTGCGCGGCGGTAGAGGTCAGATGCTTGGCTTGGGTTGTTTGCCTTTAGGGCTTTGGCTGCTTCTTCCTCTAAGTTGGTAACGATTGGGAGGAAGGTGTTGGTGTACTCGTTCGTGAATGGATCGTTGATGTTTTCCTGCGTTGGGAGTTAGTTTTCTTAGCTTTTTGTTTTTTTTTTGTTTGGTATTGTAGGCATAAGACAAGATTTACAGCAATCAGTTTCTCGAAGATAGGCTCGAAGTCCTCGAAGGATCCATCGTGGAATGGGTAGATGGATTTTTGGCTCTGATGGGCAGGAGTTAGGGTTAGCGGTCATAACGGTTAAATCGTGAATTGAACAACGCACGCAGAACTTCCACTTTGTCTCCCACAGAGCCTTGATAGACCCCTTGTGCGGGTAGGTAGAGTTGAATTTCTCTCCCATCATCCATGGTGCCATGATGAATAAGAGTGTTAGTATTGGGAATTACGGTGTAAGTGGTGGTGTGAGGTGAGGTATGCAAAGACGTCAAGCAAGTGGAGAGGAATAGTAAAACAATAATTGCGGGGGATCTTTTGATCTGTTATATTTCGATTGAGACCGTTCTTAAAATAGATGCACCCGCAAGCACTTGAGAGCATTGTGACGTGGTTATGCATGCAAGCAGTAAATAATACGAGGCCAAGAATCACTGGCAGTGCAGAGCTTCAAGATATTTGCCAGAATTCGGAATGGGGAGTGATCGGCATTGAGGAGCTGTTTTCACTGGGTTAAGTAATGTTTTGAATCGCCGTTTTGAGGTCTTTAGCTACAGATATGGCAATTCCGGATCCGGGGGAGGGCATGCGATTGATATCAGGTAGACAAATTTAGCAACCTCATCCATAAACGAGCCGGTTAACGTTTGCATACCTTCTTGTATGAACCATTTCCTGAGCTCCTTTTATCAATGAGAGACTAAAATACATATAACATAATTCTGTGATGGCTATGGCGGTTTCTGAGGCATCTTGACTATTGGAGTGCTGATTGCTGCATGTGGAAACTTAATTAAATATGTGGATAGACAATGGGAGATTATAACGAATCGGAATGTCTATTGCGTAGATAAACAGAAATATAATTTATACTCAATGAAATTCTGGTTGAGGTCAAAGTCTTTCGTATTACAATTAAAGCCACCTAATGTGGATGGGATGTCAAAAAAGCGTTTATGTACAGGCCAACATGCAAATCTAGTCTATTGCTGGTGCTCGTGCTGCTCCAACTCTTGGTATTCTTTAGGCAAGTCGTGCGGGCTGAGCCATAAAGCGTTAGCAGGACTCAATCTGAAAATGAAGATTTTCGGAAACTTACCCAGAGTCATGAGTCTGGTATTTGTGGCCACCATTAACGACATAGCCATCATTGGTATAACCGTTAGGCCACAGTCCCTTGGTATCCTCATTGTGTGCTTGAATGGGCTTATCACCGTGCCCGCCGCCAACGTGGGCATCGGACTTATCCGTGTTGGGAGAAGGCCAGTTTCCCTTTGAATCTTGAGAATCAGCAGTGGTGTCGCCATCTTGGGCATGGCTCTTATCGGTTTGCGATTGAGACGATGGTCCCTTGGTTTCCTCGGAGTCTGCGGCAATAGTCTCGCCCTCGGGAGCATCTTGAGGCACACCGTTGAAATCAGGATAACCAGAAACAACTCCATAATTCCCATCGTCTGGTGTCGCAGCCTCTGCGGTGGGGAAAGCCCATTCGTCGGAAGTAGTAGGCTGAACGGGCTTGGGATTAGGAACAGTAGCAAACGGCACTAGGACTGTAGGAATAACAGGAACAATTCCTTCAGATTCAGGCTTAGGGACAACAGTTGGCTTGGGCACAACTTCCTCGTTAGCACTGGGTTGGCTAGGAGCTACTTGCTCAGGGGCAGGTTGAGAGACAGTCGGCTTGGGCGCGGGGGTTTCCTCTGTAGTAGGCTTAGGAGCAGGTGCCTGAGTAGCAGGCTCAGTTGCACTTGGCTTGGCCCCATGAGGTTTCTGGGTTGTAATCGACTGAGGGGCCGCAGGCTGCAGGGATGAAGAGGTGTGAGCAGGCGGGGGTGGTGCCTGCTTTGTAGCACTAGACGTGGTAGTTGTTAGAGTAGGCGGGACCTTCTCAGTGGTACTAGACGTCTTTGTTGAAGCAGGGGGAGGTGTAGCCCAAGTAGAATCATCCTCGGTAGACACAGATGTCGTAGGGGAGGGTGGGGTATACATGGCGCCATGATCCACGGTAGGGACCTTAGTATCAAGACCGGTCAAATCAAGCCCCGCATTTCCTGCAGCATTGCCGTTGGTGGGATCAGGGTAGGCAGCGCAGGCATCGTAGTGACTCTTGGGAGGAGCATGCTGAGTTCCGGGGAAAGTCTCTGGAGCCTCGATAATGGTTGCCATCAGACCAGCCTCGACATGCCACTCGATATGGCAATGAAGCAGCCAAACTCCAGGGTTGTCGGCACGGAAACGAAGAACGACATGGCCATGGTTCTGGACCATGATTGTATCACGACGAACAGGCGTCTGGGAAACATTGACATATTGACCGGTGAAATAACCTCCGTCAACGGCTGATCTCTGCAGAACCTGGAACTCGTGGCCGTGCAAATGCCACGGGTGCAAGTTGCCGTGATGGTTGTTAATCACAATCTCAACGACTTCACCATACTTGACCACGAATGGATTGACCTGGCCATATACATCGGGGTTGGAAGCAAACTCGGGACCAATGGTGTTGGCAGTATACAAGGTGGGAACTTTCGGGGGCAAGTATGTCTTGTTGTTGACAGTGAACCGAGGAATACCGTCAATGTTAGCAGAGAAAGAGTCGATGATGATCTGGTGCTGCACAGGCTCGAGAAGGGCTCCCTTATCCAGAGGGACAAAGTCAAGATCGTCAATGAATTCGAACTCTGAAAAAACAGGGGCTGCTGGCAGCGGCTTCGATTCATCGTACACAAGCCACGCGGTAGCGTTGGGGTTGTAGCCATCGGGGATAGTACGGTTTTCAAAGATAAACATCATGTTGATATCCATGGTGTCCCAGATAGCAAAGTTCTGGCTAGTGTCGTTCTTCGTGTGGATCAAAACGCTCATGCGCTGTCCAGTTGCGATGCGGAAGAACTTATCACCAGCGAGATAGGGCTCAACATAGACGCCATCAACTTCGACTACTGTCATCTCATGACCATCGAACACCCAAGTATGACCAGGCCAATTACCAACACAGACAATGTGAACCAAGTAGGTCTTGTTAGGTTCAACCTTGATCTTAGTTTCGTTGGAATCATTGATCAAAGCTGAGTGCGGTAGAGGCTCATGACCATCAAAGGCGGCTCCATCCTTCTCGGACTGGTAGTCCGCCAGAAGGTCGGCCATCTGTTCATGATACCAGTCCGTCAGAGTGATGGTAAATTCATCATCGTACTGGAAGGGTGCCTTGGGATCATGCACGATCAATGGACCACGGAAACCATCAGGGTATTGTCCCATGTTGTGCGAGTGGTACCAGTAAGTTCCAGTTTGATTAATCTATGCTTATTAGCCAATGTCCTTGATATATTCGTATCAATACTACTCACATCGAAATGATACTGCATGCGAAGTCCAGGTGCCAGCGGGCACTGGGTAACCTGACTATCACCGTCCATGACACCTGAATGATACTGGTGGAAGCCATGCCAGTGAATACCTGTAGATTGATTTCCTAGATCATTGTACACGTCGACGATCAAGCGATCACCGACATCCACATCAATTTGAGGGCATGGCCATTGGCCGTTGATGCCAATGACAGGACGTTCAAATCCATCAGGAGCAGCATTGACCCAAGTGACGTTCCAGTCGAGGTATACATCCTTTGCCGCAGCCAACTTTACAGCCCAACCAGCCAGTAAAAGAAAACTAAACTTAGCCATTATGGCAATCGTCGAACGAGCGAATGACAATCAACTTGCCTGCTTCAGAAAGATAATTAAATCTTCTAATAAACTAGCAAGCCGATGGGAAACGTCCAACGGAACAAAAAGCAGGGGGAAAGAAGAAAAATAAACGAAAGTCGATAGGCGAATTAAGCGAATGTCGGTGTCGGTGTTGTTGAATAGCATCAAGTAAACCAAGCGTGGAAATCGCACGATTTAATAATGCGTGCCATATTGATCTGCGCCAGGGGTTGCTATGTCTGTCCCATACTTCCTACAACTCCAGCCTTCAAGGAATAGAAGCGCAAAAGGGACTGATATGCATCGTGGGCCTAAAACAGAGTCTGTTGTTGCTCATTTTCCCCTTCGAGACATTCTGATGAACGGCTTCGTGGTCTGGTATGCCATCGCGCACCCAACTAGGTATGGAAGCGGAAATTGAAAGCAAGGGATGGCATTCATCTTTTTGAAAAGGTTGAAAACAGTAAATCGCAATCAGATAACCAGTACCAAGTAGTAAGTACTAGCTAAGTATATTTTGTACATCATGTGAAGTGTGATGACTGTGATGTGATATCAGTACGGGTTGTTGGTTGCAAAGGGTTCGTGAGATCAGAGACCATCAGACCCATAGATCTGGTTGGTCGGAGCTCTGTCCGTGCTCAGATAGTGTGACTAAAGAAAGGGCTTTATTTCCATTCAATCGACCAATTGCTGTCCAACATTAGATCTCATCAAGGCTGAGCTTGAACACTTTTCCCAAAGCGGAGGTCACTATGTTCGCCACGTATCAGCCCGAAGGATAGTGCGCATCCACTGATATCTTTTTGTCATAAGTTGATCCACTTAGAATCGATCCTTATCGGTCGATCGACTTTTCCGGATTCGAATAAGACTTAGTAATTGAAGCAAGCGGGGGGGGGGGGGGGGGGGCGTTTCTCCAAAAGTACGTGGAGGCAGCGCCCTCGGCTTGTGTCGGAAGTATTGAAGTAGAAAGATAGGACATTCCGATATACCGATATAATTAGGTATATTTTCTTTATTGCCGGTTAGTATATTCCGGTCGATCATAGAACATGCAGTGAGATTGAAAACAGCTTATTGGATGCTTCATACTCTCAGAGAGTACTAGCATCGGCTTGAACAGGTAGGGTTCCCCTCTCTGACTCCCCACACTGTTCAGGTACAAATGCATAACATTTCAACTGTTTTCGAGCCAAAGTACGTATTGGGGATTCGGAAGCGGGCGCCCTAACCGCGATAAGACGGTAATACGGAAAGACAGTGGGGAAGAGGGAAAAGGGAAAAAGTAGATTTTTTTAAAAAAAATAGGTGAAGAGATTTGGTCAGGACGTGGAAGAGACAGAGTCCTTGAGTCCTTTTTTTATACTTCCATTATAATCGAAACTTCCCCCCCCTTGAGATTCTAGACTCTCCAGATTCTCTTCTCTTTCCCACTCTGACGCAATACATGTCTACTCTTAACATCCTCATCGCAATGGCGTAATTTTATCAGCAACAACCTAGGTAAATCCTTGTTCGAAATCAAAATTAAGCACCTTAATTCACTTTTCACCACATCAAACCACCCTCTTCTGATAAGCTGGAAGGCTTCAAATCTGGGGAAAGCTCCAGTTCGACAATGGATCAGTCTTTGACTTTGATCAATGCTCAGGTCAACTTTGTGGTAAGTCAAATGTGGCTTTTGTGCACCATTCTACCTAGGTAGCTATCTTGTCTACATGGCTTGTCCACTGCTCGATATATACAAGTGCTCGGACGTCAAGTGCTGACGATATGACAGGAAGAGAGGTTGGCGCTGGTGCATATTCCTCTAGAACTATACCCCTTTTTCTTCAAATCGGTTCTGGGCCTGATCTACGACGAGACCTCACATCGAGAGAATGAGGCCGAAGATATGAAAGATGACGGTTCTAAGGTGGACGAATATTCAGGATCTTATCAGCAGCCTGCATTCCTTAACATTTCTATCACTCCAGTCGAGGTCTCAGTCATATGTCCCAGACGCCTTGTCGAAAAGCACTTCGTTCCTGCAATCCATGAGATCAATCAGTTGAATGCTCAGCTACCATTTGAGATAGTTGTAAGCGCGAATGACTACATCGCCATGCAGGTTCTGGGGGAAGGATTAGAGGCTGGCAAACGTGTCCTGGAGCTAACTAGTCCACTAGCAATGGCGGGGATGTATGTGTCACATTCCTGAGTCTTTGACCCGAGGTACCGAAGACTTTTATACTAATATGCCGTCAGCTCCATCTTTTTCATTTCTACCTACTTCTCCGACTACATCCTTGTCCCTCTCCGCAGCAAAGCTAGTGTGGTATCAGCTCTAGAAAACCGCGGTTTCCAGTTCCAGAATGCCACAACGGCCTTTGTCAACCCAACTAGCCCTCTTTCACCACGTACAGAGAAACCACTGAGCGATCTCATCCCCCCTCTTACGCCACCACCCTCAACAGTGTCAGAACTCCAAACTCGGACTTTCGCCAATTTGCGCAATCGCCAGATCTTCCCTATCGTAGATGACACAATCCACCTAGTGCAGTGCGCTGCACACCACCCTTACAACTGCCAACAAAGCTCAATGTCCATCCTACGTGAAGCATTAGCCACTATTCTCCTAGTTGACAATCCGCGCTTCCTCTCCCTGACCCTGGCAGACCTAGACCCAGCTGCATCACTACTCCTAGAGAAACGGCTGCTTCCCCGTTTTGCCCGTCCAGGCGAGGATTTCGAAGATGGCTCAGGACTTCTTCTCGGCTCGAAAGAAGATCATTTGATCCCGATTATACTAGATCTACGCGAACTCCCCTTGGAAGCATCAGGCATCGTCTGCGGCGTGGCAGGCCGGCTCGCCGAAGCAACTGATAACCATTCACGACCAAGTAACGATGTCCCCGAAAGTAAGGTCATGAGTAGCGTCATCAATTCTGTCCCTGCGCTTTTTGATACTGTCGGTACACGCTTAGCTCGCGGCTTCGAGAAAAGAAGGAGATCCTCCGTTCACAAACCCCCGGCTACTCATCACCTTAAACCTGAGGTAGATCCATCAGCCGATGCCGTTGAAATCAGCTTCTTGAGTACAGCCCGCGCTGGTACGATTATCGTTGGAGAGGACGAGCTCCAGCGGGCCATTGATGCCCTCGAAGCGGAAAAAAGGCAGGATTCCCCTGCTGTTGAAGATACCGATCACAATGTTTGAATACATTTTTTTTCTTTCCTTGCCTCGGTACATTCATTATACGTCCATTTTCTCCCCTCGCCTCCTCGCGAGGAAGGGGCTCAAAAAGTTTTGTTTTTCTTCCTACACCTTTTTGCATTTGATAAGGATTATGTCTGTATGAGATATGCCTTTCAAGGTTGCATGCCTCATTCTAAGATTATGTCTTTGTTGCTAGCGTATGGCACTCATCAATGAATAGCATCTATGGAGCCTTGAAATATACGTTGTCGGTTGGTAGGGTATTTGGCTTTTATTACATGATGTAGATGTACAGTATCTAGGGGCACTGTAAACGTGCCCAGGTGGAGTAACGACCTCGGGAGTCACTGTTCACAACATGAAGGGATATCAGGTAGGCATCGTGTGACAAGGCCACTCGATTAGAACTTGTCCAAGTGGAATCATTTGAACGTCGACCAACACAATCTGCTAGAGAGCCAATGAGAAAAAACGACGGTAGATGCTCCACCTGGGTACCGCAAAACGTTCATCGATTGAGGCGCTAAATTGGGCCGTAATGCCCATGTGGCTCCAGACAATGCATTATGCCTGAACATTTGAAGAACTTACGAATTCAGTTTAACAAAATAAGCATTGTTTCGGGAATTGATTATTGCAGAGTAGAGCCAAATGGGGATATAAAATTCGGCTGTTGGTCATTTATAGACTATCTGGTGCATCTTCATCTCAATCCAAAGCTCTCATGATAATATCTAGAGTTCCGTGGCCTGCCACAACTCATATTGCTGTCAGACTTGACTGATACCGAGTCGTTACCGTACTTCTTGTTCGAAGAACGTTCGTCCTATCTGTATCACTGGTGGGGCCCACGGGGGTACTTCGTACTCTGTACACCGATAGTATCAAGTAGAGTCACATCGACAATCGACAATCCACTGCATGAACGCGTGAACCAAGGCGATATGCAGCCCGCGCTAACGTGATTTGTCGTCGGGCAAAAGACTCTTTTAATTGAGACGATTTTTAAGCACAGAATAAAGAGCCGGGCGTGGGCAAGCGGGCCCATTTTTTCGGATTTTACCGTATCGCTTTCCAGAAGATGGGCCGTGGAGCCAGCTTCATTGCCCCGTTTCTAGAAATGACTCAATTGTGGGATATTATCGGGAGATAATGAGTGGGGTGAAATTTGGACGAGGACTGGGTGAACTTGAGAGCACTGTATCCGGTAACAGGGCAGCAGCAGGGTACCCATAGCTTGCTTTCCCAACGTTCCATAGTTGGCTGCATGTAATTACCTATTCCCGGTCGATTATGGGAGATAGCTATCAGAACTACTTCAATTCACTCAGTTAACAAGGTGGATACCCAGGTACTGACTACCTAGGTCAGATTTTGATGGGCTGGTCACTTTTTGGCTAAAAGAGCGATGTTATAATCTAGTTCAACCTTGAGCTAGAATGCATGCAACGCTGGAGTGAGATTTCGAGGCTGAAGATATGCCTGTGTAGAACAATCTCCAAAAGGCGCCACCCACCTAAGCAGGGGGTGTATGTGCATATGATATAGGCCATAAGAATAGGCTGGCGAATCATTCGAAAAACCCAGGTGACTTTAAAAACTCTGGGGTGATATTAAAGTGATATATTTCCACTATTAACCGTTGAACTGTTTAACCAAAGACCCGGACGGTACCTATACAGCATGTTAGCAAGAAACTTTTCTCTTTTCACTAATGGGAAGAGCGTACCATCTGAACATCCACCCGCCCAGCTGCCTGTCTGATTCCAAGCCACACAGCTCACGACCTGAACGTTTTCACCCATTGGTATCGTGCTCACAAGGTTTCCACTCAGGATATCCCAAGCAAAGACAGCAGCACCGAGACGATCACCTTTGGTAGCTTCGCCTCCACTCAGAACAATCGAACCAGCTTGAGCAAAGACGGACCGGATCCGCAGCTCGGTGTTCTTGTAGACATAAGGATTGGGCTCGTGCATTGTCGAGGATTGCTCTTTGTCTTGGCTCGGTCCGAAGGCTGCGAGCAGTTTCCCATCTTTGCGATCTATCATTCGAATGTGGCTGTCTTGCGTAGAAGCGAGCAGCGAATTGCCATCTTCCGAGCAACGAACGCTTGTCACTGGATGAGCCAGAACGTCGGCCGTCATAGTACCCATACGGACATCATAGAGTCGCAAATGGCCATCATAGCTCCCACTAGCGATGGAGTATGTTGGCATGTGGACATGTAGGCATGAGACAGTATCGGTTGCATCGGAGAGTGTTTGGATAGGCTTGTAGGATTGGGAGCGAGTATCCCATAGATTAATGTTGGTATCTGCACCACCTGTAAGGATACGTGAAGGGTCAGTAAATCTCCTCCGAATGGTGGCTTTCTAAAGTCATACCCGAGACCACTACGGAATCGCCCTCGCCTGCGAATTGAACAGCCTCAATTCTGCTAGTATGTCCGGTCCAGCGCCTGGTCGTTATGCCTTGCTCAACGTCCCAAAGAAGTACTGATCTGTCACCTCCCACGCTGGTGAATCGCGCATTGTCTGCGGCTACAGCCAAGTCGAGGACGGAGTATCCATGCGCCTCGTACCGTTGGATCGGGGTGGTGGTTTCGATAGCCGTGGGATATTTTTCTGCATCATTTGGGATAGCGCGCGAAAGATGAATAGCCCGATCTGATGATCCTGTGAGCACGTATGTGCCTGGGGAACTGGAGAAGGTCACCGCATTGATGGGGCCTGGCAAGTTCTGAAGGTTAACACCAGTGCAATTCTCGAAACCATCCTGATCTACCTTTGTGTGTTTTTATCGTGTGCAGATGTTTGGTTGGGAATTGGTTTGGAGGCATGGCCGACGTGACCTCGGGAAGCTTCCAAGGTCAACTGGTTGATTCACATGTGGGGTTTTGAATGTTGTAGATTTGTTGGGTGGGCAGTATTAAAAGATTAGGAATCAATTGACGTGGGAGGTGCTCGGACCAAAGCTATATTTTGAGTGTGGAGACCAGCCTACTCCACACTTAAGAACGGTCTTCAAGATAACTACATCATATCAACAAGCGTTGATCCAATCCAGATGAATGCGGTGGGTACAAGTATAAATCAGTAGATATTTAAAGCTAATATAATTATCAAAAACCAACTAACTCCTGAGGTCTTTATCTTCTAGATAGCTACATTATTGTATAGGTCACGTAATATATATTGACCCGTTTAGTATGGATGTGGATGTGAATGTAGTTCAAGGTCATAGATTAATCGATCTAACTAGGTATTACAAACATGATATCATATCACTATCTACGTAAGACCACTGATATCAAAAATCAATTAACTCTGTATTTTCCGTGCTACAGAGTGAAGGAGAGAGTTATTATCAAGGATGTAGAGACACCATCGCTAGCTACCAAATGGTAAAAGGGATATAACAGTACAAAAATAAACCAGCCAGTCAATGTGAAGGTGCACACCCTTCGACCCGCAGGAACCGTAAGAAACTTGAAATAAGGAAAACAACGAAGGAGCTGGTTCAACTGCTCCAGTTTTGAAAAAAACAAACCCGGCCAACTTAGCGACGGCCGTGGCTGCGAGTGCCGGACTGCAGACCCTCGATCTCTCCCTCGAGCGATTTGATCCTAGAATGAGGTTAGCAATGATTATTAAAACAGACATATCCGTCAAAGCATACGCAGCATGGGTGGCCTCGAGATCTTTGTTGAGCCGGTCGCGCTCCGAAATGAGCTTCTGTTCCCACTGGCGGAAGCGTTGCTCCTCGACCTTGACTTGTTCGGTGAAGCGCTTGCGCAGGTTCTCCTCCTCCTCCTTGAACTTGGGGTTGTCGAGCTTGCGAGGACGGGCCTCGCCAAATTTGCGGGTTTCCATTTGCTGAGCACGGTAAGCCTCGTAGTGGGCCTCCTCGGTGGTGTGGATAAGGTCGAGCATGTGGGTACGGATCAGGATCGAACGGAGCTTCTTGAAGTCGCAGTGGTCCTCGTTCTCCACCTCGGCAACACCCCAGGCGTACTGGCGGCCCTTCACAATACGGTCGTCGTTAGTCTTGACATCCTTCTCGGAACCAATAACGGCGAAAGGCATAGCAGCCATCAAGCTACGGGCGTGGGTAGCGGCGTGCTCGTCATCCTCCTCGACGGGAGGGGTGTAAATCTTGATGCCCTGGGCCTCGATAACAGCGCGAATCTAATAATCCTGTTAGCTAGGGCGTTCCAATTGTTGCCAAAACCGCCCATTTCATAAACTCACTCGCTCCTTGTAGCGGGCCAAATCAGCGTGGCTCAAAGTGTCAGCCTTGGCAACGACGGGAATCAAGTTAACACGGGAGCTCAGGCGTTTCATGACCTCAATGTCGAGAGGCTTCAGGGTGTGTCCGGTGGGGCGGATGAAGTACAAGCAAGCGTGGACACGCATATCAATCTTGTCGGAACGGCGGGGCTGCTGCTCCTGGAGCATGTAGGACTCGTGCTGGTCGTCCAAAAACTCGATGATTGGCTGCCATGAGTCACGGTTGTTGACGTAGTCGCCGAAGCCGGGGGTATCAATAACGGTCAGGCGAACTAAAATAAACAAGGGCAACGATCAGCACTAAGACAATGCCAACGGAAATTGCCGATCTGACCTTTGAAGAACTTCTCCTCTAGCTCAGCCTTGGTAATCTCAATCTCAACAGTGCGGTCAACCTGCTTCTGGTGACGGCGTTTGTGGTCGGCGTAGTTTTTAATGGTGGTAGAAAACAGGGTGTTGATGAAGGTAGTCTTTCCCAAACCAGACTCTCCAGCGACCTGAAATCATCATGATTAGTGACGAGAACCACGCCGAGGCATTGAAATCTTCAAACACACCATAATTGTGAAAGCCGCACCCCGCTTCGCGACAATCTTGTGTCTAGGCAATCATTAGAATCTTCCCCTTGCTAGCAATTCTGACCGGTTTCTCTGGATAAACACACCGCTGGTTGGGGAGCTGAAAAAGAAAACCCGTGAATTAGTGATCATGCAATCCGATGCCTTTAACGACTCAAGGGACTTACATTGGCAATGCCAATAGGCGAGGCGGTCTCTGTGGTCGACATGATTGAATTAGGGGGTGAAAACGAGGGAAGAAGAAAGTGACGTGGATACCCTGTGAAAGGCGGACAGGCAAAAGAAGAAGATTAAGTGGTGGTGCCTTTGGGGGATACGGAAAGGGGAAGGCGATACACTTGAATGTTGCTACTCCCCCTGAATCTCGTTTCTGGAGTATAGCTGGCCTTGCCTATCAGGGGTTAGTGCAATGAGCTAGCCCTATTTAGGCCCGGAATAGGACCAATGATGATCCGGGAGTCTTATCGCTGAATTGATTTGACGATCAAGAGGAATTTTTGACGGAGCGCATTGAGCTGTCGCAGTGGGAAACATGAAGACCGACTTTAAGGTATGTATGATTTTTGCTGTTATATGAATTTCACTGACATGCTTCATCTAGTTCTCTAACCTTTTGGGAACGGTCTACCGCAAGGGCAACCTGCTCTTTACTCCCGATGGCACCTGTTTGCTCTCGCCGGTGGGCAATCGAGTGACAGTCTTCGATCTTGTACAGTATGTCTTGCAGTCGTATACTTTGAGTATCTGAGAACTCAAGAACTGATTTTTATACCTTTATAGCAACACTTCCTATACTCTTCCCTTCTCGCATCGCACAAATATCGATCACCTCGATCTATCACCTAAAGGCAACTTACTGCTGACAGTAGACGAGACTGGCCGAGCAATTCTAACCAATTTCCACCGGCGCATTGCTATTCATCACTTCTCTTTCAAGTCGCGCGTTACAGCGTTGAAGTTCTCGCCCTCTGGTCGGCATTTTGCTGTAGGTGTGGGTAGGCGTCTGCAAATCTGGCAGACACCCTCAACGCCTGGCACCGAAACCAATGGCGAAATTGAGTTCGCCCCCTTCGTGCTTCACCGTGATCTTGCTGCCCACTTTGATGTTGTTCGGAATATTGAATGGTCGAGCGATTCGCGTTTCATGCTCACTGCTTCGCGGGATTTGACTGCGCGAGTATGGAGTTTGGACCCGGAGGATGGGTTCGAACCAACCACTTTGGCAGGCCATAGACAGGGTGTCGTTGCCGCATACTTCGATGCTAAGCAAGAAGCGGTAAGTATTTCGCTGGAACTTCTAATTAAGCCCTGGTTTCTAATTTCTTTTTTTTTTTTAAAAAAAACTAGATATATACCGTCAGCCAAGATGGAGCCCTATTCCGCTGGGAATTCGCTGCAAAGATGGACCCAGAGACAGAAGAAGAAATCGCAGAAGCTCAGTGGAGAATTGTGAGAAAGGATTTCTTTATGCAAAACGACGCCAAAGTTAATTGTGCTGCCTTCCACGCACCGACTAGTTTACTAGTCGTCGGCTTCTCAAACGGTCTTTTCGGACTGTATGACTTGCCGGAGTTCAACACGATCAATCTTTTGAGGTATGTATATTGTTGACTTTTATTCGGGCTACTTACTGATCGTAATATCCACTAGTGTCTCTCAGAGCAATATTGACGTCGTGACAATCAATAAAACTGGTGAATGGCTAGCTTTCGGATCGTCCAAGCATGGCCAGCTGTTGGTGTGGGAATGGCAGTCCGAATCCTACATCTTGAAGCAGCAAGGCCATCTGGATTCCATGAACTCGTTGGTTTACTCCCCCGACGGCCAGAAAATTGTCACAACTGCCGACGATGGTAAAGTCAAAGTTTGGGACGTGAAGTCGGGATTTTGTGTTGTGACCTTCACTGAACACACTAGCGGAGTAACCGCATGTCAGTTCGCTAAAAAGGGAAGCGTTCTCTTCACAGCTTCCTTGGATGGTTCGATCCGTGCCTGGGATTTGATTCGCTACCGTAATTTCCGAACATTCACTGCGCCATCTCGACTCTCATTTTCCTCGCTGGCTGTGGATCCCAGCGGTGAGGTTGTTTGCGCCGGTTCTCCAGACTCCTTTGATATCCATGTCTGGTCCGTGCAGACTGGCCAATTGCTAGACCAGCTATCTGGTCACGAAGGTCCCGTTTCTAGCCTTTCCTTTGCTGCCGATGGTAACCATCTTGTCAGCGGCAGCTGGGATCGCACAGTGCGGATCTGGAGCATTTTCGGGCGAACTCAGACTAGCGAACCGCTCCAGCTCATGTCAGACGTGTTGAGTGTCGCGTTCCGTCCCGATGGCGAGCAAGTTGCGGCCTCTACTCTTGATGGCCAGCTTTCATTCTGGTTGGTCTCCGATGCTGTCCAGCAAGGAGGCGTGGACGGACGCCGCGATGTATCAGGAGGTCGGAAAATATCCGATCGTCGTACCGCAGCAAACGCTGCCGGAACCAAGTCTTTTAACCGTATCACCTACAGTGCCGATGGCAGCTGTATTTTGGCTGGAGGAAACAGCAAATACATCTGTTTGTATGACGTGACTACGGGATCATTGATCAAGAAATACACCGTCTCCATGAACCTTTCTCTGGATGGTACCCAGGAATTCCTGAACAGCCGTGATCTCACCGAGGCTGGCCCTCGTGCCCTCATCGATGAAACTGGCGAGGCATCTGATAAGGAAGATCGTATCGACCGCAACCTACCTGGTGCTAAGCGTGGCGATGCTGGTGTACGTACTACTCGACCCGAAGTCCGAGTGATGTCGGTTGACTTCGCTCCCACAGGGCGGGCATTCTGCGCTGCGTCTACCGAGGGCCTTCTCATCTACAGCCTGGACACTGAATTTGTCTTTGATCCCTTCGATCTGGACATCACAATTACCCCGTCCACTATCCTTGCTACACTCGATGCCGCGAAGCAAGCGCACAAAACTGGTACTAATGACGAAGAGAACACATTCCTAAAAGCCCTGATCATGGCTTTCCGCCTCAACGAATCGAAGTTGCTCCGAGCTGTGTATGAGGCAATTCCGCCTTCCGATATCCCCCATGTGGTCCGCGCCGTGCCTACCGTGTACCTCCCTCGCCTACTGCGCTTTGTTGCACATGCGGCCGACGAGACTCCCCATCTTGAATTCAACCTGATGTGGATTGAGTCATTATTCAGCTGCCATGGACGGTACTTCAAAGAAAACTCAGGAACATTTGCACCCGAGCTTCGTGCCGTCCAGCGTGCTGTGGATGAAATCCGCGAGAATCTCAAGCGTCTGACGGAGAAGAACCTCTACGACCTGAACTATCTTCTGTCAAAGCCCGTTCTGACGGAGAAGAAGCCAGCCACCACATTATTAGCCGTGGAAGCTGGTGATGTGGAGGGAGATGATGAGATGGCCGATGCTAATGATGATGAGGGCGAGTGGATCGGCCTGGAATAAATTTCTTAAAAGTCTCCTGCTTGTATATCTACTTGCATCTTGCGCCTGGCGTTTGTATATTAGGGAGGGAAAGGCTAGTCCCCAATCAAAAGTGTGTGCCTACTTAGGTATAGAGGAAGTTCTTTTCCCAGCTTCAATAAACATTTTGATTTACAGAATTTGGGAACTCATTAAAGCTTACAGGGCTTTCTGCAGGCTACATAACCTTAGCAAAAATAGAGCACTGTGATAGAACACCTACCTAGCCGATTCCAAGGTTCAAAGGAGGCTGATTTGCAGACCTCGAGAGGTATCAAGTAGTCATAAAGAAAAACAAGTACATCAGGTGAATGGGACCTATCCCCACTCATGCCTGGATATCGTGAAAAAAACTCTTATGATATGATAAACCATCCAATATTGGAAGACATTTGGCGGCAAAACCTCCCAATGGATACAGAGCAGTCCGAAATGTAGATTACTTGTAAACGGATAAGTGGCTTGGCATACGCGAAAGTATCTATTGGACTTTGAAGGCTATCAGTTTCATGAATTTAGAATAAATTCTGGGCTTTAAGAAAGCACTGAGATCTCACCTTGAAATGTCATCATCTATCAACTTTGTTGCTAGACTTGGGGTCCGCTCCTTGATCTCCTTGGGGATTTAGCCCTGCTTGCATGTTAACAAGTGAACGATTGAACCCTTAACGGGATGAAATCCATACCTCATTCATAGTGAATTTGAGGCATTGCTTTAGCAAAACAATTAGTTGGTGTCAGAAGGAGCACCACGACCACGGCCTCGACCGCGGAAGCCATTGCCGCGGCCACGTCCTCGGCTAGGTCGATCATACAATCCTTCTGGTGGAGGCACATTGGAGTAATCCTGAGGACGGAATTGTCCCTCCCTGGAATCACCATTCCCAACAGAGGTATTACCACCTCGGTGGAACTGACCTCCGCGATTGTTGTTAGCACCTCGGCCACGTGGACCACGCGGAGGACCTCCATTGCCACGAGGATGGAAAGGAAGGGTGGTAGTCTGCCCATTTTTGATGCCACCTCGGCCTCCTCCTCGAGGAGCGCCCTGATGGCCAGAAACAGCACCGCGGAATGATCCTCGCAAGGGCGGAGGAGCGGGGGCATTGGTTAATTGGCCTTGTCCGTTAGGACCAAGGGGAGCACCGTATCCAGAAACCGCCCAGGACGCAGGTTGCTGCTGGGGTTGCTGAGTTGTTGCGGCGCGGGAGCCGGCGACCAACTGACGATCGGAAATGTTCAGCACGGACGAAACAAGGACAGTCTGTCCTCGGAAGGGAGAGCAACGTTCACCAAGTGTCGTACCACTCATGAATGAGTTGTCAAAAACCACATCAAGCAGAACAGTGCGTGAGGTTCTAGTCAAACCAATCACAGTACCACGGGTGGCAATAGGTACTTTGCCGGAATCCTGCGTGTACACAACCCGATCACCAAGCTTGAAATTCTGGTTGCCCAGGCGGTGCTCAGCGTCGGCAGGGCGAAGCAGAGCACTGCGAGGAACTCCACGGACCTTTTTTGGCTGCATTGACTTCATGGATTGAGTAACTGCATCTGAATCTTGCTCAATCAAATGAACAATGTCGGAGTCCAACTGTTCAGCGTCGAGAGGAACACGTGCAAAGCCCTTGGCGTCAATGGATTTGAGCCACTTCTGAATTTCCTTCATTTTCAAGAGAGCAACATCCTCCGGGTAAAAGTCGGTGGGGGTGTAACGATCGTTCTGTGGATTGCGTTGGATGCCAGCGATAAACTCGGGGAAATTGATCATGTATTGCTGGAGCAAATCCACTGTCTTCTGGCTAAATTCCCAGCCATTGGCTCCACGGCGGGAATATCCTAGAACCTTTTGCTTTCGAGCCTCAAACTTCAGGTTGAGGCCCAAATTCACACGCGTGCCATCAATGTCAACGGAGAAGGAAGATGTGATCTTGGAGAGTACCAAGGGGCTAAGACGGAGACTACGCGCAATAGCGTATGAGGGCATGTAAGGGCAGTGCGACTCGGCCTCTTGGACACGTTTCCACCCAAACTCAGGCTCACGGCCTTTGACCGACGCGACCAAACCGTCCACTTTTCCTTCAGCGTGGCCGGAAATATAAGCAGGTCGTCCATAGTTAAAGTCACCCAAGAAGAATGCACGAGAACCTATCGGGAACTCTTCTTCGATTGGCAAAGCTGTACGCTCAATGAAGCGCTCATCGGGATTGATAACATCGTCAACAATCACTTGGACGGCGTAATCAGTTTCCTGTCCGGGTATATCCATAAACTCCTTGATGGTGGCTCCGTCATCGGTCTTAATCATGCCCTTCAACGGTTGGATATGGACCAAAGCTTCGACATCTCCAATGATCACACCTAGTCGCTTGCTATAAGTGCCTTCAATCTTTTGAGCCTTTTTCTTGAACTGTTCAATTTGTTGAGGGGTGTGTGGGATCGACACAACATGCTGTTCACCCGGCGGGAGGATGTAGTCAAATAGTTCGTCTGAGACACGAACAACGAGGGCTTCCTGCAAGTACGGGTAACCAACATGGATTCGCTGACCAAGCTTTTTCTTTGCCAACTCGACACTGGATCGGCTTGATGCGTCCAGAAGCGTAATGACTTGACTTTCGTTACGGCTTTCTTGCTGGAAGACCTGCACACCATGGAATCCCAGTTGGCCGTGATGTGGCAGTGTGTTGAGACTAGGGAAGCCAGCCAGAGCCGCTTCACCCAGGTGTACACCATCCATCAGGCCGTTATATGGCTCCAAACCTTCCATGGCAGGAAGGTCAAAGATGTTTTCAATACAATGGCAATGAGGAATATCAGGGAATACGCCAGGCATAGACGAGGGGTAGATGAAATCGGTACCCGTAGAATATGTGAACTTCAGACTCGTTCCGAAGGAGTTCCTTGACTGTTCACCAGGTGTGAGGAACTGTTCCCGCGTCTTGAGTGCATCTAGCAACCGCTTCTCATCAATGAATGGAATTTTCACCACAGCCTCCCATGCCATCTTTTTGCCGTTCATATCCAAATCAAAATCACGAGGATAGAAGTCAATAATAGACGAATCTGGAGAAGTCATCAGGTCCCAATATGCCTTGGGCACGATCTTCTTACTCCGATCTGGCAAGACGCCCATCAGCTGGTCGAATGGGCGGAAGGGTTTCCCAAGCCGGAAGTCCATGTTTGCCTTAAGACCTTTTTTCACATCTATTTCAGAGTCAGAAAAAGGATACAGAAAGATCAAGTTTCAATACGTACCAGAAATCATAGGGGCGTAATGATACTGGAAAAACCAAGGCCACGAGGCAATGCCGCGGTAGTAGTAGAACAGCACCCACTGCAATCCTTGCACATAGTTCTCCGCCAGCTTTGCTAACTCCTCCTCATTATCCAGTCCCCAGCCAAATTTAGATTGATAATAGTTATCTCTCCATTCCAGGAATTTGGCATCGTATTTCTGTTCTGCTGCCTTTTGTGCTTCCTCTGGGGTAATTTCCTGAAGTTTGGCCTTCTCGTACTTTCGAATAATACGTTGAATAGCCAAGGTTGATTCTTCATCATAACCATCATCGTCACTGTCACTGTCATCATTCTGTGTCTGAGGCAACTCGAGCCTCATGAATCGGTCACCATGGGTATTCTCGATGGTGGACCATGGCACCCGAAGTTCATCAGCAAGCTTTTCAACAAAGCTACGATCGCGTGCTGGTATAACGGCAGGGAAATCCAAAGGCTTGAGCTCGGATCCCTTTCTAGGCCGGTTCAAGACATACGTCTTGACTATCTTGAGAATTTCCTTTTGAGCTGAAGTGATGGTCATGTCCTTTGGTTTCCGCTGCAGTTCGAGGGAGTTGTCACCTTGATTCTTCTTTGACTTAACCCATTGGCTATCTGAGTATTCAGCCTCGAAGAAACGATGTTCAAAGCTACTCATTGCATCGACAAGCATACCCAACCGTTCCAGATTGATAACACCCTGCTCGTTGATGTAGCCACCCATTTTTGGCAGTACATCCTTGTAGAGCTTGAACATCAGCGCCAATGCACCTTCGTTGATATGCAAATTCGGCAAATTAGGCAAAAAATCATTACCAACAAAAAATGCCATGAGAATGAAGTCATCAATCACATGCTCCATGTCGAAGGGAAAACCAAGAGTCCCTTCCACCTTGAGTTCCTGAAATTCGAGCTCAAGATACTCCCGAACCAGACTTAAGTGTAGGAGATAGAAATTTTGATGCTCGAGTTCCGTAGGCTTCTTCGCTGTCTGGCGACCAAATGTTACTTCTTCACGAAGAAGGCAGAAATGTGGGTCATGACTGAGAAGACCCAGCATGATCAAATCAGCATCTAAGCCATAAAGACAGTGGCGCACATTAGGATGGTAATCGGCCTGTGCCTTGGCGCTTCGGATATATTCCATGATCTTGTGCTCGCCCTCGCCGGGCACCTCGTGGCCTGAAAGCACGATCTCCACGCCCTGCCAGTTTGTGTCCTCCGAGATCTTCTTGTTGACAAAATATTTCAGTTGTCGTGTCAATCTCTCCATAAATTCAGTACCTGGTGTGATACAATTGCTATCGAAAGCATCATCCTTGGGCATCTCTAGCCCTTGGGAGATAGCCGCTTCCTTTGCTTCTTCGGCATCTAGGGCTGTTCGGAAACGGCGGGCTCGCTGTTGGTTCATCTTTGCACGCGGGGCAACACCATCAACAGCCATATAGAAGAGCTTCTTTGGCTTGATTGTGCCAAATAGATGCTCGATGTAGTTGAAGATCGCAATGAACATTTGCTCCTCAGTCATACGGAAGGTTGGCGAGTCACTATCACTGTGTGTGCAGTTGTGGATAATACCGTTCATGTCCAAATACAGGCTGTCAAACTCGGGAATGCGACTCTCCGCGATTAACACTGAGATGGAAGGGTACCGTTCACTAAGCCAACGGAAAAACTTTGGAACACCCATGATGAAGGTATTACAAAAACAATATCTTCAAATTAGAACTTGAATTGAAAGAAAGTTAGTGGCGGTGGTGGTGGGAGGTGGGAGGTTGAGATTCGACTCTTCAGTAAATGAGAGGATATTGGGAGGATATTCCAGTTGTGCGAAGCGGGGGGTCTAATACTCTGAACTTGCAAAAAGAAAAAATTCAGAAAGAAAAATCTCCCTAGTGTGGGAAAGGAGCGTAAAGGTTAGAGTGGTCAATAGTTGAGATTCACGATTCGAGTCATTGCCAAGGAGGTGATTCCAAATACAGACTAGCGTCAATTAACGCGCTCGTTTGGCTTTCGCGTCTATCTCGCCGATTGCGAAGCACTTTTTTTCCACTTCACTTGACAACTACAACTACCCTTGACGTTCAGATTTGTACTTCCACTTGGTTGCCATGCAGTCTTACGAAGATGAGAACCGTAAGTCTTTGGGAAATTCTCCATGGGAAATCCTAAACTGATTTTGTCGAAGCTCCCACAGAGGAACAGGAGCAGGAGCATAGCAACGAAAAGATCATCAATGAAGGTATATATACACCAAACCATTATTCGCCAGGAAAAATGATCAGTATAGCTCACATTCCTATCTCCGAACAGAATATAAGACTTGGAAAAAGAATGCGCCATTTCTTTACGATATGATCCTCAGCACAGCACTCGAATGGCCCACTCTCACCACTCAGTGGCTGCCAGATAAGCAAGAGTGCGTGATCGATCCATCTCCTCTTTATATTGTTTTCTCAGAGCTAAAGCTAACCAATATCATTAACTCAGAGTGCCCGACAAGCCCTACTCCACGCACCGCCTTATCATCGGAACTCATACCGCAGGCGATGCTCAAAATTATCTTCAGATCGCGCATGTTCAGCTACCCAATCTTGATGCGCCCAATCCTGATGACTACGACGAAGAGAGGAGTGAGATTGGTGGTTACGGTGGAGGTCCTAAGAAGCCTCAGGTGGAGATCAAGTTTGAGATCGCCCAGAAGATTGATCACCAAGGGGAGGTTAATAAGGCTCGCTATCAGCCTCAGAACCCTAATATCATTGCGACGATGTGCACAGATGGTCGGGTGATGATCTGGGATCGCTCAAAGCACCCCAGTATTCCCACCGGAACTGTAAACCCTCAGATGGAGCTTCTGGGCCACGAAGCTGAGGGATTTGGGCTTAGCTGGAACCCTCACGAGGCCGGTCACCTTGCTACAGGTAGTGAGGATAAGACAGTTCGTCTTTGGTAAGTGGTAAAATGACGGAATGCTCCTACAAAAAAGACATTGAGAGCTAACCCATATCCAGGGACCTCACTACATACACAAAGGGCAACAAGGCACTTCGGCCTACCCGCACCTACACACATCACTCTTCGATCGTTAATGATGTCCAGCATCATCCTCTCCACTCTTCTCTCATTGGTTCAGTGTCCGACGACATCACCCTCCAGATTATCGATGTTCGTGCAGCCGATACTACTCGGGCTGCTGCTTCTTCTGAGGGCCAGCATCGTGATGCCATCAACTCCATTTCATTCAACCCGGCCGCAGAGACTATTTTGGCCACTGGCTCGGCAGACAACACCATTGGAATTTGGGATTTGCGTAATCTGAAGACGAAGCTTCATTCACTGGAGGGCCACTCGGATTCAGTGCAGTCAATTTCCTGGCATCCCTTTGAGGAGTCTGTGCTGGCCAGTTCAGGCTACGACCGCAAGATTTTGTTCTGGGACCTTAGCCGAGCTGGAGAGGAACAGACCCCCGAGGATGCGCAGGACGGACCCCCGGAACTGTAAGTGTCCAATATCCTATCCCGACTTGTCATTTTTGGTATATCTAACGTTGCTTGATTCTAGTCTCTTTATGCATGGTGGTCACACCAACCGTATCTCTGACTTCAGCTGGAATCTCAACGACCCCTGGGTTCTTTGCTCAGCTGCTGAGGATAATTTGTTGCAAGTGTGGAAAGTAGCTGATGCAATTGTGGGCAAGGAGTTGGAGGATGTTCCAATGGAGGAGCTGGAGGCATGATCTGCTATGTCAATTTTTTATTTCCGTTATTAGTTATTCTCCCTAGTATGTGCAGGCGAACATATAGTTTGTAATGGGGAACCGGAATATTATGTCTTTTTTTTTTTTTTACTTCAATTGCTGCAGGTATTTAAAGAAGATACTCCGTACTCCGAAACCCTGTCCAAATTTCTTACCTAATCAGTGGAGAATTGACAGAGCCCCACCATATTGGATAGTGATTGGTCAGAACTCAAGGCGGTGTCATGCAATGAGGGGCTGTTGATCTAAAAAAGGTTAGCGTCTTTTTGGATTGTCTTGTCAAAAAAAAGTAGGGTCATCATTGTCGATGTTACTGATTTGATTTCAACGAGGTTCTACTATTCGCACCCATTTGACTGTTCCAACTGTCCAATTTATCAACGCCCATCTCGTTGTCATGGGATCTGGATCCTCCCCACCTTCTAAGCCTTCAGCCATTCCTTCCCATATGCTGAACGGCAGTTCCCCTCTACAATTGTCCTCCAGTTCGGGCTCGGGTTCGGGCACTGGTACCCGTACTCGCGACGCTCGTGAACGGGAGAGCCTCAATTCTTCAATCAAGTCATCCTTTACTCCTCGTATTCCTGTTGAGTTTGAATCTTCGAACGAGGCAACTCTAGCTCCAGCTCCAGCTCCAACTGCAGCTGATGATCCTACTACTCATGAAGCGGGGGTCGCCAGTAGTGCAATGACACTCCGGTATGTTATCGGCAAACTTTGCCACAACTTTACACTATCTTTCTGACACCCTACAGTGGCAGAGTATCCCTGAATGCACCTCCTCGTGATCCTCGAGATGAAGGTGGTCCATTGACCCCACCGGCGACAGTTAGCCGTCCTTCCAGCCCTTACACAATGAACCCACCCGTTGATTTTGACGGGCTTAGTTGGCCTTGTAAGTGACTCAGTTAAATCTATGGCATGGGAATTGCCTTCTAAAAATTGCACAGGTCCTGGAACACGCCAGCGATTAGAGTCGACACCAGAGGAACATGAAGAGCGCGTCAAGAAGCTTGCGGGTGCTGTGCGGACAATTCTCGAATGTGTTGGAGAAGATCCAGAGCGAGAGGGTCTTCGTGAGACTCCAGAACGATACGCCAAGGCTATGCTCTATTTTACCAAGGGCTACGAAGAGAATGTGCGGGACCTAGTGAACGGAGCAGTTTTCCACGAAGACCATGACGAGTTGGTCATTGTGAAAGATATTGATGTCTTTTCTATGTGTGAACATCACATGGTCCCCTTCACTGGAAAGGTAAATTTGTCCATGCCATTACTTCTGAAACTGTACTGACCATGTGGGGTAGATGCATATCGGCTACATCCCTGACCGCCGCGTCCTCGGACTTTCCAAATTGGCCCGCCTCGCTGAGATGTTCTCCCGTCGACTTCAGGTCCAAGAGCGCCTGACCAAGCAGGTTGCTCTGGCCATCTCCGAGGTCCTCAAGCCCCGGGGTGTTGGAGTTGTCATGGAGTCTTCCCACCTGTGCATGGTCATGCGTGGTGTGCAGAAGGTCAGCAGCACTACAACTACCAGCTGCATGCTAGGATGCATGCGGTCTAGTGCCAAGACCAGGGAAGAGTTCTTGACGCTCCTTAACCGAAAATAATTCATCTCTTCAATTATGTGTTGTATTTTCTAGCTCTATCTTGAGCTCGCATGTAATGTTACGAATTTGGAGTTTTGGTGGTGACCTTTCAACAGGTTTATTTGATGGCTTCTTCAGTCTCATGCGATAGCATGCATTTGCGTTTCTGATTTTGTGTTTTTTCCCCTTCTTTTTTGAATATACCTCGGCAGCAAACAGACAACACATGTCTCTTCTGGTGCCAACACCCTACACCTTTTTTGTGACCTCATCGTCCTCAGGGACCACGACGAAGACCCTTTTCAACCCGGCTTCATAAAAACCTCGCTGAAGGATGAAAATTCTCATGACCTTCATATGATTCTATTTTGTTTACACACTTTTTGGATTCCTTTTGGTCCCCTCCTGGCGGAGCTGGTGAGGTTGTTTCAACAATTGACGTTTCACTCTATGCTTAAGATGCCTGTTTGGACTATTTCCTTTGTATATGGTTTCATTCCCATCGGATGCTATGTACGCTTTGATATATTAAAATGATCAATTCTAAAATAATATGATAACTCATGAAAAGTAAAATATAACCCTGTGGAGAAACAAAGTAGTTCCATGGTTTCGAGATAGGTAAGAATCTTGGAAGCTCGAGTACGCTTTTGATGGCATGTATAGGATCTCTATTAGACACAAGTATTAACTAGGTACTTTCGAGGTTCACAAAGCTTTAACTCGAGGGCTGTTTTAAATAGACTGCTATCAGAATATCTAGTTACCTAGTTTACGCTCTTCCATTTCACGTTCTATGTAAGCAAAACACACAACTTGTCACAGCAACAAACAACTTCCTCTTCTTTTTCAAAACTCCCTTCAGCTTCTCTCTTTCAATCCCATTCTATTCTAATATTTTATTGATTCGAGCTTTCATAGGACCACGCGCAACTTCCGGAATATTTGTTCCAGAGCCATCAATCTCAAACACTCCAGATTCTGTACGTATGGCAATTTCTTAGCTCCCAGTATCTGCTTAGTGAATCAGATCATAAAGCTGTGTTCACTCTTCTTACTTATGACAGACATCGACCTTTATCAGTTCCAAAGTTCTTGTTGCAACTGCGGTTCACAAGGTGTACTCAGGTTAGTTCAAACAGTACTCTGGATATTATTTAGGAAATTCTGACCTCATAACTCTTCCCACATGCAGCCAAATATTCGTGATGAATCCCCAGAACCCTCCAAACCCTCAGGCTCCAAATGCTCGAGTATTGCAGGCTATAAGAGCTTTTCAGGCTGCACGGGCTCGGCCTCCACAGCTTCCTCTAAACCCTCAGGCTGTAAGAGCTATTCAAGCTACACAGGCTCGGCCTCCACGGCTTCATCTGAATTCTCAGGCTAAAATTTTTCAGATACTCAGCATTCAGATAGATGAGCCAGTTCCTACTACAGCGATTAGCTGGGCGTTGAGCAATCAGCTTACCCGGTCTTTGCTAAACACAGTTACTGGACGCTACGCGTTTGCCCGGGCGTTTCCTGAACTGTGTCGTTGGAACTTCAATCTGGATATGATTCTGTATGATGCCATCAAGCCATCTCCCCCAATGGAATCCCGGAGACCGATAAGCTAAACGATCCCGCTTCTCGCCTTCGTCATCGCCAACATCTTCTCCATAATCTTCTTGTTCAACGTTTTGAAAGATTTTCCGCAATCTTGGACGTCCATCATCCTGATTGTAAACAGAAGACAAAGCTCCAGGAAGCTTGTTATTCAGCTTTTGTCGAGAACACCTTGTCCTGGAATCATGGTGTTGAAGTCCCAGAAAGCATGGGGCCTTATGATACCCTCATAAAGAAGGCCGATCAAATGATGAAGCGTGAGTATGGAACCGTACCTCACTCTGATACCAAGTTGAACTCGATTCTTGAGATTGAAAACCACTTTGGGACCCCTAATCATTTTGAAGTTCGTTGTTTGCGTCACAATTATGATGGCAAGATCATGAAGGACTACCAAAGGTTCCTCCAGACAACAGTTCTGGCTCAAAATTCCCGAAGTCCACGCCCTTGTGATAAAGAATTTCCGAGAGGTCTAACCCCGTTTCGATTCAATTGTCACATCCGTGGCGTTCAGGTTGATGTGGATCTACTCCAAGTCAATCTAGGCCCACCCGAGGACTGGGACCAATTCGACTGCCTCCTTGCCCAAATTCTTCAAAATGACCGCGAATTTGCTAATGAGGGGCGCTGGTCTCTCATTTCTATCATGACATATCCAGTCGGACGGACCAAAGAGTACTCTCCAGAAGAGGCTCTTCAAGCATATCTCGTTCAGATTCAATTAGCTGCGGGCATACCATTGGAGGGTCTTCAGCCCATGCTCAGTACTGAACGGGTTAATAACGAGATTCGAGCGGGTACACGTCCGCGAGTCCGTCGACCTGTTCATATGAAGATGAGTTGGGCTGGTCAAATGACTGTCCCCTACATTCCACCCGCGAGATTCAATGGTACTCTTGAAGCTCTGCCTAATGACCCATGGTTCCATGGCAATCGCAGGCCTTGGAACTCTGTCACTCTGCCCGAGAACCCCGATGGGCCCGGCCAGATGGGTGGCCCTGATCAGAGCAATCTCATAACCAACATGCGAATCATTGAAGACGCTATCAAGAAGTTTGACAGCATCGTCGTCGTCGCCATCACCAAGCAGGATTATTTGCCCAACACCGGTTATGTGAATGCTGCCCACACCTTTGGATCCATCTCCAAATCCATTCTTAACAATATTCATAATGCCGGAGTCAATGCTCAAGTTAATGCCAGCAAAGCTATGGCGACCCTAGCTAATGCAACCCAGGCTGATGCTGCCGGTGTTTATCCCACTGAAGCCCGTACCCTTTTCTCCTATGCCCATCCAGCTCTTCATTCTTGTAATGTCTTCTGGGGTCGCTGTGGCATTCGATATAAGGCCGAAATAATGGCCGCCGCGCAAGTCTCGAGCGCCGCAGATGCCGTCAGACAAGCTCAAAAAGCCTTTCAAGATGCCCTAGGTGACTTCAACGCGTTACAAGCGCTTTGGCACGCTTGCGAGGTATGGCACTTTGTTAGTGATCGACACTATGAGATCACCAAAATGTTCCGTGATAATTCTCTCAAGAGAGAAACCCGTGCTCGCGCAGCCCTATCTAGTGCTATCCAGAACGATCCCGCCAATTTCAATACCGCCAACGTTGATTACATGCAAGCTACTGTCGCCATGGCTTGGGATACTCTAAGATGGGCGAACGCCCTTGATACCCACGGTCAAATCGGCACAAAAATTGCAAAGATGGTCGATCACGCCATGACTTCAGTCGCCCAAGCTGGAATCACCCTACCAGAAGATGATATCAATGGAGGCTACCAATTTGTCAAGCCTTCCAAAATGCTTGAAATCTCCCGCGCTCGGGCTGAGTATATGGAGGCTTGCCTTCGTGAATTCCGCATGACTGATGCTAGCCACATTGAGGATGCCCGAAAGTTTTGTTCTGTCGTCGGCATACCCCCTGCCCCACGTCACTGCCCCTGGCATCAAAAATACTCCTTGCCACGAAGAGAATAACGGTACGACTCCATGTCTGACTGGCTAGGTCTCATGGACGAAAAATCGATCTCTGAATCAATTTATCCCTTGCACCAAGCCTTTAGTTCTGCGGAGGATGTCGTGAGCAATCTGATATGTTTCAACGGTGTATTTTTATTCTTTTGGAGGATTTGATGTTTTGCGATGAAGTGCTTTCAAATGTTTACCATGTCCCAAGTATTCAAAAATTCAAACCATCCGTATTAATACCATTCACTGCCAGTTTAAGCCCTAAGTCGCTCTGAAAGAGCTTTACCACGGGTCCAAGGTCTATATATTATAACAAACAATAGTCTAATATCTGCCAAACAACCGATCTGAGTAGAGCAAATATCATATATGTAATGGAATAGATTATGTATAGGGTAAACCATACTGTATCGTTCATATCGAAGTTGAAGATTTGTTACTAGTTGCCCGCACGTGTTATCACGTGACAATACTCCGCAGCGATCGCTGCCTGACGACATCAACACCACCTCCTAAATGATCTAGTACTCGCTTCACAGTCCTATGTGGCGCTCCAGTTAATGAGCAAACTCCGGAACTTCGGAATCCCGTCTTTCCAATCATTTGTACTCTCGCATGTTTTCTGTTTATCAACTCTTTATTCCCAAAGCGCCATTGTTCTGAAGTCCAAGTCATCATGTCATGGTTTACCCGTACCCGATCACCTAAGTTTCAGCGGATGATGGATCTCTTCACACATTTTATCTACAGGTATATCAACCACCTGGGCAGTGGAAATGTTCAAAATCTAACCTTGGAAGCCACAAGCAAAGTCCACAATCTTGTTCCAAGATTTCTGTTGTTTGGATTAGGGGTTGATCGCGAAATCAACCCACTAAATGTTCGACCGACCAGATTCAATTCTGATCTTTTTGAACTTAAATTTTCGAGATTCTAATACTGCTCTGCTCATGAAACACTGGATCAAATAGTTCGTCCCACAGCTAACAGCTTCCAACTTTGGAAAGTAGCCTTGCACCGCACCCTTGGGAGTCAAGTACACACACATAAATGATTCAACGGGTTTCCTTGAAGCTAAGTGGGATCAAGTGACACAAATTGGCATCGAAAGAGTCTTCCTTCGAAAATACCCTAGCAGTTTGATATTTTCGGGCACACATAACTACCAAGCCTATTTCTGTCTGCTGTAAACGATGAATCAGCTTACCAGCCAGCTTACACCTCTTACTTACCACTTCAAGTGAGATATTAACAATCTTGCAGATCAACGCAGTCTAACCGGCCAAAATCACTCCAGTTCTTGTCATAAACTTGGTTTCCTCTCTTTTTCCGCTACTGATGGAGCATCTCTTTGTTGATGCCATTGCCCTGCATCCACAGTGACATATACATCCCGAGGTCGACAGGTGTCGTTTTTTTTTTTTTTCTGATTATCGGCCCAAGAGAGTTTGATCAGCTTCTTCCATATCCGGATTGTTACACGCTGGTATTTCTTGTCTGGCGTTTTATGCAGTATATAGATAGATTGTCATTGGGAATTCCCAGTCTTACATCGAGGCCCAGGGACAAGAGGAACAGCCTCAACAGGGCACTAACAACAGCCATAACATCGATACACAAAGTATCTATGTGCAAACAGGCTCAAAGAGAGGCACCTTGTGAAATTCTGGCAAAGACCTGAACAGAAAGGCAACCCCTTGGCTGTGGCTGGTTTCCATCAAATCAAGTTGTAGAGCCGGGGGTGGGCAAGTTCAAGTTCAAGTCCAAGTCCACCAAGTCCGCGCCAAAAAAAAAAAAGAAAAGAAAAAAAAGAAAAAGAAAAGAAGTCAGAGATTTGACCACAGTAGAATTCTCAGCCTGTCTGAATACCAAAGTATTCAACAAATATTGTTGAGAGTTCATAGGGTGCGTATCAACCATTTCCCCTTCACAGCGAAGCCGGAAAAACCACAAGTCCGAGCACTTCCAAATCAAAACCCAGACTTCCGAACGAAACAGGACATCGTACGGGCTCCACTTCACGGCATTTTACTCAACTTTGGTCCTTACTTATACTTTGCCCTACACACCTCCCTTTAATACCCCAGAACCAGATGCTGCCGGCGACATCTTTATGGCTGGGTCTCGTAGGAGTCCTATGTTAGACCAGTGGGGGGCCGACCCTGATCGCAATCCCCGTGACATGGATCGAGAAAGGCGCAGAGGTCGTGGTTCTCATCGCGACAGAGGAAGACGTCGTGAAAGAGGGAACCATCGCTCAGCTGACCAATTTCATTACCCACGGTCGCCAGCCCGGCAATCCAATTTTGATTCAGCTTTGGATCGATCTCCGCCACACAGATCTACCGACTTTCCTTCTGGGATGTCCTCTTCCCACCGACCAGCGGACATACGCAGTGATTGGAATTCAAATTCTGCCGTGAATAGAGACAGCTCTCGGCGAGATGATTCTCCATTTGCGCCGCCACCAAAACGGAAACGAACTCGTAGCCCGTCTCCTCGCAATCAACGTGCCCCATTTCCTCATCGTCGTGGATCATCCACTAAATACTCAGACCAACGTGACCGAAGTCCCTCGTTTAAAAATCGAGGTCGGTTTTCCGGCCGAGGTTCCTCTCATCAAAAGTCTTCTCGTCGAGGACGTGACCGCCGTGGAAAAGACCGCCGTGGCACTGATTTTCATCGTGATTATGACAGGTCTCCTGAGCGAGGTCGCAGACTCCATCAACCTCTTAACCAACACTCTCGATCCCCCAGTAGGGAAGGATACAGCGACAAGGATTCGCGTTATCGATCTCCATCCCGTCACTCCATAAGATCTGCAGACTCGAGGGTGTCTACATACTCTTCTAGGCCAACGGTATCTAACCAACCTGCTCAGTCCGACTTGAGCAGCTCAAATCGACCCCAATCACCTTTTCAACGACACCCAAGCTTCGATGAAAACCAAGGACGTACCTTTAATAGACCTGGGAGCAGTGGTGACCCATTGCATATTCAAGGAAACACAAGCAGGCGTCGTCCTGAGCGACAGCAAGGTGATTCGGCGCAATATTCAGCTTCACCTCATATTTCACCCAACTCCCGCAGATCCCCTCAAGCCAGTTCTCCTTACTCAGGTGGACGAGGCAACTGGGACAAACGGTCGTCATATCTTGGCAACGCGTGAGTGTTCTTTCCTAGATCCAGTCACCCTATAATAAAACACCTTGATTGGGGGCTAATATCAAAATTTCTTCAGCCACGCGTCACCTAACTTGCAAGACAACTACCTCCCTCAAAATTTCCCCCAGGGACATATCAACTCTGTCAATGAGGCTCAATTTGAGATGCCTCGAAATCGCTTTGAGCAGCTTTCGTATCGAGATGGTCCCTCTGGAACTCAGGCAAACTATATAGCCCAGAACTCAAACCGTCACTTTTCGGGCTCTGGTCCTCCTCCTGCCTTTGAAAGTACCGTCTCTCACCGTGGTGGAAGGAGGAAATTTAGTAACTCTCATTGGACTGAATCTGACCGGAACCGTGACGGACAACAGAGTCCTCGTAACTCACATTCACTTGATTTGCAGGTATCTCCCTCTAGGCAAATCCCCTTAGCAGGGTATGAACCAGACCACGTGCCAGGAAATGATAGCAACTTTGTACCTGCAGACCGAGCCGAATACCACTCGTTTAAAAATAACGATGGTCAGTCTGATACTCGAACCATCCCGTCCACAAGCCGCGAAGCAATTGCTGCTACACCTGCAGACAAAGGTGGGAAGTTCAGTTTTACTTTGAAAGCCAAGAAACCTACAACAGGTCCACCGCCTCGTATTGTGCCTGATATGGGACAGCGGATGCAGGCTCGTGAGCCGCCTCGTGTAGCTGATCCACCCACTCCTCGAAATCGATTGACCAATGGACCAATGCCCACCTATGTACCTCCACCGCGGTTCGACCGTCGTGAGGGAGGCCGCGGGCGAGATCGGGGACGAGATCGAGGGCGAGACCGGGGACGAGAACGCAGAGATACTCGAGACCAGCGAGACTTTCGTGATGCTAGTCGCCGAAGAGATGACCGTCCGTTTGAGCGGCAGGGTGATCGTGGTAGAGGGGGCAGGACCCGAGGCGACCGGGGTGATTTCAAGCAATATCGCCGCAGAGGATTCACACCCGAATCACCAATTGAATTTTCGAGAGAACCTGCCCTCGAGCCAGCAAAGCAGAAGATAATTCGCTACAAAGCTCGCCCTACTTTGCCAGCAGAATTTGCTAATTCGGACTCTGTTTACTATCGAAAGCCTGGCAATGAATCTGTTATTGGCGCAGGTACATATGGTAAGGTGTTTAAAGGCATCCATGTCTACACTAGACGTGAAGTTGCCCTGAAGAAGATCCGCATGGAAGGCGAAAAGGATGGGTTTCCTGTTACGGCTTTGCGAGAAATCCAGCTTCTGCAGCACTTACGGCACCCTAATGTGGTCAGCTTTCTGGAAGTTATGGTGGAGAAGAACGAATGTTTCATGGTGTTTGAATATCTTTCTCATGACTTGACTGGGTTGATCAATCATCCCAACTTTACTCTTGATGTTGCTCACAAGAAAGACCTTGCTAAGCAGTTGTTTGAAGGTCTGAATTACCTACATGGTCGCGGTGTCCTTCACCGCGATATCAAGGCTGCAAATATCCTGATCAGCAACACTGGCGTGTTGAAGTTTGCCGACTTTGGCCTTGCTCGATTCTTTTCAAAGAAGCCAACCGACTACACAAATCGTGTCATCACAATCTGGTATCGGCCTCCTGAACTCCTTCTGGGCGAGACCCAATACGGCCCTGCTGTTGATGTGTGGAGTGCTGCCTGTGTCTTTATGGAAATGTTCACTAAAAAGGCTGTTTTCCCTGGCGAGGGTGGTGAGCTCAGTCAGCTCGACAAACTATTTGATTCACTGGGTACGCCAACTCTGGTCGAGTGGTCGAATTACAAGGAAATGCCGTGGTTTGAGTTGATGCGCCCAACCGAACGCAAGAAACGAATCTTCGAGGACTTTTACAGACATGTACTGAGCCCAGCGGCACTAGACATGGTCTCGCAGGTCTTCCAGTATGATCCGGCCAAGCGACCCAGTGCCGAGGATGTACTGAAACATCCCTACTTTACGGCTGAGGAACCAGGTCCTCAGCAAGCCACCGAGTAAGATTCCATTTTATTAATCCTTCCTTTCGGGAATCATTCACTGAATATCATCTAGGCTTGAAAATATCAAGGGGGATTGGCATGAGTTCGAATCAAAAGCACTCCGCAAAGAGGCCCGACGTGCGGAACAGCAGGGGCAAAAGGACATACAAAAGCGCAAAGCTGAAGCGTCTGTGTCAACAAGTGATCGCGACCATAAGCGAGCCAAACCAGGCACCAATGGTAGCTCCACGTTGGATTGATCTGGTTAACAATACCTAGCGAAATTTGAATCAACCGTTACATATTAGCGAATCTCTAGGCTACTTAAGTATAATTTTAATTGATTCTCGGTCTGTATTTTCAGAGTGTCAGGTAGGGACAAGGTTCTAGCCCTTATAAGTTGATGAGGAAGAATGCCCAGGCGGGTTGATATCTAGGTACGAACTCATGCTTGCTATCAAAATCTTGTGCTATGTAAGCTAGTGAAACGTGAAGCATCAACCGAGTACCTAGATATACCACTGTAGAGCGAGTTAGCTCATGTCTCTCGAAGTTCAGATGATTCAATGTGTGTTCATATCCAGATCAGACTTTGCCAATAAACTCAGTCTCAACCAGCACTTATGTATAGTGAGGCGGTTGAGTTCGGATTACCAGAGAGCTCAAATGATTATCATCATCTTGGTAGTATGAAGTATACAAGGTATAGAAGGTGTATATAATAAATTTGGATTGGATTACTATATAGACGTACCCTAACAAAGAAGCTAAGGGCGATGAGGGATGTATCGTCAATCAGGTCATCAACTTGTCCTGGAAGCTCAATGAGCCCTCGTGATGATGGTTTTAGATGCGAAGATTAATCTCGACACACACATCGGAAACGCTAGAGCAGTAGGAAGAACAAACGCCCCATCGTTGATTTGAGTTGGTGGTCTTGAGTAAAGAAGGAAGGAGAAAAATAGAGGGAAAAAAATGCGGTAGAAAAGGGAATATCGGAAGAACGTTGTTCCCTTTTTAATCGAGCCGAATGATGATTGGTTGTGTGGAGCTGCCTCAGGTCCTTTCGACTCCAATTCCAATACCAGAACCGTCGTCCAATCCCGCTTCAACGACCTTTTCTCTTTCTATTCTTTCTTCTTCCTCACCCCACAAGTCTTCTTTGATATCCTCCTTTTACACTTTCTTAACTTATTCACCTCTATCTGTTCGCCCAGCTGGAATTCTATACAACCTATTCTCCACCAACCATCCTCTGCAATCCTCCGCTTAACCAACTCGCATCTACTCTACTCTTTTTTTCTCGTGAAAATTAACCTATCTCTTTTACACATCACCTATAAGAACCTCTGTGAATCTATCTATAGCGTGCCTTCTCAACTTTCCGAGCTCTTTTTTCGCACCGGAACCTCGATCACCTCGGTTCCGGCCGCCTCACCCATCGTAATGGATAATGCCAACCTGTGGACTCGTCGAGCAAAGTCAGCGCCACCTTTCCTTTGGATGATGACATCTGTCACTGACATACTATTCTTATCATTTTAGCTCCTCCAAATTGTCCTTGTCAATGTCTGGAACCGACGCAAAGGATAATGCCCGCGCCGATCTGCCCCGCTCATCGAAACGATTCGGCCCTGATAGCTCCCACGGACGCTCCAATCCCTTTAACGCAATATCACCAATGTCAGGTGGTGTATCCTCTCCATCTACCAATGCCTCCTCCGCTTTTGGTCTGGGGTCAGGTGCTTTCGCTTCGTTCGGCGCACCCAAAACACCAGGTGGCTCGTCGGACGTGAAGACGCCTGGAGAGAAGCGCGAGATGACACTGGAGCAGGAGAAGGCAGCCAGCACCAAAGTGTTGGCTAACCCCCATGCTTCCGGTCCTGGAGAGCATCCGTTGAAGTCGACATGGATTGTCTGGTACCGTCCACCCACACCCAAATACTCTGACTACGAGAAATCCACCGTGCCACTTGCTTCTATATTCTCAGTGGAGAGCTTCTGGGCAGTATACTCGCACCTCAAGCGGCCATCTCTCCTTCCCACTGTTTCGGATTACCACATCTTCAAGAACGGTATTCGACCCGTTTGGGAAGATGAGGCCAACAAGAAGGGTGGCAAGTGGATCGTTCGATTGAAGAAGGGTGTGGCTGATAGGTACTGGGAGGACCTGCTACTGGCAATGGTAGGTGATCAGTTCGCAGAGGCTGGTGACGAAGTCTGTGGTGCCGTGTTGAGCGTGCGGGGTGGTGAGGATGTGTTGAGTGTCTGGACCCGGATAGATGGTGGGCGCAACATTAAGATCAGGTAAATTCCTACGACAGTATCCAATCAATCTGTAACTGTACTAACATGCTTACAGAGAAACGATCAAGCGTTTGCTCGCTTTCCCCTTGGACACCAACATCGTCTGGAAGAGTCACGATGACAGCATCGCTCAGCGCTCTGCCATTGATCAGGCTCGTCATGAGAAAGCCACCTCTACCAACCCCACTAATCACCTAGCAACGGAACGGCGACGTGCCCCCGGCCATGATGAATCAGACAAAGTCAAGGGGGCAACCCCGTGAATCCAGTCCAGACATGCGGCCTTGAGCCTTGTACAGTAAAGCCGACAAAAAAAGGAACTTTTTATGCACAACAATTACTCATTTGGGACGCGTTTGGGTATAGGAGGGACGGTGGGGCATCGAGGCGAACTCAGCGGTTTTGATTTGATTTTAATTTCTTGAGTTCTATCTCAATCAGGCTTATTTCGTCCATTTTTATCTGCCTTCGAGCTTATGATGTTTGTTCTATCTATATTCTTTTATGCTGAAAATTCTACTGCATCTGCAGCTGTAGGTCTAAGGCTGTTAGTTCTACCATACCTAGTATAGGTAACCTATGTCTCTATAGCTTCAATCAATCATTGGAAAGGGCCCAGCCCATATCTAGGTAATCTTGAATCTTCTACTGCAGCCATTGCCATATAATATTCTGTAGTCTTGACTTTTCACTTCACGGATGTATATTCAATTTTATTGCCTGATAAACTAGGCTAAAATAACTTCGCACTCACCGCCTTTTTTTTATCGGAGATAGACAAAGCGTTAAAATATAGCAGTCAAGAACCTGGCGCGATGGGACCAATGCCGAGCATGGCCCTGACGCAGAGGGGTCCTTTGTGAATGCCGTTCTTTGATAGCCTATCTTGACTATTTGGAAAGTTATCCCTACAACGCCTACGACGCTTACAACGATCACGCCAGCCCTTTATTACCCGTCCACCTCCACGAACCATCTGAACGTCATTGTTCCTAACCCCTTCAAGCGCTGTACAACCCTAAGTTACAGCTAGTTTGCGCTAGGCGTTGACTCCGACATTAACTCCGACAAGAAGAAGCCTGAAATTTGCTTAGATACTGGGTTCAATACCATTGCTCTTGTGCTGGTATGTTAGGTCCTCTTTAATATCCATGCTGCACCCCGCAATCATTTCTATTTCGAAGTAGCTTCATGTATCCTGATTTGGATACTTCCACTTCTACTTCCACCTTTACACTTCACTTACACTACACTTCTCCACTTACACTTCTACACTTACACTTCTACCTCCACTTCTACTTCCACTTCTAACCCTACTACTATACCCGCTCCCTTATACTTCCACTCCCTCTTTTTTCTTCATCCTCCTTCCTCGTTACTCCTTTTTACTATAATTGCACGGCTACTCACATTTCTTCAATTCCTTAAGAATTCCATCCTCATATTGCTTCGAAATTTCTACATCAGCCTTCCACACGATAGACATGCGTCCACCTGATTCCAGTTCACACAAACTGATACACGATATTGGACGCAGAATGGGCGACCCGCCCCAAATGTTGAGCAGGAATAAGGAACTCAGTGCTCAAGCCCGTCAAGATGAGGCTCGCTTGTTGGGCTCGAATGTGAGGGAATGCAGGTATGTTCTTTCATTTCTTCTGAGAATCACCCCAATCGTACAAATCAGTGGACTAACCAATTATATTGCAATAGAGACAAAGGTGCTGTGGTTATCAAGCCCGGCATGTCCTTTTTAAGATCGAAGAAAGCACCAGGCGTAAGTTCCCCAACGTTTATGGAACCTTGGTTGGAGCTGCAATCTGATATTTTCGATAGTCTTCATCCTCTTTCAGACCTACTGATAGAATTTCGCATAACTCGCGTGACAGTGGGCCCGTTCGTGCCAACGGGAACCCAACTACCTTGAGCTCCTTGACAGCTATTTCTCAGGGTGAAGAATTCCAACCTTCAAATCGGCCCAGCAAACGGCCGCGCCATGAGGATAGAAATGTTTTCGATTTGACTGGAGATAGCAATGCGGGCCCAACTTCCCCACCCTCTCGACACCTGCTGGCCAGTCAAATTTCCACTTTCCAAAAAACAAACGGCCCAATTTCTCGACATGGCGAATATCGGGAAGTAGAAGAAAATATGAAGATTTCTCGAAACCCTCGAGCCCAGCGTGGACGCTTATGTGATCCTTCTGATGAAGAAAAGTTCACTACCTATGCTGTCCAACAACGCCGATCTAGCTACTCTCCAAAAACATCATCGCCCAACGCCCATTCTATCATTACCATTGATAGCATTGGTACACCCAAAGTAAGGAGTACTTCATCTGGAGAAAGGCCAGTGATCCTGGAGAAGACGAAGCAGAGTGGCCCATCTGTTTTCGATGCAAATGATAGTTTTGATGAGCTTCAGGGTGAGACGACTACTCGACCCGTACCAAAGTTTCTGGACGGAAAGAAAACTCCAGTTGGAAAACTCTTGTCACCTTCCCAGAAACGCCCCCAGTCAGATATTGAACGAACTGTGTTCGAATCCTCGCGAAATGTACCTAAAAAGGTCAAGCGCAATCTGAATGCAACTCAAAGTCGATCTGACCACGTGAAATTCGAGATCTGTTCAATTCGATATGGCCTTATCAAAAAGGACAACGGATCGGCAGGAAGTGTGAAAATTGCTGTTGATCATGAAAAGATTGTTCTAGGCGAAGATATTGTGGGTCCGTTCCATGAGAGTGTCGATATTTCCATCCGCAGCGTTTTGAAGTTCTTTGAAGGAGAGGATCCGAGTCACAAGGCGAGATTGGCTTTGGCGAATACGAACGACTCTCCCAATAACCCGGTGGATATTGAGTTCCTAACAAGAGACGACATGCTTGCCTTTGGACGCTCGCTGGCTGGTTTCAATATCAAATTCATCACAAAAGAAGTGGATGCTATCGACAAGACGTTTCAGTATCATGAACGCCAAATGGTACAGCAGATTGCCCGTGCAAGGAACAACCATAGATCTGAGGGCATTCCTGTCAAGAAATACCGCACAGTGGAGACACCTGAGCGACAAACACGATCATCAGCACAGCATGCACCTGACACTCAGAAGGAACAAATTTCTTCAGATGGACCTAAATCACCCGAAGATAAATTTCGCAAGCGATGGAAGAAGCCCATGGTTTATCCACGGATTGGAAAGAACAGGTTCGAAGTTAGTGTGGAAGATCGGGACCGGCTGCGCGAGGGTGAATTCCTCAATGACAACCTTATCGGGTTTTACCTGCGCTTTCTTCAAGACCATTTGGAGCGCAATAACAAGGAAGCAGCGAAGCGAGTCTATTTTTTCAACTCCTACTTCTTTGATACACTCACAAAAGTTACCGAGGGTGAACAAGGGATCAATTACAGCGGTGTTGAGAAGTGGACACGTAACGTTGACCTCTTCAGCTATGACTACATCCTCGTGCCCATTAATCAATCCGCCCATTGGTACATTGCTATCATTTGCAATCTTCCTATCTTATCCAGCCTGGCGAAAGATGGCAACAAGGAGCAAGTCTCTGTCGCCCCAGAGACGGATGAGCTTTCGAGTCAGCCGAAAATCGAAGTTGAACTGGTACCTGAGACTCCTGAGCCTCAATTAGCGCCGAGTTCATTGGAAGTACCGGAATCGCCAGTACCCAAAGACCAGGAGCAACCCGTCAATGCGTCCCAGGTTGACGTTCCCTCCAGCAGTTCAACAAAGACCGAAGCTCCTGAAACCGAAGTGTCTGCTACAGAACTTCACCCGAAAGTTCACAACGCCCTAGAAGAATCATCTGCCAGCCTAACACGCTCAAGTCGCAAGAGAAAGCAGAAGGTCCTGAAAGTAAATCCAACGATTATTACTTTCGATTCTCTCGATACCAATCGAACAGTCACCATCAATAGACTGCGCGCATACATTTGCAGAGAAGCGGCTTCTAAGCGTGCGGTTCTCATTGAACCGAACCAAATGAAGGGCATGCGCGCTCGACAGATTCCACTCCAGCCGAACTTTTCCGACTGCGGCCTCTATCTCATGGCATACGTCGAGAAGTTTGTTCAAGATCCAGATGTGTTTATCACCAAAACTCTTCAGCGAAAGATGGATGTCCAAGTTGATTGGCCCAAGTTGCGCTCCGGTATACTTCGAAACCGACTGCGCCAGTTCCTTGACGATATGTATGAGGAACAAGGAAAAGGCAAACGTGAGCCGACAGAGATGAAGGTCACAATGGTTGATCGTCAGCCCGTCTCATTTCTCTTGGGATCGCCCACTCCTGTCCAAGAAGATGCGGAGCCACCCAAGGTGGAGCCACGGGATTCGCCTGTGGAATCTGTCGTTTATGCAGGTGAGGGATCAGTTTTGGCCTAATGGCGTTATAGTTGATATTCGGTATTGTTCCTTTTCGTCACATCGTCGAAGTATTCCCAAGGACAACGGAACAATAGGATTATAATATAGATTACGGCTAGTTTATCTAGCTCATATTGAATAAGCTATTCAAACCATGAAAGTTAAAGTCCAATCTTTCCAAGTTTCCGCTATTTCCACCCGTGGGCTGTATAGCAAGATCTTTAAATCATGCTACCACTCACTCTCATCCGCTCCAATCCACCATGACATCTTCTCCCGTTTGAAATGCTCAAAATCCCACTCAGCCTCTTCTAGCTCTTCCCGCGGCGAAACCCAGAGATAAGTCACAGCCTCGATCTCCTCCCCTTCCTCCATAGACTCAGTCCCAGCCGCATCCAAAATATGGCGCAACGTTTTTTCGACACTGGATCCCGCTAGATCTTCTTCGTGCTGGGAATCTTGCAGAGTTCGAACCCAGACTGTCTTGTGGGCATAGTCGCTACCCTCGTACTGATCTAGTCGCTGGACGTCGGCATCTGAGAGTCCGTAGACGATTGTGCCTAGCACGGATGTCTTTAATGATGACTTTGATGCCTGGTCTTTTTCTTGTGCTTCTGATACGGGTACAATACCCGGATAGTCTGCATCGCGGACCCTATGACGCTGGTAACCATGTAGCAAAGCTGGTTGGAAGCGTAGCCGGGATTTCTGCCATTGCTTCGGATCTGGGCGGCCGTATATGACACGGTATATCATTTGTGGGGCCATTAATGTTCCTGTCCTTTCTTTAGCATCTGTTTGGGTGGGTATAGGGTGTGGAGCTTGTCATTGAAGGCGACTTGGAGATCTTACCATAGAAGAAGAGGACATGATCACCCATTTTGAGTATTTGAGTCTGCGGTAGAGTGGAATGGTGAGCCCCGGAGAATCTAGTATTTTGTCTAAACAATAGAAAAGAAGTAAGATCTCGGAAGATAGATAGAAGCTGGGGCCTCAGCGACGCCAGCTCAAAGATAAAGCTTTTGATAACTTATCGCGATAAGGGAGTTTGATAACTACTAGCTGGCTTCATCCGCCCTTGTCACTACCTCTCAACGAACCGCGCAATGCATTCCTCTCTAAACCGCGCGCAGGCCGTCTTCGGCTTCTTCACCACTGTCGCCCTAGCGGTCGCTGGACTGGCTGCATTATCGACCCTCTTGTTCCCAACAGATAGCACAACAGCCTCCGTATCATTGAAGAACGTTAACGTGTAAGTGCTTGTCTACTATATGGTACCAAAGCTATGCAACAAAAGCTCAAAAGCAGAATTTTGAATGCGATTGTTTTGGATTCTACACTTTATCCTTTCCGAGTCCAAGACTGATTCGTTGTGTTGCATTAGTGTCAAAGGCCGGCCGCATTATTACTCCAGCAAACGCGAAGAGTATGCCCAGATCCGGTTCGACCTAGACGCAGATCTGTCCCCGCTATTTAACTGGAACACAAAGCAACTTTTCGTCTACGTGTACGCGACGTACTCGTCCTCAGACAATGCAGACTCTCAGCTCCGTGACTCCGAGGCCGTGGTCTGGGATGTTATCATCCCTAACGTGAAGTCTCCGTATTCCTGGGACATTCTGAAGGGAAAAGCGGTGGCCTTGCTTCCAGCTTCTATCACTGGCTCCTCATCTTCAGGCAAGCGGCCCTCGAAACGCACTAAGTCTAAAACTGTCAAGAAGGAGAAGGCGCCTGAAACGCCTGGTGTTCTGAGATTGCATGGCCAGAAGGGTAAATACCAGATCAGCGATATCACTGGTGTGTTAGCGGGACGTAAAAATGTGACGCTTTCTGTTGGCTGGAATGTGCAGCCGTGGGTTGGAGCATTGTGGTGGAGTCCTGGGTCTGGAACTGTGCCTCGGACTGAGGGCACTGTTGTGCAGAGCGAGGCTTTTGATTTCCCGGAGTTGAAGGTAAAGAAGTCAGAAGCTGCACAGCAGCAAGAGGCACAGAGTGCTTAGAGTTGAGAGACTGAAGATATATGCACACATCATTATGGATGTAAAAAAGGCGCAATATATACAACATTTGAATGAATGTACTCGTACGCTATCCTCGACCAGGGTCTCACCTGGGCAATGACCAGTTCGGAATATTCAGGTATGCTACGCATTGCCTAGCTACTATCCACATATGCATAATTAGTTGACGAGATGTAAACGGTATAACTTCCAAGTCTGTAAATAATATTGATCACCCCCATGGTTCAAGTTTCTATCATTTTAGTCTAAGGATGCGTGAATCATTATCATAGAAAAAAAAAAAAAAAAAAAAAAAGAAACATCTAACAGCAGCCAGTCATTGGCACTTCATCGAGTTGGCATAGTAGGGTGTATTTTTGGAGTCGTGCCATTCTTCAAGGCTCAAGATACTTCAAGTCGGAGCTCTGTAGGCGCTTTGAGGGCACCAGACAGTAACCGATTTTGATTTTGTCGTGATAATGGATGTGATGCTGAGTCATATGTTAATGAACTGTTCTTATTGTCGAGGATTGTTTCAATCGTGTCGTTAACGAGTCGTTACAAGCATTGGGATAAATACTTACAGGATACAGTCGCAATTATCAAGTCATGCTAGCCTTAGAAGACGCCGAACATGCCTGTCACGATGGTCTCAAGAGGTGAGAGACAGGTTACTGCTAACGAGGAGCAGATCTGATAAAACGCTTGAGATCGGTGGTTGCCACGAAGCTGAGGACAAGGATGGCGAAGAGGGCAAGATAGATGTAAAGGGGAGTAGTATCATCTGGAGGGGGGTTGCGGGTGATACGCTTCATGGTTGCGAGTGTTTGAGAGCAAGTGTAAAGGGTTTTGATCAAAAGGTGGACTTTGCGTAGATTGAGGAAAGAAGGTCCAGAAGGCACGGGGTTTGCACTTCCCAAGTGTGGATGTAGGATTGACCACCACCACATCTCAATTTCAATTTCCACTGCTACACCTCTGCACAATTCAAGTGTCCAGCATAAATATACTCAGGGCTTGAATTGCAGAATGGTGAGAGTACCTGAATAAATTTAAACAGTTCACTTTTTCACAAAAGTCATACAGCATCGATGGCTGCACGGCTGGTTACCTGCTCGTTCTTATTACCCAGTTTCGAGATCTGCAAGAAGGCGTCCACGCCATAACCCTCCAGACTATGCAGCTCCAAACTTCCAGCCCAGTACTCTGCATACACTCGGGCCATAGGCAATCCTAGACCGAGACGCAAATCGTGGGGTCGCGATGTCAGCGTGTCCAGCCACAGTTCACGGAATCCTACGCCCACTCTGCGTTGCGATACGGTCAATTCCTGCATGGTCGCAGCCATGACAGGCACTTTTAGGAGATTGTCGAGTTGCACTTGTATTTGCGGTCCCTTGCTGAAGGACCACAAATATGGAAGGGTCTCTCTCGGAATACCACCACCCTGGTCCGATATCCGTATTATCACATGTTGGTTTGTTTCACAAATCAGGACATTGATGGGGGGTGGTGGTTGTGAGTAGTCTTGGTGTTTCTCAGCCACAGCTTGCATGGAGTTCCGCAGAAGTTCGCCCACGATGTACTCCAAGTGGCTCATAATGTAAGGGAAGGTGGCGTCCAAATGACCCTGAACGTGGATCTCGGGGATTTGACTGGGCTGACAGGTCTGACGCATCATATCCTGCACAACTTTCCCGCATCGCTCCACGACGTCATTGGCCTTGCACTTGAGGAATACCTCACCTACAAAGTCTGAGTTCATGTCGCTGCGCTCATGCGAGTCGGCAAAATTCCAATCCGCATTAAAGTTGTCCGTGAGGGACAGATGCTGCTCGGCAATAACGCGCCTGGAGATTCTCTGTTCCAGAACACATTAGCCAAGGGCTTCCAAATTCATTCAACAGGGGATATAACATACCGCTCGTAGGAGAGTATTCATGAAGCTGTCCATTGCATTTGACGGTACCAGGTCGCGGCATTCCAAGACCCCAATCGCTAAATTGGGGATCACTACCAAGTGTGCTTTTAGCATCTCACGGAGGATTTCGCAGAAGCGCTCATTATCGTCCAAAGTACAGATCTCGGGTACCATTCTGAATTTCTCGAAGGCTTTATAGTACAATTCGTGTACAAGAGATAGATGTGGGTTGGAAACAACAACATAGGGCAATTGTTGAATATCTCGGATTCGATGCGCAAGACTATCACAAGAATTGTCAGTTAACACTTCATTCCCAGGCCCGAATACCCAAACGCCAAATACTCAATTAAAACATACCGAATGGGTAGCTCCGTGCGCACATAGTTGGCAGAGCCGATAAGCCGTGGCTCGGTCAAAGTGCGGCCAAAGAAGGTCAATTGCCTAAGACTGATAGGACGTATCTGACGTTCAACCCATCTACGGACCTGTCAGTATTCAAATCGAAAAGAAGGAAAGCTTGAGCATACTCATCCACAGCAGAGGCCGGCCGCCAGGGTGGGGGTTGTTGCGATGAGTAAGAACGGTTTGAAGCCCGTCGCAAGGTGGACCAGCACCGGACTGGACGACTTGACAGCATAATTCTCCATATAGGTTTGGATTAAAAGAAAAAGAAGAAAACAAAGGGGGAAATGGAATGATATTTGAAGCATTTGGAGCTTCCCATTTCTTCAGCATGTGGGCGGTGAGAGCATACGACACTATCATACGGTTGAGTTACTGTTTTTAGAGATTTCTATAAGAGATTTCTCCGTCATGCTATATGATGAAATTGATAACATGAGTTGTGACGATCTTCTGCTTCTATAGTTAGCTGGTTTTTCTTATGTATTCTGAAGATAAACTCTTGAGTTGTGGCTTCCTAAGGTAACAGCCCTGGGGGTTGAAAAGGTCCAATCCCTAGATCTGTGGAATGGGAATTAGGAATGAAACTGATAGAGAAATAAGTCATTATCATACAATATAACATGATCTGATGGGAACGGGATATATGATAGTCATCCAAGGTGAGTAGACGAGTAAGAGTAAACAGGATTTACTAGACACCACGTTAATTAAAGCCAAGAAATTAGCAAATCCACCTCTCAGTCAGTCTTATTGATTTCCCCATATTTTAGTAATTTTACTCTATTTGACTATTTTCTCTATTCTCTTCCTCACTCTTACTCCACCCAAAATTAAAACGGTCGAGCTTTCAAGGTTCCAACTTTACAACTTCCGCCACCGCTAAGCTCCGTCTGGATTCTGCTGCTCTGCAGACAATAGATTCTTCCCCCAACACACTTAAGTCCCTCACACTCCTTCGTTATTCCACTCTCTCCGAATACTGTTCTCCGACTGATCGGGAGGGCGTTTTCGCCATGGAAAATGTCAGTTTCACACGCCGACCGTGCCCCTCGCGCCTGTGTCGTCATTGCAGATCTAATAACCTTACAGCTTGCGGAAAGCGAAATGCTTATCGACGACTATGAAAAGTACCCTGATGAAAAGACCGATGTCGTCGTCGTTTCTAACTCTGGATCTGACGAGCCTTCAGCCCTGCCGTCTGCTAATGATCGTACGTTTCCCTGCGTCCTTTTTTCCTCCTCTCCGCACTCCCGGCAAGATCCTCGGCAATATCACGACGAGAATGATGTCTTGATGAGAATATAGATGCGACTAAAAAATGGACATCATCTTTCAGCTTTGGATCTAGCTTGCCATTGCGGGGGAGGCTCTACTTTTTTTTTAGGTGCAGATAGCGCTAACCGAGATATTTTCAACTTATAGATGCGGCGATGATGGCACACATCCTTCCCAAGAACCCAGACTTGGAGGTCGAAGACGAGGTCACTCATACATGGCATATCAAGGATTGGAGGAAGATGGACCGCAAGATGCACGGACCGGTCTTCAACTGCGGCGGGTCCCCATGGTGCGTGATACTTCCCCGGAATTCAAATAAGCTTAAGTTCTAAAGACAGACTTAGGCGCACTCTATTTTTCCCATATGGAAATAACTCACAACATACCTCGCTGTACTTGGAACATGCGTGGGAAGAGCCTCCGAAGGATTGGTATTCGTGTGTGCAATTTGCATTGGTCATGTCGAATGTGAAGGATCCATCCATCTACGTTTCTCATGGTAAGTGAGATCATTTGGCAGTATGACGTGAGATAAGGGCTGACTATGATTACCAATAAACAGTCGCAATGCACCGATTTACTGCCGATGAAGGTGACTGGGGATTTACCAAGTTCTATGACCTGCGCGCTGCGTTCAGTGATCCGTTTGAGGGTAAGGGAGTGCCTCTCGTCCAAGATGATGAGGCCATCATCACCGCGTACGTGCGCGTCGTTAAGGATCCCACTGGAGTTCTCTGGCACACCTTCCATAAGTAAGTTTCCTGCACACCAATTCAATTCGGCCCTCTTAGGGCTGTGGTCTTAGATACTAATCAGATCTCCAGCTACGACTCCAAGAAGGAGACTGGCATGGTCGGTCTTCGCAACCAGGGCGCAACCTGCTACTTGAATTCTCTGTTGCAATCGCTTTACTTCACTAATGGTTTTCGCAAGGTAAGGGTTGCAAACGTCTATCTTCATTAGTAATGCATACTGACCTCCCACACTCCTTCCAGGCTGTGTATCAGATCCCCACTGAAGATGACGCCAATACCGAAAACAGTGCTTGGACCCTCCAGCGATTGTTCTACAACCTTCAAACCAACGATTCAGCAGTTGGAACGACTGAACTCACCAAATCTTTTGGCTGGGACTCTCGACAGGCATTTGAGCAACAAGATGTTCAGGAATTGTCCCGAAAGCTGATGGAGCGACTGGAGGAGAAGATGAAGGGTACAGTAGCCGAGAAGGCACTTCCTGATCTCTTTGTTGGCAAGACCAAGACATACATCTCTTGCATCAATGTGGATTTTGAGTCCTCCCGAGTGGAGGAGTTTTGGGACATTCAGCTGAACGTTCGAGGCAACAAAACTTTGGATGACAGCTTCCGCGACTATATTCAGGTGGAAACCCTAGAAGGTGAAAACAAGTATGACGCGGGTCCCCCGTACGGCCTTCAAGACGCGAAGAAGGGTGTGATCTTTGAAAGCTTCCCACCCGTCTTGCACCTCCATTTGAAACGATTTGAATACGACCTTAACCTGCTTACGATGATGAAAGTCAACGACCGACACGTTTTCCCCTTAGAGTTTGATGCGGCACCCTACCTCTCCGAAAATGCGGATATGTCTGAGCCCTGGACCTATGAATTGCATGGTGTCCTTGTGCACAGCGGTGGCTTGGATGCCGGGCACTACTATGCGTTCTTGAAACCTACCAAGGACGGACACTGGTACCGTTTTGACGATGATCGTGTGAACCGCGCCACCGAGAAGGAAGTTCTAGAGGAGAACTACGGCGGTGAATATGAGCGAACTAACGGTGCTAACGGAACCGCTAATGTTCGTCAACCCTACACCCGAGAACTATCTACCAAGAGATCTATGAACGCCTACATGCTGGTGTACATCCGCAAGACACGAGTAGATGATATTCTTCTCCCGATCGAAAAGGAAGATGTCCCAGACCACATAGAAACCCGCCTGGCCGAGGATCGCACAGAGATGTTGCGTCGCAAAAAGGAACGGGAGGAGGCTCATTTGTACATGAACGTTGGCATTTTGACTGAGCAAACTTTCCAGTCCCATCACGGCTTTGATTTGACCAGTTCGGACCTCCCTGCCGAGGACCCAGCTCTACCGACTCAATACCGCATTCTTCGCTCGAAGAAGGTGGGTGAATTTGCGAATGAGATTGCCGAAGAACGGGGTATCAATGCTGATGCCATCCGATTCTGGCTTTTGGTCAACCGCCAAAATAAGACAACCCGCCCTGACCAAATCATTAATGATCCGGAGATGACTGTCGAAGAAGCTTACGCCAAATTCGGTACCAAGGGCGGCCTCTTCCGCCTTTGGATGGAGGTCGCACCGCTGGGTTCTGACGGCAAGCCGACTCCTTGGCCCGAAAATGACTCGGTCCTTATCTTCCTGAAGCACTTTGACGTTGTGGCCCAGAACCTGAGCGGGGTAGCCTCTGTATATGTCCGAAAGAACCAGAAGGTGGCTGACTTGTCATCCATCATCTTGTCTCGCATGGATTGGCCCGCAGGCACCGAATTCACACTGTTTGAAGAAATCAAGCACAATATGATTGACGTTATGAAACCCAAGCAAACTTTCCAACAGTCTGAGATCCAGGATGGTGACATCATTACATTCCAACGAACAGTGAAGGACTCTGAGGTGCAAGCATCGGCCATGTACAGCGACGCTCGCCAATTCTATGATCATCTTTTGAACCGCATGGATGTCACCTTTGCTCCTCTCAAAACCGGAGAAGGTGAAGAGTTTACTCTGACCCTCAGCAAGAAGATGACTTATGATCAATACTCAAAGAAGGTTGCCGATCACTTGAATATTGAGCCCACTCACTTGCGATTTGCTCCCGTGATGGCCAGCACCGGCAAGCCCAAATCTTTCATCAAGCGCGCTAACAATGCCACTCTGGCTCAGACGCTCACTGGACAGTATGGCGCATATGGATACACTATGCACCGTGCGGATGCCCTCTACTACGAGGTTTTGGATATGAGCCTGAGCGACTTCGAGCAAAAGAAGAGCATCAGGGTGACCTTGCTTCCTCAAGGCATCACAAAGGAGGAACAAGTAGAGGTTCTTGTGGCCCGTAACGGAACTGTTGCTGAACTACTCTCCGAGTTGCAAAAGAAGGCGAATCTCTCTGATGAGGTGCTTAATGAGACTCGACTGTTCGAAGCGAGCGGTGGAAAGTTTAATAGGGAGTTCTCGGAGAACCAAACCGTGTCGAGCATCAATGAATACTCCACTCTCTACGCTGAGCGAGTTCCTGCTGAAGAGCTGAATATTGAAGAGGGTGATCGTATGATCAGTGCTTACAACTTCGACCGTGAACCCAGTCGGCCCCATGGAGTTCCATTCAAGTTTGTTGTGAAGCCAGTAGGTCATCAAAATCGGTCTTTATTTCAGAGAATGCTAACCCCAAAATAGGGTGAAATCTTCAAGCAGACCAAGGAGCGTCTCTCAAAGCGGACCGGCATTAAGGGTAAGCCCTTTGAGAAGATCAAGTTCGCCATCATTCCCCGAGCCTCCTTCTCTGCGACTAAATATATTGAGGATGGTGAGTGATCTCGAATCCATATCATTCCCCGCATCAACTAACCACTTTCCAGATGATATTCTTTCTGACATGGCAGGTGCTGATGATTATCTGGGTCTTGACCATCAAAGCAAGAGCCGCGGATTTTGGGGAAAGAGCGAAAGCTTTTTCATTCGATGAAGTGATTTCCAGGGCGCTCTGGGTTTGGGGGAATTTGTGAACGGGGCTCAGCTGCAAATTACATTCGCAGTGACACATCAAGCATGCCTTTTTCCTTTTATGCTGGTCTCGACATTTTATGCAATTCAATTTCATAATCGTTATGTTTGTGCTCCGCCATCCATAGTGCCTAGTTCTATAGAGGATTCAATATGAAGGCAATTAAAATACAATACAGATCGGACAGGGTCAAATAGATTTTGCCATTGAGCTTGTAAGTAGATTTGACTGTAGTTATGTATCCGTACGTATTCTATAACTAGTTCGAGCAAAACAAACCGCTGACATAAGCACATGCGGACCTCTCCAAATGGACAACATTGTTACTCCTGACTGCGCATCTCTTGAAAGTTGACATCAATCCTCTCTCCACCATGCGCTTTTCACTTCTGGCCTGTCTGGCCTCTCTGGCCTCTTGCATCTCAGCCACTGCCTTGACCTATCGCCTCGATGCCAACGAGAAGGCATGCTTCTTCACCAATGTTGACCAAAGCAATGCCAAGGTGGCATTCTACTTTGCGGTTAGTGAACAAATCAATTGATGTGCCACTGCGCGCATTACAGCGATCTATCTAGCAGCTTCCTAATATCCTATCCGGTCTTGTCTAGGTCCAATCCGGTGGTTCATTCGATGTTGACTTTGTTGTGACTGCGCCTGGAGATAAGGTCGTTCTGGAGGGCACCAAGGAGCGACAGGGCGACTTCGTGTTTACTGCTCAGAGCATTGGCGAGTACACGTTCTGCTTCAATAACGAAATGTCAACCTTCGCCGAGAAGATGGTCGATTTCGAGATCGCTGTACGTCATACTTCCCCTGAAAACAGGTCCCCATCACCTCCCTCCGCCTTGAATAACCCCAATCAATATTGTAATTAATCTGAATATCACTGACATATCTATCTTCAGGTCGAGAACGAGCAGCGTGCTCAGCTCCCCTCTCGCCAGGGCGCTAGCCCCGAACAAACTTCCAGTCTTGAGGAATCCATCTACAAACTCTCCGCACAGCTGTCCACCATTTCCCGCAACCAAAAGTACTTCCGTACACGTGAAAACCGTAACTTCAGTACTGTCCGCAGCACCGAGCGTCGGATCTTCAACTTCAGCGTTATCGAGAGTCTGATGATGGTGTCGATGGCCGGCTTGCAGGTCTTTGTCGTGCGGTTCTTCTTCCAGGGCGCACGGAAAGGTACGTTTTAAACGAACACATTCTCTTGTCTAATCCAGTTCAAGTCACCTTTGGGCATTAGTTTTCACTTGTGCAGTTACTGATTATTTGATTAGGTTACGTGTGATGAGTATGAAAGTCAAAATAATACGATGTATGTCTTTTTCTTACCCTCAACATCGAGATCGGCGCATGCTGTTCCAATGGATCACATCTCTTTCCTTATACTATGTAGAATTATGAATCCTTGGACCCAATTTTATCACCCAATTGCATCTTAATACGGCAGCTGAGTTTTCATTGGTTTCTGAAATGCGAAGAAGAGATATTCGTGTAGGGATGAAGTAACGAAGGGACAACGCTCAAGGTGAATACATAATTGTGATTCGTTTGCCTAAAATCGTTCATTCACGCTTCCAAGGTTGTCTTTAACATATCGCGAATTACCTAGGTAGTCTAGACGGTCTATCATCTGAGGTTGGTCATGATGGCTCGCCCCGTCATGATGAGATCGAAGTTTGTGTACAGTGAACGAATTGTTCTCTCATGCTCGATCAGTCAACATTCGCAATACTAGACCTACCTAGGTAGCTTCAATGATTCAGACAAACAGGTTTCGACCGGACTAATCGGCCCAGCCATCTTCTTCACTGTGTACAATGAACTCACTGTAAAGAACAATCTCAGTGACGTCCCACCATGACGAGACACTGATAGAGCCTGAATTGAAACATATGTCAGACTATACACGATGACTTCATGTCCCATCTACCCGCCGTGTTATATGAGCTTATTTGTGCGGAGTAAGAGCTGGACGAACGAAAAAAGTGGAATTGTGATATCATAGCAACGTCCTCGGTGTAACAACAAGATCGTCATTTGCGGTACATCGCCGCATATCTTTTGCTTCTGACGGGTGCCCAGATGTTTACGGAGCATGCAATGTGATGCATCTGCGCTATGGTAGATTAACTTCATGACTTGGGCTCTTGTCATGTCTGGCCCGTACCCAATTCATTGTTGACATGCACATATATAGGTATGATAATGATGCTGTGGGGCATTGATACTACAATTGTTTACCTACTTAGTAGGTACCGAGGATGACGATCGGCCGTGTGATCAGACCCCTGGGGTATACACTGTTAAATGAGAAACTAAAGGTCTCTTTTGACTACCAAAATCGCCTCAGATCCGACGGTGCCCATCGTCCCTCCTGAGCCTGGACATAGTCGAGTCCTACTTCGTGTTCGATAAATCTCTGTGGGTCTGTGACTCCCGAAGTCTGTCGGACTTGGGTGCTGTGTAATTGCAAACTTCGTGCTATATTGATAAAGCACTTATGCAAAGACCCACCGATTATCTCTATATAGAAATGTCTCGGATCAAATGGATTATCATAGTATTATTACCTACCTAGGTAGGTAGTCCACATCTGATTCTGATATCGGAAAGGCTCCGGCGTCGCCTCTGACTAAGTAGTTATGTAGATATTCGTCGAACCAAACCTAATACTGCTTAATTCCACTAGAAATTAATAGAGGTATTAACTAATGTACATTCAGGCATATGTGGGACTTCTTTGCCTCCCCGCTAATGGCGAGTCGAACCCTGGGTCTGCAAGTCCCGAACCGGCTGTCATGTATGGTTCTGCTGGAGACTCGGTTATAGGCATTGTTGAGTTTCGCTAGTGTCCTGGAAATGTCCCACATAGCACGCTACACTGTATCCACTACATCGTATCGTTCTTTGCCACCACATGGCCCTAGTCGCCACATACCCAGATATCAGCCTCGATCGGTTTACAGCATCTCGTATCTGTATCCGGGGAATATACGTTGCTGAATGCGGATCAATATGAGCCACTCGTATTACACGCAAGAATGTACATAGTTGCGGCGGTGCGTAGTAGCTTCAGCTGAATTCGTATATTGCTCATTGTATAGGGCTTGGTGACGTCAGGTGCCATTAGTGCCTCAGGCTCATGATAAACCGCAATTAATTAACTACTAAATAAATACACCATGCTTTGTTACTTGGATGCTCGATGCATCGGCCCGAGAACTCAGTGAATTAAAGTATCAATATTGGTCAGATACATACATCTAATGTCATCTATTGGGCTACAGAAATCTCATTCCATCGGATCGCCCCGAAACTGGCTATGACGACATGGCTTGGTCCACTTTGAGGTCTCATTTTCAACAGCTCACCAGTACAACTCACAGTTCTCATGTCCAAATGAGAATGAGGTGACATAGGTAAGATCTATCTTTACAAGTTTAGATGTTGAACGTTGAAAAAAAAAAACATCATGATATCCCCTTTTCGTGCCCATCTTGGTGGAAATCCATTTCCGTTCAAGGAATCCTCTCGTAACAAGTGCCGAACACAGAATGGGCCTCGTCGTTCATAGACCCTTACACCATTCATCTTATTGGCAGATAGCAATCGTAAGGCGAAAAGATCTGCAGGGGATATGCTATCACCCATGATCCAAATTGATGCACATTCCTATGAGCAGTGAACAGTGAGCTCATGCCGCCGATCCTCGATCCTCGAAAGGTGGTCCTAGTCCAAGTGGAGGTAATCATTAATTTATTTTCAAATAATGACAGCGAACGTCGTTCTTATGATGCGGCAGTGGCGCATCTCATCGCTTTCCTTTTCCTCAGCCAATGATGTCACTGGACCTTAGTTCTCCGTTCCGATCTTCTTCTGCTTAAAAGCTGATGAACCTATCATCTACTGATTAGGTCTTCATCAATCAACCCATGATTTCATTAATGACATTCACAATCTTACTGCCCCCTCCTTTTTTCGGACTCTATTATAAAACCAAGAACTTCCAATAGGACTCCAGATTTGATACACCTACTATTCCCCTAAACCTTTCCCATCTTGGACCCTATACGACCCAATACGTCACTGTGTTTGACTGATTTGCGGCCCAATTTGAAACATCGCCTTTCCACTGAGTCTATCACACTTTTAATCTTTCCCGTTCTACTCTGTACTTCGGTACTGTGTTTACCCTAAGCTAAGCTCTGTTGATCCTTACTAAAGGTCGGTAGGCCCATTCCCCACCTACTTATATCTTTCCTTACTCTACAAACCCCAAGCCCGCTTCCCAAACATTTGACAACCTATATTTGGCTGTTGACCTCTACATTGGTAACTAACAACGAAACCAATTAATTTAGACCATGTCTCAAACAACCATCCCTATGTTCCAAGACTCGGCTGATCACCTGGCTGGAAACTCTGAACCTCTGTCTCTAGAAGACTATAATCGCACTATGCTGGAGTATACCCATCGACAGATGTCTTCCTTTGTGGATATGGAAGGCCACAGTAATAGCAGCCGAAGTAGCCAAAACAGTGGCAATAGTGGTTCTTCTATCAATGGTGATATTCCTCGTCAGGCGAACGGTCCTCCTCCCACGTCCGCGGGAGCTGCCGCTGAGGCAATGGCACGTCAGGATGCTCAGAATTCTCAGAATTCCGGCCATAATGCCAAGTCAACCGGCTTTTAAACACTCATATGGTGTGCTGAAACTGGAACCTAATCTCTTGTTCTATCTGTTAACCTCAATAGGCAGCTCCATCTCTCTGGCGCGACTGCGAGGCTTGTTCGACACTATTTATAGAGTTCGATGACACCGGCATCAATAAGACCGCGTACGACCATACTCGCCCGTTGATGTATGAGTGGAGTTTTTACAGCGAGTGCTTGCACTTTTGCGCGCTAGTGATGAAGTATTTTTTAGCCTTTTGGCTTTTGTTTTCCTGTGTTTCCCGACGATAACACACCACTCCTATATCACCCCTCTCGCCATACATTTCTACCTTTCCGAATTGAAATCTTAATACAGACCTGCAGCCCCCTTTTTTCTCAAGAATCTCGACGGCTTCTGAACATTTCGTCATACGATCTTTAGGTCATTTAAGCCCAACCTGACATAAGAGCAGTTGCATTTACACACGTTCTCCTGTGCCATTCTACCAGAGCCCCAAAGCTCTATGTATTCCTATATCTTCTCTACGGCATCTTCATTCTGCGAAAAGCGATGCTTGTACGATGCTCCTTGCATCAATGAAAGTGCCCCACAAATTTTCGGGTTTTTGTTTCCCTTTCTCATGATAAATTGCCGTATGTGCGTTGTGATGAAATCACGCCACGGCCGAGGACAGTGTCACTTACTTGAAATTAAAATTACCGCCACGACTTTTTTGTACCAAATTGATCTGACTATCTGAGCCTATTATATGGATTCCGCTCGCTACTTCCAAGCTTGTATGCTGGTAGAACCTTACCTCAAAATCTTCGTCGTATTCGTACTTATCGTTGTCTTCATCCAAGGTTGTCTCTCTCACCTCACAGCTCTATCAGACGGTAGACTTCTATTTACCTTCTGTCTACCTCCATTTTCTGCCCTGGAGTGGGGGATCAGCTTCACATTCTTCAGTCAAGGGCCCTCCCCTTGCATAAAAATAAATGTAAAATTTCCATTACAATTTGCAATTGTGAAAGGTACATTGATGGACTGTATAATCTAATGGTCAGCTAAAGAGAACTTGCAGTACAAGGGACAGCCATGGCTGATCCACAAGTAACGGATTAGAAAATGAAATCTACCGGTTGCAGTAAGCTAGCCCTAACTCGAAATTCTTCCTTGATAGGCAGTTACATACCAAACAGCAAAATATCTAGCACCAGTTGTAATAACATATAGCTATCTACATTCCCCATGAGCTCAGCACCTTTTCGCTGCCCTTGGAAGCTCCGGAATCCGAGGCCACTAGCGTACCAAGGGAGAAAAACAAGGAATAACGCCAATATTCTGAATCAGAATTAATCTCCGAAGAACATCCCCAGTGTTTAGGCTGAATCAACCCAAGGGACTGTACCGATTCCATCCTGGACTCCTTTCTAGAAATCTTCCAGCTTCCGGAGGTCAATGTTCATGCCACAACCTGGTAAACCTACGCCAACTCATCCTTCATGTCCCTAACGGACTAATTTCTTCCAGCTCCAGTCGCTCATTTCTATCCATCAGTATATTCCCAGGCTCATCGCCTTGACACTCTTTTTCAACTCTTCCAAGGTTCAGCACGTCTCAATTCTTCCAACCGTTCCTATATTTCGGAGTGCTCTGTACCAACACGTGAATCGCGCCCTTTCAAATTTATTCATTTTACAACCTCGTCAACTTCTGTAATACACTCGAAGAACAAAGATCCAATCAAAGGAACTACAAATATGCTTTCGAAAATGCTTTTCACTTACCTCCAGCTCGCAACGATCCTCTCAATCGCTGCAGCTATCCCCATCGCCCAGGACGCCCCAACTACAACGATACCAGACTTCCCGGCCTCATCATCGGTTACAAAGGTATCCAAACTCGTGCTTGCGCCAAAAGTACCTCTAAATTCCAAATATGGAACTCCAGTCGGTCCATACTCTTGTCCCACGAAACAGTACAAGCGATGCTGTACGTCTCTGGCGCAAACATCGAAGGATATCCTGAAGCCTGTGGGCGACCTTCTTCCGTGGACGAATGGAATACAGATCAACTCTGGTGTCGCATTTGAATGTACGTGTCATATCCACTCGGTGCATTGTGCTGAAAAGCTTCAGTGCTTGAATAGGGGAATTTATACTTATTTTCGGAATTATAGGCAAAGATATGAAGCCAAATGAGGATCCAAATTCTTGCCAGGGTCATGGATATAACCCTATGTGCTGTACAAACCAGAAATCAGTATGTTCAGGGTCCTTCTGAGGATGGGTAGCAGGCATGTGATGTGACGCTAATGATTGTTTAGTCAACTTTGAACAACGCTTTGAACGCCTGCAAGCCCTTTGAGAGGGCCAAGGAGGAATACTACCGGACTTTCGGGTACGGTGCTAATGATGAATCTCAAGCGAACTACATTATGGATGCAGTCACTCAATGAAAGACTTACAATTTTGCATTACGGTGGTTTGCTGTGTCGTTTCCCGAGAAGCTGGAAGCATACACGATATCTTTCCCTTCTAGCACGAATCTGGCATAATGCCTTGGTCTCGTGGCATTTTTTGTATACAATTAGTATTTTTTGGTTTTTTACTTGTTTCATTTCTTCCCATACATTCATTCATTCATTCTATCAGATAATTTCAAAATAGTGACTTGATGAAACACTCAGGCATCCACTCTTGGACAGTCACTACATCAACTGCTCATGGTGCTTGACGGTAACTGGATATCTTGTAATGCCATCGTTTCTTGTAAGCTTCCGTCATTCCAAAAGATTGAGATCAAGTCTTCCGAAATAGTCAGATAGTCGAGAATATGCTCAAGAGCAATCTATCTTCTTCCAAGGTTTCGCTGGCAGGTAGGCACTCCATATGTTTTCCAGCGCTAATAGTTGAATTTGAAGGGTGTTTAATTCTGGAATAACATCACCAGGGTCGACCTCAAGTCGGCCTGCCCAATTTTGCAGGCGCACCTAATAATATATTTCATTCCAAGGCTAGGGAGCATGGGTTTCATTGTGGATAGATGTGGAAATCTGAGCTAAACGAAGATGAGATAGATATGGAAAAATGATAGTTATTGAGTGACGAAGTAAGAACATTGTTTTCGTCCTTGATTATCGCCTCTAGGATCCAGCAAATATATAATATTTTGAAAACCCGGTTCCAAAAAAAAATATTAAGGCCCTCATATCAATTCCCAGGTGCGCGTGCGTAGACCCAGAGCTTTGAAAGCCTTACACACTAATTATTGAATATGGTTCCTTTCTTGAATCCGGTTAGTACTGATCGTAAGGCCGACGTTCAGCTTGCCCGAGTTTCTGTCGCTTTTTCATTCGCTGGGAAAATTCACGAGACCACCCATAGTATGTATCACCCTGTAGAATTTCCTTGGAAATCTCGTCACGAGCGACCTTCTGGCCAAGTAAGTCCAACTCGGGGTTATCACCACCAATGACCACATCACCCGTGGTGTAGATCTGGTCAACCTCTTCCATAAATCCTTTGACGGCGTTCACTAGCGTCTCATTGGCAGGCCCTGCTGCCAATTGCAACGGCCGGATCATCTCCGGGCGAATGGAGGTTGTGGAGTTGGGTGTGAGGAGCGGGAGGATATTGGCGGCGGGCAAGTCGTACCAAGCGATGGTGGGATCGCCATGTGTAGCTGGCAGGACAAATGGTTCGTTTCTCGCGGAGAGCTTATTGGTCGGGTCAGAGTTGTCGACCATGACATCATTTGACGACGCCTCAAGCAAAGCGGCGTTTTTCACTACGATTGGTAGTTGATCCAGGATTTCAGGGCTGAAGTATCCATTTTCAGTCCAGATCTTCACAATATCACTAAGCCGTTGATGGTGACGAGGGTGTTTCTCTAGGCTGTAGGCGCCTGCTCGACCAAACAGGTCGACAATGGATGGCTTGAGTGACTCGTTGATCACAGAAAACTCCTTGCCTCCTTTTGAATGGTACTTGCTAGTATGTAGCAGGTCATTGATCAGATAAAGGACGTGGAGCTGGAGACGCTTGGGCGATGCTTGGCTGTGCGACGCGTCAGAGCCAGCTAGGGCAACCAAGTACTTGGTCAATCCATTTGAGCGCTTAGGCGAGTAGGTGACATAAACTTGAAGCCAGTCTTTGCATCTCTGTATATATGGGACATTTTTAGCAGAAATAATCTAAGTTGCGGAGGGATGAAGAGAAGAAGACCTGGATATTTGCCGGCGTACAATGGCAGAGGACACGGTCGAGCGAGGTGTGGAAAGAGCTAATTTCGTCCCGTGTGACGGACGTTGGGTCTGGATGTAGCAGACCTGCGGAGAATGAGGCCTTCGCAATTGTCAGCTGATGGGACGCCATGGCGGCGGTGCATGGTTGATAAGTCTAGAAGGAAGCTTTCTAGACTGCGACAAGCGATTGTATATCGAGTCTTGTCGCACGTGATATGGTTTGTATCTTGGCACTGCTATTGTAAATTATGTCACGTGTAGTTCAGCAGTTCCAGGTCTGCAGCCAAGCATAGCTATGATCTGAGCTACCGAGTATTTCTTACTGGTTTCCGATATTTATTTAGGTAGACATTTTTGAAACTATTCAGAGATTTCAGATTTGGTCAAATCTTAAGATTTAGGCATTATTGAAGGGTTCAGAAATTTCAGATCTAGATAAGTTCGAAATTCGTATATTTCAGAGATAGAATCAAAACCTAGGTAATCAACCCATTCCAGTTTGATTTGAGGTACGATCACTGGAGGAATGCGTTCCGAGGCTGGCATTTATTTACATTTATATATCTAAATATGGCTGACTTCAACATACAATCCCGCTTGTAGTTCAGTTGGTTTAGAGCGCCAGACTGTAATGGAAATTGTCATCTGGAAGTCGGCGGTTCGACTCCGCCCGAGCGGATTTTTTTTTCTGGCACTTTTTTTTTTTTTCTTCTTCTAATAAGACAGGAAAATATTCACCATATCCAGATCACCAGCATAGACTTGTGTCGATGACGACTTATAACAAAATAACCTATTTACCTTTAGTATGCGTCTACCATAGACTTTCCAATTCCTTACCTGGAATCTCTAATTTATATTCCCAATTTCTGCCAGAGATCGTGTGGTTGGCATGCGTTCTTTGACACCTTCCAATGTTTGATTCGAGTAGCTAGATGCTAAATCTCCCCACGCCCAAGCCTTATTGCGTGTCCAATTTGGGGCCCTTCGACCTGGATATCGGTTAGTAAAAGATACCTAGGTATGATGGTGGAACTATAAGTGCCTTTCGGGATGTCCTATCCCCTTCTTGATGTATGTTTCTCAGCCAATCACTCCGTCAGTTTCACTCAACATCAACACACAGATGAATAGATATGAGGCATAGCTATAGTAAGTTTGGTATGTACGCACTTTTGATAAGAAGATATCTGACAGACTCACTGCCACGGAATGATGGCGGCATCATCTTTTGTAGGATCATATGCTTGATCCTTAGAGCTTACTTTGTAGAGTGACCTTTTCAGCTCTCAGCTCAAACTTGAAATTTCTCTTCATCTCTGAGATACAAGATCATTTGACCTGTGTAAAATTGAACACCCATCGTGGTGACACTCGATCCTTAATATAACCTTAATATACATATGTATCAGAACCATAGAAGCCCTGGGGCTTATAGACGAAGAAAGTATCTAGGTACAGATCTCGGCGATATTGAGCCCCTAGAAGCTTGAAAAATGTGTGCTCTCGATCAGACTCATTATCCCTACTTCCAAGGGTAGGAGGTTTACATAGAACGATAAGAACTGTGAACACCACGGAGGACCCCGTAGCTTTATCTGTGCGGCTATCACCGATACCGATAACACTTAAAAGTAGATCTATAGGAAGTCATTGGCACTTGGGCAATGAAAGAATTCTTATATTCTGATAGGTCCTGATAGCCTGGACAAAAGGGTGGGCTACAAGTAGAAAGTCTCATGGGAATACGTATGTAGTCCATAAGCTGCGTACCTAAGCTCAAAAGTTCTAAGATTCCAAAATTACCAGCCGAGCAAAAGCTCAATAAGGGTCGAAGGGAAACCTTAGAAGATATCAGGTACATAGATACAATGAGTACTCCTCTATCCTCGAGGTCATTTTTCGGAAAAATTCACACCCGAGATAATTACTTATCCAAGGTCGTCCGGTTAATGTTCATCATCGTAAAGGGTTTCGATCCTTCTGGACTTTCTTACAAGAGAGTGGGAAAATGTACAAAATAGTACCTAGGTACCTGGATAATTCCTGATTGGAGCCTTGGAAGTAGTGTAAAAGTGAAGATAAGAGTAATATCGGCAAGTAATTCATTCCAAAGCCCTCGGGACGCCGAGGCTAATTTCCGATATTCTATTCGCGGATCTATTAGTCTACGAGTATCACTCGTATCAAAGTGGGAGTAGGAGAGGAGAAGTAAGAATTGAATAAGCACGTCACAAAGACCAAACCAATCGTATTTCAGCAATTACCAAGCCATTAGAAATCCGGCAATGACGAACGCCATCGAACTTTTAAAAGTTTAGCCGGGATTGGCGTCGGGTAACTATTATAGAACTACAGGGGGCCTACTGAATTCGTATATACGTGGAGAACGGATGCTGATTTACCCGCATCATCTCACTTTTAGACGGTGAAGCCTAACCCCTCTTTGGAAATAGTTTGTAGGAAGAATGGCCCACTTGTCGATTAAAGACCCCACCATGGTGTGCCGTGACTCCCCCAGATGATAATCAGCCCATGTTAGCGTCCCCGCATACAAATGGTATGTTGCGCCATTTCTTATATAAATTCAGATCTCTCCTTTTCTCTGTCTCTCAGCCCTCTTTTGGAAATAAATCCATCTTGAATCTCAAATCTCAAATCTCAAATCTCAAACCTCAAACCCCCAAATATACCTAAAATTCAAAAATTCAATATTCGATTCTGAACAATTTGATCCATCTTCATCATGGCCATTGTCGCGCATATGGTCCGCCCTTCTGTTCGGCACTTCTCTGCCCATCGTACACCTCCAGACAGTCTACTCGCACGTGCTGTCGCCATGTCCTGCATCGTCACCGGAGTTGTATTGCCATTTGTCCCTCCTGCGATTGAAAGTTCGCGCCAGAGAAACTTGACTCACCCAGACAATAAGTGAGTGTGCATTACCTAAGTATATACTTCCGAGTAAGCAGACCTAACGTTCGACAAGGCTGAACCCTCCTCTGTGCTTCCATGCTCGTTAAGCATCTATACAACTTTATACGCCTCTACGATCTTTTCATTTGTTGAACTTTACATTGGATCCTTGAGTTTGGCGCAGGCGTCAATTCTTGGACCCACGCATACTGAAGGTGTTGGGGGACACGGCGCTGATTGGATTTTTTTATTATTTTTTTTTGCTTTTATTTCTATTTTGATATATCATTATCTTTAATCGCATCAATGGATATCGGGGTATATACGCTAGACCCCTGGATTATCCGATGAGGATCTGACAGCGAGACGCTTCCGGGAATTTGATAGCGAGACTATCGATAGCTTATCCGATAGCTACATGGAATTCTAAAACGAGACACATCATACAATATCTAGGTATATTAGTGTACTCTTTATAGATAGGCCTCGTCAAGAGATGTACATCCTATATACCTGTAGACTCATTGGCCCTTAATATTCCAAGCTCTGGAGGTTGGGCCCGAGGAGATGAATATACAAAATCCTCCTAGGAAGAAACCATGGAGGCTTAATATTGATCTATAACAAGAGCACTCGGCCAAGAAATGAACAGTCCGGACGATTTTGATATACACAATCTGTACAATGGCACCGGCAGAAAATTCCCAAGCAGCTGAAATCTAACTGAATCGGTTTCCACGAGGGGGACGGAACGGTTCCGCAGCCTCGTATTTACTTTTTTCCAGCACTCGATCTTTGTCAGTCAAGGGTTCGTGTCGAGTAGCGGCAGGGTCGTGGGATGCCTCTGCACTGGGCGAAGCTGCATCATCGACAGCATTCTGGAAGGCCGCCATGTTTGCTCGTTTTAGACTGGAGTCATCGCTTGGAATTGGAGTCGAGGTAGGAAGGCCAGTTTGCTGCCGCTTATGTTCATCCTCCATGGCCTTCATTTGGGCCTTGCGTTTGATATCGGCCTCAAATCGGCTCTGTCTGTCCGCATTGACAGACTTCTTTGCAAAGATGTAGGCACTGCCGCAAGCTGGGGGACATATTGATCAGTTGCATGTTTTGATGGTGTCAAGGCATGTATGCTGCAGAAGTAGGGTGCTTACCGATACAAAGGGAGCCCCATCCAATCCTAGTATCAAAAATCATCCCCGGTTAGCCTCGTTTTTTTATTTTTTATTTTGACGTTCGCCCATCTCCAATATGGGCCCACCATTTAAATATGAGCTCATCAATTTGCTTACCAGTTGGATTTGATCTGATAGTAGCTTCATGTTAGAATATGAGGTGTCAATTGAAGTAAAAAAAGGGAGACTTACTGTATTCATGATTGCAAAATGAGAGCTTTGAGTGTGAAGAGTTGAAGTTGCTAAAAATTCCTCTACGTCAGCATTGGCCGCAAACTCCGGAGAATCGGCCGGAAGTCGGCCGTTGGTGCCTCAGGTTTATAACCTTTAATCCGTAATCCATAACTAATCCATTTCTAACTAACATCTCTGACCTCACCTCAACAGCTTCGAAGCTCCCACCATCTTCTTCGTAAATAGTACGATATTGAACGAATATCCTGCAGCTTCTTATCAGAAAAGACTGGTCGCATACACCAGTCGGCGCCTGCCGCCTGTTTCTTGCGGCTCGGCATATTCTGGCATGAAGGCTTGAATACTCTTTTCCAAGAGGCGTTGTTCTCCTTATCGGACCGAATCCCTCAAAGTTAAACTCTAAGACGCCTTATAATTATTTCAAAGCTCCGAAAAATCCCCGCAAAATGCCTCCCAAGCGCAAGGCCACTGATAGTACATACTCCAGATTTCGTGGATAGATGCCGGACTACTAACAGTTCTTGTAGGTGGCAGGTCGAGCAGAACTTCGAAGAGACCTACGCCAGTTCCAGATGTGATGGATATTTCTAGCAGTGATGAATACTCGGATCCAGATCATGAAGAGCCACCGGAGGAGAACAACTTGAAAGGTACAGTACATTCCAGTGTTCAAATTGCTTATTGCATGCTGATTTTGATTGCAGAGGTCGTCAATAAGTTTTCATTGGAGGCACATAGCAAGAAGACACATGCCGAGAAGACAGATCCCAGATTCGGCTACAAAGACCTTTCTTACCTCTCCCTCAAACGTGATCACTATAATCGCCCTCTATGGATCGAGCCGGTAAAAGGCACGATCACCCTTGAGAGCTTCTCGCCACTTGCATCCCAGGCGCAGGATTTTCTCACAACTATCGCGGAACCGCTCTCGCGCCCGACCCACCTACACGAATATCGCCTCACGGGCCACAGTCTTTACGCTGCGGTGTCGGTTGGTTTGAAGCCTCAGGATATTGTGGAGTTCTTGGACCGTCTGTCGAAAACCCCGCTCCCTGAAAGCATTCGTTCTTTCATCATCGAATTCACAAAATCTTATGGAAAAATCAAGATGGTTCTGCGACACAACCACTACTATGTGGAAACGTCAGATCCCGAGATGCTGCAACACCTATTGAAAGACGAAGTGATCGGTCCGCAAAGAATCGAGAGTAATGAAGGAATTATTGAACGAGCAGCTCCGAAGATGGGAGCACTTGTTATTCCCGGTACAAAAGATGCAGCTGGTGTGAGAGAGACTGGCAATCAGCAACCAGCATCTGCTCCACCCCGAGATGATAATTTGGAAGGAGCATTGGATTACGGTATCGATGACATCGGGGAGGACGACAGTGAGGAGGCCATTACATACAGTTTCGAAATTCCACCGACGGGTGTTGAAGTGGTGAAGGCCCGCTGCCAGGCCATCGGATGTCCAGCCTTGGAAGAGTATGATTTCCAGGGAGATACAGTTAATCCCAATCTCGATATGGATCTCAAGCCGGCTGCACGGATTCGTTCATATCAGGAGAAGAGTCTGAGTAAGATGTTTGGTAACGGACGTGCAAAGAGTGGTATTATTGTGCTTCCATGCGGTGCTGGCAAGACCCTGGTGGGTATCACCGCAGCGGCAACCATCAAGAAGGGAACAATTGTTCTCTGTACCAGCTCCATGTCTGTCGTTCAATGGCGGAATGAGTTCCTACGCTGGACTACTATCGACCCCAGCGATATCGCAATATTTACATCGGACCACAAAGAAAAATTCAAGAGATCTACCGGAATTATTGTCTCAACATACTCCATGGTCTCGCAAACTCGCGCCCGCTCTTATGATGCTCAGAAAATGATGGACTGGCTTCAATCTCGAGAATGGGGTATGATGATTCTTGACGAGGTGCACGTTGTACCGGCGTCCATGTTCCGTAAAGTCACATCTGCCATTGCTGCACAGAGCAAGCTTGGCCTCACCGCAACATTGCTACGTGAGGATGACAAGATTAAGGATCTGAACTTTTTGATCGGTCCTAAACTATACGAAGCCAATTGGATGGAACTTGCTTCCCAGGGTCATATCGCCAAGGTCCAGTGTGCCGAGGTCTGGTGTCCTATGACGACAGAGTTTTACTCCGAGTATTTGCGGGAGAGCTCGAGAAAGCAAGCACTGCTTTACATCATGAACCCTCGCAAATTCCAGGCATGCCAGTTCTTGATCGACTTCCACGAGAAGCGAGGCGACAAGATCATCGTTTTCTCGGACAATGTCTACGCCCTTGAGAAATATGCACTCAAGCTGAACAAGGCTTACATCTATGGTGGAACACCGCAGAATGAGCGCATGCGTATTCTGGAAAATTTCCAACATAACGAGCAAGTCAACACTATTTTCCTGTCCAAGATCGGTGATACGTCTCTCGATCTGCCTGAAGCTACCTGTCTGATCCAGATTTCATCCCACTACGGTTCGCGTCGTCAAGAGGCGCAGCGACTGGGCCGGATTCTGCGAGCAAAGCGTCGTAACGACGAGGGCTTCAACGCTTTCTTCTACTCGCTCGTGTCCAAGGATACTAGCGAGATGGTCTACTCAGCCAAGCGACAAGCTTTCTTGATCGACCAGGGTTACGCGTTCAAGGTCATCACCCATTTACAGGGTATCGACAACTTTGAGGGGCTATCATACTCAACTGGCGCTGAACGTCGTGAGCTTCTCCAAGAGGTTATGTTACAGAACGAGTCTTCAGCGGACGTGGAGCAGGTCAATGATGACCTGTTCTCTATGCGTTCTGGCAAACGCACAGGCAAGAAGCCGACTGCAAGACGTGCTGCAGCTACCCTCAGCGGTTTGGCTGGCGGAGATGACATGGCTTACATTGAGTACAACAAGAGCAAGAACAAGCAGATCAAGGATCACCATCCACTGTTCAAGAAAATGGAGAGAGAGCGCATTCGCCGGAAGAAGGAGCGGGAAGCAGCGGCGTAATGGTCGAGTGGAATTTTCGAGGCGGAATAAGGGAGTGACTATTTATCTCAATATTAAATGAACTCAATAATGTGAATCTGAACTTTCGTGCATATGTAGCATATTGCAAATAACAGAATTTCACCTTAAAAGGACTTCATCCCAAGGCTTTGTTGACCCGAGCATCTTGGAGGCGAATTTTATCATGAAGTAAATAAGCGGGAGCCGCATTACGGGCGTAAAAACGGGCTCGAAGAGCGCTAGCATATGACGCCAATACATAAATTGATAGATTGAATGTGAAAAAGGCATTTAATTAACTAGAATGCATAAGTGGGGCGCTTATAAATATAATCTTTCTTGGGTTGGTTTGGATTCAACCATGTCTTGGGCGAATACGAACGTCAATTCACCAATTCACCGTTAGCATCCCTATAACTTAAATATCCTATGACCAATCATAATCAGTAAACACTCGGTATGAAATTAAAATAAGAATTAGCAATGTACCCCGTAAGTATTAAAGCGGGGAACTTCAATAGCTATTAACTAGTCAGAACCCTAATAGAGCTGATTGGTAATCTTGATATTTGTAATCCTAGGCTCCACCGATTATTCAGCGAGTGGTGTTCCCTCTGTTATTATCATCTGCTTTAACCTTGGAAAGTTGCGCTGTTATCCTTGGGGTATAAAGCCTTCCGCCGCTCTATTTTTTAAATATAGTATATGTGCCGTTTATCGAGTCCAATCCGGAATCATGGCTACCGCAACAAAGATCTTATTGTCGCCTGTGGCGGACACAGGCATCTATAGCTCTGGTGTGCGCGAGGACACAGCAGAATTTACAAGCAAGATCTTGCAGGAGGACATGGAAAAGCATCATGTTTTTTTCAATGATCTAGGATTCCACAGTATGTCATCGGGACCTGCTTGAATTAGTTTGTATAGAATGATCTTGATCTTGATCTGACAAGGCTGTATAGATCATATTTTGCATCATCTTCTCAGTCTGTATGCACTTGGAGCGAGTCCGGACGATATACAGGCTGCCTATAAGCGTAACCAGAGTTACCAGATACCAGTCCGCAAAACTGATAAGAATATCGTTGAGGCCATGCATGAGAAATCTGAGTTCTTGAAGTTCTGTGGCAATGAGAAGCATTACGCAAACTTTCTGGCTTTTTTCCAGCAGGAGATTGGTGCCAAGGGAGTGGATGAAGTTGTGAATGAATATTTGTTTACTGATGATGAAAGATCAGAGAGTATGCTATGTCGCTTGTTTGGAGGTATGATGAACCCAATCTGCAACATTCATACCTAGAGCATTAGCTGATTATGTAGGGCTCATTCACCCCCTCATCCATCTAGGGTTCGGGCTGGAATTCAACCAGCCGGCCATTGTCGCTCAGGCACTGGCCCAGACAGCCGTCCACGAAGAAGATTTTGGCAGGGATTTCTTGCTGCCTGCAGAAAAGCTGGCTGGTGGGATTGGGAAGCCAGGAAAGTCATTGCTAAATCTTCTGAATGAAGTCCGCGGCGATGAAACTCTGGCACAAAGTGTGCATCGGTCTGACGAGAATAAGACTGAAGATGGGGTATTGGCTCGCGGTAAGCAGAAGATGCTCGAGTATGCTGCCCAGTATACCGTGTCCGAGAGTCAAATGGAGGAACGGGTAGCAGAAATGATCAATACAACTGGTGAGAATCATCGTATAGCGAATCAATGCTGCTTTATTGACCTGGGACTTGGATTAGTGTATTATACCAGCGCTGCTCAGCGTGCGGATAAAGATATCAAGTTTGATTTCTACTTGATTCATGCTGTCAATGCGTCTATCTTTTTCTCCAAGTTGACAAACCTCCCGGCCCTGGATAGTCGGAACAAGCTCCGGTTGCTCGAGTGGAAGGGCCGCCTGGATATTTGGCTATATATATCACAAGGCTTGCCTAATCTTTTCATAGACGAGATTCGTCAATACCCTGCTCAAAACGACTGGTCGACTATCTTTCACCGATGTGTGATACATCCAGCCGACGATGGACACATCGTCAAGCTAGCACGAGCTTTGGCTCATGGAGAGGAACTGTGTCGACTATCTGACAAGCAGGAGTTGATGATTCATGGTGATATGTGGCTTCGGATTGGAAATATGGGTGAGTGCAACACAAGTCTTTTCATTTGTTCTCAATGCTGATCTGTTGGCAGTTGTTGACTCGACTGTGGATAACAACCTGATGTGGATTCGGTCCACTGGGTTCGATGGGGCCTGGGAGAATGTAAAAGAACGCGCAGGGTTGTAAGTATTTACGGTAGCACTAAGATAAGTATGTATTCTGGACAAATTTAATTATACAAATGTTTCTTGTATTCTTCACGGAACGCAGTCGGGGTCAAAGTAAGATTTTGTTCAGCCGCAGTGGGTCCATGATATGATCTTTCTCAACGGGTTCGGATGAGCGGCACTTAGCCACAGACTTAGTGGGGAATGCCATTTATTTTCTATTTGAGATGAAGAGCTGAATAACATCAAGATCAGGAAAATCAGAATCTAGAAAACATGGTAGTCTTAGTAATAGGAACCTTGAGAATCAGGAAGTGGTCAATGAGCTCACGTGGCGAAGTGGGGCACCCCAACAACAGCTCCTCAGCTTCTTCGATTCCTCATATGCTTCCATTATAAACCTGCAATCTCTACACTCGATACAATGCCTGCAGATAGAGACAACAAAGATAATTGCCATGATTCAAACTCACCACAGGACGAGACAAACCCGTTTGTTGCGATCTGCCGTTTTGCCGATGAGCAAGTCTCGTCTGTACTACAGTCCATCACCGGCCTCCCATCCTCAATAACGCCTCCACGCAGCGACCACTGGACTATATTTACTGACGATAAAGGCTACAAAAGTATGGCCTACCGTCAGCGGAACGGTACGACTAGTGCCGATCCCGCGGGAGACCGCGACTACTCACAAGATCGAGATGAAAGCAGCTCATCGGGAGATCGAGAGGAAAACTCATATGGCGAGAAGAAAAGTAACACCCCGCGGACTTCATGGACCGAAGATGCCTTGCAAGGAATCCATAGCAATGAATTCTTTGGCCTCCACTCCCTCCTTGATCGATTCGAGGACTTCTTCTCTCCCGGCTCGCCATCACGTCACACAAACCCTAGTTTCCTCCTCTCTGACATGGTCAGGGAATTCTCACCGACTTGGCCCGTTTTATACTTGATGTTCAGCTCGTACTCCCCGCTGAATCTTGAGCGCGAGACGCGCCTTCGTCCACGGCGCGAAAATGGCGTGTTCATGTCTTCTGTGCGAACGGAGACGGATAAAGAAACATCTGAGCCTCAGTGGCGCGAAGCCTTTGAAGATCTTCTCCGATTGCAGAATGGAAAGCCCATGCTCGAACGCGATGCTTTAATGCCAAAGACAACGCGCGAAAGCGGGAACGAGTGGATCAGGCAGATGATAAAGCGTCGCAGCTGGGGGGATCAGTGGATTGATGGGGAGTACAATCATTCTATTCCACGGTTGGAGCTGAGGGAAAGAACACCAAAAGAGGAATCGCAGAATGGGCGCGAAGCTGAGACAGAATTGGAGTTGTATGAGCGCTTCCTACAGGATATCGAGTCACTAGAACGTGGAATATCCAGGGACGTGATCGAAAATACGAGTCCTCTACTCCGCGCTCTATTCGCTGAACGACAGGCAAAACAAGACAAAATGGACAGGTTCCGGGGCAGGTTCCAGAACACACCACAAACTGAATATGAGGGAGACTACGAGGCTGAGAGTTGGATAGACGCCGTCTCAGGTGGGAACCGCAGGACTGTTCCTGAAACAGAAGAAGCATTGGGCACTACACCTGCAGTATCGAGCACCGATATCGCCGAGTCAGAAACTGCAAGCCGTCGTGTTATCTCGACCATGTCACGAACAGAACGTACTCGTCTGCCTGATGGCTCAGTCCAGATCAAGAAGGTCAGCACAAAGCGGTATGATGATGGTACTGAGGAGACTGACTCGTCTACCGAACTCACGAATGCCCACCCTGAACATAAAAAGTCAGATGGCTCAGGCAGCCAGTCAAAGAATGGCTGGTTCTGGCGCGAATAAGTTCAGAGATGACCTCTATGATAATTGATGACCCCTGACCCCTGACTTCATTACTTTTCGGCTTTTAATTAGCGCCATTTGTACCTAGGCCAAAAAATTGTTAATATGGCATCCATACTTTGCTACCTCAAAAAAAAAAAAGAAACAATAATTTGACGCCATTTTTTGTTTTCTTTATGGTGATGCACAAGACGTTTATAACAGACAGACCATAACCTACAGTAAAGAGCATTCGGTTACCCTGGCGTGAAGAGAAATGTCCATTGATGATCCCGAAGAAGAGCCCTAGAGAGTTTCATACGTAATTTCATGCGCTCGCCACTATAAAGACGTGTGATATTAAAGGTCAACTTTGAAAAGACTCACAGCTGTAGTAACCTCTCTTCTCTACCCGCGACCACAAGGGTCATCAAGCAATGAAAAAAAATGAATACTGCAGATGAGAAGTAATCTTTTGGGTAAAAAAATTCCCTGGCCATGAAGGCAAGGAGCAGTCAGGTTGATAGTTTTCAACCAGCAAAAACATAATCTCGGATTCCTCCTCACTGATATACGTAATACCCATGCACTTGGATGGTTGAAGAAGAAAGAAAAAATATATTAGGACCTGGGAGGAGATGGTAGATATAGGTCCTAGAAATGAAATCGCGCTAGTGATGACTACTCATGTCACGAGATCGAGGTCAAGACGATAAGGATAAGGTAGTGTATAGACTTCCACATTGGAATGGTGTGAGTGTATTTCTGAAGGAAGGGGCTTAGAAGATTAGTGATATAAAGATTTCCCCCAACGAGCTCAACCAGAGTGTTTAGATATGACAGCTTAGGTCACAATGTTGATTGGCTGCGGACATATATATATTGTATCTAGGCACTCATGGATCACCACTAATGAGAAAGCTAGCGAGGTGAACTGAATTGAATAATGATTACTTCTATGTTCTTGTAGTTACGTACACATCAAAATCAAACGTTGAAAGCGAATGAGGTCTATCAATCTGCCTTGACACTCTTTTTTTGGGACTTCCCATTTGTCCAACCTTTGGACTCCCAGAACTTGACGCTGTCCTCCATCTTCTTGTAGGCCCACGAGAAAGACGGGTCTATATAGTTAGCTTATAGGCCAGGAGAGGAAACAAAGAAGCTTTACTTACAGAGGAACTGCCGGTGATCAAACCGGTTGTCATCGACAGAGTATTGTTCTGCATGATATGCTGGTGTAATAGTCGTCATCTTGTGTCGGTTGATGGAATAATAGTAGAAGAAGTGTCGAGTCTTTTCGTAGATTTCACGAGGACTGAAATCATTGCCCCACATATGAAGCAGCTTTTCATACATCGACCATGGGCCCAACTTGGCAACCTTTCGGAGATAACCTGCGTTGAAATTAGCATTGGGGAAGATGATAGATGTACTGAGATGAAGTGAATTGGGACATACCGAATGTGCCTAGTTCTGCGTATGTAACACCCATGTCAGCCTCATCGGATTGCACATATGTTGCTGTTCTCGGCTCAAGCTCGGCAGTTGGGGTTGCGGTTATGAATTCTTCCAGGATGGGAAGATCGAAGTCATCACCGGCCCAGCAGATGAATTTCTTCAGATCAACTTTCGAGATTGAACCGATGGGGTTCAACTGTGATGATACATTGCGTTAACATAACTCATAATTTGTGTGCATGTAAAAAAATTTGTGTGCATGTAAAAACATGAAACTTACATCTGCCGAGGAGGCATCGTATTTGGTCAAATAACCTCGTAAACTAAGATGGGGTATTAGAAGACTCCAGAATTGATTAGAATATTAGTTGAATTGCTCCAGGCACGTACCATTCTAATATTTGAGTTAGTAAAGGCGTCACATGTTGCAGGAAGAGTGGATATTGACATACCGTCTACATTCGAGGATGCGAGAACCAATAGACCGCCACCACCAGGTCTTTGACGGACAGTCGGTAACATTGACGCAAATAGGTAGCCCAAAACCATTCGCAGTCGAGCCTGAACATTTTGAAGTGCTAAGTTTTCAGCATTAGAGCCTCCATGGACCTTGAACCGTGGCTGTAAGTTGGTGACAACCGCGAAAAGGCTCATGATGGAAGTCACAACAGTGTCAAAATTGAAGTCGATATGGTATGCACCAATATCTGCCGCCAGGCGCTTGGCACGATCTCTGGTCTCTTGGCCTGAGTTTTGAGTACCCATGTAGCTTGTGTGAAAAATGGCACTATGATCAAGTTTTAGCGCGAATATCAGAACATCGTAACACCGAATAAACTTACTTGCATATTTCCTGTGGACTGGTAGGAAGCCAGTTTGAATCTTCTGGCTTAGAACAGAGCCGACGCACATCCTTGATCACTTGCTCATTGCCCTCTCTGACAGCCTTGAGAACCTGTCGACACATAGAAAACACAATCACAGATGTGGCGCAACTATCAATGCCACCGCTGAGAGGGATGAAAAAACCTGCAGCACCGCACCGTCGAAGGTAGTCCCATAGCCAGCATGCTGGCCCTAGAGCAATCTCTTCTGCAGGTGAATGGATTCGAGGCTTTATCGGTTCAGAGATTATCAAGCTAGGCTCTGCCTCCTCCAATCGGCGGGAAAGCCGAACGTCTAAGTCAAGACGGACGTAGGGCGTTTGCTTGCTTGCTTGCATGCCACGACTGACACTGGATCGATATGTTCGAACCTAGCCAGATTTAGCATCTTAAAATCAGTAAATATTATAGCTTCATACCTCTTCAATGTCTACTGTTGCAGTGACAACTTCGACATCATTCAATGAGAATTGAGATCCTTGTGCGACAATATCACCGTTGATGACGATCATGGCACAACCATCGTAATATAGACGGTCACCGTCACAGCCTTGCTGGTTCGCATACAAATAGATACCACCGCTCTATTGAGAATTAGATGAATTAGGAGCAGTGTCGGGGCATAAATAGTTCGTACCACTTTTGTAGCTTGAGTAATCAGGTTGATCCGGGTGTCGAGCTTCCGGAGTTCATGGTGACTTCCGGAAGAGTTGGAAATGATTTCCACGCCTATACTTGTCAACTGAATGGATTATTATGTAAACTAAACGCGACGTACCAGCAAGGCCGTAGGGAATATGGGGTCTGGTTCAAAAGTCAGAAGGGATATACTCATAAGGACTGTAAAACGACATACCCATTAGGAGTGAACAGCTCCTCACAAGTTTCCAGACCCAGACAGGTATCCCTGGTACTGATCACAGCATCACCAAATGGGACCTTATATTGTCCTGTAATGTTGCCGACAATCGATTCGAGATAATAATCTTCCACCTCCTGGGGACGCTGCCACGGCGTGAAGTGTCGGTTCTCTCGGTAGTTGCCGTCTTGAACAGAAAAAATAATATTAGGATACGACAAAAATCCTTCAAGTATAGCAATATGAAAACGAACCGTTGGCTAGCCACATCTTGGGCCGAATGAGAACGATTTTCTTGTTATAGAAAATCACGCTGATAGAGAGATATGTGAGTCATCTCAGACATACAAATATACACCGAAGCAGCACTTACCGACAATTGTATCTGACATTCCTGTGGCGTACAGGCATACCGACATCGACGACAATATCCTGGCAGTCTGGGTGTTCGATAATGCGGGCCAACATCTCGAACGAGTGGAGGAATGTGTCACCCTCAAGAAATCCATCCAAAACGCCATATCCTACAAAATCATTTAGCAGTCACTCCATTGGGATCACTTTGGTACCAGCTTACCGGTGATCTCCAGCTCAGGACCAACGCGCAGAGTTGCGCCAGCTTCCTTTGCTAGCCGGACACTTTCGATAATGCGGGCCGCGTTGCCCTCAAAATCAAGGGCCCATTGGTTGAGAGAGCTAACAAATTAGTATAGGAAGCTCATTATCAAGCAATTAAAAGACCTACCATGTTGCTAAAGTGATTAGATGCCCCATGGTGATCGACTTTGGTGTACAATGAAGCTATCAAAGTTGCAGAAAGAGGCCTATCTTATGAGGTCACGTGTGTGGGGAGTCTTCCCCGCTTGGTATTTGTATTACCGTAATTATACCCCTCTTTCAATCTCATCGGCGTGATTCCGGTGAAAGATTCTGTACCAAAAATACAAGACGCAATGCTGATAAATCGTGGGGGATTTCCGGTTAACAGCCTTGCAATTCATGAGACTATTCAGAGTCAATAGTCTATACCGTATATAAAAGAATATCGACTAGAATGAGTGTTTCTCAAATCCCTAATCCGGCTCATATGCTCGCCGAATCTATGCTATCACGACGCTTTGGCAAAGAGACGGCGAACTACTTCTCCAGTACGAGGTCTATTGTTTGAACATTGTGGAAGCAAGACTAACCGAAGCCCTAGGTTCTCCTATCAACCGACTGTCTTTCCTTCGCTCTGAATATCCATTTATCTCTGCGGCCCTGAAGCACCCAACTGCGCAATTCGTGCTTCTGAACAACCTCGCTCCATTGACCCGCTCCCCAGCCGAGCTGTACTATGCCAAGTATGACGAAGTACGCAAGCTTGTGTCGCAGGAATTATTTGACCAGTCTGAGGACGACCTGATTAAGAGCTTTGATTCGCGAAAGACGAACCCAATCTTGATCTTTCTCGGTCTGGACGAGAGCCGCAAGGAGGGCTTAACATGGAAAAATTACACGGGTTCTCCATATTTTGCTCTCGATATCACACCTAGGGGGTCTGATGCTCAACAGACAGCCGCCAAGGATATAATTTCTACCATGGAGGAGAAGGGGCTCTCTTTCTTCCAAGCAAGGGTGGTCATGTCATTTAGCCCGGATGAAGGTATGTCCATTGAATTATCTAAAAAAAGAATATTGGCTCATGTTATACAACAGCCGCTATCTACGCACAGGCCCGTGCTCTGACTGACTGGAACAACCGCAATACCTTCTGTGGAACCTGTGGCAATCCTACGCTGTCTGTAAACGCTGGAACCAAGCGTACCTGCCCGCCGACAGACGCAGCCCGAGTTGCCCAAGGCCAGTCCGAAGAGCGTCCTGCATGCACTACCCGCACTACGCTTTCGAACCTGAATTTCCCTCGTACCGATCCCACTATTATTGTGGCTGTCGTGTCTGCAGATGGTAAGCGGGTTTTACTCGGCCGCAATAAACGGTACCCACCGAACTGGTACTCGACCCTGGCTGGCTTCATTGAACCGGCAGAGTCAATTGAAGATGCTGTGCGGAGAGAGGTATGGGAAGAAGCTGGTGTGACCCTGTCACGGGTCGTCATCCATTCGTCGCAACCCTGGCCATACCCGGCCAACTTGATGATTGGTGCAATTGCGCAGGTGAGTGACCCGGCGCATGAGAAGATTAACCTTGAGCATGATCCCGAATTGGAGGACGCGCGTTGGTTCCCAGTTGAGGAAGTGCAAGAGGCTCTGCGTGTTGGTGTGAGCGATTTGGGTGGCGTTGCTGGCCCCGAATATAAGGAGGGAGGATTACGGCTGCCTCCGAGGACTGCTATCGCGAACCAGTTGATAGCCGCCGCGATTAGTGCAGATTACTTCCATGGAGATAAGATATCCAAGATGTGAAGTGTACATAAATCATGCCCAGGTGAACGTTGAACGGTATCTAAACTTAGACGTCGGTAGAGAATAGTGATAGAGATAATTATACCTGGTACATTGTTATAATACCCACTGCTATGCTACTGCTATGGAATACATGATTCAAAATGAGATCAATCTCACAAATTGGCATAAACCGTACCATCACGTAGCTCATGGATGTCTTCCTTGCTGCTGGGAGATCCAACCTCAGTGTAACGCGTGCCGTCTCGCAGTTCGTGAATCGTTATTCTCCTATTGCTTTTCCGTGATCGTCGTGAGCCTCGTGGAGATCGTGTCGATCCCCGCGAGCGCGGATTGGAATCAAAACTACCCGCTTCGCTTAATGCGACACTACCAGGAGTAACCTGTCGATCAGGGCTATCCCTTGCAATGGATGCTTGAAGTTGCTGGTCCGATATCATGGATGTGCCAATTTCATTGTACCACTTTCGTAATCCAGAGGAATAGGCTCGCTCCTCTGCGCCATATTCGACGGGGGGCCCAGATATCTTTGCATCTGGACCTGAGCCATCGAACACGGCCCACGAGCTAGTTTCAACACTGACGAGAATAGCTGTATGTTCGTAACTCCGAACTTTGAAATTTCGCAATAGAATTGCATTGCCTTCTGTCACTGAGGGCAATGAATTTTTGTAGCGTCGAAATACTTGGGCTCGGAGAACAGTTCCTGCCATGGTTGGATCGGTGAGTTGAATTGTCATATACCAATCTTTGGGACCGGAAGTAGCTCGGACGATTGGGGATATGTCATGAACAATAGAAATGGTGTCTACCAGAGCATTGTAATGGTCAATAAGCGCCGCAAGAGGCGCAAAGTAAGACAGTTTACTGCGCAATCCATGGGCATGACGATTAGGAGATGGTTGATCGCCGACCAGAGCGATTTGTTGTGTGCTGCTTTCTTCGCCAGCATGGTCTGGTTTTTGTTCCCCTTCATCGGACTCTATGGTTGCTACAACAGCGGCAAGCTCGTGACCGGGCAAATCTTTCGGCACTAATCCATCTGTTTCAAGCGGCGAAGGAGCCAACTCCAGATCGGCTTGGCTAGCACCTTCCATAGACGGTGGTTGAGAAGTGTCCATTTCAAGATCAGAGGTGGGTACGATTGTCGTTTTCTTCTCGAATAAAGTCCACTGGGAGTCATGGGCCGCTTCATAGGTAGGATCGGGTGTCAAAAGCTGCGGATCATCAATTCCTGCGGAAGGGTTCTTTGCTCCCTGCTCCGAGTCACTGAGATTTCCTCTCTCTGAACGAGAAACTGAATCGTTCAGATTTCGATCACTAACATCGTCTAAGGATGTGATGATACCTTGTGATGGAGTAAGAAAATTTCCTTCGTCGCTGTCCTCTGATATCGAGCTATCTTGCAAGGGGCTTGCTTCATTGAAATCCAACGAAATTGAATCAGGTTCTACTGCGGCTTTGATGCCAGTATCCGACACAAGTTCATCATCTGGTGTTGATGCGCCGGCATCTACAGTTGTCTGATTCAACCCTTCTTCTGCTGAAGGCTCACGAGAGGTGCGTGTAGCCAAGTATTGATCTTGAGTCAATACATCCACCGAGGAGTCATCTTCTTTCTTACTGGTGTGAAGTTCATCATCTGATTCACTGTCTTCAGCTTCGCCCTCTTCAGGTTCTTCATCTCCCAAAGATTCGTCTTGCGAGTCTCCATCAACATCCCATTCCGCTTCCGCCTCTTCGTCGCCAGATTCTGAATGAACGTACATATCTGACAATCTGCGGTCCGATTTGCTTTCTTGGAGTAGAGGGTGCGTCAAAGGTGGCTGATCTGACGCCAGTTCATCATCACTATCACTGTCGAGTAGAATCACTTCCGGTTGGGATGGTGGTAATTGCGGCAGATCCGATGCCTCCGACTCATCACTGTATGCTTCTGATTGAATTTCATCATCTTCTTCACGCATTTCCACTTCGTCTTCTTCATCCACATCCTCGTCGTATTCTTCGTGCGTGTCCTCTGCTTCTTCGTCGTCATATTCCAGTTCACTTACTTCCTCGCCTGCACGTTCCTCATCATCATATTGCAATATAGAATCTCTTGCAATATTCTCCGCATGATGAACATCGTCGTTATCTGTGACTGAGCCCTCATCCTCACTGAAGCTAGATTGAGACCGATCCTGATTTTTTTGAACTTGAGATTCTTCCGCAGCTTCATCTTCACTTTGAACGTCTTCTGAGTTCCAATCATCTAATTCACCTTCGGCCATGACCACATCAATGGGAGAGTGATCATCTATTGCTCCAGCGCTGTCCTGTCCTTGAGAATTCGTTGAGAACTCGTCGTTTTCCACTGCGTCATCATCGTAGGCCGTTTCGCTTTCTATGGATCTAACAATTTCCTTATGTTCACCTTCTGCTGAGCCTGCGGCGGGCGGTGGATCGTTTTGGGACATTTCAAATCCAGGCTTGACAGATTCTTGCTTTATCTCAGAGGAAGATGTACCGAAATTGCTTGGCCAGAAGAAAGTTGGTGAGAATGCAGGAGTCATTAAATTATCTGATGAGATAGTAGGCGGCACATGTTGAGGACCGAACAGCCTCGAAAGGAAGCTGTGTCCATCATTTTGCTGAACATTCTCCATAACATCTGCGAAACCCATTACCGTTTGCGGTTGAGATGTTGGAGGCGTCTCAACTAGAGAGTTCGGCTCTGAGGTGATGTGATCCGTGCTCGCATCCATTGAAACTGATGGTAAACTCTGCGACTGGGAGACAGCGTGGAAGCTTGAAAAGTATTCCTGTGAGCCATTTTGGGTGGATATGAGTGGTGAGGGAATTGGAAGCGCAGGGGAAGGGATTGGCCGTAGCTGAGGCGTATCTGTAGGCTGGGGAAAAGCTGATCGTAAAGGGTTCTCAAGACTGGCTTCAACTCTCTCGGTTGACGCGTTGTTTGATTGCACAACTTGGTTCCCGAAAATGTCTCCGGTCAGTTTAAGTGAAGGCTTAATGAAGACGGGGGGCTGTTCTTGAGATGATGGGCCGTGAGCCTCGGATATCTCCGCATCGGGTGTGTCGAGGATGTCGATGTCGTTGTTAGAGCGGGAGTCATCTTTCTTAGAAGCGTCCTCGCTAATTATTTCTTCTCCTGATGGCTCATCCAAGGAAGTTTCCCACCAGTCGAGAGGGGCTAATTCTTCTTCCGGACTGAAAGCTTCCTCTACAATATGCCAATCATCTCTTTGAAGGCTGTATCGCGGACGTTTTCGACCCTTTCCAGGCACAAATCCATCGTCTTCCAATGATGGACTGTACAAATGACCAAGTCCTCCAAAGAGAAAGCGAGGGCTGGACTTCAGATAAGCGGGAGAACCTGATGCCCAAGTTGCTTGGCCTAGTGGTTCCGAATTTTCGGCGCTTGGATTCTTGGGTGTGTTGGGCGGATCAGACGCGTCAGTGGCATTCTGCTCGATAACAATTGTGGTTGGAGTTTTCAATGATTGGGTGATCTATAATATAACTTTTAGCATATCGGCTTGATCTTGGGGATTTGGAGTTCAACATACTTCAATTGACAGCTCAGTCTCGAAGTGAATATCCCATCCAATATATCTCCCAGGGGTTTGTGACACTGTATCATTGGCCGAGAGCCTCGCGCCCTTCAATGCCAGACAAACATTATCGCCGATACCAATATGTGATTCGGCAATCCTTTTAGCGACGTGATCATGGAATATTGCCTTTACTTGTCCATGCGATCGTCGTAGCCGGGAATCTGGCTCAGCGAGTAGGAGACTGAGGGTTTTGGTCACTGAAGAGTAGGGCCAGATGAGAGTGACTGTTGCGTTGATACATTTCTCCTCCTGTTGGTCAAGGGTAGGGGACAGCTGCGCGATCGGGACCTTGGTGTAGGGCGGCAACGAATTGGTCGGAGATTGATAGGTTGCGTCCATCATGCCGATATTCCCAACATCAATAGTTCGCGATAAAATGCATGTCAGAAACATATAAGGAACGAAGTGACGGTGGCTACTGAACGGTGGAAGAGACCAACGCGAGTAAAGACAAGGACAAAGAGCGCCGGTCTCGTTGACTGGTGAAGATTGCGTTGGTAATACCAATGTCACGTTACGTCGATTAAGCTAGAATTGCATGCCCGAGTTCGTTTTTACCAAACGGAATTTACGATAAAATACTGATCTACTTATATGTTTAATTCGGTTAATTCTTAATATAGAATTGAATGAATGAATTAAGCTACTACAATAGCACCTACAGGTTAAGCTTGTTTAATCTAATACTGTCTATTCTTCAACAATTCCCAGTTGGCGCAATGATAACCCAAGTTCTATTGGAGCTATAGCAACAACTCCACTTTGGATCCACTGCTTCTCTAAAACAAAACCCCTCGCAGTGGCCTGATATTTCTCTATCAATAATGCCGCTCAACAACCAAATTCGTCGCCTAGCTGTCATCGGTGCTGGTCCTTCTGGTCTTGCTTCCGTCAAGTATGGCCAAATACCTCCAAAATTCCATATCCATATCGAAGTAAACTAATTTGTTTCATAGATATCTATTGGAAGAGAAATACTTCGAGCAAATCGATGTATTTGAGCAAAGAAGCTCCGTTGGAGGAATCTGGAACTATACCCCAAGTTCCTTAAAGAATGAGCAGCTGGCCACAGCTCCCCAACTGACTCCCCACGAGTCCCTAGAGAAACCGATATGGGGAAATAAGTCTGGGGGCGCGAAAGAGGCAATATTTATTTCTCCGTTATATGATCGACTTGAAACCAACATTCCCAAGGAACTGATGCGTTACTCGGACAAACCATTTCCAAAAGAAGCCCAGCTATTCCCAAAGCACAACACTGTGAAGGAATACCTCGATGAATATGCTAGCGACATCAGGAGTCTTATCCAATTCCAGACTCAAGTCAAGGAGGTTAAATTGAGAGATTCTAAGTTGAGTACCTGGGACTTGAAAACCACCAATCTTCATACTGGTATCGACACCATTAAAACCTACGACTCGGTGGTCGTGGCAAGTGGCCGCTTCGCTGTTCCGTACCTGCCAGATATTGCTGGAATCAAAGATTGGGACAAATCCTATCCAGGGGTCATATCCCACTCAAAGTTATACGACTCACCTGAAATTTTCAGAGGAAAAAAGGTGGTAGTGGTAGGAGGCGCTGCCTCGGGACTTGACATCGGTGCTCAAATTAGTGAGGTCAGCAAGGGCAAGATTTTGATGTCGCAGCAGTCCGAATCCTACTTGGCAGTATCTGCACCATCAGACAGAATTATTCACCCGGAGATCGTCGAGTTTTTAGCTCCGGAGAAACATGACCGAGCTATACGATTTGCCAATGGTCACATCGAGGACGAAATAGATGCCATTGTTTTTTGCACGGGATATTTATACTCCTATCCATTCCTTTCGACTCTCCAGCCTTCTGTTGTGACTGATGGTTGGCGAACGAGAAACGTGTATCAACATATGTTTTACACAGAACATCCTACACTTATTTTTCCTGAGCTGCTGCAGCAGGCGATACCGTACCCCATGGCAGAGAACCAAGCAGCTGTATTTTCTAGGGTCTTGTCTGGTCGCTTACAACTTCCGAAAAAAGCGCATATGGAAAAATGGGAAGAGTCTGAAATCGTACAGAAAGGTGAAGGGAAAGCATTTCATGTGCTTCAATTCCCAGCGGATGTCAATCATATGAACTTTTTACATGATTGGGCAGCAAAGGCGGAGCCTCGTCCAGGATTGGTCAATAACGGGAATGGGAAGTATGGAAGCTATTGGGGAGATCGAGAGCGGTGGATGCGAGAAACCTTTCCTGAGATGAGACGGGCATTTATTCAGCTTGGAGAGCAGCGAAGTGATATCAAGACGATCGAAGAGCTTGGAACTGATTTTGATGCCTGGAAACGGAACCAAGTCAATGGTGCTGTTTAAATTTGTGTTCACTAAGCATCTACTGAGAAGGAATAGCCTTGATCGATAGATAGTACAGCAGGGACCTGTATTCAAGTTATTTGTGAAATTTATCCTGTAGTAGGTCACCCTTATAGTACGATATTCTAAGAAGGCGGTGTGTAGGACGGTCAAAGTAATGCCGGGAGAGGAATAGAAGGGACTTCGTCCCATAGTTAGAAGGTCATGCTTACATCTACCTCCATTTCTGGACATTCTATCATAGAGTTCCATTCCCACCATTGTATGAGTTGTTCCGACGTCTCTTCATAGTTGAATCGACCTGTGCATTCTGACTGCACTGCCTATGAGCGTTCCCCGTTTCAATACGTAGTACCGGCGAAAGTGGGTCAGAGATAAGATAAAAGCTCGATGCTTATCACCACGTGAGGCGGTGGCATCTCCACAAGAGTTGCCATCCTATACCGTAACTTACCTCAGCACCTTCTCTAAATTCCGTTGATTTACAACTGATCTTTGCTTTACATCGAAGGCTCTTTAATTTCGAACACTGATTTCATCACTGGTAAGAGATTGATTTGCTCTGTTAGTACTTTCCCTCAGACTAGTTTCTGCTATCGGCATTCCGAAGCCTGCAGGGCATTCTGCCGCATTCAACTCATACTCGAATCTAGTCAAGGTCATCTTTTCACAATTCTAATCTTCAAGGCCCAAAATGGGTGACGATAAAGACCTTCATTTGGGACCTCCGGCTCAAAGTGTGAGCGCAAGCCAGACATCCTCTTCTGCGGGTGACATTGAAGCAGCAGAGGCTACTGAAGCTCCTGAATTTGCTGTGCCCAAACCTTTCCCCAAAAGAGCATCTCTTAGTAGACGACTCGATGATGACTCTATCTTTATATCTCATGTTACCTCAGCGGATCATGCCCATTCTGGACCACCACTATCTTTGCATTCAGCCCGCAGCGGTCAAGATACTCGACCCAGTGCATTGACTCTCACCATTCAGCCCAGTGCATTCGAGGGCATCGGAGAGATACCACCAGGATCTGTCCGTCTTGGTCCAGGTGAATTTGCTGTCACTCTTCCTATGGATTCTCGAGTCAAGTCTGACTATGAAAATGTTTTGAAACATGCTGCTCCGCGGTTTCAGCGTTTCCTGGAGACGTTTAACAGTGGTACCCCAGTTCATGAGTACCAAGTAAGCTCATATCCGAGCTCAAGTATGAGCACTGTTCTAATATTAATTTCATAGCGAAAGCATCTGCAGTCGAAGATACAGAAGGTCATAGCAGCCTTGGGCAACGTAACAACCCATCCAGATCTGAACATTTCTCGACACTTAACGGATGGAGACACCAATCTTGAGGATATGGCTTTGTGGGCTGAGAGTAATAGTGCCAAATTCCTTTTTCTGAGAGATTTCATCGAAATCGCGAGCATGCATAATCTCCACATCATTCTAGCAATTCATGGAACCGACAAGCAAAATCTTATCGAGCGCTATTTACGTGGTAAAGGATTTGAATACACTCGGCCACGCGAAGAGCTCGGTGGAAGCGTGGAAATATCTCTGGTTAAAGGCTCTCTGAGCTTCGGAATTCATTCGACTGACAGCGTACGAGATCTTTTCAAAGAACCTTCTGCTATATTTTTGCTCGATGCTACCTTCAATTCCAAGAGTTCATCAGTGGTGCATATCCGACAGACATATACTCGAAACGGAGATCCTCTTCCATTAATCTGGCTTCTTGTCGCCAATACATGTGAACACATTGAGCGCTGCCTGCCAGATATGCCCCAGTGTGATCGCATTTTGGCCCTTCTTCATTTCACAGATTGCCTCCATTATGCGGCGGGTGATATTCAAGATGGCGCCCTTGACGTGCACGAGAATGTCGCGGAGATTTTTGGCTATCTCACAGACAGCTCTAGACCATGGCCACTGGTTTCGATTAAACCCCTACCTCTCATTCCCTATGAGGCAGAAGAGGCCTCAATATCATCGACTAGGCCTCGACCATCTACACTGAAACGCTCGCTTGTAGGTATACAGTTTTTCTATCTATTTGCTTTTGACTAACATTAAGGCAGTCGAATGATGAGCACGAAGCGTACAAGACGAAACGTGTACATCTTGGCGATATCAGCCCAACGAATGACACAGATGTTATCAACCCATCTGACCACACTAATCAAATTCTCCGGAGACGCATGGATGGAATGGAAAACTTCTATTCCAAGGAAAAGGCTCAAAACTTGGCTAGACTGGTCGCCATGGAATCAAAACTCCAGGACTGGCAGAGTGTCATGAATGATCTTCAATATCGCTACGAAAGTCGAACCGAAAGTGAGCACAAGCTTCGACGGGAGCGCGATTCGCTGTTGGAGACAGTAGCATCCCTGAAATCCCTCGCAGACAGATCGAAAGAAGACATCTCCAAGCTGAGAGATGAACGAACACTACTGAATCGTGAGCTTGAAGGAGCTCGACTGGAATTGAAGTCCGTTCCCGGACCACTTGCTGATCTGGAGACGGCGCGGGAAGAAGTCCGTCGACTTACCAAGGAGAACTCCAGTCTCGAACGCAAGTCAGACTACGAACGTCATCAAGCCGAATACACTCGCGAGCAATATCAGAACGCCTCCAATGTTGCTGCTCAAGCTGGAAATGAGGCTCGCACTCTTAGAAAAGAAAATGAGGACCTACTGCGGAGAATTTCGAGCAATACTGTCGCTGTCCGTGAACTCAGCAACAAAGCAGAATTGGACGCCTATATTGCCCGCATCTCAGAGTTAGAGATTACACTTGCTCAGCGTGATGATTTCCTGCAAAAGAAGGAAGAGGAACTTCGGGAGATTCGCAAGAATCGTCCGTCAACTCGCTCCACCAGTACCGCACCTCGAAGCCCCAAATGGGCTGCTGGAAGTCGTCCTACTAGTCCCGGCTTGGGTGGAAATGGAAGTGGCGGACTTCCTGGTAGAGGCAGCACCTTGCGATTTAGCTCTTGAGTACTCAGTTGTCGGATTGAGGTGCGTCTCCAATTTTCCTCTTTCAACTTGCAGCGTTCGGACTCAAGGGTAGCGTCTTCTTTTAAGGCGAGTATCAATTTAGCAAATCAACAACGCGATGTAGAGAAACTCACGGAATCAAGGAATAATTCATATAATAATGAATATTCTCATTTTTTACCTTTTTCGCTCTACTTCCATTTAGCGATCTCAGATCTGTATTATTACTGGAATACTCAATCACCATGCATCTACAATTTCTAAGATCAAATTTCAAGAAGTCAGACTTTTATTTAGATTAAATAATGGCCCAAGTAAATGAGAGTTGTTAGTGAATTGGGAAAGATCGATATTATGACAAATTGATCGAAATTAATCCGAATAGCGGATGTGGAAAAGAAAGAAAAAAACATGAGTAATTAAAAACGTGAAAAACAAACTCCAAGACATTCTGTGTTGTATAAGTAGAGATTTATGATGCAATTTCTATACTGTGCTCATTGCACCAGCAATGAACGCCGATAGTTCCTTTGCCTTCTCGCCTTGAGTCATAGAGAAGTGGTTTGCACCCTCCATGATCGTGATACCGCCCACATTCTTGGGTCCGACGAGAGTGTCCCATCCATTCGGGCCCAGATTGGTGCGGTTGTTCAGCAGCCATTGCATCTCTCGAGGATCAGGGCTGCCATCCTCGGCAGGAGCTGGACGAGGATCATTCGGCTTGTTACAGACTCCATCCTTGGCCCAGACCATGAAAGTCTTCGGGAGTTTCTCCGCGAGTTTTTCATCGTTGAAGGGGAAAGGTACTGCCTTATAAGCATCCAAGGAGTCAATGAAGGCCAGGAAGTGAGGAAGAAGCCACTTCGGGGGAGGGGCCTTGCCCTCGCCGAACAGACCAATCGAGTCGAAGAACCGGTAAAGGCGACGAGGAAGCTTCTCGAGTCCAATCGGGAAGGGTGAGTCGAGAAGCAACAAACGCTCAACCCGCTCGCCTTGCTCGAAGATCAGGTGGCGAGCTGCGTCGTATGCACAGATACCTCCAGCTGACCAACCACCGAAATTGTAAGGACCAGTAGGCTGGCGGCGGCGAATTTCGGCCACGTATGGGAGTGTGAGCTCATCCAGGCTGAACTTCAAGTTTTCGGGGGTGCGCATGTAGGGGCAGTTCAGCCCATACACGCAGACATCCGGCGAGATTCCTGGAATTGAAGCGTACGAAGTGGCAGATCCGGAGCCGTCAGGGAACAAGAACAAACTCTGTGTAGCTATCTTGGGGTTTCCCTGAAGCAGGATCGAGGTTGCAGGGGGTGTTGAATTGCTAAGCTAGACGCAACCTTTGGAGCCTCGGCCAAGATCTGCTCAGGTAGTCTGATGGGCTGAGAAGGAGCAGTGGGCTTCAGATCAAGGGTGGTCTCAATTTCATCGAGGGTCTGATTCTCAATGAAAAACTCACCAGGCAGATCAAGGTCTAGAGTCTCACGGATCTTGCCCAGGACGGTTAGTGACATGAGTGAGTCTAGGCCCATTTCAGCCAAGTTTGAGTCTCCTTCGAGCTCCCCTGGTTGAATGCCAATCTCTTCGGCCAGAATCTCACAAATTTGCTTCATGCTGTCACTCTGTTCGAGGGTCATAGTCTTTTCATTGGTAGGCGAGCTAAGACCGCTCGAGTTAGGAGTCGAGATATCTGTAGAGGATGCCGCACAGGAGGAGTCGTTATCACTGCTTGAGATGTCGCTGTTGCTTTCAGAGGGGCTCATTTGCGCCATCAATTGCTTGAAGTCCTTAATCGTAGGCTGTTCAATAAAGACTGATGATTCAAGGTCAAGACTCATCTCCTCGCGGTAGCGACCAGTGACAGTCAATGAGAGCAGAGAATCAACGCCATAGTCAGCGAAGTTCAGATCATCTGTCATATCAGATGCAGAAAGTCCCACTTCTTCAGCTAGGATTTGAAGCGCTCGTACGGCAAGGGATGAGCCAGGAGACTTGGGCGAAACCGCAACCCGAGCTGGACTCTTGCTGACTGCAGCGTTCGACTTCTGTACATCAATAAGTGCAGGTCTAGCTTTGACAGGTGCTTTAGCAACAGTCTTAGCAGGTGCATCAGCACCGGCAGGTGGAAGGGCAACATCCAGAATCTTTCGTGCCAGTGATTGGAACTATACTCACATGTTAGTAAACTTATTCATGGAGAAGTGGTCCCTCATGTTTTGACTTACCTTGACTCCACCGTACAGAGCAACAATATCATCCCCATCAAACAGATATACATCACCTGCCCAGATTGAATTCTTCCAAGGCTGCATGCGCACATATGTGCGGTAGGTGACGTTAGGGTCAAACTTCCTCAAGCAACGCATCGAGTCCCAGCCATGGTTGACAAAGACCTCATTTTTGGAATCAGTGGCATCACTGGCATTCATGATGAAACCAGACAAGTGACCAATGCTATCAATCCAGAATGGGTTGCGATGGAAGTTTCCAGTAGGAGCTTGGAACTTGACCAGAGCAGTAGCCTCGTGCTGATAGCTGTCGAGGATAACTTCTTGGATGGACTTGTAGTTATCGTCATAATCAACGAGAGTAGCGAACAGTTTGTAGACCATGCCGCGCTTCATCCTGTGAGCCTGGCCAGTCTCAGTGCTTTCCTTGAGATGCTCTATGCTTCTCTTGATCAGGTAAGTGCTTCGCTTCCACTCAGCCTCCACGGCAGCAGTGTCAAAGAACTTGACCATGCAAGTAGCGTGGTCGACAATCTTCTTGCCTTCTGGGGTAACAGACCAAATCTTGAGTTGAGCACTCTCATCGCCCCAGTTGGCTGTAGCAGAGACTCGGAACAGCTGTTTGCCACCCTTGGCAATAAGGGGCTTTGGCACCACAACATTGCAAACATCGAACCCACGATCCTTCCACTCGGGCATATACTTCTCAACCAAAAATTCACCCAAAGTTTGGGCAATATCTGCGTAGAGAGACTGTATTCGGCTAGGTTAGTACTAAAATCTAGTCATTGATAGAAGGAACGGTGAAACTTACCGATGGACAAAGAGCAGCACCATTTACCTTGTGACCCTGAATCACGCGGTTCAATTCTGGGTCCGCAATGTCATTTTCGATGACTACAGTTGCACTTGTCTTGTCACCACTGGTCTCTAAGATCTTCTGTGCTGCACTGGTCAGGAAGGTTGAAACAGGTTGGATATCAGCAACAGGTTCAGCAGGTGCACCCTTGAGCAAACAGAAGTTGTTGGTGTAAGGGATCCAATAGTTCTTCAGATCCCACTTATACGCAGGAAGGTTAAGGACTTCGTGCATGTAGCTGAAATCTTGGTGATACTCCTTCCAGCGCAGATCAAGACCAGCCATGTAGAGAGTCGACAAGCTGTTGGACAGGACCTTCCAGGTGTCCTCCTGGCGGCGAAGAGAAGCAACGGTGGTTGCCTGGGGACCAAAGGTGGACTTGACCATGCCGGAGCAAACAGGGTGGGAGCCGATTTCAACCCAGACTGTTTTTTCGCCCATAAGCTTGGCGTGACGAGTGGCCTCCAGAGCTGCCAGGAAGTTGACAGCCTCTCGGCAGTGTCGGGTCAGGTAGCTAGGACCCATAACTTCTGGATTGGCCTCTTTCAGCACATCGCCAAGAAGAGCCGACACGAATGGAATCGAGGGTTCATGGAAAGTTACTCCCTTTGCAACCTCCGCAAGGGTCTCAAGGATCGGCTCAACTTGAGCAGAGTGGAAAGCGAAAGGTACGTTCAGCTTGGTGGCTTTGAAACCTTCGCTTGTCAGCTTGGAGGCAAGCTGGTCAATCTTCTCACTCGCTCCGCTGATGACAGTCTCACTGGGTGCATTGATGCAAGCCACTTCTGTGACGCCATCTTGCAAGTATTGCTTTACCTGAACTGCCGACGTCTTGACGGCCAGCATAGCGTGGGTACCTGCCTGGCACTTCTCAGTAAGAAGCTGAGCTCGGCGGCCAGCAAGATAAATAGTATCGCTGGTAGTGAGAATTCCTGAGGCGTTCAGAGCAGCGTATTCACCTAAGCTGTGGCCGAGGACAAATGAGGGCTGGACGCCAAGAGTGATCCAGTACTTGGTCAGAGCCATCTGAATGCAAGTTGTTCCCAGCTGAGTGACAACCGGGCTCAGTTGGTCAACAGGAACACTTCCGTCAACCAATGGGAGAATTGATGGGAAGCCTTGACTTTGGACAAGACGATCGAAGTGCTCAATGTGAGTTCGGAAGAGCATGTTATTTTCAAACAGCTGGCGTCCCATACCCGTGTATTGAGCACCCTGGCCAGTGAAAATGAACCCAACTCCAGGAGAAGTTGCAGGAGAGGGTGTTATACTCTCACGGCTTACACTTGAGTTCAAGCCGTTGCGGATTTCCTCCAGAGTAGATCCAGTAGCGGTAACTCTGAATGGGTGGTGGATCCGCCTAGCGGTGGTGGTGTAAGATAGGCTAGCAAGAAGGCTGTGTTCATCGACACTGAATTGATTTCTGTTTTTGTCGATGTATTGAATCAGAGCAGCAACATTGTTTTTCAAGGCAGACTGAGATCTCGCAGAGAGTGTGACGGGATAAACAGACCGCGGATCTTTTCCACTTCGCTCGCGCAAAGGGCCATCCTCAACCAACAACGCTGTGTTTCCACCGGCCGCTGAGAAGTTATTGATAAAAGACCTGCGTTTGCCATCTTCCGGTCGGTTCCATGGAGTGGGCTCCATAGCAATGTGCACATTACGTTTTTGGAGATCAGTCGGGAAGTTGTGGTTGATCTTTGTCTTGATACCACAGTGAGGAGGGATCATGTTCTTCTGCATCATCACCAAGACCTTGACTAGAGCCGAAACACCAGAAGCAGATTCTCCATGACCAATGTTTGACTTGGCAGAACCTAAATGAAGGGACTGGGTCGGTCCACGGCGGTAATCTGGTGCAAAAGTAGAAAGAACGGATTGCATCTCTACCGCGTCTCCAGCTTGAGTTCCGGTGCCGTGCATTTCAATGTAGCTGACATCCTTGGGATCAACATCTGCCTCATTGAGCAACTTATCGAAGATGAAGGCCTGTGCACCGACATGGGGACGAGTAATAGACACCGACTCAGCAGAGTGGTTGGTGTATGCACCAGAGATAACACCATAAATAGGGTCGTTATCGGCCTGGGCATCCTCAAGTCTCTTCAAAACAATTGAACCAATACCATCAGCACGGCAATAGCCGTCGGCAGCATCATCAAAAGTGGTGCAGTTTCCAGTTCGCGAAAGGAAGTGGCCACGATCAAGACCGGCGTGGTTATCAGGGTTTGTTAGGATATTGACACCACCTGCCACGGCAGAATCACACTCGTTTCTCCAGAGGGAGTTACAAGCAATATGAATTGCCGCAAGACTGGAAGAGCAGGCTGTGTCGACACTGACACTGGGGCCGCTAAATTTGAAGTAGTAATTGATACGTCCAGGTGTGAAAGCACGGTTACCGCCGGGAATAAAATAAGTGTCAATGTCCTGGCCACTGTTGATCTCACGGTAATCATCACTGGTCATTCCATAGAACACACCAACCCGATTTTTCTGAGTGGATGGGGTGCTGTCCGGGATAAAACCGGCCATCTCGAAGGCTTCATAAGCGGTAAGAAGAGCAAGTCGTTGAGCAGGATCAGCTTGCAGCGCCTCACGGGGGGACATGTTGAAAAATCTGGGATCAAAATAGCCGGGCTCATTGATCCAGCAGCCATACTGAACTCTGCTTGTGTTCCGCTTGTTTCCTTCCATATCAACATGGGCCTTGACATCCCAGCGCTCAGCCGGAACTTCACGGTGGACATCAAGTCCCTTGTAAAGAAGATCCCAAAGGGCCTCTGTGTCTTGAGCTTCGGGAAATCGACCGGAGAGACCAATAATTGCGATTTTAGACTGCTCAGCACGGCCAGTTTGGTTGGATCCCTCTGGGTCTTTTGCCACATCACCAATTTCACTATCAACCTCGATCTTTGAGATACCGCCCTTCGTCAAGGACGAATAGAGGCTTTGTGTAGCAGTTGTAGAAACAGGTAGCAAAGTGCATTTCTCTGTGGCTGATGATGTCAACTCAGAGGTGCAAGAGTCAACGACTTTATCCCAGCAAAGCTGCTGCAAAAGAATCTCCTCGAGCGAATTTTTGAGAAGCTCTTCAAGATTTGCAGCCTCAGATCTCTTCCCAGTTGCACTTGAGAAAACGGGAATTTGAGGAACATAGGCTGCGAACTTCTCGCTAGGCCAAGATTGCATGATTCTGTTGACATCCTTCTCATCATAAAGGTGCGGAGCATGATAAGGTCCGTGGATGGGGGCCTTCACAGGCTTGTACTTCTTTGAGAGGTGGCTGTCGATAAAGTGATCCAAGACGCTTGGAGGGCCACTAATAGTGAGACCACTCATGCCAAAAGCACTGATATAAGGCCAGGAAACCCGAGGAAGCGCCTGTGATGAATATTAGCCATTTGAAACTCTTAATGGAGCCAGTTGCTCAACTTACGTTGTCTTCGCTAAACTGCTGGATCAACTTCTGTGCCTCCTGTTCTCGGATTCCTGATACCAAAACAGACCAGTTTGGAGGAACTGATCTGCTCTCTTCAACGAGTTCTCGCACTTTAACAACACACATTCCAAGTCTGAGCGCCAGAACAACAGTCTCAACACCAGCCAAAATGAGTTCTCCCACAGTCTTGGATGAGCTCACAGCTGCTGAAGCAAGCTCGCCAGTGCAAAGACCGATGATACAGCTCTCTGATCCAGAAGGATAAGGGTTGCCAAGGTCACCGTAATAGCTGTCACAAACTGTCAGTCCCTCAAATTCACTGGATATGATAATATTTTGATATGACTTACTGGATGAAGCTGCCAAGCTGATATATAGTTGTCAATGCACTCTCCAAGGCCGGGTTTGGTCCTGAAACTCGGTATCTTTTCAGGAGATCGACAATGCTCGTGAAGCGAGGGAACATCTGCCGCTCAGATTGTGGAAGCTTGCTGATTTCCTCACGCAAAGCATGGTAGCTCTTTTGAAAGAAAGCTATCAGTAGGGAGTCATTTTTGGCGTGCACAAGGCGGCGAAGACCGGAGTCGAAATCAGCGGTCTGATCTCCGAAGAGATAGACACGACTTATGCCGTCCATACTAAGCCCTGATACAGGCCAGGGGCTAGAACTCTACTAAATAAAAGGTTTCAGCCCTTGGCCAACTCGTGGGAATCTTCTTTTATATCACAACAATTTTACTGGCAGTGGGGCGGCATTGACTCAACAGAATCACTACCTAGCTATGAACGGCACATGGAACTCGACATAGAAAGTTTTCACTTCCTTGGAAGATTCTGGACAAGTGGAGCTAATCTCAGTCTCATTACTACTTCGATTACAGTACGTCAGGTTTTACTGAGCTTGAGGATGGAACCGTTACTGTGGTCAGAGCTCGTATTAGGTCTAAGACCTGATATGTTTTTCTCCTTTATGGGGCTGAAGTTACGGAAATTGACCAATGAGTCAGGTGCTGTGATTTCCATGGGGCCCTTGATCTCCTGAATGGATGGAAAAAAAGTACCAGAAATCAATGCGAGGTTCTTTGGACTTCTTTTCTGCTGTTTCCGGACAAACAATCAAGGATCCAGACAAAAAGAACTTTCAACAAATTGTGTTAATGATTTAGCTCAAGGTTATTGTGCCACTTTAGTAATCTACTCGCCGGAAAAAGTTTCTCGTGCAAGAAATGATATAATATAGTTGCAATGACAGATATCGGTCGCTGCTTTCGGAAAGGTTGCATCTATGATCACGTGATAATGTTGCCCTACCTACCTTGTTTCTCGTATAATGAGAGAAGTTATGATTATATCTTTGATGCGGGGAATAAAATAGAACAGTATTACATTTTATCCATTTCCTGGGAATTTTGACGTCAAATAAGTGGTTATCAAGTCGAAATTTTGAAATCGATGTACACTAGTGATTTCCTCTACTGTTTCTTCCCCTGACAAGATCTTTGTTTTAGTACTTAGTGCCTGACCCTTGTTGCTGCTGAGTTCAGTGAGTTGAAATTAGCTTGAGATCATATTGTACCGAAGTGCCTTCCTACCAACCTAAGTAGGAAGTTACACCATTTGAAAGCTTGGGTTTGTTATGAGCTTATCTTCCAGGAGACATGTTCCAGAAGTTTGTCTAGGTATGCATCCGCTTATCCGCCATTGAGGCTGCCTGGTATTAGCTCGATTAATTCCAAACTAAGTAATTTGATGTAGATCTGCCGGTCTTGGAATGTATCATGCAAGGAGTTTGGGAAATATATTATACAACACGTCATGACTTCAAAAGTACTTTGCCATTCAAACTCTGGAGTCCTTACCTGGGCAGGCAACAAAGTAGATAAATTTTATTGCCCAGATGGAGGTCGTCATACAATTTACATATACCAAGGTAGGTTTGAAGCTATTACCAAGACTATCTAAATAGCTACCTCACTAACTAAGTAACTGATCAGGTGATATTTATGAAACCTCACAAGAGCAGTAGTCTCTTCCAAGGTTGAAATATTTGGTCATCTTTTGACAGGATACTGACTAAGATTTTGGTGACGCAATTTTAAATTATCCAATCTTGTAAGTTGAAACATTCCAATGAATACAACACTACGGACAGAAGGATATTGAATGAGAACGATGCAAGTCCTACAAGGTCACTATTTTCAATATTGGAGTATCCTAATCATCTGGGCAGGCTGCCCATCCATCCCTGAGGATGGATTCCTGTCAGGAAAGTTGAGTGACCACTTGAGTGTGGACATCTAAAGTTACCCGGCTCTTCAGGGCTTCGAGTATTGAAGATTTGATCTATCCAGCAGCTGAAATAAACCAGGCTAGCTAGATATATACAGTATTAGCTCATAAGTTATGTTCCCTCCCATATATCAAGAATTCGCATATTCTCAACCAGCCTGACTAATTAAATCATTATAAAATCAGCCACGTATAATAGATATATTCTAGCTACTTAATGGTCTGATATTTACTGTGATGCCCCTATCTGCTTTCACGGCAGCTATCCTACGTTGTATGCTCCGAAGCAGATCGATCACATGTTGATTAATCTCTCCATGCCTATATTATTAGAACATAGCGGTATAGACACCGCAGGGAACAGACTTATTCCTTTCTATGATTTAAGCTTAGTTTCACCACTAATCCAGAGAGTTGACCATACGATCTGGGAAATATACTTACTGGAAACCCCCTAGATTGACTAGATCTTAGCGATAGGACTCTCTAGTAAAGCAAAAACATATTTTGTGCTACGTTATAAGTCAAAAGTCTGCCGACAGTAGAGAATTAGTCCCACCCACCCCAAATATATATAATGACTTCAAACTCTGAAATCTATCATTATTATGGATATAGCTATATAAATTACATATTTTAATTGACAAATGACAGGATAATAATATCTTATTCAATATTGTCGGTACACCTGTATCAAGTGTGGAATAGCTATTCGATAGGCTAACGCCCACTTCTGACACCTATCACAGGTAACGCTTTACGTCCCTATGATATCTATGTGTCCTTTGAAGTGGTTGTAAAGTCTGGTTTTCATTCTTAGTTTGCTATCTATTATAAAGTAACAATTTGATCACATGACTGCTTTGTTCCATATTCCAACAAATATCTAGTATAATATCCCCTAGCTCTGCCTACAGCTGCTAATCTGCGTGGCATAAACCTAATTAGGCTGTCGATCGTCGCCTGTGGAATGGCATTCCAAGCCTCGCAAATACAGGCCTTAAATAGGCCCAATCGGCTAAAGTTTCGTTCATTTCTACTAATTCGAGGTGCATCTTCCTTAATTTACATCTTATAAGCCACCAAAATGGCTCGATTGGGCTTATATCAGGCGATCGTGCAGGCCATTTTTCAGGACGAATCCCCCAACGTCGAAACCACCTTCCTGGTTCCTTTGATGTATGAATTTTAGCATTATCCTGCTGAAATATATTGTCATCCTCATGGTGTAGTACAAGGCCCTTTTTTAGGGCTTTAATATAGGATTTACTAGTAAATTCTTTACCTTAAGACCTAGAATCGCTCTCCATAACTACCAACGACCACCAATATATATACACGCCAATACCATGTAAGAGATATCCTTCATATGGGCTTTAGGATTGACAAATTGACTTAAATAAGTCTCCGATTTCCACATCCAAGCCCACTGGATATCAGAATTTGACGTTCTTTGAACCGAATATTCGTCCGAGAAGATCCATTTCTTCCAATCCACATCCTGATGCCATTTTTGAGCTAATTCAAGTCGGTCTTTAGCAAGACGAGGGCCAAGAGGAATCTTATTATTCTGACGTCATTTAGGAAGGTAATAATATTTGAAGATTCTTTGTAAAGTCGATCGAGAGGGTAAGAGTTGGTATTTGCAGAAAGTCATCCATAGCTCCAGAATGGATTTCGACGCGCTTTTAGATATACCCATCTTCTGGCAGCTTCGTTATAGATAGGCGGACATCTACTTCTAGAGCGAGATTTAGTGGTTTTTGTGGCCTTATAGCGGTTGCGAGTGGCATCGATAGATAGTGCTACGATTACAGTCATAGATATTTAGCAGCAAGTTTAGTAGGCGATACAACATTTTCAAGGGCAGAGAGAATGCCAGCGCGTAAGTCAGTATAAAGTTCTTGATTTCTACCACGGTTTCCACTAATCTCAGTGTCAAATGGAGCCATGGTAGGTATAAAAATCTAAGAGAAAAAGAGCGGGCTTACGCGACGTGATCAAAACGCGCTAACACGCGGGAATTGTTGGCAGATTTTTGACCCATAATGTACCAAAGAACGTATAACATTAAAGGAATCTCGTCTTTCAGAATGAGAAAAGGTGCCTGACCCAAAGGAGAGGTCGTCACTTATAGACGCCACATCGATGTCAAGTATCGAAAAAGCTATAACATCGTTTTTGGCCCCCATTAAGAACCTGCGTATATCCAAACGACTGTCCATTATTTTCAAGGTTGGGTAGACGTAAATCGCTTATGAACGACCCAATTATGATCACTGATTAGGGCACACCACTAGGTCAAGCGCGCTATGTTCAGGGATTGTCAGACGGACCGGGTCTTCGTTGATATTCTCACCTTTTATCATTCTGACCTTGGAAGGTTGGTGTCAGTACACCAGTACCAAAAGTATGAATAACTATTCGATATGGTAGACAAGAGGCTAACGCCCACTTCTGACACCTATCACAGGTAACACTTTATGCCCCTATGATATCTATGTGTCTCTGAAGTGGTTGTAAAGTCTGTGTTTCATTCTTGGGTTGCTAGCTATTAAAGTAACGATTTGGTCACATGACTACTTTGTTCCATATTCCAACGGTTGGAGACCACGAACATCCATATAAGCTTAGCTTGAGGATTCATGATGAATCAATTTCCAAGGTTACCCCCGGGGCCTGACAAAGACAGCTCAGACACCTGGACAGGATAAAATTTCGTCTTCCAACCCCCGGGAATGCGCCTGAGCCGCTATTGGATGGCAGGCATCTATATATAGACGCGATCGGCAAGGGGCTTCAAGGGAGTTGATGCTAGCAGCTGGAATTCTCTTGAGCTTCATCACCAGGTTGTTCGGGCCTTTTAGTTGGAATGCAATAACACTAATCTGATTAGTGTACAATCCTGGAGGGATGTGAAACGCACGGAGCAGGGTTTTGTGGAGAAAACTGGAGATTGGCAGTTCGAAAGCTGTGATAGTTACAGATAGGATTTTTTTAATTGGGGATATTTGAAACAAGTTGACAAATTTTGACTTGGTATTTCTTGCAAGGCTGTTGTTTGATAAATATACCCCTGCTTCTAGATGGATTTAAGCTTCTAATGGACTTCCAAACTCCCACTTGCTGAGGTGGGCAGGTAAGAAAATTCTGCCCAGGATACTACCAGGTAATACTCTCATCTATAATCAACATTCAAACCAGCGCTTGAGCTCAGGGAAAAAGGTGCATGGTCTTAGGTGCGACTAAGTTTCCAGGGTTTCAAAATGTGAGATTGAAAATTCAAGACTTGGGACTAAGGAGCTATGTAGATCAGTAGATCATGAAGAGTGGATATTTCATGGAAAGAGCCTATAGATATCATTTGTAGTCCACAGACGTTGCTTACAATGCAAGATAGACTTTCTCAAGGCCCCGATTTGAAATATCTCAACTTGAATGGCATTGGATCGTGATTTTTAGGAGTCTGTTTTGTTAAATAATAGTGGGGGATGAGGTTGCCAGGGACCTCGGGAAGCATATCACCAAACCATGGATCACTCCCGGTCATAGACTTCTTCTTTCAGCAATTTCTGAGATATCACCATAGTACAGTGATGGAATAGGATATATCTCGTATATTTATATGTAGGGCTACCATGTACACCGTCAAGAGGAATACATACTGCACAAAAGAAAGGGAAAAGACCCCCAATTAAGCTTATCGATAAGTAGTTCCGCCACTAGTCCTAATCGGGACACCACGTAAACAAGACCCCAGCTCGGGCCTCACCGTCTGAGTCGCCCGAACCTATCTTCTCTTTTAATTCATTTCAACCTGCCTGCCTTCCCGTTTGTGTTGCGCTAGAAGGTCCCTTCTTCCACCTTCACCCGCGCTCTTACCCCGCCATCTTTACAATGTTTGTTTACCTAAGCCTTTGCTGTTGCAACGCCATCTGACTTCAAAACTCAAGTGACGACTACCCCCAAATCTACCGATCTTCGTAATTTCTCGACAGAACTCTACTTTGTCGCCCCGCGTGTGAGAGTGTGAGGAAATTTCCGTGTTGGAGAGTTATTCTTGGCATTTGCGACCATCATCCTGATCCGATCGCGATGGCATCCAATGCGCCTCAGCTGCCATCGCGGTTTCCGTGTTGGTGTCGAGCTGTGTACTCTTGGGGAGGACAAGCAAAAGGAGACTTGGGATTTATTGAGGGCGACTTGATCGAGTGCTTAAATGCAGGTGATGGACAATGGTGGATGGGTCGTCTACGCCGCGATAGGCGTGCAGTTGGACTATTCCCATCAAACTTTGTGGAGCTCATGAGTGAGGATTTTGTTCCTATCAGCCGTGACACAAGCCAAGTAATTCAAACCGGCTCTTCGCCGATCAACAACCCAACCTCCGCCCCCAAGAAGCACAAGACGGTTTTTCGCAAGCCCTTCCAAGCGCATAAAGAAGCCCTTTCTCCATCGTCAGAACTGTACAAGAGCAGAACCGGCACGACTTCTCAAAAAAGTCTGATTCCTGCAACACCACCAAGAGATGGAGGCGGTGTTCACAGAAGTGTCAAGCCCCTACGCACCCATGCAACTGCAGTCAAAAACCAAAGCGGATCCTCATCTCGCCCCTCGTCTGTGTCCCCCAGACCCTCGTCGCATGGCACTTCTCCCCGTGCATCGGTGGACCCAGAAACTTCTCCCTCTACAATGTTGTCCCGAAACAGCTTCTCATCGTCTCGTCCGTCATCTCGCGAGGTCTCGCCAATGCAGTTGCAAGATGTATCACCGATACATCTACATAACCGCCGGTCAATGATAGAAGATCGATCTCAATATCAAATACCAAATCGCTCACCGTTACAACATATTGAAGACCGAGAGAGATCTCCACTGCAGTTTCATCAGCGTGCTAGGTCCCCCATGCCACACGAACGAGCCAGATCTTCAATGGATTACCAAGAACGAGCTAGATCTCCTATGCCACATGAGCGCGCGAGATCTCCAATGCCATATGAGCGTGCTAGATCGCCTATGCCACATGAGCGCGCGAGATCTCCAATGCCATATGATCGTGCTAGATCTCCTATGCCACATGAGCGCGCGAGATCTCCAATGCCATATGATCGTGCTAGATCGCCTATGCCACATGAGCGCGCAAGATCTCCAATGCCATATGATCGTGCTAGATCGCCAATGCCACATGAGCGAGCGAGATCTCCAATGCCATACGATCGTGCTAGATCACCAATGCCACATGAGCGAGCGAGATCTCCAATGCCATACGATCGTGCTAGATCACCAATGCCACATGAGCGAGCGAGATCTCCAATGCCATACGATCGTGCTAGATCGCCAATGCCACATGAAAGAGCCAGGTCTCCCATTCCACAGGAATTCCAGGAGCGCGAGGAGTCTCCTCCTCCCCCACCTCCGCCGCACCGAGTGGCAATCAACACTGTATCCTCTCGGCCTCCTCGACAATCACACTCTCCTGCTCCTCTCAACATGAATGACCGTTACGTGGCACTAGCGCGAACCCCATCCCCCAGTGCAAGGTCAGCACGATCGGACATGAATGGGAATACCCCATCTCCATTGAGAGATGCTATGGAAGACGTCATGACCTCATTAGAGGACATGGGCTTACCACGCCAACCTCCTTCGTCATTCCCACAACGTGCTCACTCACCATCCTTTAACAATCCTTGGTCAGGGAATGGGTACGATGATGACAAGACACCACCTGGTAACAGACGCCGCCCAACAACATCAATGGGCTTTGATGGGCACAAGGATCATCATCGGGGGGGTAGGGGTAATGTGTACTCACATGATCACTACATGGATGGACCTCCTCAGCTCAACAATTACGTGCAAAGGATGGAGAGCCGCCTCCGGCAGTTGGAGGATCAGAACCGCCCTGATAATGATGCAGTTGGTGGTCAAGCTCCTCCACCTCCCCCAAAGCATTCTAGATACAATACGCGACACGACTCCATTCCACACCTCCAGACCCGCCGCTCTAATCAGGACTTTCGTGGAGACAGTCTCAGTCGCTCCTTCACCAACAAGTCAAGCGCCACAAGTTCGAGTGGTGTGCAGAGTATTGGCACTCAATTGACCACTAGCACGGATAAAACAAGCAAGAGTTTGATGAGTGGTATTTCTGCAGGTGGCTTTAGTGCAAAGAGTGCAGGTAGCTATGCTCGACGAAATGGCGGGCACGTTAGACCAAATACAGCCATGGACACTTTCCGTTCTCGAGGATTTGACGACGCTGATGATATGGATAGACCATTAACTCCAATGACAGGTGTTTCTTATCACTCGAGTCACAATACATCACGTCAGGGAGCTTCATCTGCTATCCCATGGTCATCCACAGATCAAGACGTTGGAGATTCTGTGGGAGTTTTTGGTGGTCTATCGACTCCTAAAACTAAAAAGCAAGGGTTTTTTAAGAAAATATTTGACTCTGCTAAAACAGGTGCAGCAAGCGCCAGGAGCAGCATCTCGGCTGGTAGAGCCGGTTCCAGCTCCCCAACTAAGGGTAATAGGACGATCGATGTGGCCTCACCACTCACCCCACGTTCGAATCGCGGAACTAGCCGGGATCTAGGACATGACAGCAAAATTGGCTGGGTTAAAGTTCGTCAAGATGTGATCCGGGCATCTTCCCCGAGTCGAAACGAGCGAATTGAGAGGGCCGAACGATGTCAGATGATGGACCATCCTGTCATATATTCAGTTGAAGAGCTATATGTTACCGCGGAGGGTGATGAGAGCATTGATGGGCTGCCGATTGGGGAACCTACAAATTTCAACTTCCCAAATTTGACTCTGGTCGACAAGAGTGCCCGTTTTATCAGCAATATTCCGCCTACGACCAATCCTATCAGTCTCGCTCAGACCCATATCTGCCGGCCTTATAAAAGCGACGTTCAACGCCTACGCGCAATCTTTACATGGGTTAGTGAGAAAATATCTTGGGAAGAGCCTGGCGATGATCTTGAGGTCGACTTGGCAAGAGTTCTTCAAGCAAAGCGGGGCAGCCCAGAGGAGATTGCCGTTTTGGTCAGTGAGATGTGTACGGCTGTTGGTTTGCATGCAGAGATTATCCACGGTTATCTCAAGAGCCCCGGAGAAGCGCTGGATCTGGATAGTTTGTCCCACCCTAATCACTGGTGGAACGCTGTTCTAGTTGATGGTGAATGGCGCTTTATGGACTGTGCACTGGCGAACCCGACCAATCCCCAGAGGACTAAATTTGTGACGAGCAATTCTTCACAGGCAGAAAGCTGGTACTTCCTGACGCGCCCACTTGACATTTGCTATACCCATGTGCCTATGTATCCTGAAGAGCAGCATATTTGTCCACCAATCTCACCCGATGTGCTACTGGCTCTGCCCCCAGTATGTCCACAATTTTTCAAGCTGAACGCCCAGTTCCCGGATTATGACACTAGTTTGATTCGAATCGATGGGCTAGAGTGCCTTCAGATCTGTCTTGTAGTTCCATCTGACGTTGAGTGCGCTGCGGAGGTAGAATCTCCAGCATTTGCGCGCGATGCGGACGGCGACTGCTTTGAAAGTGGCGACATCGTGAGAAAACGTGCCTTGGTTCAGCCAGATTGGTTCCGGGGTCAAAAGCGAGTCACTATCAAGGCTGTACTGCCCGGTGACGAGGGGCAGGGTGTACTGAAGGTGTACGCTGGCAAGAAAGGCCTGATGCATTCCAACAAAGATATTCCACATCCCTTGGCACTCGCTCTTCCGATCTTCCACACCGGTGAAAATCCACCTTACGATTTTGTGGTCCGTCATCCCACGCCGCATGCCCAACGCCATGATCTGTATATTATGCAACCGCAATGCGCTCGCCTAGCAGTCAACAATACCTACATTTTCAATGTTCGACAACATCCGGCTTCTCCTCCCACGCTACCCAAGGATGAGTACCCTAACAACGAGCGCGCCTCGCCTTTGGCCGTCATTCGTCCAGCCAGTGCATTGAGCATGATTTCTAGCACGGCTGGTGTATCCACCGTGTCGAGCGGCTCAAACGAATTTTCTATTTCAACCTCGGCGATTTCGTCAACCAAGTCTGCTGGAGGACGCGAAAAGCCTGCTAAACTGGCCATCCAGTCTCCAGCTGGCAAGATTCTGCGCCTCATAAGAAAGGCTGACCACATGATGGCCAATGACAATCAAAGTGATTCGGTAGCTGATGGTACTGCTGAGGGCAGTGTCTGGGAGACCGTGATCAAAATTGGTGAACGAGGAACTTGGCGTGGCCTGGTCCTTGCTGATCGAGTGGCACGGTGGTGTGTGTTCTGTGAGTGGGAGTGTGTTTAACTATAATCACCACATTCTGAAGTCTGCGTTTTCCTAATTATTTTGTTTATTTATTTTTGGTCTACATATCCAAGGCATTTGCATCAGGTCGGCTTGGAGTATTGCATAGTTTGCATATTTATTCTGTTTTCATTTGCAGACACATTTGCCTGGTCTTTGGCGTTCTGGAGGGCATTAATAGCTTTTTGTGAGAATAGTTTAGCTTGAATCATGTAATATTTAAGTGTATCTGTAATAAAATATTTACAGTTGCAATTGTGCAAGACTCCGTACGTAGTCAGTTAGTTTACAGTTGGGCGAATGCTGTTCGCAGCAAAGGTGCCACTTGTTTCCGGCTTGCAGTAGTATTCTTTTGAATCCAAAGTCGTCTCCAAAGATCTGAATGTCCATTTAGTGAAGAGCGGATCTTCTCGTCTTCCACATCAACAAGTTCACCATCCAAGGCCGACCAGTCCACCAAGTCAAGCTCAGGACCAGCTCTTGTGATGAATGATTCAATCCCACAAACAACGACATCATCACCGTTAGGCGCACAAATGAGCAGTTCTCGGACGAATTCGCCGGCTTTTGAGGTAAAGGAAGTCATCACGACAACGACATCCAGCTTTCTACCTTCAGCAACTGCAAATGAGCGCACTCCATCGAGTAATTGCTGGGGGCCCCCTGCCTTTTGCACGAGCCAACGAATTGGTTTCACCGAAGAACAAAACCCAAGCTTGACCCTTTGACCTGATGAACAGGTTGTCTCGGTCCAGTCCTTGAAGTCACGATCCAAGACCTCGTCCAAAGTAAGTAGGTCAAGGCTATTATTTTTTGCAGCAAGAACCTTTTCGTAAAAGGCTTCCATATCCCACTCAGGATCCGCGTTCTGGACCTGCCTATGTAAGAAATTAACTGCCTCCTCATCTTCAAAAGTCACTTTCCCCTTCGCAGTGAGATTAGAGGTGTCGATCAAAATTGCGGCCAAAGCAAGCTTGGTAACCTGCACTAATTCATCCGACGACCCTGTGATTGCGGTCCAGAGCTCACGCTTTCGCATTTCGTTTGCAATTAGAGACGTACAGGACCCCGGACCGGGCTGGATGATGACCGGTTGGCCTTGAGGGAGATCTCGACAACCAGAAATAAAATTTTCGTCGATGTGGTGATCGATACATCCCACTACTTGGAAAGATAACTTTGATAGCCCGCTCAGTGACCCACGACCTGGTTGCCCCTCCGTACGCTCTGGTAAGGCATTCCAATCTACCAGTATTGAGTCTACAGATAATTCATTGGGAGTCGATGGTTCCTTCAGGCTTTGTGCGAAGTCTGATATCGTGACAATATGCTCAGACAGCAGTTTCCCCGCAGACTTGAGCGAGTTCTCAAACTGCTCGTCGGGTTTCAGTGCAGGGAAATTGGTTACTAGCCATAATGCGGTTATAAATTCTGGCCGCAATCGGTATAGCTCAGAGCCTGCTGGCACACTCGGCAGGTTTAGGAGCGGTACATGAGGTCGAGGAGTTGCGTAGGGCAAGCGATTATTGGCGCAATATGAAAACACGATTGCGGAAATGATAGAGTCGAGATCGGCAGAAGGGTTTCCCAGTACATATATGGGGGGTTCTGTCAATGAACCCTTGAGAAATTGGAGGTGCACTTGGCGTGCTTGCCGTAGGAACTGGAGGAGAGTCATTGGAGGTGATTGGAAGAAGAATTGAAGATTGAAGATTGCGCCCTATTCTGGTGATCGAGAATTACGTTATCCTTATCGTTATCCTTGGCCTTCGCCGACGTCACGGCATTACTTATCATCATGTATGATGATTTTCTTCCCCATTTCTTGGCTTTCTACTTTTGTGTTGGTGTTCAGTGCTTGCCGCTTTTTGCTCATTGAGTAGAACTGAGCCAATACCCTAAGCCCTGAACACCAAGAGCAGATCAGTGACCGTTATGTAATCGTACGACCGGTGAAATCGTATGGTCTATCTATCCTTAATTACCACAAGAGAGGAACCTCAAGTTCGTACGACAAATAGACCTGGCATTCCAAGCTTGCTGGTCAATACCTCTCCCAAAGCCTACGATAGGCCTGAGGTTATTTATATTTAATTCTGAAGTCCATCATATAAAATAAACTCTTGTTCATTCATCATAAAGAAGAATCACACTAACGATATCAATCAAGCGAGGAAACAGATAATGCATCGATGAATGATATAAGAACGCCAGGCAAGGGAAAATGGGACGATTCTGTATGTTGTGAAGCAATGTGAGCGGGGCCGAAATGTCAACCTCAAAGAGAATGTGAGGGTATAGCAAGGATGAGGACGCAGAGAGATACGAGAAGAAAAATCGAAAGCGAGAATAACAACTGTAGCGATTGGAGAAATGAGCGAAAAGGTTGGTGTAAGGCCATGAAGTGAACGGCATCTGAGGCGTGGAAGCCGGGGTGTGGTTCTGCCACGAGAAGGTATAATAGACCAGTGCTCGAGGAGTTGGGCACTGGGGCTTAGCCACAAGGCTAGATCTACTCTCTAATGGTGATTTGGGGATAAGACGTGCTTTCTGAGTCAGACTATTCATCGGCCTGGCCACTTGACTGTTGCGAGTGGCCAGGTGACATAACGGCCGCCTGGTGCAAGAAGTGCACAAGAACTCCGAGCACTTCTTTGTATTCTCGGTCGCGGATGGCAATAAGTTTCTCACTCCACTATTGATGTCTAAGTCATAAGGTCTTTGGGAAAGATAAAAGGAGAACGTACCTCGGATTTCTCATTGATTTTGAGAAAATGCCATACAACCCCGTCGCTGGCCAATCCAAAGACCTTGATGTCTTTCTTCTTGTCTCTCTTGCGGATATTATGGACAATACCTGTAAAAATTAGACCCTCAAGCGTTAAATTAAAGATTTTAGGAGTACTTACTCATATATGCGAGGGCCTGGCCGACACCCAACCCGGCTAAGCCTGGGCGTTTCGCCTCAACCACAACGACGTTAACGGCTGTGTCGGCTTGTGATCCGTACCACAGATGGTAGTCTGGACGACCACTCAGCATATACTTTCTTTCCCGCTCGCCCTCTCGCTTCAGAGTGACCGGCCCGTATGACCATGCACCCTCTGTTCCAAATCTCAGCTTACGACCGGGAGCTGGAAGAGACGATACGAGGTCGTGGGCATTGGTCAGAAGGATATTCAGAATGAGTCGCATCCCGGACTCGTTGCTCATAGCGAACGCTTTCTGAGTACTGCTCAAGACGTGATCTTTTTTGAGTGAGATAAAGTTTAGTTGATCTTTGATCATGATGGTACTTACCAAATGAGATGCCCATAGGGAGCGGTTGGATGTCTTGTTGCAGCTCCAGGTCGTTTTTGGTCGGTTTTATCTTAAGACACTGTTGAACCTCTTCCACCGAGAGAGATCCGATGGCCAGTGTGCCGTACTCTTTTCTTCCGTGTGTCATGTACTTACACGCACGTGCAATAAGCTGATCAAAGGTGATCTTCTTCTCGTCACAGTCATTAATACTGGTGGCCAGCTCATGAAGGCTCTGTCTGAGCCTTTTGACGCTCATTTTCGATAGAGGTCAAAACCGAACTCCAAGGGCAACAGATGAAAGATGAAAGTAAGTGGTCAAGATGAAGCTCCAGGGGAACTGAATAATATATGAGAGAGGGCAAGAGAGCTTGAGAAAGAATGGAATACCCTATGGACGTGGTGTTTACGTCTACTACTTCCTTCTATAGAATTGACACTAGACCTAGAAGGTACGACACTAGACCAAAAATAGAATATATACAAATCAGTCCCAACTGAGTGCCCGATGTAAACACTTTTGCTCGCTACTCTATACAAAACCCGGCTACGACTTACAATACCTCATATAATGTAAAATCGTGTAGAAGAATACAGGAACAGGAAATCGGGTAATTGGGCCTAGTGCCCTGGGTGAAGTATAAGACTCCATCACGGCACTTGCAGGAGACGCATACTCTTCCGGGACAGAATACTATCCAGAAGAACACTTGGTGACTGCTGGGGTACCTGTTCAGGTTTTTCTTGCACATGGTGGGGAAGTCCTAGAATAATCCACCTGGGCAGCGTGTCTCTAGCTAAGATGGTTCACATTGCGATGACAAAAGGAACCTCGCGTCCTAGCAGAGTAAGATATCTTTAACCAATTCTTTGATCCGAGAAATAGCTCTGAGTCCTCCGTAATCTAGGAATAGGAGAGAGTGCACTGTAGTATATGTATTTGTGCCAGCTTATCCTTATTGAGGGACTCCTTGAGGGACTCCTTGAGGGTTGATTTTTGTATCCCAGGCTAATCTACATTTATCTGGCCCAGTTTACCGTCTTATAATACCGTGCACAATATCCTCTCCTGGTTTACACCTGGGCACTATGTATATAATAGTCAACATTTACACCTATAATATTGCTAGTCCACCCATTTTCGCTGATATTCAGAGTCTCTGTAGAGTCTTGACTCTTTTTGAGAATACTTCAAACCACCTCCCTTGAAAATGATATACTTAAGGAGCAGCCAATCACGCTCATTAAGCAGTGTGGCATCTCACGTGACGAGAAACGAGCCTAAACCCGGACTGAAATTTACTCACTGAGCTTGACTCTGAGCGCAGAATGATCACCCGTTGACGCTAGGTAACGTAATCTTGTAGCTAATCTTCTGTCTCTACCTGAACTGTAGCCACGTCTGAGCTCATTAAAGCGGCGGTGACTTAAGAAAGCCCCACTGGGGAAGAAAATCTGCTAGAACGTACCTAGTTCCATTTTTATTGCTCTTCAATCAGATTCTCAAATTTGCATTGCTGTCAATTGATCACATCTTCAAACTATCTGGTACCAATTTCCACAGGAAGAACTTCGTTTCCCCCGTTCAAGCAACGAAGATATCTGGATATATCAAAGCACCGACGGGAATTTATAATTGAGCAAAATGACGCTTCCATACCCAGAAGTCCTTGCGAAAACCCCCCGACATCCAATCTTATACTCGCATCCATCCCCAATCCATCCACTACCAGCAATAAGCCACCCAAGAATATCAATCTTCGCCAAGCGCGAAGATCAATCAGCGCCACTAGCCTGCGCCGGGAATAAATACCGCAAGCTAGAATATATAGTCCCAGACATACTGTCCAACTCACCAAAGTACCACTACCATGAAAACCATCCAACAGAAACTCGCCTCCCAGGTCCAGCCACAACCCTCGTCACAGAAGGTGCGATCCAAAGTAATCACACTGTGCAGGTAGCAGCTCTGGCAAGAAGCCTAGGTCTCAAAGCTTTGGTCCTTTTACACCGTGGTACGGGCGGTGGTCTTCGTGCCGCACGAGATAAGGAAGAATTCATGCGCTCCGGCAACGTGCAGATAAACCGTCTCCTCGGCGCTGAAGTGCGTGTTTGTCAAGAAGGCGATCCAATTGCCGCAGATGCGTCGCCTGTCCTTCAGGAACTTAGCGCGAAAGGAGAATATCCGTATTGGATCCCTGGTGGTGCGAGTTTACATGCGCTTGGTGGGCTTGGGTACGCGCGTGCCACGTTTGAGATCGTGGCACAGGAATCCGAAATACAACTTGGTGGGTCTGGTCGATTTGATTATATATTCGTTGCTTGCGGGAGTGGGAGTACTGTCGGTGGGTTAATTGCTGGATTTAAGATGATTGAGAAGTTACGTATGGCATCTGGGCCTGTTGATCGGCTTCCCTCGCGGAATATAATCGGTGTGCTTAATTCTCCGACGAAGCCACGGTCATATCATGAGGAGAGGGTATTGAGATTCGCCAAAAGCGCAGGATTGATGATTGGGCTAGAAAACGAAAGTGATATCAGCATGGATGATGTTCGCCTTGAAGATCGATTTGTGGGGACTGCGTATGGGGTTCTAGATGCGGCTTCTAAGGAGGCACTGGAAATTATTGCTCAAAAGGAAGGGCTTATACTCGATCCAGTGTATACGGCCAAAGTCGCGAGATGCATGCTGCAGTTGACCAAAGAGGATGAGATCAGTACATGGGCCTGTGAACATGACTCGGACACGGTTAATATATTATTTATTCACACGGGCGGACAAACTGCACTGGGTGCTTATGCGTGAGTTTAATATTAGTGACCATCCACTACTAATTGTAGTGAATCCGAAGGTCCCTGATGGACAGAATTGCATTCCAGATGATAGGTAATAATAATACACGGTAAGAAATGATATAGACCCAGTTTTCATAAACAGGTATGGTGACCTTGGTAAATATAAAAAGAGAAAGCGCTAGGAAAACTCCAAGGGCTCGCCGGGCCCTACTCCCATTTTTCGAGAGCTAACCTGCAGTGGAGAAGATGAAGAAATAAAACATATTTTGAAAATAAAACCGTGATAAAGATCAGGACAACGAAGAAACCGGACTGATAAACGTATGGGAATTAAGCAATATAGAAGAATCAAAGTTCCTCTTCCTCCTCGTCGTTCTCCTTCGCATTGGGTTCTTCTTGACTACCATTTTGGGCATTGACACTTAGAGTCGGGTCTTCATGAATTGAGGCAGCTCGACTGCTGCCATTACTGGCATTCAATGCTTCAAGGGCCTCATTTGCATGTGTATTTTCCATCGCATCGTTTGCATGTGTATTCTCCATAGTCTCGGGTTCAGGCTCAACAAATTCGTCATTAGTCATCTCTGCAAATACATCATCGAAGTTTTGCCGAGGACTACTGCTGGCAAATTGGGGATCGGCATCAAAGCGGTCCGGACTGAAGAAAGAAGGCTCCATTTTTTGCTGAGGTGTTGTAGATTGAGCTAAGAAAGTTGGAGACTGGGATGCAGCAGCAGCATGTGGTAAAAATGGAGTAGATGTAGGGGCAAACGCAGGCGTTGAATCGCTGGCAGGTAAGGAATAATTGGCAGAGAAGGGATATGAGGTGGGGTTCGAGTCAGTCATAGGAGTCAGCGTTGGTCCGGTAGTAGGTGGAGCGTTTGAAGTTGCATTTTCCGGTGCAGGCTGTAGTGATGTAGTTCGGCTTCCTTGAGCCTGAGCATCGATTGATTTCCGCTTTGGCGTGACGATTTTCGCGCGAAGATGCTCCGGAAGGTCCTCAGGGCGTTCAACACCAAGCTGTGCCATGATCTTTTGCTGCTTAGTCGGACGAGGCTTTCGTGTTGACAGAGACTGCTCCAAAATCGGTGGAGCCTCTGGAGCGACCGGCGCCCATTTGTGAATTTCCTGGCGAAAAAAATTGGTCTCATAAGCCAAAAGGACTTCGGCGCCTTCTATCTTTCGCAAATAGAAAATCAATGTCGGCACTTCCTCGGTGGTCGTACAGGTGGCATTCGTAAAACCTTGCAAGAAATCTCGAAAAGCAGTAGCCTGGCTGACGATGCTATCCAACACCTCTTCCTCATCCGGCTGGAAAGGCAGAGTTGCAATTTCTGCTTGCCAGTCCTGCAGATCTTCGAGCTTGGGGCGAGCTGCGTCACGAGGAATCTTCTGGCGCCAGTCACAGATGGGACAAGTGTATTTGTCAAATTCCTTGACCTTACCACGCGCGATCTTTAGGCATTTACCGTGGTACCTAGATTATGTCAGTGTGTATTCCCTAAGCATTGCAGATTTTGGGATTAACTCTACTTACCACTCATGGCATACTTCGCATTCAATCATCATGCCTGCCTCTGAACGTCGGCAGATACAAAAGACATCCCGCTTCCGCGACTTGGGACCCCATACATTGTTGGGGTTGGGATTCTCAAGCAGCCCATCTGGTGTATTATCCCGAGAAGAAGGTTCAACGGGAGGCCGGTAGCTGTCATCCAAATCAAAGCAATAGGAGTTCCGCTTTTCCACGTACTCCATATGAGACTTCAATATATGCAGGGGTGCATTCGCCTTGCCAAACAATTTCTTGCCCTTTCTCATCCAGTCTTCGTGACGCTTCTGTTCACGCTCCAGGTCGACGGCACCAATTGGTCGACTATTCAGTTGCTCCAGAGATTCTGTGAGCTCACGAACATCCTTGTACTTGGGTCGGTTGCGCAGATCAGGATCCTTGCTTTTCTCATAGAGCGTCTGGATTCGTTTCTGTGCTTCTCGCTGCTTATTCAGAATTGCGTCTACGGCAGCTAGAGTTTCGGGATTGACTGGAAAGCGAGATGCTTGTGCTGAGAGAGCTTCCAGCTGCTGGTAATGCACAGCTTCCACTGACATTAATTCCTGGGCCTTGGCCTCCCAGGCCTCACCATGTCGACCGAGTTCTTTCAGGTGAAGTAAATTCTCGTTAGTATCAGAGAGACCTAGTTTTTCTCCAGCGGCAACAAGTTCCAAGCAATTGGCAAGAGTAAGAAATTGTTCCCGCTTGCGAGCAGCATCATCAGACCATTTCATTTGTCGCAGTTTCTGCTCCAATTGTTCAACTTCAGGGATTTCGATGTTGAAATTTCGGCCGGCTTCAACAAGTTCTTCGATTTCCTGGACCGATCGTACATGGGGATTCATCCGGGCCGCATTAACGTCCTGGCGGAATTTCTCGATTTCGCGGGTTTTCTCTTCCAAGGCAGCCATCTGTGGACAGTCGAAGGAAAGTTTATCAGCCTCTGCCAGAAGGGCATAGATATTCTCCAGTCTGCGGACTTCACGGTCGCGATCGTCCAGCTGCGCCGCCTTGGTGCTGGTCTTACGCCATGCCTTCTCATTTTTTCTGCGGTTTTGTTGCTTCCGGGTAATGTAGTTGTTCGCTTCTTCAACCCATTTATCGCAGCGCTGGACGAAGGCCGCAAGATCTTGGAGGCCAGGCAGGTGGTATGGGATTTTCTCACCTTCACTGAGCAAACTGTGGAGAGCCTTCAGCTGGGGCCTTGGCTCATCCTCCAAGGTCTTGTTGAGCTTCTCACCCCAAATTCCTGGAATGTTGGCTCTTTCCTGGATCTTTCGCACTAATGACTTGAGATCTCCATCACTCACACGGTAGCGCAGGGTGTGACCCGAACCAAGTAATTTCTGTGAAAAAGATTCACCACAGCAGTCAAAGGCCTCCACATGTAGTAGACATGTGGTCCTGCCTGACTTGTGGCAACGAAACTGGGTAAGGTAAGTGTACGCTTTGCAGTACTGGCATTGGTAATCATCTTCCGGAAGATCTTCCTCCTCCACCAAAAATTTTAGCTGACATTCACCTGTTTCATCGGTGCCAAGGCGGCAGTTATGAGGAGAGATATCCCGGTGACGAGCGAGAAATGCTGCGCGGTAGTTAAGCTCTCGATTGCAGGACCGCTCCAGGGCAGGTGCTAGCCATTTTGCTGTCGTGATAGTGGTGTCTCGAGCAGCAGCCGTGAAGAGTAACTCGTCATGGGAGAAACAAGGGTGCCGGCGGAAGGTCTGCAGGCGTTCGACGCCTGCAGCTCCCCATGGCTCCCAGTCTGCCGGTGCAAAGTTCACGGCCTCGTTAAAGTTAAATCCATGGTTGAAACCAGCGTGGTAAGCCTGGGGAAATGTGAGAACAAACTGTCCAGCTCGTTGATCTAATGCATAGACGTTAACACCAGCCTTCCGCAGCTTGTCAGGTGGCATCAATGTCACAAGCTGGAATAGCAGGTCCGGCTGGCCTTCAAACAACTCGGGGACCGCCTCCCGCATAGCATTTTCAAATGCCTCGGCATCTGCGCCAGGAATTCCATACCATGTCTTGGTTGCGCCGAAATGCTGGTAGTTAGCAGAATAGGCGTAATGATCCTCATTGTGCCAGCAAAAAGTAGAAAAACACATTCCCACGTAAACCCAAGGGACAGTCATGCCAGAGATATCAGATTTGATGTGGCGGAAAAGTGAATCCCCATAGAATGGGAGAACATTCAAATTCCAAGGATCGGACGAATAAGAGTCAAGGGGATTGCGTTCGATAGTGGGGAATCCACTTCCATGCGTTGTAGAGTGAATATCTGCACCGTATTCAACTTCCACAGTTTCATGCAGGTCGACGACAAGTTTCCAAAACTCAGCCTCCACATCATCCTCGGTCTCACGTCGATGAGTGTTGAGAACTGGGTCAAATGGCATTTTAGAAGCGAAATATCGCTTCTTGAATTCGTTGGCCTTTTCTTGGAATTGCCTCAGAGAGTACACACCACCATCTTCAAATCCAAACTCACCCGTGCCTACCAGGCACTTGGGACAGTGCCAATCGAATTCGGAAGCAGCTGCAGTAGACGGGTCTAGGCAGCTAGCATGATATCCAAGTTCACAGCTATCACATACAAGAATTGATGACAGATCGTCGGGTTTGCCGCATGCCTCGCATTTCTGGCAATGATTAGTGTCGTCTGGCAGGCCTTGGCCGAGACAAAAACTTACCTCACTAGCTTGCTGTACACCGTCTTTTCGAGCCTTAGGTGGTGCAGGGCGTAGCAAAGACATATGTGACCCTGCAACAGTTGGAGGCGCATCTAAAAAAGCTCTAGGTCAGATAAAGATCAGGTATGACGGGTAATTAATGGTCCATGCTTACCTTTCTTAAGGCGCTTGCTACGCCGCCCGCTGCCCCCATCATCACCATTTTCGCCTTGTGAAGTACTCTCGTGGCTAATAGAACGCTTAAAAGATCCTTCACTATGGCCATTTGTGACAGGGGTCTCAGGGTGTTCCGACACGCTCTTAGGCGTCGCAGTTCCATTCTCTGTCTCGTTCTTGATATTTGGACCAAGGTTCAGTGGTGTGAATGCAGGCGAATGATTAACAGCAGTAAACCCAGCTACACCGCCGGCGTTGACAGTAGTAAATCCTGTTGGTGTAGGCCGTGGAGGGGGTGTAGGCTCAACAGACGAAGCGGGCTGGTCAGGAAGCTTCTCCATCGGAGTATTCAGAGTCGGTAGTGGCGCCATGCGCATTGTCGGAGTTGCCTCGCGGGTCTTGGAAGGGGTTCCAATTTCGTCTACTATGGACTTCTTGTTTAAGGGGGAGTCGCGTGGAGAAGGGGTGTATGGGCCGCCATTTTCGAGTTCAAGTTGTTGTTGCACTCCGGGCTTAGCGCGAGCAAGGTACTCTTCATAAGGCTGTAGGTAGCGTTGGTAGGAATTTTTGAGCGAAGTCGACAAAGAGGACATGATCTTGCCACTATAGCCGAGGTCACGTCCAATTTCTGCCCATTTTTTGGTCTTGCAGACTGAATCAAACCCTCCTCGTATTTCCACCGCCTTTTTTAGCTTATAGAGGTCCAGAGGGCGTTTGTCAACACTGGGTAAGCGGCTGTAATTAGTCCCGTGCTGCTTGTGAAACATGGCCAGACCATCGATATAGTTCATATTGGCGCGATTTCCTTGCTTAAGTCAGCAATTGCGACAATTTTGGGACTCAATATAGGGGGTTCATACCTCCTTCGACTGAATTTAGTTCCTGCCGACGAGTCTTGAAATGGAATCGCTGCATAACAAACATATAGTTAGCAAGTCATCCATACAAAACAAAGCAGCTGCATGGCATTTTCCATGCGAAATCCCGTTTCAGCAGGGCTTATCAAATCAGCAGTAAGATCAAAAGAAGGGTACAATACCTCTGTGTCAATCGCGAAAGTTGGTTGCCAATTATCTGGTGGAATAACTCTACAGATACCATATTTCCGTCCTTCAGGCGCAATCTTCTGAATATATGCCACGGGGTCCTTGAATTCTTCTTCTGTGGGACGAAATGTTGGAGCCTCGGGCAAGCCATGGGGACGAACGCGCTTGTTTGGTTCACGGGGGGCATTGGGTAGACCGCGGCGCTCGACAGTTGTTAAATCCAGCGGTTCTGATCTACGAGCGCTTAAGGGCACGTTGTGGGAATGTGACGGGTGAGTGCTGGCAGAACGGGTTGGCTGACCAGCCGTCGATGACTGGCTAGTCATCGAGGGAGCTTCGGTAGAGGCCGGAGCCGCCATCTCTTCAGGTCGAGAAAGTTATCGAAAAAAGATAGAGGGGAGGAATCCGGCCTATTCGTGGGTTGGACGGTACTGAAGAAAAGGTCACTGGTAATGCGACGAGCGCATTGGGGTTGACGATGAAATTGGAAAACAAGGGCGGATCAGGTGGTCCCTGTAACAGTACTGGAACGGGTGTTCTCTTCGAATGAGACGGAGAAATGTGGGGGGAAACAAGAAGTATGGAGTAAGGGAGAAAAAGAGAGAGAGTGGAGAAAGAAGTATGATAGTAGGTAATGGGGATGAAATAGCTAAAAATTAGCCAGAAGGAAAGAAGGATGGATTTGATAGTGGAGGAATGAGATTGCAAGCTTCGGGTTTGGCTGAAAGTACAGTCAAAGTCACTTTTGCGTATTTGACCAATAGAAAAAATACCTGTGGGTGACTCGTACCTTCTATTTGCGTGGTCATGGTAGCGAACGGTATGGTATGGTAAACTGGAAGTACTATCGTAAATGATTTGGAGTGTTCGAGGTCGAATCGCCCGGTATTCAAGGACTTATGCTGTAATTATACCGTCACCGATATGTTCACTGAAAACGGGGCACATCATACGGTCTTTCTATTATTGATTCAGGGAATTATCATTTCCCGGTTCATCGCTATGTTCAATATATATTTATGAGAGGTACCCGGTATCATATACTTGGTGGTTGAAGGCTCGTTGTGACACATCAATTCCAAGTTCAATAATGCCAAAGTATAACCAAAGTAAACTAATGTCCTTGGAAATTGAAGAATTGGGGTACAAGAGTGAACTAAATACTATAACTGTAAGTTATTACTTTGAGTATTTAGTATTGAGTATGAAACATTGAAACAAATTTTCGAACCAAGCCCTAGATGTTGTTTTGGTGTGGATAATCAAAGCACGACGTCTCATCAAGCTTACTCTGTACTCCGTGCTTCGGCCCCTTTGGGGCTCCAGATCGACCCGATCGACCCAAAGTTGGATCTAAGGGCCATTTCCTTTACCCTTGAATTCATGTGTCCTGGATTGAGCTTATGTTCACCTTCTACGACAAAAAGCCCAAATATGACTTGAGATTATTGTTTACTTTCTGGTAATAATATTCAACTATTTCCTTCATTCAAAGTATAGCATTAAAGACCATCATGTGATCACCCTACATTTGTAGTGGATCCAGACAAGGCTGAACTCCATCTCCCGTAAAGCACCGACTCTGCCAATGAGCGGAGGACCTTCCACTTACATGGAACTTTCAAACATTGAATAGTGGAGATTCAATGGAGGCTCCGGTTAATAAAGAGGAATCAAAGCCTATCCCTGCATATTACTGCTGTTACCTCCTCCGCTCAACTGTCCGACATGCTTCCCTCTATATCGGGTCAACGCCGAATCCAGTCAGACGGCTCGCACAACACAATGGAGATGCCAAGGGTGGTGCCAAGCGTACTGCAAAAGACAAACTAAGACCATGGGAAATGACCCTTGTCGTCGAGGGATTTATGAGTCGGATTGGAGCTCTTCAGTTTGAGTAAGCGACCTTTGATTCAAATGAGGTGCATGAACTAATTTCTATCAACAGATGGGCCTGGCAACATCCAGATAGGTCGCGACACTTTGGTCTAGAGGACGATACTGACCCTAAACCCGACTCAAAAGCGGCCAAGGCGAAGTCGCGCGGTCGCTCGAGGCGATCATTGAAAGCTCATCTGGAGGACGTGCATTCATTGCTCCGATCAACACTCTTTAACAGCTGGCCCCTCCGAGTACGTTTCTTCTCTACGGATGTTTACCGCGTGTGGAAGCTTTGGAATGAACGCGTGCATGCTTCCATTCCACTAAGTAAGATTATTCTCGACGGAGACTGTATTGAGCAAGGCGAAGATGATCTCGCCGTTGGCAGCATCCAAAATATATGCGTGGACTACTCTAAGATCGAAATTTACCTTGAAAAGTCGATGTTTCTTCTGGAGGACGCAGAGGATCTACATTGCCAAACATGCATGGGACCTATCAAACCCTCGTCTGAACACATAGTGGTCTGTCCGAAGACATCATGTCGTGGCACAAATCATCTTAGGTGCTTATCTACCAAATTCCTCGAAGCTTCGGACCAAATAGAGCTTCCCATTCCAACACGGGGGGTCTGTCCAGCGTGCAAAGAGGTCGTGTCATGGCCACTAATGATGCGGGAACTATGTCTTCGCATTAGAGATGAAAAGGAGGTCCAGGCAATTTTGCGAAAGAAAGAAAGGCGGGACCGCAAAAACATTAGCAAAAGTCCGAAGAAGGCCACGCGTTTACGAGACTCTTATATTGAGTCTGTGAGTGCAAGCCAGTCTCAACTGCCAGATTTGCCGCCTATGCTGGCCCGAGATGATCCTCTGTTGGACGATGACTGGATGGAAACGATAAATCTAGAATCGGATACGGACTATGGAGGCCGCCAAAGTTCACCTCCTCCATCAACAAGACTGGAGATCGTTATCGAAGACAGTCAATCTGAAAATTCCGACCTGGGATGAAGTGCGGTCATATGCAGAACTCGTTGAAATCAAAATCGTGAGCTATTAATTCTTAAGGGGCCCTAAAGTTCCCAAAGGGCCAGTTGCGCCGGCCATACAGCCTGAAACGACGGCCTGTATATCATGTGATACTTCGTCGACCGTTTTTCCAGCATCGATGATAGAAATATCTTCTTGCTTCTGGAACAAAGTGCTGAAGAGCTCACGAACGCGCTTCTGCATTGCCTCATTTTCATATCTTTCTGCACCGTACCCACCACGTTTTGCTGCTTCCTCGGCAGAGATGCTAAGGAACAAACATATATCTGGGAGAGGAAGACCGATCTCGGGTTGCCAGGCCCACTCGAGTGAAAGTGTGGGGTTTGCTTTGGCGGCCGAGTACACCGCACCGGAGTATGAATAGCGGTCCACGATGATAGTGGTTCCATTGGCAATATCTGCTTCAATGGTTTTTGCGACCTCCCAGCGGTTTGCAGAGAAAAGGAGGTGGATAGAATGGTCGTCCTGGTTGGTCGAACCGCGTAAATAGTTATCTATGAGCTTCCCGATGGGCGTGGTCCTGTCTGGACAGGCATCAGAACCAATGAAACTTTTACGCGTATAATAAACTCGAGGGATAGATACTGACCTGGAAATCGAATGTATCGGACAGCTTTTCCTTGTGCCTTAAGGTATTCTTGAAGCATTTCGCACTGGCTTGATTTGCCAGCGCGGTCCAACCCCTCGATAACAATTAAGGTTCCCCTCTCATTCTTTTTTTCTACATCCCCACCTCTGACAGAATCAATTGAATGCATTTTTGAAACTGTTTGTCAAGTCGGGATCAAATAAATTGCTCTCGCTACGATCAAGCAATAGACGGGAGGTTCTTATATCACGTGACAAAGACATTAAGTGTGGGGCTGCGGAGTACTTCTCCGTGAAATGAAGGATTATGCGTGAAGCTAACGGATCAACACCGCCATGGACCTCGAGACGTCTTTCAACGACATGAATTTCAACATTTTAAGTCCTGCAGCGCCTGTGCTGGCGCCTCGAGTGGGCACATTGGCTATCACCGGCCGCAAGACAATATCCACACCTCATTTTATACCATCCACATCGCGAGGCGCTGTGCCACACATTGCTCAAGATGTAGTGAGAAAAGAGACTGCCATTAATGGTCTATATGTTGGACTTGAGGACTGTGCGTGGACCACCTGAAGAAATTCACCTCTCACCTTAATTTCGAACACTGTATAATTGACATGCTCTCAGTTATTGAAAAGAAGCATCCCGCCGCGCTATATAAAATGTCCGTCGCAGTTGACGAGTCGCCATTGAGAAATTTTATATGTGCATCTGGTGATATGCCTCTGATACTAGGGCCTCGCCGGTTTCCAGCAATTACATGCCCACCGGACAATACCAATACATCGATTGCGATATTCACCTCACTTGGTTTCCAACAGCTCACAGCACACGATTATATTGAGGCGATTCAAAATCTCAAGCCCGATATTGTCGTTGGATTTGCTGACCTTACACACGGGAAGCAGCCGGGTGTCAAGAGGCGGGAGAAGATGGTAGATCGCACACATGCATATACTCGCCATGCGCTGGAGAATTTGTACAGCCAAAGCACGACGACAAAGGCCGCATATTTTGCGCCAGTTCTACCGCTAGACAATGCACAACAGACAATATACCTGGATGATTTGGAGGACGAATTCCGAGACTCTCTTTCTGGGTTGGCTCTATTTGAGTCTGATTCTCTTGATTTCATTCCAGAGTCCCTAGGCTATCTGCCCCGTCTACTATTCAGCGAGCCTTCAGAACCTCACGATCTTCTGCGCCAAATATCCCTCGGCGCAGATCTTCTCACTGTCCCGTTCGTGAATTCATCTTCTGACGCGGGATTGGCGTTCGACTTCACTTTCCCTGCACCCGTGCAGCAAGATGGAAGTCAACGGCACTCTCTGGCAATTAACCTGTGGTCCCCAGAGCACAAAATGGATGTTTCGCCTTTGCGCGTAGGCTGCGAATGCTTTGCCTGTCGAAAGCATCACCGCGCCTATCTAAACCACCTCCTTGCTGCGAAAGAGATGACTTCATGGGCACTTCTCCAATTGCACAACCATCATATGATGGATCTCTTCTTTGAAGGAGTGCGAGGAAGCATTCAGCGGGGCTCTTTTGAAGAAGATGTAATGGTGTTTAATCGTTTCTACGAGGCCTCATTGCCTGAACCGACTGGTGAAGGGCCCCGACTTCGTGGTTACCAACTCCCTGCTGCGGGTCCTAATCAGCCGAAGCGTGCGCCTCGTGTTTATGGTCGTCTTGACGATGTTCAGCAAATGTTGGCTGAATCTCGGTCTTCCGTAGCTACTCCTGATACGGATGCCGAAGGGCTCGAACACCACGGCTTCGCAGCGAAGGCATAATCTCTTCTTTTAGTTCTACCCCATCTTTCGAAAGAGCTTTTGCTTCTAGATAGAAGCCATTTTTATATTCTAATGTTACTTAGGGCATAACTAGGCATACCTAGGTATCTGCTCATGCCTTACTTATGATGACTCTTCATATCTGTGTTGATAGAAAATTGAATAGAACTACAGTACTGTACAAATCCCGAAATCTTTTGTCCATCGCTTATTGATGGTGCAAGACTTGAAAATTTTAAAAAGAAAAATTGGTTACGGGGTATATTACCTAGATAAGGAGAAACAGCTAGGAGTAAGAAGTCCCTACTGGATTTCGCCTGCCAAAGCCCGCCACATCCACTTGACTTCATCCTCTTCCTCCTTTGAGCCATGCTCGGTACCAGCACCAAACTGCTGTCCAACTACACAAACAAGCCAGGAGTCGTCCTTGGAGGAATCGAGGAATCTTTCTGTGGCAGAGCCACGGTGATAGATGCGGCGCCATTCATCCCAAATACGGAAAGCCTCCTCACCCCAGGCGCGGAAGCTCACTTCCTCGATGATGGTTGGTGTGAGAATTTCCTTGCCTCGGAATACACCCCAGGTCACGGCATTGGCGCCTCCCTCAGGGTTGAGTTCTTCAGGGTCAACATCGTCTGAGCTAACGGGGAGTGAAGACTCAAACTCTCCCTTGCCATTGGTTGCGAACCAAGTCAGTTTTTCGTGGCCGTGCTTCTCGAACAATGGCTTGAGGATGGTTGTGAAGTCCTTATTGGGACAGAAGAATTCAACGAAGGGCTTCTGGAAAACGAAGCCCTCCCTCTGAGGGCCCCAACCAAAGATGGGATCGTCGCTGCGAACGCCGTTAGCGGCTGGCTGCGAGGCCAAAGTCCACCAGCCACGGCCATCGATAAGCTTGAGCAGTTCCGGTCGAATCAATTCCGTCTCAGGATTTAGTCCAGCGCTGCCCTCTTCAGCTCCACCTTCCGACCAAGGGATCATGTATAGCTCTCCGGAAACATGTCGCCGGAAGAGAGTGTTGATATCAGAGTGATCCACTGGGTGGCCCCAGAGTTTACGGGCAACCACAGAAGTGACATGCAACGATGGACCGTATCCATCAATCTCACCAAATGCAGGCGAACGCGCATCACCCCATCGACCGTTGGGGAAATCATCCCAAGTAGCCTCGCGGCCGAGAGCACCCAGACCCTCTGAAATTTGTAGGGTTGTACCGCGACCAGGGGGCATTGCGGGTAGGCCAGCACTGCCAGCCGTAGCCTCATGCACAGAGTTATGTGATGACTCTGCAGACAGTTTATCCACAATGACGCGGTTGTGTGGTTGCGAGTTGATAGAAGAGGCTCGACGTCTCGCTAGGGAACGAGTGGGAACATTGTCCAATGAGAGGTGACCATCGATATCCCCAACAGCAGACTCATCGCCCATTTCAGTGGAAGGGGGAATCAAGTCAGCTCGCTCCAAAATGAACGAAACGGTCTTTTCCAAGTTGAGAGTGTAAAAGTGGAATCCGCGTGGACAGGGGGACTTGAGCTCTTTGATACCACCAACTACTTCACTAACAATATCCACACCTACCCTCTTGACCGCATCATCGTCATATTTTACCTCTTCCACGCGCTTGGCAATCGCATCGGGAATATGCACATGGCTCAGCTTTGTGACCCGAGTCAGGTTCTTGTAACTCTGGATAGGCATCAAACCCGGGATAATAGGAATAGTCTTGAAGACACCAGACTCATGGTTGCGAAGCATATCCTCAAACTTTTGATAGGCTTCCACATCATATGTGAGCTGTGTCATGATAAAGTCTGCCCCAGCAAGGGTCTTCTCAACCAGGTAGGGCAAGTCACGCTTGGGATCCTGTACATCCTGGAAGGAATCGGCCGGGTGACCTTCCGGGTATGCAGCGACACCAAGACAGAAGTAATCACCGTGTGTCTTGCGGATATATTGAACAAGATCCACAGCAAAATTGAAATCCTTGTTACTATCATCCTCTCCATGTATGTTGTATTCTTCGCTGCGGGGTGGATCTCCGCGCAGTGCCAGGATATTGCGAATGCCGAGTACCTTGGCCTCCTCCAGAGCCATATCAACCAAAGCCCGACTCATGTTTGTACAAGTCAGGTGTAGAACTGTGGTCAACTGTAGCTGTCGCTGACAGACCTCTGCGAGCTCTAGGGAACGGGCAGCTGTACTTCCGCCTGCACCCCAGGTTACGGTGACGAATAGAGGACGCAGAGCCTGGGCCATACGCTCTAGACGAGCAGAAAGGTTAGCAAACCCCTAAAAAATAGCCATTATGGTTAGCAATTTAATCGCTCTCGCCGACCGCGGGGTTACCCCACCATCCTGGTTTTCGGAGGGAAAAATTCCAGGGAGAAGTAATTTGAGTCCGGCGGCAATGCCGCGATCTTCTCAGTAATCTTCTCCATTGTTTATATGGTTAGGAGGTGAGATGGGGGGGAGGTGAAGAAGATTTAGAAGTGGAGCGTCATTGATTAAATTGTCACGGGAATTAAAAGTGTAGACTCTGCCGATGATCGGCTTACCCGCAACAGTACATCATCGGCTTTAACGATGACTTATTCGCATTAAAGTCCATTCTGCATTGAGATATTCAGTTCATCATGAAGTCTACGTTTTCATTGTTCCTCCGTCATTTCCGACTTCAAGCCACATCGCTCAAGGCTCCGTCACGTCGAGGCCTGTCGACTCCTCCACCTCCTTCCCCAACAAACTCCCAATCTCGCCTACGCCGATTCAATGACCGCCTGCCACTCTTTCTTCGAACATACACAACCCCGTTGCTGGGAGCACCAGTGACTCATGTCACTTCGTTCTTGATCCTGCACGAAATCACTGCCATTGTTCCACTATTTGGTCTAGTCGCTGCGTTTCATTATAACAACTGGATTCCAGACCTCGTAACTGGATCTGACGAAAACAATGCCTTTGATGAAGGAGCTGCACGGTTTGGACGCTGGCTGGCGAAGAAAGGCTGGGTCGATGAAGCAGACGTCACAACCGTTGCCGAGCATGAAGCTTCTGCACTTGGAAAAGAGCGCGCAGGTGTGCGATTAATACTCGAGTTCGCCACAGCTTATGCGATTACGAAGGCTTTAATACCTGTGCGAATAATAGCTAGTGTCTGGGCAACACCTTGGTTTGCAAGGACAATCCTTACCCCGACCACGAAAGCTATTCAAAGGGTACTAGGGAAAAGCTGAAGATAAATATAACCAAAAAAAGTCTAGAGGCATACACTTTTAAGCCACTGAAACATAGGTTTCACTCCACTAATATAAATACCAAGAAATTATTTTTTCTCAGAGTTCATGAGATGTTATATTGTTTGTTTATGAAAGGCAAATGAAGCTGTTCTTCAGCTACCGCTCTATGCTGTAGATGAGAACTGTCATTCATATGGCCAAACCACTCAGGACCAAGAAATTTAAGACTCGTAAACCCAGGCGGCCTGAGCGGACTTCCACTTCAGGACCTCGGAGGGAGAGAACCAGAGAGCGATCTCCTTCTTGGCGTTCTCGACACTGTCGGAACCGTGGCAGACGTTGCGGCCAACATCGATGGCATAGTCACCACGGATGGTACCGGGGGCAGAGGCCAAGGGGTTGGTGGCACCGAGGATGGTACGGCCGGTCTTGACGGCGTCCTTACCCTCCCAGACCATGGCGCAGATGGGGCCGCTGAGCATGTCTGTTGGTGAAATTAGTTAGCTGCTGTTGATGGCGAAAAACTCGGCAGGTCGGATGTGACGGATACTCACAGGCAACAAGACCCTTGAAGAAGGGCTTGGCGGAGAGGTCAGCGTAGTGCTGCTCAAGGTGAGCCTGGCTGGGGGAGGTCAGCTTCAGGGCAACGAGCTTGAAGCCGCGGTTCTCAAAGCGGGAGATGATGGGGCCAATGAGTCCACGCTATAGAAGATTCCTAGTCAGTTGAAATAGCTCAATTGATGATAGTACCAATAACGATCCATGTTCTCAGTACGTAGAGCATCAAATGCATACCTGGACACCATCGGGCTTGATGGCAATGAAACTGTCAAAGCTTTATTAGCTTCACCGTCAAAAGCAAGGAGGGGTCAAATAAAAAAGAAGATCATGTGAATAAAGAATTGCTATAGGCCAGGATATTTGACTTACGTCTGCTCGTCGGCCATTTTGATGAATCTTAGATTGATGAATCGGTAAGGGGTTGAGAAGCAAAAGAGAAGGAGGGGAGAAGGGAGAATAAATACTCGTTCAGCCTTGTTTGACTCTGATTGGTGGGCGCCACAGAGGGGCTTCTTCAGCTGCCTTGTTGCCTTAAGGCGGACTGCAGCCTTATATTTCAGGTGCTAAGGTGTCAAGGTGTCTTACCCCATATAGCTCTCCACTTAGGCCAGCCTGGCGGGCCTGAAGCTTCCGAGTTGTAAAAGGAAGTTATACTCTTCTTACACTATTTCCTCACAACTATCTTGGACTCTAAGTTGAGGGTCTCTGATTGCTTCTAGCCCTCAATCATGGCCAGGAGCGGGCCCAGCGCCTGCTGGACACTATTGCTCTCCCTCTTGGTCCTTATAGGATGCATTGTAGTGCCTGGATGTGAGTACCTTCTTCAATACAACTCAGGAAAGCCATGAGCTAATTTCTTATTTACAGCGACTGTGAAGCATGAGAACTTCAAAACATGTGCTCAATCAGGCTTCTGTAAACGAAACCGAGCCCTCGCCGACAATGCCTCTGCCCAGGGTGCGTCTTGGAGCTCTCCCTACGAGCTTGACCCAGCCACCATACACTTCAAGGACGGTCAATTGTCTGGTATTTTAATTAAAATCACATCCACGAACGTGAAGGTCCGCCTGCCTTTGTTGGTATCTTTCCTGGAATCGGGTGCCGCGCGCCTGGTTGTCGATGAGGAGAAGCGCATGAAGGGTGACATTGAAGTTCGACATGACAGCAAAGCAAACAAGAAGCGTTATGACGAGACTGAAAAGTGGGTCCTCGTTGGGGGCTTGGAAGTGAGCAAGTCGGCTACATTGAACGCACAAACAGAGACTGGTTTCACCAAGGTTCTGTACGGACCGGAGGACAAATATGAAGCCATCATCCGTCATGCACCATTTGAAGTTGAGTTCCAACGGGATGGTCAGACCCATGTGCAGCTAAACCATCAAGGTCTCTTTAATATGGAACACTGGCGACCCAAGGTGGAAGGCAAGGAAGAGGCTGGAGAGGACGAGAGCACCTGGTGGGAAGAAACCTTTGGTGGCAACACTGACTCCAAGCCTCGTGGTCCTGAGAGTGTTGGACTAGATATCACTTTCCCTGGTTATAACCATGTTTTCGGAATTCCCGAACACGCAGACTCTCTTTCTTTGAAAGAAACGAGGTACGAATGCCGTTGACCACTACGCCTTCTGTATTAAAGCTAACCATATTGTAGAGGTGGCGATGGAAACCACGAAGACCCTTACCGGCTATATAATGCCGATGTTTTTGAGTATGAGCTCGACAGTCCCATGACTTTGTACGGAGCAATTCCCCTGATGCAGGCTCATCGCAAGGGCTCTACCGTCGGTGTTTTCTGGCTCAATGCGGCGGAGACGTGGATTGATATTGTCAAGAAGTCTGCATCTTTCAATCCTCTTTCAATGAGTGCAAACTCCAAGATTGATACCCAGACTCATTGGTTCTCGGAGTCTGGCTTGATCGACCTCTTTATCTTCCTTGGACCCACGCCACAAGATATTAGCAAGACATATGGCGAACTGACTGGCTATACTACATTGCCGCAGCAATTTGCAATTGCCTACCACCAATGCCGCTGGAACTATGTCACTGATGAAGATGTCAAAGAAGTAGACGCCAAGTTCGACAAGTACCAGATTCCGTTCGATGTGATCTGGCTAGATCTTGAATATACCGATGACCGAAAGTACTTCACTTGGGATCCAATGACCTTCCCCGACCCTAAGGGTATGCAAGAACAGCTTGCCGAATCTGAGAGAAAGCTCGTGGTCCTCATTGATCCCCACATCAAGAACAAAAAAGATTACTTTGTTTCACAGGAGCTAAACAGCAAGGGCCTCGCTGTGCTCAACAAGGACGGCGAGGTCTACGATGGATGGTGCTGGCCTGGATCATCCAACTGGGTCGATTGCTTTAACCCTGCTGCGCACCTCTGGTGGAGCAGTCTTCACAAGTTCGACCGATTCAAGGGTTCGCTTTCTAACCTGTTCATTTGGAATGACATGAACGAGCCGTCTGTATTCAACGGCCCGGAAACAACTATGCCAAAGGACAACCTTCACTTTGATAACTGGGAGCACCGTGACGTTCACAACGTGAACGGTATGACTCTTGTCAATGCTACCTACCAGGCAATGCTGGAGCGCAAGAAGGGCGAGGTGCGCCGGCCCTTTATTTTGACTCGATCGTTTTACGCAGGATCTCAGCGTATGGCTGCCATGTGGACTGGAGATAACCAAGCCACCTGGGATCACCTTGCAATGTCTCTGCCCATGGTCCTAACTAACGGTGTTGCCGGATTTCCATTTGCTGGCGCTGATGTTGGCGGCTTCTTCCACAATCCCGATAAGGACCTCCTCACACGGTGGTACCAGGCCGGTATATGGTACCCTTTCTTCCGCGCTCATGCGCACATCGATACTCGTCGTCGTGAGCCTTACTTGATTAGTGAGCCACACCGAACCATTATCTCCCAAGCAATTCGCCTGAGGTACCAACTATTGCCAGCCTGGTATACCGCATTCCACGAGGCCTCGATCAACGGCACGCCTATTGTTCGCCCTCAGTACTATGCTTTCCCCGATGATGAGCAGGGCTTTGCTATCGATGATCAACTCTACCTTGGTGAAACTGGTCTTCTTGCGAAACCTGTTGTTACCGAAAACACTATCACCACTGACATCTATATCGCCGACGATGAGAAATACTATGACTACTTCGACTTCACCGTCTACCAGGGTGCCGGTAAGCATCACACTGTCCCCGCTCCAGAGGACAAAATACCTCTGTTGATACAGGGTGGACACATCGTTCCACGCCGAGACCGCCCTCGCCGTAGCAGCGCTCTCATGAGATGGGATCCTTACACCTTTGTTGTGACATTGGATAAGAACGGCGAGTCGGAAGGAACCCTTTACGTTGACGATGGAGAGACGTTTGACTATGAGCGGGGCGGCTACATACACCGTCGCTTCCAGTTCCGCAACTCAGTCCTCTCGTCTGAGGAGCTCGGCACCAAGGGTTCCAAGACCGCCGAGTATGTTAAAAGTATGGCTGGCGTCACTGTTGAGCGTGTAGTTATCATTGACCCACCTCAGGAGTGGAAGGATAAGAGTACTGTCACTATCATCGAGGACGGGGCCAGAGCTGGCTCTACGACCTCGCTAGAGTACTACGAGCAGACGGGTGGCAAGGCGTCTTACGCTATTGTCAAGAATCCCAATGTTGGTATTGGAAAGACATGGCGCATAGAGTTCTGAGCGTTCGTTTCATGTCTTGGTGATGAATTATGTGCAATACATGGTTAGGGGTAGTCTATCACAGAATTTGACAGCGTAAATTTCATAATTGTTGTTCTCAATTTCGCTGTATTTTCAAGTGACCTGCAACCTCCAGGACTTGAAGTAGGGGCACGTTTCGGGGTCCACTCTCTCAATATTTCCCAAGGTTATGTTGCAAGCACTTCGTGGATTTATTCTCACTTGGAAGACCACTCTCCATGGAAACTGAGAAACTGCCGAGGCTTCTAACAAGCCTCTCCAAGGTTGAGGCACGAATACCCTTGCTACTTGTAGAAGTGTTTCTTCTGCAGCTAAAGCTTGATTTCTAGTACTTGATTACGGGGCCCATCGATCAGCGGATGACATAATCCTTCCGGAGAACAGCCGTTTGCGTCGCGTTCTCCTTTATGTTTTTAAACATTCACTGGAATCTCGAAACTCGCTAGTTTCCTGTCTCTGATCGTGACGGTTATCTGTGTTACTATACGAGATCAACCAAGTCACCCGACAATCCCCATCTTCCAAAAGTACACGATCACGTTAACTCGCTGGATTGTACTCCGCATATTCCCCAATCCCTATCATGTATCTCGTTCAGCTTGCCATTGAATATGGCGCACCTCTCTTGTATGTCTGATACTGCCTTGAGCGGGCTTACAAAAATAGTTAGGACCTATGAAATTATACTAATCCCGAAAAATAGCCTCGTCTCGTCTCCTATTACCTCTTATGCCGACCAGATTCTTGCTATTCACCGAAGTAGAAGCTCGGCTGGCTTCTCCCTAGATATTCCACTCATCATGCTTGTGGCGTCAATCCTCAAGTAAGCCACCTCTATTCCAACTCCTATATAAAATATAGGAAAATATCGACAAATGGGCGGTTTTTTGACCCTGCGCTAGGGTCTTTTACTGGTTCGGGGAATACTATTCGAAGGCGTTATTCACGCAGGCCATTGTCATGATTGTAGTGCAGCTCACTCTGTTGAAGGTTGCTTTGGATAACCGGCCAGCCTCCGGCGCGAAAAATGGAATTGAGCATGCGCCCTTCAGCGGTTCGAGCTCGGGTGGCTTCTCGCGACCCTACGAGTTCTGGCAATGGAAGGCTAGCAACCCGTAAGTTTTATAACAGATCATGAAGAAAGTTGGGATAGAGGCTGACCAACCCGATTTCGCAGATACTGGATGTTCTTGGGCTATTTTGTTGTAATACTATTCGTGCTACACCTCACCCCGATCTCCGCCTCTCAAGACTACATTGCACTTTTGGGCTATGTTGGTCTCGCTGTTGAGGCCATTCTCCCTGTCCCTCAGATTTTGGCCAACCAGCGGTCTGGTTCCTGTAAGGGATTCCGGGTGTCTGTTCTTGCGTCCTGGATTCTGGGCGACGTGATGAAGATGAGCTATTTCTTTTATGGCCAGGGGGACATCCCATGGTCTTTCAAGATGTGCGGCATGTTCCAGTGTGCGTGTGATCTATACTTAGGCTTCCAGTACTGGATGTTCACTCGGGGCGCAATTGCACATAGCCCTAAAAACCATGACGGCCGATGGGAAGCTGAAAAAGACATCCGCATGAACTGAGGAGGCATTTGAGCGTCCTAAAATACATGTTGATAATTATCACAGAAGCATAGCAACGATAGACATAGACATATAATTCTGAATGACACGACATTAATGGATGCCTTTTTGGTAAGTCCCGAGTTTTCGCTGTACCGAAACTACCCCGCGACACTTTCCCCACACCTCGGCCCAACTATGGAAGCAACTGGACGTCTGACTTTTTGATCTTCAATCAATTCAAGACCTAGAAAAGTTGGTTTACTAGGACAAAAATGACTAAGCCAGTCATCCGTATCGGCTATGTGCCTGGTAAGTTTTCACTTTTCAGCATACAATCATCAGCTTTGATTATGCGACTTCGTCGATTACCTAGGACTAGACTAACAAAGGCTTCTCTTGGATATAGAGCACTATCTTACACCCCTCCATCTCGCCCTACGCAGTCCCGCAGTATCTTCGCTTCCATTCAAGATCGATCTGACTCCGTTCCCGTCCGGCACGGGCCATATGATCACTTCTCTACGCGGCAATGAGATCGATATCGGCATTGGTCTGACTGAAGGCTGGGTAGCTGGTCTGGCTGGAAAGCAGCAGGTCCAGAATGTTGACGGAGGATACAAGGTTGTCGGCCACTGGGTAGACAACCCTTTGCGCTGGGCAATTGTCACAGGTAACGAACGCAAGGAACTCACTGGAGTGCAAGATCTTGGCGGCAAGAGAGTTGGAGTTAGCCGATTGGGCAGGTAAGCATTAATTCTAACACATAGGAAAGTAGCAGAGGGCACTTTTTGCTAATTTTATATCTACAGTGGCTCGCACATCATGTCATTTGTCCTGGCTCAACAACAAGGCTGGAAGTCCGACTCATTGACTACCGTTCCTCTTGGACCTTTCGGGGCTTTGCGCGACGGAGTGACTGGCCAGGGTGGATCTTTGGACCCAGCGGCTGAATTCTTCATGTGGGAACATTTTACCACGAAGCCTTACTTCCACCCAACGACTAAGAAGCCAAGTCCCCCTCTGAAAAAAATTGGAGAGATATTCACGCCCTGGCCATCATGGATGATTGTGGCATCCACGTCCTACTTCCCCGACCCGGAAAAGGATGAGAAGCTGGAGCAGTTGTTCAAGGCTCTAGATCAAGGAATTAAGGACTTTGAAGCTGATACCGCCCAGGTCGTGAAGCTGCTAGGTACAGGCGAGCTGGGCTGCAACTACATCGAAGAAGATGCAATTGAGTGGCTCAAGGATGTGAAGTTTACAGGGACCACCCGAGGAGTCGATAGCAAGGTTATCACTGGAGTTGTGGATGTCCTCAAGGTGGCAGATGTTATTGATTCGGCCATGGACAATACTGAGGCTATTCAACGAGTCATTGGAATCTCGAGATAAACAATCTCAATACCAATATTGAATATTTAATGTTATTTTACGGGTACCTACTGTCCAGATAAAATTCATTTCTAGGAGGAACCTTGGAAGAGAAAGGCAGTCCACGCAGGTAGGAAGCGAGTAGGCGTCTGTTTATACATATCTCTGACCTTAGACAAGGGATGTAAATTTTGAGCAAAGCGGATTTGCAGAGCTATGGAAGATAGCCATGACGATAGTATCATTCTTGGGCTCACAATCTTGGAATACATAATGTCCTTAGCTTGGCCTAGAACTGTCACTCCGGGTGAATCCTGTGCTTCTCGTATGTTTTGCATTCCCAGATCAACCAAGCTCCCTGACAACGATACTGGAATGTACCCCGACCAAGTGGACACTCATGATAATCCAATTAGAAATTTAAGATGAAATATTCAACAATTTGAAATGCGCATATCGTACCCGTTTAGAATGAGCGGAAATTTGTTGGATGAGCGACTGGAGTGGACGCTGTGGGCCCAACATGGGATATCGCCGAAGGGGAGGGGATTTGTTTTTGTGAAAGGTATGCAAATTGAATTGCAAAGTAAAGCTTGCTGCGTTATTTATTGGAGGCCTTGGCCTTCGAGTAAAGAGAAGTATCCGAACTCGACTTTCGACCTGCGTCTTTGCGATCTTTAGGGTTGTTCATTGCCCAACTAATTTAATAGCCTGACCATATACGTTCATTAATACTACTAGGCCTTAATATTCAAGACCTATACTACAGCATTGTCAGCATGCCTCGAATTTATTACCTTCCTTTGTCAGTCCTTGCGGCCAGCTTGGGAGCTGTGCAGGCCAAGCTGGACCTGGCGTCTTCTTCTAACATCGCAGTCTATTGGGGTGAGTTGTGATTGCCAAATGAAGAAACCAGAGTAGATCAGCAAAGCTAACAGGGATGAAAGGTCAAAACTCTCTCCAGGGAAATGGCGGCGAGGTGCAGCAGCCTCTGGCTCACTACTGTGAAAGTGAGTATCACATAAACCTTTCATATCTGTGGATGAGACTGACGAGGTTATTGCAGATGCCAACATTGATGTACGAGTCATTCCCGGAAACAGGAGACTTATGGTCTGACATACTAACAGCCATACCTAGGTTATTCCCATGGCATTTGAAATGATGGTCAATGGACCAGGTGGTGCCCCGGAGGTTGATTTCTCGGTCACCAGCAATGATTGTACCATTTTCGATGGAACGCAGCTGAAGAACTGTCCTAAAATCGGGTAAGTATAACTGGGAACACTGGGACTTGCCAGACTAACATCCTGATAGTGAGGACATCACGACGTGCCAGCAGAAGGGGAAGACTATCATCCTGTCCATCGGCGGAGCAACTTACAGTGAAGGTGGCTTCAAGTCCGAGGCCGATGCGAAAGCTGGCGCAAAGCTCATCTGGGAGACATTTGGCCCAGAGCAGGAGGGCTCGAAGGCTTTGCGGCCCTTTGGAAATGCTACCCTTGATGGCTTTGACTTTGACTTCGAAGCCTCCGTCACGTACATGGCTCCTTTCGCCAACGAGCTCCGCACTTTGATGGACACGGATACCAGCAAACAGTACTTCTTGACAGCTGCGCCGCAGTGCCCATACCCCGATGCGGCTGACAAGGATATCCTCAATGGTGGGGCTCCAATCGACGCCGTCTGGGTGCAGTTCTATAACAACTACTGTGGCCTGAACAACTTCAATACCGATCCCTCGAGCTCCAAGTACAATTTCGAAGAATGGGACAACTGGGCCAAGACAGTGTCCAAGAACCCAAACGTCAAGGTACTGATCGGTGCGCCGGCCGATACGACCGCTGCCAGCACCGGATACGTTCCGGCATCGAAACTGGACGAGGTCATTCAATATACTAAGAAATACGAAAGCTTCGGCGGCGTCATGTTGTGGGATACCACTCAGGCGTACGCCAACTCAGGATTCCTTGAAAGTCTGCGCAAGTCATTAGGTGACGGTGATTCCGGTTCGTCGTCGTCCAACGCGGCGTCGACCGCGGTTTCTTCTACGAAAACTAACTCACCGAATACCTCGCTCTCTTCCAATGCACCCGGCTCGCCGTCCTCCTCTTCCTCCTCCTCTGGGTCTGGCTCCTCGTCCAGTGGTCATGAGGACCCCGAAACCAAGCCCGCCACTGCGGCCCCCACTGCACCAACGACCAAGCCGATTTCTACCACCACTTCCAAGGCTCAGCCCGCGACTGCTGCTGCGCCTACTGCTCCTGTCGCGCCTGATGCTCCTACTGCCCCCACTGCTCCTGCTGCACCCACTGCTCCTGCTGCACCCACTGCTCCTGCTGCACCCACTGCTCCTGCAGCCCCAGCACCACCTCCTGCGCCGCCTGTTGATGACGATGTTACCGACCTCGGCGACGATTCGACTGATAATGCCACGCCCACCGACTCTGCACCAGCTCCCCAAAACACTAATACCTCGAAAGCCGGAGTTCTCGGCACTGATCTCTTTGCTTTGCTTCATGGCCTCCAAAAAGCCGACGGTATTGTCGAGGACGTTGCTGATGGCGTTACTCATGGCCTTACCAACAATCTCCGTCGTGCCAATCGTATTAGACGTTAAATTTTTTTTTCAGTACTGAAATATGGTCATCTGGAAATGAATCATATTCAAGATATTGAGGTGACCTTATGAACGAATCCACCTGTGATAATTTTAATCAACCTCCACACTCACTTTTTGTTTGAACTATGTCTCATCCCTTTTCTCTCTTTTACTCCACCTTTCTGGGCTTTCATATGTTCTCAACTTTCCTTGATACCCATAATAATAATCAATCATTCTGGTCATGACTGAGCCAAAATATCTTGTCCTCTTGTCATTCTTCAGTGCCATCCAAGCGGGGCCATATCGGTCACGTGAAGGCAACACGAAAATGTAACCATATATCTACGTAAGAATTGGTAGGGTTAGGTCAAATCGAACATAGATCGATGCAAATCTCAAGATCGTAAAGTAATGAATCAATTTGGACAATTGGTGTAACATTGTCGAAAACGAAAAAGTTTGTTGTTGGTTGACCTTTCATTTAGTTACAATTTGTTCCCAATCAGGAAGCATATCTATTTCGACTTTCCACTGGGAATGTTGAAGAACACCGCAGGAACACCAGGGGCGGCGGCACGGTCCACGCGGTAGTATCCCTTGCGGTCAAACTGGATAATATCGCTGACTTTAAGGTCGGCAACGTTACAGTCGGCAAAAGCACTCACACGGAACTCGGTGTCGTAGTTTAGGAAGTCCTCCAAAACGTCATCCTCGGAAAGCGAATCCTTCTTCAATAGGTAGTCAAAGTCAACAAGCTCGACAGGGACCAACTCCTGGCCCTCAGTAGACAGCCAAGTGACCTTTTTCTCGGTCTTCTTAACGTCGCCAGCCATGTGCAGCTCCAGCTCGAGGCCAGTGATAGTACCAGTGGCAGCATCGGTGGAGATCTTGCGGACAATGGCGTTACCCCAATTCATGAGTGTAATCTCCTCGTCCTGCTTGAAGAGCTTCACGTCCTCCTGCTCCAGAATAATGGAAGAGCTAAAGGCAACAGTCTTCTCACCCACGGCGGGGTTCTTGGCATGCTTAGCACGCTGCTCGGTGTATGGGGTAGTTGGGCCACCGGTGACAGTTGCCTTGACAGTATCCTGTTCCGTAATAGCAGTGTGACGCGGAGCAACGGGGTCAATGTACTTCTTGTTGGTAGCCCAGATAAGAGTCCAGTCAAACAAGGTAACGTTCTTGGAAGGACCTTGCTTGAGGATGAACTCGCGGAGTGCAGGGATGGTCATACCGCGACGGCGAATACCACGGATAGTAGGGAAACGAGGGTCATCCCAGCCCCAGACAACACCACTCTCCACGAGCTTGGTGAGCTTGCGCTTAGAAAGAAGAGTGCGGACAAAGTTCATACGGGCAAAGTCCCAGACCTGCACAGTGCGCAGCTTAAGTGTATCCAACATCCACTGGTACTGTGGGTTACGGTCCCGGTATTCAATAGTACGCAGAGCGTGGGTAACACCCTCCATCGAGTCAACAATAGGGCAGGCAAAGTCATAGGTGGGGTAAATCTTCCACTTTGAGCCAGTACGGTGGTGGGGTGTAGGGTTGCAGCGGTAGATGACAGGGTCGCGCATACACTTGTTCTTATCGTCGAAAGAAATCTTGGCGCGGATGCACCATCTGAGACCTTCGGGGGTTCCCTTCTTCATCACCTCGAAGCGGGCCAGGGATTCATCGATGGTGAGTTCGCGGCGCACGCTGGGAATGCCATCCATTCGCTGAGCTGACATAGTCTCCTTGTCAGTATCATCGGCGTACGCATATCCGTTCTTAATCATCGTAATGCCGAAGTCGTAGAGCTCGTCGAAATAGTCGCTAGTATATGACACTTTGTTGGGCTTGATACCCATGAGAGCAAGATCCTCCACAATGCCATCCTCGAACTCTTGCTTTTCATTCGAAGGGTTGGTATCATCAAATCGGAGAAGAAGAGTACCGTTGTACTTCTCGTGAGCAAAATAGTCGTTGAGAAGAGCAGCCTTGGCGTGGCCGATGTGGAGATAACCTCTGTAAAACATTTAGATTCAGATCTAGGTTTCATGCGAGATGAAAATACTCACGAAGGCTCAGGTGGGAAACGGGTCACGACACCGTTGTCGGTGTTGCGCAGAGCAATGTCGTAGTTGGCACCCTCCTTGGCTTTGGCCAGTTTCTTCTCCTTGGCGGCGGCGCTCAAGGATTCGGTGGTAGTAGCGGCCCAAGGGCACAACTCGTTCAAGAAAGTGTACCAGCGGGTCAAATTCACGAGTGTACCTTTCTTCAGGGCCGCAATAGCAATACGGTTTCCGCGAATAGCACCCCAGAGGGCAATGTCTGGGGTAGAGAGGGAGTATCCGGCGACGAAAGAGCGGAGAAGGAGGTGAGTGTCTAGGCGCTGGAGGACAGGCTCGATGACCTTGAAGTCCAAAGGAACCAGGCTTTCCAACTGAGACAGCCAATCATTCTCCTAAACAATTTCATTAGTATGACTCCATTATCACATTAAATTGTGGTGGTAGCTTACAAGCTTGGTATCCTTGCCAGAAAGGAAGGGGAAGCTAGCGGAAAGCTCCTGGATAGCATTTTGAGTGCCAAACACTGACTTGGAACCAGCTGTTAGCTGGAGAATGGTCTTGTCTCCATCACTCAGAAGAGTAGTGTCCTCATAAACGATGTTGATGACAGGGCTAGGGCTAGCCTGATTGACGGAGGTCGCAATAAGCACCACAGGCAACAGTGCCGAGTGGTTGGCACGAGTGGCCACAGTCAAAGTGAATTGAGTCATTTTGCTGAGTTGTGTGTGTACTGGAAGAAGGTGGGGAGGGGCAGTTTTATTATCAAGATCGCCGCCCGGCTGTATATTTCTCCGAGACCGATAGCTTGCCGGCTGCAATTGTTTTCTGCTACTGCATCTAGTCCGCCTAACGCCCTCCAGTCATGTCGTCCTATGGTACATTGATGCCTACCGCAGCACGCGGCTTTATCTCATCATGTCGTCCAACTATCCGGGAGTACCCAATTGTTCCCGTTTTTTCGGTAATTCAGCAGGTCCGAGGTCTCAAGAACAAGGGCAAGGGCAAGAGTCAACCAAAACCGGATCGGAGAGGGCCTAAGGAATTCCAACAGAAGAACTTGAAGGACATGGAGCAATTTGCTCTCTGTGATGCAATGCGGTATGTTTGTTATGCATGCATATTGTCCTTAGAACCTTTGCCCCGTTCAATTTTTGACATTGTTCTTGCAGGTATCTCCGAGCATTCGAGGTTGGCCGTGAACTCACCGCGGTGAAATATGAATTGCACGTTCGAATGCGAACAAGAAAAGACGGCCCTGTTATTCGGAACATGATTCGATTCCCGCACGCCGTTCAAACAGAATCTCGTATCTGTGTCATCTGTCCCCCCGGGTCGAAGCAGGCAAAGGAAGCAATTGAGGCAGGAGCAGTTCTCGTTGGTGAAGACGAGGTATTTGAAGCTGTCAAGGCTGGCCAAATCGACTTCGACCGATGTCTTGCTCATCCGGATAGTTTGCCGGCATTGAACAAAGCTGCATTAGGTCGTATCCTCGGTCCCCGTGGTCTGATGCCAAGTGCTAAGACTGGTACTGTCGTGGAAGATGTTGCTGCGCGTGTGGAAATGCTTCGCGGAGGTACCGTTTACCGAGAGCGTGATGCTGTCATCCGCCTCCCGATCGGACAGTTGGGATTCTCTCCGGAGCAGTTGCGTGACAACTTGCGCACAACCATTGAGCAGATCAAGAAAGATGCTTCAGGTCTCAATGACCGCATCAATAAAGAGGTCTATGAAGTTGTGAGTAGAATATGTCCACTCCTTGTTTTTGACAACCCCATCTAACGTTACTAGGTCTTGAGCTCGAGTCACGGCCCTGGCTTCAGCTTGAACGGAGAGTTCAAGACCGATGACTCCCCTGAGACTGCTTTCTTGACCGGTTTGTAAAATATCTACTGTTTTAAATTTCCCTTGGCGTGTACAGCTATATGTTTTATTAGGAAAGTATTTGGTGTATTGTTTGTATCATAGTATCCTTTGTAATGAACAGAGACTCCCGGGGTCCCCCAACCCTGAACGCCAACGCTATGCAACTCCAGCCAGCATCCCACCCCCTTATGGTGTAAAAGAGGCATGATTTTAGATCTTCAGATTCTTCAGCGCAGCCACTGCACTGACATCTTCACCCATTACTTCATAGAGATGCAAAACTCCCATTGTTCGTGCATCGCGCTGATTACCAGCATGGCTGGCTTGTTCCAACGCAGACTTTAAATCCATGAGCACTGTGGACTTGATCTTCGCCACGCGCGGCCGCTGGGCAAGTATGAAAGGATGGTGCTCGCCAACTCGCGCAGCGATTGAATTGAGGAATACATGTTTCTGGACATGTCGCTCGAGTCGTTTCAGTGACACAGGTGTTGCGCCATCGTCCAATCTCACATCTTCACATTCATCGCTATCACTAGCATATAGATCTGATTCTTCGTCTGATTCCTCAGCGGGACTATCGTTCGGAGATGACTTGTCCTCGATCATTAATTGGTGCTCCAGCTCTTCAATTCGGTCCGCATAATCGAGCAATTCTTTCCCGATATCTGCGTGGCTTCGTAGTCGCCTTTTTTCGTTTAATAACTCCTCTACCTCCTGTCGCCGAGCATCGACTTTGTCGCGAATCGCCTGCACATCTCGTTGGAAGGCGAGAAGGCCCACTTTCACTCCCTCGACTTTCTCTTCGCCCCCTCGAAGGGCGGTTCCCAGGGAGAGGAAATCTTGATAGTTCTCATTGACCAGATCTAGCAACTCCTTGTTCAACAATTGCTCCAAGCCACGCAACTCTTGTCGCAGGTCTTCGAGACTCTGATGGCGGTTCGTCAGGGAGGAAAGAAAAGTAGCAGCATCGAAGTCATTTGATAGGAAGGAGACACGGCTTAAGGGTTTTGGAAATGGAAGGACGCTCGACGAGTCCTCGTCGAGATCTGAGGAAGATCCATCGGATTCGCCAAACTAACGAAATTAAATGAGATTCAGGCAATTTATCAGAGGGTGAAGATTCCATACATCAAATCGATTCATGGTGTGTCGGATTGGCTAGCGGAAGTAGAAGTAGGGAGCTCAACCAAACGTGTCAGTGGATGTCTTGGCAAGTGTTGTCAATCTTGACAACGCAGAATCTCTCTCACTACAAGAATGTCCTTCCTCGGCCTCTCTCAATATAAGATCAGATTTTGCCAGAGGAAGAGAAGAATATGCACTGCATGCAACTTGAATACTGTTCTACTCATAAGTACCTCGCAGATCCGTACGTATACCCCCACTATACTGTGATAAGCGGGGTTTCACCTGGTCTGCGCGCGCGGTCCTGCATTGACTCAAAGAGCTTTTGTATCTATTTTTGCGCGCGATAGTCATGGATACAAACGCTCACGGCTCAAGACGAGACAGTCGCCAGCCATTATCATCTCTTACTAGACAAGGATGGCCCCGATTGCCTCCGTCATACGCACCTTCGGTAGGCGATTCAGGCCGCTCGCACGGCACAAGCAGGCGCCGCCACGAGTCCACAGCTGGCAGATTGGATACGGTACATCGCTTGGTGTCTCTATACCAAATAAGTGGAAACCCGCCACCCGAGTCACCTGAAGACCAGCCCACCGACCTTGGCTCTGGCTCTGGCTCTGGCTCTGGTCCTGTGCTCACGCAGCCGGTTCTCGTCACAGCGTATACTAGACCTGCGCAGGTCGCAAATCGTAAATTATCCGCCATGTCACCGCGGCGCTTGTTCTTCTTGAACGGGTCAAAGACCTCGGCTCCTAATCCACCAGATCTACCACTTCCAACGGATAAGGATTTTAGCATCGAGAGTATATTGCAGGCCATCGAGCCTGATATACGCGAAACACTCGACACCATTGCCGAGATCTGTGGAAGAAGCAAGCTGAGTCTTGCCAATGAATATGGCAGTCATATTGCACCTCTCGGGGAAATTCGAGCTCCTGCAGGCGGCCTAGTTCCCGTTGAAGAAGTTAGCCCGAGTGATGAACGGCAAGCCGATGAGGGTGTTCTCCTCTTTGACAATAACCCCGATCTCACGGATGCTGATCAAAATCTTCATCCATTCTCCTTCTACCGGTATCTTGAGAACCTCCGACAGGCTGCCTCTGCGCTTGAACGACGTAACGAACCTGGCTCGACGTTGCCAGAAACGCAAAGCAATGCACCTGCGGCGTTAATAAATCAGTTAGTCCCTGAACTAGAAACAACTCCATCATCTGCAACTGTCACTCGTGAGTGCATATCGAAATCGAAAAACTCTAGCCGAAGTCTGCTGGCGAAACGTGTTGCTGCAAATCCCTCTCAAAAAGTTGTTACCCCAGCTGTTGTTTCGGAGATGCACTTGGAGGCTCAAGATGATGACGTCCGCCTGGAGACCGAATCTTGGTCCTTTCCTACAAACCCTACTCTCTCCCCTGATTTTCCCGCCAATGCTCGTCGGAATATATTGGAAGCTGTTCGCTTTTTACTTAGTTGGTTAAGATGTGCTCGAGCGGATGGGCCAGGTTCTATCCAATCAGCTGAAAGCCGGTTAAGAGCGATGCTGGACCGACCAACTGCTAGCAGCACTGCTTCTCCAGCTACGTAAGCCTCTCCTTCCACTGTCCTTCACATGTTGGCAGCTCAAGCCTCTCAGCTCTACTGAGTTATGATTATGATCATGATAATGATATTGAAATGTGTAATGATCTCTGAATTTATTTCTATTAATCTAAATTTTCGTCAAATCATTTGTGTCCTTACAGGTTCATCTTCGTCATATGTATAGAGACAAGCAACGCCATAGACCAATGCAGTTTATAAACAGTTCAGAGAACTAATTATTGAGCTGACCCATCTGCCTCAAGCTGCCCAATGATGATTTTCGCAAATTCCTCAAAACGAGGATATGACCAGCCCTCGCTATACTTTTCAACGAGTGGTCTCTCATCCGGATCTTCAGGCTCCTCTGCCTGTTTCTTTTCTTCTGTTTCTTCCGCGTCCGAATCACTATCCACCTCGATCTTTCCCTCGACGAGCTCACCGAACTTCACATCTACAGGCACTTTGCCTAAGAATGGAATATTTAATTGCTGGGCCATAACCTCTCCTCCACCACTGGAGAAAAGATTACTCACTTCCCCGCAGCATGGACACGCGTAACCGGACATATTCTCAATAACTCCAAGAATGGGGATACTCGTCTTGACGCAGAAGTTGGCTTCCTTGCGCACATCAGCCGTAGCAACCGCTTGAGGCGTAGTAACCAAAACCGCACCACTGAGTCTAGGAATATTATCTCTCAAAGCGGCCTTAGCATCTGACGTGGAGAGGGTGAGTAGCTGTTCTGCTAGCGCGATGTGTTCGTCACTCGTGCCAGGAGGCGTGTCGATGAGCAGGTAGTCTGTTGAGCCCCAGGAGACATCTGACAAAAATTGGCGGATCATGGCAGTCTTTTTAGGGCCGCGCCAAATCACTGCGTCGCCACGGTCACGGAGAAGAAAGCCCAGGGACATGCAGCGGAGGGAGCCGCGGGTGTGTGGTGCTGTTGATAAGGTTGCAGTGTCTGTTGGTGAAGATATGGCATCGTGCACTGGCACAGGTAGCCAGCCGGATGGCGATTGGGTGATTTTTGCATCTTCGAGGCCGACGAGACGAGGGATTGAAGGGCCCGTTAGGTCGATGTCGAGAATGCCGACGGATTTTCCTTGGAGAGAGAGCGCAATTGCTAGCTGGAGGGTGACGGAAGATTTCCCTACGCCTCCTTTGCCGGAGAGGACCTGCGACGTAAGTTGGTTAGCAAATACCAGAGAACATTCATGCTTTTGTTATCGATATAGTGATTGGAGGGGTAAGCCGTTTTTTCTCTTTCGATTTGCTGTTGGGTACTTTTGCTACCGCTCTGACATGATCGGGGATTGGTAAAACCTACCAGCACAATGTTCTTCACTCCGTCGAGAGGCATTCTTATACGGTTGAACGGTAGAAAATGATAGAGAAGACAAGAGAAGTAGGTCTGACGCAAAGTGGGGAGCCAATGTTCGGGATGCTTATCAATCTTGCCTCCACACTTTCGGATTTTCACGCTATACGGAGTAGAAATACCTCGACTAATATAAAGTTGTTATGATATTTTTATTTCTAAACTCAAGCCCTTCAGCCTTGGAAATGCCTCTTAATGATATTTCCAATAAATGAAAGTCGATAGCCAGCTGCAGTTAATCCGTCATAAAGCGTGCATATAAGCCGTGATCTCCGCAGGTTTCGCCTTCAAGACAAGTCCTGTGAGAAATGAAAGGGTTGAATAGTAAGTTTAAACTCTAGGACCATTTCTGAACGACCACGCCACCGCGCTTGAATTCTGCAAGATCGCCTAACACGGCCGACTTGTTATTCAACTCCTTGCTGGGGAACGTAGTCATCAAAACCCATGCGCGGTCTCGGCTGTCTGTGGTAGCCGAGGTCACAAATCCGTATACATCACCAATGGTGGCCGTAGTGTTGAAGCGGGAGACCATGCGGGTGCCATCACCCAAACGAATTTGAATAGTAACAATAGGCTGCGACTCATCCACTTCAGGCTTGGGTGGTTCAGTGGAAGATGGGGCGGCGGCAGAGGTAGCTGTAGAAACCTGACCTTGGACACCAGGGGTCGGGCTGCCGAGACGCTGACCAGATCCAGAAAACGGCTTGTACTGGGGCTTGGGCTTCGAATATTTTTCTTCATGCTGTTTCAGTTCAACATCAACCTCCTGTCCGGCTTGAACGTTCATAATCCCGAGGGGAGCACGGCCCTGGCGAATACCTTCTAGGATGTCGGCATTACGTGGGTCGGCACTCGCGTAAAGCTCGCCATCATCGACTGAAAACCCATCAGCCCAGAAGTGGAGAGTCCGCTGGACACGCTGCGGACTGGGAGGCACTGGGCTGGTGGAGTCTTGGATAACCCGACTAGGGGCATCGTCGCCTCCAAGTGTACGAGCAGTACCAGTAAAGTGCGAGGGTCGTGACCGAGAGTCCTCTTGAGTTGGAGGCTGGGCTCTATACAGGTGTTAATTCAAAATCAATACACTATAACAATCGATGGGGGTCTTACCTCCGGGCCTTTTCGAGGATCTTCCTTTTCAACTCATCTGGATTCTGCACAGCTAGGCCGGACTTCTCTCCTCCTGCAAAAAAATCCTGATCATCTGAACCATCGTCATCCGATGAATCGGCACCACTGTGTGATTGGAAGTCTCCCATTGTCGCAAACTTCTTGGTAGGCCCTGTGCGTTTATGTGCCGACGAAGACCCAGCCGTGGCAGAAGAGGACGGTTGATGAGCTGCTGCTTCAGCTTTTGTTGTATCTGAAGGGTTGTCTGTATCTAGTCGGTGGCCAGTGGCAGAGGCATCCTGCATGGCTTCGTCCTGCTCTGTGAAAAATTCGGTTACAGCTGCTTCGATATCCCACTCGCTGGCAGCAAGATACCTCTGGGCCTGGAACAGAATAGTTGAGCTTAGTGACCCATACATACGGGGTAGCAAATGCAAATAACTTACCTCAGATGCTTGAACACCCGTCATAGCACAGAACTGGGACACGACCTCATCGTGCTGTGCGGAATTATCCATGCTTGCGTTTGATAGAATACCGCTATTGTGGGTAAGTTGAAACCGAGGGGAAGGGGAGTTATAGGTTATTTGATATCTGTTGACAACAAGGTAGATTCAATCACAAACCTAAACATTGACGGGTTGACTAGTTAGCTAGGTACGTCACTGCAATTGGTCAGCCGGAGTAGAAGATCTTCCGTTCCACTTATGCCTGAGGCGGAAGATAATACGACCATTATCAAGTCTAGGGTATTAAATGTCAAATTTGTATTCCAGGTCAATTGAAATGATAGAAAGTCCGAAATGAGCATTCAGATATCTAGAAATTAAACATTGTAAGAAAGCTCTAAGGCTAAACCCCTAAAACCTTCTCCGTACTTACATCGAACTATAGAGGGAAGACTTCGCGCAAATTCACAATTCTGACGGTTACCATTATACCTGGATACCACCTCATAATACTGAGAGTAAACGACGTAATTTACTAAATCGTGGTCTAATCTCTCCCTCAATCAGAGAACTTCGATTGAATGACTTATAGATGAATAGCTCTTTAAAACATTCAGTGGATTCCACTGACCGATGACATAAGCCACCTGCCAGGTGCCGCGACAAGGGAAGAGCACCTCGAACTACCTTACTCCGTACATACATACACCATTAATCTGTTCCGTTCAATCTCGGTTCCTGAATCTCTTCTAAAGGCTACAAAGTCTGACCATTTGGTATTCAATCACATATCAGCCATGGCTTCCGATGCCACCAACCCAGGAATCGAGCTTTACGACTCAACCATTACTGTCCCTTCAGACTCAGAAAATTACTCGGCCAACCAAGAGATGTCCTCATCAGCTCCCTCTACATCCGGTTCACCTTTGATTCTCTACAAGACCCCTTCAATCTGGGGTGTCCTCCGTGGCGCAGCGATTAATTTGATACTCCCATTTGTTAACGGTTTAATGTTGGGATTCGGTGAGCTGTTTGCTCACGAGGCGGCTTTCCGTCTAGGATGGTCAAACACCAAGGTATGCTTCATAGTATATGGATGTACTATAACTAGCTCCGTACTAATTAACACCTACTCCGCTTCAGATCTTCCCTACACATCGTCGGGCTCATGCGGCGGGACCTGGAGTGGAGATGCGAGAGCTCCCCTCAGAACGGAGGCGCGTATCTGCTGCGGGCTTGAATCACACTACATCACTCGAATAAATCAATGATGGTGGTCTTTTATTTAAGTTGCCTGTTCAAGACCTGCATCTATACGGGAAAATTCCAAACCGGTGTATGTTGTTTGGACTGATATCTGCCCTGTCTCGAGGGAATCGCATGTACATAGACAGCCCGGCGGCGTTCTGGAGGGCTGGACCTTTTAATTTTAAATTTTCGTGTTACTACTAGTCACAAAGTCCACCTAACAGCCTTTACATAACTTAAGTCCATTATTTAACTATGAACTATCTGACTATGAGCTGTCTGAAGAATCCCTGTTTACCAACACTCTCCGCCCGGCAGAAACGGCAGAAAAAAAGCGTTCTTGTCAACGTAGGAAGACCACGGAATTTGCTTTAATCACGCCGGCTATTCAACTCAACCACAATGATTGGTGCTCCTGGTCTGAAAGGGCCCAGTGCCGCAACTCTTCTTGCCAGGCAAAGATTGACTGCCATTCCTCGGTCCTCTCGATCGGTTGGGTCCCCCTAACTCTTAGTGTCCTTCGGAAATTAACAGATTCATTCAGATATCTACCTTTCGATCACGAAGCCTTCGCGCTCCTACACAACGCGGGCAACTAGGCTCGAGTATTTCTGGCAATCCTTTTCGATGGGCCGCGCCCTCGGCTATTGGCCCGGCTGCAATCCGTTTCAACTCTACTTCTTCCAGCGAGAAACCATCCCTCCCCGATATGCCAGGCCAACTTCCAGAATTCGATGATCCCGCGCTCTTCGATCCCGCCTCAATTCCTGAAGGAATTGGATACCTGCATCAACTCGGTTTATCATATGGCATTGGTCCATCGTCTGTGATGCAGTGGGTGATAGAACATATACACTTATGGACTGGAATGCCGTGGTACGCTAGTATATTTGCCACAGGTATTCTGCTGCGTCTTGCACTTTTGAAGCCGATGATCAATAGTTCCGATAACGCTGCTAGAATGAACAACGCCAAGCCTTTCACAGACCCAGTGCGAGCAGAGTGGTTAGCTGCCAAGACTAAAGGAGATCTGCTAGCAACGCAACAGAAGCAGTTGGAGCTAAAAGATATAAGCGCAAAGCATGGCATTAAAATGTACAAATCCCTCGTTCCTATGCTTCAGATTCCTTTTGCATTTGGCATGTTCCGAGTCGTTAATGGCATGGCATCTCTGCCAGTCCCGGGCTTGGCTCAGGAGTCTTTATGGTGGCTAAAGGATTTGACAGTGGCTGATCCACTGTATGTGCTTCCTTTGCTTACTTCTGCCTGCCTCTATCAAACACTGAAGGTTTGTATACCTCTTGTCCATCCTCTTTAATATTACATTCCCCGCTAATGACCATAACAGAGAGGTGGCGAGACAGGCTCTGCGGCTGTAAATGGTCCTGTTATGAAAATCATGCAGATTGCTATGCCAACTATTTCAGGCCTCTTCATGATGAATTTCTCGAGTGCACTTCAACTATACTTTGTGGGAACTGGCGCGTTCGCTCTTGGCCAAACCTACCTGGTTAATGACAAACGATTCCGCAAGTGGATGAATCTTACCCAGACTGTCATACACGCCAATCCTTCAACCCCTGAATCTTTGAAAATGTCCAAGCAATTCTTGCAGGAACAAGCTAAAGAGCTCGAGAATGAACAATTGAGCTTCGTCGACCGCAAGCTTCGCGATGGCAAATCTGTCTTCCAAAGTGCTGCAACTCAGGCCCAGGAAAAGGTCCAGGAAATGGTAGGTGGAGGTCCGACTAAGAATGCTGATGGCTCAACTGTACCCCCACCTCGTCTCACTCCATCGCAAAAGAGGGAGGCGGATGAGTATGAAAAAAACAGACTCTTCAATTACCAGCGGGAGATTGATCAGCGCAATGAAGCACTCCGGAAGGAGCATATGAGAGCCCTCGCTCAGCAGAAGGGAAAGGCCAAACAAGATATTCAGAGGCACAAAAACAAGGCTAGTCGCAAGTGATTTCCTAAGCCCTGAAGAACGGCTAAGATGTATAAACTGTACAATATGGCGCTTTTCCATTTCTTTTTGTTGTATCATGTATTTCAAAACACAGAATTATTACTATTCAACTCTTAATGATAAGTACTACCTAAGTACTAAACCAATGTAAACATTCGATCTAAAGAGGGTTGAGGTCGGGGTCGTTCAATGCAAACATAACAAAATGTCCCGCAGGCGGAGTCCAAGCCGCGGCTTTGAGCTCGTTATCACTTATCATACAGCTTCACCTGACGCCTTGTCCATGCTATTCTCCCACCCCATCCGCCATTCCTGGATATCCTTGCGATCGCCAAGGTCACATTTACGGCTATTCGCCACATCCCGTCCACGCTTTATCGTTGACATGGAGGTCGTGGACACTACCGAACGGCTATGGTCGTTGCGGCAGCTCATGAAGAAACATGAGGTCGATGTTTACAGTATGTAACCTGTTACACAAATACCATGATACTTTCTTACTCTTCTTGAATAGTCGTCCCTTCGGAAGATGCCCACCAATCCGAGTACATTGCAGCTTGTGACGCACGCCGAGGTTAGAAAAAGCATCGATTCATATTGATTCACATCCGCGACTCACAATCTTCTTCAATCGCAGAATTTATCTCGGGATTCTCAGGCTCTGCCGGTACTGCGGTAATCTCTCAAAGCAAGGCTGCTTTGTCTACTGATGGAAGATATTTCAACCAGGCTGCGAAGCAACTGGACAGCAATTGGACTCTGCTCAAGGCCGGAGTTGAGGGTGTTCCTACGTGGCAGGATTGGTATTGAATTACACAATCTGGAATTTCTGTGTGGAACTATGAAAGCTAAGACCTTTATAGGGCGTTTGAGCAAGCTCAAGTTGGCAAGACTGTCGGTGTCGATCCGTCCTTGATCACTGCCTGTAAGTTGGTCGAGCTCTAGGAAGCTGTGCCTTGAGCACTAACATGTTGTTTCCCAGCTGGAGCAAGAAAGTTGATCGATAAACTCGGGAAAGACGGCGCATCCTCGTCACTGGTAATGGTGGAGCAAAATCTGATTGACGTGGTTTGGGGTGTAAATCGTCCTCAACGCCCTTGCGAAAAATTGAGAGTCCATCCAGTGAAATATGCTGGCAAAAAGTTTCAGGAAAAGATTTCTGATCTGCGCAAGGAACTTGAGACCAGGAAGAGAGCTGGAATTATCATCTGTATGTGGTCTTTTCGACCTATGCGCATTCATTGAATATTACTGACAGCTACTCTAGCTACACTCGATGAGATTGCCTGGCTTTTTAACTTGCGAGGATCGGAGTAAGCAAAGACATTGCCCTCAAGTTTCATAGCTCACCACTTACTAACTGTTCCCAGCATTCCCTACAATCCCGTGTTCTTTGCCTATGCTGTCGTTACCCAGACTGCTGCAACGATTTATGGCGACATGAAACAGCTTAGTACACCCGAAATACTGGCTCATCTTGGAGATGATGTTACCCTAAAGCCGTACGACACCATCATTCAAGATTCCAGATCCTGGAGCCAGGCCCGGGATCAATATACTGAGAAGGTTCTACTATCAAATAAGACATCATGGGCACTCAGTCACAGCCTGGGTGATGATGTCGAAGAAGCTCGCAGCCCGATCGGAGATGCGAAGTCTGTAAAGAATGAGGTTGAACTGGAAGGAATGCGGGCTTGCCATGTCCGAGATGGCGCTGCTTTGACCGAATATTTTGCTTGGCTGGAAAATGAGCTTGTCAACAAGAAGACCGTATTGGACGAAGTTGATGCCGCTGACAGACTGGAGGCCATTCGTTCGAAGCACGAACTATTTGCTGGTCTTTCATTTGATACAATCTCGTCCACTGGCCCCAACGGTGCCGTGATACACTACAAGCCCGAGAAAGGTAGTTGTGCGATCATTGACCCTAACGCCATCTATCTCTGTGATTCTGGGGCCCAGTATTATGACGGAACGACTGATACTACCCGAACATTCCACTTTGGACAACCGACTGAGTTTGAGAAGTACGCTTTCACTTTGGTTCTCAAGGGTCTTATCGGAATCGACACGGCCGTATTCCCGAAGGGAACCACTGGCTTTGCGATTGATATTCTTGCTCGTCAGTATCTTTGGAAAGAAGGTCTTGACTTCTTGCATGGAACAGGTCATGGCGTCGGCTCTTATCTGGTAAGTCGCTCTCTCGTTTATGCTCGAAACTGCCGAGTCTCTAACTCCTATCAGAATGTTCATGAAGGACCTATGGGCATCGGTAGCCGTCCCCACTATGCCGAAGTTCCAATCGCCGCTGGAAATGTGATCTCCGATGGTATGTTATTATATTTTCTTCATATTTTAATCTATTACTAACCTCTCATTGTAGAACCCGGGTACTACGAGGATGGCAAGTTCGGCATCCGAATTGAGAGTGAGCTTTCCCCAACCCCATTCTTCATTCATTCATGCTCACAATTATCCCTTCTCAGATATCGTCATGGCTCGGGAGGTCAAAACTCTCCACAAATTTGCCAACAAGCAATGGTTGGGCTTCGAACATGTTACTATGACCCCAATTGGACGCAATTTGATCGAGCCCTCGTTGCTAACCAGCGCCGAAATCAAATGGGTCAACGACTACCATACTGAAATCTGGGATAAGACGCACCACTTCTTCAAGGAGGATGAGTTGAGCCGAAAGTGGCTCGAGCGTGAGACCCAGCCAATTTAAACAGAGGATGGTATGGAAACTTGACCCAATTGGGCACAACTTGATCAAGCCTTCGCTATCACTAGCACCGAAATCAAAACCGTCAACGACTTCCATGGCGACATCTGGGAAATGATGCTTCATTTATTCAAAGGGATGAGTTGAATCGGAAATATTCTGTTATGAACTTCCTCTTTATGGATACTGGGAAGGGGGAGATGATTACTTTCAATCTTATTATCCCTTCTGAGGACTTTCTTCTGAATCAATCCTACACGTAAAGCTCTTTAAATCAGGATTTAGTATCTTCTACAGAGCGCCAGCATGAACCTTGTAAGAGAGTGATACGTAGCAACATTGGAGAGGTGATTAGAATAAATCATTAACTGTTTCCTACTCCTGCCACCAGTGTTCAATTAAGTAACATAACAAGTCTGTAATTACCTAAGTGGGTAATAAAGAGTTAACTTAGTTATTTAGCAGTGGAATGCAGTACTAAGCTTATGTGGAGCCTCGACCACATCATCCATCCCGCACTGGTCCTGTTGTTTACCCCGAACGTTGGAATATTCGCATATCCGCATTACTTCTACTCAACTCCCTGAAATTGCACAATTGCAAGAAGAATGATCGCTGTCATTCCGACAATTCTGTTTCGCGCAAAAAGTATTTGAAGTCGGAGTTCTCAACACTTGATCTGCCCGCTGCCCCCCTTGTCGCGGAACGTCATCTTTTCCCACAACGGCGGAACACCTGGCTGAGCCGACCAGAGACTATTGGGAATGAGTGGGAGGAACGGTTACAGCTACGGAAATGGTCACTCCGATGCCGGTCGGTATGATAGTGATGGTGGTTATGGCAGCAACAACCTAGGAGTGAATGGGTATGGTGGTCGAAGTGCTGGAAGTCCAGCAGTATCACCAGGTGGAGGGGGAGGAAGCCGAGATCGCCGACCTGGCGGATATGGTGGATTTTACGATGATTCACAACAGCCCCCCCACTCACCTGGTCCATCCCCAGAGCGCAGGAGAGATCGGTCGGAACGAGGCCGTGGACAACCGGCATCCCAATCTAAGTCGCGATCACGACCAAGGAATGGAGAGTCAGATAGGAGATATCCGCCTTCAAGGGATGGTAAATCCAGAGATGCCTCGCGAATTCCGGATAGTCGCAGTCGGGACAGGAATGAATCTATTGTGGCCGCAAAGGGAAGCAATTCGCAGGACATACAATCTGTCGAAGGTTAGTTACGATAATCTGCACGCTTTCTTTATCTCTGATATTCTTCTTGCTCACGATGTTTTTGTCTATACAGAGGTTCTGCAATCGATCCAGCGTGATTGGGATTTCATGACGGAGGCCGAGTGCATCCCTGTGAATGTTGCTCTCAATTTGATGGATACTAGTACGTTGGGAAAAGCAGATAGAGAGCTGGACTTCATTCATATGTATGATCAGATTCAGAGGACACTGAAGGCCATTGTTAACGGTTTGTCTCTTCCCTCTGTTCCGCAATTGATTAATACTGACATCTATTTTAATAGAACATCATCAGGGATTTAATAGTTCTATCGGAACTTACCATAAGATCCAGTCAAATATTTCGAGTTCACAAGGCCGAGTGCGCAACCTGAGAAGCTTTTTGGAAGAGGCCAAATCAGGGTTGCTGTCAACGAAACCAGAGCTGAAGGGTTTGGCGACGTCTTCTCAAAGTTACGATGATCTTCTTCAGTTGTTTGCCCAGATCGAGGACATTCAATCCCTCCCCGAGAAACTTGAATCGACAATTTCCGATAAAAGATTTCTCACGGCGGTGGATGTGCTGCATACTGGACTCCGATTACTTCGGCGCTCTGAGCTGGAGGATATTGGCGCTTTGGCCGATGTTCGGGCTTACTTCAACAATCAAGAGTCATCGATTATAGACATCTTGGTTGAGGAGCTGCATGATCACCTTTACCTCAAATCTCCTTATTGCTCAGATCGGTGGAAGGCACCCGTTGGAGAGGGAGATATGACTACCACGAGCTGGACAGGTAATCGCTCATATGAGCGACCTGTCTATACTTTCTTGGCTAAGTTTGATGCATCAACCCCGATGGTCGAAGATACTTCCAGAAATCCTGAGGCCGACACATTCTCTTATATTCAGTTGTTGATCGAGTCCCTGAATAAGATGGGCCATCTCGATACAGCAGTTGATAGAATTGAACAACGCCTTCCAGTGGAGTTATTCGCAGTTGTCGACAAGACAAATGCCGAAGTCGACGCCCGTTATCCCACTCCAAACCGAACCTACTCTTCCCATGATAATCAGCTGAAGTCCAATCTGCCCACAGAGGAGATTGACCAACGAGGACATGTCATATCTGAATATCTTTGGGCTTTGTATGCTAAGTTCGAAGCCATTGCAGAGGGTCATCGCGTGCTCCATGACGCTATTGCTGGCATTGTGCAACGAGAAGGCATCATCAAAAGCCAAGCACTCTTGGGTGGGTTCAAAGAGTTGTGGAAGCTTCTGCAAAGCGAGATTAGGTCTTTATTGCATGACTACCTTGCAACTGATGGAGAAACTTCGTTCAGGAACAGAGGCGAGGAGGCAGCTGCCCAGAAGAACCTGTACACAAACAATCGGGATAAGAACAAAAAAATGTTCAAGCTATCTGAAATCGACCAGGACTCAGAAATGAAGGCCGAGCAAAATGAGCTGGATGAGATTCTCAAGACCTCAGTGCCCGGTCTAGTATCTAAAACAAGACAAAAAGCATCGACAAACGATGCATCACAACCACGGCAAGGTAATTCTGGGACTGGTCATAAGCTTCTCCTTGACCCAAGCGTTTTCAACATGAGACTTCTTCTCCCACCTTCATTGTCCTTCATCCAGCGTTTGAAGGATATTGTTCCCGTTGATTCAGATATTTCCACGAGCACGCTGACCACCTTCCTTGACGACTTCATGGTCAATGTCTTCCTACCACAGTTAGATGAGACCGTGACAGATCTCTGCACACTCAGCTTTATTACTGCTGATGCATTTACGGAAGATCCCCAATGGTCCCAGGTCTCACCCCGTCCTATCTTCAAGGTAAGCTACAATCTCAAATTCATTTATCAATTATTCTAAACAATAAATCCTTCAGGGCACGGTCAAGTTCATGTCAATTGTGCGGGAATTCAGCAAGATGCTTTCCAGTATTCCTCATGATCAGGCATTCACTCAGCTTCTGATCGACCAGATTTTCACGTACTACGACAAGTGCTGTGGCTGGTACAAAGCAATGGTCACAAAGGTGTCTGCTCACAATTCCGGAGGCGAAGTACGTCTGAAAGCTGCAGCTGCTTTCGCAGCATCCGGCGACATTCACAATGTTGTCGAAGAACTCTGGAATGGAGACCCTGCAAAGAAACAAACTCTGATTGACACCGTAAGTTCCAGTGTCTCAATTCATTGAAGTCGTTTCTAACAAATACAGGAAACCGATCTACTTCTAAAGCGAACTGATACAGTGCCGCTAGAGCCTTACGACATTATATCTGACCCGAAGACTGTTGTCGCCCTTTCACTTTTGTACAACAGTATGGTGAGTGATATCATATCTATTGCATTCGTCCCCTTTGCTGACAATTTCTCTTTCTCCACTAGGAATGGCTCGCAAGTCATCTAGCACAAATTCGCTTCGTCATCGACCCAACGACAGACCCAAGCTCGTCAAGCTTTACAGCAAATGGTCGACCATCTCGTCGGTGGACACTATATGGCTCCATGAAGCCAAAGCGTGATAGTGTCAGTACTCCAGTATATCTGCCGCTGAATGAAGAGACAGCTTCAGCCTTTGACAAGACTCTGCAATCGCTCCACGGGCTTGGAGCAAATGCTCTTCTGACATTACACGTGGATATTCGCTGCGGAGTCATTCACATTCTGACGAGGACCATGTCGGGACCAAACCCTGGCAATGTCCGAAATTCAGAACCCGCCACGCCGACTCCAAGTACAGAGAGCTGGTGGCACATCATTATGAACCCACCGACAGCGGCATCCCCAACAATTTTGCAATTGAACAGCGATTTAATCGCATTTGACACCAACATCTCGACATATTTGGGCCCTAATGAACATTGGTTTATAGCTTCAGGTCTAGCACGATTCATCGATCGAATTTTTGTAGCCTGCACGCGTTATATCGGGGCCATGAACGAAAATGGCGCCCTCCGTCTACAGCTTGATGTCTTGGTCCTCCAGCAGAATCTCAAGAACATCATCATCGACCCGACGGCCGAATCAACAGGCACTACTGAATTGACACCTCAGGAGGTGGTGGCTTTGCCGCGCAGTGCCAAGTTCCTGGATTGGTTCCTGGAGGGCGCAGAAAAGGCGTTAGACTACGCGAAAGAAGAGAAAGAAGCATTTGCCGCAGAAGGCAATAAGGCCTTAGCTGCTGGCAATGGTGAGCCGTTCACGTACGATGAGCTCCGGGTTCTGGTTGACCTTTGCTTCTCTGAAATTCTGCGCGGGCCCCGCGGTACTGAGAATCGGGAGGACTTCATGTCAGCTAAGAAGGCCAGTGCTGATTCACTCCTGCGACTGAATGAGGTTATGTGGGATGTTTGATAGTAGATTTGTGTATGATTAATCAGCTATTTCAATCCCGATTAATTTTCTATCTATAAATTGTGAAGCTGTAGATGTTGTACGGAGTAAGTGGGCCCTGAATCTGACTCCTATGATAGCTATTGAAAGATTATAGGGAGTAGAATTCTACCTACCTAAGTATATTCACTTTCGTCCCTTTAAATCCAAAACCAGATTCCTCTTAGCATCTTTTCCGTATTCCATGTTTTTCAAGGAATCATCCTATTCAAATTGATTAATGACGGAATTACAACGAATAATATTATTTATTAGAAGACATCTACTCTAACAGGACTCAGAGTTCTACCGAGAATCTAATTAAAATCTACAAATTAATTCTGTCATTGAAAAGCCCTAAGGCAATCGAACTAAGCACGGATGCATCCCAATTAGGGTCATCCCCGAGTCATTGACACCCTAACCAACTGCTAGCGATGTTTCAGATAGATTCTATCCATATGATGCTACTAAACTTGTTGGTGAGCTGAAATTCAACTGTCATTTTAAACTGATGCTAATTTCCTTTGAAAATCCTACCTAATTACATCTCCATGCTCTCTAGTTCAGGATGACACAAACAGGAGCCGGTTATGGTTCTAGGCCGCAATCTAGATAGTTATCCAATTCGATCATATCTTAAAGTCCTTGTAACCTCTTTCCCAATTGAAATCCTTTTCATCTCCCACTGATTCTATTCTCTCACCTGTCTTCGACGGTGCTGCTCCTTTTAAATCAGGATTTGATATCCAGCCGCTCTTTTCTTCTTTCAACAGAACACTCTCATCTTTTGCACGAACTTGACCGTTCTACTCACTCACTTACCTTGCAAACTCTGTGGATAATTGCAATTTCCTAAACTCAATAATCATCTTTTGAGTATCTCGAAACAGTTTAAGCTTCAATACAATGAAGTTCCAACATCTCGCTTTCCTGGGCACCATTCTGAGCGTCGCTGCTTCTCATCCCCACTTGCACTTCAATGGGCATGATACCTGCCCTGCAGGATATGCTATGAGTGTATATTATATCACCGTGACGAACACGATTTCCAGCACAGTCTTGGAACAAATCACCACCAGCTCAAGCTCGAGCTCAAGTTCTTTCTCGTCTGTCGTGCAATTGACTTCTGAGTCTACTACTTCATCATCTTCGATTCCAGTCACTGTTAGTCCTGCTCCCCTGGAGAATCCCCAAGCAGCTGCTACTTCTTCTTCTTCTATTTCCACTTCGACTAGGCCTTCTATTGAGACTACTGTCCCGGAGACTACTACTAAGGCAGTCGTTTCATCTACCACCTCGGCCCCAGCTATTACTGAGTCTCCTATCGTTATACATGATCTCGCCCACGCTACCTCTTCAGAAGAAACAATTGCTGTCTCAACTTCTACCACTGAAACGACCAGCTCTGCTAGCACTACTAGCTCTCCTGTTGCCATCTCTTCTTCCTCTACCTCGACTTCCTCTTCTGAAAAGACTTCTGGTGAAGCCACATACTACGGCGGAAACCTGGACTCGGGGGACTGCTCTTTTACAGGATATACCTTACCTAGCGGTACCTTTGGCACAGCCCTATCTTCGGCGCAATGGGATATCTCTGCGAACTGCGGAGTATGTGGTATGTTACACTCAAAATGAGTCGCTTCAACTATTGATATCATCTACTAACTTATTAAAAAAGTGTCTATCAAAGGACCGGACGGCAACACACTCAAGGCGATGGTAAGTTCCTTTTGCCAGGATGAAATAGTTCATCTCAATCAGCCAATTCAAGAACGAAATTCCTGACATGAAAAAAAGATCGTAGATAAATGTCCCTCATGTGCCGCAAACCAATTCGATCTCTTCCAAGACGCCTTCGCCGATCTCTCAGCACTAGAAACTGGCATCATCGATATCGAATGGGCCTATACTTCCTGTGACATAGACACCCCCTTGAAGCTGAAGAATAAGAGCGGCACTTCTCAGTGGTGGTTCTCCATGCAAGTTGTTAATGCCAATGAAGCCGTTACCGCGCTGGAGGTGAGCATTGATAGCGGTAGTACTTGGCAGAGCACCACTCGCACAGACTACAACTTTTTCGAGCATTCGAGTGGTTTCGGTACTGAGACTGTTGATGTGCGCGTTACTGGCAAGTCTGGTAAAGTCGTGGTTGTCAAGGATGTCTTGGTTTCTTCTGAAGCTGAGACTACAGCTAGCTCAAATCTTTGAGAGTCAAAGGTTTATGGGGCTATCTATGAACTTCTCTGATAGGACTTTCCTAGGTTGGACGTTACAGATATGGTATCTTTTATCTTCTATATTCCACCGATTTATCTTCTACATTACATTTGACTGCAGACGCAGTCTTCTTTACCATTTTCGACCAAGGTAACGGTAATCCAGTCCTTAGAACGAACCTACAATCCATGCATCTGGACTTTATTCAATTACGCAGGACTCGTATTGTCGTTAGAAATCAATGGCATTACCCCCAGCTCCGCGGCTTCCCACCTAGCCTAATTTCGCCAGCCCAAAAATTAGAAGGAAAGAAAAAAAATGAATGGCTTCAATGGCCTGGCGGTGAATAATAAAAAAAAAAATAAAAAACTAATACCCCGAATCGCGCCTCCCAAAAGGAAAAACCAGAGCAATTATTTGCCCATATCTCAGAAGATGCCCGCTTCCGTCAGAATCTGGCAGCATTCATAGAACTAAAACGATGAAACGAAAAGCCACCGTGGCCCACTGCAAGGGCGGGAGAGCGGGGGAATGAGACTGAAAGGGAGAAAAGTAAGATATGAAAGATGGTAATAGTCATGGGCGAGTTATGTTCAGAATAAAAGATATCCGTTTCTGTCGATTGAACGGACTTAGTCGAGAGTCTGATACGTCTTCAACTCCTCGAGATCATCGTAATCGTCGAACTCAAGACCGGCATCACGGCAGCGCTGGAGCCACTTTGCAGCCAGTTGATTGCAGCGGTTGACTTCACCCTTGAGCTTAGAGTTCGAAGCGCTGATGTCGTTGATGGCATGGTTGGCCGTGAGGCTGTGTGCCTCAAATCGCTCCTCGGTGCTCTTCTTGTCTGACTGGAGCTGGTGAATGTATTCAATACAACGTTGCAAGATTGCTCCTTTGTTCTTGTCACAGTTGGGCACCAGGCTAGCGATCTGGTTGATTCCCTCGTTGATAGCCTCGCGGCGTCGACGTTCCACTGTAAAATGTTAAATCAGCATAAGTCTGCAAAATGAAAATTATGGTCACTAGTCAGATGAGCGCGCACCTTCCTTGTGGTTATTCTTGCGGACTAGGTGCCACTCGGGGGAGCCGACTTGTGGCTTCTGGGCCATACTCTGGGCCTCACGAGCGGCGTACACTGCAGCGGCAGTCGAGTTGGGGCCATGGGCTCCAACCATCGATGGGGGGGCCATCTCGTCACCAAAGTTAATACCGGGCGCCATGTTCGCGTCAAATCCACTGTCGGGAGGTGGGGGGTACTTGTGCTGCGAGTTGTGGGCGAGGGCAGCCTTGGCTGTAAGTGTGTTATCGTCGGTCATGCCGTTCTGAGGGCCAACATGTTGGAGAATTTGCTGGTCAATATTGAGCTCCGATCCAGTGTTGGGAAGGCCATGGTCATAGCTGCTCAGGCTGTGGGCGAAATTATTCTGGTTATCGGTCATGCTGCCGTTGCTGCCATGGGAGGAACGGTTCATGCGATGAATATCATGGCCGATCTCATCCGAGGCCTCGCGCTTACGCTTCATGTCAGGGCTGTGGTCCGACATCGTAGAGAGTAAGGGCTATTGGGTAAGTTAGTAAGGAAGAAGAAAGCGCACATTTCAGAATTGTAAGTAGGAGGAAAGCAGGAGAAAAGGGCATTTGGTGTTCGAAGAGGGGAGGTGGAAGTGTGATGCGAAGTAGAAGTGAGGTGAAACTGACAAATGGGGGTCGTAGAAGTGAAGCGCACGTAGCACGAGATATTGGGAGGTAGGAAAGGAAGAGAAGTGGATTGAATTAGACTGAAAAGTGAGTGGTGTGAAGCTTACTTTGTATAAGCGAAGGGTATGCGATAATTGAAGGAAAGAGGAAGCGAAGAGATGGAAGTGGAGAAATATGATGGGGAAAGAAATGTTGGGATAAGAAGAAATGCAATGACATGAGGCATGTATCTGTACGAGCGCCGGCGTGAAATGTGAAGGGTAGAATATCAATAGAGTTCAAAGTTGTTTTAACAACATTGATATACAGCAGGCGCCAGTCTTGGTCAGATCACCTGCTTGAACCCGACGCGTCCCATTGAGGTGAAAAGGCTTGTCGGACGATCGGGATCAAGCATGGTCATCATTGCTGAAGCCTTTGACAGTCGACAGCATCGTAATATAATCCCCAGGCCTTAACTTGACTCAGATAAGGCTCAAGATCACACCGCAGGCACCCGAGGCCCGCGTAGACATGACGCGCTTTTCAAGTCGGGCGACCGAGGCGACGAGGAAGGGGGTGAAGGGAAAACAGCATCAAGACAACTCTTTCAAGGGAAATGGTAACGCGAGGTGTGGGAAGTAGAGAGAGAGGAGAGGGACTGATGGAGACGATACCTTTTTTTTTTTGATGATCCTCTATCACCTGACAGGAAGTCACCTGCCTACAACAACAGACGAAGTCACGTTGTTTGAGATATACGCGAACTTATCGAATCAAGAACCCCAAATTAGGAAACAGAAAAAATTGGAAGAATGGATAGCCAGAGCCGAAATCAGGTCAATAATAAAAAGAAATCCAGAGATTTTTCATGGGCGAAGGAGATGGAGAGTAATTTAGGATCAAGTCAAGCATCCGAGTCAGGAGGGACTCACGTGGGAAGGGAGGAGGAGGGTACGAACTACGGTTGGCTATATAGACCAAATGCGCACAATGACATCGCTTGTCACCTGATGTGGCTTAGTCAACGAGATCTTAGATGGTGTGACGAGCGGAAAATATCTGATTTTGCTCTTAACAGTCTCTATATATTGACAAGATCTATTGAAACAATAAAACCTCGGAATTCTTGAAATTTCCTTGATAATCAAGACAGTCATGTGTAGTAGTCCCGTGGCTGTCTGATGCCACTGATTGATAGTATTAAATCACGTGTAAGAGCTATAAATGCACGGACCATATATTGCCTGATTGGGAAAGAGTGGACTATGAGCATTTGCTTCCATTCGGAACATTAAACAAGCAATATGAGAGGAATGTAAGTTACTTATGAATTATAACTTTACACTCAAATGTGTTGCGTGCGAAAGTGACGGAATCCGAGGTCATGGCGGCAAGGTGAAAGTAACGTAGAGCAACTTTGGAACTGATATGGCGACTATATAAGCGATAAATTGGTATATTTTGGGGGTTTAAAGCCTCTAGAAAGTCATGAGTACCTAGCTGGGTAGCCAGGCTATCTTGGAAAGTCAGCTAGTACACTTAGCTAGCTAGATAGTGGCGTACTTGATACACCAAAATACTCCAGAGCGGGGGAAATTATATCATCACATGCAGCCTGGGCTTGGAAGGATGAGTTTTGGTTGCACCGGTTTTGTCTAGATCCTTTTAGTGTAAAAGAATCGACCTGGTCATAAGACCTGGATTTTTAAGATGGATGAATGTTGTGCAGTAACCTTGAACTACTTGACGATCTCCATCTCGGATCCGGCTCCAAGTTATACTTGTTCATGCGCAGGCCCCGGAGTTGGCTTGCATTTAATGCATCCATGAATGCATTATCTCATTACATATCCTCTAAGGCTATATCTAGGGATCTTATCATCAAATTACTTATATACAAAAATTACCTGGGTAACTAGTCCTGATAAAGACAAGGTTGAAGTAGGCAACCGCTTGCAATGCATACTGCCCACGCCATTTCTATAAACAGAACTTTGGAACATTTGCAGACTACCTGGGCAAATAGTCTCACTCGTCCCCCTTCTTCCCAAGTCCAAAAACCATTTTTGGGTCTGCCGTGATATCCGCAAAACAAATACCTTCTTCCGTCGCCCCAAGTAGATCCCAACAAAGAATCTTTGCATTTTCCACCTCTGGAGCCTGTGACCCTTGTTGTATTATCGTAACAATTGTACTTGTCCCCGCATATCGCGCTGGTGGCTTAGTATCATCTGCCGCTGGCTCCTCTCCGGTCCGATTCGCAAAGACGATCACAACCTTCTTCGTATCGGTATCTTGGCCCTCCCTTTCTCCGCCTGGATCTGCATCGTCGATATTGCTCTCTTGTTGCATCTTTTGTGTCAAAAGAGGTATCATTCGCATCAACCAGTATCTGAAAGTGTCCATCTCAGGTTCTCCATCCAGCATATCTAACTCCTCACGACTAGCAAGAGTCAACCAAGCCATGGGAATAATCACCAACTGAGACTTGGAGTTCAAGACACGATTGGCAAATTCGTAATCTGAGTACGGGGCTTCGAACTTGTAAGGGTTGATATCCATGCAGATACCAAATGATGTCGCCACTCGTTTCCCTGCCTGGTTTTTTACCGCGTCGGAGTCGGGTTTATTTGCGCTTGCACCTGCACCTGCATCTGTGTCTCGGTGAGTATCACCCACGAGGTCTGTCATAGTAGCGGATGCAATCCTGCCTTTTCGCGAGGGGAAAGATAGCTCGTGGAATCCCCGCTTCACGTCCCCTTCAGTGGCCCAGGTTTCATCTGTGTAATACAAAAAGTTCTTGCGGTAGTTGTGGACCACATTTCCATGCTCATCCACTACAAGGAGGGAGTTGTAGTACTTTGATTTCACGCCCTCTTCAGAGCTGGTTTCAATCTCGGGATATCCCACGCATACTTTGCACTGTAGGCGCTTGGCTGTTTCGAGCGCCCATGCGGCACTGGGTCCCTTGCCGGAAGGCTCCAGGTATGGCCTTATTTCTTCCAGTGAGGGGAAGTTATATCCTAATCTGAAGTCAGTCCAGTGGTTCTCCTCAACAATAAGATGCATGCATGATAAAGTATCCGGGGTTATCTCGGAGATACAAGTCTCAAGTGCTTCCCCTGGGTAGGTACATACCCGTCAAAGCCATTTCGGGCAGCACCAAAAGATCTGGTCGCAATACCTCAACATCGATCCTAGAACCCTTTTTATGCAGACCAACTGTTCCATCTAGCGAACTGACCTTGCCAGTTTTCAGAAGCTCATTTGCTTTTCGAATATTGCCGTCAACATCGCCAAGTTTTGCTGCGAATTGCAGCGTCGCGATTCTCATAGCCTGTCGTCGCGAAGTTGAGAATTTCTTATGAGGTGAGAAGTTTAGATGAAATCTTTCGCCTAAAGATGTGTGAGGTGTGAGATGGACCGTGCTGATATAACGTCCCGCTATCCTAGGTCCCAGGCGGGCAGAGCCAAGTGCAGTGGCCACAGTGCTATGGGATTAATGATGCCAAGACCCAGGGTATTGACCGTTGTTAGGTGAACTCTTGAACAGCTTCCAACGTTGTAGCTTATTGAATTGGAACCTTGAATACTCAATGGACCTCGGGAATGTGTGGAGATACAAATGCCGATTTGATAATCCACCTTGAGTTGATAACCTGATTAGGAAGTTATTGATGCCTTATTTGTGCCTTAATGGTTAGTTCCATTGCTCTGCCAATACACTTCCTGGTCCTTCTTGCAATACAGAACGGGCTTTAATCCTCAGGTGTCAAAGGCCAGTAATGTACCCCCAGGGCCTTCGCTATAAACCAATACCAAATAACCAACAGCCTTGGAACATACCTATATATATATGGCTGTATTCATAGGTCGTTAGATAAAGACCAACTACCTAGATAAAAAAGCCCTGGAGTGCCGTAATAAACGTCCACGGGTGAGTCTGATTTAAGAAACACTTATACGTATCCAAGTGAGGAGCGAGAGTTAGAGGGCTAGGTCCTATATTGTGGGTGCCAACAAATGAGTGAGCGCTTGGAAACGGAGCAATTGTTATTTCTATGTACATGATATGCTATGATCTAATAAAGGATAACGCTTTCTCTGGCTTCGTAGACCATCTAGAGTATGGCGAACTCCTGCTTTGCATCTCTCTATGGCTTCGGACCGATTGGCAGAAGTTGTTCATCGCATGCGGCATGCCACAAATCTTAGGCTGCTGCCAGATCGGTGAATAAAAGGCGTAACACTTCCTTTTCATTACTCCCACCTGGGCAAGGTCCCGATGTTTCCTTCACTAGGTACTATTGTAATAACTGTATCCCGTTCTGCTCTTCACTCTTTCAAGGTGTGCTTGATTATTCCAACCTTGTTACATGTACTCTTTCTTTTTTTTCCGAGTATACCTACCCCTATCCAGAAATTGAGTGAAGCCTAGTAATGCGGAATTTACTTTCAAATGAGTTCCGAGTTACAATGATAGTGGTTTACGGAGAACTTAAGATAGGTCCAACCTAGGCGTCGCTAATTCTCAGGATTTCCCCTGTTTATTCTGCTGGGATATTCTGTGAATTTATGTGAGGGACAAAGAATGTACTTGATTTCATTCACTTGACTCTAAGCCCTCACTTTCTAAGAAGATGCGCTCCATCTTATCAAATCTCGTAGTATAGTCACCAAGGCCATTGGCATCTTCCAGACAAACGCCATGCGGAAGCCAGAATCCAAATGTGTTTCTCTCTGGCGGAATTTTACCATCTGAAGATAATATCTCTTTACAGTCTAAAGGACTTTGAACCAGGGCGGCCTCTCTATAGTACTGCCACTGCTTTTCCATCTCAAAAGTTGCCGAATCAAATGTCCCCAGGTACCCGCAGTCTATAATTCTCTAGAATAGATTCGGGAAGTCTTTACCACTCCTAATGATAACGGTTGCCAGCCTATCAGGAAGATTTAGTAAATATGTGGTATATAAACCCTAGAAGATGGGATAAACTTACCATGTGAGATCGCTCTCCCATGATGTTGTCTGTAGGGGGATTTTGTCGTTGGCGATTGAGATTTTATCACTTCCGACAAACGAAAAGTAGGCTAGAATTGTCCAGACATGACCGGCGGAAGCAGAAGGAGACCAAAAATTTATTGGGAGAGTGAGCGCACTCGCACTCACAAACCCTTCCTTGGCTAGCATCAGATATACGTCCCAGATTGTTGACTGACGACGCGCTCGCCAGTATAAATTCCGGATCAAAGCTCTCCAGTCTGGAGTCGGAGTATACATCTCATCGAAAACTGCCATATCGGCAGGGCATCCCATTTGGGTATTGCAAAGTTGCATTTCCGAAAGAATGAAGTCTGTTACAGCCTTTGGAAACGACTGCTTAGAAAGATCTATCGGCTTACTGAGAAGTTCGCAAAGGGATAACGAGCTGGTAGGCCATTCCACCCGACGACAACGACCAGACGATAGCTGGTCCGAGGAAACATACACTATGTCTCTAAAATACAGATCCTTCAGCGGTAACATTGGGTTTCTGTCGTCGCTGGACCAAAATAGAGGTTTTGTGACAAGGTTGTGCGGCGTAATATTACGCGTCATTTACTGGAGAAGGAAAGATTCGTGTTCATGAATAGTCCAACTTGGAACACTGTCAGGGGGTTTCGGGATATGGGAGAGAGATTGTAGGAAGGCTTTGGCAAATCTGACACTCCGGTATCGACCGCTCGCACTTCGACTCTGGGACCAACTAAGCTCCATGGGGCTACAAGATGCCACCGCATGACAATTCGCAATGTCGTTTGATCTCAGGGCCTCAACGAATAAACCAGAGAAACAAAAGTTTGGGACAAAATTGACCTGAACGCCGGGCCGATAATGCGCCAACATTTGGCCTAGAACTGCCTGGTGTAAAAAGCCATTGCCGCAAGCAAATCCAAGCTTTTGATCACCATGTCCCCCAAAGAAAATGTTCACCACATCTCCACTCTGCGACAAATTCTGGTTGTGGTTTATCCAGCGCTGGATCTTACCCAGAACCTCGGAAGCTTTCACATCCCTCCACCAAATCTGACCTCGCTCAAATTGTTCTCTTGAATACTTGTGAACGTATTCGGTGCGACTTGCCCCAAAGGTGCCGAATTTGATTGTGTCGTAAGACTCTACTGCGAAGTATGACCTGACAGGAAAACAAGACAAAAAGTCACCTTTAACGTTTTGCTCCATCAACGACATGCAAAGTCCCATAAAGTCGGAGAAAATCCACGAGTCTTTGATCTTATCTGCTGCACAGACAACCAGATTGTAAGACTGTGAGCGCTTCTTCCCAGTCGGCCATGCTAACACTCGAGCTTGTCCGCGGGCCTTTTCGCTGTCTCGGCCAGAACGAATATAAGGAGGCTTCATGGTAGAAGGATACTCGAGGGTTGTTTGAAAACTCGGAGTAAAGTCATGCAGAATGCAAAAGAAGAGATAATCTCAGGGTGAGATGAAGGATACGCAAAGTTCAAGTTCAGGAAAGAGCATTTCACTCCTACTAAACGTCATGAAAAGGTCATGATGACCCCTACAAATTCTAAGTTAAGATTAACAGCTCGTTTACAGACATAAGGGAAAGTCTGAAAATGAAAAGGGCTAAATAAAGCAAAGGCTATAAGTCGTATAGTTCCACATGACCGTCGACAGCCCTTTGGAACGAGCATAGAGAACCTGGAAGAGTTGGTGATATGGGTGAGCTCGCGAAATATCACTCCAGTCATATTAGAGGCCTTGTGCGGTCTACTTAGGAAACCTGATTCACACCTTTCTGAGATGTGACTGTTCTTCCTAGATAAATTCGACGTATCTATTGCTAAATCCACGAACAGCGACGCCATGTATCGAATAGGGTAGTTAAAGAAGAATGCTCGACAAAAAGCCAAGTGACGGAATCCTGATTTGCGTGATGACTATAGTTATCTCATATTGGAATTCTGCTTATACCATCTGATCTACATGGATGAATGTAGGCGTGATAGATGGATAGGGGATAGGGTTCAGACGAACCGGCTAGTCTCCTCGCGGTACAACACCGGTCTAAGTGTCCAAATTCTATCGTGATCAGCGATATTAGATACTTCCTACATATGCCCAAGATATTTTCGCCCTAGCTCGAGTGTTCCGAGGCTTTTCGAGGACTTTATTGAGCAGCATCTGTATTTTAGCGCATGTCATTCGCATCTCTCTCCAGGAGCAGTGTGACTGTGCTTTGATGGCCGCCGGCTGAGGCAGCTTGGAGCGCTGTTTTATAAACGCCCCCTTGGGCATTAACATCAGCGCCATAATCTAAAAAAAGCTCCACAATTGAATCAAAACCTGCCCGTGATGCAGTTTGCAATGGATTGCCGTAGCGGCCCCCTTTCGCATTGACGTCTGCCCCCCAAGCTATCAATAGCTGTACAACATCCTTGTGGCCTTGAAATGAGGCAGCAGCGATTGGACTGCCAGCAAGGATACTGTTGAGGGCTACTAAATTTTTCCTCGGAAATTGACGTCTGCACCATGGTCTAAAAGTAACGCCACAATGTCCACGTTCCCCGAGGCGGCCGCCGCAACCAGGCTACTGCCAACAATCTTAGAGTCATTGCATCTTCCTGCGAAGCATAAATCCAACAGAATACGGAAGCTAGCTTCACCTCCGTTCACGGTGGCTACATTCAGGGCCGAATAATGAAGGCCTTCATTGAGCTTAATCTCAGCGCCGTTCTGTAAGAGTAAACAGACAATTTGATAGTGATTTTGGAACGCGGCTGCCTAGAGCGCATTGCCAAAGAGACCTCCTCGTGCATTGACATCAACTCTTCGGTTTATGAGTGCTTCTGTGACAATGTATAGACCAAGGAAAGACACGTAATAGAGGCTCTTGGGGACATCTTGCGCTCTTTTTGATAGGTCGCACCGATTCCAGTCATCCGGATCGGAGACGCGGCGCCAGTTAAGATAAGCCGAGCCTTGACTTTGATCCATGAGCCGCAAGATGTCACAAAGTAAATTTTTTGTTGATTTTTCCCGGTAGCCTGCCTGGAAAGCAATATTTGCGTCTTGCCAGTGTGTTGCAGCGTAGTTGAGAAGGGGGAGCTTCGCAAATGATTCCAGCGAAAGACATTCAGGCCGATTCAACATGAGTAGATAAGTGACACATGCATGAGCCAGGTATTGATTTGCCGGTAGTTCCGCTATATGGAAGGGGGACAAAGTCGTTGATTTGAGCCGACTAGACATCAAATACTCTTTAACAGAGTAGTGTGCAAGCCGCACTTCATCACCGTTAGATATCCGAATAAGACTGGAGCCAATAGTGAGAATATCAAATTCAGAAAACAGCTTGTCTTCCTCAGACAGAGCTATGGCACCAGGCTTGATAATCAGTGTCTCTGTAATTTCAGCTAGTCGGAGAGGTCGCACACTATAGGCCAACCACTGAAGCACCTCGTACGCTGGTTTCTGGAAATGCGTATCTATTCTCGCAAGTATCATATCGTAAGTCTTCGCCAACGTTTTTGGCATCGATCGCAAAGTTTCTCTAACACTGGTGAGGGTAAGGCAGGATCTCAGACACTGTAGTTGGCATTCCACCCATCGAAACCTAACGTTATGAGAAATAGCCTAGCAGGTGAGATAAATCAAACTCAACTCACATTCCATGAGAACCTGAAGTCAATGCGGCCTCTATTTCTGCTTTGACATGACTCGGCCGCTCTCGCAACTTGGGATCCCTCGATAAAGAGTTGACCACATAGGTCCGAATATCCATATTCACATCGTCGAGTGATATGTAGATGACATTCGTTGAAACCTTTCCTAGAGCGGAACGACTGATCTCCGTAGTGTCACGACTTGTGGCCAGTATACTAAATCCTGCGTGAGAGCGAAAAAAATCAGCAATCAAGCTCATAACCTCTTGCTGTTCACCACATTCGTCTAATGCATCTAGGATCAGATACACTCTGCTAAATTGCTCGATGGTTGCATGAAGAGCGTTCAACAATTTCTCTCCACGCAACCTGCCCCGGCGCTCTTTGAAATCGTCACAAAGCGATCTAAACTGAACAGTGAGCTTCTCTTGTTGATACGCCAACTGAATGATGAACGAAAGCAGAAGTCCTTCCACGCTTTGTTTTTGCTCCTCGTGAAAATAAAAATAAAAATACACAAGCCCAACGCCCGATTTTCCGATCACGTAGGACCTTACACGTTCAATTGCTGCAGAACAGAGGATAGTTTTACCGCACTCGGGGATTCCAGAGAGTAAGAGAATAGAAGGTGAGTTGAGCCAGTAGTTGAAGCGTTCGGAGTTCACGAGCCACGCGCAGGTAGTTGGCTCATATAGTTCATATGCCGTTCTATGATTAATCGACGGGTCAGGTGCGGAAAGCAATTCCAAGGCTTCATCCAATTGTAACTCTGCGTATGTTAGAACCATTCTTTTGTTAAAGAAATGTATAATAGTTAGACTTGACTGACCGGTTTTTGCGATAGCTAATTGACTAATATCGATCTGTAAATGCTTGATCTTCTTTGTGATTTCTCGAGACGTTCTCCTGTATAATTAATATTAGAGTCTTATCACTGGAAGGCAATTACGGGCGCACAGTTGAATATCTTGCAATGTGAGGCTAAGCGACATTTTATGTCGTTCAACTGCCGCAAGGACCTCGCGCACTTCCTTTTCGTGAAAGGGCCAAGCTAAAACTCCTTTGAGTTTCAACCTCCTATCACTGTTATTCAACCTTAAATTCAGAGAAACTAGCGTCTTTTCGAGGCCAGCCATAATTCTAGCGAGAGCTTTAAGGCTACCAGCCGCGGGAAGCAGATCTTCTTGGGCATGAGGCTGAACTAGCTCTTGCAGCATCGCAAGGACAATGGTGGTGTCGCGTATCTCGGCTGATAATTTTTTTCTTGTCTTCCGATGCATTTACTGTATCATTGATGTATTTCACCAATGAAGTAGTCAAGCCAAGAAGAGCAGTAATGCTAGCTGTAACACTTAAAGGGTCTGTCATCATGGAGCGGGTGAGACTAGAAGTTTCTGCTGTTGGTGAATTACTCTCGCTGCTGAAAAAACAAAGAGGAAAATATGTCTTCTTGGAACGAGCAATGTCGAAACTGGTTGTTTATGGAGTTTTACAAAGACCTGGGAATCGCACCACTATGAATCGTGCCGACCTGAACGTTCACAGCTGAGGAAGACTTCCCGAGGTCCCACAAGCGAATTAGAGAAGCAAAATCGTGCTCTCAAGGGTGGAATAGTGGGTTAATCAAAGACAGATTGGATGATTAGGGGACTAGATTCTGAACTGACAGTGTGGAAGGTATGTCTGTAAGCTCAGTCATCTGCCTTAAACATGATTTACCCAAATCCGACCCATTTACGGGTCGGGCCGGGGTTTACCCAATTTACCCCACCTATACCCATGTTGTCAGCCCCATCTATCCATACTTCACCTTCGCCTACTCAACCGTCGAACGCATATCGTTGCATCCTTCCACAACTTGCGTTTCCTGCAAGTTCTCCCCCTTTTGTCTTTGGGTAGGTACATTACAGAGATTACACTTACTCTAATAGAGCTTACCAATCACCATTATCAGATGACCAATACATCTTGTCAACTGAAACCTATTCGTTCTTTCATTTCCAAACCTAGTAAACAGATGAAGTGTCCAAAGTGCGATTTCAACAATGTCTCGACGGCGGCCACATGCGAGAAATGTGGGGCTGAATTGGTGGTCTCGGTTCACCGACTATTCGATGACTCTGGAGAATCCCAACTCTGCTGTACGAACGGCTGCCCCAGTCCGCCAAGCGGCACTTCAGACAGCGAACCACTATCCAGTGATGGATCAATAGAGATGCCAGTATTTTGAACGCGAGATTTTATAGCTGTTTGTAGGAGTCTAACTGAATCACCAACCCTATTAAAACCCTGACTGCTCTCGAACAAGGTGGCACCTTGAATTATTGGAGCAAGCTTATCACGGATCTCAGTCATTAGTTGCTCTAAGGGCGTTTGAGAAATTTGGCTATTTTGTAATATCCCAGGCTTGTAATGCTGGTACGAAGCTTCGATCACCGGCCATGCCCGAAGGAGAAGCCCCACATCGGTGCAGTTGTTGCACTCCACAATGGCAGTCGTGAGTGCAAGCCATGGTACAGTTATATACCAACGGAAGCCGTCACTTCGTGAGTCGGAAAGTATTAGTTGCGACTTTTCAAGGTTCTTTAGTGCTCGTTGCAGCAGAATTTTATCGTCCTTTGTTCGTAGTAGTATAATCTGACTACCTATGAAGCCGCATCTAAATGGAAGCAGCTCGGAGACTCGAAGTTCGGACACAATCAAAGGTGTGCTGTGCCATGTGAACCAAGCATACGGGGAGGACTCAGGGTCGCAGTAATGCAACAAGGTAAAGGCGAGGGAAAGAACAGAAGCTGAGGATAAGTAGTCGTTGCTGGTAGTGCTAGTGGCACCTGAAGCGCTGGATTCTGTTGAGTCAAAATTTAATAGTCGACCGGCAACTTGAACATGATATGTGATCAGAGCAAAGGTTATATCAGTGAGATCCTCATGTGATGAGACTGCCTGTGTGGTGTCCATGTCGAATTCGGAGTCGTTGATTTGCGCAACGTAACCAATCGCCGAAGCGGCATCTCGGTAACTGATAAGTGGCTCAGAGTTTTGTGCAAAAGATGACTGGAGGTCCATGAGGCAGATGGTAAGCCATAGTCTCATACGCATCTGCTGTTGGAAGAAGGACTCTCCCACTCGGAGTATAGTTCCTGGCTCTTGGTTCAGGCCCATAGCACTGGCGAGTCTACTCGCTAGGGTAACGAGCATCCAAACGGCCGTGCCTTTTTCTTCGGATCTTCTACCGACCTATAAGGTGAACCACCATCAAAGGATAATTATACTGGCGTAGATAAGAAAAATAAGTACTTACTAAGTACAGAGTAAATGCCTGCAGTACTACCATATGGCGCGTTGTCAACAGCCCTGTCATCTCGATTGTGTCTTCGCACATCTTCCGATACACTGCCACTATGCTAGACTTGTTCTTCCGGAACTCAGCTTGGCACTGTTTTTCAGTCATGCTGTTGGTGGTCACGTAACAAACCGCAAACTCCAACGCTCTGACGGGAATATTCCCTTCGGACAATCCTGTAAGATAAGGGCCATTATCTATCATCCACTTGCTCAGGCTGGGTCGATGCAAAATCTTGATTATTGGGTCGATATTTCGGAGATAGACACGGCATGCGACATGCCATACCAACGATGGCTAGCTTAGAGTTAGATGGGTTATTACGGCGCCGAGGACCAAAATTCTTATACATCCACTCTACTAAATCATTTTTGTCGATAGTTACCTCAGGGAATTCTGCGGCAATCGCTTCAAGAATACCCTTAAAGATAACTGAGGTGCGGAAGGAATCGATCCGACATATCTGCATTCCCGGGACAGCTCCAATGTGCCGTAAAATGCCCGCCAACACTTGATCTAGATAGATGGTATCCGAAATCAGCTCTGTGACGATTTCGGATAATAGTTCTCCAGCAGTGGTGGCGGTGAAGGGCGTCCCCGCTCGCGATGAAATTATCGATATGTGCACCGGGCGTGATGCGGGAATCATGGAGCTCGAGATGTCTAAGACAGCACGAACGTCATCCTGGCTATAAGCATGTGTCGTATGATAGAGACCGTCGTAAACAGGTAAGGTCAGAGACTTAGAGTATCGCAACTCGCTCGACTGTAGGAAGGCTGACTTGATGCGCGATGGCGGCCCACTAAAGCTCACAGAAGATTTATCTGCGGCACTGATAAAGACCTTAGAGAGCTCGGGGTTTACCAAATCTTCGATAACTCGCATCAACTCTTCCTTACGGACTCTTCCGTCAGACCCGTCACAACATGTGCCCAGCTCTGAAGCATGCCATCGGTCTGAGGCGCCTCGAGCTTACTAGAGAACTGGTTCACGTACACACCGAGCCGGAAGGATACTCTTAAGCATTCGGCTCCGTTTTTCACCACTTCTGCGAGAGTGGTAGATAATGCTATGGCGGCTCCAGAAAATAGACCAACGCTCAAGCCAGAAGCTACACTCTGATGCTTCAGGATATTCAACTCGCTGTCAGAAGCTTCGTGGTGTCTACGGTTGTTAGTACCGACAAATTAAAGGTCGTAGTAGCCATACTTACCCGATGAACAAGCCTAGCTGCAAGATGAGAAGAAAAGCGCTTTCCATGGCTGCCCCAAGGCCCAGCTCCCTTAGATACCCTTGCTCGGACAAGGTGAGAATGTTGTCAAAGTATGGTGCCCTACTCTTGACATGGTGTGGAAGTTTGGCAATTTCGTCTTGCAAAATCAGCGTTGATTATTCGAGGTACGCATTCAGGAGTCGAAACCGCCGATCTTTGCTATGCTGCAGTAGGCGGCGGAACAGATCATTTAAATCATCATTTGGAAGTTCGTTGCCAAAATAGAGCAATTTTGGCTGGCCTTTAGCATGCATCATGTTTATGAAGGATAGTAGATTAACCACAGTAGCTAATGTTGCTTTGGTCGTTTATTCAATGTATCTACAAAGCTACATATTTTCTGCGAATGCTTGATCTTATATATATAAATATATATCCATACTTATGTACGTACCTAGGTATAGTGAGAAAAAAGTTGCTTACCTAGGTATATTTCTGAAGCTGAAATACATAGGTAAAGAAGTCCTTATATATACTGTAGAGAGCTTAATCGGGTCTTTATATAGATATACGATTCAAACAATTGGAAGTAGTTTCTGACAGTAATGCCATGGACCAGCTAAAGCCGGCTCATTGAAAGATTTGCTGAATATCCTCAGTAAAGAGCTTCTTTTCAGTAGAATAGGGCGGTGAAAAGTACGGCATTTGAATTCAGGGACTCCCTTGGTGGCCTGAGGCCAGGAACTTAACAAACTTATCATAACTATAAAGGTTTACAATTTGTATCCAAGGTGAACTTGAACAGATATTCAGAATTCAGCTAAGTAGTAATTCTTGCCCCTGAGTCAATAATTTGATTCCTATTTTTAAAAGATAAAGTGGGATCGACGAACCGAAATGTGATCGTTCGTATACATTACTAGTGTCCACACCAGCCCGCTTAACTTCTATTTTCCCAACTTCAATCGTTCATCACCCACACGCGACTTTCAATTTCTACTTCTCTGTCTTTGGTTTCTTTCCATCGCAGCTTCAGATTTACCACCATTAGAACATTCATTGATCTCATCATTCTCACCCCTTGTGGGACCTCTACTCCACGGCTGAACCCCGCCACACGACCGCGCTCCCCCTCTCAACCCCCCTTTTCCCCAATCCTTGAGACTGAAAAATAATTCAGATTCCAACACGCCCAAGATGAATCCCAATCTTGCGCGCGCGGTGAACGAAAAGAAGCCAGTCCCCGAGATCGACTTCACGTTGCATACAATGGAAGATGGCTCGCAAGTGTCTACAATGGAGCGGGTAGTAAAGGGTATGGAACGCTGGCTATGCTCACTACTTTTCCCTCGCAATTTGATCGTTGACTTGAATATAATGAGTTAGAGGTTCAAGCGCCAGCTCTTAGTACTCCCCCAGATGACATGTTTTGGTCTCCCGATGATCCCTCCAAGCCCAACCTTGCGTATCTCAAGCAGCATCTGTATCGCGAAGGTCGTCTCACCGAGGACCAGGCACTATGGATTATTCACGCAGGCACAGAGGTACTCAGGTCCGAGCCCAATCTCTTGGAAATGGATGCTCCCATCACAGTCTGCGGTGACGTTCACGGACAATACTATGATTTGATGAAGCTGTTCGAAGTTGGCGGTGACCCGTCCGAAACCAGATATTTGTTTTTGGGTGACTACGTCGACCGTGGATACTTTAGTATTGAGGTACGTTATTTGTCCCTTGATCTGTTCGCTGAATGCATTCTAACAGTTTGATCTTTATAGTGTGTTTTGTACCTCTGGGCGTTAAAGATCTGGTATCCAGATTCGCTCTGGCTCCTGCGCGGTAACCACGAATGTCGTCACCTTACGGACTACTTCACCTTCAAGTTGGAATGCAAGCACAAGTACAGCGAACGGATTTACGAGGCTTGCATCGAGTCTTTCTGCTCTCTGCCGCTGGCGGCGGTTATGAACAAGCAGTTTCTCTGTATCCACGGTGGTCTCAGCCCGGAGCTTCACACTCTCGAAGATATCAAAGCTGTAAGCATTCTTCCACAAATGCCCATCCCAATCATAACTAACATATCTCCAGATTGATCGTTTCCGGGAACCCCCCACTCACGGTTTGATGTGCGATATTCTTTGGGCCGATCCCCTGGAAGAATTCGGCCAAGAAAAGACCGGCGATTTCTTCGTTCATAACAGCGTTCGCGGTTGTTCTTATTTCTTCTCTTACCCAGCCGCCTGTGCATTCTTGGAGAAGAACAACTTGCTCTCGATCATTCGAGCACACGAGGCCCAGGATGCCGGATATCGCATGTACAGGAAGACACGCACCACCGGTTTCCCTAGTGTTATGACAATCTTCAGCGCACCTAATTATCTCGATGTTTACAACAACAAGGCCGCAGTGCTTAAGTACGAAAATAACGTCATGAACATTCGGCAATTCAACTGCACCCCTCACCCCTACTGGTTGCCGAACTTTATGGACGTCTTTACCTGGTCCCTGCCGTTCGTTGGTGAAAAAATTACCGATATGCTGATTGCTATTCTTAACACCTGCTCCAAGGAAGAACTGGAGGATGATGAAACCCCCTCCGCCATTAGCCCCTCTACATCCTCCCCTGCCTCGGCACAGGAACTCGAATCCATCGAAGTCCGGCGACGCGCCATCAAGAACAAAATTCTTGCCATCGGTCGTATCTCTCGTGTGTTCCAGGTGCTCCGCGAGCAGTCCGAGAGTGTCAGTGAGCTGAAAACCGCAAGTGGCGGTCGTCTTCCTCCCGGTACTCTCATGCTCGGTGCCGAAGGTATCAAGCAGGCTATTCATAACTTTGAGGATGCCCGAAAGGTCGATATCCAGAATGAACATCTGCCTCCTAGCCAGGAGGAAGTCCTGCGGTCAAGCGAGGAGACTCGCCGTCTAGCAATGGAGCGTGCTGAGCAGGAAGCTGCCAACGACACCGGACTCGCCACAGTCGCTCGACGAATCAGCATGTAAGATCTTCAAATAGATACTAAGGGAGCTCGGTTGTTGCAAAAGCTAACTATTTGTAACTCAAGGTCTGCCGGTTCCAGTCGCAACCGCCGCCAGCGTGACGCACGCGATTCCAAAGAGGCCTAGGAATGACTGTTTGGCCTTGATTAAATTGATATCATGACACGATCTCTATGTATTTCCTCTTTGCTCTCCAGCGAACGCCCCAAATAGTCAATACCAAATTCTATCCCAGTTATTAAACTGAATCAGGGTAGGACTAGACTACCTAAATAATCTTATTTGATTGGAAAAGTAATTGACTTCACGATGAATCTTGACCGAATTTCAATTTGTATCTTTACTGTACTATGTATATGTTATCCGTACTCGCCGGGCTTAGAATACCAGGATAGGGAAAGTGAAGGGAAATTGCCAGACGCATGACTGTTTCCATAGACAACATTTTTATGGTGTTCTAGCAGTTGTGCTTTTGTACCACGAGCAAGAGAAAAGATAAAGGCATGCCACCGCCAAGTTGCATGGTCCGATCTTCAAAAGGCCTAATACCAATGAATCTTGAAGTACCCCACGCCTAGAATTAGTTGGTCAGATCGAGAGAGTCGATGTCGAAAGGTCGATGTGGATTTATAAAAGTCGAAAGTTGGAATTGAGAGTCGCAAGTTAAAATGTTGGAAAGTCAAGACCTTAAGTTAGATATCGAAGTCGAAAGCTATGGGAAGACAGACTTGAATAGATGCAAGAAATATGAAAGAAAAGACATGATGGAGAGACTACTTATACCCCCACTGACACTTCGAAATTACCTCAAAATTGTCTCGTCCCAATTAGGCATTTTATATACTTCCACATAGTGGGTCAGATATTTAAGCCTTAATATTCAGGCATATATAATTTTCTTCCACGTGATTAACCATGGGGAAAGTTGAGCCTCGCTTCACTTACAAGGGCGCGACCATCAGTCTTCGCTTTACAGCGCTCCAATGCCAGAAAGAATGCGTAGCACGATCAATAAAGGACTGGCACGCTCACTAGGCAGCGCCCGTGCATTCTACTGCCCGTCCTGCGCAATCCGGCGACAAGCGCTCACAACGCGTGCCACTATCAGCACTGACCAAACCACATCCACAAGACGAAGCGGTTGCCTCCTCACATCGGCTTCAAAGTCCGTCGCCCGCTCATATACAAGCTCAGCTATCACCGCTGGAAATACTATTCCGCCACGGCTCAAGGCTCTCCACAATGCTCTTAGTGGTGTCAAACAGGCTTCAATCGAACAAGTGAATCTCAGTCGGCTGCAACTTGCTCTGAGAGGGTTAGAGTCCGAATCGCCGCTAATCCGTGTCGCTGGTGTGTGTTCCTTTCTGTGGTTACTCAATTCGTCGTCGCGGTAAAACACTAATTGTTTATCGGTTGATAGTTCTTGGTCTAGACAACGCAGATTCCGCACGTAAGCTAGTGCGATTGCTCCTTGCTGACCCCTTAGGGCCACGAGAAGACTGGGAGGATTTCCTTGAAGGTTATGACTCTGATCCTTCGCGCGGACTATTGATCCGGTACGGAGTATTTTTCACTCAAGCTACAATGACATCTACTGACGGGTGAAATCTTGCAGATATGGAGAAATCTCCGAAAATATTAACAACGACCTTCTACCCACTATCACTATTCGATCACCCATCTTGAAGAATGGCAACCTAGAGCTCCTTGTCAGCTCAATCGGCTCCGAATCTGACTCGACTGGCACTACACTCTCTGCCGAAACATTTCTCGTTCCCACAGTCACCATCCAAACATCACACTCCGGTCGGCACAATGTCGTCCGTTACCCTGTGCATCGAAGTATCATCTGCGGGACCGGGGTGGACGGTCTGCTGGCATTCAGCACCCTGATAGGCCGTTCAGACCTGAAGAACGAGGCAGCTTCAGTGCGCGGCGCTATTGAGCTGTCCGTAACGGGCTCAAAGCGCAGCAGTGACCGCCTTTCTTTCGTGGATATCCAACGCGCGAGTGCTGCTTTGAATAAAATTCGTGATTCGGCACAAAATGCCATCGAGTATGAGCGTGGGTGGAATAGTAGTGGTGTGCAGCCAGTCATTGACTGGCTTGCATCTCTCGCGTCACCCAAGGAGCAAGTGTTGAACCCGGCCCTTGTTCCGCTGATCGAGTCTCTCCTCGACGCTGCCGATCAAGGAGTTCTTGCTCGAAATTCCAAGGCGATCCTAGCCCAAACACAAGGTATGGTACCTCAAGAAGTTCGGTCCGAGCTTGAACGCGGCGTTGGGGCTTGGGCTGAACGAGCCCATTCAGAGCTCCGTAGTTCCCTTGAAGCAGGCTTCGCTAGTCCAAGATGGCGAGGTCTGGCATGGTGGAAGCTCTTCTGGCGTGTTGATGATGTGAGCATGATCACATCCGAGATACTAGAGAAGAGGTTGCTTCGACGAGCAGAGCAAGAGGTGATCTGGACTTCAGGCAAGTACCAGCAGGCTGGTTTGCTAGAAGAACCTACCACAAAATCCACCCCTGACCAGTCTACTCCGCCCCCCTGGCCAACCCAGATCCCTGATATGCGAACTAAACTGCTTAACACAACTGTTCCATCCCTTCAAGCCCTTGCCCAGAGCCTGGTGCTCTTCAGCGTTTCTACCACAACCCTCACATCAGCACTCTCCGCTCTCACCTACTTCTCCGTGCCTTCTGCCTCCATATATGAATCATGTACCTTGGCCGCAATCGGCCTTATCTACTCTATGCGTCGTCAGCAGAAGAAATGGGGCGTCGCCCGCGACTTCTGGGAGGAAGAGGTTCTTGAAGAGGGCCGAGCGTCTTTGCGGGAGACCGAACACTTTCTGCGACAGATCGCGCGTGAAGGCAAGGATGTGGAAGATTCAACCGATAATCGGGCACGGGAGGTAGTAGATCGTGCTCGAAAAGCCTTGGAAGATATCAAGGTATGATATAGGCTACGCCTTGATCTAGTCTGTATAATTATTCTCATCCTAGAATAGACGCTTCAATGTAAATCTACTCTGCTATCTACCAACAAAACTTGAGCCTAGAACCAATTGAATTCTTCGAGGTCCACTTCAGTTTCAAGCGCATTGGGGAGTGATCCTGATCAGCGATAGATCGGAGTCACACGATCGACTCCGCAAGGCTTGAGATTCGGGTTTGTATGTGTCGGCTTTAATATTATCAAACAGCCTTTGTCTTACAATAGTCGAGTTCTCTCATCTCCAGACACGAGCTATACTCTAAGCCCAACGCCCGATCACACGATCACAGTTAATAAAATAGGAATCAAACATGTTTAATGTTGATACTTGAAAGACTGCAATCTCCTATTGATGATAGATCAAGAGGTGAGATATACGAAGTAGGGAGTACTTCGGTCGTTGGTATAGCCCCTGATAATATTGATGGTTTCAAGATACGCCCCGGTTGATACCCAATTGCCCAATCCGAGCTCAAGATGGGTGGAGATATCCGAGAGAGGGGTTGACTAATTATTTAGTTCAGGAACATGTCCTCTTTTTCTCTTAGCTGTAACAGATTCTCTTAGCGGCAGTCCTAATTGGCGTCCTCTCATTAATCAAATCTGACAAGCCTTTCGGAACAGCTTGAGACCCACCAAATAAAACCCATAGTGGACATTTTACGCCTATCAACCGACAAGATGAACCCAACTATTGGCATTGATCTAGTCAGGGCAAACTTAGGAGGATCTTAATATCCGAATATGAAGGGATTGGTCAGGTTTGTCAACAAGGACCAAAGCAGCCGGTGGAGGCCAACCCGACTACCCCTTTTAGTAATTTTAGTCGTTTTAGTCGTTTGAGCGTTTTGACGCTTGAGTTCTATATCTTTTTGGCACGTTTTTCCGTTCTTTTTTGCTCTTGTTTTGCCTTTCGTTTCTTCAACCACATTCTTTTCTTTAGCCCTACAGGGTGCCCGCTTTGCCCCAGAGACTTGCTGCCCTTCGTTTATCTGCCTTTTGACTTGTTTGATTGGAAGACTTTAGCTGATTCCCTTGTCAATAGTTGAGGTAATTAATGCTATCAATTCCCTCATTGGTGTTTAATTGCTGATGGCCGTCCTTCTCTGTTATAGATCTCACATACAAGGGACCAAAGCTTGATCGACATAATCACATTCATTTTTGACTGAGATAACCTTGAGACTCGTTTAACGATCAGTCGTAAGTTTCATACCCTGATATGTACCTTTGTTTTCCAATCCAATCCTATCCCTCAGGGACCTGGGTGGCCAAAGCAAGGGATTACCTACATTCTTACCCACGAAGGGAGCCACCGATCTAGCATATTCTTGAATGAGATACATTCAGTACTGCTTGATTGGACAGAATCCCAGTCTACGGCAAGAAGCTACGGCATCCACGTCATCAATTATTCTGTTCTGCATCTTATTCATGCAAGAAACCCCAGGTTTAGACTGACATCCATATGTTGACAGTACTGACATCCCCGACCTGTTTACGGTCATTACCTTCTTTCTCACGCCAAATACGACAACCCTGATCGCGCTGTTACTCCTGGCGAGTCATCGGCAGTCGTTTTTTTCCTTCGAAAAAGCTACTCTTTTTTTACCCTTAAAGCCCGTAGACGCGGCTTAGCTATAGCAAAATGCAGGACATTCGCTTGAATGCCGCTCTGGTGGCCTGCTTCACTCTTTTCCCAGCATTTACTGCTGCCTTTTGGCGTCTGCCCTGCCGTGGGACAGCTGGCCTTGCCAGACTTGATCCTCTTGTGTCCCCAGGCCAGATCTCGTCTCATGTGCATTCAATTCACGGGGCAGGAAGTGAGTTTTGCCGCACTTATCAACCCAATACCGAGATCCTAATCGTTATTTATAGATTTCGGCATGAATTCCGATATGGCCTCTCTGCGTGAGTCGAGCTGCACGTCTTGTGCCGTGACGCAAGATAATTCGGCGTATTGGACTCCTGCGCTATACTTCATGCATACAAATGGCAGTGCCGAAGTTGTTGAAGCGGTTGGAGGTATGCTTGCGTAAGTTACTGATTACTCTCTGTTCCAGATAGGTTACTAACTCTCCTTCTTAGATACTATCTCCTTTACGGTGATAATATCACCGCCTTTCCAGATAACTTCCGTATGTTGGCTGGAGATCCTTTCCAGCGAAACTTCACCTATCCAATTCCCGATCCCCCCAAGTCTGATTGGACAGGTGATCAGTTGACACAGGCGGCGCTTCGCCAAAAAGCTATTGGTTTCAACTGCCTGAACTATGAGGAAACCGCCGAGGGCTCCCTATATCGCCATTTCATGCCAAACAAAACCTTCCTCGACGAACAGTGCACAGACGGACTTCGTCTGGAGCTGATGTTCCCCTCCTGCTGGAACGGAAAGGATGTCGACTCTACAGACCACAAATCTCACGTTGCGTATCCCGATCTCGTAATGACTGGTGATTGTCCAGAGGGCTACGAGACACGGCTTGTTTCGCTCTTCTTCGAAACCATCTGGGACACGTACGCTTTCAAGGACGTGGACGGCTACTTTACACTTGCGAATGGCGACCCGACTGGCTTTGGCTACCATGGCGATTTTATGTACGGATGGGAGGATGGAGTGCTGCAAGATGCCGTTGACTCCTGCACAAGTGACACTGGCCTTGTGGAAGACTGTGAAATTTTCGATATCCAATCCCAAACAGATGAGACTCAGTGCACCATTGACTTGCCTGCTGGAATTCGACATGAAAACACTTATATGCATGCTGACGGCTTGCCGGGTAATATGCCTATCGAATGGGGCCCTGGATACGCGATGCAAGCGGACATGTCGATCTCTACTACGGCTGCTGCGGTAGTTTCTCTTTCAGTCAGCTTCCACATAGACCAACAAGTTGCTACGACAACTGAATCTACATCGACCTCGACCACTCCCACGCCGACGCCTGTCGCTTCCACCTACTTAGATACCATCACTGAAGAAATTATCTTTATCGAAAAGGAAATCATCCTCATGTACGACGACGAAAGCGGCATTCCATATGCTACAGAAACTGGCGGCTTAAACGCAGTTTCCTCGACAACGACTACTTTTACAGAGACTGCCACCACAATATCATATGTTGAACGGGACAATGTCGCCGATGAAAAAATCGGCACTATCAACAACCATGCGCGGAGGCATGCGCGCAGTCTGCATCATAGACGAGACAAGTACTAAGACGAGCTGATGGTTATACGCTGGGCGGAAACCTATCCCTTTTCGTATTACGGACCTCTGCACATGTTTTTTTTTGCGTTCTTATGACGTCCAGTTTCCTGCAAGCAGAACTTTCTATTCTTGTAACATGGTTGATAAAATAATACAGTAAATTTAGACCCATCGAGCTATTATCTTCCTTATAGCTTCCAAGGTTCCATCAGTGATATTGAATGATGATGTTTGTGATGCTCAATGTTTCAAACTGTCCTAGCCATAAGCAATTGGACTGCATTATCCAGGCTGATCCAGTCGATAAAACAGTTGTAATCTGCCCCAGCCGGCTTTCTTAAAGTATTCCCCGAGGCTTAAAATGATACCTTGAGTAGGAGATAGCCAAGGCCAGACTCCTGTGAGATCCAGGATCACCTCGTATGATGCTGAGACAATAAGCTATTTCATTTCACACAGCAGCTCAGACTATCTTAACTGATGTCTCAGACCAAATCATAAGTCAGCGGGCGAGAGCTGGACCTGAGCGTTGTTGTCGTGCAACCTCAATGCAAGACGGATGAGACACAAGCAGGACTCGACATTGCAGTAAGAAAATCACCCAACAGATTCTTAAATTTTTAAATTCATCAGTCTTGACAAGTTTTCGAAACCAATCAATTCCTCTGACTTTTTCAAAAGGAACGAGTATCTCGAATGGCCCGGGGATGTTGGTAAATCTAGAATACAGACAGAAACTGCCCAAGAGCAACGTGCAACTATGGACTAATTTGTATGGTAGAGGTAGTTATCTTGATACCAAAGTACATGTAACGTGGAACACGCGCGCTGCCACGATTAACAGCGAGCTCCCTTGAAAGGACTTCAAGGTTATCGACTATCAATATCATTGAAAGTGTCTAGACCCCATTTATCAATCAAAAGGTTGTATCGCGTTAATGCCGACAGGGATATGGGAGGAGCTTGCGAGCAGTGCCCTGGCAGCTCAGCATCTAGAGGTATCCCGACTCTAGTTTAAGATCTCAAAATGAAACTCACCAGCTAACTGCTGGCTTCATTTCTGCTATTTTTATCAGTTGGTGTGACAATCATCATTTTGATCAGTATTGTCGCGATTGTGGGTTACATGTGGTGATATTGAGGTAATTTATCGTAGCTTTGGTGTCCAAGGCAACCACCTGGTTGATAGCAGCTAGAATATTTACGAGATATGACTTTGGACCCGACCTAGGCAATAGCCAGGTACACAGGTGGCGCTGTAGTAGCTAGAAAAGCACTCGATTGAAGTATAAAATGCGGTCAATTCCTACTTCTTCAAGATTCTCAGTCCAGCCTCGATCTACTACATAACACACCTCTTTACTCTGTTCAAAGCCATTCCTCTCAGGTCTCATACTCATATCTACCAAAATTGGAAGCTGAGGTGCCAAAATGCGTTCATATCACTTCACCGCGTTCATTTCACTCGTCTTCACTGCTACCGCGTCGGTATTCCCACGCGAGACGTTTGTCAGTAAGATAGAGCAGGCTTCTCCACCAGTGACAGAAGTTGCTGCACCAACCGTGACTACAGCACCACGTCTTCATTGCTCTGATGGGTCAACAATCCTTCACACGACAGACTGTACCATGGGAACTTCGGTATCTTTCTGTCATAAACCAGAACCCCCAATCAAGTGTGGTAAGGGCTTCTTCCCCTCTGTCTGGCATCCAGATCATTGCATGGAACAGTCAACCTGCTTCCCAGTAGATGCAGACTGGATTACGACAGAGTGCTTAAATGGCGCTATGCCATACTCGACCTCGACACTCTTCGATGGACGATTGTCTGGTGGAGAGTCCACTGTCATCGGTGGTGAGTACATACAAGTTCCCTGCGAGTAAAGAGCTTCGTTAACCTATGTCTAGCTGTTTCTTGCTCGTGTGCTCCGGATCAGTGGTACAGTATGACAATTGCAGATGGTGCCTCTAATGTAGAGATGTTCTGCATGCCTTATAGCTCCTGTCCACCAGGAATGACAACATCTACCAGCACCAATGATTACTGTGCCAGTGCTACAGCCACAGGTGGTGTTTGTGAAAAATCTTCTTCTGAAACGCATTATTGTCAATGTGAGGACCCGATGGAGACTGCTATATATTCAGATGAGCCTGGTAGTCCTGCTATTGGATGTGACAGGGGTTACGAGGGGAAGAAAAAAGTATCGATGGCTTAAACACCCGTGGGCCGTGGACCCCCGAAGGACTTTGTTATTGAAAATTGGACCTGCCAGAGATATCACGGTTGGCAAGGAGATGGAGTTCGTTGATGTGCAGCAGTTTAATTTAAAACGTGGCCAGCTCCCAGAGTTTAAGTGGATGCATTAATACATGGAAATTGAATTTGCTCTATATTTGTGAATCGGTTGTAAAATGAGTTGATGGAGATAGACAAATGAAATCCATAAATGTGTTGAAAGATCCATTAAGTGGATACATATCTTTAGACTTTGCTTTAGTTGTGACTTTATGAACTTCTAGCCTCTGGCTCCAATAGGATCCAGTGAATTCCTGTACATAGGTAACTGTTAAAACGAATCATTGAAATGAACGTGAAAGAGAGAAAAGAAAAGTACAACTGGGAAGGGACAAGAGTATCGTTATTTCAAGCTCGAACTAATTGAATTCGGAAAATGGATTAACTATTGACCGGTATATGATTCAAAAGTTCGAAGATACTGATGTCCTGAGCCCGATAGTGTAGTTGGTTAATCCGTCGCCGAACACCCCGAATACGAATACGAGATTACAGCCGAGCTATCTACCCCAAGGTACACCCGTCAGTTGCCCCCAATTTCTGGACTCGCTAACCTATATCTAGGCCGATCCTATCGGGCCAGATTAACAAATTTTTTGTTGCGCGTATAATGCTCTAGTACGATTCAAGGTCGCTCTTCTTTTATTCTTTCGATTTCCTTTCAGCGATCAGATCTTGTAATGTCTATTTCAAATTTACATATACTCGATCAAAGAGCTCTGCAAGGTTCAATGCCCTATTTTATAGGTTTTTTTAGGTACTGTTGGATACAAAAATTGATGCTGTTTATGCTGTGAGATAGCAGAACCTTGGAATCAAATATGATACTGCGCCTTTAATAATACCAAACAAACTGAGATGAACTGTAATTAAGAATAAGAGTACCCCCTAACTTCATTTCATTCATTATCTTCATATACGTAGGCATCTTTAAGGGCTACAAGTGAAGAATGTTACATTACACGATATAGTTCGGATGAAGTGAAACAAACTGGGTTAAATAAATGCCAGTATTCAATGAGTAACTTTGGACTGCAGGATTGTGAGCATCGATGGTTGAGAGGAAAATCAAGGTCTTGAGATTTTGTCATGTTCACAACTATCTATTTTGAAAATTAAAACCTCCGCAGCTCAACAGCAGGCTGGTTACCAACGGCAGCCTCGATCTCCTCAATAACCTCATCGGTCAACTTATCCACCACAGCCAAAGAACGTACATTATCAAGTACCTGCTCAGGCCGCGAAGCACCAGTGATCATTGAAGAGATATTAGGATTCTTCAGAACCCAAGCCAAAGCCAACTGTGCAGTTGAGACACCCAGCTTTTCAGCAATAGGTTTCAGCGCAGCAGCCTTTTTCAAGTTCTCGGCCCAGGAATCATCGTTGATTGTGGTGCGCAAATTCTTAACATAGCGATCTTCTGACTCCGCCAGACGCGAACCGGGTGGTGGAGCAGTTACATCGTTGTATTTGCCAGTCAAGACGCCACCTTTGAGAGGGGACCAGACGGTCAAACCAAGGCCATGAGCCTCATACAACCAGCGGTACTCCTTCTCAACACGCTCGCGTACGAGGAGGTTGTACTGCGGTTGTTCGACGGCAGGACCCACAAGTCCTAGTCTGTCAGCGATGCGCCATGCGTCTGATATCTCACTGGCTGACCACTCGGATGTGCCCCAGTAGAAAGTCTTCCCAGTGTCAATAAGATAATTGAATGCACGAACAGTCTCTTCCATCGGCGTATCGCGGTCAGGACGGTGTGCGTAGACAATGTCCACGTATGGCAGGTCCAATCGCTTGAGAGAAGCGTTCATTCCCTCGATGATATGCTTTCGCGAGAGGCCGTTGTTGTTCAGTGGCTTATCAGGGTTGGCAGCATTTGCCCTGCCCCAGTAGATCTAGTTGCAGATTGTCAATGGCGTGGCGCAAATGGGTGTTTAGCGAAAAAAGACGTACCTTAGTAGAGATGACTAAGTCATTCTGATTCCAGCCAAACTTCTTGATTGCCTCTCCGAGCACTACCTCGCCTTGTCCGGCGGAGTAGGCCTCTGCAGTATCGAAGAAGTTGACACCAGCATCATATGCAGCCTTCATGCAATTGAAAGCGGTTTCTTTATGCGAGTTAGCGCACGTTCGAATTGGCAGGAAAAAGGGGCTTACCATTCCCGACATGGCCGCCATATGTGAGCCAACTTCCCAGAGATATCACGCTGACTTTTAAACCCGTTCTGCCAAGGTGGCGATAGAGCATTTCTGGTAGTGGATCAGACATGATGGGCGAAGACTGAAGATAAGACTCTAAAAGAAGAAGTTCAAGTAAGGAATGAAGAACCAAAATTTAAGAATCAACTGATTGTAATCTCTTGAAATTGAATTAATAATCCAACCGATGCGGGGTTGAAGTTAGGTGGGGTGGAGATAGAGGTCCGTGATCTATGGGAAGTATGACGCAACCAAGCTATTCTACCAAGATCGATACTACCTAGTTAATTAAAATCAAAGATTGACACCTTTGATACCTGATTTATCCACCGGTCAGGATAGATTGAAAAGCTAGTGAGATCGTGAAGTTTCTCTAGAAATTTCCAATGTGATATCTGCGGTCTTGCACGATACTTGCCTGGCTTCTTTCACTCAATGTATCTATCCCCTACACCCTCTGAGGTTAAGCTATTTATTGCGATTTGGACATATATTGGTATCTATCAAGCTCCATAAGCAGAGATGTATTAGTCCAAGATGTCCCCATACCAATTACCTCCGAATTATTTGAGATAAAAGCGTTTTCAACAAATTAAGCGGGTTTTCTATGTTCCTAACCCTGATCCTGAGGCTGTTACCTAAGAGGCTTTATGGATACATCTAAAGCCAAATCAGTCCTGGTGGTATAAGCTAGAGCCGCTAGCTTCTGGGATTCGAGAGACATATTTGAAATATTGCAGTCGCCGTCGACGAGTCTATGATTCGCAGATTACGGTGATCTCAACATTTATTCAAAATGCCTGATAAACCTTGGAGCGGACTGACTCCCTAGGATTATAAGCTATTTACTATAGCTGACCAGGGATATATACTATACTGGATTTGGGCAAACCGACAAAGACTTTAGTGGAGGTAAGAATATGATAGGCGCTATGAAAAGATTTTTCTCTATGCTTCTCTCTCATGTATTATAGTTTATTCAATTGACTGAAAAAGCTCTTCCAAACCTAGGAACGTCCTGATAGATATGGTCCATATAGATAATTCTTTTACAACTATCCAATTATTCCAGTATCTTCGAGATAGAGGAATACAAATGGTGCCTGTGGGACGACACGACCAAAGACATCTAGAGGGCGTCTTTCCAAAGGCTCTTCATATACCAATGGAGTCAAAAAGCCCAGAACTAGAACGCTTTATCTAGAGCTTCTGTCGATTCGGTCTTATTTTTGTGTGGTAGGATAATATTATTGTTACAGCTTTGTTGCCAATACATACTATCCATAATGCTTCAGACTGGATAACACAAAAACGACTAGCAAAGACATCTACAAGAGCGAAGATTGCCCGAGAGTCTTTCAAGGATTCGCCCACAAAAGCTCTTCTTATCCTTGGTTTAACCAATGATTATAATCATGAGATGGGAGAATTTGATCAGGCAAATCAACTCTTCGCTCTTGGTGGGTGATCTTCTATTGGTTTCTTGATATATTCTGTATAAATGCTTATTGTATTACAAAAATCCATAAATCGCCAAAAGAGGGCTTACAGCCAATAACCCGGCTTGAATTTCTGGTACAGCTCTATAATGAGCTTTTTGAAGAGGGGAGAAAGAGGGAAATGGAGAGGATACAGAGGCAGATATCCTGTAAATTTTGCGCGCAACAGGCTCAGGGGCTCCTCTAAGGTGATTTCGAACCGTTAGGGCTGTAAACCCTGTAAGATTCCTTTATGTAGGTCTGATACAAGGCCTTGTTGGGATTATTTTCATGCCATACGCCAGCCTTTAGATGACAGATGTAAACAGAATGTAATTAGATAATAGAACTAAGCCTATTATAGTTTAGCTATTAAATGGTAATAAGCTATTCATTTAGATTTTCGCCAAGGCGCTAGTTTGGTTGAAATTGAATATCGGTTAATAGTTAGTCCGTGATCTTCATCAATCCGAAATAACTTATTTTATCTAAATTCTGTAAGGTATTATGATATGAAGTGAATAATAGTTGAGCTCTCTCTCTTCTTCTGATTATCCGTTCTGACCCATGAAGATTTAGTGTAAGGAAGCGGGATTTCTCCATCCCTATCTATGCAGCGGAGCTGAGCCGAGGTTCCAGGCAAATGATTCAGGTTATTAAATTTAGCAATCTTCTCGTCGAAACGGGTACATTTCATTATCTTAAGTTTTATTTCTTTTCATAACTGAGAGAATATAATATCCATTTTTGAAGGCACGGGACTTTAGTAAGCCCGATGGTCTCAAACACACTTTCCTCCATCCACCACCATCTCTGTGCCATTAATGAAGCTTCCCTCATCACTAGCAAGGTAAATACACATATTGGCAACATCATCCGCCTCAGTCAAACGACCCAGGGGAACATTCCCAGTAAACTTCTCTCGGTTCTCTGGTGTGTCTTCCATACCAGTGAACGTGGAAAATAGACCAGTACCCGAAAGTAATGGCGCTACGCTGTTGACACGAATATTATGGGGACCATACTCTACTGCAAGACCCCTAGTAGCCTGGGCAATTAAGACAGGAGTTAGTAATTAAACTCATCTGTTGTATATTGTGGATACTTGCATTTGTGACTGCAGCCTTGGATGCATTGTACCATACCAGGCCTGGACGAGGACGACTAGCACCTGTTGACGAAATGTTGATCATTGAGCCGCCTGATCCTTGCTCAGCTATGCGCGGGAGAATGACTGCTCCAGAAAGGTATATGCTCTTGACGTTGACTCTGAATACTCTCTCCCATTCATCATCCGTCACCTCCTCGGTAGGCTATACAAATGTGAGTGACTTGTGTGGAGCCACTAGGCAGAGAAGAGTATACCTTGTTCCTGTAGGAAGTACCAGCATTGTTCACCACAACATCCAGCCGTCCATATTCAGAAAATGCCAAATTAGCAACAGTATGCCAGTCTTCTCTCTGTGTAACATCCATTTTCTGGAAAATGATATTGGGACTCGATGCAGCTATTTTCTCTCCTCCTTCGACGTTGATGTCGGTAATGATAACTTTGGCGCTTTCTTGGGCGTATCTGTTCGCAATAGCAGCTCCGAAACCAGAGCCTCCACCTATGTAATATGAGAAATGCTTCATAAGGAGCAGTTGAGTGCTTTCCTACCGGTGATGAGGGCAACTTTGCCCTGCAGTCTTGAGCCTTGAGACATGTTGAGAAGAGTAGGTACTGGCTGCTGGAAATAAGGAATGAGAAAAGCTGATTATATGGACAGAGATAGAGAAGAGCAAAAAGTGAAGAGGTGAAGAAGAGTTTTAGGGCTGTTTCCCCGCATTCAAATGTCGACTGCATATTCTCGATTTGGAAGGTTCGGCTAGTATACTTGGCCCAGTTGGCATCTGCATACCGAGGTAAACCTATGCCCTATATATGTATCTGATCTACATCATATATCTAAAGGTTCAAAGAATAATCTAACCGTCTTCGAATAAATTTCAACTCCTTCACCTGTTGCGGTTGACCGGTGACCCACTCTGAGGTCGGTGGTCTGATTATGTGGAGATGTATACATTCTCACAGGTACGCTGCAGAAGTCGTGATGATTTCTTTCTCTCTGGTTTTACAGATGAACTTCACGAGGGTAGGTTAAGCTGTCGAAGTAAGTGTATGCTCCGTAGTATAAGGAGTATCAACCAGTAAAGAGATTGTGGAGAAGAGCGGGTTCTCCACTTCCACGCGGGGAAATAAAGATGTGGAGGTAAAAAGATTGCAAAGTATGTAATCTTGTTTTTGTACGAAAAGTCATGGTGGCCTGATGGCGTGGCCTGAGAGATACTTACTACGTGGTACTATAGATTAAAAAAAATAGGAGATTAATAACAACGTTTCGTCGCTTTAGTTGGACTTGAACACCCCGAGAATCTTTCTTTTGTGTTCCCTCCGTTTTCATCTTCCCCTAGCTATTTTATCCCCCTTACTGCATTCTTGAAAACAAGATTGAAGACTCATCTCCTAACATGCAACCCGCCTTTATCGCGAGATCGTAAACCATGAGTGTTCCGAGATCCCTGCGATCAGCGCTGCGCCCGTGTCTCACGGTTCCCAGTGCATGCGCAGGGAATTTGTTGCTGTCAGGCACGCAAGCTGGTAAGCTTTCAATTCGGGCTACATATACGTTATTTGCTAAAAATAGAACCCTTCAGTTTCTCAAGCTCGTCAAACAGCCTTTTCGTCCCGAAAGAATCTGCCTAAATGGTCCTGTGTCTCCCAGCGCTTTGCATCAACAACCGCGGCTGAGAGTTCCGTACCGACTATTTCATACTCCGACTTGACCGTGGGTGTGCCCCGAGAAACATACCAAGATGAGCGCCGCGTGGCAATCACTCCCCAGAACGTGACTCTTCTACTGAAGAAAGGCTTCTCGCGAGTGTTGATTGAACGCGGTGCTGGTGATGGTGCACTGTTTCTGGACGACGCTTTCAAGAAAGCCGGCGCGACCATTGTTGATCGGGATGCTGTCTGGTCGGATAGTGATATTGTCCTGAAGGTTCGACCTCCCACGGCCGATGGTTCAGTCAGTGAAGTAAACGCTCTCCGCAAAGGTTCCACGATCATTTCCTTCTTGTACCCAGCCCAGAACAAGTCTATCGTTGACGCACTTGCTGCTCGTGGCGTGACCTCTTTCGCTATGGATCGCATCCCGCGTATCTCGCGTGCCCAGACTTTTGATGCCCTTAGCTCCATGGCCAACATCGCAGGATACAAAGCGGTTCTAGAGGCTTCAAATCACTTCGGTCGATTCCTGACTGGTCAAGTCACTGCTGCTGGAAAAATCCCCCTAGTAAAGTTCTTGTCATAGGTGCTGGTGTAGCTGGTCTCAGTGCTATTGCCTCAGCTCGTCGCATGGGTGCTATCGTTCGTGGTTTTGATACTCGCCCCGCTGTGCGCGAGCAGGTTCAATCCTTAGGTGCTGAATTCATCGAGGTAGATCTGCAGGAGGATGGTGCGGGTCACGGTGGTTATGCGAAGGAAATGTCCAAGGAATTTATCGAAGCCGAAATGAAACTGTTCATGGAACAAGCTCGCGAGGTTGATATTATCATCACGACTGCTTTAATTCCCGGAAAGCCTGCACCCAAGCTGATTACCAAGGAGATGGTTGCTGCTATGAAGCCTGGTTCAGTCATTGTTGATCTTGCCGCTGAGGCTGGAGGAAACTGTGAAGCAACTGTCCCTGGAAAGCTGTCTCGCTACAAAGATGTCGCTATCATCGGCTACACCGATCTTCCGTCCCGTCTACCTACTCAGTCCTCGACCTTGTATTCCAACAATATCATCAAGTACCTTCTATCAATGGCCCCCGAGGAGAAGTCATTTGGTATCGACTTCAAAGACGAGGTTGTTCGAGGTTCCATCGTCGTCTTTAACGGTGAAGTTATTCCACCGGCACCGCCTGCTGCACCGCCAGCCCCCAAGCCAGAGGCTGAGGTACTAGCTGCGAGGCCAAAGGAAGTTGTGGCCCTTACTCCATTGAAAAAGGTAACCCGAGAAGTTTCGCTCCTCACTGGAGCAATGGGCACCGCATTGGCTCTTGGAAAGGCGACAGGTCCAATCTTCATGGGCAACATGATGACCTTTGGTCTCGCAGGACTGGTTGGATATCGTGCCGTATGGGGTGTTGCTCCTGCGCTACACTCACCACTTATGAGTGTTACCAATGCAATCTCTGGTATGGTCGGCATCGGCGGTCTGTTCATCATGGGTGGCGGCTTCGTTCCTCACACTTTCCCCGAATATCTTGGTGCAGCATCAGTGCTTCTGGCCTTTATCAATGTCTCTGGAGGCTTCGTAGTGTCAAAACGTATGCTAGATATGTTCAAGCGACCGACTGATCCTCCAGAGTATCCATGGTTATATGCTGTGCCTGCACTCGTATTTGGTGGTGGATTCCTTGCGGCTGCCAGCACGGGAATGTCTGGTCTGGTTCAGGCTGGATACCTCATCAGCACAATCTGCTGCATGGGCTCTATCTCTGCCCTTGCCTCGCAGCAGACTGCCCGTCGCGGAAATATCCTCGGCATTCTGGGAGTGCTGACTGGTATTCTTGCCTCACTGGCCGCAGTGGGTTTCTCGAAAGAGACTTTGACGCAATTTCTTACCGTTGCTGGAGTAGGTGCTGTGGTAGGAACGTTGATAGGTGGACGGATCACCCCAACCAGTCTTCCCCAGACAGTTGCTGCGCTGCATTCAGTCGTTGGTCTGGCTGCTGTGATGACAAGCATCGGCAGCGTACTGGCTGAAATTGAAGATATCTCGACTCTGAACATGGTTACAGCATACCTGGGTGTCATAATCGGTGGAATAACCTTCACCGGTTCGATCGTGGCGTTCCTAAAACTAGCCGGTCGTATGTCCTCTAAGCCAACAATTCTCCCTGGTCGTCATGTCGTCAACTCAACATTGCTGGGCAGCAATATCGCAACGATGGGAGTTTTCGTAACCATGGCACCCGCAAATCCCGGCATTGCAGCAGCTTGTCTCGGTACCAGTACTATTCTTAGTTTCTTAAAGGGATACACTACAACAGCAGCCATCGGAGGTGCGGACATGCCTGTTGTCATCACCGTTCTGAATGCCTACTCTGGATTCGCACTAGTTGCCGAGGGTCTGATGCTCAATAACCCACTGTTGACGAGTGTTGGATCCCTCATTGGAGTCAGCGGCTCTATCCTGTCGTACATTATGTGTGTCGCCATGAATAGATCTATCACAAATGTCCTGTTTGGCGGGAATTCTGCCCCAGCACAGTCCCAGAAGAAGATTGAGGGAGAAGTGAAGCAAACAAGTATTGACGATACCGTGGAGGCACTTCAGGGAGCCGAAAGTGTGATTATTATTGTCGGTTACGGCATGGCTGTTGCAAAAGCGCAGTACGCCCTCGCCGAGATCGTAAGTATTTTGCGGTCTCGGGGCGTGAAGGTCCGCTTTGCCATTCATCCCGTCGCTGGTCGCATGCCTGGTCAATGCAATGTGCTTCTTGCTGAGGCATCCGTACCATACGATAGTAAGTTGTTATTCTACTGTCTTTACAGCCAAACACTAACCATGTACTACTTCTAGTTGTTCTTGAAATGGATGAGATCAACGACGACTTTTCTGACACAGATGTCACTCTCGTCATTGGTGCAAACGATACAGTCAACCCTATTGCTATGGAGCCTGACTCTGCAATCTCCGGAATGCCTGTCCTGCATGCCTGGAAGAGTAAAGAAGTCATTGTCATGAAGCGTGGCATGTCGAGTGGATACGGTAAGTCTCATTGAAACTTATCAAGTCAGATCTAGCTAACATTTTGATTAAGCTGATGTCCCCAACCCCATGTTCTTCATGCCAGGTACTAGAATGCTGTTTGGCGATGCTAAGACATCCTGTGATGGTAAGACCCTCCTTATATCCACTTGATCCAGTCTGCTAACTCGAGTTTTCTATAGCCATCAAAGCTGCCTTGGAGTCACAAAAGTAGGCAGTAAATATCGGAAGTAATGGATGGCTACTTAGTAATACTACGTGCTGTATCTGTAGGCTACCGTAGCTTCCAAATCTTATTCTTCCATTTATCACACCTCTTCCTTGCACCTTCACTACTTGAAACTTCCTTCTCGGAGAGAGGATCTAGATAGATGGCCTATCTTGAGAATTATTTCGGTACTAGATCATTAGATAATAATATTCTAGTCCACAGGTACTTCCCTTGGGATCAGATGCTACCTAGAGGTTATAAATAGAAAACAGAGCCTGGGCAAAGAAAAGCCGGGAACACAAGTATCTATATATACTCGGAGTCTCATACAACCTGATAGCCTCGATCAGCAATGTTTTCCGAGGCTACACAGTATAGGAAATGCCCCGACTGTCGTGCAACCCGGAAGAATCCGACAATATTCTCCGATTCAGTGTCCCAACAAGACCTGCATGAACCTAATTCGATTCCTGGGCATATGGATTATCCAATAGGATGTGCATTCTTACCAAAGGTCCCAAGGTGCCTTCGACAAAGCTTGTAGAGGGGTTATTCATGCAGAGAAAGCCTCGTACAAGTAGTAACAAGAACAGCGTCCAACCGTATGTGGAACTTCCGAAAGACCGGCATTATCATTTTTAAGTAAATAGCTTGGTAATGTCGTCGATCTAGTCTTTAGGGGAATTCGCTCTAATGGCCAACAATTCTCAAAATAGATCAATATTCTTCATAATTATCGATAGTTTTAGGTGTCCCATGGTGGAGAATGAGATTAGAAGGTGAAGTAGAAATGATATCCGCTAGCTTTATTCAGGACTAGCTCTGGCCTAATTAGGCCTAGCTCTAAAATTGTGGCTAGATAACTCTTTGTAGTGATTAGATCAGACCTTCCTTCGTCTTGCGTACACTGAGCATAGAAACGAACACCTAGTTGGAACAGACTCCAAAGTATCAGATAAACTACTATGATATTTCATTGAATACAGGAATTAAAGTCTGAGTGAGTAAACGATCGAGGAAAGCGACAAAAAGAGTTCAAGGTCACAGCCACCGAGCAGGCTTAACAATTTGATTACTGAATTGAGACCGAACTGCGTGTCGAGCTCAATATCGCATTGGCAGTGCGTCAAGTTCCACCATGGCTGAGTTTGTCGAATTCCTGGAACAAGCAGAAGCCCTATGCAGCACATTAACGAGCCTCAGGATAATGAAGATCTGGCCATGATGAGAAGGATTAATCTCGATTAAAGAATTCTCGGATACGAGATATGAGTTTATTCAGTCGTGGCCGGTTTTTTTTTTTGAAGACGACAACACCGATGTAATGCCAAAAAGCATCAAGAAGCGAGTACTGTGCTTCAAAATTCAGAATCAGCAGGAGTGTTTTCAAAATGATTATCAATACTAGCAAGATAAGAGTAAGAACACCCAACTAAAACAAAAATCCGCCATGAAACTCGAATATCAATCAAATTGCCCTTCCCAAGATTAATTAGACTCTGAAAGCTCTCTTTCCCAGTTTAAGTCCCATAAACCCCCGGCTCGTATGATTAGAGCTACTGTGGCGTGCATGACGGGACTGACTTGATTTCCGCACGATATGCAAGTCATGTTTTGATGGACTTTTAGATTGAGGGTGTAAGGGTGCAGGAGCGATGCTCATATCCATTTCTGAGCGGAGACTGCTCATGGAGTGAACGCTTGACGAGGTAGAGTGCTTGCGTGTCATGCGGCGCATCATGGGTGGGCGGTGCGTAAGGAGGTTAGAAACGCTGTGACTGGGCGTGGGGGCACGTTGAGCTGGGTATAAAGTTGTGGAGGTGAGTGAGATGGGGCTACAGGATCGGGTAAAGGAGGCTGAGTCGTTCTTTTCTGGGACGTATCCATGGTGTGGATCTTCTGGGAATGGGGATGTGGAGCGAGATGAGTAGGATTGCACGCTACTGTTGCTGCTGCTACGGATCGACGCCGGACGCCGGCTAGATGATTCCGTGGGTCTTCGAGGGCGGGCAAAATCTGCTTGGGGCTTCTCGAGGCCCGACGCGTGTAAACGAGATTGGAAATCTGGCTGTGGTCGCATGCGCGGTGATGGTGGGAGGTAAAATGTGTCCGGGATTTCTGATACGCGATTGATGGTGGCACTGAGTGCCTGTGCTGACTGCGATATCTCACGCGGTAGAGACTTGTCCATCAGTTTTACAGTGGCCTGTTCATGTTCTGCGAGTGCTCTATCTCGAGCGGCTGTGGGCTTCAGATCTTGACATGGGATATCGAGTAGATGTTCCCCCATAAAGATAGGAGAGTCGCGATCTCGAGTGTTACCCCGGGAGCGTGTGTTGGGCTTAGTCTTCGCGCTCTTTGCTCTAGACTTGATAAAAACCAATAGTGGCCGATTTGGTGGTTCAATCATGGTAATCTTTCTAGCAATCTGGATCTCGGCGTTTTCCATAGAGAATATAGATGATGGTGAAGAGGATCTAGTTCGTGACGTACTTCTGATCGGAGGAGATTCGGGTTGGACATATATGGTCGGCCGTATGAGAATGCCGGATGCCAGAACGGGAGTGCTGTCCGGCGAAGGAATTTCGAGAATCAATTCACCTTCTGGGTCAAAGACATAATTGTCTTCGGCAAAAGTGGTGTCACTGCTCCTCTTGACGGTGTCGATAGAAACTGGTCGTGGCCGCTTAGCCGGGTATGGAGCACGTAGATTCTTCTCTCGGTCTGAATCAGGATATTTGAGAGGGTTCTCATCGGCACTGAGGTCTGAGTCTAATGCTTCGGCGGCTTGTTGTGAGCCTACCAGCGAGGGCACAAAGTCGTGTCCGGCATCTGACTCGGACATATCTTCTTCATCAGACTCGTATCGCTTCTGAAGGCTTTGTCGGCTCAAGTGGCGGAACTGTGAATCACTTGGCTCGAACATCTCCATGGAATAATGGTATCTAATCAACGAATTGTGTTCCTGGTTCAAACAATTCAGGGTAGAGTAGTAGAAGAGGAAGTCACAGCAAAAGCGATTTCGACCTGCGAATCTGGAAATCTGAAACCCCAATAGATCAATCAAACCTAAAAAAAGCCTTAGCTTCTTAATCCTTAGATTCAGGATATGCAGATCTAATTCTGCGGGCAACAGAATTGTTTTAAAGAGCGGGAAGGAACCAGGGCAAGAACAGGGCAAGACTAGGGGAAAAAATCAACCGATGACGAAGTGTCAAGTATGAAGGATCTAACCCTTCAAGTTCTGGATTTCCCTGTCAGAGGGGAAGGGACATTTTTAGTACTGCAGAGCGCTTCTAGTGTTATATGCAGGAGGGGACAACCTCCAGGACTTGGATCCCTGTCCACGTGTAGACCAAATGAGTTTTCAATGATTTGCTTTTTCCTGCAGGAGTGTACATTGGTATTGGACGCCAAACTAATGCAAATGTACAATATTGGATCTTCAGCTGGGGAGGAAAAGTAGGTTAAATGCGGAGATGATTGGAGGGAAAAGAGGAGGGGGGTTGTCCACCCTTGCTCGGTGGGCCTTGTATAAGCCATTGTGAACATGTACATCGTGGCGCGCAAGGCTGTAAAGTCAATACGGTTTCTTGTAACGCTTTCACAGGATCTGATATGTCACTTTGAGCTGTCGTTGGTTGAAGGGCGATTTAGCTAGCGTTGGGTGTCGCTGGGTACGATGTATCATTGGCGCTTTACGGGAGCCGAAGAAATTAGTGGCGGCTATAGATTACATGATTCATGTCATAAGTTTGGTAGGAAGAAAGATTTAAGACTATTTTTATTATTAGATGGAAGGAAGAATAAGAAAGGAGGAACGTTTGAAAATTAACCGTTCTATACCGGTCCCTGGGCTTGTTTACTTCAAACACGCTAAGCCAAACACCCTAGAATACACTACCTATTTAGGGCTCGATCAAAGTACTTTCATTACCACATCATTCATCGGAAAATTATATGGTAATACCCACATCTACCTACTTACATACCCTTGAGCCTTGGAAGGAACCTTGGGACCAGCCCTGGAGGGCTTCAGGGGGTTCAAGGACATGAAGAAACCAGGCTCAAATCTGATGTAAGAATTGATCCTTCAAGGCATTGAATACCAACGGTCATTTAGCAAGCATCGCATGTATAATCCTACTCCTTCAGAATGCAGGAACAGTTTAACTTCTGAGGAATACTTGGTACCTGGGCAGTAACGACTAAAATTACATACAAAAAAAAAAAAACCCCTTGGAAATAGCCTCCTTGCATGGCTAAGATCGGCGACTTCTGTTCCATTCATACCTCTTTAAAGAACTAGTTGATTAATATCGGCTCAATAATGGGAGCTTAATTTACTCATATTATCTATCATCTGCACCGAGTAAAGATAGTAGGTAATAGTGATACCCGTGGACTGCACACCCAATACATTTCCAAAGCTCAAAGATTACTCTCTTATTGCATTTTCCATTGAGCAAGGACTGCTACTTATCTTCATATCTCCTGACAGCTCGAATATCGATCTACAAACGCCAGGTGGTTTCGAAGCTTTGAAACTAATCCAGTCCATATCGGAACACCATGCCATGAGATGAGCTAGCCCTAAGCTCGGACGCAGCAGCCGTCTATTTCGCGACTATGTCGCTTCAATTTTCTTTCCTAGCCTCGCCATGGCCCTAGCGCAAACATTAGAATCGTCAAATGTATTGTTTAATTCTCTAAATTACCCGAACGCTGGAGTACACGCAAGGTATTGATTATCCTCTCTCGAAGTAATGTGAATCGAGTACACGGTAGTTTAGCAACGACAAACCACAAATAAGGTACTATATCTCAAAACTAGGTCTTATTTGATTCTTCACTCGTGGAAGTGGTGCATATCTCCGCGTGGACCTCTCAATTTGGACTTGTTGTTGTCGAGGACAGTTTGGAATACGGCGAGAGATTCTGGGTGGAGTAGGAAATAGCGCAGATCACCGTTCCTCGTTGCAGGCTGGACTTGTCACTTTGTGGCGTTGTTTGTCCAATGTTGCACAGGTCAACATGCACGGATCTACCAGCTTCCAAGGTTGGTTCCTGCATGAGACTTTGAGCGGAAGTGATGTGATATCGCTCATCGAGTTTCCCCATCAACAGTGTTTGTTGTTTACATGAAGAGCTGGGACCATTACTTCTTGTTTCTATCCACTGCTTGTTCCCAAGATTGTTTATTAATCTGAATTATGGAAATATGTACTTTGGAAGCACATATGGCGATCATGATACCAGCCTCAATCGAAGTATAATCAGCTTCCTTGCTCTATGACCAGCCACTGTTGACTGAAGAGAAGGCCTTTAGACTCGCATAATGGATTACATTTTGTATATTATGAGCAGCTAATTTCGAAGTACCGTAACAGTGAAGTGGATGCAGTCGAAAAGGGGCCTGCGACTAGCAGGCTAGTAAAAGCAACAATAGACAGAAGAAGATGACGTTATAAAATACAGCCAGGAAAGGAGACTGCCCCCGGACAGGTCGTATGAAAAAGAAAAGAAGTTATCTCGTTCCAGACTGCGCCGTTGATACAGCCTCCTCCCAGCACCCATATGCCGCGGTAGACCACCAACCCATAACTATTGAGCCTGGCATCATGAAGGGTCGTTCATTAAAAGATTTAAAAATGGATTAACCATGGAGCAGCTACTGCTCCACTCTTCTCTTGCTCCGCAACACCGGAGCCGCAAAAATGTGCGAAGAATTTTATTTTTCGAAGCCTCGTCATCATCAGTGAATCGCGCCATTATTACACCAACCCTTACTCCAGGGATTTAAACAGTCAAGCTTAAACCCCCTCGCTTGTAAGATCACTTAAGCTTTGCGAGAGCGGGTGACAGGGCCGTTTGAGCGGTCGCTAGCGGTGGCGCTAGTCTTGGTACCAGCGGGGGATGGGATCTCAAAGTTGCGCATGTCGATGAGAGTGTCCTTTCCAGTGTTGCGGCGAGGGCGTCCAACCTTGGCAGCCTTCTTATAGGTGACAATGTAGAAGGAGATGAACAGGAACAGGTAAGAAGTGATGATACCCATACCGGCAAAGGCAGCAAACTCCTCGCCAGCACATTTGCCCATGTTGGGAGCCCAGGGGAAGTAGGTGGAGGAGAAGTAGGTGTAAGAGGCGAAGTAGATGAAGCCGAGGTCAACGACAAACTGGAGGATCTGCAGGATGGTAATGTACTGCTTCCACCAGATGCGAATGCCACGGGCACTCTGGAAGTAGTACCAGTACATGACAACGTGGACCAGGAGGTTGATGGTGATGGGAACCCATTGCACGGCGGTCAGACCAATGAGCTGAGTGTAGCACAGAAGGGCAGTGGCACCATGGTGGTAGGTGTGGAGGAAAGTCAAGGGCTTCTTCTTGAGAACCAGGAAAACAGTGTCCAGGAGTTCGACATATTTGTTGACATAGTTGAGCTAAAGGGGGCATATTGTTAGTCGCGTCAATTCAAATAATTTTCTATGGATAATGCGATACTCACGTAGTACAGAATGACCAGGGGCTGTGTCCATCCACCCTCGTGCTCGCAGATAGAGTAGAAGACACCACCACGGACAAGGGTTGGCACGAGCTGCTCGACGAAAAGTGCCAGGAGAATACCGCTGACTGCAGTCAAGAGGAAGTTGTGGATCATGAAAAGGGTGTTGAGCTTGAATGCGGGAAGGTTCTTCATGACCTCACGACCGCCGAAGATGACAATATAGTAGGTGACTAGGATAGCAGCGGTCTCCTTGAAGGTCGACAGAGGGGTGGAGCCCTCAACAAACTTGAACTCGCTAGCAGGGTATCCCATGACCTTCTCGACAGCCTGATCGAAGATGGGCCATAGGTGAATACCAAATGGCCGATCGATAGTTGGGAGGGGCACATTCTTCAGTAATTCAGACGCCATGATGGATTGTGTTGAAGCAAATGGAAATTAAAAGAGGCAGTAAGAGACAGTACTGGGAGATAAGAAAAGCGAAAGCTTCTTGAATATCTCAGACCACAACACAGCAGTCAGGATGAGACAAAGAAGAGAAAAGGAATTGAAAAGAAGAGAAGTTGAGAGGAAGGGAAGGAAACAGGAGAACTGGCTCGATGTTACTTTTTTGCGGCCGGCGCGCCCGCTACCCATGGCCCAATTGGGACTAGCGTATGTTGTGTAAAAGGGGGAAATTCACTGTGGATTACCGAGGGTCGCTCTTTCCTACTTTTGTGCTTTTTTATCAGTTTTAATTTGGTTCTAATGAACACAATTCTATGAATTGATCCGATCTCCGGGTAAACCTCTATTCTTTTCCCCCAATGTTGATTGTATTTTTCACTGTTTATGTATCAAGGTTGTGAAGCAATTTTATGCTCACTAGTTCACAATTCAGCTGTTTTCGGCTTTAGGACTTGTCTACAGAGTAGATACGTCTATTTCCTTCGATTTTACTCTATGTAACCTTCGAAGTTATCGCCCATGTGTATCAAATTGAAATACGCCGGATTTTCCTTCAGGCAAGACAATGTCCACCGGTTACACCTGTCCAGATCCCATAAATATATACCTCGGCCCCCGATAACGAATTCATATGCAAAACTACTTACCTAGGTAGGTAATGTTCCAAGGCTCTATCCATCACAGCTCTCCAACGATACCTCAGTTGTCAATGTTGTGATTCTCTGATCTATACCTAGGTAGGTAGGGCACCTCCAGTCCCCGGGTGGTGCAGCATTTTCAATCCTGGAAGTTGGAATTGGCAGCAGCGTCAATTTTGTCTATGAGGTAGTGGCAATGGGCTGAATCGATCCATTATTACCTCATCCACAGTGATAATCGCACTATTCACATAGGCAGGCCTCTCAGAGCCTCGGAGCACTTGCCCAGGCCAAACCCATGGCTGTTACCTGGGAGTACAGAAGACACAAGCTATCTAGGTAGAGGTTAACAATTCACTACCTGGGCATTTAGACACCCCATTATGCAGCCATAGAGTGGGGCAGCCTTGAAGAATTTCATCCTGAGATCCCGAGGTCGTCACCGATACAACCTTAATGCTGGGGTCTCAGAGTAGTCACCGTATACAATGATAGTATAGATGTTGCGACAGCCGAGAAACAAGGCCATCAACAGACGGAAAGTATTTCGGCCGAAAAAGCTTCTGCCGAGACAGCGACTCCGGAACTGGATTAGTATATCACGGCATCCTTGAACGATATGCATTCATCGCAAACGACACCCTTGAGCGATGTGCATTCGCGACAGTAATGTCCCGTCTTCACCGTCTCTTCTGTCTCGGACGAATGTTGACATTCGTCCAGAGCAGAGGGGCACCCATATACTATAAGTAGCTAGTTCTTTCATCAATGAAAAAGCAGACTTCACAACAACCACAATATTCAGTACTGTAGAGACCACTACACTTGGTGGTTTGTCTACGGTGTTGAGTAGTGGTTCGTTGGAGCTCACCGTTCTCAGACAAGATATTCGAATATCGCCAAGCGAGCGACAATAGACCTCTACTCCATCCCAGTAGACGTGTTTAACATCACTCGCAAGGAATATGAACGTCAAAGTGATGGTGTGATGGGTTCGAGTAACTTAGAGCAACAACTGGTTCGCCAACTCAGACCACTTCAGCAAGCAACACGCGAGCCTAGTGCAGAGAATATCGGATTGAACCGACCACATGCACGACCTAGGTAGATGTATAAGCCGTGGACAAGAACTCTGAAAGGTTGAACTGAAGCCCGATTCCAAGCTTGGGCGGCTCCTTTGATCTCACGAAATAGTAGATTATAGATCTCAAGTATGGCCTCATTGGAAGGTTTGAACATCTGCAAGATGGATGTTGGTATACTAGGATATAATACCACATGTCCTATTGGATCACAATCAGTTGGCAGTCTGGGGGTATAGCCACTAATAACAAAATATATTAGGAACTATGTTCATTTTGGGTAAAGAACGAACGCTCATGCCATGTACAGGCTGACCAATGATACTCACTGGAGACGATGTGACACCTATCCTGACCAATCATAGCAATGAATTTACTATCGATCGGGCATATCGGATGATGACTCAGCTTATTTTTAATGCGGCCTAAGGCAACGACACCACACCACCCGCAAAATCCAGCCGTTTACAACAACGACCCTTCCCTCTCCTTCTTGACCCATCCACTCTCCCCTCAACTCTGCTCCCATTAATTGACCTCGGTCTCCAATCTATCGACCAGACATGTCCTCCCTCTCTATCTTCCGTATCGCGACCCGCGCCGTCCGACCTACCACTTTCGTCCGAGCTCCGATTGTCTCCCGAGTGCAGACCCCAGTTACTCTGGCTGCCCGCGCCCGTACCTTCGGTACTACCTCCAAGCTCCTCTCCGGTCACGAGGACGAGACATTCGAGGAGTTCTCTGCCCGGTACGATATCCATAGCCTCTGCAATCGTTGAAGGAGAGGTCGGAACCTTGGGCAGAGCGCCTGCCAGGCGCTTGCCGGATTCCGCATCATTGATCCTCTGTGCTGAATGAAAAAGAATATGATTTGCTGACTTTGAGTCCTAATTGTAGCTTTGAAAAGGAATTTGAGGGTGTGCAGGATGTTTTCGAGCTGCAGGTAAGACTAACCATTGGCATACGCATCATCTATCCGTTCGGATAAATCCGACGCCAGTGCCCCATCAGCATTACGTCTAAACTTAAACTAAACAATTAATTGTAGCGCAACCTGAACAACTGCTTCGCTTACGATCTTGTCCCCTCCGTCGAGGTCCTGACTGCCGCCCTTAAGGCCGCCCGTCGTGTCAACGACTACCCCACCGCCGTCCGTGTTTTCGAGGGTATGTGCACACCACCAACTTCAGATATCAAATGTCGATATCAATTGGATGTATAGACTAACCATACGTATTATAACAGGTGTCAAGGCTAAGGTCGAGAACAAGGAACAGTACAAGCAATATCTCGAGGCTCTTGAGGGTTTGCGCCTGGAGCTCGGTGTCGCTCTCCGGGAAGAGCTCTTCCCCGCCGAGGAGTAAATTAGCGTTGATCGTTGTTCTATTGAAACCAATTTCCCCCACTCAGCACCCAAATTCAACTCCCATGTCGCGGATGGCCGATCACGCATATTACCTTCTCGTTGACTGAGATACAGATCGGGCACAGAGGACGCTGTATCATACATTAGAAATCTCCTGTGCCGTTAGTGCAGTCGTTGTTGGAATATAGTCTCTTGAGTACTAATTGGTACTTAATTCATTTCACCTTGTTTACCGCTGTACAACTTTTGAAACCTACTCTTCTAGGTCTTCGCTAACACGTCTTGATGTATTGGTTGACTCCTTGGAGTAACATTGATAATGTCCTGCTGGATTGAAGCCAAATTATCGGAGAGCAAACATTGCTCTTCTAACAAGGAGGTTTATTAGTGGTGTTCGATAATCATGGCATTGACATCTTTATGTACCCTCGGTTCTGTTACTCTCATTCTTCCAAGTTAAAAAACAATTCTTCGAAACTCAACATCAATTTTGAACAAAGTATTACCTCAGAAGATTGCCCATGTGCGATCAATATAGGTACAGAGAAGATCTGCTAAGGTTCTGTGATAGATCCAGAGCAGCCAGAATGTATTTTGTCAAGAAAAAATCAAGGAAAAAAAACCATGACATAATTAGAACCGGGAAATCACAGAATTCATCAAGTTATTTGTACGCTCAAAACGCCAGGTACCTAACCAACTACCTGTCAGGAATATACTCACCGGGTATGCAAATGTGATGCGAAGGTTATAGAGTCATGGAATGACAGAAGTCGAGGCAATTAGCTCTCTGTCTGTCACTCAGTGTGTTCCAACATACTTGAAGTAAGTAGGTCGGCAGTCCTCTTCTTGGAGAAAGTCTGCACCAGCGTAAGATTTGCCAGGGGTGCAGCCTTTACACTTGGGTGAGTTGGGGCAGTTGTAGTAGGGAATGTGATTGTATCCAATGTCGCGGAACCTAAACAGAAAAAAAAAGTAAGTCGGATGTCTATCTATGTTACAGTGAGATCAGAAACGTACCAATGCACATTGGCTGCATCTGCAAACAGACCAACGCCGAGAGAGTGGACTGGCGCATCGCCCCATCGCTCATAGTAGAAGCCACCGGCACGGTCCAGGTGCTGGAAATAGGCCTCGTACTTGTCACCACGGAAGAAATCCATGTCACCCACTTCAAAGTTGGACCAGAAATGGCAGGTAGAGTAACCGTTGGCACCAGAAGTGTGCTCAGGACGAACCTTGTCATCTGTAATCCACTCCCACATGTTGTTGTCGCTCAGGTATGAAGGGTTTGCCGCTAGGAACTTCTTGGTCTCGGGCCAGAGAGTACGGATAGTCTGAGGCGCATCGTAGAGGTTGATGGTGAAGCCGTAGGTTTTGTTGTTGTCCTCCATGTAGCGGAAGACATCATAGTCAACATCGCAGAAGAATTGAACCTTGGGCTCAATGCGCCAGTAGTAGCGATACTTGTCAAGAGCCGGGTGTTTGTAGAACATGCCGCTGTTCCAGCGACACATTTGATGGTAGGATACCTTTGAAGCGTACTGGATATTTTCCTCCTCCAGCAGTTGGGCGGACTCGCGGAAAAGGTCCATGTTGATCCAGCTCGGAACATCCCAGTGCTCCTTCGGAACCAATTCTACAAGCGAAAGGGTCAGTCATGCCCATGCATTTATACCGCTCAAAAAAGGGTCACGTACCATATTGGCACTTGGCCTTCGTGGCAGCCTGAGTCTTCTGCTTGAATTCATCGGTGAACTCCTTGTCATTGAAGAAGATATATGGGTAGTTGAACTTGTGGTTCCAGGTCCTCTCGAGGTCGCTCATAGTGTTAAGGAGGTCGTGGAGTTCCTCATTGCGAACCAACGAAATCAGGGCGGCATTAGTGCGAGCGGATTTCTCGGCTTCAGGACTGTAGTCGTGCTCGTCGGCGCGCCATAATTCCCCAGCTGGCTCACCCGTTGCTATCCTGGGGTTAGTATGTGGGGTATGGAGTCAAGATCGGAGAGGCAAGACACTCACGATCTAGAAGAGGGTCCCTGGTCATGCCATGGACAAGCTTAGAAGAGGTACTGTTAGAGCCCTGTCTTAGTTGGAAGATGAGGAATAATGTGATCAGGATGCATGCTGCACCCAGCATTCGAATCGGACGTGCAATTGCCATTTTGTGAAGATTGTAAGGGGGGAGGGGAGTTTGTCCAGTGAAAGTACAACTTTAGATCATAATCCACATTTCCCTTTTGGGATTAGCGCCCGCGCGTCATCCAGTTGGCTCTCACTTTCACATTACATGAATCATTGAATGCTTCAATACTTTCATCCAACATGTCTGCGATCCTGGGCTCACTGACTGATGATCTGATCACAGCTGTCGCCCAGGTCTCGCCCGAGCAGAGAGTATTTTTTTTTCTTTTCCCTCGCCTTCCAAGTTTCATGCTAATTGATGTTCAGCAATCTCCACGCGTCCAGAACCTCAAGCGTCGAGTGGAGGCAGCTCTAAAGCCTGGAGCGCATGGTCGTACTGACCAGTTTGAAGTTGCTCGTCAGCTAGATGGCTTACAAGAGAAATTCCAAGTCCTGAATCGGGATGAACTAGCTGATGCTCTTAGCGGCTGCCTCCAGGAATTAGAGGATATTCGCAGCGCATCATCATGGCTACCAGAGTCACTGAGCTTGATGTTGCAGCTTTCGGATCGCCCTGTTCTGTTTTCAAACATTGACGAACTTGAAAAGCCGGTTGAAGAAGCACCAGAGTCCGAATCGTTGACATGGTCTGAATTGAATGGCCAAGGGACTGCTTTCAGCAACGAGGACATCTGGGAAGAGGTGAACTTTGCCGACGACTCATCTGAAGATGATCTTCTATCTGTCTCCAGTCATTCATCTTCTTACCAAGAAACTCCTCAAACGCCCCAAACACTTAACGACAAGGAAAAGGAATACACTATTCCGGACGATGTGTTTATGTCTGGAAAAGACGAAGCTCTAATTGAGTCTATAGATAGGGCGCAATTTTGGAAACCAGAAAATCATGCTCCAGTCACCCGGGGAATGGAAAATTCTCCTCGACTAATAACAGAACTGCAATTAGCTAGAGAAACGATCTTCATGCTGCAAGGCTTGCCGACATCTATTTTCTGGCGCCTGGATAACAAAATTGCGGTGGATCGCAGCTATAAAGTTGCACATTTTTCTAACCAAGCCCTTTCATCAACTCTACAATTCTTTACTCAGATCGGGACTAAAGTCGATGTGGTGCGGCTCTTTACCCGGGTTCCACAAACCATCCCTTATATGCAGACTTTCTGCCGGGGTCTCGAGGAGCATTTGCTCAAGTTCGATGCGACTCTTTCTCAAGCACAATGCGCTTATCTCTCTCCGGATTCAACTGTGAGCATGCTTCAATTACTTGATGACGTTCGCCAGCATTGCCATGATTTGGTGCTGCTGTCAAATCTGATTCTCGGGCTGAGCCAAAACTCGAATGAGCAGCCTATGCGCTGCCTAGACTCAATATATGATTTGATATGCTCACTGGAAGCCCTTGGCGATGAGAATGCATTCAATGCGCTGACAACTCTTTTCTTTTCTTGCTTCAAAACATATACCCTGTCAGTTCAGCTATGGATGAAGAATGGCCAAATTGACACTCTGAACAGTGCGTTCTTTGTGCGAAGAGAACCTCAGAATAGTGAATTGCGAACACTGTGGCATGACTGGTACATACTGGATGAGGGTTTTCGTGGCCAAAATACCCCTCGATTTTTGAAACCCTGCGTCCAGAAGGTCTTCGCTACTGGCAAGAACATGGTGTTGTTGCGCCACCTAAACGCCATCCCCGAACTTTCGGAGTCAACCGAGGAGTCGGAAAGGATATTTGATCAAATGGAAGTGGAAGCTTTTTCTCCATTTTCGCCCCCATTCTCCGCGCTGGTCGAGGCCGCTTTTGAAAGTCTAGTTAATATGAACCACTCAGTCAGTTCTAGCCTGTCAAAAACAGAACTGGGTGAAAAATGTGGATTATGGTCTGCCATTGAGGCACTGGAACATGTCTACCTTGGAAAAGACTTGAGTATTCTTGGCACGATTGACGCCAAAATCTTTGATCTAATGGATAGTGGTCGCTCCTGGGACGACAAGTTTCTACTGACCGAATTGACAAGATCGGCCTTCAGCGTCATGCCTTCTATTGAACCTTTCAGGTTGGTTGTGCGCTCCGAGAGCTCTTCGTCCTGCGACCCCCAGGACCAGCGGACTGTTCAAATCCTCAAGAACATTTCCATTGATTACGTGCTTCCCTGGCCAGTGGCGAATATTATCACTCAAAATGAAATCTATTCGTACCGGCGCATATCCACATTTCTGACACAGATTCGACGCGCAAAATATGCTCTAGTCCGACAACGTATTCGAGGAGCGCGCCAAAAGTCAGTACATGACGAAGATGGAAGTCTCGTGCACGGGATTCATCACCAACTTCTCTGGTTCCTTGATTCTCTTTATTCCCATCTCACATACCCGGTCATCACTACTACGAGAAAAGCGCTGCGCTCAGCCTTGAACAGCGCAGAAGATGTTGATGCAATGATTACCGCACACCAATCCCACATGGCTTCGCTAGAAGAGCAATGTCTACTCTCAGACAATTTGGCTCCAATTCACAAGGCTATTATAAATATCTTAGATCTTTGCATCCGTTTTGCAGATCTGCAAACGGTACGCTGGCTAGAGACCTCTGGATCCGGCGGAATGCCCGGTGAAGCTTCGGCTGCACTGCATCCTCCGAAACGCCAGCGAGATCCAGATGATTCCGACTACGATTCGGATGATGGGGATCACGACCTTGAGCAGACGCTGACAATCTCATTCCGCGAGTCACCTTATGAACACCAGATGCGGAAAGTCAAGCATGAATCTGACTACCTGATGAGTTTCGTGGCGGACGGATTGAAGGGTGTTTTGCGTGCGGATGGGTTGCATAGCTGGAATATCTTGGCTTATCGATTAGACTGGCGGTAAAACTTGGATCTTAAGCCATGATATGACCTTGGAAGTGAGGTCCGGGTTGCACAATTTGCTTTAACGATGATAGGCTAAATGCCATTACGAATCTATGGTGACAACTCTCAAATTTAATTTTTTTTTTTTTTTTTTTTTTTTTTTTTTTTGAATATACCTGCATATACTACGACCGGAAACCTCAGAAAGGAATAATCCGTTATAATCATACAATTCAACAGGAAAAATTTACTGCATTGATGTGTAAATTTCCAAGGTTATATATCTTTGTAGAAAAAGAGCATAACATTGCTTAAAATATTTGAAAATATACTCTGTTTCGTAAATGCTTTTTCAACATGACGGTTACCCTTCCATTCCCTTGAAACCCAGACTATAGACAAAAAAAAAAAAAAAAAGATAGCGTAGCAAAGAGCCAAATATAAAACAAGTAAAGATCAGACTTAGCCCACCCAACGTCTGGCGCTGAAGAACATGCGACCCCAAGGACCGACCTCACCCCAAGATTCAGCGTTTGGAGGCAGGTAGCTAGCAACACCATTGATAATGGTACGCTCGGGATGAGGCATCATAGCGAGAACACGACCGTCAGGGCTACGCACACCAGCGATACCCTGAGGGCTGCCGTTGGGGTTGAAGGGGTAACGCATGGTCGGCTTGAGGCTAGCATTGTCAAGGTAGCGGACGGGAGCAAGACCCTCGCGAATGAAATCGGCGGATGAAGCACCATGAGCAAACGAAGCGCGTCCCTCGCCGTGAGCGACAACGATGGGCATGGCAGAGCCATCCATGCCGTGGAAGAAGACACTGGGTCTGGACGGGTCGGGGTCAGAGACTCGGACCATGCAGACACGGCCCTCATACTGCTCGCTGGAGTTGCGCTCGAAGCTAGGCCAGTGGTTGGCACCAGGGATCAGCTCCTTCACACGAGATAGGAACTGACAGCCGTTGCATACACCAAGGGCGAAAGTGTCAGGACGCTCGAAGAACGCTTGGAACTCCTTACGTGTGTTCTCGTGCAGTAGCACAGACTTGGCCCAACCTTGGCCGGCACCGAGGACGTCACCGTACGAGAAGCCACCACAAGCGGCGAGACCGGCAAAGCTAGCCAGGGAGATGCGACCAGAGAGGATATCAGTCATGTGGACATCCACGGCAGCGAAGCCGGCAGTCTGGAAGGCAAAGGCCATCTCGGCCTGGCCGTTCACACCCTGTTCACGAAGAATGGCGACACGAGGCTTGTTGTTGAAGGGAGAGTATGCAGAGAGGCTGGTCATCAAGGGCAGTCCACGGTCCTTGGGGTCGAAGCTTGGGTTCCACGACATACCGGGGTTAACGTCGTCAAGGATGTTCTCGTACTCCTGCTCAGCGCACTCGGCATTATCACGGATCTTCTGCATGTGGTAGGAGGTCTTGGCCCAGGTCTGCTGGAGGTTTGAGCGGGTGTTACGGTATACCAGAGAAGCCTTGTGGTAAATGACAAGGTCCTGCTTGGGCTTAGCAGAGACACGACCAATCTTGTGAATTAATCCGGCAGGGGGACCGCAGGTTGCGAAGCAAGAGCGGAACTTGATCTCGTCCTGCTTGCGGACCTGGAAGACGGCACCAAGCTCCTCGTTGAAGAGACACTGGATAACGTCTTGGGTGTGGAAGGAGGAGCAGATGTTGTCCAGCATGATCTCGACACCACAGCGACCGGCGAACATCATCTCAGCGAGAGTGGTGAGAAGACCACCGTCAGAGCGGTCATGGTAAGCCAGGACAATGCCGGCTTCCTGGAGCCACTGGGTGGCATCGAAGAAGTCTCGGAAGATGTCAACGTCGCGAACGTCAGGGCACTCGGTACCAACTTCATTGAAGACCTGAGCAAGAGCAGAACCGCCAAGGGTCTTGCGACCGAAGGAAAGGTCGACAAACATGAGCACAGTCTCTCCAACATCCTCAAAGTCACGGAGAGCTGGGGTCCAAGTCTTGCGGATATCACCAACCGGGGCAAAGGCAGAGATTACACAAGACATAGGAGCTGTGACTTCCTTAGCCTCGTTCGAAGCTTCATCCTTCCATTTCATCTTCATGGACATGGAGTCCTTTCCAACGGGAATGCTGATACCGAGCTTAGGGCACAGATCTAGACCTATGGCCTCAACAGCCTCATAGATAGCAGCACCTTCGCCAGGGTGGCTACTAGCAGACATCCAGTTTGCAGAAAGCTTCACACGGCTCAGGCGGTCCACCAAATCGGAGGCAGCAAGATTCATGAGAGACTCGGCAACAGCCATACGTGCTGAAGAGCCAGGAGAGATGAGAGCCAGGGTAGGCTTTTCACCCATAGCCATGGCCTCACCAGTCTTGACTCCTTGAAGCAACGAGGTGGCAGTCACGGAAACATCAGCAACGGGGGTTTGCCACTTTCCAACCATCTGGTCGCGGGCAGTAAGACCTCCCACAGTTCGGTCACCAATGGTGATCAAGAAGGACTTAGAGCCGACGGAAGGCAGCGACAACACGCGATTAACAGCCTCGTTGACCAGTTCAACCTTCGACGAGAGCGAAGGAAGATACTTTGTCAGACTGGAATCCACAGCAGGCAGAGTCAGCTTGCGCGAATCCACAGTTCTGGTCATACGTGGTGGTTTGCCGAATAGTACAGACAAGGGCAGGTCGATGGGTTTAGGGTACTCCTTGGAATCCCGGTCGAGAAGGATAAGTCTTTTCTCCTCCTCAGAAGCACCTCCACGGCCAACAACCGAGAAGCCACAGCGCTCACGCTGAGAAATAGCGGTGAACTTATTCATGCCCTCCTCTCCAACAGCCAAAACATATCGCTCCTGGGCCTCGCAGCACCAGATTTGCATGGGGCTCATGCTCTTGTCAGTACTCTCAACCTCCCGGAGCTCGAAAGTGGCACCCAAGCCAGAGTCATGAATAAGCTCAGGGAGAGCGTTGGACAGACCACCTGCACCAACGTCGTGGATGAACTTAATGGGGTTGGCATCGCCCATAGCGACGCATGCATTGATCACCTCCTGGGCTCTGCGCTGGACTTCGGCATTGCCTCTCTGCACACTGGCAAAGTCAAGATCAGCTGAACCTTCACCAGAGGTGATACTAGAAGCAGCACCTCCTCCAAGACCAATAAGCATGGCGGGACCGCCCAACACAACGAGATAAGAACCGGGCTTGACGATGTCAGGGTTTTTCAAGGCGTGCTGAGGACGGACAGTTCCGACACCACCAGCAATCATGATAGGCTTGTGGTATCCACGCACTTCCTTTTGGCCATTGCCGATATCAATCTCGGTAAGAAGGGTACGGAAGTAACCAGTTGTGATGGGTCGGCCAAACTCGTTGTTGTAGGCGGCACTACCGATGGGTGCTTCGAGCATAATGTCCAAGCTGCTTGCGATGTGGTTTGGCTTGCCCACATCGAGCTCCCACGGTTGTCTCAGCCCAGGAATCAGGAGATCAGACACGCAGAAGCCTGAAAGACCCGCCTTAGGGCGAGAACCACGACCGGTAGCTCCCTCATCACGGATCTCTCCACCAGAGCCAGTTGCAGCTCCTGGATAGGGAGAAACGGCAGTAGGGTGGTTGTGGGTTTCAACCTTGGCCAAGAAGTGTACGAATTCCTTTGTGTGTGTCCACTCCCCAGTGGTTGAGCTGGGAGCCCAGAAAGCAGCCTCACTACCCTCAATAACAGCAGAGTTATCGCTGTAGGCACTGACGGTAAACTCCGGGTGTTTCTTGTGCGTGTTGCGAATCATAGCGAAGAGGCTGTTGGGCATTGGCTTACCGTCGATCACCCATGAGGCATTGAACTGCTTGTGTCGGCAATGCTCGGAGTTGACCTGCGCAAACATGAACAGCTCGACATCAGTGGGGTCACGAGCAATAGCTCCGTTGGGGCCATAGGCCTCAGCCAGGTACTCAATTTCAGAGTCGTCCAAGGCAAGACCCAATTCCTTGTTGGCTTCCTGGAGGATTTCTTTTGGGGACTTGTCTCTGCCTTGCAAAGAGATAGTCTTGAGAGGTTGAGGAGCGTGTTCGGAGAACATTAAGTTCAGATCAGGCTCGTCATTGCTGATGATTTGGGTCATACGGTCGTGAATGAGATCCATATATCCGGCCTTGTAGTCCTCGGTTCCATTACGAAGACAAGAAATTTTCATTCCTCGCTCGATACGCTTCACGGACTGACGCAGGCCACATACCTGTGCAATACCAGTAGCCTGGGAGCTCCACGGTGAGATAGTTCCAGTTCTGGGGAAAATATAGAAGGTATCGAATTGACCGTCGTCAGAGGTGAAAGTGGGAGGTACATCGGTTATGTCGCCATATTGAAGTAGTTGCTCGAGGACAGAGCGCTGGAATTCACCCAAGGCCTGGGAAGTATGCACGTAATGAACCCATTGGGCCCGCACGTCTTTAACACCCAGACTGGCAGCAATGGCGTTTCCGCGCGAGCGGGAGAACGCCACCGAGCCCGGGATGGCAAGGTATGAATCGGTGGAAGACATGGTGAAGAAGTAAAAGCCTCCCTCTAGAAAAGGAGGACCTCTCAAGTTTGGCTTGAGTAAAGAGGTTCCCCGCGATGACTCTTGACTTTTTTTTTTTGCAAAAAACGGAATGGTCCCCGCCCTAAGCCGATTACGGCCGCTTATCCATGGGGTCACGTGCCTATCAAATCGAATTCGATCTTGCCAAGCCTTGTTACTAATAAATTCAAAATTGTTATTTAACGTGCGTCACGGTTGACCGAGCGTCCCGGTTGATCGAGCGACGCATTTGGAACTTAAAAAATCTAAGATTTTCAACATCAACTTTTAACACCAAAACATGAATTAATTATCTATTTAACGCGTGTAGGACACTGGGTATATATATGGCCTTTGGTTCCACAACCTGAACAGGTGACGAGTCGCCTAATAGTAGGTAAAGTAGGCAATGGAACATCTTCTATAGGTTGTCCAGGAGCATCCTCTAGGGATATATATTCAACTCTACCATTCTCCTGAGCAACCACGCTTTGCTGCAATTCCTCCAAACTCCGAAGACTCCCTTCATGGCCTCTGTGCTTCTTGCTAGCCGCTCTCTTTTTTATCTTTCTCTTCGCAGTATTCTCCAATCGCTGAATACGGTCTTCCATCATCATCATCATCCGAATCGCCATCTGAGTATGCGCATCTTGCGACCGATAAATTTGTCGTTTTAGAGGTGAAGTTAAAGCTCCTGAGGAAGATTCGAGTTCTTTCTTGATAGCAGAATTCGATTTTTGGACTTTTGAGTAGCTCCAAGGCCGATTTAAGTCACTGCTGCTTAAAGAAGTAGGGCGTTGAGGGTGGTCGTGAGGGGGGGTCTTAAGGGGGGTCTTGAGGGTGGTTTTCGACCATGATATTCAGCTTTTCTAAAACATGATTAGCATCCAGGGGTACTAAACCAGCGCCCCTGAAGCTATTCACTATAGTAGATGCTTTAAATGTTGCTTTGCGTGTATAAGGATAGATTTGGAGGAAATCATCCTTATCAATAGAATCCACTCCATTCTGTATTTCAGCACTAATCAGGCCTCCATATACCTTTTTAAGCACCGAAAAACATCCTACATCAAGAGGTTGTAATAGATGGGATGAATGAGCTGGCATACATAGACAAATAATATCGTTGTCCGCGCATAGTTGGTCGAATTCTGGCGTACGATGCGAAGAATGACCATCTAAAACCAACAGAATATATCTCCCTTTCTGGACCAAATTAGGTATAAAGTGGCTTTTCAGCCAATCTAGACCCATTGGATTTGTAGTCCAACCAGTTGGGCTAGTGTTTAGTGACCATTTAGGGGGTAGATGGTCAAACCAACGCTCCATAAAATGTTTCCCTTTTAGGATGATATAGGGCGGAAGCGCAACACCTTGGGCGTTGATAGTCTCAATAACAGTAACCCACTCTCGATTTCCAGCTTGAAGAAGCCTTCGTTTACCATGGTAATCTGAGGAGCATATAATATACTCTGAAGATATAACACCCATCGCAAATCCAGTCTCATCGAAGTTATAGATATCCTCTGAAAGGATACCATATTTTGTGACTATATTCTGGACGAGATTAAACCACCCTTGGATGACTTGTGGATCTTCTGTCTGCGCCCTCTGGATATCAAGCGCCCGAGATTTTCGCGTATGAAGAGATTCGGTGCGTTGAAGGAATCCTGTCACCCAGTTTTTGCCAACTTTAGGGGGGGTGTCGGAGGGGACAATTTCGCGGGCGCGGAGGAGCAGATTCGCCATATTTCGGCACATTTCATGCGAAAAAGCGAATCCTCTAGCGTCCATATCAAGGAGCCATTTTTCCATCGATTTCTCCTCACCTTTAGAGAATTTATGGCGAGAATGGCGAGTTATGGCCTTCGATTTGCGACCTTGGATTCGCGCTTTCAAAGTTGAGACAGGAACTGAAAAGGCGCGAGCAGCGGCAGCAGCAGAGGAGTATCGTTCATCTTTAATAGCCTGAATTGCTAATAAGACTTTACTCTCCTGCTGCTCCAAATCTTTCGATTTTTGAGTGCGAATTGGAGGCATTGTTGGTGTTAGAAAAAGGAGGGTCGATTTCGGGGTAAATATTTTGAGGTGTCGCTCGGCCAACCGGGACGCTCGGTCAACCGTGACGCACGTTAGTTACTAAATAATCGAAATCTAGTCTCACAACGTATTTAACTTAATAAATATTTAAAATATTTACTTAGATAGTTATTTAAGTAGGTAAACAACTCCTTTGATTTTTAAGTCTGATTCGGATACAACTACTATCAAGTACATTTCTTTCGCTCTATTTACCATAATCACATTTTTGTTGATTAACTTGATCTTAATAACTTAATAAGCAAGGGAAGAGGAAGAAGACTTGCCAGCGTCATATAAAGAAGTGTTCTCTCAGTGCGATGATTGGGATAAAGTTACTACACATCTCTTGAGCTGGAATCAACTAATGAATCAACCTCTTAACCAGGACTTTGAGTTTGATCTTGATACTTTACCTATATTGATCAAAAGCAGATCATTTTGGCTATGTTGATCTAAGCATGTACTAGTGTTAAAATATAGGCCCTAGTCAGTGTCCCTCACGCGGTACTCGGTCAGAACCAAAGAGGAGCGTAACGTCACTTCAGGTATATTCTGCCAACATTGTAATCTCCATCTTCTGGTTCCTGATATCAATGGCATTCTATTTAAGAAGCATCTCCATCAAGATTGTGCTCGAGAGATGTATGATTGGTGTCGGTCTCGCAACTGTTACCATCTCTGGGCCTATCTCCTTACCAACTGGTATAAAGAAGATAAATAAATTCTCTTGTCGTTTCATACAAATTTATGGGCGACAATAGCCTGTTCTGAATAAACATCGTGGAGATAGTACAGCCCTGGAGATATTTGTAAAGAGAAACATCGGCAGAGAAAATATCAAATTACCAACTCTACAAATACTCACTCTACTTATTCAGGGGCCACCTTAGCGGAATACCCTACACGGAGTTTGTTAGGCTTCCAGATCCAAGTGGGTCGGTCTTTCCTTAGCATATTGAACTATCAAGATCTGGGAGTTAAAATCATACTTGCTACACAGTACTAACTAGTGTGCCTTAGAAAGAGCAATCTCACAATTAAATTGGATCTAGCCCTGAAAATCTCACCTCCAGCCTCGGTGGTTAATTGCCATTGATTCACTGAAATCCTTTGTGGATCATTGATCAAGGATAGATCCCCCCCTCTCTCTCCGTAATATTTTCTCTTAGTCTCTAACTTCATTTCTACGTTCCAAATCAATAAGCTTATTAATTTTTAATAAAACTGATTGGTGACTTCAGAAGTAAAGAAAAGCCACATAATGGTAGCGGGAAGTCTTACCCCTGATCAGCATATAATATGGGTCGAAAGGATTTGTTGGCATATAATTACAAGATGATATGAGCCCCCTGCAGGCAGGTCTTAACTTAATTAATTATCCAGTGCAGCACGATACCATCACTGTTGACCTAATTATAATACATGTATCTAACAAGCCTCTTGTACTTGGCAGCGGCGGCAGCTGCCACGCATATACACCGAGCTTTCAAGGCTGAAGATATCATTACCCGTGATGTCGCCATTCTTGGAGGTGGTTCCACCGGTACGTTCGCTGCTGTCCAGCTAAATGGACAAGGGCACAGTGTAGCGCTTGTTGAGAAGAAGTCATCTCTGGGAGGTCATGCTGAGACGTTATACCTCCCCAACGGAAGCTATATCAATTACGGAGTTGAAGGGTATTTCAACAACGCAAAAACCAAGGACTTCTTCGCTCAACTTAATGTTGACTATGAAATCCTTCTCCCTGGCACCATCCTGTCTCACAGTGTCAATTTCAACACGGGTAAGACAGTGGCACCTGGTGCAGACATCTTGGAGACTGTTGCGGCAGCTGTTCTTTATCGTGCTGCAATTGAACAATTCGACTATCTATCGACTGGACTCTACACGCTCCCAGATCCAGTTCCCGAGGTCCTTCTCCGGCCATTCAAAGAATTCGTTGAAAAGCATGCCCTGCAAGGGGCGTTAGAGCTAATTTTTACCTTCGCCGAGAACGTGGGAGATCTTCTTGAAGCCCCGTTGATCTATGTCATCCAGAACTTTGGCATCGTCCATATCGATGCACTGCTGAATGGTGGGTACATTAGGCCGAAGAATGGAACGGGGCAGCTATTCAGCCAAGCAACTGAATACATTGGTAAGGAGAACATCTTCTTCGACACAACCGTGTCCCAAATGAAGCGCAATGCCACCGGCGTGGAGATGGTCATCCAGAGCACCGATGGAACTAGCAAACTCATTCAAGCAAAGAAGCTCCTGGTCACTTTCCCTCCTACCACTGATAGCATGAGTGGTTTTGATCTTCGCACAGAGGAATCCGAGCTATTCTCCAAATGGGGTCACAAAAACTATTATGCTGCTGCGGTCACCAATACCAATATTCCTGACTTCGTCAACGTCGTCAACACAGATCCGAACAACCAGCCTGGTAGTCTCCCGCTGCCACCGTTTATCTGGGCCTTTGAGTACTCGGGTGTTCCGGGTTACTTCATGGCTAAGATTGTGGCCGAAGGCAACTTTACAGCCGAGGAAGCTAGGGACCTGATCAGGTCTGATCTCAAACGTATGAGCACGGCTGGCACCTTCTCCACTTCAGCGGAGCCCGAAATCGCGGCTTTTGCAAGCCATTCCCCAGAAACGCTTATCGTGTCTGTTGATGACGTCAGAGATGGATTCTATAGGAAGCTATATGCACTACAGGGAGAGCAGAGCACCTATTATACGGGATACACTTTCTGCACAGACTACTCAACGGTGCTGTGGAACTACACCAGCAGCGTGCTAGATATGATGGATTTGTAAAGAACTGGAATTTTGAACATTTGAATCATCTATATACTTAGATAGTTAACAACCTTGAAAACACATATAAATAGTTCGACCTTTGAGGGCTTTATCCAGGTGAGTTAGTGCATATTTTGGATATTGGAGTCATCGCTGTTGCTTAATGTCACCTCAGGGTCAGGCCCGGTATCTGCCCAGGTGAATTTATCTACCTAACTACCTAGGTAGGTCATCTCAGGTCCACGTCCAAATCTACTGGTCCGGCACGCTGTTAGATTCTCAGCCACACGTCGAAACACATTCAGCCACAATCCCTGCAGGGCTACATCTATGCTGTAGCCTTACCCGTAATTCATACCATTGACAAGTCACAAAAGACCCATGGAGTTCAAGTTTGAAATCTGGAGTAGGACCCATAAACAGAGGATTTCAGGTCTAGACCACAGAATTTTCCTTACTGAGGTTGGCCGCAGATCGAGAAATTCCGCGATTGGAAAGAACGGAAAACCTTATGAAGAACCGTTTTCCCCTTAAATGGTAGCATACTCCGGATTGAAGATTGACTGTAATTGGTTGGCAGTGAAATTAAGGGCTGCCGAAAGAGCCGAAGACTCGCCGAAGACTCACCGAAGACTCACCGAAGACTACTAAACCATTTAATCCATAAAGTAAATAAATCCCAAACGAGCCGCCATCCTAGAACACCATAGTAAACTCGAGAAAATTGAACATCATATTTCAACAACCACCAGTTGAAATGATTCCAAATCTTGAATTCGGATTATTTGTAGTTGATGAAATAAATATATAGAAAGAAGGATTAGGAAATGATCGAGTAGAGTGTACTTAAAGCTAAAATAGATAAATTACACCGTAATTTATGATACCACCATCATATATTTATTTAATTTAGTTGAAATGAACTGATTCTGTGTGAAAACTCTTATCGTTATTCCTCACTGGATATTTAAATTATATCAGGGTTATGGTTGTTGAGATGTGATATTCAATTTTTTCGCGTTTACTATGGTGTTCTGGGGTGGCGGCTCGCCTGTGGTGGCGGCTCGTTTGGGATTTTAATTCTCAAATAACAGTGGATTCTAGGTGAAACAAAAACACAGTTTGATTTTGTAGACCCACCCATTTATCCATCTAGACCATACTAATTTGTATACTAGTATAGTCCTTCAAAACATGTATTCCTGTGAAATTTGCTCTCGGCTTGCCCCTCTATGGTTCCTGATCATGTAACACATTCCTGTGGAATTTGCTCTCGGCTTGCCCCTCTATGGTTCCTGATCATGTAACACATTCCTGTGGAATTTGCTCTCGGCTTGCCCCTCTGTGGTTCCTGGGGGATCATGTAACACATGTCTTTCCCGTTGAACTCGTGGCGCTTGTAGAATATGTGGCACCATGTTTGAACTATTGACGCCTAATACTTGGTATATCACATCACGCCAAGATCAAAATGTGGTCCAGTCGTCATATCTACTCCTACCACTATCATTAACTATTTCATTCCAAGTCTAGACCTCATGACTGTAGCGTACCTAAATTGTGTTCCATAACTAGTTAGAACTTTGAATTGAAGATTTTGTTGACACAGTAGATCAAACTTTAATGAGTTCTTCTAGAAGGGAATAACTACAAAGTAGAACCATTGATTCAATCCACTACAAATAATTGTGAGATAGGCGATGTCATAGCTGAGCAAAGCGGGCCGCCTCGATCGGTACTCTCGTTGCATACTTCCATATCAAGCTAGCCTATCCACAATTTACTTCCCAATGCGGCAGTGTAGCTTTTATGTGGGGCGGTTCCCGAGATCAAATTTGTAGGACTTCAGAGTATTCATTGGTTGCATATTCTTTCCTGAGGCCAAATAGTCAGAATTCAAGGGAACGCCAAGTCTAACCATGGAATGCCATGTGGTTATATAAACGCCTGATCTCGTCCTGGTCGATATATTTGTCAACTCAAAGACACTTCTGTGTTACTTATTTAATACTTAATCGACTGGGCACTAAGTATCAATCAATATACGCCTGGGCACTGTTCCACTTCAATTGGTTCCACACCTAAAACCATGGAGAACTCCCACTCAAATCAGCTCCGCTCCCATACTGGGCCCGTTCTCGAACAACCTGACTATCTTGACCTCCCCGTCCGAGAGGTCACCGACGATGCCGATCTTGAAGAATATACCACAGAGACAGCAGCAGGAGAAATCATCAAACCTATCAAGTCCAATGTCACCGGCAATTTGGAGGAATGGAAGCTGGTCACTTTCCACATCGATGATCCCGAGAACCCAAAGAATTGGTCCAAAGCATATAAATGGTACTGCACAATGGTTGTTGCCTTCACCTGTTTCGTCGTCGCTTTCTGCAGTAGTGTTATCACTTCCGGTCTTCCTGGTCCGGTAGAGACATTCAATGTCTCAATGGAGGTCAGCTTGGTTGTTGTCACCGTTTTTGTCATTGGATTTGGCGTCGGTAAGTTTATTCGTATATAAGTATACATCTTATTCTAAGACTGACATTATTCTAGGCCCTATGGCCTTCGCCCCCCTGTCCGAGATGGTTGGACGTCGTCCTTTATATGCTATAACTCTGGGAATTGCTGTCATCTTTGTTATTCCCTGTGCTGTTTCTAAGAACATTGGTACCTTGATCGTCTGCCGACTGATCGACGGTATTGCCTTCAGTGCCCCTATGACTTTGGTCGGTGGTACCCTGGCAGATATGTGGAAGAACGAGGAGCGTGGTGTTCCCATGGCAGCTTTCAGTGCTGCTCCCTTCATGGGCCCTGCCATTGGTCCCCTTGTTGGTGGTTACCTCTTCGATAACTGCGGTTGGCGATGGCTCTACTGGCTGCAACTTATTCTCGCTTTCTGCGCCTGGGCTTTGGTTACTTTCACTGTCCCCGAAACATATGCCCCCATCCTCCTCCGCAAGCGCGCTGCCAAGCTCCGTAAGGCCGAGAACGATGAAAAGTACACCACCGAAGCCGAGCTTGACCCCCGCCCTCTTGGTCAGAAGCTGAGCATCTACCTTTGGCGCCCCTTCCAGCTCCTTTTCCTCGAGCCCATCGTCTTCTTGATCTCCATCTACATGTCTGTTCTTTACGGTTTGCTGTACATGTTCTTCGTTGCTTTCCCCATCGTTTACCAGGATGGCAAGGGATGGAGTGCCTCCAAGACTGGTCTCATGTTCATTCCCCTGGCCGTCGGTGTACTTATGGGTGCCGCCTGTGCTCCAATAGTCAACAAGAACTACCTCACTCTTGTTGCCAAGTACAATGGCAAGCCCCCTGCTGAGATGCGTCTGATTCCCATGATGGTTTCTTGCTGGTCAGTTCCTATTGGTCTCTTCATCTTCGCCTGGTCCTCTTACCCTCATGTTCATTGGCTTGGACCCGCTATGGGAGGATGGCCCGTTGGTTTTGGCTTCATTTTCCTCTACAACTCCGCCAACAACTACCTGGTTGACACCTACCAGCACCAGGCTGCATCTGCTCTCGCAGCCAAGACTTTCATCCGATCCATGTGGGGTGCCTCCACTGTCCTGTTTACCAATCAGATGTACAACCGCTTAGGTTACCAATGGGCCAGCTCTCTACTCGCTTTCATTGCATTGGCATGCTGTGCCATCCCATACGTCTTCTACTTCTGGGGGGCAAAGATTCGCTCCTTCTCCAGGTTCGCTTTCAGTGATGATGAGGAGCAGGCTATCAAGGCTTAGATTACAAAGCCTAAAATTTAAATACTAATAGATATCGAGGGGAGGCAAAAGCGTGATGCCTAAGTTTGCAGAGATTCTCTCCGAGCAACATATCCTTATTGGTGATTCCGTTTTTGGTGGTTCCGTTTTTGGTGTTGCTTTTGTGTGGTTTTTAATGGTTATATTCCCTTGTGTGTTTTCCTGCTGTTTTGTGACGCCTGAACGTTGACGATTGGATGCATCGCATGAGAACGGCTTAAAATCTAGATACATACCCATTCTTATTTCATAGACATAAAATTTAAATTTAATGAATTACAATTTGCATCAAATATTCAAATTCCAGCATTGCAATGATCAAGGTAAAATGTGAATTTCTTAGATTAGCGATTGTTGAATTCTAGATTCTTGATAGACGATAACTAGGTCACGTGAATCGACGAGGGCACTCGCTCGCCATTCCCAATCAATTCTGTAATTCGAAACAATCATCTTGCCCACAATGCCGTTTCAACCGGAGTGAATAGAAGGATATATTAATTTCGAGCAATTCACATTATATAAAGGTCTCTGACCGCAGAAGTTCCCGAATCGCGTTTAAATTCCTGCTTAAATCCGTGACGGCCGCACACTAACTAGTTGACGCCGACAAGCCCAACAGAAGAAGATCAACACCGGAAGAGAATCCTTACACGATGGCATCACCTTACCCTCCGTCAAATTCATATTCTCCGGCTGAAATAGGGTCTGGGCCTAACAAAACCGTTTCCGACTTGCCCCAGGCTCAAGTGGACGCCATAATTCGCACGAAGCGCAAGGCTCGAGAACCGAAAGCCTGCTACCCGTGCCATGCGCGTAAGGTGAAGTGCGATCGAAACTTGCCGTGCGATGGATGTGTCAAGCGTGATCATGCTGATCTCTGCTCCTACGAAAGACCCTCCAAAAAGCGGTCACAGGCTCTAACGGAGAGCCCAATTGGTGCTGCTTCTGCATCATCCATGACAGAGCAAGCAACCTATAGCTACGAGGGAACCCCATCACATGTGAAAACAGAGCCCTTTCCGATTCGCGACAGTGGCATCACCCCAGGCGCCCGTGTATCAATCGCTCGTGACGAATGGGACAATGTACGCAACCGCCTGCGCGAAATGGAGTCCACCATATCGTCTTTGCGCATGGGTCTTGAACGGGCCGAGGAAACACCCGCTGCTTTAGACTCCGGCAGTGTACAGAGTGGGGATGCAAGTTCCCGGTCAAAGAATGCTTCACCCGAACGCGAGGGCATTCATGCGGCGAACACTCTTGGCCAGGGTACCGTCCATTTAGGATCACGATCGGTCCTGGCGTATATATTGAACAATAAGTCGGGGTCCGATCAACTCCAGGCACTCCTCGAGGGTGGAATACTCCCCAAGTTAGGACTCGATAATGAATCAGCAACTTATCCGTTTGTTGACCTGTGGTCGACAGATATGTCATCGTTTGATATTAGCGCTGTCTGCAGCGCACTTCCAATTGATCAACAATGCAGAGAGTTAGTTTTTTACTCTATCATTCGATGATGACGTCATCTAACATTGTACCCCAGGTTCTTTTTCTACTACAAGGACATCGCAGGAGCCATTTACCCCGTCCTTGAAGATGTCGAAGCCTTTGAGAACACACTCGAGCTACTCATGCAGAGCAGAGCAGCATCTGGTGGAATTTACCGAAAGGAAGCCAACGCAGCACAACCACCATTTGGAGTAAGCGTCGCCTATTTGGGCCTATTGTTCGCCGTTTTAGCATCTGGTTGCCAGTCATCCAACATGGGCAGCAAGGAGAGAGAATTGACTTCTCAGGTATATGGTAAGTGACAGAAAAAGCAAATCTGCTGATCAAGTTTGCTGACTTTGATTTGATTTGAGTGTGCTGTTCTTATCAGTGTCTTCGCATGACCAATTTTCTATCCCAGCCCACAATTGAAGCCATCCAAACGCTTTTGGTCATTGGAAATGTATTGTCTTATAACATGAATCCTGGAATCTCATATGTGCTGTTGGGCATGACTCTTCGTATGGGCTTAGCGCTGGGCCTGCATGTGGAATCAAGCAGATTCTCACCAGCTGAGCGATACCGTCGGCGACACACTTGGTAAGGGTACCTGAATTGCTTCCCCTCTTTTTGAGGGTCTTAAATCGCGTATCTAACTTAAGTTTCTCCGTAGGTGGTCTATGGCATGGCAAGACAGCCATTTTTCGCTTTCCTATGACCGCCCTTCCACTACAGCGGTGAGCCAGCCAGATATCGCATACTTAGATGGGTATAGACCGGGTGATCTCACTTATTTTGAAACCCTCTCCCGCATCATGTCATTGGCTTTGGAAGTTGTTCGCACTCGAATGCTCAGTGCGCATTCACAAATGACCTTTGAAAACTTCCAGGGCTACAAAGAAAGGATTCAAAAAGTCATGAACGAAGCCAAGCCATATCTGCGGGAAAGCCAATGGTGTACGACATCAAAAGATCATCTGGAGCGTGTTGTGCTTAAACTCCACTCCTCCTATTTCTCTTCCGAGCTTTGTCGACCTGCACTCAAGCTGACAGCCAATACCTCTGGCCCGAGCAATTCCAGTATGCGCGAAGACTGCGTGGCTAACCTGATGGTAACTGTAGAGGCCTATGTTGAAATGCACAACATCAGCCCCGTCGCATCCCGATCCTGGATTGCGTTACAACGAGCAATCAGTTCCGCTTTTCTTCTAGCTGTTGTCGAAGAGTCGAAGTCCAATCCGAATGTCTGGGAACTTCTACGACAATTGGAAGGTATAATTGCCGAACGAGCCAGCAGTGAACAGGCATATAGCAACAACGGAGTCAATGGCGGCACAAACAACATGACCTCTCCAACCACCTACGATCCAATCACAGGCGCCACAAATACCACCGACTCAAATTTCCCTGCGGGCAATGCCCCGGAAACTTCTTCACAGTGGGCCAAGTCGCTAGCCAAAACCCATCGCGCTTTGCAGAAACTTCTCACAGCATTTGGGAATCTGCCGCCGCGGCCTGGAAGTGTACGAAGTCCTGCTGCATACCCACCACAGCTTAATCAGAACTCCATTCACGTTGCACACGGCGGCTTTGTTCCTCCAACAGCATCAGCCCTGACACCTAGTGTTAGCTCCCTCCCACCTCCTACTCCAGAGAGCTCAGGAAGTGGCGAGTGGTCAATACCCAACCTCCTTGATCGTGCATCGGAATATATTCATCCACCCCTTTGGGACTAGAAGATATGAGGTTTATTGATCATGTTGTTTCATATCGCATATACTACATGGAAAATCGGAGCATTTTACCAGGTCACATTCGTTTTTTGTTTCGTTTGACATTGCGAGATTTCAAAGCGTGTTTTGGGGTAATTTGGAAAAAAAGGATACATATTTGGTAATGAACTCGTGGATATTACGTTGTCTATTTATTGTCTATTTCCAGCTTCTGTTGAATATGATGCTTCCAAGGTTTACAGATCAACTACTTCTAAGACCTAAACTTGTTGCTTTGAGACCTCTGACATGCAAAAACCGCTCTCATTGATTGCCTGAAGATTTGACTACCAACCTTGGAAATCTCGGGAGTCTACACACGTCGTGCTGGTAGGAGCTCGCCCACACACTCCCCAAATCCGACACCAGAGCCAGGCTCCCCGACAACACCTGTCATACGAACCACATCTCCATCTTGCAAGAAGCGCCGTTCCGAACCATCGCTTAAGGCCACAGGCTCCGTTCCAGCCTTGGTGATTTCCAGTAGACAGCCTAGACTCCCATCAGTCATACCGCTGACTGTTCCAGTGCCTAGGATATCCCCAGTCCGCAGATCGGCTCCAGTGCTTGCAAGATGTGCACACATTTGACGTCCATTCCAATGCAAATCCTGTGCCTTCGACTGACTCACAACAGTTGCCTTGCCATCGACAATCCACTCTACCTGCAGATTTATTGCATAGCAAGACTCAGTCTCATCCTCAAGGTGACTGGCGATGGGAATCTCATGCTTAGTACCCGGTACTTTGAACGACTGCAGAGCCTCTAGGGTGATCACCCATGGAGATATACTTGTACCAAAAGCTTTCGAGTTCAACGGGCCAAGAGGAACCATTTCAAGACCCTGAATATCACGCGCTGAAAAGGCACCTGGTTAGTACCCATCCCAAAGCCCTGAAACCGCAGCACTAAAGATGGACTCACAGCTCCAGTCATTCAGAATAACCATGCCAAAAATATGTTCATCAGCATCTTTCGCATTCAATCCCTGCAATTGGGGCACTCCTTTGCCGATAATCACACCCATCTCCAGCTCCCAATCCATTGTCCGTGACGGGGCGTAGATAACAGGTTTCTGCTCTGATGACACTGTACGATCGTAGAAATGGCCATGGGGCCGAGTAATCGGAGTGCCAGAGGGGAATATCGTACTGGCACGTCCATTGTACGCGATTGGGAAGTGAAAGAACCCAGGCGGTGGAGTGTCATCACCGAGAATAGCTCGACGGCCATTCTTCATGTGGTTTAGGCTGCATGAGAAGTCTGTTATGGTCGAAGGGTCAGATCCATGCACCCGAGACGAGTACTAAGTGGCACATACCGGTAAAGCCACCGATAGTAACGGGAAGATGAAGAGTAACGGCACCAATTTCCTCGGTGCTATCCGCTGGAAGTGCCTCTGTCAACACGACTTCAAGTACTTTACGTACTTCGCGCAGGGTGGACTTTTCCAGTGCAGCATAGTCGTTGAGTGATGGCTTGTCGAAGACACCCTGAGGAAGGCTGGAGATTTGAGAAAAAGCACCAGCTCGTTGTAGCACAGAAAGGAAGATGACAGTATTCTCCAACCTAGTTACGCATTGTGGCTGGGGATGATTCTTAGAGGATGCCACCCCAAATGGGATATTGGCGATAGAGAAGTGGCTGCTATACTCGGGGGATGTCATAATGAAGTCTACTAAAATGAATCAATTGACAGGTTGCAGAAGTCGGGAGATTTGATTTAAATGAGGTCCTATTTCATCTGCAGCTGGGAAATATGCATCCCCCGCCTTCGGATACCGAAGTTGTAGAGCGGGCTTGATACCTGGGGATCGATGCGAATCCATAAAGCCCTAATTCCATCTCGGAGTACATGATTTTTTTCATCACAAGCATTAAGTCCAGGCTTGCCTTCTGGAAAGATAATAAAGTGTTCGACCTTACTAGTAGTTGAGATACCCTTAGGCCTTAGTCAAGCATAAAGTGGAGATACAAGGGATCCCCTGCTAACAGTGGACCAGAATCATTCACCGCTTTACCGTCTAGAATAGACCAGATAATGACCCCCTACACTTGAATGTGTCATCAATATCCTCAAATCGGCTCATATCTAGAAACTAAATGTAGGACAGTCTCGGTGTGATGCCAGATGGTGGCACTTAATTCATCTCGTATTTGGATGTCTTCAAGCTGATCTGCCTTTCTTCCCTTGATAAGTTCTATCCTCAAACAGTAAACTTGAATATCGCTGTTCTAGAGTCACATCCTGTTATACGAGTATATTCAAAACTATGTCTTCTACTGAAAAACAATACTACAAGGTCGGAGTGTTGGTTTTCCATGGGGCTGATATTCTTGACTTCACTGGCCCAATGGAGGTCCTGTGTCATGTCCTGCATAACCGCAATCCGGATGATCCTGATCGAATGTTTGCAATTGAAGTCATTGCCCAGACTTCTACTATCCGCGCCGCTAGCTCTTTGACAGTAAAGGCTGACAAGATGCTGGCTGATGCCGCTGAGAATCTTGCGGAGTACGACTTGCTAGTTGTACCTGGAGGGCCACCCTCTGTGGTTAGCCCTCTTCTCGAGAATAACTCGCCAGAAGTGGATTTCATCCGCAAGTTCGCAGCTCTACCTCTGCCATCTTCCCAGAGACCCCGAATTCTCTTCTCTATCTGTACTGGGGCCTTTTTACTTGGCGGTGCGGGCCTTCTGTCTGGGATGACCGTTACTACTCACCACCGAGCTGTCGATTCGCTTCGAGAAATATGTGCCAGGTTCAACGACAAGAAAGACAAGGGCGATCCACCAACGAATGTAGTGCACAAACGCTACGTGAATGGGGGTTATCTCCCGAGAAATGCTGTACAAGTCATTACAGCTGGAGGGATTAGCTCAGGTCTCGACGCTACTTTTCACATTGTACACGAGCTGGCTGGTGCAGAGATGGCAGCGTTTGTGGCCCGAGTCATGGAGTATGATTGGGTCTTAAAATAGCTACTAGTGATATATCTAGGTATATGGTTAAATGTTTATCTGAATTAGCCCCCTGTTCAGGGCTCGGTACCTACTTTCCGGAAAATTACCAGTCAATCGGATGTAAGATTCTAAATTGTACACCCTCAATGCAAGTCTGTCATGTCAATGGCGTCTCAATTAGACCAATCCATTTATAAGATTACTGTGTATCTATGTAACTAGCGTGACATCCATGGATGTTGACTCATACTTTATACCACGTTGCGTCTGATACCTGAGCAAATCCCGAACTACTTTGTCTAAGCCAATTTCTAGGTAGAATAACGACTTCTTTACCGATCCAGAGTCAATTGAATAAGAATTATTATAGCGAGTGCTCATATGACCTTTGTTACACTTAACACGAGGTACCATCAAGGTCGTGAATAGTCTAAGTTTAGCTTTCTTACTCTGCAAGCTAGGTTGTCGAGCCGACCCGAAGAGGCTTGTGAAGATTTCTCGGTAAAGTCCGTCTGTATCTAGTCATCTGAGAAGACTACTTCGAGACATTCTAGGCTTGCAGAATTGTGGAGAGTGCCATACATTCCGTTATCCCGGACCTTTATACGAATTTCGCTGACACCATCGAGACACCTTAAATCATGTCACTTTGATATCCTGGACGAATCTGACAAGTCTAGCGTCATGATAGACATGTATCTCCGTGCAAACCTGGATAGTCCTACTTTGTTTCCTTTCATGATGATTAGTTGTCCTTGGTTCTTCGCTAAGCAAGACAGTCACGGCCACTGGAGACGTTGGGCCAAGTTGTACAGGGCAAATGAACTTACATCCCTCCACTTCTCTAGGTTCAACATCACGTCCGATGTCTGAGTCCGCTGTAAATGATACAGTCATCCGGCTGAGTCTTGTAGCTGCTCGAAGAACCGTCTTGGAAAGTGTTGTGAGTTCAGGACTCTGTATATAATGTGTCGTTGTGCCATTTTCGAGAACGGTTTAAAAAAGCCGAATCAACACGGAAAGCAACATCTTGTTACACTCAATACCCGCTTCATTTCTCAGATAACTTATCATCGCACCATTCCAAAGCTGGAAGCTTAGAAACACTTCAGGAACAATTGGTGTAATTCAAATTACTCCAGTCACGATGGTTGCTCTAGCGCCTATTGCGGACATGGCCTCGGTCCTATACGTGGAAGAACCCACCAAGAATGGAATCGTTCATTCCAAAGAAATCCCAGCCGATCTCGTCGATCAGGCACCGATCAATTCTGCTGGACACGTGGGTCCACGTTCCGAATCTTTGGAATATGAGGTCCAGGGCATTTCCGCAAACGGCAATGCCTCTACGACATATGAGCAGATTTCTCGAAATGGCACCGCCACTCCTACTATTGATTCTGAAGCTACCAAAACTCGCAACATGGCCGTTGAGGTATTAAAAGTAATTGAAAGTTATGGTGTTGACTACGAGAAAAATGGTGGCTGCTGGAAAGGGCTCGAGTCTTTTGTTTCCACTGTCGTTGAACAGGTCGGGAAGCAGGAACCTATTCGCATGATCCTGCCAGCTTTTCCATTCAAATCTCCAAATGGGCGTGACAAGGTACTCGGTACTTTGCCTGATTTTGGCGAGGAGTTGGCGCTTGCTCATCTGAACGGGTTGTGTGAGAACATCGCTCAGGTATATGGACCGGGCGCCAATGTATACATCAGCTCGGATGGATTGGTATACAATGGTAAGTAAATATACTCAATACCACTCATAATGGTTTTACTAATCTTTTTCAGATATTCTTGGTGTCCCAGATGAGACTGTATGGGAGTATGGTGAGGGTTTACGACGAATGGCCGTGGAGAAAGACTTCCGCCATGTGAAATTCATCCGCCTCTTCGAGCTACTGGAGCATCCATGGTTTGTGCACGAAACTCCAGAAGCTGCAAAAGCATTTTATCTTTCCCATGCCTCCTGTCTTCGTCGCGAACTTACGTATGTCTTCGGCGACCCGACATTTGATGCCGATGTGGCAATCAAGACCGACAACGATACCTGTCTCACATATCGAGGGTATATCAAGTTTTTGACGAAGGATCTTGCCCATCAAGGAGAGAATCTTTCGATGTCCAAGCGTGCACGAGAGAAACAGATCTCCCAAACTGCCCGCAAGATGATTGTCCGCGGTAAAATGTTTGCGGCTGCCATCAAAGCCAACCGTAAGGATTACGTGCGACTATCAATCCACGAATCAGCCGGTGAAAAAAAACTGTCAGTGTCTCTTATTCCACAGAAGCGTGGAGCTCTGGGATTTACACCATGGCATGCATCTGTGGCTGTCGGACTTGACGGATCATATCGAACTACCCATGCCGAAGATGTGCGCGAGACGCATGATTTGATCTACAAGAACGGACAGCCATACTTTTTCCGCGAGAAATCGGATCTTTTCAACTGGTCTGCGGATGGAGTTTCCGTTAAATTTGAGCATCTATACCCGTGCGGTCTTATCATTAGCCCTGCCGACATCGACGGGGTCAACCCCCCACCCTCTATTCGGGATATCCCCATGCACAAGGTCCGAAAGCTGTCCAACGTAATGTCCCCTGTGATTCTTCGTGGCTTTGCAGAGACCCTAGAAGAAGATCTATATGTCAAAGCAGCATCTGACATGGGTGTCATTCTCCCATGGAGCTTTGGTATCATCCAGAAGGTCCGCGACGCTGGACGCTCTGACAAAATGGGCAACAATGTCACCTCGAATGAAGCCATGCCCATGCACTTTGACGGCATGTTTAAGTTCGAGGATGTGACAGATCCAGAGACCGGCGAGATAAAGAAAGTCCAGCATCCACCTGGTTACCAATTCTTCACTTGTCCCGCCACAGCACCCAAGGGGAGTGGCTTCACTTTGTTTGCTAGCTCTCGGCTCTTTTTCCGGTATCTCCCGCTACCATGGACAGCCGAACGTCTTGAAAAGATCACTTGGCGCATGGATAATGATGGATTCTGGGATGCGAAGATGGAAAATCTTCCTCTTACAGTGAAACACCCTGTCTCCGGTCTACCATGTATGCGTTGGCACCAGCCATGGGACTCCACCAAGACCAAATTTTCGACGTGTGAAGTGACTATTGAGAACGACGATAACAGTTTGGTGCAAGTTATTGATCACGGTGTATATGACCATCGTGTCTGTCTTCGCTTCGAGTGGGAAAGAGGTGATTTGTTGATCAGCGATAATACCGCTATGTTGCATACGCGCACTGGATATATCAATGACTGTGATCGGGAATTATGGCGCATTCATTTCGATTAGATACTTCTTGAGCTCAGATTGGATTAGCCGTTTATGACCTCAGGATTATTTGTATTTTCTTTACCAGATTGTTTCAGATGTTGTCGCCAGTCGTCTATCAACTAGTTAGTTGATCTTTTGGCAGGCCAGACTGTCACTAAATTTGCGTGAGAGTAGCTTACGGGCTAGTCTTGAATAGAATACGTTCATTTGTCAAAATCTTGAATATTTGAATCAATATCATCGGTAACTAGTGACTTCCAGGAAATCCCGTCTATAAATTAAAATTGTATTTAGTACACACGTACGTTTCCTACAACTCAGCTACTAGGCGTTAGCGAGTTGTCTGCACCACGAGAAGATGGATTTTTGGATTCTTTGATCTTGTCTCCTGAGGATTCCCGAGTTGGGTGTGAGTGAAGGTAGTGAACTCCAGGTAGGTTGTACACCTGCAATCTAAAGGGATCACTCTATCCGTGGATATGAATTTTCAAATTTTCAAATTTTCAAATTTGGAAAGTTCCGAAGTTGGAAGTTTGGTAATTTTCTCATGACGTGATATTTCATTCTCATTTTTTGGTTTTATTTGATGCATTTTCCAAAATCCTGTGCAGTCCGCGGTTTCCGCGGAAACTTCCAAGCAACAACATGCATCATCCTTCGGATACATCTATCTATATCCATTCATATTCATGCTACCTAGCAAGCTGACCAATTAGAAACTCTATGTTTTGAGCTATTTTTCAACGGCTAAAATCCAGCAAGGAGATTAGAAGACAGCGAAAAGCCATAGACGACTGTAGCCACAAGCGCAATCGCGTTCAGATGAATGCACATGGCATGATTCACAGCGAACTTGCGATTCGCAGTGTGAATTTTTCCATCCTCATCCGCTGAGTCGACATTTTTTTCTACGTTCAAACACATATCAGTTGGACTGTGCTTGGCTAGGCATCAAAAAGGGACCGGAACTTACCATGAAGCGCTCTTCGTACTAGTGCCGTAGTCGTAGTACTCGGGCCGTAAACATACCTGTTCAAACAACCGGTCGTCAAAACAACTGCCAGCGGGCCTGCGCCCCATGGATCTTTCACGAGCGACAGGAGACTGTAGGGCGGATGCGTTGCTGCTGTGATTGCAGCCAATCCAACCTGACAGCTGAAATAGACAGGAAATAGGCGTTTCTGAAGAGTGATGAACTCGCGCATCGGGAGTGCTTGGAAGCATATTTTGGTGTTGACAAAACTCTAGAAACAGTTGAGTCACTCTTTGTGATGATACGTATAGAAAGGAAATAAAAACCGACCTGGAATACCTCAAGTCCTAGTAAAGTACCGTAGGAAAGAAGGTGGTAAGGCAGGAGGTTGCCGACCGTCTTGAGGATACCGTCCATGTCTTTGGAGCTATCAATAATTTGAAGTGTCTGGATATAGGTACCTGGCAGCCCAATGTGATGGTTGCTCAGATTTTCAAAGGTGCCGAGGTGAGTTTGGGGGATGGTTTCGGGGTGATGATGAAGGAAGGTTGCACCGACGAACTAACGAGCCCCGGACCAAATATTGGCTGCCTGAAATGACTCCCAACACCCCAAGGCTACCCAGCTTATTATTTATTTTGCGAGATTACTAATTAATCCGTAAGCACTTATGTAGATAATGCCTGTTATGATATAGCAGATATAGACATCAACAGTAACCCTCAGATACCCAAGTCCCTGGCCTTGGTAGCACAATGTAGGTCGGTCTTTTCTTGAATACCATAATCTCACATGTATCTAGGTATGGACAATAGTCGGTGTGATGATGAGAGGCCGTGAATACATTCTATGAGGTATAGACAAGGTTATGGAATCATACTTCTGACCTTTCAAATGTTGAAGGACATTGAGATCAATCTTAGGATTGATGGTTGACTTCATTCTTTTCGCCAATCTAAGCATTTTCTTTTTTTTTCAAATATGAATGTACTTGATTCTGTTGATATGAAACATCTTCCAAGCGTTCCTTCAATTCAAATCTAACTCCTTGGCTTAGTTCTCGGGGAATATAGAGGTCTCGTAATCTTGTAGATGCCCAGGTGAGCTCAAGGTTCCATATCTCAACGAGGAATGTAGCTTCGAAATGAAATTTGAGTACAGTCAGTGCTTTGTGATGAATCGTCACTATTTTTGTAAGCTTTGAGCTTGGCAAGGGCAGGTCATTTGGCGGTTAGAAGCATGTATTGAGGCTTTGTCGTCGGATTAGGATTATACCACTGCACATCATCATAATATCAGGTATAGAGCAAGTTCTGATATCATCAAATTTGGAAAGCTCTGGAAAATGCTTGAGCAGTGAGAATAATACCAGTTTTCTTACAGACTGGGGCTCATACTCTCAAGATCAGCGGTCTGGAACTCTTGGTAATCAGAGCCAGGCTAATGAGCTGATGCGAGGTCGTACAACTCTCACCGCAATAAGTCCATAAAAGGTGGCCAAAGGGACGTCCGAGGCCTCATTGTGTCCTACTTATGTACAACGCCACATCCCAGACCGTTGGTAGCCGGAGATCCAGTTCAAAGAGGCTTAGAATCTGGATCACCACAACACTAGGCTCAGATCACTCCCTACTCGTGAAACCAAACTTTGCTAAAGAAAGAAGCCAAGTCAATCACCGATTACTCTTCTCCACTGTTTTAGCCCAGTTGAGAAACGTTAAATCACTGGGATTATCACGCGGCTAAATTCCTAGACCATTATCTCTTGTCCTTTTTTCAGACCGACTTATTGCCTCTCCACACCCTCCACCTCTCCGGGGAATCTGTTGCACAAGTGCGTGTCACAGTGAGATTGGAAGCTCTTCTTTCACGAAGAATGCGCATGGGTGAGATAGAGGCGTACTATAAACGTATGCTTATCGGCATCTCATTGCCGAAGTTGGCTCTTTAACAACTCGATATCTCCCAAGCTGATTACAGGAGAATGCTGGATTTTTAGATCTGAAAGCTTTTACAATATCGTATTTCAAATGAAGCAAAGTCAAAAAATGGAGAGAACGGTGTCAGAGCGTAACTCTGAGTCGCCTAAGAGCGAAGAAAGCCCTGGCCAGAAGCAGGATCCTCTCGAGAGACGACGACTACAGAATCGTCTCTCTCAAAGAAATCACCGTGAGTAGATAGAAATAATCATTTGATTCGTGAGTTGTACAAGGCTGAACTTTTCAACAGGCCGCAAGATCAGGGATCGTATCGCAAAGCTGCAGGAACGAGTCATTGCGAATGAGTTGAGAGCCAGTGCTGCACTGAATGGCTGGGATCAGACATACACTCCTCCATTTCTCCCTACGAGGCATTCATATCATTCAAATGCCGATTTTAATAGCATTTCAAATGACCCCTCCCCTCTCCCTGCGGAGTGCTCGCAATTCATACCTCAATGTACAATTTCCTCCCCATCGTGGTCTAGTCAGCCGGCCATTACTCAATCTTCAACTCTACCTAGAAGCCCCTTGAATAGTAGTGATGGGGGTTCATTTGATATCGAACCAAGTTTCCCAGCGTCCTCTATGCCGGATCTGATCCACAGTCCTCGTTTCCCTTTGCCAACTGCGAGCAGCCAGGAAGGCTCCATTCACGATTCGTTATCAAGCAACTGCTCGCCACTATCGGAAAACCTCCCTTCAGTATCAACGAATCAATCCCTTTATTACGTTGCAACAGGTGAGATCACTTTTCCAGACCTCAGTCATAGCCCTGGCGCTGATGTCCATTACTAGAAACATCCTTGCCTCAAATCCTTCAAGCCTTGAGCTCAGTTTCGCCTCAATCAAAAATCATTGTCGTTGTTCCTCCAGATACTACGACATCAGTTACTTCGAGCTTGGGTAGTCCAGCTATATGGCCAGGAAGCAGCAGCCTGAGGGACTACTTCCCGACACCTCTGAATGCATTGAATATGGCATGCCAATGTCAAGACCCCAGTACAAATTGTATCTCCTCTGCTCAAACATATTCGAGAACATGGAACGTGCCTAGATCTTATATTCCTGACTACCCGTTGAACAAATTAATCGGCTCTCCGTGTGGAATCTTCCCTTGATGGCGAATTTGATAATCTCCGGATTCAGTGTATATTCATGCGAGACAACTCTATGGTAAGGTAGGTGATGAATATGGAGAATCTACATTGAGAACAGGCAATGGGTCAGGCGCAAATGATATCTGGAGGCTGAAGTACTTTGAACTCGCATGAGTATTCATATAGTTGATGAAATGCATAGCGTTATCCAAGAATTTAATTATCAAAAAATGTTGTTTACCGTGAGAAGCAAGTAAAGATGAAGTAGAAATGAATAGAAAACCTATGCCGAGCCAACACGTGCTTCGCCTTCATCAAACCACAACTCTATTAGCCGGCATCCATAGATAGATTGGAGCCCAGCTGACTCGTAACAATTGCCTTTCTCAACATACCCAGAACCCCAGCGGTATGTACGCATCCTTTCTTCGTTACCGACTTGGCTAACAGTACTCTTAAATAGCAGCAGCACCTTTTATGAAGATTCTTTCTCGCTATTCCTGCATTAGCCATAAATTATCAACGATGATATAACAAAGAACAAACTTACCTTCATAAAGAAGGATACAAGGAACGCCATAGCACTCGCTACAAGAACCAGATAATAAGTCCGGCTCATAGCTTGAACAACAACGTGGTGCACTTGACCTCTAACATAAGCTGGTATCCGCGTAAGAAGACTACTATCAACTCCGGCAATCGCCCCCCGCAGCTCATTCCGTGGAATATTGGGAAGTATTCGCTGCAAGTCGTTGAGAGCTGTGTTTTGAAATACGGCACCTGAGATGGCAAGCGCAAGCATTATGCCCAGGTTTTGAGCCAATGCGATGAAAGATGTAGCATCTGATGATCTGGAGCTGGGTACTTTGGCTTGTGCCACTGAGAATGAAGTCTGGATGAACATTCCGGAGCCTACTCCTATCAGAATGGAGTAGCCATACACCTTGCTGTTCGAGGAGTTTTCGTTGATTGTGCCTGTATCCTATTATTAAGACTTTGACCATTATATGGGAGACAATAGTGTGACTCACTCATCAAAGCTCCGCCGACCAATGTCATAGCACTACCAATGGCATACCACGGCATGTAGTATCCAAACTTTGACATCAACCCGCCACTTAAGAACCCGGTGACAACCATTAGACAGATGAATGGGAGAAGTCTCACTGCAGCAGTTAGGGGTGAGTCGCCCTTCACAAACTGGAAGAACAGCGGGATGTAGTAAGTAGGTATCTGGTCGAGATAATTAGTATACGATTCCCAGATCCACTGTCAAGGGCCAACCTTGCCCAGGTGGAACCTTACAAATATACAGGTCGAGGCGCAGGCCATGCAAATAAACAGCAGCCACATCAGAGGCGTTCGAAGGAAGTCGGCCGGGAAGATTCGCTCAGTAGCCGTTGTACCGACTTTGAGTTTCTGCTGTAGAACAAACAACAGCAGGAGAACTCCTCCTACAACCCACAAGGCAATTTCCGATCCTGCTCCCCAGTCGAAAAGATCTCCACCAAAATTGATAGCCATGGTTAAAGAAGTAAATGCACCAATATTAAGGATCATTCCTAAGTAGTCGATTTGTCGAAATCTTTTCTTCAGTGTGGTATCCGGCTGAGGATCTCCACGCGGCAGAAACCAGAGGTATATTGGCGTGAAAACACCCCCAATGCATAGGTTGATATAAAAGGCCCAGCGCCACGTTGCATGCTTGTTCTGCGCAAATGCACCGCCGACCCTGTTATTGTTAGAGCTTGTACCCAAACTTAGCCTCGGTGGTCCTTACACAGGTCCTAATACAGTTCCACCTCCCCACGCTATTTCATAGTAAGTAATCTTCTTCCTCAAAGGTGTCAGATTCACTTACTGATTCCAGTGAGTGCCATATAGTTAGGACGTTGACAGACCGATGTAGTCAGGGTCAACAAGGTTAGACAGCCCAAATACATCCCAGCTCCCTAAGAATTGTCAGCTCTTTCATCCCCGCCTTATGAGATCGACGTCCTATTACACCTAGACCTGCAACAGCACGACCGATGATGAATGCATTCATATTCGGAGCTGCACCACAAATAGCACTGCCAATTTCGAAGAGGAGGACCGATGTCAGATACAGCCATTTGGCGCTGAATATTCCGTAGAGTTTGCCCCTGTAATTGAACACACTTGTCAGTAATCTCCATTCACGAAGTGTACCAAGTGACGTACCAGGTTATTATAGTAGCTGAGCCCGAAAGCACAAAAGCCACGCCTAGCCAACTAAGCTTACCGACCTCCCCAAAGGCTTGGATGATGGGGGACTGGACATCGGCAACAATGGTGTTGTCGAGAGAGAAAAGGAAGGTAGAAGATAAAATAGTAAGGACAATGAGTGCCCACTAGCTCATCAAGTCAGAGAGCGGACTAACGATCTTTTTACACTGGATTTCCAAACTCACCAGTGGCCTTGCTACTTTTGCCTGGACATCCTCCTGGACGAAGTCAACATCTTGAGTAATCGCGGTGACGTTGCCCTTGCGCTCAGGATCCATAATGCAGGACCTGACTCTTGATAGGTAAAGAATATTGGAATAAAAAAGAAAATTCAATTGTGGTGGGCGGATACTTAGAATCTTATAAATGCTGAAGTGAAGTGCACGTGTTACAGCCAAGATGTCACGGATAATATTGTCAAATATTTTCTTAATTTCTGATGCAATCATCTATGTATTGAGTGGAATAGCTGAATGAGCAAGTATTCAGATACGTTGGTATCGGATCATATTATCCACGGTCCAGAAATCATCACGAAGTATAAAACACCAAACCAAGGGTTGAACAAAGTCCGGATCTCAGAGCTGCCTAGTTTAGTAGATACCGATGGGAGATGAGGGTGTTACTTAAATACCGGTATCCAGTTAATCCGGTTTTAATTTAGCCATTAGTTTCATAAACAAGCATACGACAGACTGCTCTACTACTAGCAAGCGCTGTTCGGGAAAAAGCTGACATGTTTCATTTCCCTACTCACCATTGTTGTACTACCTAGCAGAGACAACGGAGCATTGCAGGGCCAAGTCAATTAATGAACGGTATTCAGAATATATGTCCTTACATCGAATTTTTATCTGATTGATCTGGTAATTTGGTAATTTCCTCTCTAGTACTCCAATTTTCTGTCTTTTCAACATAATCATCCGTAGTGAGTAGTTCTACGTGCAAATGTGTCAGCTGACTGTCTGTACCTCAATAAAAAGTAAATGTGAACAGGGGGTGACTGACTTTCTTTCTCATTTGTGCCTCTTTTATGAAATGAATGCTAAACTGAAGTCTTGCAGCGAGGCAAACTAGGTAGTACCTAGGTAGCTATACGTACCTATCGAATGAGAGCTGAATAGTGGATTCGTGCAAGCAAATAGGAACAGAGTAGTCAAATATGTATGTGTGTACTTCTGATTTCATCACTCTTCGATACCAAGGTGCTGGACAACGATCTTCGATGCGCTGTTGAGGCAGAAACTGGCAAGCTACCAATGGAGATGCCTCGCGTAGTTGTCAGAGGCAGGATGGAACGCAACGCTTGGGCGATTGTGACGCAAAGGACTTTGTCTTCCGACGCGGAGGCGATAGTCGCTTCGTTCACTTATCGCCTGACCGTAGGAGCTGGCGCTGTCGCTGGTTCTGCACAAAGTGGATGAACGATATGCCCGCGCTCTGCTGTTGCAAGACAGCCGCATGTCTCTTCAGATTAATCACTGTCGTCGAAAGCGATGACTGTCTACCCTCTAGTGGCAAGAATCTCCACTAGATCTGACAAGGGCAGGAAATCAGCAGAAAGCGACAAGCCTTGTGACAGATCTGAATGCTCCATGGCCATCTTCTTGGACTGGTTCATGACGAATGAGATCCGTCTCGAAGAGCAAGATCTGTTCACCATCGGATAAACCTCCGGCATCCTTCTAACTCATACCCTCCACAGATGAGGAAGCCGGACCCGCCGTGAAAGGGTTCCTCGATACCCAAGCTTATCAGACTGAGACTTCATCGCCTCACCAAGCATCGTGCGTTGTCGGTCGGTATATTGGTCGCATGGCTGCCTCAACTTCCCAAGGGTGTGGGGTAGGAGCTGGTGTTCTCAGTCGGCATCAAGGGGTAAGACGAAAGAGTGGAGCGATCGAGCAATCTAAATCACGTTGACTTTCTTCGAAATAGTTTCCAAAGCGCGATACATCGCTTAAGGCAAAGGTGACGCCGGCGCAAGACGCGTGCAAATCTCGCCGCACATCATGTCTCGCAGCGTATTGTTTAGTGGCCCTGCAAGATAGTCAGCATGTGTCTGATGATATGAGGGCTCACTCACACACTTTCTGTTTACTTTCGCTCTACACCCACGATAGACGACATTGCCAAGACAACGTAGCTATCGTCGTGCAAGGACAAGGCTGACCTCAACTTCAACCCAACGCATCCTCCGTCTTGCAGGTCCATGAGGTCGTGTTCGTCCGTGTGCCCTTCAGCCAAGATCAAGGCTGACGATCGATAGGTAGTTATGAGGCAGAAGCACCGAGTAGAATATCAAACGAACGGATGTGATGAAGTGCACAAGTAACCTTGATTAAGACACTATCAGGACATCCAACCATTCAGGAGAACGGCGACATATGCGTGGGAAGCGCTCTGGGTGACAGTGCTCAATACTTGGAGGTCTAGCTGATAAACTCGCTAAAGGCACTGTTTGACAAGCATATGTTAGCAGTGGAACCAAAGTACGGGCCCATGACTCACATAAAAGCGTTGGGCCTCATGAAGGTTTCGTGATTAGTGCGACTAGCAGGTAGATGTATACTTTGGAGTGCTGACTTGGGGCCGTCGTATCTAACAAAACCCGGCTGGTCGTGACATTAGGAGTTACAGCACTGGCCGACGGGTATAGGGCTGACAAGAGACTTAAATATAAGATGCCTCACTTGTACTCTTACGGTCAAGGACCTAGTAAAAAGTGTCATCATTAGCTCGGCTGGACAAGGCTAGTAGGTACTTACATACTCACGGAAGGTTTGTGGCCAGTCAAGGACCCATGGTCTGGCTAGCAGGCACGAAGACGGGTACAGTGGATTGAAATGAACCACCTAGTGGGTAGAGGGGGCCAGGTGATTTAGTGGCTTAAGTGTGCACCGTGGGTATCAATAACGGCAAGGGCTTAGGGTTAAAGAGGAGGGACTCATGAGTCTGCTGCAGGAAGGCACCTTGATTTCAGCTTGACGTAATCCGTCGGATATAGTAAGAAAGAGAATTGTTTCGACAGAGAACCGGGGCAGGATGCCAAGTTTATAGGTCTCTTGGCTGGTCTTGTTACCGCCTGATTTGTATTACCGCGGTGAAGTCTTCTCTGTCTGTCGCTTTTGAGTGGCAGTTTTCGGGGGCCATCGGCATTGCCTTTGCAAAGAGCGACCCGTTAAACTTCTTTACTAAGGTGATGGTCTGGGACACACTAAATTAAGGCCAGTAATGCGGTGAAGGGTCCTTTCAAGAGCCATGTGTTGGCATCGCTTCTTCTTGCTACATCTGTTGAAGCAGCGATGGATTCACTCAATTCAATTCACCTACGTTTATCCAAGTTTCAACCTCTATCAACGGCCACGAATTCAACACTTGAAAACGGTGTGCATCGGGTGAACGTTTTTTGCTACTGCTTGCTCTGCTATGACCATCTTGGCTTTCTGCTCTGGCTGTACGTTAAGATAAAAACTGAGACCAAACAATCTTGTGCTCTGGTGAGTCTGCGTCAATGTATGTACCTTACTTGTTGAGTGCGGTTGTATAGGGTCTTAGCCACAGCCCACTCAAAATATTTCCATTGAGTGCAGCCATGCCACATTGACTGCAAAATCACGAAAAATCAAACCCTTCCTTTCTCTGCTCGTTATATTGAGAGCATCGTCTACCGAAAATAACGGACTTGCGTAGCTTAGAACCGGTGCTTTAAGCGGCAACTCTGCAGAGATATATCTCGTGCATGTACATAGATGAGCCACGACCTTACCAAACCTAGCAAAGAGAGACTTGCCGATAAAGCTAGATGTGTTCTTTTTTATTACCGTAGAAACCAATTCATCTACTTAGGCAAAACGCATATACAGTTGACTGAATTTTCAAATAATATTTGGTTGAGTATCGACAACAACGCTAGGGCTGTTTGCAAAGTTGGCTGACAGTCCCCTTTCCGCAGGACATAGAATAAAGTTTTCAGTACGATTAATTTGTGACCGACTGGACGGCCAGTCCTCTTCATCAAAGCTGAAAGAAGAGCGAAAAGCATCTTGATCTAACTAACCGCAATGGGTATAGTATGTTTCGAAAAAGGGTTCGAGATAGATTCTCTGTGTGTAAGTGGTGAAACTGTTTTCGATCCAGAGTGTATGCTAGTGCTTCTGATATGTACTTACAAAATTATTATTATACCACACTCAAGTACTCGACGCGCTATATTGTACGTGGAAGAGGGATTGGAACTAATCTGAGATTATAAAGGTTGGTCCTAGTATCTACGAGCGATATTGCCATCGGTAACTCAGCTAGCGAATACTCGGCCGATAACACTCGAAAATCAAAGGGACTGACTGTATTCGACACATCGAAACCTGCATACTACCGCTTCATGGGCTGTATACCGCGTGAAAGCTTGGATCGAAGTTCTTCATCGTCATACAAAAGACCAATATCCGCACCTGGGTAGGGCGCGTCAAGTTCATCTTTCAACTTCTGTGCAGTTTCAGTTGAGAGCCACATGTATCTCTCCACCATTCCCGGATTTGCTAGTCCGCCTCCATATGTACCTCGAGTTTCTTCGTGTTTGTTTCCACCGGGGTATTGCCCATACCAGATCTCCATGTCATTGTAGCTGACAGTGGGACCAGTGAGATCATCTCTAGGCTCCAGATCAGTCTGTAAGCCTGGTGCAGTGTGATCAAAGTTCTTGAAGCGGTGAAAGTCCGGGGGAGTTATGTTGCGCTCCTTCATGATTTCCTCAAGGTACTGTAGGTAGAATGGATTTTCACTTCGCCTGGCAGCCACATACAAGGATCTGGTGTAGGGGGGCTTCAAACTTCGGAATATCGAATCGTAATCACAAATTATACAAGTGATCGCAACTTGATGTCCCATGGACGGACACTTTCGAACCAGATCAGCTAAAGTGTTCTCAGAGGGCTTCACGGGCCCCCATATGACCCACGGGAGGCAGTCCGAGTCATCGTTGATGCCAGAGATATCATTGTTCATTATCATGCGGGCATTAATCGCAGTGCGAATCCCTCTGCACTCCAGTTCATTGCCTTGGCTGAGCAATTTACCTGGGAGGATAGCCCGTCCAGGGTTTGTTTCCAGCTGATAAGCCCACCATCTGGCGAAGGTTGTACTGTGATAAATGCCACGAAGAACACAATTGTATTCAAGTTTGGTTCTCAGCCTGCGTGGGTGCATTAGTCGACTGTATCGATCCGCATTGCCCTCCCACGCGGCCATCTGTGTCTGAAGGCGCTTTTCAAGATTTGGGAGATCAGGCGGAAGAGGCATCCACAGTTGATCGGACTGGCCTGGGCCCAGTTCAGCATATTCCTCCATTCCGCTGATATCCTTCAAGCCGATATCTTGAAAGCCGATAAATCCATCTTCCTCGATGTCAATATCATCAGCAGTCGTCTCTGGTAAATTTTTACCAGGGAGAACTCGCTGTCTCAAAGCCCATCGGGGCTTCATATCGCCATTCAGAAACGCATGCGTTCGTGGGGTTTCAAGATGAACGGATCGAGAGAAATCTTCCATGACAGCATATCGTTGGGGGGGGGGGCGGACATGATAATCTTGTAGATTTCGGCGTCTTTGTCAACTTCGCGGGATTCTTCCGCAATAGAAACGTCAGGCAAAAGGTCCAATTCTTTGTAGAGATCTGTATAGCATGCTGCAGCACACGCCCGGCCCACTTGATACCGCATAGACGGATACCGACGGGCAACTTCGCGATATGTTTCTTCTGATGCAAGGTCGGGATACCAGATACAGTACGGCTGAGTGGCAGGATTTTTCATATCGGGGATTACATCACTCATAATCAGGCGAGCATTGCGGGCGCGGGAAAATTGATGGGCCTGACCATCGTCGCCGGAGCATAGCTCAAGAATTTCCGGGCTTGTTGCAAATTGAAGTGAATCACGAATCCCACGGATAACTGCTCTCTGATGCCAAAACGAGCTTAGATCGACGGGAAGATACTCCCCCTTTATTGCCGCAGCACATTGATCCTGGTCGCATGCAGGTATAGGTTTGCCGGAAGAGTCATACGCCTGCCTTTTCGGTAGAACGATATTATATTGGCTCATAAGGCTGCTACCAGACTTTTCGGTAGCCGCCATTAGGAAATAGCACGGGCAGTGGTGCCAGTGGCGCTGGTGCTGCGTGCAGTGACAAGTGGGGGAAATGAAGTTCAATGTTGAGGAAAAGGAAGGGAAGTCAACTTCTCGAAGGACAGGAGTTTGCTTCGACCAGCAAGTATTTATAGGCGAAGTAGATCGCACCGCAATTTTTGGGTTGTAATTCTTTTTTTTTTTCGAGATTTTATTTTATTTTTTTATTTTTTTCTTCTCATTTTCCACTCAGGTTCTAGAAGAAAGTGTGTGGTTAGAAATGCCAAAGTGAGTGGCAGGACGAATGGCAGATGGGCGGCCGAAAACGACCTCTAAAGCGGCCATTTCTGGCCGTCCATTTGCCGTCATCTAGTTTTTAGTAGTTATAGATATTTAAGCTAATTGTTGGAATATGGAACAAAGTAGTCATGTGATCAAATTGTTACTTTATAATAGATAGCAAACTAAGAATGAAAACCAGACTTTACAACCACTTCAAGAGGACACAAAGATATCATAGGGGCGTAAAGCGTTACCTGTGATAGGTGTTAGAAGTGGGCGTTAGCCTCATCACCTTTATCGAATAGCTATTCCACACTTGGTACAGGTGTACCGACACTGATCAGTCTTAGTATAGATCAGGATAGCAACACCTTCCACTAAAACACCTGACTTCATTTTTTTTCAAATCCTCCAGAAATGGCATCTCCTAAGCCTCCAGAGACGCCAGAGATGGCCTACACACGCTTTGAAATGCCTGGTTCTTACATATCTCCAATACGCCGTCAAGCCCAACTCCAACCCCATGTCCAATCAACTTCTTCATCCCCCATAAGATACAGAGTCATTGACTGGAACGAAAGAATCAAAAAGTTTGATCGTGGATTAGCCAACGCAGAGGAAGCTTCGCTCGAAGAACTTACCGAATATGTCGAAACCGCAATTTTCGTTCATAGCGAAGAGTCCCTAACTGATGAGACACTTTGGCTTCAGTTCAAGGATGAGTTTAACGACTTCTCTCTTCGAACCTGGGATCGTCTGCCCAACCGCCTCAGGATAGCACTGCGACTAGATTTGATTCAGAGAGGAGTCTTCATCCGTCGACCAACCAGTATGACACCTCCTATACCAATCTCTCATATCCTGCATGAAGCTGTTCAGGACGAACAGTATCATACCTGGACAGACCAAGAGCTTAAAGCAGTCCTTGAAGAAGTCAAACCAGTGATCTCTATTAAACTCAGTGATCGGCTTAACGAAGCAGGAACTAAATTGAAGACCGATAGCCAAGAATCTCCGATCCCTCCACAGATTGTTTCTCCACAGATTGCTTCTCCACAGATTGTTTCTCCACAGATTGTTTCTTCACTTCCTCACCAATCAAACCCATTCCAAACCACCCAATATCCAAGTGCTAAGAGAGCCACCTTCGTGCCCTCCTTTAAAGATCCAGAGAGAGATGCGTTCCTAAGACAACAGGAAGAACAGAATCGGAGACAACATCAGGCTCAACAGGCTGAAGCTGCAGCTAGCTACAGAACTCCAGAGTCTCAAGAAGCCTATTATAGGCCCTTTACAGCTCTAACCGACGCCAGAAATGCACCCCGGCAGCCACAAAACCCACCTCCTAGCGACCGCCAGTCATTCTATACTACTCCTAGAGAGCCAGATCCTTATCACCAGCCATTCTACCCTGCTCCTAGAGAGCCAGATCATCGCCACCAGCCTTTCAATACTGTTCGTAGAGAGCCAGATCATCGTCACCAGCCTTTTAATACTATTCCTAGAGAGCCAGATCGTCGTCAACCAGATTACACTAAAGAAGCTATGAACATCCGCAAAGCCTACCAGAAGGACCAGAAATATGGTGGATCAGAAGACAGCTTCGACTTTAAGCTAGCCATCTTTTACGACATTTGCGAACAGGCCAATCTACCTCCAGAAGCATACAAAAAGGCATTCTCAGCTATGCTTAAAGATCAAGCCAACGACTATTATTATAATAGTGGCTTATCCTTAAAGCCATTTGACGAGATCTGTAGCCAGATAAGAGCTTATTTTAAAGGACCTGAACACCAAACCCAGAAGCTTATCGAATAGAACAATGTCTTACTCCAATCTCTAATCAATGAGAACCCTAGAAAGCCATTAAACCAGTACTTCCAGCTTCTTATCGATAGACTCTTGAAACTACGCCAAGGGTTACACCCAGAGATGCGTTCGGATACTTAGTTCTCCGCGAAGCTTATAATCGCGTGTAGAGGAGTCCCAGCATGCGAAAATGCGATCGCCTAGCCATCCCACGATCCAAATTCCATGATTACCAAGATACAAATTTCAATCACAGCATAGGAAAACTCACGACCTCTAGAGACACTTCAGAACCATAAAGCATTCTACACCGACCGAAGATACTATCGGAATAACCGAAACAGTGAACAAGAGCGCTCCTATAGTCAAAAACGCGATAGTAGATGGAATCCAAAGAAGAAATGTTATGTCTGCCATAAACCAGATTGTCGATCATGGAAACACACCAAAAGCGAACAGGAACAAGCTCGTAAGAGATATCGATAATCGTTCGAGCGGAATGGTGGCTCCGGCAACTTTAAGAGACGATTCAGACAATATATGGTGCAATGCGAAGAAGAGGATGGTGAAGGAGAAGATGATGCAGAGCCATTCAAAACCCTTATCTCTGAACCTTATACCCAGAATGATGCTAATTCTAGAGATTCCGGAGAGTATGAAGAAGAAGAAGAACAAGAGAACTTCATGACCTCATGCGGAGAAATAATACTATTTAAAGCAGAAACAATGACATCTGAACTAGCTGATAGGGCATATCTTCACTCGATTATCCTAGAAAGTCAGTCTCCAGCTATCAAATCTCTAGCAGAAATCACTAAAAATGACCTATTTATATATACCACCATCGCCACCACGAGATATAATTCAGACACATTTATTAGGATAATGATCGATACTAGAGCATTAAGCAAGTCTATAGCCGGATATGGCCAATTTCAAGCCCTCCAAAAGCTTATCGATATCAATCTAAATACGTCCTCAGCTGGCCAAGTTTCTGTACAATTTGGAATTGGCGCGACCTCTTCTGTCGGCATAGTTCTTATCCACACCCCGATTAGCGAAATATAATTCTATGTGGTTGATGCAGACACGCCATTCCTACTCTGCCTCGCAGATATGGATCGACTTGGAGTATACTATGATAATCTTCGGAATGTCATTATCTCTTCAAATAGCTCGAACCTAGTCTCGAAAACTCTTAAGACCCTAATTATCCGTCGATTCGGCCACCCATTTCTACTCTAGAAAGCAGTCGCAGGCTATATCACATCATCATTCAGCACCGAATGCCTTCTTATAGATATAGAGCTTCGCCGCCTACATCGTCGATTTGGCCACCCATCAGTTCTAAAGCTCCAGTCTATCCTCTATAGATCTGGCCACGACATCCAAAATCAAGCTCTAGAGCAGATAACCAAGTTCTGCCAATACTATCAGAAATTTAGTAGATCGCCAGGCCGTTTCCAGTTTAAGCTTCAAGATAATGATGTTCGATTCAACTATAACATCATCGTCGATATTATATATATGGAAAACAACGGAAGATCAGAGCCAATTTTACATATCATTAATAAAGCTACTAGATTCCAGGCTGGCCGATAGCTTAATAATATCTCTGCAAAGCATACCTAGGATGTCATCCGCTTATGCTAGATAGACATATACCAAGGACCACCTAATATTATCACACATGATTAGGGCAAGAACTTTATGAGCAGAGAGTTCAAATATTACGCCAAAAACCTAGGAATCTCCATAAAAGCTGTTCCTGTGGAAGCCCATAATTCGATCGGCATGGTCGAACGATATCACGGACCACTTCGGCGGGTCTATCAGATTATCATCGCAGAACTAGGATCAAGAATTGACAAACATATGGCCCTCCAGATGGCTTTTAAAGCCCTGAATGATAGCATTGGGCCTGATGGTCTTGTCCCCACCCTTCTTACCTTTAGAGCATACCCTCGAATGGCCGAACTAGATGCGCCATCGCCCTCAGTTTCTCAGAGAGCAGCTGCTATTAGTAAAGCTATGGCAGAGATTCAGAAACTTCGCGCAGAACGTTCGATTTCTGATGCCCTGAATACACGAAACGGGCCGATAACAACAGCGATTCATGGGCTACCCCTGAACTCTCTAGTTCTACTATAGAGAGAAGGAAACGCTCAGAAGATAGGACAATGGACTGGACCATTCAAACTACTCTTAGTAGAAGGAGAAACCTGCACCATTGGTTTACCAAGTGGCCCAACACCATTCAGAACAACAGTGGTAAAACCATACCTAGACGCGCAGAGACACCCTGAATTCGCTCTAAAACATCCAGACTCAACATCAACTCCAACTTCAGAGCCAACTTCAGAACCAACTTCAGAGCCAACTTCAGAGCCAACTTCAGAGCCAACTTCAGAGCCAACTTCAGAGCCAATTTCAGAGCTAATTTCAGAGCTAAAGCCAATCCCAACTACCTTTATAAAGGTGTCTAAACCACAATACAAGACACAGTTTCAGGCCTCGCGACAGAAGGAGATCGACGATTTGCTTATAAAAGGAGTCTTTAAGCTTGTTACCACAATTCCTGAAAATGCACGACTATTTAACTCACGTTTTGTTGATGAAATCAAGCACCAAGGGACATATAAAGCTTATGAGAAGTCTAGACTAGTGGTTTAAGCCTATAATGACCAGGAAAAGGAGACCGTTCTGACTCAGGCGCCCACGATTCAGAGAGTAAGCCAGAGACTTATTCTCTGCATCGCCGCCATGAAACTCTGGCCGGAAACAGAAGTCAATTACAATTTGTTCCTAAGAGACATTTCCTAAGCTTATGTTCAATCCACGACAAGTTTGAATCGAGAGTTCTATATCAGACCACCACCTGAATTTGGATTACAGGAGAATACTGCCCTTAAGGTAGTGAAACCACTTTATGGCATCCCTGAAGCAGGAAACCATTGGTTCAAGACATACCATTCCCACCACCTAAATCAGCTAGGAACAGAACAATCCACATTCGACCCTTGTTTACTGTCCTCGAACAACCCATTTGGCATCATTGGCCTCCAGACTGATGACACTCTAATTCTTGGAGACGATATTTTTGCCGATAAAGAGGATAAAATGCTCCAACAGGCCCAATTCGTAGCCAAAGGGCGCGAAACATTGTCAACATCGCATCCCCTCAAATTCAATGGGTGCATCATTCAGAAAGAAACAGTTCCTCGAGAAGCCATCATCATTTCCCAGGAAGCTCAATATAGAAAGCTCTCTTTAGTTCCTATAGGGCCAGTCTCTAAAGATTCATACATCGCTCAGCGCGCCAGAGGAGCTTATATCGCGACAGTCTATCAACCAGAGGCTGCATTTGACCTCTCATTCGCCGCCCAAGTTACCAAACCTGGAAAAGAAGACGCGAAAAGACTAAATCAACGGCTGAATTGGCAAATCAAGAACGAATCCAGAGGCCTCCGCTTCGTCAAATTAAGACAACACCTTCAGCTACTCGCCTTCACAGACGCATCCTTTGCAAATAACGCTGATAATAGCTCTCAAATTGGCTTTGTTATTGCACTCGCAGATGGCCACAGCACCAAAGATGGTCATATCAACGCCAACATTATCCACTGGAGCTCGATCAAGTGTAAAAGAGTTACTAGAAGCGTCCTGGCTTCAGAGGTCTACGCAACTTCGCATACTCTGGATATCGCCTTCGCAGTAAACACCACTATCAACAAAATACTGCGAGAAGTCATACCATTAGTCCTCTGCACAGATTCAAAGTCTATATATGACTGTGTTACTGGTTTAGGGACAACATCCGAGAAGAGGCTCATGATCGACGTCATGGCTCTTAGACAGGCATACGAGCGACGGCAAATGGAGTTAAGGTGGATTGCAGGAGATTCCAATCCTGCAGATGCGATGACGAAGGCTAAATGTTGTAAAGCATTGGAGAGCCTGGTCGACACAAACCAGTTGGACTTAAAGACATTAGGATGGGTTGAACGATGAAATTGGCATTCAAATTGGCATCAAAAATTGGCATTCGAACACGCGTTTCCAATCATTTTTTCAAAGTGGCTCCAGTGTTGGAATATGGAACATGTCAAAGGGCCGATATTAAGGGGTGTGCTGCGTATGTCAGCAGGACCCATAATGTGTGTATTTAAGCGGGTTTCATCCCTAGATAGACAATCCAGTTTCGTCAACCATTTCTGGTTGGACGGTCAATTTCTCATTTGACAGAACAAAGTAGTCATGTGATCAAATTGTTACTTTATAATATTTAGATAGCAAACTAAGAATGAAAACCAGACTTTACAACCACTTCAAGAGGACACAAAGATATCATAGGGGCGTAAAGCGTTACCTGTGATAGGTGTTAGAAGTGGGCGTTAGCCTCATCACCTTTATCGAATAGCTATTCCACACTTGGTATAGGTGTACCGACACTAATAATTAGATAACACCGCCTCCAGGTCTACTTGAGTTTCTTCCATTCTTCTTACCTATTTCAACAAAAATAATATCTTCAAAATGAACTCACAATCCCCTCCCTCAAATCGCCTTTCATCTCGCGTGATTCCCTCAAACCGCTCTAAACCCCCTTCAAAACATATATTACAGAAGGAGATATCTTTCTCTAAGTTCCTTACTCACGATGACCTCTGCCAGTTCTTGATCACTTCTATTAATAATAGTGAGGAAACCTCAACTTTCTTTTCAACGACGTGGATTCTCTTTTAGGATCCTCCGCAGCTAATTTTCTTGAATCTCAACAAGAATATCTACAAAAGATGACACGGTAAGTTGAGAATTCCTCTTAATTATAGACCTTAGCCTAATTCTTTTGATTAGTATCACATGGAACTCAGTCACCCGAATCTTACAGGTCAAAATACCCACCTGGCCTTATGAATGTGCCGTAATGTGGTTTACCTCTACTTTAAATGACTGGGCACTTGAAGTAGATATGTCAGATATAGAGGCAAGATCTCTAAGCACTACTGCAGGCACAAGTATATTTATCCACCGAGGTTTAAGTGAGCTCTATTATTAAGTTTTAGGTGTGAAATTCACGCAGGGCCCCTATTGAGGAAATTTGAAACAGCCTGATGGCTTTTTTGTGCCTTTCAATAGGGCTACCAATCAATTTTATAACTGTTATGGCCAGATTGCACACATACCAACAGTGGTCCTCGTGTCTGGATGGTCAGAATCCTACAATCATTTATTAGAGGATCTGAATCTGATTCTTATAGGAGGGGATGGAGCTGTTTGGGTCGTGGTTTTGGTGGTATGGACTATTCGGGTCGCGGGAGTATTCTGTCGGATTGAGAAATGGGGACTAGATCGCAATGGCACCCCGCAGATATCGGCTTCGGAGGTTGTTTTTCCTGAACCCAGGACTCTCTTTCTCTTTCTAGCTAATTCTTCTTGACCAACTTCAGATCACTACAGCTCCCAATTCCTGTGTTCATTCCGTAACACCATATCATCCACATCTATTCTTAATACCTCTAGTGATCTGTTATTGATAGTAATAGTGATATTACTATCCTAAAAGGTAGGAGAGGGCGTCACCATATCCAGTCCGGCAGAAGAAGCGGCAATACTAGCATATTAAGCATCCTAGTTAGTAATAACATAAATATCCAGAGAATTATTAGTATAAGCTGACTGAACAGATTAGTCCTCGCCAACTTTAGAATCCTAGCTCCGTCTTTAAGTCCGTTAAGAATCTTGCTATTCAGATAGCCGTTCCCTTTCTTAATAGTCGGTGATATTAGATAGACACCCAATGTAGACCTTATTTAGGTAAATAAAACTTTAGAACCATGCCCAGATAAACAGAGGCACAATCACGGATGTTTTCGAAATCCAGTATTTTCTCTGAAAAGAATTTGAATTTATACAAAGTAATAAGCTTGACACCTTATAAGATGAATCATTTCCAGAACTGCGTTGGAAAAACCGCTTTAAAAATAGACATTACGGGGTATAGCTAGCCCTGAAGGGCCTCGGCCTAGGCCTTAAACTCGAGCATGTGCGCACTTTCCAGCAACATGAACGATTCATATCTTAGTCCACGATCCTGGCCTTCTGACCCTAGGCTAACGGTTCTGTTCCAGACATTACCATAGCCGTCAAATAGGGCTCGCCAGTAACAGGCCTCCGCTGCCGGTGTCAGATACCGCTCGCGGAAGGTCTTGACACTATTTGTAGCGATCTGTCGCGCAGTCGCGTTATTGTGCAAGAGCGGCTCGATCTTTGCTGAGAGATCGCTGAAGTCGCGCTCTACTTCGACGTAGTTCTGGTTTGGTCCGCTGGACACGAGGAGATAATGGTGATGTTGGATGTATTGGAGCTTATGTGCCACTATGACGGATTGGCAGGCTTGTCGGTATTTGAGGGATGCGGAATATGAGCGTCCTGGAAAGATCAATTAGATGAAACCCACTGAAAATGGGAGGTGCGGTATGGCTTACCTTCTACGTGGGCAATGAACATGTAATTACAGTGGTCCTCCATTTTGAGCACATTTGAGCCAGTGGACCATTGGACTTGCTTGACATCACCCCAGGATTTCCCCCGTGCAGCTTCCATCAATGCGCGGCGCAATTTTGGCGCAAAGCTTGGCTTACCCCGCCAGACCAACTGAGGCTTTTTCTCTTCCCAGGGAATATCCAACCGCTGGATCCGGTCTACCACCTGGTCATACGGTCCGATGTAGTTTTCCGGATGGTCCCAGGCCCAAAAGCTGAAATCTGGCATAAGCCACACTCCCTCCTCGTTGGGTGTCCGAGCGAAGGTCCAGACAGGATGTTCTGAGCTGGTTACATCGTCTACCTTGTCCTCCACGGAAAATACAAATTCGATGTCCTGACGAGACCCACGGTTGCTGTCGCCGGCCAGCGCTCGGTGGATCGAACCGAGGACGCCTAGAATCTTTCGTCGGTGGTCCTCACCCTTTGCCCGCGCTGCAACAACATGTAATGTGCCGCGGTGAATCGAAGCGCGAGCCATACCGGGCTCAATTTTGATATTGTCCAATTCCTCGGTCGTAATTTTCCCTTTCAAATTCCAGTATGTCTGTCCGCGGGCAGTATCTTCGAATAGACCTGGAAATGCTGCTCGGCATTGCATATGATCTAGGGTTTCATCCGGGGCGTCGCGCGGGTACTCATATCGCCAGCTGGTGGGTATGGGCTGTTGTAAGCCTGCATCTGGACAGGAGAGACAAGTCGAGCATTGGAAAGTCGTGGAGCTCTTACAAGCAGAGTGACCTGCAGGGATTAATTGAGTGAGGAGAGGGTGAATATAGTCGCGGTCTGAGTTGACGCCAAGCCAAAGTCCGAAAATTGCAGTGCACAGAATACATCCGATGATAAAGAGAAGCGACAGACCACGCCGAGGCCGTATCAAGGCATATTTCGGCGTCATGCCGACTCTACATATTAAAGAAGAAGAAAAGAAAAAGATGGAATGAGGGGGCAAATAAGGATATTTAGGGCGGGAGGTCACTATCGAAATAGTGCAGCAGCTAACTAACTATCTTATACTTAAAGCAGTATTATTGTGGAGCGGCTGGCGTCATCCTTCCCGTAAGCCCACATGGATCACATGGATCCACCTAGTCTAAGTTAAGCATTTCTTGGCGTCAAGGGCTGTGTAAACCCTATGTTGTTTCATTTTGATTGGATCTTACTCTTTTCCACGCTTTCACTTGAAAATATTAGCCTTATCTAGTAGTTGGTGTTTTAAATAAAACCGATTCTTATTAGTTATCTGACGCAGATCAGATTAGCTTTTAAAAGGATCATATCTATGCGGCTTCACCTTCATCATCTGGTATAATTAAAGTACTCAGGGCTGAGACTCTGAGACACCGAGACACTGCCCCGTGGCTGATACATCTTGGAAATCAGCCCAAGGAAAAATCAAATGCTTAATCCTACTGGACTCTACTGGGTCTTACTGAAGTTTCACGATATATGAGGGTAAACTGCGGGTAAAATGCGTAGTATTCTGTAACACTGGTCCGCTGGGCATACTCGTCCAAGCAACTCCTAAGAACAAATATGGTATCATACAAAGTAAAAGAGAAGCCTATCCTCACTCTTCTTGTTTTTCTCCTGCAAACGCCACCTGTAATGCATACAAAAAATAGAAACAATATGATGATCAGTGAGCTCTGGGGGTTCGTCCTTGCCCGCGACGGGTGCGATGTGGGGATGGAGGAGGGGATGGGTTAGAAGACCGGGCTGGTCGACGTCGTGTCCGTCCTAGACCTGCTCTTCGCAAGACTTCATCGGCATTATTATCCAACGCCGCCTCGAGCTCAGTCTCCGGTTCGATGGCAGCTTCGATTCGGTGCTTGGATGGAGACACAGAAGCGGATGATCGGTCCCTTCCAGTGGTGTGGTCTTTCTCCCGACCCTCCAGAGCCCAGATTTCAAGTGCCCGTGCCAAAAGAGTTTGAGCGATTCCAGCACCACCAGCAGAATCCCCACCGCCAGGAGCGCCCAATATCCGGACAGCCTCGTGCAAAGATTCCACTGCGGCCGTGTTACGACCCAATTCTAGAAGCACAAGGCCACGAGACGTGTGCAGAGAGCCTACCAGGCCTCGGTCTTCATACCCGCCAACACCTGACGCTGAAGGAACGGTGGCAGAACCACCCGCGCTGCGACCTAAGAACGGAGAGTAGCCAGAAGTGTTGCCCCCGGAGCCTACACGAAGACATTCATCAAATTCAGTAAGTGCCTCGCTGAACTGCCCCATGCGGCGTAAAGCATGACCAAGATTGACACGGGTGGCGACCCAAGCACCTGGCTCACAGTGAAGGGAGGTGGCAAGGTTGAGCGCTTGTCGGAACAACGCTACTGCGCTTGTGTGGCTATTTTGATGGTAGAAGACCACCCCAAGTTCATTGAGGACAAGGGGGTCGCCACCAAGAGGACTGGGTAGAGACTTTGTAGGGACGGAAGCACCTATTTCCATCCCGGTCGACATGGCGTTAGCAGCCCACAGATATTCATAAGCTAGTGTCATGTTATTAAGAGCAAGATGCTGCATTCCTAGAAAAAGTTGAGGCAGGTGGCTGCCTTGGAAAAGGCGTGCTGCAGTACTGTAGGCCGCGATAGCCTGTTCATGCTCTCCCTCGGCAGCGAAGCTATGGGCGAACCCGATCCAAGCTGGTGCTGAGTGGGGATCAAGAAGAGATGCCTTGGAGAAAAACCGCCTGGCTTCGGGAATCTTCGATACCGCAAGGTAATAGACGCCAATGGCCAAGTATGTGTAAGATTCTTCGGGTGCATAGTCTGCCAACATGTGGGACAGCAAGAACAAGTCATTAATGGCCCCAGTCTCGTAGAGACAAGCCAGATGGAGTGGATACGCTGCCGGTGCAAGTGCGAGTTGGTTACGATGATGGATATTTTGGCTGGCCGTTCCAGTGAAGTCGGTGGTATGGGTAGTGATTATAGAGGAAGTCAATTCGAGGGCCTCGTTGAAACGACACTGAGTGTAAAACATTTCTGCACGAGAAAGCAAAATATCCGGATTATTAGCGAGCTTGTAGTGGGTCGAAAGGGTTTCGGTCGCATTCGACAGGATCGAGGGTGAGGAGTATTTGGAAAGGCGGGTGGTGTAGAGCATTTTGGTAAATTCAGCGGCTTCCTGGGCTACAGAGGGGTCGGATGCGTGGATAGAGTCGAAACATAACGACTCAAGGAGCTCAAGCTCTTGCTTTGGTGTCATCAGGGAGTTCTTCGTTAGTTGGTCCAATGCCTCAAAACATTGAACATCAATTCGCACGGCAGTCTCATAGCATTCACGAGCACGGTCAAAGTTATTCTGCTTCGCAAAGCATAGGCCACGCAAGTAGCATATGGATGCCTCAAACTTAATATTCCTCTCATGCTCCTCATCGCGCTCGTCACGTTCACGAGTAGTCTCACGAGTAGTCTTGCCATTGCGTAGTGTCACATGGCTCTGTCCACGAAGATGTGGGATCTTGCGACGACCATGTTTGTCGGTAATCAACTCGGTAGGGTTACTTTCACCAAGTAGTGTAAGTGCTTGCTCAAATTGGTTCTGTTTGATATAGCAGAGGCCGGCAAGGTATCGACAGGCGGGGTTTCTCGAGACAAGATCTTCGCGGGACAACAGAGCTAGGGCACGGGAATAGCTACCAGTCGTGAAATGAACCTGTGCAAGCCAAAAGGCATCACCGTCACTGTCTTTTCGATATGAGTTAGCATTAAGAAAGCAATCTGGCGCAAGATGCCTACTGGTGAGTGCCAGAAGTTTGTCTCCAACGAAAACAGCAGTCTCATATTGGCTCCGGTTGATCGCGTCCTGTCGCCAGTCCCGAAGGTATTGCTCCATGGCCATTCAGGAAAAAAAATAGAGACAAGAAGGAAAGCGCGTGAGCTTGTGCTCCAACAATCCGAAGAATCTGCCAGTCTATCACTGCGGCCTTTGTTGATCGCAAAGGTGGGTCGGTAAATAATGGCCCGTGCACCCCGGTCAAAGAAGTAGATATTAGTCTGAAATGAGATTCTTCAATTGTCAGTAGAAGTGGTTTCACAGATTGAGGAAATGAGAGAATTGAGTGTTGAAAATTCAAAGCAATAGAAAATTGAAGCTCAAAAACAACCTTGGAAGACCACTTTTCTAGCTTTACGTGACTTCCGAATTATCACGTGATGTGTTAAAATCACGTGGTGATAGCATGTAGGAAGGCGGTGGAATCATGATCAGGTTAGAAGTATTAGCATCTTCCCTCATTTCCCTTCGCCCACCTCAACACTGCAAGGCCGTCACAATGTCTGAGCGTAAGGTTTTGACCAAGTACTACCCGCCGGATTTCGATCCATCAGCGATCTCTCGGAAGCCCAAGGGCATCAAAAAGAAGGGCCCAAAAGTGATCACAGTCCGACTGATGGCTCCGTTCCCAATGAAATGCACCGCTTGTGGTATGTTCTCTGTTTGCTTCAAGTCTTAAGATGATCTCTACTGACATATTTCAGGCGAATACATTCATCGTGGCCGCAAGTTCAACGCAAGAAAAGAAACTCTTGATGAAAAATACCTCTCCATCGCAATTATCCGCTTCTATATTCGATGCACGCGCTGCAGCGGTGAGATAACATTTCGCACCGATCCGAAGAGTAAGCTTCTTGGAACTTGGCTGTCTTTTAATATTACATATTACTGACATACCCTGAAACAGACATGGATTACGAATGCGAGAGAGGAGCCAAGCGAAACTTCGAGTCTTGGCGCGATAGCAAGGACGAGAAATATGGCGAGACCCAAGAGGAAACCCTTGAACGACTCGAGCGCGCAGAAAATGAAGAGGAGGAAAAATTAGAGCGTGACAAAATGGCCGAACTCGAGGAGAAGATGAAAGACTCGAAACGAGAGATGGCGATCGCCGATGCGCTTGACGAAATCCGTACACGAAATGCCCGCATCCAGCGCAACGGGTCAAATATCGATGAAGCTGCTTCAGTCCTCGTTCGGGATGAGGTTGATGAGAGCAGACTTCGTGAGGAGAAAGAGGACGAAGAGGCTGCCCGCCTTGCTTTCAGGGATGCCAGTGGAGTTCGGGTCAAACGCCTTGTTGAGGAGGAGGATGCCATACTTATGCCTCCTCCTCCGCCGCCTATCGTCCCGTTTAAGCGGGGAAAGAAGAAGAGCAGTGTCCCCAGTCTGGGCATCAAGAAAAAGCCCTCTCTAATTTGAGGTTTTATGCTCCATATCAATGGCGTTGTTTGGATTGCAATGATTTTTTCTTCCTCTTCGAATAAGAGCAGTGCAACCAGCCTGAGTGTCGAAAACACATCTAATCTAATGTTTTACGCTTTATGTCACTGGCGTCTGGGTAGGACTTCTCAAGGCGAAAGAGAACAGTGTCAGGGCTTCAAAAGCAAGGCACTTCTTTTTACATCTTTTTTTGTCTTTTTTTGTAAAATTTATTATACCATTTTCATACTCCTACTGGTTCAAATAATTGTAAAACAGTAGTTTTCTCGTAATTAATCTATTTTCGGACTCGAAAATCTGAGAACTAATAAAGAAATCGGTATCACGATAAGTCGCAAACCCAGCAAGAAGAGATTAAGATATCTTCGTAATGTTGAAAGCGCCGCGCTTAAAAGCAAGCATAAAAATCCAAAAGAAACCGGGGATGATGCAGGGATAATACTATCAACCAAATAATAGAATACAAACTATCGCAATAGCATAGAAGAAAAAATCTCAAATCTCACTTAGAGATATGACATCCAAAGCGCATCGCAAGCGGCCAGGTGAGTGGGGTTGACCGCCTTAGAGATCAAGTCAATCGTGGTCTGGTTTGCGGGCAGGTTGCCCTCTGGCGGGCTGGCAAGGCTGACGGCTCGGTTGACGATGATGTCGCTGTTGTTGTAGACCAGCTCGCGCAGCTGGGGAACTTGAATCGTACCACGTCCGTGGGAGGTAGCCCAGAAAATCATCTCATCGCGGACAAAGATGCTGAGCTGCTGCTCCAGCTCATGGCGCGGCTCTGTCAGACAGCGGGCGATCGCCATCATGGCACAGGCAAAGAGACCCTCCGTAGCGATAGGACCCAACAGAGTCTGGATATTCGGAGTGAATCGGAAAGGAACTTGCTCGGGGTTGTAGAAGATTGCCTTGTTGGGATTGACGGTTGGGATCAACTCTGCACCCCAAATGTCACCGGAAGAACGCGAGATCAGAATCTTGTTGGGGTATCGGTATCCGATGTGCATCACGTAAGTCATGAAAGCGACCGCCGCGTACTGGTAGGCAAATTGGCGTCGGAAGAGCCAAAAGTCCGAGAAGGTAGGGTAGGTTTGCTGGAAGTATTCCAAAACCACAGTGCTTGGAACCCACTTCTCCTGAATCGCAGTCAAGATCTCAGTGCGGAGAATCTGTTGTTGATCGGGAGTACGCTGTCAGTAGTTAGTATATTGCGTAGTAAGGAGTAAAGGATAAGTTTTGCTTACATTTGCCTTTGTCTCTGCCAGAGAGCGCATCTTGTCCATGGTATACAGGACAGGCTCATCCTTGTTCATGCCAACTCGTCGGCAGTAATCCTCGTAGATACCTTGCATGGAGATATAGGAAGAGTCGTCGCGAACCAAGCGAATGTGAGGAGCAAGTGGCACCATGAGAGGGAGATGGAAGTACAGGTTCCGGCGACGGCTTTCCTTGCGTTTGGCCAACAAACCATTGAAGATGCGGAAAAGTTGGAGAATGCGCTCTTCGCGTCGGCAGTGACGTGCAGCTGGATGCTGAACTGCAAAGGCATGAACACTACCGTCGTGTCCACGAATCTTGAGGCGTCGATGGCAAACACCAATACCGCGCACTAGATCCACGTCCGGTAAGAAGCGGTCGATTCGAACAAAGTCCTGGTTTTTGTCTTTGTGCAACAAATATTGCCCAGGGACTTCAACTTCATCAAATTTGCCGAAGCGAAACTCGCTGAGATGCGGTGAATAACTCTCAAGGTTGCCGGACTGGGGTCGTCGATCAAGTTTCTCTTCAAATTTGTCGCGCCACTTGCGAAGTTTTTGAATGTATTCATACATTGTCGGCTTTTTGACGACAAAGTCCGCCTCGAAAGATTTCCGAATGTGGGCAGGTAGAATGGTCTCCGCGAAACGTGTGATGTTAGCCTCCGTTGCAGGTGGCAACTTAAAATCTTGCGCATAGGAGCCGGGCATGCGTCCCACATAGGCCAATCCATCGTTGAGAAGGGCCACAATGAGTCGGTAAGCATCTTCATCAGGAGGGCACTTGAAATTCTTGTGAATTTGATCAACCATAGTCTCCATAGATAGAGCAAGCAAGGGGAATGCAGTTTTGAGACCAGACATGATCTCGTCCGAGTATTCCCAAGGCTTCTTGAGAGTCTCCTTCTCTGCCTCCGTAGTAGGAGTAGGTTGGTTTTGCGGCCGAGGAGTCCCATTCTGACCTGGTACTTGCAAATGTTGACCAGGGATTTGACTTTGAACCTGGAGCGGGGAGGCTTGTGCTGGAGATTGACTTTGCGAAGGCTGTCCCTGGGCGGGAGATTGCGACATTGGTAAGCTGGCAGCCTGACCGGCTGGCGAAGCGCTGGGTGCAGGTACACTCATTGGGGGTTTCTGAGCAGGGGATGCGTCGCCGTTGACAGAAGGCTTGGGGGTAGCAGAACTCTGCTGTTGTCTTGCCCGATTAAGTTTCTCCTGCTTCTGATCATGCTGTTTCTTGGCACTAAGCATGTCCTCTCTGTTCGTACGGAGGAGGAAGAATAGAGCCTGTGGGTACAGTTTGGCGATTTTCACAAGGACAGCCTTGCAAAGCCTTGCCTCACGGTGAGACAAGCTGGTCAGAAGCTGAGGAATGAAAGTGATCCAATACCAAACAGGCGTGTCACCCTTGAATTCTTCAAATGACTTGGCAATTTGGCCTTCATCATTGTCCAAGCTGAGAAGCCACAAAATACGGCTGAGAAGCTTCCGCGACTTGGCGCTCTTGTACAGGCCGGCTGCTTCCAGGTAGCAGCTGACCGCATTACTAGCAAGTTCATAGTCAGAGAAGTCTGACTTGAACCGCTGGTCGCTATACTGTCCCCATTCAGACCAGGCTTTGGCCAGACGGAGGTCGTAAAAGAGAGCAACACCGAATGCCTCGTTAGCTTCATTGACATGGTCAAGCTTGGCCAGGAACATTCCCTTCAAGGTGTAAAACTCGGCCTTCTGCTGAGGTCCAAAGTAGTTGAGATTGGTATTATTGATAACATCCAACCCACTGTTCAGCTCCTTGGGATTCTGGTAGTGGCACTTGGCCTGCTCCCGTAGCTTCAGGAAAGCCTCCTGGATTTCGATGTTGGGCAGCGTGTAGATACGGCTGAGCTGATTGATGCAGACCTCTGGCATCTGGTGCTTGCGAGCAACGTGAGCAAAGCGATTGATAATCCAGGCAGTCTCATGGTATCCACGGTAGGCATATGAATTGCTGGCCACGTTGTTGGCCGTCGGAGGAAGAAGGCCAAGATAAGTCCCGTTGATGAGTTGGAAGATGTGCTGTCGCCAAGTAACCAAATCCTGCCAGGTGTTGATATCATCCCAAAGGTTAGGAAGGCGGTCTCGCCAGGTGCCAAGAAGCAGCTTCAACTCAGCGGACTTAGTGTCCAGGTTGCGTTCATTAGTCTGAGCCAAGCTGCCACAGATATGGCTGGCATCATGCAGCTCAACAAGCAGCTGGAAGTGCTGCAAAATTGGAATATGAGCATTAGTGATGCGTTTGGGCAACTGCAGCCATTTGCGAATTGACAGCTGAATTGACTCGTCGCACACACTGTTGAAGTCTTGCATGTTCTCCTTCTTGACATGGTACTGGAGGAGAGCCATGAAGGCCTGGAAGAAAGTGCGTCGCGGAGTAGGAGCATCAGAAACGGACTTGATCAGGGACTCAAGTTGCTCCCGGTTACCTTCGCTTTGCCAGTTTTCAATGTTTCTCCAGGCGGCCTCTAGCAGAAGATCATTCAAGTTCTCGTGCTTGGCGAAATCACTCAGAATCTCCCATTGTTGAAGCTTCTGGGCACAGATCAACCAGTGATCCTCCCATACAAAGTATTCACCTTGCGAGAATGGCATAGCTCCTGAGCGTGCTTTGATCTGCGCATTCTCATAAAGCTGTTGAGACTTGTCCCACATTCCCTGTTGCTCGTAGGAAAGAGCTGCATTGGTTTCGACAAACTTGCAGCGACGTCGCCATGTTCCATAGAAGAAGTCATCTTCTTGGAGACCAGCATAGACCTCTACCAATGCATCGAGATTGCTTTCCCTAACGGTAGGTGTATCAATGATTGGGTTAACAGCGCTCTCCTCCAGGTATGTCGCAGCAGTATACCAGGCATCATAAGTACGGGATAGGTATTTCATCACATGCGGAGGAATCTTAAACCGGGGACGTGCAAGCACGGCACCTTCGAGAAGAGCCTGGACAACGTTGGGTCGCTTGTCCAGTTGTCTCTGGTGGTATTCCCGCGTGAGCAATGTCACCATACCCTTCTCAAGATCGATCCGGTCGTCCTTAGACAAGGTTGACCAGAATATCGGGAAGAGCGTAGTCCACAGCTTCGATGCAACATTCGGGTCGGTGTGCTGAAGTTGGCAAAGAGGTTCAATCAAATCACGGACCCTCACGTCGCCGACCTCAGACATAAAACGCTTACGATCCGCAACGAAGGCCTCCAATTGGTTATCAACCATAATATCAGACTTTCGGGAATCTTTTTCGCCGCCAGCAAAGAGGAAAGTCAATGGATAAAGAGTAAAGTCATCCGTGTGAAGACGAGCGGTGGTGTTCAAGTCTACGCATCCCAGGATAAGATGCGAGGCTTGGGTCAACCAGAACGAGTCTGCGAGGGTATCCCAGTTTTGGCAAGTAAGAACATAGCTTAAGCGTGCACTCGCGAGACGTGTCAAGCTACGGTCGAATATTTTCATGAAGCGGTTGCGCATCTCAACGTCTTGAGCTCTCGTACCGATCAAGAAAGCGTGCTCTAGACGAACTGTAAGCTCGGTGCGAGTAATTTTCGAATCTTCGTAGATGCGAATAACAAGATCGAGGAACTTTTTCAACATAGTCTGATCGGGTCGTGACTCGAACAGAAGCATTTTGTGCAACACTGCCGTCTTCTCCTTCAAGGTTGGCCATGACTCTGTCGAATGGAATATCCAGGACTCGGCCATGCCGAGAACCTTGCTGCACAGCTTGATGTTTTGTGATCGTTCGACAATGGATGCCAGTACACTCAGGAATGGACGCCGTTGATCACCGAGGTGAGACATACGGACAGAGATGAGTTCAATCGTTTTGTATATAAGATCCACTCCTAGTTCAAACTCTTGCTGATCGGGAGTTCCTTCTGCAGGCTTTTGCCCTGGTGGATACTGTGCACCGCTTTGGGTTGTGAAAGACGCGACATGGTCCTTGGCTAGCTTCTGTGAAAATGATTTCATGACAGCAGGGATGTGAGCATCAATCTCGGCCGGTTTGATCTGGGAAAGTGTCCAAAGAGTGTTCAGACTTGAAACATAGTTGCTGGCGGACAATGTCTCGGTGGCGATAGCAGACAGGTAAGTGCCAAACTCCGACGGGGTGCTGTCAGTGTCCATGGCATCTTCGTCATCAGGTGTATCGTCCGGAATTGCCTCGAGAACGCGGCGAACGGGGGGCGGTAGCTTGGGGGAAATGTCCATCTCATCTTCAAGTCCGTGTAAACAATCCTGGATCTCAGGGTTATCTGATTTCAATGGCTTCTCAAGAAGCTTCTGAATGGATGGGAGACGAGCTGTGATCCACTCATCGGGTTGAGCAGAGATAAGCACCCTCAATACCTGAAGAGCATTGACCATTGCGGTAATATGCTTGTCGTCAGGCTTGTCGGCCTTCTCGCCCGCTAGAATCGGCTCAGTCACCTTAGAGTAAAGATCGATATCAAGATCTCCCCAATACGCGGGCGAGAGAAGCTTCCGGAGAAGATTCACAGCCTTGACGATAATCTCACCGGTGGCCACGGGAGGTGTTTGCTTCGATGACGGCAAAAGACGGATCTGAGCAGCCGGAACCAAGAAGCGTTCGGGAATTGTAGTGATGAAAGTGATCAGATATTTGATCAGGGCGCCACGAAGTTCGACAGGAACGATGTAATCAGACCCTGGCCCTCGACTGGCCGGTGGTGCCAAAGCAGGAGAAGATGTTGCCTCCTGTGATTCACTCAGAGTGCGTTTCTTGGTATTTGGGGAATCGATTGAAACATCCATCCACTGGACCCGTTTCTCTTCCCAATGCCAAAGGAGGCCGATCAGATTGAGTGCCAACTTCTTGCTGTCATTCGAGGCATTGGGCGGGCTTGCAATCTTGATGAGTGAGGGAACAATTAGCGGCACGAAGTGCTCCCGATACTCGTAGAAGAGATCTGGCTGTCGCACCAAAAACTGGAAGATACACATGACCTGCTGCAGATTGGCTGTTTCCTCCGCCAAGATGCGGCGAGGCCACTTGGCCCATAGAGGATACCTTGCTTCACCTTGATTGCCAGCAGTTGTTCGAATGGGCAGAACAGGAGCCAAGACATCTAGAGCTTGGGTGACAAGAGCTCGGCCTTCGTTCTGATGAGCTCTCAACAATGCGACATAAACTTGCATCACGATCTTGAAAGGTGTCTCGTAGTGGGCAATAAAGTAACTAATCAGCACGTAAGCGCCATACTTGTTGATAATGTCCTCGAGGCGGATGTAATTCCAAGCAAATTTGATGATGTCCTTTCGAGAATCTTGAACTGTATGGTGATGATACTTGATCAAGAGAGCGGACAACTGCAGCAACTCCATGCGCGAGTGATCGACTCCGGCTTGACTGGACTCCTCACTCAAATCAGCCAACTGAGGCTTCCACAACCGACTCTGGATCGATTCGGTCATGCTCTTGTCCATGAGCTTGGGCCCGTTCTGTGGACTATGCCATGTCTTCTGGATATCCATGGCAAAGATTGGGTTTACCAGGTTGCGGAAGGCATATGTCTTAGTCTTCTGTGAGCAAGCACGTTGGCCGTAGAGATCTAGACAGCGCATGATGACGGATCGACGGTAATCAATCGAATCATTCATGATTATGTGCTTGAAGATGAATTTGGGCAGTGCCAATGTACGCTTCAACTCATCAGCAGACAGGCCATCAATAACCTCGAAGAGGAAGTCGAGATCGTGAGTAGCTTCAGCCAAATAGGCAGTGAAAATATCCATCAATTGATCTTCTGCTTGTTCAACTCTAAGGCGCTCGTCAGCAGGCAAGCTGTCGCCACGAAGCTTGCGCTCAAGCTCTCTCCCTGAGGTAAGAAGCTTTGTTCGCACGTCCGCGTGCGAAACCAGCCAATTTTTCGTTGACGGATAGGAGCAAATAGAGTGGGCAACGTAGATTCCATGAATAGCTGCAGTGTTTGTGCTCTCTGCTGCCTCCGGTCCGAAAGCATTGGTAGTAAATCCTTCGGTGTCAGCTACCACAGCATTTCGGAGGGCCTCACTCTCGGGATCAGCCAGTATTTGTCCAAAGAACCGACCAAATCGCTCCTCCTTGAACCGTGCCAAGAAGAAAGCAAGACTCTCCTTGGGGTAACGGTTGAGATACTTCACCAAAGGCTTACGGAAAGGACTGTGAGAGGTTCTGCGAAGCTTCTTTTCCAAATCCATAACTTTGTTGACGAGAAGTTCCATGAATGAGGTAGCAGCGGGCGGGAGGAGATGGAAGATGTTGAAAATTGCGGCGACAATCTTCATGGATGAATTCTGTTCAACAAGACTGAAAGACACCTTTTGTAGAGTAGCATCATCTGCAATAACCTTCATGTGATCAAGGAGACGGGCACCAATCTCTACTTTGAAGTAATTCGTCAAGAGCGTCAACAGACGCGCAAGGCCGTCAAGACCAGCAACACTGAGGCGCTTGGGATCTTGCAGGTTCATGAGAATGGGACGTAGGCCGTTCTGAAGTAAGTCCTTCGGAAGCTTGTTGGTCTGTGAAAGAACCTCCTTGAGACCAGCGTTGGCGGCCTCAATCACTTCGGGAGACCGAGAGTATAGCGACTTGAAGAAAACGGAGATTATCCGAGCGCGACTAGTATTCTGCGGGGTATTGGCAAACTCGGAAAAATTCATTGCCATTGACAAAAGACGCAGGCAAGCGACACGCAGGTTGACAATCATGTCTGCATTTTTGAACTCGTTTGGTTTGGCAGCGAGTGATTCATCTTCTGCGTCAGCAAGTGCCAGGGACTCCAACATCAGTCGATTGAGTGCCTCATTGAATGTGACTATATCATTATGTAGGCTCAGGCAATATGTAATTGCATCAATGAATCCGATTTGGATCGGGAAAGGCAGAGCACGCAATGGCTTGTTGAAAATCGGCTGGAGAAGACGATCTTTCACCGGAGAGATGAGCTCGTGTACTTCACAGCCCAATTCTTCTTTGAGAGCTGCAAAGCACCTGCGACAAGTTTCACGGACATGCTTGTTCATATGGCCGAGTTCGACGACGAAGAATCCACAGAGGGCAAACAAACGACTCTTTTCATTTGTCAAGTCATGTTTGGGAATGAGCTGCCCACAACTCTTGAGAATCAAAAGGATTGTCTCTTGGGCTTGGATTCGTGTGGATGCAGGTAGGTCGGAGGGTGTGTCTTTGATGACATATAGAAGGGCTCGAGAGAAGTCGAGGTGGCGTTCGTAGATCCAAGCGGGCCCCATGTCCATCTTGGTGGCAAGCAGCTTTATCCCTAGACTTCCACCTGCTTTTGTGAACCAGTCCTCACTGTGGCAGCTATGGCAAAAGACACGACCCAAGTGTTGGAAAAATGGAAGCTTTGAAGCCTTCTCTGGGTTACCGAAGATGACACCCGCCGCTTCCTTGACAACAAGCATAGCTTGTTCCGCTGCGTCACGAATTTCGGCACTGTCAGAAGCAAGACACTCGACGATGGCGTCAGCAAGAACTCGAGAATCAAGATAAACTGGACCCTCTCCATTTGCCACATCGAACCCCTTACGGCTGTGGCGAACATGAACAAGAGCCCGGCCAACTTCTACGATGGCAAAGTGCTTGCAAACGTCAGCTACAAAAGCGGTTGCATTTGTAGCCAGATCAGGAATAGTTGTCGCAAAGATACAGGCCTTTAGAAGTTTCTTGACAGTTTCTTCCTGTGACACCTTCTTTGGGATTGATGCTGATCGTTCAGACTTTTCAAGGATGTCAACCATGGCACCAGGCTTGCTCTCGTATAGATCATTTGCATGAAGTCGAATCTGAGACGCAAGATCATCAGGCAGATTGTCAAATCCAATGTTAAGCTTCAAGTGGGAGCTAAGCATGCGATACGCCTGTTGCTTGTAGTAGGCGTCCGAGCCCTTGGCAGCATCCGTTTTAGGAGACTCCATGATTTTCCCGACAGCCAAGTCGATGCCTATATCAAGTGGGAAAGGGCGCTTCTCACTTGGCCCAATGAGACGAATATCGAAACTCGGGTTGTCGTCCGCGAACTGTTGGAATGAGAGCTCGGGAGGATGATTCAAGAACTTTCGGTTACGGCCGCCCAATTTGCCGAGAATCCGCATGGTTGTGTGAGCGTGGAAATGGTTGTATGGATGAGGTCTCAGGTGATCCCAGAGCGCCGTCATCAGTTCATCCATAATAGGAGCCATGATGGGGTCAAGGTAGTCGGCAGTCAAGTTGTCCACGCAAAGTTCGAGAGTACGCAAGCCTTGGCCAACAAGATCCGAGTCAGCACGCAATGCCACAACGATTGGGCGCATGAGATAGCTCAAGTGAGGCAACAAATGACTGAGTCGAGCGGGCACTGTAAGAGTGAGTTCCACATAAAGGTCTCGCTCCTGAGGCTTTCGAGCAGCCAGCAACAAGTTATTGAAAGTCTCGAGCAGCATCTCCAACAACGGGAGAATCTCCTTGTACAGAAGCTCAAAGCGTCCACCACCGATGCTTCGGAAGAGTGAACGTAGGAGAAGAAAATAGTTCATAGGTTCCTCGGCGGTCACCGACAATTCGATACACTTGGTGACGATCTTTGTTACGTGCGGATGGAGAACTTGCTCATTTTGCACAGAAAAGAGAGTCACGGCCATGAAAGAGAGCTTGAACATTCGCAAAAGGATCTTCGCCTTGGTCATGTCAGATGTCCCAACTTCGTGAATACGTTCCATGAGATACTGTAGCACCATCCCAGAAAATGCGGGAGACGTTGCTTCGCTAGCCAAAAAGAATTGCGGCAAGTGAAGCAGAGAGCCGTGCTCAAACATGAGCTCATGCAAATACGGAATCTCCGAATGGAAGACCTCGTGAAATGTGGCGGTATCAATGCAGTGAAACACGGTGCCGAAGCTCTCCAGGAGCTCTTTTTCTTCACGCATCATGGGTGCGGTGTACTGGCTAGCGAGAAAATCGAACGGAGATGAGTAGTTCACCTCAGGAGCAGACTGGTCCACTCCGTAATAACGGAAGACTCGGGCACCTTCATGGAAAAGTTTCTTGATAACATGGACCTCCTCAGCATTGTATCCATAAGAAACCTCCGACCAGTTGATTGGCACGCTATTTGGGTCAATCTGGATGTCATCAGGATTGCAATTCTTCAGTTGGTGAAAGATGTTCTTCAGCCCATTGATGAGGTTCTTGAATAGGAAGATGTTATCCGACACGGGGTCTCCACCACGGTCGCGTGGGCTACAAGTCTTGATCGGAGATGCAGAAAAGATGTCGATGTTGTCCCAGTCCGGCGGTTGATCCTTTTCGGCCAAATAGTTCTCAGCAGCTGGCTCGCTATCCTTCCTGTACTCATTGTAGGCTTTGGATACCTTGACAGCGTTGGTGAACTGATAATTCATCGAGGCAAACTTGTCACCAATGGCATCCAAGATCATCAGGAGAAAGTAGCGCGCCTCGCGCTTATCCTCAAGCCTGGAGATCTTCTCTGCCATATTCAATAGCAGCTTGGCACTCATTGTCTGGAAGCTAGTACCGGGAAAGTCATCGTGGAGGTTCTTTGTGTACACCTCGACGGTTCGACGAATCTGGTCCCGACTGAGGTGATCGCGTACGTGGTGAATGAGATCAGCAAGCATGCTGTAAGCCAAGGGTCTCATAGTTTCGTAAACAGTTAGACCATCTCCAATCAACGTTCGCTCGTCCAGAAGCTCATCAATTTTCTCGAGGAAGATCTTGCGATAGTTGAAGTTGATAATGTGACGAATTGCGACAAGTAATTCTTTTCGTGCCCCAGACTTTTCACGTGGGCAATCTTGGAGGAGTCTAACGACAACAGACGGCAAAGTGGGTAGGAAATCCTGAAGTTGGTGAGCGTACGTGCGCAGAAGGTACGCTAAAAAGCTCATTGTCTTGACTTGAGCAGTAATGAACTCTCCAAAGGCAGCTCTGTTTTTGATCTCCTTGCAAACACCTGTAAAGATACTGCCTTGCGCCGCAGCATCTGCATGTGCCTTTTCTTGTGGCTTTGCTTGCAAAAGCAAAATGGTCTTGATGAGTGGCACAAAGAGCTTCACGTTAGCTACGACTGAAGTACGGTGAGTCTGGAAAATTGAAACAACAATTATTGGGCACTCTGCAAGAACCTTGAATGACTGCATGCCTTTCAGGATAATATTGCTGGAGTGTCCCTGTTCAGGACCAAGATCTGATACTGACGTAGCCGGGGAGCTAGGTCTCGGAGATTGAAAATTCTGCGCACTTGTGTTTGGTGTAGAAGGCATCCCAGAGGGGGTTGCTTGGTTGGGAGTGTCAAATGTATCACGAACGACTTGCTCCATAGTCTGGAACATCTCTTGAATTAGCTCCAAGAAAGGCTGCACCCGTTGCGCAGTAGCCTTAGCTTGGTTTCGCTCTAGGTCCATGATTGTTTTCATACACAGCACGGCATTGTCCTCGTTCTCAATGCGCGCAAGATGCATGAGCAAATCCACCATATCGGCAGCGTACGGCTCTACATCTGAGGATGCGGTAGGAAGTCGATGTAAGGTCTCGAAAATGCAGTTACGGAGTTTCTAGAGAGTGTCAGAGTTTCATTTCCTGGGACTGCATGTCGGTTCATGGCGCAAAGTGCCATTCCATCAATCTGAACTCACCTGCTCATATGACATGCTAAAGAAGACCGGTTCTCCCTTCAAGATTGTTTTAAAGACCGGCCATAGCTTGGCTAGAAAGGTAGGGTAATTAGTGCCCATGCATAGAGCCTCGATATTGTCTCGTAGTTCGGTCGCGACATTTGCTCTGATTTTAATGTCTAAATTCACGAAGAAAAACAAATGAGTGACACGTCAAGATGAGTTGGCAAGATGTAGCTAGATGTCTTACCAAGCTTATCATCCCCCAGCTTGTTGGCGTAAATGTCAATGTTCCGCTCCATCTTTGCGATCACCCTAGCGAGGGCCAGCCAAACGAAAAAGGACTATTATAATGGCCAGGCCTAGTGGCCGGCTGGTTGGATTCCAACCCGCGCAATTTTAATTCCTCAAAATTGGAGTGGTGAAATGAAAAAGTCGTGGTGTAGGCGAAGCTCTGCGGACTCGTGGGGGAGGCCGAAGAATCGAAGAAAAAGTGTCAGGAATCGTTAAGTCATTGATTTTCGAAAAGTTGAAAAAGCTTAGTCCATGAGGATGAAGGAATGAACGCAGCGAAATGATGCAAGAAGATTACCCGGGTATGAAAAGTGGAGGGAAGAAAGGAAGAGATGGGGGATTGTAGAATCGCGAAGCTTTGAACCCAGAGCAGAAGGACAGGCACGCGGGCTATCTCAGAGACCCCGAACGAAACACTAGGCCGCTTTAGGCAATTTATAGTTAATCCGCTCCGATTAGCGATCAGCCGCGCGTTTGTATTTTATTATTAACGCTGATACTGTCCATAACTACTGACTGGAATCACATTGATCTTCCCCACGCCTATACTTTTCATTATCTTGACACATATAACCAATAATTACAAGACATCTATATGTCATAAATTACAATGGTGAACCTAGGCAGGCGCTGAGCATTGAATTCCAATGAATGAAGATATACTATTACTCGTTCAGTAGATACCTTTTATTAACATTTGGTCCCAAGGTTTTCAATACTCTACTGTTTGGGATTATGGCCGAGATATCGAGAATGTATAGCCCCGAGGCACTCCGGCTACCTACCGGATAAATTTCCAACCCCGCGTACATATACCCCAATCCACTCTCCCTTATTGCCACAACTTTCTATCCAGATAATCCTCGGCTTTTCTTTTCTAGTGGATGGTTTCCGAGTTTATTGAGCAAGTTTATTGAGTATAATCTTGACTTCGATCGTACTGTGTAATTTAGGGCCAGCTTCCAAGGTCCTTCAGGCAGAGCTTACCCCACACTTCAGTGGACACGACCACCGAATCCAAACACATCACGAACACGAATCACCTACCTGAGGCAATCAATCCAATCAAAATTCGTCATCATGGCTCCTCTCATTCGAGTAATCGGATCTCTCAATGCCGACATGGTTTCAGTCACACCCCGATTCCCCGGCCCCGGCGAGACCATCACATCTTCCTCCTACTTCACCAGTGCTGGCGGCAAGGGCGCAAACCAGGCAGTCGCATGTGGACGGATGTCAAGAAAGAAGCCATCTTCAGATGGATTCAATGCGAACAGCGATGTTCAAGTCGAGATGGTCGGTGCTGTTGGTGCGCTAGACGGCCACTTCGCCGCCCTCTTGAAACCAACGCTCGAGAAATCTGGAGTGGACCCATCTCGGGTTCGCGTAATTGAAAACGAATACACTGGAGTGGCTGTGATTATTGTAGACTCGTCTGCTGGAGGCGAGAATCGGATTTTGTTCTCTCCTGGCGCAAATTACACAGGCATGCAGCCTACGTCTGAAGTGCTCGGAACAGCTCTGACATCTCCTGTACCTGATGTGATTGTGATGCAGGGTGAAATACCAATTCAAACGGTTATTTCTATTCTTCGAGAAATTGTGGCTTTCAAAGCGAATAACCGGGCTGTGGGAAAGCGTGGTATCGAGTGTGGCCCGGATGTCATGCTCAACCCGGCTCCTGCACCGCCAGGTGGACTGCCCGAGGACGTCTACAGTGCTGTTGACCACTTGATCTTAAATGAAACTGAAGCTGAATTGATGACCCCGCCAATGGAGCAACTGCTCCTCGTTGTTCCAGATGCCGAGGGGCTGGACGGCAAGGAGAAGGTTGCGCGGTACTTCCACAAGCTGGGTGTCACCTATGTGCTAATTACACTAGGATCCAAGGGTGTCTGGTACAGTGCTATTGACGGTGGATCTTCCGGGCCCAGCGATGGGGTGAAGCGCTTTACCAACGAGATTCCTGCAGCGCCCGTTTCCAATGTCTTAGATACAACTGCCGCGGGAGATACATTTGTTGGAGCCTATGCCGTCGGTGTTGCGCGGGGGCGCGAGCAACGTCGTGTCGATGGTAAAGCAGGACAGGATATTACAGACATGGAAAAGCCACATCGCTACAAGATTGTCATGGATGAAGCTATGCGGAAAGCAGCACAAGCATCAGCTCGTACTGTGGAACGCCAGGGAGCAATGGACAGCATTCCCTTTGAGGACGAGGCTTAAGGTATCCGACGAGTCAGTAAAATTCGCCGTCATGCATATTTATCGAGGCAAAAGCAGATCGACTTTTAGCAACAATTACGAAATCAATGTTCCAATAGAGATTTCTGAGATCAGCTAGGTTTTCACTACAATCAGCTGGGTTTTTTCTATAAGGTGAAGGAAGTGGCGGTCGTCAAGACCCAGGATTGGCTCTTGGGCCATTTTTTGGCCAAAAATGCCGAAGACACGACGTGGTGCGACAGGGGGATGATGCCATTTGAATATTGGTCCAGGAGGTTACACGGAATACTACTCCCAGGTTGAAAGTCCCCGGTGTCTACTTGCTGGTCTATTTTCCTGAATATCGGGCGGGATTGAAAAGCGAATAGCTAAATATTCTCGGATTCTTCCAGCCTTATATCAAGGATATTACACCAGCCGCGCAAATTCATGCATAAACCAAGAAAGTCTGCGCTTATGCATTCACAGTTTCATCTTTCAATTTCCCGTGAGATAGAGGCCAATGAAATCTAGATGCGCTGGCAGTGGGTATTTCATAATACTGTTTTTAGCGAGTGGGGTCTATAGCTATGAACGCGAAAGCGTGTCGCGTTAGTTCAGGTATCTAGTACATTCAATTCAACCCAATATGGGTAGTCAGGTCATGTACCCAATACCTTAGCTCCACCTCTAATCTAACGCGTCAAAGCACAGGCATTGTGATTCGGCATTGGCACGACTCTGCACATGCATGTCACCTCATAGACCTTTTCAAGTGCATTCCTCTATCATATAGTCCATGGTGGCTCCGTGTGAATATCTCATTATATCTGTACGTAGTTATAGATAGAATGGAACGGGAATACTTCCCCTCCGATCTACATTCCATAGATTGCTCGTAAGAATGGAGGAATAAGTGGATTGTGAGATGCCACACTAGGACTAGTACGATCCAATAGTCCTCGTTCTAAAACGCCTTGCATGCGAACGCGACAAGACGCGATACCTTGAAATAAGACTTGCAGCCCTCCTCCTTGCTCCTTTTCGCAATCTTAAATTATCCTGAGTCAAAAGACTGTTCTAGCATATCCATCCTTATTCACCTTTTCACCTTTTCCTCTCTTTATATTCCACTCCTCTCCAGGTCCTAAGGTATTCCAGGTATTCTGGCCCTGGCATAGCACAATTGCCCTACCAACCATCACTATCCCTCTCCGCACGTTTGATAACCGCCAATATATAAAACTATTTGGCTTATTTCTTCTCATTTTATAATTTCTATTTGCTTTCTCGTTCATACCTCTCTTATCTTCCTAAACTACCATCTCTGCATCTGGTGTTGGTCGCGTCTTACCTAGTGTAGACCGCCCCCACTTAGTGTGCCGCATCACCAAAACAAATATTTCAAGCTTCAACTTCATTTTCCCCTCACTATGGCTGCCCTCACTATGACTCCTACTCGCCAGCCATTTGCAAGTTTAGACAGTCCAAGGGTCCGTCCTCTGATGCAGTCCAGACTGAATCGTCAAAATCAACAAGTTGGTAGGCCAATCATCCCATTGTTTTGATTTTGCATAAACAAACATCTAATCAAGAAACCTCCACAAAAAGATGCCATTCTCTCAGCAAAAAAAACTCCAATCTTCACAGATGCAGAAAATATTGATCCACTCACTCAGAGTCTTTCATCTAAACGCAAGCGCACTTTAGATGATGTCGACGAAGCTATCTGCAAGGGCTCTCCCAAGCCACTCAAGACCTCACGTATAGCCCATTCTCCTCGGGTCTTGGGTGTCTCCCCACGCAGTCTGTGCACCCCCTTGAAGACCAAGATCGCCACACCCAAGTCTGCTCCTATTCCTAAACCAGCTGGACGTAGCCCACCACCCAAGTCATCCCGCTCAATCGGCCGGTCTGTCGTTGCTAAAAGCCGAACTGAGCAGATTAAGCGTGGTGTAGCTGCACCATTCTCCCTTGCTACTGCTCTATCCAAGGGTCGAGCTGCAGCTGCGAGGCCGAAGCCCCAGCCAAAGCCTACATCATGGTTCTTTGAAATCCATGTTGACTCCGAGCAGGAGGAGATGACCAATATCATGCAGCACTCCACTGATAACCTTGATCTTAACGCTGAAGGAAAGATCTCTTCGGATGGCCGTGGTAAGGAGAATGTTCCCCCTGCTGAGCTTGGCATTGACCTCCCTCCCTCTATTGAGACTGTTGCTTTGGCTGCTGCCGCTGCCGTTGTCAAGACCTCCAAGATGGATGAGGATCGTGTTCCTCTTGGTGAGCTCGATGCCTCAGACTATGCTCCTGCGGACTCTGACTCCTTTCCCCATTTCATTGTTCATGATGATAGTGAGAAGGAGACTGGAAAAGTCCCTGGATTGAGAAAGACCCTTGTTCCTTCGTCCCTCTCAATTGCTTCTGTTTTGGAAGCTGCTTGTTCGACAGAGGGTACTGATAAGTCCACTGAATGCTCTGCCGAGACCGAAGCCAGCCTGAGCTCGCAGAAGGAAACCGAGTCGTCTCCAACTTCCTCACCTGAGTCTTCTGAATCTTCCGAATCTTCCTGATTTTGAACTCCATATATCTAATCTTTGTTTGCATTTGCATTGCTATCTGGAGTTTTCTGTCTTTGATCCGTTCTTGATATTTGGTACAATCTACGGTGATCACGATGATGATGTTACGGGAAAATGGTGTCTTGGTTATGGCTTCGGTTGAATTGAATGCCCTGTCTTTTCATACCCTTGTTTTCTAATTTAGGCTCGGTTTGGTTTTATTGGTTTGAATTATGAGCGTGTCTTGCTTTCGGTTATATAAGTCGTTATTTATCTCCTATATGTCCTTTTAGTTAGATGAAATATATACCGGTTTGTGTACAATGGTCTGGAATCAGCTATTCAATTATCATTATCATAGTTTCCAAGGTTTCCACCTAGCATTGGGATTTCGGGCAGCCTTTTGCAGTTCAATTGACTGCCCAGGTAGCTGAGATTTCATATCCATGTTAAACTCTCAGAGGAAATGGATAATTCATGTTAATCTGTGAGCACGTAGTACTGTTTCTTGATATCCCATAATTATTCCTCTTCCAAATCCCAATCTCCGTTCTCGACCCCATCTTGATCCTTATTTCCGTCCGAATTATCAATCTCGGCCTCAGCCCATGCAGCCTCAACACTCTCAGCCAACATGTCCGCACGCTCCAGTTCTTCCTCTTCATCCTCAGGATCTTGTAGATCGACATCTCCTTCAACTTCTTTTTCACTTCTCAATTGATGTGTGAAGTTGTATGCAGTAGATCCCGGTCCTTCGTGCGTCAACCGCCAAATAGGCGCACTCTTCATCATAGCGCGGATTTCCGTCGCATATTGAATTGTCTGAGCTGGAGCTTTCTCAGGATCAATATGGAAATATTGCTGAATATCCTTTTCGTCATTTGCGTGAGACGGAAAGGCTAAGAGCCCCTCAAAATCTCCGTCGTCAAGCTCAGTATCATCAACCAAAGCCTGGATCTTCGTGCGCATAATAGTCTTCACTTTAGCCAAGGTTCCATTCCCGAACCAGCCATCCTGAATGATTTCACACGTCGATCGAATATGCGGTTCTCTTATATTCGGGTCATCCGGTGGATAGAATATCTTCTCTAGAATAGGATCTTTGATATCGCATGGCATCCAGATACGACCATCGCGCGCGAATGGAAGTTTGGCGGTGAATATGTGCGATGTTTTGGGCGGAAGCTCTGCATTCTTTTCGAGACTTGTGAGTTCCTGCTTATCTTTTTCCGGTCGGGGAATGGTGAATCGGCGACCATTTCCGCTGTCACGCTCTTGATCTGCTGGCATCAGGCGAAACATCAACGTTTGGTAATGTCGGTAGTCTGGTGAGCTGCGTGGGTCAATGCCTAGCTTGATAATTGCGTCGCGCCATGGTCCCGAGCGGAACATGTAGCCAATATAAGGTACTGCTTGTCGGAGTAGATAGCGCTGTTCCTCTGATTTCAATAGGTTCCTCACTCCGCGACGTGTCCAAGCGGGTCGTTCTTCGAACATGGCTGCTACTGCATCGATTGTTCCACGCAGAGCTGAGTCAAGTGTTTCAATTGGAGGAAGAGAGTCCTGTGGCTTTGATGGTACGACAGGAATATCGTAGGGCACTAGGAAGGTTCGTATTTTAGTAGCTCGTTGGGCGTTCCAGGTGACGATTTCGCCGGATAAGTCGAGAGTCTGTTTGACTCCTGGGTTTTGGCGATACCTATAACATGTGAAATCAGTAGCTGCGGTTCGCTTGAAGGGGATCTTGAAATAACGATATTCAAGATAGAGGGTTCCTTACATGTAGAGAAATGGAACTGTGTCATGACTGAGCGAGGGCGGTGGAATAATATCCACGTTGACATCGGCACCTTTAGTCATTTCGATATCAAAATGCTTTAATTTATCCACTGAAATAGTATCAGCTGGCTGCTCTCATCGTCAAAAAGTAACAATTTCCACGTACGCTTATAGGGCATGATATAATCGCGAAATTTTTGCGTGAACAAGCTCCTAGTGCTCGAAGACACAAATTCCGGCATACCTAATTATTGTCAGTCTTTCTTCTATCAAAAGCGTAAATACGAGAACTGGAGATACTGACCTCGGAAGACGTGGGTTCTCTCGATTCTTCCGAATAGGTCAAGCTTGTAGGAATCGGCATTATCTTGGAGACTGCGCCGCATCGCCTTCACAGTCCGCCGCCGAGTAGTCTCTGGACCTTCCGGCACTGCGTCGGTGAATGGCTCATCCGAGCCTCTCTTGCGCTTGCGGCCCGTTCGCTTGGGAACAGTAACTTTGAGTAGGAAGTTATTCGCCTGTGAGCTAGTTGACTGCAGAGGCTGTGCCAAGTCATCGTTTGGCCGCAATACCAGTTTGGCTGAGTAATCTGGCTTGGGAGGGTTCACGATCTGTGGCGAGTCAGTATACATGATTCGCTAAATTATGAATGTTTCTTACTTTTGAGATTCCTGAATTTCCCTGCAGCGTTTCAATTGCTTTATCGATGTTTCGGACCACAGCAGGATGCTCGACACTAACGAGGCGTCGAGACGGGATGCCATAGCTGGCGGCCGTTGTTGGATTCATATTGCAGCGGCAGTATGAATCCCCAGTTCAGATGATCAGGAATGTAGTTTGAGTAGATTCAAGACTTGATCAAGGATCAGATGAGAAGTAGCCTCCAAGGCTTTGGCGTGTTGCAGATGTAGAGAATTTTGTCGAGTCGTGACGACGGTTGATGAGACAAAGCTATCTGTGTTCACTGGATGAACTTTGCGAAAAACTTAGCAGGTGTGTTTAACTATTTTTTTCGTGTGTAATCTCGGCTTTAAAGAGCCGCCCTTGTCAGCAATGCCACTGACGACCATTCAAGGCATTCTTCGACTTCTACTTCCAACTCCGAATTTCCTTCAGATATGCTTACTAAGCGGATGGGAGAACGTTTTATGTACCTATGTAGCCTTCTTCAGCGAGTTTATGACCTTATCTACCTTAATTAGGTAGGACAAAATCTTCAATTGCCCCTGAAATATCTTCAACATCTGTTGCTCTTAACATTTGAATACTTGTGAAGACTCACCTGTTGTAGGGTTTGAAAAAGTACTACAGAGTACAGGTATATTTCTACTCAACCTTGGAAATACGGAATACAGTATCAAGCGAGGAGTGAGTTAGAGGTATCCCAAGGTCCAAGAGAATATGAGCAATTTTCTATCCAAAGAATCCCAGATTAGAAGCTATGAATGTTCGGTAGTAATATGAAGTATCGAAAGTACATTAGAACAATTTTTTAGTAGTGGTACCCCTGACGCTCACGTGATGACATAACCAAGCGACGCATAACTAAATTCTGGCGTCGATAAAAAAGAAAATTAATCATTACTCCAAGTCAATTTAAATTCAATACAAAATCTCCAAATATATATTGTAGTTAAGCATGAATTATCATTGAAGATATAGCTCCACTGATGGTGAAGAAGACGTATAGTTCAACTCTCCATCATCATTACAGGAGAACCCACCCGCCTTTTCCTTCAACACAACAACAACCCACTTCCTCTTCCTCTTCCCACTTCCACCCCCACCAGAATTCTCGAATACAATCAATCATCTATTTACGCTATTGCGATTTTCCATCACATCCATCCTTTCAACTTGCCCGCTGCAATCACGTTGATCCAGTACTTTCAACCCCTCCCGCTCCACTAAGCGACACGGAGATCCTCTGAGCGGACCTAGCACGCCCACCCTAATCTAACCTCTGCGCTTCCCGAACTGTCCTCCTTATCCTTTGCACGTCAATTGTCCCATCTCTAGTCATAGGAGGTACGTCTTGTCATCAGCTATCTCTTTGCTTTTGTATACTGGTTCTTTCCCCCTCATTATTCTTGTCTTGTCCCGTGCGCGTGCGGCGACAGTGCCCGCTTTAGCCCATTTGGACTGGGCACCATTTGAGACTTGACTGTACCATTTGAAGGATTCCATTTCAAAATCCTCCATAATTTCATGATACATCTTCGTGACGAAAAAGGTATTTGTGAACATATGCTTACAACTATCTCCTGCTAGGTCTATTTCAATACATCCTTGTGGCCCCATCTGATTCGCTCTGGCTGAAGTGCAGCGCCTTGCTGCACAAGGACCGAGAACCCGAGCGGAGTACATGCGGTTGTCCAAGAAGGTGCCAAAATGAAGGGATTTAGACAGCGAGTGGTGAGTTTCCTCCTGTGCCTTGCACCGCCGCTCCGACCTACCCCCCTCCCCCTACTCCCTCACATGCAAGTGGCAGGCTCCCTTTGCTCTCATAGAAGCTGAGGTTTTTAATTTTTAGCACGAGCAGTTGTCGCGGGCCAAGGACGGCAACAAGTCGTCCAAGAAGAAAGACTCCAACTCGTCTTCCCAGCAGGTCGGCATTCAATCTTCACAGCAGTCCGTATCTCCGAATCAATCCACCCCGACTTCGTCCACAACATCTTTGAATGATGCGCGAGGCAGATCACCTGAGGATGCTTCTCCTGCCGGAACTTCGGGTATCCCTGGTGCACCTGCACAACAACTCACACCCCAGGCTGGTCAATCTGTGAGCAATGGCCTAGGAACGCCCACAAGAATAGGACAGTCAGGGGCTCCCAGTGTGATCATCAGTCCCAGTGCTCCAGTAAGTTTTCATACATTATGCGGCGATAGGCATTGTGCATTGGCTGACGCATGTCTTTTCACAGCATGTTCCTCCCCCCGGTGCCCCCGAGACGATGCCCGGCGAGCTGGCTCCACCCAGAAAGTCTCATGTTTTCGACCGCCTTCAGACCACTCCGAAAGATCTCTCAGAAGGAATCAGAACCCCCAAGCGTCAGCATTCGTCGCGCTTTGATATTTCCGATCAGCGCCAGCGAGAGCTTGAGAAGCTGGCGGGATTCCACGAAGTGGCTCCGAACCGACGTCAAGAACTGTTCATGCAGAAGATCGACCAGTGTAACATCATTTTCGACTTCAGCGACCCATCGGCAGATATGAAATCTAAGGAAATCAAAAGGCTGGCTCTCCATGAGCTTTTGGATTACGTTGCCAACAATCGGGCCGTCATTACAGAGCCAATGTATCCTCGTGTCGTGGAGATGTTTGCCAAGAATCTGTTCCGACCTATTCCCCCTCCTCTGGCACCCCAAGGCGAGGCTTTTGACCCGGAGGAAGATGAGCCCGTTTTGGAGGTAGCTTGGCCGCATATCCAGGTTGTTTATGAGTTCTTTTTGCGCTTCATTGAGAGCCAGGATTTCAACACCAACATCGCCAAGGCATACATCGATCATCAATTTGTGCTTCAGTTATTGGATCTGTTTGATTCAGAAGATCCCCGGGAACGCGATTTCCTCAAGACAACCCTGCACCGTATCTACGGCAAATTCTTGAATCTGCGCTCATACATCCGACGATCCATTAACAACGTCTTCTTCCAGTTCATGTATGAAACAGAGCGACATAACGGAATCGCTGAATTGCTTGAGATCCTGGGATCTATTATCAACGGTTTCGCACTTCCGCTCAAGGAAGAGCATAAGCTTTTCTTGACCCGAGTTCTACTTCCCATGCACAAGGTGAAAAGCTTGAGCATGTATCACCCGCAGCTGGCCTACTGCATTGTTCAGTTCTTGGAAAAGGACTCTTCGCTGACAGAAGATGTATGGATATCAATTTCTTTTTCGCCCCAAGAATATACGCTAATGACGAGATATAGGTTGTTCTGGGACTGCTTCGATACTGGCCCAAGACCAATAGCACCAAAGAAGTCATGTACCTCAACGAGGTCGAAGATATTTTTGAAGTCATGGACCCGGCCGAGTTCGCCAAGGTGCAGGAGCCTTTGTTTAGCCAGTTAGCCAAGTCCGTTGCCAGCCCACATTTCCAGGTTGCCGAACGCGCTCTTTACTTTTGGAATAACGAGTACTTTTGCAACCTGGTTAGCGACAACGTGGAGACAATCCTTCCTATTATGTTCGCTCCGCTCTATGAGAACTCCAAGGGACACTGGAACCGGTAGGTCTAAAAGACGCCTGCAGAGCTCAACTCGTTTTGACAAATTTTTCCACTATAGGACCATTCATAGCATGGTGTACAATGCCATGAAGATGTTCATGGAAATTAACCCACAGCTGTTCGATGATTGCTCCCATGAATACACTGAGCACCAAAACAGTGCTGACGAGCGCGAGAAATTCCGACAGGAACGCTGGGACCTACTGGAGCAACGAGCGAAGAGAGGTGCTGCTCTACCTTCGCTTTCCTCCAACGTTAGCGTGCCGGAGCCAATTGACGAGGTGGAAGTTCTGACTAATGAGAGTCAAAAGCGATTGAATACCTTGAAGCTACAGGATGAAGAGGTGACCAAAGAACAACCTTCTAGAGAGGGAACTCCCACATCTGTAAGTTTCTCGCATGTCTTGTAGCTCAGATTGAGCTTTTGATTTTCGAAAATGCCCCGTTGTCTACCCTCGTGTATTATTCTTTTTGCCTTTTTACTAAGCCCATGTCCACCATTTTACAGCCAGCGTGATTCTAATTTGGAAACGTCCGTTTTGCTCCAGACACGACGTGTTAGTTCCTTGCGCAGTGGCCGCAGACGACGAAGTGGCAGCGGTAGCGGTACTGATATCCGTGCACGACGACGTTCGGCCAGCAGTGGTACCAGTGCGATCAATGTACAGATCGTGCATCGAAGCAATTCTACCAAATGATTTCCCTCGGTTATGGGGCTGGATGGGGTGACTTCTGCTGTTTTTCTGCAACCAATGACATAGCGAATATCGGGCCTGCGATGATGTTTTCTTTTGTGTTTCTGATTTATTTCTTCCTCTTTTAATTCGCCCGGATTTATGCCCTTTTCACTTCCCCTACCACTTCCTTTTCCACGGTCCCTCTCCCTCTACTCTACTTTTCCCGTTTGCGTCCTCTACCTCTTCCATCTTCTTTCCCAATTTTTTGTGTACATGGATTTCTTTTTTTGATATTTCCACTCCTGTGATCGGCTTCCACAAAAGGTCGTGATCGCGGGCCTTTCAAGTTGGGACTCCGTCTTAGAACTATGTTCGGGTATGGAAAATAGGTGTGAATGGCGTTTTAATCCAACGATCTCTAGGGTCGATGGCTTTTCCATGTACTGCCAGTTTTCGTTCTAGACCAATTTCGAGACATGATATCATATCCCCTTGGTGTGATCCTGTAAAATGGCGAGATAGCTCATCGACCAAAAGTTGACTTTCATCCTTAGGGTAAGGTACCCAGGTAGATAGTTATCCTTCAGACGTCAAGGCCTGGACCTCAGACAATTTGTGTATAACTAGGTCATATGCTAACAGGCTAGCTAGCGTCAGTTCACCTATCTATTCTGGAATGTGGATATATACAAATGATCAAAGCCTCCAATGGGACACATGGACAGTGTTACCGAGTTCTAACAGGATTCCCTGCATATGTTTCCTTGGTTATCGGTAAAGAAAGCTGCACAATTACTTTTCTGTGCACTTTTCTGAACTATATCTCATAGAGCTAAGAAGTCTTAGGGCTACCTAGGTATATAGATAGGGACCTGGGTAAGTATCTAGAAAAGCGGGGATTGTTCAAGATCTACATAGTAAAACCTGGCACTGGCCCTTTTTGGAGGGCTATTGTAGACATAGGTAAATTATCGAGTAGTGATGCACACATACATGGATGTGCCCAGCTCTGTACATCCATTCATAACCATTCCAACTATGAACTGTTCCAATGTCTAACGCACTTTCAAATTCAAAACTTAGGCACATGTGCATTCATCAATTTGATTCACATCCCACCATAGAATCAACTGGGCTTGCTGGTCATCATACATTGATACGAAGCTAGGCAAGAAGTAAACAATTCATGGATATAAGCTTTGAAGTTTCGATGTCGATTTGAACGATGTAAGCTAGACCAAAACTGACACCCTTGGAGTACGGTGCCCTACCTTCAGTGCATACCTGGCAGTAAAACCTGCCTAAATGCAAAGTGCATATATAACCTCTGCATAAAGTCTCGGTATTGAGTAAATATATACCGCTCCTTACATTCTGCATGAAACTCTGCTAAAATCCCTTTATTCGGGCATTTTGAGACTGTTTCCCAAGTTTCACAAGACTGCAGATCCCAACTAACTTGGTGAAATAAAAGAAATCGCTGTGTAACGCAATACCACATCGGTCATCATGTTGTCGATCAATACCACACTTAGGGCCCAGGGATGCATAACCGGCCCTTATTGTGGGCTAGACTAGACTATTTAAGTATATCTGGCTGGTTCCATTTAATACTCCAATCCTCTCTGGAACCTTTTTGACTGTGCATCCTCATTATGGTGTCTTGGGCGCTTGCAGACGAGACTTTTGATGTCGTTCCGTTCCTCTATCTTCCTGTTTTTGCTGTGAGTACTTCCCTTTATCATGCTATGTTCCAACCTTCCAAGGCTGGAAGGCTCTTTCGGGTGCACTTAACTAACAAGTATTGAAGTTGGTGACCTACCTAGTATGCACGCTGTTCTATAACATATATCTCAGCCCTCTGTCAAAATTTCCAGGTCCAAAACTTGCCGTATGCACAGACCTCCTAAGTATATACTGGACGTCGACGGGTCAATATCATTACAAGCTCAAGGATCTTCATGATACATATGGGGATGTTGTGCGAACTGGTCCCTCAACGCTCATATATCGCAGTGTTCAGGGTTGGAAAGATATCTACGGCCACCGCAAATCGGGAGATTTGTCGTTTGCAAAAGACCCCAAGCTCTATCTGGTTGGTCCAACCGGACCGACCCTTATCAATGCCAATGATGCAGACCACTCTAGAGAAAGAAGACTTCTCTCCCATTGCTTTTCCGAAAAGGCACTAAGAGAACAGGAAGGCCTGATCCAGTCCTATGCTGATTTACTAGTTGACCGATTGAAGGGAGAGATAGCCGCGTCTAGGGAAACAGTAGATATGACTCAATGGTACAATTTCACCACATTCGACATAATTGGAGACTTGGCCTTTGGCGAGCCCTTCGACTGCCTGCGGGATAAGCTTTATCATCCGTGGGTTAAGACAACCTTCACAAGTTCAAAGGCGGCCATGATACAGAGGCCACTTGCAATGTATCCTTTGCTTGCACCCATCCTGAAGCAGTTTATCTCGAAAAAATTGATCCAAACGCGAACGAATCACTTTAATATGAGTGCGGAGAAGGTTGCTCGTCGTCTGGCGACCAAGACTAGTCGGCCAGATTTCATGAGTTACATTCTCCAATATACTGGTGACCGGTCTATGACTGAGCGGGAGATGAAAGCGAATGCTGGGGTCTTAATACTTGCTGGCAGTGAAACGACTGCTACTCTGCTCTCCGGATTCACCTTTCACATCTTGGCCAACCCCACGACTTATCAAAAACTAGTCGACGAGATCAGCGCATTCAAATCAAAGGACGAGATAACTTTCCAAAGCGTGAGTCAGCTCACTTACCTCAATGCTGCCCTTGAAGAAAGCCTGCGAATTTATCCACCTATTCCGGGATTTCTTTCACGGATTGTACCGCAAGGGGGCGCCTTGATTGATGGGCATTTTATTCCAGAAGGTGTATGTAATGTCCTTTTTCATGACGCTTGAAACAGTCTAATTTGAACTAGGTCACCGTAGCTGGAGCTCACTACTCTACCTACCACTCAAAAGACCATTTCGCCGAAGCAGACTCGTTCATTCCTGAAAGGTGGCTGGATAATAGAGATGAGCGCTTCGAGTCTGATTGTCGGAGTGCACTCCAACCCTTCTCCCTCGGGCCGCGGAACTGTCTTGGAAAGAAGTGAGTATATGGTTCCAAAGATCTCAGGGATCTCTAGCTAACCTTTGCATCTTTCTAGCCTTGCTTATGCGGAAATTCGGCTTATTGCTGCCAAACTTTTATGGAGCTTCGATATGACCCTGGATGAGGCTTCATCTGGCTGGAATATCCAAAGATCATTCCATATCTGGGAGAAGCCTCCTTTGATGGTTAAATTGTCGGAGGCCCAGCATTGACATCCAATTTTGTGAGCGGGACAGAACTTATACAAACCTAACATTTCCGAAATCAGATCCCATATGCGAACCCTTGAAGAACACTGAAATATTCCACTTCAATGTGGGATTGATTGTAAAGGGATTGCATGAGACATTGGGAGCATTATGAGATATGAAAATTGATATACGATTAATATGAGAAGTGTCGACCATTTTCTGATTCTGCTATTAAGCTAAAGACATCTTGGAACATTTGCAAAGTTGTACAGCTCTTACGGATATTATCAAGTTCTATTTCAATCATGCACGGGAAACACCAGGCTATTTCTTTCTATGAGTGCGACTAGTCGTCCTATGTGATAGAAGCGTGGAAAGAAAACGACAATGCCGCTTCTGTACAGCTTGAGAATTAATAACAAATCACCACCTGGGCATTATGCAAAACGAGAAAAGGATTATAGGTGTAATTGACAGGTAAGAGGTTGGCATTGTGTATGAATGTACCAAGGCAGGGGAGAAAGAAAAGTTTGTCACAGCTTGCAGGAATTGAGTCCGTCTTCGGGGACTTCACTCTGCTTCATTTGAGTTTTGAGTTGCAGTCTCACTTGTGGACTCAGACTCGGTTGCAGTTGTAGCTGGGGGTGTAGTTGCAGGTGTAGGTGTAGCTTCAATAACAGTGATGTGCTTTGCTTGTACAAGGTCGAGTAGCTTCTTGCCCAGATCGTCTGCACCCTCGATCTTGCTCAGCTTGGTTCGGAAATGCTCTATGTCATTTTTCATCCTAAAGAATCGTTAATACCACAGGGATATATGCAATTATTCAGATCAGAACCTACCGCATTTTTCCAGCCTCTGACTCAACATTCGCCTCATCAAAGGCTTTCACCCATTGGTTTCGGTAATTTTTGAATACAGGAATCATGATCATATCAACAGTCATGTCGGGTAGATGCTTGCTGAGCACTCTATGGAGAGTGCCGGTTTCCTTAGCTAAAGTCTCCATGTAGGAATGAACGGCGGTAGGGCCATCCGCATCCCAGTCGATCTTCTTCATAGCGTTGATATGAGTTGATGAGCGTGAACTCATGATATCTACCAGTTTCTCGTGGATACCACTTTGATGTTCCTGGCACAATCGCTTGACTTTGTCAAATTCTCCCATGATTTGGTTCCCTTGTCCATGGCGCCGGACAAATTCTCGCACATAAGGCACCAAAGCACTGATAAAGCTGAGTGCTTGTGATGAAAGTGCAAGATGCTTGGTGGTAATATTTTTTAGGCCTGCACTGCGCGTGGCACCAGCACCAAGAATCAGCTGTGAAGAGCGAGAGTTGAAAAGCTTCAGGACTTCCAGCAGCTGAGACGCAATATCCTGGATCACACTGGGCATATTCGCCATGAGGAATTCAAATTCCTCAATACTGCGCATGGTGGCCAAAGCTGAGTCTGGCAAAATGTATTTTTGCTCGTCGATCACAGCGCTGCGAACCTTCTCCTTGCCAGATCCGTTGGCGGCAACACCTTCTGCTGCCGCTGAAGATTTGCTCTGATCATTCTCGCTATTTGGCAGCCAAATTTTGGAAACCTCCACCCATGCGTCGATGTCTTTGGTGCTTGCATCCAGAATCCGGGTGAGAGTTGTGACTTCAGAATCACCGAAGTCCCGGGCATCCCAACGATCCGCATCCATGACCTTAACAATGAGGTGTCGTTGAGACTCACCAAAGCGAGTGATGAAGTCCCGAATTTGGTTACCAACAAGTGTCTTCAGAGCAGTACCACCGCGTCCGGAAATTGCCTCACACTCGTCGGCAAAGAGACGATTGAGGGTGAAATACTTCAAGAAGTCCTCCTTTGAGAGTTGTGCTGTCTGCTCCGATCGAACCTTCAGAACCTTCGTGATTTGAGACTGGGCAATGTCTACAGCTTGACCAAGAAGGCTAGACATGTCTAGGACCTGCAAAATCTCGTCCTGGGCCATAGCAGATGCTGATTGTATACTTTCCATAGCCTTGTCCAAGCTCTGCGGGTTTGGACTTCGAGGTGGGGATTTAATGCCTACCGCATGATGGTTTCCAAGACCGCTTGCTATATCCAGAAGGATTTTGACCTGAACACTTAATCGACGCAGACATTCACTGATGCCAGTATAGACACTGGCAAGCATCGCGTAAGCGTCAGCCGAGTCAAGTGCACGAAGATTACGGGCAAGAAGCGTTGACTTCTCTTGTTGGCTCCGTTGGGGCCCACCATGTGTAGAAATTGAGACCATGGACTCATTATCGTCATCGCTGGAGCTAGGTAAATGCTTTCGGATAAGGCCTTTCATCTCTCGCAAGACAGCAGTCTTAAATGATGTTGCTGCAGGGGTTGTGAAGTGGGCTCTTGCCAACCCGTTGAGCTGCGCTTCCAATTGAGTCCGTAGTTTATTATCAAACGTCATATACGATGGAGAAACCATCGATGCAGGGCGTTGACCACCACGCTGTCGCATAAAGGAAGATCCCCAGCGGGCTAAAGTTACACTGGCAGAAACACTTTGAACGTGATCACGTAGATCTCCCAGTAGATCATTGAGAAAACGTGTTTCATAACCCATCCCGATTCGTTCTTTCAGCTGTGAAAGGTCGTCCGATGCTCCCTGGAGGGCCTTGAGTCCTCGGAGATCAATAGCCTGGCGCGGGATATCGCCTTCGTTCTCTTCGGCGGGGCGACTGGATGTTTTCTTGCCGCTCATTAGTTTCTCTACTTCTTCAAGTTCGTCTGAAGCGACCTCAATGTTTCCTTGTTCGACTAGCTCTTCGCAGCGAGATACAGAATCGACTACATCACGTAGTTGGGCCACTGCAGCGGCCAGCATCCGTACATTCTCTCTTCGTCTTCGCAAGTTGACAATTTTGAGGCCGCCTAGCGCCATCTCCTTGTCAATTTTTTGTAAGTCACGGCGGAGGACCTGTATGCGTTTTACTGAATCAGCAGCCTCGGCATGTAACTCTCGCAAAGAGCCCAATGCCGTGAAGAATGATTTGGAGGCAGTCGAGATAGATGAGATGAGATGAATCTCAACAGTATCCATATACCATGAAAGCTTCTCCTGAAGAATCGCATTTGATGCCAATGCCTTTCTTCTTGTGTTAAGTGGCTCCGTTGCAACTGTAATGGTATTCTCATCATCCTTCACTGGCGGCCTCGGCGGTCGGACAACCTCCGATTTTTCTGATATCACGTCAAAGGTCCTTGGGTTTTCAAGGTGAAAGTCTTCTTCAAAATAAACAGGTGGGATTGTGGAAAGTGGCGTTACGGCAGGACCACGGCCACGGAAACCAGAGGGTCGACGACCTCGGGGATCATATGGCGAAGTTGGCCGTGAACTGGTTGACATGACTGAAGATCTTCGCTCGGGGCTCCATGGCATCAGGGACTCCATATCCTCTGGCTTGGGTGATTTGGCTTCCGAGGGCGCTTGGCTCTCCTCCCTCGTGCTGTCCTTGGCTTGCTGGAACACATCGTAGAGGGCACCGACTTGCGAGATGTAGGACTGAAATTGCTTTGCATCCACGTGGGTAATGTTGGTCAGGGTCACTGGTGGGATATCGCGGGATGATGGAGGTTTGTATCCAGTGGACGACACAGCAGTATGGGGGGTAAGGCCGGTACGAACGATTGGTGGTTGAAGGAGAGTCGAGATCGCTACAAATGGCGTAAAGTCAATAATCCATTTGTTTTCAAGGGACTCATGACACACGAACCATTGTTCCCAGATTCTGCAATAGATCCATGGTGCTGTGCGGTATCTAGGACTCCTCCAATGCTCACAATTGAGCTCGCCGTGGATCCCCTCCTCAGGGGGTACCGTTGAGAGGGAATTCGGGGAGACTCAAGCTGCGAAGCTGAAGCTGAAAAGTGTGAGATAGATGGTGTTGATGCACCAGATGCTAGACTGTCAATTGACTTGCGCGGACTACCTGGCGCCATTTTGTCCAAATCCGCACGGCGGGGATGCGCCAACCACCTAGTGTAGATTGTTGGAGAAGCTCGGGTTTATCTGATCATGACAGATCAACAACTCTTTTCAGAGCTCACAACTCGATAGAGGTTTCGGCACACAGGACTGCGTGATCAGCTCCGAGCTTTTATTCCAAGATTGTCCTAGGGTGTAAGATGCTTGAACGTGATGGCGTGGCATTGTTTCTTAACGCCATGCGTAGGCATCTAATCGGGAAAAGCGCCAAATGAAGACTTACCGCCATACTTACCGCCACATTTACCGCCCTGTATCTATAGCCAGATTGTAAAGTCCATTTATTATCATCTTGATGTTTTACCTCCTTTGCCCTTGAATGTACTCTTTGCTCTCGTTTCCAATCCACGGCTCTCTTCTTTTTCCCTCGCTTTAGTATACTCGACAATCATACTTCGCACAAAGTGTTAACGCGCTCTTGTATAATAAGGATTGCTGTCGAAATATCCTCCTACTCCTTGATTAATTTTTGAATAACATCGAGCTTTTGCACTGGTCATATTGCATTCGCCCATAATAATTAATATGCATATGCCTACTGTTCTCCACACCCTATTGTCGTATGTACTATTCTGTCAAGAGAAGATTTAGGAGCCGCTCTAATAATCGTATTGAGATAGTTAACTAGTTAGTTATAAATATGTCAAGGTTATTCCTGCTACTTTGCCTTCATAGATAACTCCGGGCCTGCATCTCTTGCATACTATTCTTGCATTTTCGGACTAAAACGAAGAAGCCCTCTCCTTATTTATTAATTTTGTTAAAATAAAAGCATGCAATTTTGAGGATTCATCCATCTAACTATAAATATTTACATCAAAGATTCAAAATTGGGTTTAGTTAATACTGGCCTTGATGCCTTGATGCCTTAATGCATTACGGACATCTGTGCCTTAAATAAATGGCATACCACTTTACGCGTGACGCGTAGCGCGTGGAAAGAAACCCACTGTTAAAGTTCTCCTTCTTCTTCGTTCCCCTCCACCAAACTCCCTCGTCCACTCCACCAACACCATGGATCGACGCACACCATACACACTCAGCGTTCTTGCGCCCAGCACTAATGGCGCTGAAGAGTCTCGCGTTGCTATTCAAAACAAATTGAAGGACTTCGTACTCGAATTCCAACTGGATAATGCTTTCATCTATCGGTTCGGTCTCACTCAAATATTTCCATGGGCTAGGCTCGTTTACTGATGATGGAAACTCAAAAGAGATCAATTGCGACAGAATGTCCTTGTGAAGCAGTACTACTGCGATATCGATATCGCCCACTTAATTTCATATAATGAAGAACTGGCTCACAAGCTCACCACCGAGCCTGCCGATCTCATTCCTTTGGTGCGTGCAATTCTCTCTTCTTCCTCGACAACTTCTAACATACATTAGTTTGAGTTAGCGCTGAAGAGTTGCACCGAACGAATCGTCTATCCTGGCCAACGGGACATCAAACTTCCCTCACACCAGCTCCTTCTTCACTCGTCGGCCTCACATATCTCCATTCGTGACCTCAATGCCACCAACATCTCTCACCTCGTCCGAATTCCTGGAATTGTCATTGGTGCCTCGACGATCTCATCAAAGTCGACCGTGATCCACATTCGCTGCAAGAGTTGCGACCATGGTGAAAATATCATCGTCGATGGCGGCTTTTCTGGCGTCACTCTCCCACGAACCTGTGCTCGCCCTAAGGATCCCAGTGATCAGTCTGGTGAAAGCTGTCCTCTTGACCCATACGTTATTCACCATGAAAAATGTCAATTTGTTGACCAGCAGGTTCTCAAGCTGCAGGAGGCCCCTGATCAAGTCCCTGTTGGTGAACTGCCCCGACACGTCTTGATTTCTGCCGATCGTTATCTGGCTAACCGAGTGGTTCCTGGATCTCGCTGCACTGTGATGGGAATTTTTTCCATCTATCAAGCCAAGGGTGGCAAGAAGGATGCAGCGGTCGCCATCCGTAATCCATACTTGCGCGCAGTTGGTCTCAATAGCGACGTAGACCAGACTGCCAAGGGAAATTCCGTCTTTTCCGAAGAAGAGGAGCAGGAATTCCTGGAACTGAGCCGTCGCCCTGACCTTTACGATGCCCTCGCTCGCAGCATCGCCCCGTCCATCTATGGAAACGTCGATATCAAAAAGGCCATCGTTTGTCTCCTTATGGGTGGCTCAAAGAAGATTTTGCCTGATGGCATGAAGCTTCGTGGTGACATTAATGTGCTCATGCTTGGTGACCCGGGTACTGCCAAGTCCCAATTGTTGAAGTTTGTTGAAAAGGCTGCCCCTATTGCTATCTACACCTCCGGTAAGGGTTCTTCAGCTGCGGGTTTGACAGCCTCTGTTCAGCGAGATCACACTACCCGTGAATTCTACTTGGAAGGTGGTGCCATGGTTCTTGCCGATGGAGGTGTTGTCTGTATCGATGAGTTCGACAAGATGCGTGATGAAGATCGAGTAGCTATTCACGAAGCCATGGAGCAACAGACCATTTCTATTGCCAAGGCTGGTATCACGACTATCCTCAATTCCCGAACATCCGTCCTGGCCGCTGCCAACCCGGTGTTTGGTAGATATGACGACTTGAAGACCCCTGGCGAGAACATCGACTTCCAGACCACCATTCTGTCCCGTTTCGACATGATCTTCATCGTTCGTGATGAGCACGAGCGTGGTCGTGATGAGAGAATTGCTCGCCACGTCATGGGTGTGCACATGGGTGGTCGTGGTGTTGAGGAGCAGGTCGAGGCCGAAATCCCAGTTGAGCAGATGAAGCGGTATATTAGTTACTGCCGTAGCCGCTGTGCGCCCCGTCTCTCCCCCGAGGCTGCCGAGAAGCTCTCCTCCCATTTTGTCTCAATTCGAAAGCAAGTGCACCGAGCTGAGATCGAAGCCAACCACCGATCCTCGATTCCCATCACAGTGCGTCAGCTGGAAGCCATTATCCGTATCACAGAGTCCCTGGCTAAGCTTTCGCTTTCTCCAATTGCTACTGAAGCTCACGTTGATGAGGCCATCCGACTCTTCTTGGCCTCCACCATGGATGCCATCACCAAGGGCGAAAACCAAGGTGGCAAGGAGGTTATGGAAGAAGCGAGCAAGGTTGAGGACGAGCTCAAGAAGCGCCTGCCAATTGGATGGAGCACCAGTCTTGCAACCCTGAAGCGTGACTTTGTAGATGCCAAACAATACAGTGAGCAAGCTCTGAACAGAGCTCTCATGGTCCTACAGCGGAGAGGAACAATTCAAATCCGCTCTGGTGGATCGCAGATTTATCGAGACGCCAGGTGAATGTTGCGATTTTCTTCTCTTTTGACCCGTTTACTATATACCTACTGTACGTGATGGATGATACCTTCTCTTTTGTTTTCATATTCGTCCAGGATTGCATTGGAGTTTTGAGTGGGAGTTTGGGGTATTAATATCAGGCCTCGGCGTAGGTAACTTCTTACATCTAAACACATTTTTTATTCTGTACAACATTGGAATCTTGTAATTCTCTACATAAAAGTCCATGCTGATAACTGTCTATGATCCTTTGACTTCTTCTTCCAAAATTCTGCTAAAGCTCCGGGGCTCGTTTTCATGTAATCAACTATTGCTTCTCGGAGACAGAATTCGAAGCTGGAGGTGTACCCAAAACAACCTTAACAGACCTCCACGAAAGCCTCAAAACATAAAGACTCATTGTTCCAAAGTTAACCCAGATAATAATAGCAAAGTAAACCAATAACTTAGGAGGGATCCGCTTAAAGATCTCAACCGGATCCACCCCGGCGCTCTCCTTGAACTGATCAATCTCAGCCAAAGCAGACCCAGCCATATCCGAGTCCGAAGCAAAGGATTCGGCTGCAAACTCCGATTCCGACCCAGACTCAGACTCGAAATTATCGTTAGAGATAGCCGTAGCCATGATTCCGCCGAAGAGAGTAAGGAAGAACATCAGCATAGCCTTGTAGACTAGTTCGTACAGCCAGGTTCCGCAGAACAGGAGCATGGCGAGTGCCTCGCCGCGGGAACGGCGGGGTGCTGTTAGAAGGTGTGCGATTGAGTCATTTTGGCCTTGAGTATATACGAGGATGCGGCAGATTAGGTAGGTGAGAAGACTGATTGAGGCGACTGGGGAGACGAGGTTATTGTTCGTGTTTAGGACGTCGAGGGCCGTGAAGCCTAGGGCGGTTGTTGCCCATAATGAAAGGACTGCTATGGATACTGCTCTGTAGAGCTGAGCTCCAAAGGAGAATGTTGCCATGGACTCTGGAGCTGGAGTAGGATATAGAAGACTTGTCCCGTGGAAATTCCTACCGCTTTTAACGGACCCCATTTTAAGGGTCCAATGATAACCGCTAAAGTAAATCACATACGACCCGTGATTACATACGACCCGTGAATTTCATTTTTTTTAACGCGTCATTTACGTGTCTTACTTTTTCAACCACCCACCATGCCACCTAAGAATGCTCAAATAGCTCAGAAACGGGTTGAATAGGAGGGTAGGATCTTATTAGCTATTAAAGCTATAAATAATGGCGAAATTACCAATACAACCCAAGCTGCATCTACCTTTAATGTACCCCGCTCAACCCTCCACGATCGCCTATCTGGTGTTAAATATCGCGTCGAGAAGCGCGCAAATGGCCATAAATTGACTGAATCTGAAGAGAAAACTTTTCTCAAATGGATTTTCTCTTTATATGACCGTGGATCTGCCCCTAGACCTCATTATGTCGCTCAAATCGCCAATATTCTACTCGCCGACCGCGGAATCGACCCACCTCTTATAATCGGACGAAATTGGGTTTCAAACTTCATCAAGCGTACACCTGAAATCGAAACTCGCTATTCAAAACGTTACAATTTTGAGCGCGCAAAACAAGAAGACCCTAAGATTCTTCGCGATTGGTTTATCTTAGTTGAAAAGACTATTCGCGATAATGGGATTCATGAAGACGACATTTACAACTTTGATGAAACTGGTTTCGCGATGGGACAAACCGCTACTGCCAAAATCGTTACTAGAGCTAGCTATTATGGCCGACGAGAGAAGATACAACCCGGGAATCGCGAATGGGTTACGGCTATTGAATGTCTAAATTCAACTGGCTGGGCGCCTCCACTATGTATCATATTCAAGGGCAAAAACATGATGCAACGTTGGTTTCACGATGTCGATTACCACCTGATACGCGCTTTGAAGTAAGCCCTAATGGCTGGACATCAGACCAAATAGGCCTTCGTTGGCTACAAAAGCTATTCATCCCCTCTACCATAACACGTACGAAGGGGCGATATAGGCTATTGATTCTAGATGGCCATGGTAGCCACCTTACGCCTGATTTTGACCAGGCATGCCAACAGAACAACATTATACCAATATTTATGCCGCCGCATTCATCCCATCTTTTACAGCCTCTCGATGTAGGCTGTTTCGCCATTTTAAAGAGATCATATGGCCGGCTAGTTAGCTCTCAAATGGAGCTAGGATTCAACTCTATCGATAAGAGAGATTTCCTAGCTATTTACCCTATCGCGCGCGAAGAGGCTATTATATCTGCATCTAATGCGTTCGCTGCTACTGGAATTACACCATTTGATCCAGAAAGGGGGCTTTCAAAGCTTACTATCTCGCTTCGTACACCAACACCACCACCACCACCACCACCACCATCCCGGGGCAGCGACTCTAGCCAGAACTATACTCCAAAGACACCAATGTCACAGAAGGATATACGTCGCCAACATAAATCTCTATTACTTACAGTGTCACGATCGCCATCTACACAAACAAAGCAGATCTTAGACCAGTTCTTGAAAGGCGCAGTAGCTATACACCAACATGTGGCAATACAAGCTCAGGAAATCGCCGCTCTTCGCAAAGCCAACATAAAAGAGAAGAAAAAGAAAGGCACGCCCTAACCGCCGAATGGCTATTGAAGGTGGTCTTGCGCTCCATGAAGCACAACAGCTTATCGACGCGTCAATTAATGGTGTTGAAAATAGTGATGGTGTAAACCAACACCAAACCCCGGCTTCTTCTCAACCAGGCCATCGGCCACGTAGGTGTGGGATATGTCGGGAAACCGGGCATAGGAGAGAGACGTGTCCATAGCGCCCGATTCAATAGTTTATTTACATAGTTTTATTGAATTTAATGGAGTTATGGGATAAATAATGTAAAAGATGAAATAAAAGTGGGTCTAATTCACGGGTTGTATGTAATCACGGGTCGTATGTGATTTACTTTACATCATAATCAGGAACGATAGATATTACGATCTAATTACTCACACCAAACCTTTCAATGGTATTTAATATCTGCTAGAGTCAATTGCATATGAAGGAGTTAAAACAGCTCTGGAGGACAAGGTACGAAAGTATGGGAATTACTAGGGGAAACTAAATTCCCAATTCGGACCAGTAAGTATCATTGATGGGTATAGCCCGGGAGGTAACATAAGAAGCGTGAACATAATTTTCTAGATCGTTGAGCAGGCACAAAACAAAAGAGAATCATTAGTTGATACGGTCATCACCTGGAAAAGCCAAAAGCGAAATTCAGGAACGACAGACAAAAACGGTATAAAGCTTTCAAATTCGGAATCAGCAGAACAAAAGAAAGACATCCTCCAAGATACGGCAAATGGCAAGACCCGATCTCTCAAGAAACTCCAGGTTGCTTAAAAACCCAATTACCAATGGGCAGCAGAGCTTTCAAGGGAGGAGAGATGGGGAGGGGGAAGGAGATGGACTGGACAGGACATGTATCTGACGACTCCGGTCGCGCTTCGTGAAGACCATCTGTTTTCCTTTACTGGACTTGGGCAACAATCTCGCTGGCACGACCCAGACTCTCGACCATCTGCTGGCATTCCTTCCGCCGGCGAGTAGTGTAGTCGCTCTCCTTTAGCAACTCATCCAACTCGTTGTTGCGGTACATTTGCTCCATGAGTTCTGACTGCATTGAGTCCTTGGTAAATCTAAAGAGAAGGGTTAGCTTTCTGAAGGCGGTTCGGGTAATAATAAGGATACGTACTGAACCAGGGTATACATGACAGCCTTGGGGACCATATCGATCATTGTCCGCTTAACGATGTTGAAGTAAGAGGTAATGAGGAGCTCTATGGCAAAGGTTAGTAAACGGTAGTCGGACGAAACTTGCTCGTGGATACTGACTGATGACTTCCACCTCCTGGGATTCACGTTCAGACAAGCTGGCAGAGGCCTTCAGAGTTGGTGGGGGGGCCTCCATAGCAGCCATCTTCTTCTTGTTCTTTGTAGCCCAGAAGCTGCCGAAGAATCCACTACCGTTGGTAGCTTCGCCGGTTGTATCCAGAGATGGGCTCTGGGAACGGGCTGGCAGAGGTTTGCCGGTCTTGGGATCTACCTGTGTGGGCTTAGATGCTTGTGAGCGCTCGTTGACAAGAGTCATTGCCTGCGCAGGTAGTTAGCTTGAGTTATGATTTTGGGTACATCATAAGATTATTTAGCGACACTTACGCGGTGGCCGTTGAGGAAATCGGGATGACCGGTGTTGATATAGGTTGCCTCCATGTTGATAAGATCCTTCACCAATTTGTTGCTGGGGTCCATGCATTTTTTGAAGAAAGCGACAACCACGGCGTGGAACTTCTCCTTCAGCATGGGGTACCGGCGGAAAAGCTGCTTGTTCAGAAGCTGGCTCAAGATGCGCACCAGCTCATCGTAAACCAAAGCAATACACTTCATACTAGGATCTTCCAAGCGCTTGATCTGTTGCTTGACAATCAACTCAAAGGCAGTTGTGCCGACGAACAGCGCAGGGGATGAACCGGAGGAATTGTAAAGGATAGTGCGAATGTCAATGTCTTTCACGATGTCGAAAGGATCAACAGCCTTGATGCCATTTGAGTAGAGCTCGTGGAACACGAAGCTGATACGAGCACCACCCGATAATTCGATGCTGGATAGCTCCTGGTTGTTTCCTTCCAAGACAGTACGATACTCATTGCTGAATTCCGTAATGATATTGAGAATGACGCTGGCGCTGTTTCCAAGAATCGAATCGCCAAGCTGAGCAAGCTCTTGTGTGTACTTCTGGAGGGAGGCGGAAATGCGGGCCTTGATATCGGGGAGAGTTTGTTTGATGTGCATCATCAGGATCTAGAATAGGAAGTATTAGGTTTAGTTCTTTGCTCTGATTGATAATTGCCATGCACCGAGACATACCAAGTTGAGCTTGCGAGCCAGGTAGGGTGTTCCGCAGTAAGATGCCTTGTTCCGGTAGGCCTTGTGATTCTCGAAGAAGTTCTTCTCGTTCTCCAGAGCGGCAGCGATGGGCTTCTTGTTCTCAATGTCACGTTGACCACGGTTGACAACCGGCACGTAACCGAGGCGCAGAGGAATGATTCGCCCAGCAAGAATGTCTACAACGTCGGTGCCCTCGTCCATCAGATCAACCTTACTCAACACACCGATGGTGCGCTGTCCCTCGGGATCCACCTCACGTGCCATCTTCAGACCATCCGAGTTGGCCAAATCCTGGTTAGCAGATGTCACTGCCAGGATAATAGCGTTGGGCTTGCTGATATATTTGAGCACCATATCTCTAATTTGGCGCTCAATATCCTTAGGCTGGTCTCCAACGGGTACCTTGGTCAGACCGGGAAGATCAACTAGTGTCAGGGTGAGAACGTTCGGCGAGTAGATGCGCAGGTTGATCGGAGCAGGCGAGATTCCGGCATTGCGGCCGACTTTGCTCTCTGTTTCACGAACAATCTCGTCACGAATCTTGTTGAAGTCATGGAACTTCTGGCCGGGGATGTGCAGGAATTCGCCATACTCGTCGACGTTCGACTCGCTGTCCGTTGTATCCAGCTTCTTCTCGCCGTTCGTTTGGGGGCTAGGAGTCTTGTTGATCAACTGCAAAATAAGAGGTCGTCTGGTAACAATTCCTGATCCACGGGGCAAGCTTCATATGAGAACATAGGTTAGCAATTGTTGACAACGGCACCCCACCACAATGGAGTGACCAGCAGTGCAAGAGTTATAAAGGAAAAGGGGCGCGTACAAATCACGACCGACAATGTTCTCTAGCACTGAACTCTTTCCACTGGACTGCGATCCGACGACGACAATTTGTGGTAAGTCAATAGGGTTGTGCACCTAGATTCAGATAGCGGTGTCAGTCGACAGAGGGGTGTTCAGAATCAAGCCATATAGAAGTGAGTTGAAATAGACTTACACCAACTGTGGAGAAGACATCCTGCAGCTTGTTGACCAGCGAGATCAAGCTTGGGTCATTAACGTTTATGCTGCGCATGAGTTAGCTTGGCCGTATCGGAGTGAGGGGACAGGGGGCTACGCACGAGTAGCCAGAAGTCGGGCTTGCCATGATTAGCAATGGTTAGACACTAAGCCAAAGGACTTTCTAAAACTAAATAAAAAATGAGGCGAAAGGAAAAAGAAAGCTTCGAGAATATACGTGTCACGAGAGATGTAGTCGTTGAAGACTGTTTGTTGGTGAACCAAGGCGGTGATGAGTGGCGGACCGGGCCCCAATCAGTTCCAAGGCCCAGCAGCTATAGTATCTCTGCCGCCTGATTTATATCACATCGTTGGGACCTAACTTCAATTATCTACCTAAGTTACCGAATTATAGTCGCTCTAATATCCAAATCATGGCATATGCCCCAAAACAAGAAATCTTATTGAACATAACTACAGGGTAATGTGTGCTAGAAAAAGTAATAACAAAAAGCCGGAAAATAATATGCAGAAACAACTAAACACACGCCATATTCTGTCCAATCAAGTCTATTCATCGGACACGGAGGCAAAGCGCTCAGTCATGGACTGGAGCAGCTTCTCGTACTTGTCCGAGACTTCCTGCTCATTATCTGGAACCTCGAACTTCATGCTCCGAAGAGCATTCTGGAGATCGCTGGTAGCCTCACGGACCTTGCTCCAGATCTGACCCTGTGCAACGGCCTTCTGAGATTCGTCGTGGAAACCCATGAATGCCTTCATCATGTACTCGGTCTTCCAAAGAGGGCAGAACTGATCGTAGTCACTGTAGCCGTTCTGCTGCAGGAAGTCGTCCTTAAGCATGCTGGCCACATCAAGAGTGATCTTGTCGGAGTCACCCAAAGCGGCCTTACCAACCAGCTGCACAACCTGGTCAAGTTCCTCAGACTTGGAAAGAAGCTCACGGATCTGGTCACGCAGGCGAGGGAAGTCTGGGTTATGCTTCTCGTAGTACTTGTCCAAGATGGTGGTGTATTTACTATAGGACATGGAGGTGTTGACGGAAGGGAAGTGTTTACGCTGAGCAAGCTTTTTGTCAAGACCCCAGAACACTTGGACAATGCCCAGAGTACTGCTAGTGACGGGATCGGAGAAATCACCACCGGGCGGGCTGACGGCACCGACAATGCTGACACTGCCGATGCGCTCGGGGCTACCCAGAGCACTGCTCTTGCCGGCACGCTCATAGAAGGAAGCCAGCTTAGCACTCAGATAAGCGGGGAAACCCTGATCAGCAGGCATCTCACCCAGACGACCAGAAATTTCACGCAGAGCTTCAGCCCAACGAGAACTCGAATCAGCCATCATGGCGACATCCTTGCCCTGATCACGGAAGTATTCGGCAATAGTAATACCGGTATAGATGGAAGCTTCACGGGCAGCGACAGGCATGTTCGAGGTGTTGGCGATCAAGCAAGTGCGCTTCATGATGGGCTCCTTGCGACCGTCAACGTCGATGGAGAGCTGTAAGGAAATGTTTAGTATATATTATTTGTAAGTTAATTTCAAATTTGAGAAAGCGTACCTCGGGGAAATCCATCAAGACTTCAGCCATCTCGTTACCGCGTTCACCGCAACCAACGTAGACAATAATATCGCTGTTTGAGAACTTGGACACACTCTGGGAAATCACAGTTTTGCCGCATCCGAAAGCACCAGGAATGCAAACAGTTCCACCCTGAACACTGGGGAAAAGAGAGTCCAGAACACGCTGGCCGACAATGAAGGGCGCATCGGCCGAGAGTCTGTCACTGACGGGACGGGGCACACGGACGGGCCAAGTCTGCATCATGCCAAACTCAGTCTTCTTGCCCTCAAACTCCACCTCGAGGAGCTTCTCATCGACAGTGTAGCTACCAGCAGGGGCTATCCGAGTAATGGTACCACGTGCACGCGGTGGCAAGATAATTTTGTGGTCGTTCACCAAGCTGTTCTCAAACACGGAACCCCAGATATCACCACCGGTGATGTGGTCGCCGACCTTGAAAGCGGTGGGCTTGTACTCCCATTTCTTCTCACGGTCCAGCGCATTGACAGAAATTCCGCGGGGGATATAAATACTTCCAGACTTGTCGGCGATAGCGCGGAGGGGTCGTTGAATTCCGTCATAAATGGTCTCCATCAGACCGGGACCCAGCTCGACAGAGAGGGGCTTACCCGTGCGGGTGACGGGATCACCAACGGTCAAACCAGCTGTTAGAGGAGCGACATGTCAGCAACAGGCAATGGGACAGATGGGTAAATGGAAATTGGAAATTGGGGATTGGGAACTGGGAACTGGGTGGGAACTGGGAACTGAGGGTGGCCGATCGGGGGAATACGTGGCTCAGTTATGGAGGTATCGTACCAGTCTCCTCGTAGACCTGAATGGTAGCCTTATCGGCTTCAATTCGAATAACTTCACCGACGAGTGCATCTTTTCCGATGTGGCACTATTTTCCAATATCAGTATAGCCGATCGTCGTCTCGAAGCTTGGGGAGTCTTACCAGCTCATACATAGCACAGCCAATCATGTGCTCGGCCACAACGACGGGACCAGAAACCGAGAAGATTGAGCCATGCTCAGGATTTTCCTCCGCAGGGGCCATTGTGGATGTAGATATTGTGAAAGGAATGTACTCTGGAGAGATGGGAGTGGTCGGTGAGGTGGAGGTGGGTGAGTCCGGAGGCGGTGGAGCGGGACTGAGCTCAAGCTCCCTACAGGTAATCAAGTCTAGAAGAGAACGTCGCGTTTTAAGTCGGGGTCTTCCCAATCCTAACATTCGCCGAAGTACCTGAAATTGACATCAAGTTAAAGGCGAAAAGACGTAATGATGAAATGGGAATACGAGATGTTATGATCGACCAAACGGAGTTTCCCCTTAAGTCGGTCATCCAATCCCCGCGCTGATCCTGTTCTCTAGCACATATGATGGAACCTCTTGAATTATATTCAAATGTTTAAAACCTGGGGACTCGATCAAAGAGTATTGGAGCGTTGAAAAGTTTGTTACTTGTGGCTCTATACGGGCTATACTGGTGAGACTACCTATGTATTCAATATGTATCCATTACCGCCATTTGATGCTCATCTCACAGTCTGAAAACCTGCAGGGCTGGTCCATGTATCACCTAGATACCTAGGTATCGTAAATCCTATTTATAAATTGCCTATTACTTACCACTCATTTCAACCTTGGAAGTCAATGACAGAGTTGTATGACGCCTACATGTTTGTGGGCTTACATTGGGTTACTGATATACGGATACCTGAAATTAATTCAGTTCACTTAGATTAATAGCTAGCAAGAAGCTAGGAAGAGCCATATATATCAAATAGAGCCCTGGAGGCTTACCCTCTTGCCATACTGGAAGAATCGATTATACTTCATCTGCAGCTTCTTTACTTGGATATAATAGTATCAAAATGGCGTTAGTGGGGAGAACGAAGTTAATATGAGGTGATATCATACCTAAGTATCTAGGTATGGGTATGTAGATCTGTAGCAGAAGCTTGGAAGCTTGGAAGATTGAGTCTATAGTCGTCTAGGGTCCTATAACTATGTACTATTTCAGGATTCACTCATCAGCCAAGCTCCAATATTGGGAATTAAAGAACTAGGCAGTCTTCTCTCTTCGAACCCAATTCTGAGGAGGAAAATTCCAAGTGTCAATGATTAGTACAGTAGATATTACCTACTTAGGTAATAGACGTGTGAAACTTGATCGCTCCTTCCAAATTCATCTTGCGGGGAAAAGCCCACATTCTCGTGACTTCCAATCTTGATAAGGAACTTGAAAGCGATTCAATCTCAGTTTCTTCCACAATTTGAGAACTGAGAGATTTGAACCACTGCTACTTCACGACCCACCAGCGTTTCCCTGGTACCCTCCATACTCGGAGCCCCCAGGCGATTACTTAGCCGCCACCATCCCAAAGTTGGTCTGCTCACCTGGTTCTTTCAAAGAGCTAGGGGACCGTGCAGATCCCCATATACTTTCGACCTGGCCGACTCTCCTCCCCAAAGAGCGTTCACCTCCGACTCCGACAACCCTCTAGTACCTCTTCCATTTGAAACAGCTATCTCCTCCGGTCATCCCGAATCCTCCCTATCCTTATCCTCGCAGTCTTTCCCAACATCATTAGAATCACCCTTAGGCATCAATATCCACCAGACAGCACTCGGACGCCGTCGACACCGGTCTAACAGTCCAGATATCCTAGAACCCTCAACGGCGGGTACTACGGTATCACAAAATACACGAGTTCTGGAAAGCGCCCAGAGTCCACCCCGCAAGCGCAGGCGCCTTCCAACCATGCGTGCTGATGGACCATCATCCACAAATGGCTTCTCTCAAGCTCCCAACGGGTCATCCTCAAGAAAAGCTAGCTCGAACGGACAGTCAACTGTGACAACGGCAAACGGGGAATCCCGGTCAAATGGAGCTGTGACGTCCTCGACAAGCTCAACATACTTTGGACATAATCGAGAGGAAGTGACACGCATATTAATACAGAGCCTTCACGAGCTGGGCTACAATGATGCGGCCGCTGTTTTGTCTGCCGAGAGTGGCTATCAGTTGGAAACAACGGGTGTTGCAACATTCCGCAGTGCCGTGTTAGCTGGTCGTTGGTCCGAAGCGGAGAAGATCCTGCTTCAATCGTTTTATCAAGAAAGCCCCCCGAAAAGCTTGTATTATTGGCGCCTGGTGCGGATATGGATCGTATGAAGTTCTGCTTGCGCCAACAAAAGTTTCTGGAGCTACTAGAGGCGCGGGATCTGGATGCGGCACTGGCGGTCCTCCGTGATGAGCTGACACCACTGAATTACGATGTTGATCGCCTCCACGCACTTTCCAGGTGATTGCACCAGCCTCAGCACTATTGGACAATGATGAACTAATAATCATTTATGCATAGCCTTATCATGTGCCCCATAGAATTGCTTCATGATCAAGCAAATTGGGAGAGCCCAATCAGCGCATCTCGAGAACGGCTACTTGAGAATCTTTCCAGTGAGTGTAGACATATGTTGGGATTTTTTTTTGGCTTTGTACAGGCTATAGCTGACGCGCCAAGGATCCATATCTCCTTCGGTCATGATTCCCTCACACCGACTTGCAGTTTTGCTAGATCATGTACAGCAGGGCCAGATCAATAATTGCCTATACCATAATACAGCCGAGGCACCCTCACTTTACTCAGAGCACATGTGTGACCGTGAATGCTTCCCTTTAGAGGTCAGAATAGACCTTACCGAGCACTCTGACGAAGTATGGTATTGCGAGTTTTCTCACGACGGTAGCAAGCTGGTCACTGCAGGCAGAGACCAGAATGTCCTAATATATGATGCAAACCGCTTTTCCGTGATTCATCGATTAGCAGATCATCTCGGGGGTGTTGCTTTTGCAAGTTGGAGTCCAGATGACACCAAACTTGTCACCTGTTCCCAGGACCGAAAGGCCCGAGTATGGAATGTCGAGGTAACTAGTCTCAGGCTTTGTTTCCCGTTACTATGAATGACTAACAATCCCTATTTCAATCCAGACTGGCATTTGCATTCTCACCATCGACCACCATAACCAACCAGTAACATCCGCTGCGTGGGCACCGGATGGCGAGTCATTTGTGACGGGTTCTTTTGATTCCACTCGCCAGCTCTGCCATTGGAGCATTCATGGTGATAATTTGCATATGTGGAAAGGACCATTCCGCGTCCAAGACTGTGCAATCAGTCTTGATGGCAGAAGACTGGTGGCAGCAGAAACCGACGCAAAGATCCACGTCTACGATTTCAGAACATATGAAGAGGACTACTACTTGTCACTTTCAAGTAAACCAACATCCATTGAAATTAGCAGGGACTCGAAACATTTGCTCGTGAGCTTGGCCGAGGGTGAGGTTCAGCTCATCGACTTGGACACAACCGCCGTGCTGCGGCGCTTCAAGGGCCAGATGCAGGGTGAGTTTGTGATCCGTAGCAACTTTGGTGGGGCAGCAGAGAATTTTGTTGTCAGCGGCAGCGAGGGTAAGCTTTATTCTCTCTTCATTCGATACCTCTGTGCTAACTTATCCCTAGACTCTCGAGTTTTCATTTGGCACAAGGATAACGGGACACTAGTGCAGACACTAGAAGGGCATGACAAAGGATGTGTTAACACCATCTCATGGAATCCAGCAGACCCTACCATGTTTGCCTCGGCGGGTGATGACCACGTTGTTCGAATGTTTGTCTTTTATTATCCATACCTGTATCATTTAGTCTATATGCTAACAGTCATTGCTTTAAAGTTGGTCTCCATCTGGGATTTATCACCCGACAGGCATACCAAGCGAACGCCGAGGACAAATTTCCAATGGATTTCCGCAAACAAGTGCCATCAGAAGCACTTACGACGTAGAAACTTTTTGAAGGCCTAATTGAGATGCAATGACCACGCAAGCAATTTCCCTTCCATTCCGTCGCGAATGAGCCTTATTGGGGAGTAATGAAATGAAAGTCTGATGAACTTCCTCCACTGTCACCTTGACTTCTAATCCCGGGTCAGGCAAGACTTCGTTACTTTGAATTATATATTCAAGTTTTCCTTTGCAGCCTTTATCATTTTTCTAGTCGAGTTCAATGGTTCCGTTCATCTGATGCATCCAATCTATACAGGAATGGCGCAACTACTGTTGGTTTATTTCATGTCTAGGGAGCTCTCGTTCAATTCCGAGGTCATTAATTTTTTTTCTTCAAGGTTCCAAGGTTGTTGTACTGTACAATGTATACATTGGGCTACTCATGTCAGGGCGTTATTGTTAGGTGTTTTCAATTTGGACTTCAATTTACGCACCTTCCAAGGTTGGTTGTACATATGTAGAGATACAAGATGACGAATGCTTCTCAGGTGTAAATAGTAAATAAATCCTGTCTATTAAAAGAAATATTTGAATAATCCCAAGGTCATTAAATGAGAATCATCCCAACAGAGTACACCACCTGCTGAAATCTTTTTTTGCATTTGCATTTGCATTTGCTAGGAACTTACCCCGTTACGATTTCGCACATGACCGCTCTTCTTTTCATTTTCATTTTTTCAACGATATAACTTTAGACTCTAGAGTTATCAATTCATGTTTACGTGTGCTCGATCGGGGCGCTCTACAACCTATTTCGTAACTTAAATCGGCTTTACAGTAGTGCTAACTATTATAAAAATATCTTAGTAATATATGATAGCCAATTATAGTTTCAGGCTTCGCCAAGGCGCTAATGGTTACCATTTTGACAGTCAAGGGGATAGTTCGGATTAAATCAATCCGGATAAACTGTCCTTCCGATAAAGTATTTCCCCCACATATCAGCTCAATATGCAGGTGCCCCGTGGCTTGGAAACGTGTTAATAGATTATCCGTAGATAATCCTAGCCCTTCTAATTACCGTCTAAAGCCGGGATTGTCCATACGAGGCAGGATCCAGATATGGTATAAAGTTGGATGCGGTTATCTACTTGCGGTTTAATTCTGACCAGCTAACTTCATTCTAGATAAATGTTTCTTTAATTAGTAGATAAGCAGATAGTGACACTTCATAGTAGCTTAAACTTTAGAATGCCCGTTGATGTTGCATTATTACGGTATATTCAGACCTCGCTAAGGCTTACCAGAACGAGATTTATCAAGGTAGCCTTTGCCCGGTAAGGCGTAGATCGTCATCCCTGACTCAGTAACTGCTTACCTCGAAGCTGCCTTGAGTAAGACTTAAGTACTTTACCATTAGCTCTATGACCCAAGATAATTTATAATTCAACTCACTGGTCTCAGTCTTCTCAAAGTTGTCATATAAACAACACCAACCGCCTAAGTGTGACCATGACAGTTCCAGAAGCTGATAAGCTCAAAGGACCGATTGCTTCCGATATCAACGGAAGCGGCAGCGATCATCCACCTTCATATAGCTTGAACGAAAGTATCACTCTCGAGCTAGCAAAGTTGAATCTTGCACCATCGACATCTGATCCACTCTCAAGCACTGTCACGCCAGACCAATGTGTAGCACATTTGAAATTCTTGGCTGTACTCGCTGACTTGCGAGAAACGATCTCGAACAAAGATGGCCTCTTTCAGATATTCGATGTCGATGCAACTAACTACCCTGACGCGCTCGACCGCGCTCAAGCTCTCATACGTGAGAAGCGCTGGGCTGTTTACACCGCGCGCGCTGCTGACCGCTATACAAAGTGGTGGTTTGAAGGTCTACCGAAGTCTCGGCCATCGGTGACTCAAACAGATTTGGATGGCGCTAGATATGAGAGAATCGTTGATGGTTTCGGAGAAATAGTTGACTTTATTACATGGACCGTAGACAATTTGCCTCCGCTTGGTAAGTTTCGAGCCAATGAGTGAATATTACCTATATTCTAACTTCTTTTTAGATATTTTGATGGTCTGGCATTCTCATATGCTAAACCCCAGAAACTATCTAGAAGATTGTATTCGATATGGGAGACTGAGTGCATGGAGAACAGGCTTCCCATTCGAGGAAGTGAATAACCACATCAATGACAATTTGGAATACGTTGTCAGCCAGCAGACGAAAGATTTGTTCGAAAATAAGATCAAGATCAAATGGGACAACTTACTCGACCCGTCAACAAAGGACCTTGAGTGCCCACGTTGTGAGAAGAAATGGGTTCAAGTTGAATGGACTGGTGGCGATGTGATCGGAGATTCGCTTGAAGACATGTTCCAACATGCCTCTGGCTACGCAGATAAGTCTTTCAAGGCAACATGCAAAGACTGCAAGTCTGAATTTGGCCATGGTCTGCTCAGAGTAGCCAAGTTCCGTAAGGATGCTCTAGAAGTCCTTGACGAAAATAAACCCATGCCAGGATCTCTATTGAGTATCAACGGGATGCCCGAAAACCAACCTCCGGGGGATAAAGCGAAGAGTTTCAGGCCGACTACTTTTCCAACACGACTGATTCGCGCTCTTGGTCGACAATTAATCACTGATTATATAGGCAGCTCTGCTGATATCGATGGTATTCGCGCGTGTCTTGAAATCAAACTGGAAGATAGGTGGTTCAGATTCAAAATACACGAGTTGAGTGGCCCCTACAAGAGTCCCATACGAGGAGGAGAAAAGGTTTTCCTTCGGCGTATGATGGCTCATTATTGGGATAACTCCAGCCCATTTTCTCTGGACCTGGTTGGTGCAGTAATTCGCCAAGGCACATTTGTTCAGAAGATGGATAATATAGACTGGCTTCACTCACCTACTGTCATGGAAACGGCACGACGTCTTATAGCGAAATACGAAGTCTTCATGAAAATAATGCTTACCAACCCACGAAATATGGCAGTACCAACATTGGATGTCGATCTGGCATGGCATACGCACCAGATGTGCCCAAGCAGATACTACGAATACACTACAGCAATAGAGATCAGGGGCATCCGCCAATTCGTCAATCACGACGACAAGATCGACGAAAATAGGCTCTCCGAAGCATTCGAGTGGACAAGCAAAATGTACCGCCGCGCCACAAACGGCGGGATCTACAGCGAATGCACCTGCTGGTACTGCGAAGCAGTCCGTGTCCCAGATCTATACGGCCGCATTTTCAGCATCGGATCATCAACAGTCGCTCGCAACAGCGCGGAATCTCTTCACACTCGACAAGATATTTCCTCAGACCCAGACAAGAACCCGCATATCTCTGCGCACAATGCGGTACGGCCTACCTTTGGGGTATCCGAAGGCGACAAGGCTGGTTTGCTTCAGCGACTTCGTCTCCAGAAGAACTATGAAAAGCTGCTCCGGCGATCTGAGAAACAGGGAGTTCGACGCAAAGATACAAGGGAGAAGACGGACCAACACGGTGTTGTTCTACCTTATTACTACGCTCCTTATATGTGTGACCCCGGCATCCACTCGAGTGCTTATGTTTGCAATCCTAGCTGTATGAATCTCAGTGCGGGTGGTATTGGTAATTGTTGCCAAGGGACATGCGGAGGAGGTAGGTTATTTTCAGAGCTCTGATTCATCTTCGTCATACTGATTCTGTCTACTCTAATAGGTGTTGCAGCTGGCTCGTGTGGTGGTGTGGGTTCTTCTTGCAGTGGTGGAGGTGCAGCATGTGGGTTTCCCTTTCGAAGTTCTCTCTCAGTACAATGCTAACGCTGGCCTAGGTGGTGGTAGTGGTGGCTGTGGTGGAGGGGGTGGAGGATGTGGAGGAGGGGGAGGGTGTGGAGGTGGGGGAGGGGGAGGAGGTGGTGGATGTGGTGAGTTATCTTCTCTTCCCTGAGGCTATCTTCAACAATGACTAACTAGACACGTTTACTGTCAGGAGGAGGCGGTAGCTGAAAGCTATTTCATTATGTTTTTCCTGAGATAAGGTGGCAGTAAGCCACGAAAGAACTAGGGAGTGTCCACTCCTAGGGTAATGATCTTAACTAAAGAAGTATTCGGCCCTATAAATATATAATATGGTCTATTTTATAAACTACTTTTTTGAGATCCCATCAGCTCCACCCCTCCTCAAAATTTAAGGCACAGTTTCTATCTGTCTGACTATGGCCTGCTTAAAGAATGTCTTTTTATCTACGAAAAACGAAATGCCTATACCTATTTTACTTAACACGAGGACTTGTTAATCTTCACGAGAGGGTATTTGTTAGATGACACATATAGTTGGCACAGCCCACATAGTTTACACATCCATCAACACATACATTCAGTTTCACGCACGTCAGATCTTAGTAGATCTCTTCCTACGCAATAGGCAGGTTGTTCAGATTAAAAGGCTTAGATTACTAAGTAGTGGATGAATTTGCGTGGCTACATAGTATTTCTGTACTTTCTATTTCTGGAATATGATGAACCATCTACATGCTACGATCTTGACTTTCCGGACTATTCTCCAGGCGTGAGACCGTTAATAGTAGCACTTCTGACATCCCTCCATATAAAGCTAAATATCCTAAGATCAAATGCCACGAACACTCTCCCCCCTATGCTTTAGATAATCCTGCCTTTTTCCTGAAGACATTGCGTATTAAGCTCCGTAAGTCTCAAGCTCAGAGCAGAATTCAGTAATTTCAATATTTTTGCAGCTATATCCGGGATACAAATGAAGTAACTAGCATAATCTTCTATATCACTAAGAAATTATTGAAATCCGGATAGTATGTTATAAGAGCGGACTCGTGACTCACAATTAAAAAAAAAATATAAAAACATCAATAGCCATGAACTTAGTAGCCTTCTCAGCCTCCGTGATACTTGTGGTCGAGCATATCGACTAATTCCCTAACATTGGAGAGTGCACTGGCTCGCGGTCATTGGATAGACATTCCATTACCTTGGAAAAGTATAAGCATGATCTTCTTGCTGATTGAAAGAACATAGTATATACCTCGGAGCTGCTATTCATCATTAGGAACTAGATGAAATTCCCCATCTGAGATAGCGCAGTAGTCATTGCGGAAGTTTGTTGCTCATTATGGAATTCAAGTTCAGGATATCTTCGTTGGTGACCTTCTGCTATCATATTCGATTATTTATTGAGCTCAGGAACCTTACCCACTAGTTATTGCACCAGTTGGCTGTGTTTGGTCTGTTATTGCGATGATGCATCGCTCCATGAAGTTATTTATGAAATTTTGGTTCATTATTAGGTTTATGTTTAGGCATACAAATAGTTTTGACCAGGGAATGTTTGCGTATGTGACGATTTCCGAGGGCTGTTTCTCTGAGTTATGAGACTCGACGTATTATATATATATATATATATAGAAATGAATTAGATAAACCAATAGATGTGAGATAGATGTGAGATAGATGTGAGATGGATATGAGTGAAGGCTCAAGTGATGATGAGCTTGGAAGCCAGAATGAAGTGAAATAGTGAGAATGCAAGATCAAAGGTGAACAGTGACAAGTTCCAAAGGAAATACTTTACATAGACCGTGTCGGTTGACTAGGTTATTACCGAAGCAGACAGCTATTGATATCGTTTCTGTACGTATATAATAGGTGTATGCATATTGGGTAAAAGTGAAGTGTCCTTCTAAAATGCTCAGATGAAAGAAGATATAGTAGCTGCCATGCCAAGATCACATGATCTTGGTATGTCAGCTGATATTCGTTCCAACAGACCGCAAGGTTGAAAAATATTTTTTATAGTTAGGTAGATGTGGTCAGTCTTTCTGCTGTAAATTTCCTCGGCAAAGTAGAACTTGATTAAGATGCATCATTCATAACTCCTAGTGCTAAAAAGTCCTGGGGTAAAGCGCAGCAGATCCCTCAAAATTTCCCGAGCTCCCATATGTCAAATATTCAAAGTTGATAATTATAATTGCGCCTGGGCATACCTTAATTTGTCGTTCTTGGACTAAAAAGGATTTACTTTATTAGATTCATGGTTTCGAGTTCATTTGCGACATTGCATTCTTACAGGGTCATTTTAATTTCCTTTCCTCCAAGCTTGAACCGGCCTCGCATTGATCTGCAATGATGGGGTGGAGTTCCTAGTTTTTGATAGCAAGAAGAAGGCACTTTTGAAAAGAAAGCGAGCAAAGATAGTAATAGTAATGCCCGAAGCAAAGTTGCTGTAAGTGACTTTTGGCTCATTGAAAGAATTCTCCTTTTGGGGTAGTTGCAATTATGAGAGGAGATCCGCAACTAGATTAGTGATTAGTATATGAAGGAGAGATTCCGAAAAAATTGACGTACTATTCAGGGGCATCTCATCAATTTGAGTCGAATAGTAGAGTTCAATATCGCGAAGGATACGAACGTCATCACTTGTGACAAAGTTGATGGCAACACCCTTGCGACCAAAACGACCACTACGACCAATGCGGTGGATGTAGTTCTCACGGTTGGTAGGAAGATCGTAATTAATAACCAGAGACACCTGCTGAACGTCGATACCGCGAGCCCAGACATCAGTAGAAATGAGGACACGGGAGTTACCCTGGCGGAAATCTTGCATAATGCTATCACGCTCCTTTTGCGGCATTTCGCCGTGCATACTCGCGACAGTGAAGTTGGCATCACGCATCTTATCAGTAAGCCAGTCGACCTTACGGCGGGTGTTGCAGAAGATCACGGCCTGGGTGATGGTCAGGGTGTCGTAAAGGTCGCAAAGGGTATCAAACTTCCATTCTTCCTTCTCAACTGCAATAAAGTATTGCTTGATACCTTCGAGGGTCAACTCGTCACGTTTCACAAGAACGCGCACAGGATCTGTCATAAACTTGGTGGTCATATCCAACACATCGTAAGGGAGGGTGGCTGAAACGACCACCACTTGGGTGGCCGGAGGAAGGTAACGGTAAACATCATAGATCTGCTCACGGAAACCGCGATTAAGAAGTTCATCCGCCTCGTCCAAAACAAGCATCTTAATGTTCCGGGTGCGCAGGTTTCGGCGACGAATCATATCCGCGACACGACCGGGAGTTCCAGAGACGACGTGCTGACCATAGTCAAGTTTACGGATATCTTCTCCAATATTGGTGCCACCAATACATGCGTGACATTGAACGTTCATGTAATCGCCGAGGGCCATCACGACGGACTGAATTTGTGTTGCAAGTTCGCGGGTTGGAGACAAGACGAGTGCTATAACAGTAATAGTTAGCATCTGTGCCGGCGTCGGGTAAGCTACAAATTTGCATACCTTGAGTCTCACGTACAACAGTATCGATGACCTGCAGCGTACTGATCGCGAATGTCGCGGTTTTACCAGTACCGGACTGGGCCTGGGCGATAGTATCACGACCTTTGCAAATCTGAACAATAGCCCGAGACTGAACAGCCGAGGGAGATTCATATCCATAGGCATAGATTCCGCGGAGTAGGCTTTCCTTCAAGTGCATGTCTTCAAAGGTCGGCGCCACAGTGACCTCCTTGGAGGTATTGAACTCCATGCGCTCTGAACTACTGTTAGAGCCGTTCTAAAACCACAATACCAAGATGGCGCATACCTTCAGCAACTTTGTCGATTCCGTCCGCCATGGTGAAAGTTTGAAAAAAGAAGCTGGCGATGGAAAATTGGATGAGGAACCACGAAAATGTAGTTGGCGCACCTGGATAAGCCAAAGGGCAGAACAACTTTTGCGATGAGAGCGGTATCATCACGTGACCGCCCGCATCACCGCCCGCATCACCGCCCGCAAAGCTGTAGCTGTTCCACTTTCTCCAACTTTCTTTCGAGTTTGCGCAACCTTCAACCTTAGACTTATTTCTGCAGGAAGAGTTCAAAGTTATCATATTCTCACACAAAATGGCGCTCGAAGAACAGAGATTCATCCATGAAGACCTTGAGAGGTTGGAAGCAGCCATCGCGGATCTTGTGGCTCTAGAACCTCGTAATGTGAGTGTTACCAGCGGTTTGTGTTGCCTATTTGAAGCTAATCACAATTATTTGGCACTCATAGATTCGAGACCAATTGGCCCGTGACCATGAACTAAAAAAATTCATCGATCGAATTGAGGAACAGTCCAAGCGACTTCTCGAGATTTACAAGGATGAAGACAAACAACGCGAAAAGGAATTGCTGTCGATCTCAACTGGTGACCAATTTCAAGAGTTTCAGAAGCAACTTGACAGCATAAAAGATCACCATAGGCGCTACCCGAATGAGCCCGTAGACAACCTCGAGCGAGCGTATCAACGCCGTCTGCAGGAGGGCGACCTGCCGACTACGGATATAACCAACATGTTCTCTGGCGAAGAGGGATACGGAAAGTACCTAGACCTCACCGAACTTCACGCCCAATACCTCAACCTTCCTGGCGTTATTCGCCTGTCCTATATGCAGTACCTCGAAATCTTCGATTCCTTGACCCCACCAGTCTTTAATCTCAAACGGAAAGACAAGCTTTCAGACAAATACTTCCACTATGTTGGAGAACTTGCAAGTTATCTTGAAGGGTTCATCAAGCGCGCGCGACCCTTGCAGAATCTGGAATTACTTTTTGCAAACTTCGAAGATGATTTCAATCAAAAATGGGAGGCGAAGGCCATTCCGGGCTGGACAGAAGAGAAAGCACAGAACGGAGAGTCTGGTACAGCAACAGAGGGAATCTGGTGTCCAGATTGTGAGAAGGAATTTAAGAATGAAAATGTCTATCGGAATCATTTGACCGGCAAGAAGCACATTCGCGCCGCCGCAGCACGAGAAGCTGCCGGTACATCTGGTGAAGAGCGCCCGGCACCCGTTAAAATTACATCAACTACCAGCAATCTTAAGGAGCGTGCTATCGCCCAGCGGGAGCATCTCGTGCGACTCTTGGGGCAGGAACTCGATAAAGAGCGACAGGCAACTCGTACCAATGTAGAGCGCCGACACGGCATGACAGAGCGTGAGCGCCAACTTGATAACGAGGCCATGTTAGCTGAGCCTGAGGTTGAGGCTCGTGGTGCAGATTCTGAGCATGAAGATGACGAAAAGCTCTACAACCCCTTGAAATTGCCCTTGGCCTGGGATGGCAAGCCAATTCCATACTGGCTTTACAAATTGCATGGTCTAGGTGTTGAATATTCATGTGAAATTTGTGGAAACTTTGTTTACATGGGTCGTCGGGCTTTCGACAAACATTTCTCTGAAACTCTCCACATCCATGGTCTGAAGTGTTTAGGCATCACCTCTAACGCCAACATGTTCCGTGAAATTACTAGCATTGACGATGCTATGAAACTTTGGGGGAAATTGGAGAAGGATCGCAAAAGGGAGCAAGCCTCCCGCGATAATGTCGTGGAAATGGAGGACGATGAGGGCAACGTGATGCCAGAAACTGTTTATCTGGAGTAAGTCCCCCTCAATCAACTCGTGAACTACATATGCTAATCATCCAATCTAGTCTTGTGAAACAGGGAATCCTCTAATCAGAGGGATCTCGACATCGAAGACAGCACTACTCTGCTTTGGAGCATGAAGTAATGACCTGGAGGTAGCACGCTTGAGCCTGACAAAAGGCCCGGAGTCTGGCGCATAACCTTCTATCCTTTACGCTATGTAATATCATCAAAATCTTTCATCACCCTTCAGTTTCCTTTCTTTTTCGAATTTCGATTAGACCGTAGAAGATCACGTGCTTTCGCGTTCCATGGAAACGCGGTCCACAGTCGTTTATCCTCTCATCCTATTCTCAGTCTCCTCTCGGTCAAATATTGTCTATTGACATGTTGAGAGACATATAATCTTATAATTAATTTTTAATGACGCCCCTCATTGGTGTTGTCCTAGAATGGGGTTCAAATTTTCCTTTTTATGTGATTTGTTGTCTGGTTTAGAGGACAACTGGACAGCGAAGGCGATAACCACAGCAAAGAACAAACCGGACATTCGAACAATTTCCCAATGGGTTTCCCAACATGAGAAACGCATTCAACACCCATATACCGACAAATTGGCCTTGCTATCATGTATATTTCCTGAAAAACGAGTTGACCGCGTCTACTGGCTACAAGCAACCTCCTTAGCTCGCGTGATTGGCCGCTGCCTAGGATTAGGATCATCTCGGCTTTCAGCGTTGAATGCATGGCGTGAACCTGGTGGCCCAGACCTTGGGCAATGTGTTGAGCGTGTTATGCGGCAGGCTGAGAACCATATCCTACCAGACCGTGAAGTCATGGTCGAAGATATTGACGAAGCCCTGAACATGATTGCTTCTCGCTGTCGTTTCTCCGATCCCAAAGTTCGCCGCCAACATAGTGCAGTTGGTGTTGAAGGTGCCCTTGCGCATATATATCGCCGTTTAAGCAGTCGGGATGCTAAGTGGCTTACTCGCATGATTCTAAAAAGTTACCTCCCCGTTTCGATTCCTCAAAACTATACCCTACAAAAAATCCATTTTTTGCTTCCATATCTTCTTCAGCTCCGGGATACCTTTGAAGGCGCATTGAAGATGCTTGACGAAACACCGATGAGGAGTCTTCCTCCGCGTTGTGATCCGGGATTGGCCGCGAGTTTATTCCAAATTGCCTCGCAGCACCTATGGCCACAAGCTGGCATTAAAATCGGGCGACCCGAGTACTTTAAAGCCCGGAGTATTAAGCACTGCTGTAAGATGTCCAAGGGTCGTCGCATGAGCCTTGAACGAAAGTATGATGGTGAGTATTGTCAAATTCATATTGATCTCACGAAACAATCCACGATTCAAATCTTCTCAAAAAGCGGCAAAGACTCGACAGCAGATCGATCTGGTATCATCCCGACTGTGGAAAAAGCATTAAATACCAGAACGGCTAAATGCAAATTTACGCATCGCTGTATCCTTGAGGGAGAGCTTCTTGTATGGACCGCAAAACATGACAAAATCGCAGATTTTCACAAACTTAGAAAGTTCCTCCCTCGCTCAGGGATGTATATTGGAGTCCATGAAGATTCACCGTAAGTTTCTGGGCAATCTTGAAAATTATTATCTCTAACTAATCGAAACAGGCCTCAGCCTTATGAACATCTTATGATTGTTTTCTTTGACATCCTTCTCTTGGATGACGATGTATGCCTCAGAAAACCTCATCGGCAAAGGCGACTGTTATTGCAGGACGTAGTGCAAACGATGCATGGCTGGGCAGATATTGCCGAGCAGGAAATCCTGGACTTTAGTCGACCTGATGGCCAAAGCCGACTAGAGGCCAGCTTTGCCAAGGCCATTGCTCAACGATGGGAAGGATATCTGCTGAAAGACTGTGAAGAGCCCTATTTTCCCTTCTATTCTGCTGGGACAGACAGTTCATTTGGAAGATGGATCAAGCTGAAAAAGGACTACATCCCAGGTCTTGGCGACACTCTCGACCTCGTAGTAATCGGTGCCTATCACGACACTCGAGATGCAAGCTCTCTTTCATCTGTCAGGAAACTAAAATGGACACACTTTTTAATTGGCTGTCTTCTCAACAAAGACGAAGTCGTACAGTCTGAGGCTGTACCTCGCTTTAAGATTGTTGACGCAGTAGGCCGCCATAGCATGCATATTAGCCTGGTTCAAACTCTCAATCAAATGGGCGAATTTCAGGCGCAAGACCCTGAAGGCTTTGATGGCTTTCATGTTCAATATGGGAACAATGGCCTCTCGACAGCTTACGTGCTCTTCAAGAAACCTTTTGTTGTGGAGATGATGGGTAGTGGATTTGATAAGCCTTCTGGTGCCAGATATTTCACCCTTCGATTTCCTCGAGTCTTGAAAATACACGCAGATCGAACTTTCGAACATGCAGCGTCTTATCAAGAGCTACAGCAACTTGCAGACGAAGCTCGGTCTGTGCCAATAGAAGACTTGGCTGAAGAAAGAGAAAACTGGCGGAAACGTCTGAAGGTTGGCAATGGACTCAATCAATACATTGTTCAGAGATCTCGCAGTCCGTCTTTATGCAGTTCGAGTTCAGACCTGGAAGAGCACGATGTATCGTCTCATTCTGCTATAAGAGTGAGTGACGATATTGAACTATCGTCAAATCCTGGTATCCTGCATGAATCTGGACCACGAATCCCCGACCACAGCCAGACGAATCACAGCACGGATGATGTCCCTGAATTCTATATGGATGAGACGGTGATATCCCAAGATCTTAAGACACCAATGGTCAATAAAAATATACTCACTAAGAATGAGAATTTGTCCAGTCACAATGTTAGACAGAAAAGGTATTCCAAATCAGCAACAGATGGCCCAGATATAAGGGCAAGACCTTCAGCACTGCCTAGTCCCTCTCAAGTCTCCGCGCAAAAGATACTCCCACCAAAACCTGGCCCTCCTATCCCAAATTCGGAAACACCGTTTGACTATATGGAAACTTTGCAGTCTCCTTTGACCACAATCCCGATATACATGCCTGGAACCATATTGAGCCTTGAACCCTCGGAGGATAAAGAATCCTCAAGTCTGCGCGAATTTATCCAAAGTCTAGGATCAGACCGCTCAAGGTCTTTTTTGTAAAAATCAAACCCGAAAGCCGTGTCCATGGATAAAGCGCTTGGTCTTATCCTTGTGAACTCCGCAGAGACATCCCTAGGTCCAGATATCCGCCGGACTGCAAATACTGTTTACCAGATCCTTTGCTTGAAAAAAGATCACCTCCCTTCTAAAGGTAGTATTTTTTTTCTGGATTCTCGTATCCTTGAACACAATATCTACCCGGAAGATCTTAGATTCTGCTTGGAAAGTACTTGGGTGAAACTTGGGCGCCAGTATTATCTTGCCTGTCTCCACTGGAAACGCGGTGTGACAGGAAGTGGCGAGAAAACTAGAGTGGGTAATGATATAAACGCCATCAATTCTGCATGCGTGAGGGTGAGCTTTGGAAAGAGTGAAATACTCGCATTAGGGGAGTATACATCCATCGATTCTCTTTCCTACGTTAGTGAAAAGCGTAAATAGTCCGAATTTAACGGCTTGCTTGTTCAACTTTGGGAAATTCGTAACTATTATTAGCTAAAATAAAGAGCAAACGCCTCGCTTTATGACATACACTATGGAGACAACATTGCACATAAACTTGGACTGATCTAGACAGCACCTGCGGCAGCCTCTTTTCTGGCACGAATGTCCCGCATGATTGCCTTCGCATCTTCCACCTCCATTCCGTCCTGGCAGAGCTCCTTCACCAACTGCTCTGCTCGAGCCAGATCCTCATTTTTCAAGGCATACTGGGCCAACCATAGACGCGCCTTGGACGTAGTAGGTGTAGGGCCTGTACCATGACGGACTGTTTCACCGAGAGTGTCGTTGTTTTGCGCAGAGGAAGAGGTTCCATCGCGGGGCTTGTGGGAGCGACCACGATGGTGGGAGCCTGAAGGTGCGCCGTCCGACTCATCTCCAGAATTGTCGGCTTCATTCTCAGATACCGAGGACCAATCGCCGTCATCAGATTTATCTTCGTCGCTCACAAGCGCACCACCAGTTTCTTGCAGAATAGTCAACTCCATGTAGGAGACTGTCTCATCTATGTTCCCGAGACGGTCATAAAGATGTGCAATTTGATAAAGAGTTTCTGGATCGAGCATCCTGCGAGCACCTGGACCGTTGGGACTTGCGCCGGGGTTTTGGCTCTCGTCGTCCACATAGTAAGTACCAGCAGTAACAGCACGCTTCAAGGCTTGAATACTCCGCTCGAGGTTGCCCATCTTTGCCCAACAAGACCCAAGAGCTTGCCACATTTTCGGGTCATAGGGTTGAAGAGTTGACGACTTTTTGTAGTAAAACAAAGCATAGTTGGACATATCAAGGAACTCGTAGGCCTGGCCAAGACCGTACCAGGCACGGTAATCCTTGCGGTTGCAATCGACTGCGCGACGGTAACATTCAATGGCTGTATGAGTGTTTTTCAACTCGATGTATTCGTGGCCCATGAGGGTCCAGGCGGATAGGAAATTGCGGTCGAGTGTCAGTGCACGACGGAAGTACACGATCGCTTTCTCGTGATCTGACTTATTTGAAAAAAGATTGCCCACAATACAGCAGGTTTCTGGACGGAATTTGTCAGTATCAGTCGATATTTGAGCAAGATATGCGAGTTGGGGTCGTGCGCCCAGGACATAGAGGATATTTGAGTAGTGGTCTAGGTTGTCTAGACGGTGTGGCTCCTCAGTGACCATTTCGTGGAAGATTTGAGAAGCCTGGTCATATTCTGCGAGAATTGTTAGGGAGCGGAAATCATTAGGATTATTATTGCTGGTCTGACCTTTGGAATGATAGTGAAGCATGGCCTCCTGGGTCTTCAGGAATGCGCTGGTAGGGAACATGACTTGTAGCTGAGATATTAGGCTGTAGGTATCATCATTGGCCTGATACAGCTCTTGACTGCAGTAGACATGGAAAATGAGTGTCATGATTTGCTCCGGAAGTGCTGGGCTTATTTGTTTCAACTGTTGATAGTCAGCATCACCGTCTGAAAAAAGAAAATAACAATTCCAAAATCACTGACATCATCAGAGCAGGAAAGCAGGCCATTAAGCTCCTGCCATGCGCCCCAATGGAAAGGGTTTCGATGCACACTTCGAACCAGCCACATCTTGGCAATGTCTTCATTTCGTCCCTTTCCCTTCAAGAGGACAATAGCGTAGAGATACTCAAGCCACCCTTGTCCTTGATCCTCCAAACCCATTGCACTTCGGTCATTCATCCACCCTTCCAATCCTCGAATGAGCTCTGGCAGAGCTTTATTGACCGGCGCCACGTCTGCAGGACCCAACACCATCTCTGTCTCCTCATCTTTGCGCTTTTCTCCAGCCAAGTACTTAGCGTAGAGAGCGAGGAAAAGTGATTTCTGACTGAGGTTCGGATACAGGTTTTTTCTCTTTGAATCTTGGATTAGAGGGCTTTGACCCTTTCCCTTGCTTATAGTCTTTTTTGGTGTAGAATTCTGATTAACGTTGAGAGACTTGGGGAGTTTCCGAGGCAAGAAAACAGCTGCACAGCGGTCGTACTCTCGGGTTTCGAAAAAGGTTTTGGCCAGGAGGTATTTGGGAAATTCCTGTGCCTCGAGTGCAGCTTCAACGGGATCTTCTTGACCTAAGTACGGATTCACAGGTGGGGGAGTAGGTTCTGTTTCCATAGAAGAGTCAGCATCGGCATCGGCATCGCTGTCTCCGTGAACGGGCATGAGGGAATTGAGCATCTCAGCCGCCCTAGTTAGTACACACAATCATCAGTATCATGTAAGTTTTCAGAGTCCGGTTCGTGTCTACATACCATTTGGATGATTGATGTAAGCCTCTGTCCATTGATTTTACCACAGATTCCTCGAGCCGATGTTTGAGGTCTTGAATGTCATCCTCTGTGAAGTCCATAGTGATTATGTACCTCAAGGTACCTGAATGTGAATCTCGTATTGATTTAGAGGGCAGTGAGAGGTAAGGTCAAGCGGTCCCTACTTCTCTCAGCCAGTGGGATGTTTTTGTTGAGCGCAATTGCGACTCTCAGATGTTCCGTCGCAACGGATAGCTCGGCGCGTGTTGACGAGCTATTTGAATATTAAGAGCTTACCCACAACAGAAAGAGGGACAAAGGAGGGACAAAGAGTAGTACTGGGATAATGGTCGAAAATCAGTCAAGTTGGACTTTTGAAAAAAAAAAAGATCAAGTAAGTCTAGGAAGCCGAGCATCATAAAATGCAAAAAGATTCAATGACAATCGCGGAGTAACTGCACCTGTCAACAACAAACAGTGCAAACATTGAATGTCCCTCCCTTACCGCCTTCTATATCGAGTTTCGCGCGGGGGAATTGATGTGTCGATTGTATCGTTTCTTGAGCTTTTGTAAATCTTACTTTTCTTTTTTCCTCTCCTTTCTCCTAACGAAATTTATAATCATGACTTCCACCAAACGTGAAGACTTTGAAGCAATCTTCCCCTCGCTGGTCCAGGATATCCTTGGCCATGCGAAGCGGTACAACTTGCCCGACAATGCACTTGAGTGGTTCGAAAAGGTATGACAAGACAATTGCATGGGTTCAGCGGAAATTTGATTGAAATTGGAAACTAACAATGCTTTATTTTTGCAGTCCTTGAATGCCAACACTCCTGGTGGCAAGCTTAACAGGGGTCTCTCCGTGCCTGATACTGGTCTTGCCCTCCTGAAGAAGCCCCTGAGTGCTGAGCAATTTGAGCACCTGAGCATTCTGGGATGGCTCACCGAGCTCCTTCAGGCTTTCTTCCTGGTCAGTGATGATATTATGGACGGCTCCATCACCCGTCGTGGCCAGCCCTGCTGGTACCGTTACGAGGGTGTCGGCCTGATTGCCATCAACGATGCTTTCATGCTCGAGTCCGCCATCTACCTCGTTCTAAAGCAGCGCTTCCGTTCCCACCCTGCCTACATTGACCTTGTAGAGCTGTTCCACGAGACTACCTGGCAAACCGAGCTCGGTCAGCTCTGTGACCTTATCACCGCCCCCGAGGACAATGTGAACCTTGACAACTTCTCCATGGAGAAGTATATGTTCATTGTTACCTACAAGACTGCCTACTACAGCTTCTATCTCCCCGTTGCCTTGGCCCTGGTCTACCTGGAACAAGCCAGCCCCGAGAACCTCAAGCAGGCCCACGACATCCTGATCCCTCTGGGCCAATACTTCCAGATCCAGGATGACTACCTCGACAACTTCGGCGACCCGTCTGTCATTGGCAAGATCGGTACCGACATCCAGGACAACAAGTGCTCGTGGCTTGTCAACCAGGCCATCCAGCGATGCACACCGGAGCAGCGTGCATTGCTCGACGCCTCGTACGGCCGCAAGGACAAGGCTGAGGAAGCCAAGGTCAAGGCGCTCTTCAACGAGTTGGGCCTCGAGAAGGTTTACAAGGAGTACGAGGAGAAGGTGGTTGGTGAGCTGCGCGAAAAGATCGCCGCTGTTGACGAGGCCTCTGGTCTCACCAAGGAGGTCTTTGAGGCCTTCCTGGGCAAGATTTACAAGCGCACCAAATAGATTAGACTTGTGCGGTGATGAAAATGGTAATGCTGTGATAGCGGGCAGGACTAATATTTCGGGATTATATGCATATTCAAGCGTTTACGTAGTACTTAATGTACAGATTCGTTGGACTGGGCAGTGAGTAGGTAGATCGTATTTCCTTTACGGGGCATTCCTATCTAAGATGGCGCTCAGACTCAGACTTACTGAGTAAGTTCTAGTCTGGGCTACTTATTACCCAGTAGATATTATCACGCCTTACTTAGTCTGATACATGGACTTCTCTTCAACGTCCAATATCTAGTTCCAGACCTCGTCAATGCACCTCTTCAGGAGTATTATTGATAAATCCAGTGGAATATCCATACCTACAATGGATTGATCGGTGACCATGTCGGTTTTATGCAGAATGCTCCTTCACCGCCATAACGAACATATTATTACGGCTCCGAACATCAGCTGAAAATAAACAAGGAAACTAATGCACTGCACTTGCTCTTGAGAATGGCCAGCCGGTCACGAACCAAGATTGCTAATTACAACATGGCTGTTCCTCAACCTAAGATCAATGTATCTTGCTTTGTATTCGCTCGAATCCTCCCAGAAGGTATGGGTGTTGGAATAGTATGCGCCTCTGCATTATTGCCAACTCATGCTGCCTGCGTAGCCTCTAAGCTAACACGTACCAAGTAAATGGCTCGAAGTTGGGGGTTCCTGAAGCATTCAAGGATCTTTCTGATATGTTACTCAAAAGGGTGCTGCTGGGTGCATTCTAACCTTGATAACTAAGATTCTCAAGCTCTCTTACTCGGTCTTACTTTCTAGGGCTCACCTAGACCGACACATTTGCTAAAGAAACCCGCAAGGCTAATGCTTCAGCAAATAACCCTATATTATACTTATATTATCCTGCAATCAGTGAACAAGGGAGGATCATTATTCAGGCGGTACCTAGAGAGTTAGCTATTAGTGATCGTATTATTAATTGCAAATTGTTCAAGAAGTGGGCATCTATACACCGCGATTCAAAATAGCCGTTAAAGCGTGCGCCAAGGACTGGCCAAGAAAATCCGGTATATGTACATCGTACTACTGTTATTTATAGACAACTGTATGTGTAGGGGAGAGTTAAGTGTATACCTAGGTAGTCATCGAACAATAATAGGTACAAGCACCCCGGAGTTCAGCGCCGACAAAGCCGGAAGAGTTAAGGATGTTGCGGCCCTAGACCCACCAACCCCTATTTAGCTCAATCAGTTTATAAATCGTAGCTTCGGCCGCGTACATGTGGATCAGACCCATCAAATCCGAATGAACATTTGCATCTCCAACGTCTCTTCTTTAAATATGCCCTTCTCACCTCTCGACCCATAACCCATGGCTGAGGCTTCAACCCGTCGGTTTCTGCTGAACCGAACAATACAAATATCAATAGTTCTTCTACTGTTCCTGGGCGGTTTCGCCAGCGCAGATGTGCCAAACAGAATCCAGTCGGAGCGGTACGCCCATGGCTTCGAAGGCGCATTCCCATTACAGCGGTACTACTCCGCGATGATTTCAGGGCCGATTTTGAATTTTTGGCAGCAGAGTCCGGAGTGTCAAGATGGGCAATATACTGTCATTGCGCCTCATGGCGATGCGGTACATCATTCTGGGCCGATGATTCTGGATCAGGACGGTCATCTCATTTGGTACCAGGAAAATAAGCAGTCGTTCAATGCGGATATCTGTACTTTCAAAGGGGATAAATATCTTAGCTTTTGGGCTGGAAATGATTCGTTCGTTGGACATGGCGAGGGGTTCGGGTACTTGGTGAGATTTGACGACAAATACATGATTGTCATGATTGTCAATTTGCTGCTGACTTTTGCTTTTCAAGGTTAATTCTCACTACGAGGAAAAGTATAAAATCCATGGCGCAAATGGTCTCCAGATGGATTTACATGAATTTCACATCACTAGCGATGACACTGCGCTTTTTACCGTTTATGACAAGATCCCCGCAGACCTCCGTGAGACAGACGGGAAAGAAGACGGATGGATATGGGACGGCGCCTTTCAAGAAGTAGACGTTGAGACGAACGAACTTCTCTTCCAATGGCACGCATCGGATCACTTCACCTTTCGCGAGGTCGAGCGCGGCCGTGAAGGGAACGGAGACAGCGAAGACATGGCATGGGACTGGTTCCACATCAACAGCGTTGACAAGGACGAGCATGGGAACTTTCTCATCTCAACCAGATACCTAAACTGTCTTGCGTACATTGACGGACGAACTGGGAAGGTTCTGTGGAGACTAGGAGGTAAACAAAGCTCCTTCACTGATATCTCCGGTGGCGCGGCGTCAAATATAAGCTGGCAGCACCATGGACGCTTCCAGCGAGATTACTATACTAGCACCACAAGGGCAATTTCTCTCTTTGATAACGCCTCGCGCGGGGAGGGTGCACCCGAGAACCCGAGTCGGGGATTGATTGTCGACGTCAACGAGAAAGATATGACTGTGCAAGTGCGCATGCAGTACTGGCATCCTGAAAGGATCAGTAGTGCCTCACAGGGCTCACTACAGATTTTGAAGAATGGCAACGTACTGCTTGGTTATGGGAATAATGCTGTGTGGGTAGAGTTTACTCCTAATGGACAACCGCTCTGTGAAGTAAACTTCGGCCCACGTCAGGGTTTCAACACAAGAAATATCATGTCCTTTCGCACTCATAAGAGCGACTGGATCGGCCTTCCTCGCACGAATCCAAATGTTGCCTTGTCTGGTACCCAGGTTTACGTTAGTTGGAATGGAGCAACTGAGGTGGCGACCTGGGTGCTACAAGGTTCTGCGGGTAATTATTCCAGTCAAGAAAAGACTACTGTGCGACAAATTTCAAAAAGAGACATCAGCCGAACAGGATTCGAGCCCATCACTACTGTGTCCAAGACCGGATTCGAGACTATTATTCTCATTCCCAAAGATGCGCAATATAGCTTATTACGAGTCGTTGCACTTGATGGCTCTGGTGGCTTCCTCGGTGCAAGCAGTTCCTTACATTGGGAACCGGAGAAGATGAAAAGTGAACTTGCGTTATTTGAAGGGGTGGGGAAGGGCGATGATAAAGATGAGGAAGAGGAAAAAGAGAAGGAAGACGACGAACAAGAATCTGCCAATTCTGGACACCACGTCTCGCTTCCACTGGTTTTTGGAGTGGCTTTCTTGGGTGTGGCCCTCATTGCGCTATGCGTCTGGCGTTTCCGTCGAAATTTATCTTATATCATTCACAGACGCGACTTCAGCCGCGGACACTCTCACAGACAGAATGGGGAGTGGTGGGAAGCTGTCAACTTGAACGATGAGCTCGAGGAGTTGAATGAGCTGGACGAGCTCGAGAATCTCGAGTCCGAAGACCGAGATGATGTAATTTTATTGCGAAGAAGTGAGCATGAGTAGTGTATTTCTGTCATTGTATAGTATGTATGCATTTCCAGGGTTCCCAGCGTTTGCGATTTGCCTAGGTAATTAATCATTGGGTCAGCGTTGAGCATTGGTTGCGAGGTTTCATTTCAAGTATCTTCCAAGGGATCTACCTCGCATATTTCAATACAAAATCGGATCTCAAGTATCCATCTATGAATAACGGGCTACCTAGAGACCTAAGTGTTCCGAGGTTCTGGCTTTTCAAGATTGGTGTTTGACCGCGAGCTATATTACAACTGGGGATTTACCCTTCAAATATTAATATAGTTTAAACCCATATCCAGATAAGCTCGTGTGTTTTCAATCTTTGGTGCTTCCGAACTCCAAGGTTGTGGTAAAAGAAGGTTAGCATGAAGATCTGAACCTGATCGTTATACAGCGCATTCAGCTACCTAGTGCAGGTAGAAGCCAGATTTTGATATCAAATTTAGGATACTGACAGGGTTCAATTATGAGATACAGAGATAAATGAGTAGGATAAGAATCATGACAAACAAAATGACTTCCGCTTCAAATGCATGCGAAGGGGAGAGGCAATTAGTACATGGTGGCGATCGATGAGCACACGGAGCGCTCCACCCCGAGATGGAAAAAGTATCGGGTACTTAATGCAAGAACATCACACTGAATCCCATTCTGATAGTGGCTTGGCCGCATGCTTACGCTTCAACCTTGGCTTGGCTTACCCCATTTCCGTTGATCGCGATACTGTCAAGTGGGGACTGGGGACGATCTGTGGACTTGCGCGTCCGCAGGGTCAGTGGGTAAAAGTGCTCTTCCTGTTCTTCCTCCTCACTTTAAGATTGAATTGAGTTAGGATTAATCTTCTAAGATTGCTCAAGATGTGGGATAACTCACGGCAGCTTCCAGGAAATGTAGTCTTCTGTTCCCAATCCCTCACGACCTTCCTGAAGTGATGCGAAATCGCCGGGTGTCATCATGCCAGAGCGATCACGCGGGGAACCTGGAACAGACAGAGGTCGAGAAAGTTTCTGCTCAGTTCCTCCAATGATGTTGAAGTAATCCTCAGATCCGTCAAACGAAGAAGGATAGGCTAAGTGATGATGATGTCAGTGGGTATTTCCAAAAATTAAACGTGAACCACAACGACTGTACCTCTGCGTAGGGCCAACTGGCGGGCCTTGACGTACTCCAAGCCCATCCGCTTCCAATCGAGCAGATCACTTAATCGTTCAGTTCGGTTTCGCTGGTTGATACGCTGGCGCCGACTCTTCATGGTAAAGTTGTACATGAACTCGGTCAATTGATTGACTGAGTCGTCAACTCCCTTTGAGCGGCGGTCGACAATGTAGATACCATAATCCGAAGAGTTCTCAATAAGCTCCTCCATATAGCATCCAAAGCCGGAGAGATTAGTTGTGATGCTGGGAACACCCATGACTGTGCATTCCGCCGGTGTATATCCCCATGGCTCGTAGTAGGACGGGAAGACTCCCAGGTGGGTTCCACGAACAAAGTCATCGTAGTCTAGCGGTAGCACTGGGTTGGACGAGTTCAAAAACTCTGGATGGAAGACAATCTTAACACGATCGTAGGAATTGTTAAACATTTCAACGCGGCGGAGCTGGTTCAGGATAGGATCCTCCGAATCGTTGACCATGTTGTGAGTGACAATTGGCGGGAGACTATGGCGCTTCATCGCAAAGAGTCGACGACGCAACAGCACTCGATCCTGGCTGGTGATGAGATCCTTCTCATCTGGCATGTTCTCTCCTTCCTTCCATGACAGACAGCGTTCATACATACGCTTTCCAATGCCCTTTTCGATGTTCTCAATCGTATCACGGAGAGACTTCACTACTGCCTGGCCCTTGAGCGACTCCACCGTCAACGAGGATGTCTGAGCCGGCATGATGATGAAGGCTACAACGGTCATATTCGACCCGCTCGTTTTCAGCCGGTGGTTGAGGCGAGCCAGTCCTTCAATGAACATGTCCACACCCTTATTGCGGTACTCATACCGACCAGCGGTGAAGAGGTAAAGAGTGTTATCCAGATCAAAGTCATTGTGACCGTAGAAGTGTCCACGGACAAAGTCGTTTATCTTCTCCTTCGCCTGCGAGTGTAGGTTCTGGAACTCGTGCATTGCAGAAAACTTCTTGACGTTCAGACCATTGGGCAAGACACCGTCGGGCTTGCGCTTGAGCAGGTGTTCGCTTTCAAAGGCGGTGATGTGTGAGACCGTTGTAAATACGTCGCAGCTATGGGCGGCAGCTCGTTCAATGCAGTAGCGGTGGTAGATTCCACGCTTACCAGCCTCGGCATCCACATCAAAGTACTGCAGGTTGTTGTAGAAATCAACCGATCCGGCACAGAGATAGCGACCCAACAGTGTAGCGTGCGTGGTAAAGATGGTGGTGAGGTCCATGTGTCGCTTCTTGGTCAAAGGCAGAGCTACACCAGCGAGCCATTCATGGAAATGGGCAACGACCGCACGGCGACGCTCATGAGCAATGTACTAAAAACATATCAGTGTTAACCCTTCGCATTCAAGTCACTCCGGTCTAAATATCAATTTACCTCTCCTAAGAACCATGCAACCAGGTATCCAAACACAATTGCCTCATTGGTCTCGTGATCGGCTGCGGGAGACGGAATGCCAGATGCATTCCACAGATCGCCTTTCCACTCGTCCAACCAACGGTAACCCGTGCCGGTATTAATGAGCAGCACGCGAGGAGCACCCTCAATGAGCCAGCGACCGTAGACAATCTCAATGCCTCGCTCTTTCATCGACTTGATGGTGTCGCGCATAGCTGGACTGGCCGGAGTGAGCTCTTCCACCTCCACCGCTGCGGATGACTTGTTGAGGGGACCGATCATGGTGTATCGTTCGCCATACTCCGCCGTGGTAACGGGCGCCTTTGACTTGAGTACCGAATAGATACCGCCGACACGGTTGGCTACCTCGGTAGCAACCTCGAACAGGATGTGGTTGCGCACATCGCGCTTGACGGGCTCGTCACCGTTCTCTTCAGCCATTGCAAATAGCAAATCGCGAACCACAAGTCTGTTTTTTTTTCTCTAGTAAGAGAGTAAATTAGTTAAAGAAAGCAGAGATGCCAAAAGAAAAGGAAAGAAGGAAAAAAAAAAAGACAACGAAGACAGCGAAGACACGGGGCGAGAAGCTTGGACAGCAAATGAAGCTCGGCCTCGGTCTGTGCGGGGGTACTTTCCCCAAGAAAAGGCTGGGGTAGTACCGTTTTCGCCAAAAAAAAAGTGTGAGATAAATCAAAAGTCAAAGGATTTACCAAGAGTCAAGACTAACTGTTAAAGCGAGGAAAAAGAAAAGATTCGAAAGGATCTTTCTGGCCTGAACAAGTGGCTGTCCGGGGTATGGTACAACGCTCTTCTTCCGAATTTGCAATTGCGTCTAATCAAGTCATGAATGTGGGGCTGGGAATCTGTTGAGGTTCTGAAATCAGAATTGAGAATCCAGGTTGATTTTATCGAGAACAGAGAAGAGGTGAAGATGAAGATGTGAAGGTTACATTTGGGTTACATTTCTATCTACCATCTTAAATGGGACTATTCCAAGGTTATTTTGAAAACCTCATTTCTTTTCATCTGTATATTTTAATTGACAGTGATTTAATGGCGCCACTTTCCAATTTCGAGCAAGTTTTTAGTTGCATTTTTAGCCATTTTTAGCCATTTTTAGTCTGGGGAAATGACATCAGAAGCGGAGTATATCGTGCACGAATGTGATTGGTTGGGATCCAGATATCAACGCATCTTCGCCTTTAGCGGACAAAGACTGTCCCTAACCTCACATGACATTTACTCAATTGACTCTGAAACTCCAGATGTGAGCTCAAAGAGAACATTGGAAGCTGAAGATGTATATATACTTCTCATCTCCCCAAGCTTCTCGTCTTCTCTCTGCTGATTTTCCATGGGGAAACATATTCAGGTGAAACCAAAGCATTCCCCTAAGTGTCTCATTACAACTTTCCAAAAAATATCACATCAAATCTGGACGCGACTCTGGCATAAGCAGCCTGCCCAACCTATCCGATTCCCATTTGAGCCAAGTCAGGTTCAAATTGAAAGCTCTGTGTTCTCGGGATCATCATCATCTTCTTCTTCTTCATTGGCATCATCATTTAATGATCTAGATTTTCAAGATCACAGCACTGGAGCTCTTACCGAGGATGATATCCCACAGGTCGCCATATTCAAAACCCTCAGGGTAATAAATCCTGACCCCTCGTCATCAGGACATAGTAGCAGAGATACACTGAAATCATCGCCTGATATTTCAGGTAAACACCGGTCATATCTCCACCGTCTTCCTTCTCTTGACTTTGTGAATAGCCCACTACCTCTGTCGACAATGGTAACCAACGGCATCCAGAACCTGAGATCATCAGTACTTTCTGAGAGCTGGCTTAACCTTTTCAGGACTCACACTTCAGATCCAGATTCAGCTCCAGCTTCTGAAAGCTTACCACGTGCACCACTATCTTCAACCCGTCAAGAGAACTCTCGATCGTTCCAGTATTTAGATACTTCTACTCTTCGTTCACGGGAAATTAACGTTTTATCTGCTCAAATTCATGAGTTGGAGGGCCAGCTTATATCTAGAAATCCACACACAAGCATAAGACCGGAGCCTTATCCTTTCCCATCTTCTCTCATAAGATTTGAGCCACTTCGCAGAGAATGGCACAGGTACATTTACGGGTCCCAGATTGAATTCTATAGTGAGTTGTCTTCTGAAAATTCAAGATTGGAAACCATCAACGAGGGCTGAGCGCAGACACACCGGGAAGTTAAGTCCTTTTGAACAATAAAGTTGACAGAGACAAGAGGAGATATAGAGGATGTGGATGAGGAGATAGAGAGTTGTCAAGTTGTTGAGTTGTATTACGTGAATATGACATTAAGCGTGTGACTTGATCTGTTAGCCTTAGGCTAATATCTTACGTGGGTTTCCATGTATTTAACTCGGGCCAAGTCTCATTTTACGCCAAGATGGGCTGAGAAAAATATGAACGCTAGTAGCCACTAAAGCGCTCACCTATCTCTCACTTTTCTTAGTTCTAATATTATTTCACCCTTTAAGAGCCGTATATGCTTTTAAACTCATGTTCTTTTGATTTTGGCTACCTGTAAACTAGGAAGTATAAAGACATGTATGCTCTATACTCTCCCTTAATACAAAGACTAAGATAGTAGCATCTTTGAATATCTAACAAATGTAAAAGCAAAAGAATACAATCCTAAGAATCAAATTAGCCTCAGCATCACTTTCTAGGTTATTTTTTGAACTCTACAGAACAGGATGGCCCGAACTGAGCGATTTACCCGATATCAGACCGATCCGCCAGCTTCTGCCATCGTTCGTTATGACAAAATGAGACAACCGGCCATTATCCTGAAGCACGCCTTTACAATGAGAACGGCGAGTATCATATAAAAACTCTATAGGGGAATGTTGTAACCATAACTGGACAAGATTAAAGAAGAAATAAATAATTGCGAGGGAGCACTATCAGCATCATCAACAGGCGATTTAATTTTTGAATTTTCCTATTAACTATTACCAGGAAGTACCAATTGACAAAGTAAACTAATGGGGCCTGGAACGAGAGGAGCGTTGCTCTATCAGTCACAGCTGAGATAACATCTATTCCTACTTATCTAAGGTTTATTATAGAGTGCTCTCAAAATATGTGCTGGCTCCTGAATCTCATCCGTCAGATGGTGTGAAAGGTTTCTACAAGCCCACGATTTGCTCAGTATGAGTAGACAGTAGTATTTATAAGAATACCGACCTACCCCTATCGTGATAAGTGTCGTTCCACGGAGCTCCGTGGGTCGAACTTGGAGCCTTTTCAAGTCGAGTATAAGTTGATTTTTTTTTAAAAAAAAAAATAAAGATTGAAGAAGAAGCAAAAACACAAGATTCCAATTTAACAGCATCCCATCCAGCATATCATGCAGTCTTCTCTGACTGTGGATCCATTTATCAATACTATGATTACCTAGGTAATTTTGAGGGCAAAGTTTTCAGAAAACAAAAAAGTAACCTTGTGGCTAAGCCAGGCTATCAATTTGGAGGGTTTGTGTATATAAAAAAAAACTTATTCTCCATTTCAGTTGCGCATTAAGGCTCTGGATCCTCCTTCGCTCCTCGTCTTCCATTCTCAAATCAAAGCCAAGTAAATATTGGGAAGCCCGAAGGAAAGGTAGAGCTATAAAGGAATCTGATCAGCGGGTTAGCTTCTAATCCTAATCATGACCCTTTCTTGCCAGTTTATAGAGTAGCATGTGAAGCTAAAGTGGGAACGTACTCCCAGCCTAATACAGCTTCAAGTACAATAAACCATGCTACTCATCCCTGTCTAGATTGTCTCAATTGTGCCTATATCTTTTATTATGAACGGGTATTGAACAAGGTCGCCCTCCGATATCCTAATACATGTCTTTTCGAAGAGAATGGCGGATATTACATGAAAACTCAGGATGGGGAGATCGTGGCTCTTGGCTGGTGATGATCTGAGCACTGAGCTTGATACTAATTTAGGTTTAGGTGATGATGTGGATAAAGGAACGGGTTTCTCTAAAAGAGAAGACGGCCGGGATTGTGGTGGCTATAGAGATGTGTACACATGAAGCCACCCTCGTTGCTTAACTAACACCCATTGCTTTACCTATAATTATTGTCATGTATGCTATTCTAAGAGTAAGTGTCTCTGATGCTCAGATAGGTCAATGGCATTCACATCTATGACTTTTTTATATTTACTTTATGTAATCAAATATTCAGTGATTCATAGTAGTAACAGTGATCGAGAAGATCAATTATGAGGTAAGGTAGTATGCACGAAAATGGTAATTATATATGTAAATAACAGATTTTCATTAGACCTAATCTGTACGGCAACTGGAAGTTTTTAATAAGTCATATTGGAGAAGAGGAAAACCAGAGACTACGTCTACGTCAGGTTTTGATCGAACCGGGTAAGTAAGCCGTAGCATTCCAACCTTACACAACTGCAACATCATAAAATCCTTGGAACTCAATAATTCAGTTGTTTCTAGAAGATTCAATTTCCCTTGCATTACATCGGAGAATTAATATCGAGAATGTGAAGATCTGGTCCATCGATCAATGAAGTCATTGTGGGGTTCATGACTTCACTATGATATCAAGCCAGCATTTGAATTATAAGAAGCTGGCCAAAGTCCGTCTCAATTTACTCTTAACTAAACCACTCTAAGTGAGAATTAAAGGTAAATCCGAAAGCAGTCCAATGGCTAGCATGCAGACTATATTAACCAATGTGGAATTTTCAGCTCCATCCAACTCTTCAACCTTAACTCTACCACATCTTAACAACCGTCATAATGGTCCGCGGCGCTGAATACGACAACGGAGTCCCTCAGAGCGACAATGCTATTGATGCTGGCACAACTAAGGTCCATGGCACTGGTGCCACTGTAAGTAAACCCATCTGTAATTGATTCTTCATGGACAAGAGCTAACCCAATTCCCTCTAAGGATGCCCCTTTAAGCCGCAAGGTCGCCCCATTGCCCGAGGAGACTGGCTCTCAACGTGATGTATACAGTGGAACAGGGGGCGCTGGATCTAACAGCGGAAAGGGCGGTCATGAACCCAAGACACTGGGTGAGAACAAGGGTCGCGGTGCTCAAGGTGTAAACTAAATCATATATGACCTTCTAAATTGCCATGAATTACGTGAAGACTCTGTATAATTTGCCATCACTAAATTTTTGGTAGACATTTCAAAGCTCCGCAACTGGAGCTCTCGTAAGATTTTATATATAGATACTCAATCCTTGATGGAGATGGGGAAAATGGAAAATCCGCGTCGTCACCTGAACTTTCAAAATGGAAGCCTTTGTTTGCTTCACATGGACAGAAAAGACGGCGAGAATTGAACTTCCAATGCCGGTCGTTGGATTTCTCGCTGTGTTCTGGAACAAAGCCAGGCTCATTCCGAGGGCACCTAGAGTTCTCACCGAGTTTACCAGTAGATAATGGAAGAATCAACCGTGAAGATAGGATAGAGGAAAAGGTACCTATTTTGAAGAGTCGTGTCTATTTCTAGATAATGACCATAACTCAAGGCGAAGTGATTAGAAGTATGAATCTTTGGATACAAACGACATTTGAGCAATTCCAATCCAGAAAGATCAATTGTCATTCTATTTTAGAGATGAAACAGCTGAATAGTACAAATACACTGGATATCATCCAGATTTTTCCCAATCAATTATGGCAAGGCGGGTTCCCCCATTCTGATGATTTTGCGGATAATTATTTCGTTTCTTAGGAAATCTCCATGAGTGTAAGGGAAAGCATCTTTGAAGAGGTCCCCCATTATAGGTATACTTTCTTAACATTGCTTCATTAAGCTCCGCTTAAGAATCAATTTGGCCATGGATCTAGTTCTTGTGTCTTAAAGATCTTGTCTAGAAGCTGTCTTTTCCGATGCTGCCAACGTACTCTGGGGATGAAATCAGGCGTAATTCTTTGAAGTGGCCCCGTAATTCTTCAAATATACTCTTCTCATATATTGGAAGTTGCTTCCATGCTGAAAAAAATGTTTGACTGATAATGCGCTCTATGACGATGAAGTTATTGCCTGTTTCTGGTTCAAACTAGATAGCGAAGACCTAAGGAACGGGAAGTTTGTTTCCTCTCGAACAAATAACACGTTTTGTCCCTCCATTAGATTGACGCCGAGTCCATATTTGACAAAATAAATGTTGGCTCACTTCTACGATGGAGAATTTTCGATCTCGGTGTCAGTGAGTAAAGGATAAGGCAAGTCAGTTCTATAAAATGGAAGGTCGACGGTTGTCGTTATTGTTGAGGTATTCACGGGTTAGAAGGTAGAAAGAAGAACGCAACAAAGCGGCCTCTAATTTTGTGATTGCTGTCCTCGTCACGTAGTCAGTACTTGAATGAATTCTGGATTTATACGTATTAACAACAATCAGCACACACCCGGGTGAATTCATCGATACGGACGGCCATTAACATCCGTGTAGTCTACTTAGGTAATTAAACACCTATTGAGTGCGCCAGAGAGTTACCTGCTCAGGTGCGTTCGACTGTGCCTACGATAATAATTGACAAGGTACACACTGGTCCGAAAAGCCATGTTCCAGCCCAGATACCCTTATTTGTCTTAGTAATTGAATAAATAAGTCATTGTTTCATGGTCGTAGTAATCAAGCCGACTCTACTGTTCACTATGGCGATAGAGGTAGTGCCACCCCTCTTTCTGAATGTCCTGGCGCACCTTGTAGTTATTTTCCGCAATCTCCAAGAGTCCCAAATCCATGTCCACAACCTTGAAGCCTTCCTCTGTGCCCATTTTCGATACAGGTCCCACAATAGGAAGAGTGACCTGGGACAAACCAAGGAAATCCTTTTCAGGACCAGCAGCATTGACAAAAATGATACCACAGGTGTTCTCAAAACAGCGAGATGTCAATGTGGAGTCCAGGAAAAGCGCCTCAGAAGCTGGGTTGTAACGCAATGCCTCAGCAGAGGCGTCATGCGGGGTCCCTGGAGAGATCAGTTTTCGACTTTCTTCATACAAAAGAATGAATACGTACAAAATGTAGGAATAATGACAATATTAGCTCCGTCCGCAATCAGCTCGCGGAAAGCTTCAGGGAATGCCAAATCCCAACAGATCAGCATTCCGACTCGACCGATGGGGGTATCAATAGCGACATGACGCTCGAGCCCTGATGAAGTGAGATGTGGTCGCTCGGGGTGCCAAATATTTTTCTTGCGGTATGAGCCAAGAACAGATCCATCGTTCGAGATGAAGTATGCGGTGTTAAAAAAAGAGTCAGCCCGGTCATGTCCGTGATGCTTCTCGATGATGGTTCCTGGGACCAGGCAAATGTTTAGTTCTTTGGCGAGACCCTGGTACTTTCTTAGGTACTTTTCAGCATCACCAGCATGAACAGCCCAACGGGGGTCTTCGGGAGCCCAGCCGCTGAGGTGGTACCTACATCAAAGTGTCAGTAGATACTATTATGAACAACAATACAAAAATGGAATGTCATACTCGGGCAGTACAGCTATCTCAGCACCATCAGCAGCAGCCTGGATAATATAATCACATGCTTTTGCGTGGTTTTCTTCAATGGCCAAGGCCTAGATATCATCAGTTATGACTTTCTACGTCATGAGATTGCCAGTGCGGGGGCGGTGATCATCGCACCTTGATATGCCACTGAATGATTGCGACGCGGCAAATGGGTGACATTTTAATTAATTGGACCTTGAGAAGATCCGATACCTAGGTATTCTGAAGACCAAAGGATCTTCAATTGGTGTATAAAGGTAGATGATGACTTCTTACCCCAAATGACTCCAATAGATAAGATAAGGCATTGGATATGTAAGGTGGGTCCCGGGACAAACCACCAATCATCGTCCAACATGAAATGCTGCCGCCGAAGCCTATATAGATCGCGTTTCTAGTATCCGCACCATTTAGCACACCTACTTTGTATGTGAGAATGGATTCGCACAGAGAATATTAGGACCCCTAATACATATTGGGTCGTACTTTTTGTGTGTCGATTCCTGATTCCGTCGAATAGATAGTGATTAACTGCCAAAATGCCACCATCAAGTTGCTGGCTGCTATCTAGGCTGCTGTAAGTGAAGTCGCTAGCTATATGAACGCTGTATTAGTTGCTCTAGGATGGGTAAAATCGACCCAATCAGAAAAGTTTGATTCTGGTGGGGTGTGAACAACACCAAAGAAAACATCAGATGTTCTAGACAAGTCAATCGACTAAAAATAATTCGTCATTTTGGACTTATTAGGGATCGCACGTGACCATAAGTGACAACTCAGCCTAACTAGCTCGCCCCTTTAGAACTTCGTCCTCATCGTCTAATCACTCTCTCTGCCTTGACAGATTTCACTCGATGACTACAAATCTACAACCAAGGATGCTCCCTTGAACAACCGAAATGATTAAAACTATTAGCTCTTTTCTTATAGGTTAGAATTTAAATCCTATCACGACTGGAACGGCAGCCGGCCATCACATAGTATTGTCTAAAAGCTGCAATCGAGCGAAGTCGATTGCTTCAACAAACTTTTGAAAAGTCGACCGGCATTTAAGATAACCTAATTCCGTTATTGACTCTGGTAGGAACCCATTCGCGGTAATTTTGACCCACCAGGCGCAGTCATTGTTGTGGAATATCAGGGTGTCAAGCATTGCTTTGACCTTGACCGAGGAGATTCAAAATTCGACCCCCAATACGAGATCAATTTCAAATCCTTGAGAACTCTTTCATCGCTATTGCCCATCTTCATGAAGATATTCAGAAGTAAATAAGTGATAGGTCAGTGGAGCTTGAAATTATAGCTTATATAAGAGGATAAATAGATCAACCCTGGAGGGCTATAGCAGGAAATAGCAGGAAAGAGCAAAATTTGTGGGCTGCTCATCTCAAGAGTACTCTTTTTCCTAATTAGTCGTCGTACCTTAGGTTGTCCGGGTGCATTTGAGAGTTGTCAATATGGACTATTGTTTGGAAGGTTATCCGACGGATAATCATGTTCCCAACCAATAGCGGTCGTGAAAGTGCCTAGGCATCTGAGTATATGACTGGTGTTTGAAGAACCGACACGGCGTGTAGTACATTTAGGTACTCTGTACACGTACACGGTAAGTGGAAGAATGATAGCTCACAACGCAGGTGAACATATGAGAGTTCAAAATAAATTAGCCGTCAGTAGGCTTGGCCAATCATGAATCTAGTTCTACCACATGCTCGTAATCTCTCCATTTGCAGGGATGAACATTAAGCATAAGATAGGATGGAAATCAGGTCAGCCAAAGTACTCTGCAACTAACCATGTGTTTATGTATCAAAAATGGAATGTTTAACGTTTTTAGGCTAATTCCCTTGGCTACTTTTTAGTACTAGTCTCGATCGCCACTTTCTGCAGTTCGATGCAGTTGGGATCTCAATGAGTTATTACACGTACTTTGTACACTTGTTTGTCAAGGAATCTTGGTCGGGAAACTGACTACTAACTACAACTGGTTTGGTAAGAAAACCCCTTAATAGAAAAATGTAATTAACACACATGTACTCCATATTGAACCGACAACCATTGGAAATTGATTTTGTTGAAATTGATTGTTATTGACCTTGGGTGTTATCCTTAGGATGTAGATTAAGGGGAAAGAATACCGATACACGTACATTTCGGCCCGAAAACGGGGATTTTCCTTTTCAAGACGCACGTTTTTGGCAGGTTAAATACGGTAATTACAATACACTTCCGAAGCAAACTCTGAAAAGGCGCAAACGGATCAAAGCAATTCCTATTTGGTTTCTCACTAATGCCTCTTACTGTTGCTTCTTCCGTATCCTGGAATTCCGATCCATAGATAATATTCAGGTGCCCAATGTTGTGCGCATAGCACCGGAGTTGCCCGTGCTTCTCCTGCACGAGTCCCGACTGGTCTACGCAACCGTAATGGCAAGCTCCTAATCATATTATGGCCTAGTCATGGCTAACTCATACCCTAGCAGGTCCGAAACTAATTCCACTCCAATTTTCCACTTCCCTTCGCAGCCTTAACGGCTTGGGAACAACGGCGTCGTCCGTATACTTCCCTTGATCATGTTCAGTTCCCTTATTCGCCATATAAGCTCATTGAAGCAGCGCATCCCACTGTTAAAACAGCTACATATCAACTTCATATTCTTACACTATATATACATTCTCTCCTGGGTGATCATTGGCGCTGTCCTTGTATATGGCGAGCGCAATATCTCCTTTACTGATGCACTCTTCCAGGCGGCCGGTGCCGCCACTCAGAGCGGCTTGAATACGGTCAATATGAACAGCCTCAAGCTTTACCAGCAGATCGTGCTTTATTTCATTACTATGTTTTGCACTCCTATCTTCATCCATGGCGCTCTGGTTTTCATCCGACTTTATTGGTTCGAGAAGCGGTTTCAAAATGTGGTCCGGGATGCTCGCGCGTTGCGAACGACACGTTCGCGCATGGACACCGTTACCGGGGACAAACAAAGCGATGAAATACATCGTGCCGAGCTGGGAGTGGGTGGTCGGCCGATTGTGGTGCTTCGAAATAATTCTGGTGATGCGCGAGATAGCCGACTGCCTTCTCCATCCCCCTTTACACGAAACGAAGAATCGCATTCAGAGGGCGAATCCCCTGGCGGGAAGCTCGAAAGTAGCCGAACCAGCTCGGATGATACGGAGCAAGGCCCTGAACGTCGCTTCGGACTTGGCAGTCTTCGCGTGCCTACCCAGCTGAACCCGGAAGACCATATTCGCTTTGTGGAAAACCAGCGGAAGAATAAAGGTGCCCTGCGTATTCCCAGTCCCCGCGAGTACGACCGTGGCGGAGTTCCCGAGGCCCTCGGAGACGAGGACAACGACGGTGATAAAGACACAATTCAGCCGATGAGTCCTACGTTCCACAGGCGCAACAGTGCGTTTTCTGAGAACGATCACATCGGTCCCCTCGAAGGCCCACATATCACCATCAACGAACCAGATCATTTCCCTCGGACTCGTACCCGCCAAAGCACTTTCCCTCGCATAGAAACTCGACCAACCTTCCAAAGTGCCGCCACCAAAGATGTAAATGATAATGAAAATGCCGGGATAGAACCGCTTGCTACGGGGAACACATTCCGCGGAATCCTGCGCTCAATGACGCAAGAAAGATCAGCTCCCTCTCAGCCATACCTGAGTTGGAACGCGACGGTAGCGCGTAACTCCAACTTCGTCGATTTAACGGAAGAGCAGCGTGACGAATTAGGCGGCATTGAATATCGAGCCCTGAAGACCCTAGCAGTGGTCCTCATCTCTTACTACGTCGGTTTTCACCTACTCGGCCTGGTATGTATGGTTGGTTGGATTATGGGTGAACCCCGATGGGGAGACATTGTCAGAGCAGATGGTGTTGGTCGACCCTGGTGGGGAATTTTCACTGCTGCCTCTGCCTTCAACGACCTGGGTTTTACTCTGACACCGGATTCCATGTACTCCTTCCAATACGCTGTTTTTCCTCTCCTGCTCTTGAGTTTCCTGGTCATTATCGGTAACACGGCGTTCCCGTGCATGCTTCGATTTATGATTTGGACTCTATCAAAACTCACGCGACAAGGCACTGCGCTCTGGGAAGAACTCAAGTTTCTTCTTGACCACCCGCGTCGATGCTTTACCCTTCTCTTTCCTCGAAATGCTACCTGGTGGCTATTGGCCATTCTGTTTGCATTGAACGGTATTGATCTGATCTTCTTCATCATTTTGGACGTGAGTAAACTTCTCTAGCACCGTATCTCCTCTATGCCAGTATACTTACTTCCAACTCCTTCAGTTGAACGACTCGACAGTAACAGCACTGCCGCCTGGCATCCGAGTTCTTGCCGGCTTCTTCCAGGCCGCATCGACTCGAACAGCCGGTTTCGGAGTCGTTAGCCTTTCTGACCTCCACCCTGCTATTCAAGTCTCTTACCTAGTCATGATGTATATTTCCGTCTTCCCAATCGCCATTTCTGTGCGTCGCACAAATGTGTACGAAGAGAAAAGTCTAGGCATCTACGGTTTCGAAGACGAGCAAGAGGAAGACTCGAACCACCCGAGTTATATCAGCGCCCATTTGCGCCGCCAGCTAAGTTTCGACCTGTGGTACGTCTTCCTCGGGCTATTCATCATATCAATCGCCGAAGGAGGTCGCCTGCAGTCCACAGATGACTACAACTTTCAATTATTCAACGTCCTTTTCGAGGTCGTATCCGCATATGGTACTGTCGGTCTCTCGTTCGGCTATCCCGGCATCGACACCTCTTTCTCCGGCCAGTTCAACGTCGTTTCCAAACTTGTCATCATTGCCATGCAGATCCGTGGTCGCCACCGTGGTCTGCCCTACGCTCTAGACCGCGCCGTCCTCCTTCCGTCTGATGCACTCAACCGCCGCGAGACAGCAGACATGGAGCGCCGTATACGCCGCCGTGCTTCGAACCTCAGCGGAATAGAAACTGTCGGTCATGCGCCATCACGAACAGCCTCCCAGGCACGTACAGATGCGAACGGTATCTCTACTGGCATGGAGACCCGTGATTGGCATTTCCAGCCTGCTACAAACGGAGATTCTATCGTCCAAAGGTCTGGAACCTTGCATTCGGACCATTGATATATTATAGCGCTTTCTTTTCAACCTTGGATACCGTGTACATCTATATAGCTCTGGCGTTTTTTCATTGGGGATCTGTGGATATATTGCATATATATATACATCTGGCTTAACTATTTTTAATATTTTGGACATTTCAACCAATCAAATGGATTTACTCGAACTGTTTCAGTTCGAGTTTCATTCGAGTTTCGAACTGTATATCTCGTGACCTTATATGAAACCTTGAATTTGAACTAAAGACCTCGGCATAGATGCATTTTCATGCGCAATATCCCTGAATTTCGATAAGCTCAGATGATATAATGGATACGGATTTCATCTTTGATCTGGATAGATATTTTCAGCTCTCCAGAATTCAACAACTTCCTGCTTTGCAAACGTTTTCATACATAATCAAAAGACAGCAATATCGCAAATTCAAATTAAAGTACTTCCGGTCAATTCCTTTTATTGCCAGCAACCTTGGAATAAATGGGTATCTCACAAACAATCCCAAGTACATCAAAGTATGGATTGTTGAAGCGCAACAAAAAGCAGATGGTACATATTGTTTTTGGAGTGGGCTAATCATAGCTTTCGAAGAAGACTGCCCTCAGCAAAGGGATTTTCGGGCGCCACATCTAACATGGGACGAGTAGCAAGACGGTCACCAGTTGCAACACCGTGGCCAATTGGTTTACTGGCACCGGTAGTTTTACGGGCTCTCGACAGAAGACTATGAGGTTCAAACATGTTCTGTTGCATATTATCTCCTAAAGGAGCAGGCTCGTGGCGTGCTGTAGCTATTGTGTTCGAGCGATGCGGGGCCTGAGAAGGTACGTCGTGGTCTGGTCGTCGCCATGTTGTTGCAGATGGAATAGCCACCGACCCGGTGCCGTGATCAGGGCCAGTAGCTGCGTCGATGAGAGGACCTTGCTCCACATGGACGGCGCGACCCTTGCGCAAGTGCTGTGGTGCTTCCTGGAAGATGGGGGTGAGATCGACCAGAGGTTTCCCTTGTTTCTTAGTGGATTGGGTGTGGGCGAGGGAAGACAGGGTATCAGGGGCATGGGTCATCGTGTTCGAGCGGCTATTTTGTTGCGCTGGGGAATACGCGGGCGAGTAGTTTTGACTTCCGGATAGCATTCCAGTGAAGGGATCTGCCTTTGCTCGGTTTTCCTCCTTCTCTCGCTCGCGCATGACCTTTTGTCGTTGGGTGTAGTTACGCCCGAGCAGACCGGTTGGAGAGAAGGTTCCCGTCTCTCCCTCTTCTGCACCAAAACTTCGCGCCATTGGACTCTCGTTGTCAGATCCCGTGGCACTGGTGTCGATTGACAGCGGCTGGTAGGATGATTGTGACGGGCCATAGTCTCGCTTGAGACGAGCAAAAGGGCTTATTGTTGCAGTTGTCGGCCGGGGCTGTTCAACAGATGTCGCCTGGTTGATAAGCGGCTCTGTATAGCCAACCTGTCGTTCCAGAGACGGTTCATTCACTTGTCGGCCACCCTTTTGAGTCATAGACCGATTGAGGACATGGAGTTCAGGTTCAGGCTCCCTACCAGCTCCTAATTCATTAACCAGATACCAGCTACGCCAGCTTTGCACGACTTGATACCACTTGTCTGCTTCAGCACGATCGTTCGTAGTGAAGAAGTGCAGGAAGTTTTCAGTGGACAAGAACATGGACGACTTCTGTTGACTTTTGATTGCAAAGCAAATCTTCTTCGGGGGCTTGATCTCTTTCGCTAGAGCCCGTGCATTTGGAGAGTAGATGTCGAAATCAGACAAATGGCAGATGTTTGTCATGTCAGTAGAGTTTCCCTTCTTGCCAATCATGATCTGGCCGTCTGCACGTAGAGTAACATATCGTTTGTCCCATTTGCGAGGACGACGAGAATAGTACACATAAACAGTAGTCTCAGTGGGCTTTTTGCTCGAAACATTTCCGGCGTCGACTTGAGCTAGGGCCTCTGCTCCTGAAGGTGGGATGATAATAAGTCGATTGTCCGCATCGTGAGCCCAAGAATTCATCACATCTCGGACATGCTCGTATCGACGCAAGGGTCGCTCCAGACCAACCTGACAAAAAGATTCAATAAGAATGAACGTTTCGGGGTTGATATCCTTCGAAAGGAGGTCATAAGCAGCATGTAAAAGATTTTGGACTGTCGTCAAGGGCGTCACTACCAGCTCAGTAGAGGCATCGCCATACTGTACCAGGACTTTGCGCTCGCCTGCATTGACAGCAGAGACTGGCGCATCTATTCCAGGAATAAGGCCACCTCCACCTGAAGTTATGTATTTTGGTGCCTGATCCGATTCTTTATTCTTCGTAGATTGCAGCACTTTCTGGAAGAAAGATCTGCGTTGAGGCTGGTCTGCGGCGCGCGAACTTTTGGAACAGCTTGTCTCCACTTGTCGATCTTTCTTGATTTCGTGAGCTTGCACAGTCGGCCTTTTCTCCTCTCTTTTCAGCTGCTGCCTTGCCTGCTTCTCTAGCTTGGTAGACCGAGACGGAGTTGGGTCTGATGAAGACTGAGAGCCTCCAGTCAATTGAGCCATCGCATTGAGCCTGTGGATTTCCCTGAGACGCTCCTCTTCTTCATCTTTGGCCCGTGCGCGTTTCGAAACGTCTGGCACAGGAGGTGCAGCCTGATGTTTTGTGCGAGCGGGGATTGGCGGCATGGTAGCACAAGCGTCGACTTTTTCAGGGGCCCGATTGCGCCGGTAGCGCGACATACTTCTTGCAATAGAGGGATTTTGATCACTGGAATTGTTGGTACCGGATGTAGTTGGGCGGGACACTGGTACTTTGGGCTGCACTTCATTGTCCATCTTGCTAGCCTCTCGCGCCGCACGGTATCGTGACATCTTTGATGCCGAGGGGAGTGGTGTATCAGAGAGAGTCCCCATTGCGAACAAAGAGGTCGCTTGGTGGGGGGCTAGGGTATTCACTCGAAGTTGGAAGTCACAGGATCAGGATTCTCGGAAATTTAGGGTTCTAATGGCGTCGCAAACCAAATCGCATACTGGCAAGGCTGTGAAGTGGTGGGATGTTAGTACATGTGCACAAAAACTTTATGGCAAGGGAAAAGTGGGCAAGAGCGAGTTTACAGGTCTATACGACCAAAAAAAGAAAGGAAAGGGGAAAAAAAAACAATAGTAGGATGATCAAGGAAGGGGGGCCAATGTATGATGTTGGAACAGAATGCGCCAGTTGCCCCAGCGGATTTTGTCAGACGGCTCGATTTGCAATAGATCGGCAATCCGTTAGAGAGCGCGATCTTGAATCGAACCGCATCGGGAAAGTGATCACAATGTAACTCAGTAACTCACCTACAGAGATATAAGTTGAGTGAAGAAGATAGAAGGGGAAGAAAAGAGTTGTGGAGCAGTTGTGGAGCGGGAGAACGTTTCCGGGGGTTTCAAGGGGTTTACATTCTTGGGATTCCGGGCACTCCATCCTCCACCGTGTATTCCTGTGGTTCACTAGCGAGTTTCATCAAACCTGAAGCAATTAGAAACACGGAGTCATAACATATATTGGGAAAAGTACCTCCGTGCTTTAGCACTCTAGGCTCCACACGGGGTTCCTCCGATGGTCCACCAAGTGGGGGATCGAAGATTTAACGTTCTTTATGTCAGTCCATTCAGGTCTAATTTTAGCCTGAGGTTATTTCTGCCGGCTAAACACCGGGCCTGTAATATCTTCGCATCCTCACTTTAGAGCCCTCAATAAGTAGATTCTAGGTGCGCATATTACCATTTCCAATTGACCATCAGGCAAGATTGGGTTAGCAATAAGGCCAAAGCGCACCGAATTAGGCCTAGTTCATGGGATGGAGATCCACCTCTACGCCATAATGATAGTAGCAAAGCCGCTCTATTGCTGTCCGTAATTTGCCATTTTTGATATTACTGGGCTGAAGATATCTGGAAAACGCATTTCCTGTGTTTGACTGGGCTCACCAGTATGCAGTTCAGCAGTCGTGAGGGCCAGCCGATAGCTACATATCAGACTAGTATTCGGGTCAATCATGCACTGACCATTACCATAAGTGAAATGAACCTTTTCAAACCTTGAAACACTGCAGGCCCTGAAGGTGTATATCAATAGTCAAATCAGTTTTAACCCTAGAGGGGCCCGAGGCCATCCAGTCAAGATCGGAGATGTCGGAAACAGCGATTTCACCAAAGAGTGTGTCCACTATCAGGAAAACTTGAATATCGTGGGTGCAAAGTCATGTGTTTACTGTGCTAGAGGTTTCTTTGTTCTCATTCTCTCTGAGGATGAGATGTTTCGCGAGTCCCCTTCGGGACTTTTCAGTAACCATTTACCGTAACAAAATTGCTTGTTCAGAGTCCATGTTATAGCCGATGGTAGCCCTGGAGATCGCCTAGATAATAGCGCTCGGATTGATATGTCGATGGTGGTTTGACGTAAAATCAGCATTTCAATTGAATGAGTTGGAATTGCTAGACAAGTAACAGGTTCATGATGAAGAACAAAGAGCAAAGACATTACCTATTTAGGTAGTGGAGCTCGGTCAGTTACGTCATCCCAAAACCCCGCCAGACCACTTGAAGTGAAACCGGTCAGCAAAATATCTTCTCTTCCTCAATTACCATCATGTCGTCCACCGTCCTTGTTACTGGAGCTAGTGGCTTTCTCGGACGCCAAGTTTTCAGCCTCTTCCAACGTTCGGGGGTCCTGGCTGTCGGCCAAGGCTTTTCGCGCGCAGCTCCGCCGACGATCCTCAAAGCTGACTTGGAAAGCACCGAAGAGATTAAAAGCCTTATCGACGATGTCAAGTAAGTTAAACCTCATTATGGAAAAACGAAAAGAAGAAAAATGCAATTGGCAAGTTATCATCTCGATACTAATGCATCCATCATCTCTAGACCCCAAATTGTCATCCACTGTAGGTCAAAATAAGCTTCAACAAACGTGCATAAGCTTATCCAAAATTTTAGGTGCCGCAAACAGATCTCCAGATCTATGCGAAAAGAACCCTGAACGGGCACGCAAGGTCAATGTCGAGGCCACACGGACGCTAGCTGCTGAGTGCTCGTCCCGCGGCGCCTTTCTCATCTACATTTCGACTGACTATGTCTTCCCCGGTGTGGAGGGTGAAGCGCCATATGAGGTAGGTTCTGAGACTCATCCGCCAAACCTGTACGGTGAATTGAAGCGAGATGGAGAGACCGCCGTCCTGGAAGCAACCCAGGATACAGGACTTGGAGTGGTACTGCGCGTGCCGGTATTGTATGGGAGCGCGAAAGAAAACTCCGAGAGCGCTGTCAATTGCTTAGTTGATGCTGTGATGAAAGCACAAGATGAGAATGCTGCCGTTAGCATGGATGACTGGGCTCAACGATATCCCACCAGCACAGAAGACGTGGCACGTGTCTGTCGGGATATCGTCATCAAGTATATCAAGGAGAAAGATCGGGTGAAGGAGCTACCTCGTATTTTACAGTTTACTTCCGAGGACCGCATGACCAAATATGAGATTTGTGAGACACTGGCTAAAGTTCTCGGAGTGCCTCTTCCCGGAATGGTCCGCAACAGGAAGGGCAATGACCCTGGTGGTGTTCAGCGGCCGTACGATACTCACATGTCCACCAAGGTACTGAAGGACTTGGGAATTGATGTTCATACCATGGACTTTGCTGCTTGGTGGTAAGTAACGACCTGTCTTTTCTTTTGGCTTTGGCGCTAATTTCAATCAGGCGACGGGAATTGGGCGCATATAAAAAATAGTTGAACAACCAGTAAGGCTGGAAGTGCCCCATGTCGTAAATATTTGTATAGGAACCAAAATGTAAATCAATTCCACGCAATCTTACCTTCATAATTAGTGATTCCAACCTTGCAAGATTTATGTGTCAATGGATGTAGCGCATGGCAGCTCCTCACCTGCCCAGATGGATATCAAATTCACCGTTCGGCTTCATATTCAAGGCCTTGGATCTCTGGGAGTGATCACCCGAGGTGCTTTTTCCAAAGTTGCCTTTTCCTCTCGTGAATACCCATACAATACCATACCATATGGGGGTGGGGGTAATGCACATACGCATACTGCACTCTCATTTGCCCACTAGAATCCACTATTCCTTTGGTAGTCAGACCTCCATTTGACAGACCTCGACGGTCACATGTCCTAATTATGTGATCGTAACAATCAGCGAAGTCAATAAACATCACATCTGATCGATTGCTCTCTGGTGAAGTGATCATAACATTTCTCGGATGACAATCGTTCATTCGAATAGCGTATTCTTGAAATAGAGTGGCTGACATAAGCTTGGTTTTAGGGTGTCCCTAGTAAAAAAAGGGCGGTGTTTGCTCTAACAGCGCCCTAAAAAAAACATGGTGTCTCTATCAATCGCCTGTGGCCATTCCAAGCTGACTAAACTAGACAAATTATAAATAGAATCGGGCCTTTGACACATCCATATGGTTATGTGACTGGATACCCATCAACATTTCATGGACTCGAGGTATTGCATTTTCTTTAAGCTGCAACCTCATCCAACGCCATCAAAACTTTGCCAAAGGCCCAAAATGAGCCTCTCGGAGAAGTTTGCATGTGTCTTCAATGTATTCGAAACTCTGAGGCAGCCCTCTTTCAGGATGGTTGTAATGAGCGAACGCATGTGGTACTCCCTGGTATTGCTTCATGGTAACCTGATTTCCTGCAAGCTTTAGAAGGTTGCCATAAAATTCACCTTCATCTCTTTCTAGGCCAAACTCAGCTGTGACAATGTGAGCTCTCGCAAGATTAGAGAATGAAGGTGCCAGGACTGGCGTGCATCTCCAATCACCAGTCAGAATCTTCTCCTGGGTACCTATGTTAAAATAAGATGTTAGAGTCTTAACAGCGGGGGTGAAAATCAGATCTTACCTTCATCAGCTCCAAGCCAATACCTGAGGAACCATTGTTCTCGCCCCAATGGGCCCCATGGAGCGTCATGGTATAGCAGAACACTCTCATATGGGCAGCTTAATGCATCAAGCTTGCGATTTCTTAGACAGTACCGCATATCTGTTGCAGGCACAACAAGGAGCTGTAGTTTAAGCTCTACCCCTTCGTCTCGAGCAAAATGTGATAACACAGCTGACATATGCCCTCCTGCCGAGAGACCTCCGATAGACACGCTCGAGGGATCCACGTTAAAAAAAATAGGTCAAGCTTGGCGTATGGGACCCCACCATATATAAGCCGATTACAACACGATTTACCGCCACCTAAAAGTGAGTACTTTGCTGGTAATTCTCAAGATACAAGCGCTCTTGAGGTGTTTATTGCGCTGGCAGATCTCACCAGTATTCTTGACTATTGCCTTGAACAAGTGTATAACATTCATCATGACAATCCTGACTTGAGTTGGAACCTCCATTCAAAGCTTGACCAATGGGTTCAGAATTTAAAAGGAGATGTTCGCAAAATCATTATTCACGGTGTCAAGCTAGATATTCCCGGTGCATCGAATTTGCGCCTTGCCTTTTTATCTATAAAGCTACTGCTACAGCGTATAGATCTAGATCGGTGGCGTCAAAGCTCTAACTCAATAAATCCAGCGCAATTGGCAAATCAGAGCATTTTGCCTCGGAGAACTGCTGAGGAGATTGTAGTTCTTGTCCAGGAACTGCAGGATGAGCATCTGGGGGATTTTTGGCGCCCTGTCGCAGCGTTTATATTTACGTCCACAACCACATTCCTTTTGCGATGCGCTCTTGAAACGGGCAGCCATTCTGAACTTTCATATAACTCGTCTCTTCAGATGGCTCACGAATTTCTTTCGTCCCTAAGGTCACATAAGGAGAGGATGGGGTGGGATCTAGCCGATACATGCCTGGCCCAGCACTCTGAAGTTGTTGAAACATTGTTGAGCTCAGCGCCGATTCGCGATGCAACGAATCTCAATCAACAGGCATTTATGCCAGATATGGATTTCATTGGCGCTATGTTTCCCAGTGTTTGGGATAATTTAACAAGTATTTATGAGTGAAGAACAAAATAACATTCATATCTTTTGATTTTTATCTCCCGACTAGAACTATATCCTTGTAAATAATATTGATTAAACATGTCTGAGGTTGATTCCGCGGGACGAGAAATTTTTTGATGCCATCAATCGTCGTAGAAACTGAGCGAGTTAGATCCGCGGAAGTTACTCAGAGTGGATCAGCCAACTATACTCCGCGGGCCGTAGACTGTTGTATGCCACACCACCCGTGGAGATTGCTATACCTAGTGATATGAGGAAAGCTCGTAGGCAGTGTAGTCAGAATGCACAGGTCGATTCAGCTAGAGATGAGGAACGAACACAAAACCAAACTGTCTGCGAACCAGTAAGGGTGTCTAGAGAATGTAGGGGTAGGGTCAGAGATGTGTGGAAGGATGTAGATTTGTCTTATACTATGTCTAGTTGTTGGAATATGGAACAAAGCAGTCATGTGATCAAATTGTTACTTTATAATAGATAGCAAACTAAGAATGAAAACCAGACTTTACAACCACTTCAAGAGGACACAAAGATATCATAGGGGCGTAAAGCGTTACCTGTGATAGGTGTCAGAAGTGGGCGTTAGCCTCATCACCTTTATCGAATAGCTATTCCACACTTGGTACAGGTGTACCGACACTTAGTCTCTCTAGTTTTGATCTATATGGGCGCTTTTGGGCCGCAAATTTCCACTCTACCACGTGAAACCCTTCTGTAATATTTATTAAAATTAAAGCAAGGCGTTTTATGCGTGACGGTCTTCGCCACTTCAATGCTAATTTATGTCAACCCAAAACGCATAAAGTGGCCGATCAAACCTCGGAACGCAATCCTCTTAAATCTGCCACCTGCGGCTTGAATCACCCAAATCCTTCCCTTATTGCCAACCATGCTGAAGGAACTTGAATCCCCTGTGAATGATATTATAGAGGAATATAGCCTCAGTACCCAAGATGTGTCTCTTCTATGTCAGTGGACAGGAGATGCTCCGATGCGCTCCGATGATCTCGTGCACCGCCAGTTTAGCTCTGTCTCCAATCGCTATGGAGATAAGACAGCTGTTTGTGCTTGGGATGGCGAGTTGACATATAGTCAGCTGGATGAACTATCCTCCCAACTTGCATGGCACCTCCAAGCACTCGGCGTAGGGCCAGAAATTTTCATCCCAATTTGTTTGGAAAAGACACACTTGGCAGTAGTGGCAGTACTGGGTGTCATCAAGTCCGGTGGTGCATTTGTCCTTCTGGATCCTTCTCATCCTACTGAGCGTTTGAAGGAAGTGTATAAAGATGTCCAAGCCAGGGTCATGATCACATCAACACATCAAGAGATTCCATTGGCCACTCAACGTTTGGCAGCCACTATTATCGACATCACAGATCCAAGTTCTAAATGGCGACATAGTTCTACACCCAGAACACCTCCAGCCTCCTCTGTCCAGTCAACTAATGCGGTATGGTGTGCTTTTACATCAGGGTCATCTGGCCGACCAAAAGGAGTGGTCATTGAGCATGTCGCTTTCTGTTCTTTGACGGCAACTTATATCGAAAAAGCCCGTTTAACGCCCTACTCACGAGTTTTACAGTTTGCATCCTTCGCTTTTGATGCTTGCATAACCGACATCCTAGCCACCCTGCTAGCAGGCGGCTGTGTCTGTGTTCCGTCAGAGAGGGAACGTCGTGAAGATCTTGGGAATGCAGCAACGCGCATGCAAGTCAACTGGGCAAACTTGACCCCAACTGTCTTTCGCACAATGGTGCCTCCGGATTTCCCAACCCTACAAACCGTTATTCTTAGTGGCGAGCCTATGTCGATACGGGAGGTACGCGTCTGGCAAGATAATGTCCACTTGATGAATGTCTATGGCCCAGCAGAAGGCTGTGTGAAGTTTACTCTGCAACCCTCTATTACATCCCAATCTGATTTGCGCAATATCGGCTATCCTATGGCAGGTGATTGTTGGGTTGTTAATCCATCAGACCACAATAAGCTCGTCCCAATTGGGGCAGTTGGGGAGTTGATTCTTGGAGGGCCAAGGATTGGTCGGGGGTATATCAACAACCCTGCCGCAAACACAGCGTCCTTCATAACTGAGCCCCCACCATGGTTGAAGCAGTTCCGAGAGCACACAGATGGAACTCGTCTATATAAAACCGGTGATCTCGTCAGCTATGCCGCAGATGGCTCTTTATGCTTTATTGGTCGAAAGGACCTTCAGATCAAGATCCGCGGGCAGCGAGTGGAGACCAGCGAAATTGAAACCATTATTCAGCAATTATTTCCACTAGCAAAGGGTGTGATTGTCGAACTAGTGTCAAGCCAGGAGGAGAGCTCTCCAAAAGTTCTCACGGCCTTCATTGAGGTCAAACATGATGGATGTGGTGATATCCCCTGTCAAAGCTCCGAGAAAAGCCTTTTTGCTGTTCCCTGTGGCGAGCTTCAACGATCTCTGGTAATGTTGGAGCAGAAGCTACGAAATTGGCTCCCAGTCTATATGATTCCGGCGCGATTACTGATAGTTCGGCTTTTACCCTCAACCGCATCCGGTAAAACAGATCGTCGAAAATTACGCGAGCAAGCGTCGATTCTGAGCCTTGAAGAGCTTGCGCTGTTCACTAGCGGAAGTCAACACCAACGGCAGCTACCTTCCACGCCAGCAGAAGAGGTGGTGTGGCAGGTATGTGCCGAAGTCCTAAAGCTTCCTGCGGAGAGCATTGGGATGAATGATTCATTCTTCCACCTTGGTGGTGACTCAATCCTTGCCATTCAACTTGCATCAAGGGCCCGTCAGAAGGGTACTATATTCAAAGTTATGGATATCTTCCAAAGTCCAAGGCTTATTGACCTATCGAACATCGCATGCTACAGTCAAGTCCTACAGGGGTGCCCTGACCCACAAACTACCCTACAGGCTCCATTAATAATGCCAGTCGCACTAGAAGATGTCTTAGCCAACATTCCCGCATCTTCCCGCCATATACTATACCCCGAAAATGTTCACCGCATCCTTCCAGTGACTGATGGTCAGCGTCTTAGACTTCACGAACCCTGCAAGTATTTTATTCTCCGCATCTGTGGCAATATCGATATAGATCAGCTGAATGCCACATGCCAAGCTTTATTGAGACGACACGAAATCTTGCGGTCAGTCTTCCGGAACCACAATTCTATGTGGGTACAGATAGTGTTAAAGCACCTTGAACTACACCTCGTGCGGTACAAAACTGATGCTGATCGGGACCTATTATCCTTTGTTAAGGATATCTGCGAGGAAGATGAAATTGCAATCCCTCCACTTGATGTCCCGCTCGCCTATTTCTCTTTTGTTCAAGGCCATGATGATAGCGCCTTTCTCATACTTCGCCTCTCTCACGCGCTGTACGATGGATATTCTTGGGGGATCATTTCCAAAGATTTGAAGCACTTATATGACAACCTTGCATTAAGCGAACCAGTTCCATACTCGGTCCATATGGAGCAATGGGCTCGGGCCCAGGTCGATAAGAATTCCTTGGAATTTTGGCAAAGATATTTGACAGGGTTTCGAATGTCTCATATCGGAGATATTACCCGCACAGCTTCTGCTACATTGACCAACTCTTATATGGTAGAAGCGGAAACCAAGATTCCATTCGTCGAGCCTCCTGCGGGTATCACACTGGCAACCGTTGTGAAAGTTGCTTGGGCATTGACCCTTGCTCGCTTCACTGGAATATACAATGTAGCATTTGGCTTAACTACCAGCGGGCGAAGCTTGGACTCCCTTGCCACCAATGAAATCGTTGGTCTTTGCATGAACCGAGTGGCAGTTTGCATTCAACCAGATCTCAACCAGACTGTTCTAAAATTGATGGAGTCTGTCCAGCGTCAATATGCAGAGAGTCTGGCCTTTGAGTTAGTCGAGTATTGTAACATTGTGGAGGACACCAAAGAGTCCATGTTTGGAAGCGTTCTGACCTTCCAGAATACCCGTTTTCGACAAAAGGGCTTTGAACTTGGACAGGCCAAATGCTCGTGGGTACCTTTGAGTATTGGCTCCCTGAGAACCCGGAATCATGTTGAACTAGAGGTTCTCCCCGGTGATAACGACTTGGAGATTTGGTTAGGAGCACCAAACATAATTTGGGGACAGGACCGTGCGAACGAGATTCTCCGGGTACTGAGCCGATTTATTCCTCTCCTGGCCGAGAATGCAGAGGTACGGCTGTGTAACCTTGGATTTTAGTTGCTTTTCTTAATTTATCTCGTCTATTTGTCATTGAAGCATGGAAATATAGGTGAAATTTGACTTATTTATCGATTAATTAGAGTGACAGATGCTACGACAAATTCTGAAGTAATATTCGTACTGATCTTCGTACTAATCTTTCAGGCAAGTTATGTACAAACGAAGCACTTGGTGTAGGAAATTCAATTAAAAACTGAAATCGTGAGTTAGTTCCGAGCGCGTCTGTAAAGCACCTAAGTCAAAATACACAACGTAATAGCTTCCCACCTCCAATCTTCCACTCAATGATTCATTCGCAATACGATCTTAAAAAAAATTGGCCATAATCCAGATTGCTGATGCTGATAGCTCCATGTCGTTCAAGGATTGCTATGCAGACATACAAAGCTTGCTGGAGCGAGATGTCCGAGGGAGACATTGCGCGTAGCAAGCTCGTGGGCCTTTTAATTTTCAGCGCGAGTGAACTTTCTTTGGGCGTTCCTGTCTGTGTGGTGGTGAAATATTCGGTCAACAGCACATTTCGAGCTGCACTTAATGTTGCAGCATGCACCACCAGGATGAAAGGCCATAGAACGGGGTTGAGCCTGGATCGCCGGAAGAAGGTCGTGCAATTTGTAGGCAGCTTCGATGCAGAGAGAAGCTATGGCACTAATCAAGTTGCTGCTATCATTGAAAATGCAGGACACAATGGATACAACAGTCAAGATTCGCATGTGGTGACCCACCATACTACTAACTGACCGCCGGCGTGTGGCTTCAGTACTGCTGAGCGGACGGGAAGCCCTGGTCGTATGTGCTAGATAGATTGAAAGAAGAAGTCATACCATACATGTATCAAAATTCGAGCAATAAGAAAACTGAATCTAACTCTACTACGCATTATGACCATGCATTATTAACATGTGCGCTAAAATAAAGATATTGAGTACAGAGTACAGAATACTCCTTATGAAATACATTATACCCCGTACATCTACTGAGGTCCTCCTATTCATTCAGTGTATATATATTATAGCAAAACTATTCAAAAACAAAAAAAAAAACATACAACAGCTAGGATTCGCATGTGGTCACCCACCATACTACTAACTAGCCGGCGTGTGGCTTAAGTACGGCTGAGCGGACGGGAAGCCCTGTTCTCCACACCCTATGGTCGTATGTGGTAAAGAGTTTTAAAGAAGACATTATACCATATGAGCATCAAAAAGTCGATGTCGGTTCACAGGGATCTCGATGCATGTTCATTCCAAGTCCCCGCGATGGAATTGGATATGCCCCGATCCCACTAGTTCTATTCACTTCCCGAGTCCATTCACTGCAGTAAACCAGATTCCATTGGTTCCAACAGTCAAGCAATAAGAAAACTGAATCTATACTACGCATTATGAACATGCATTATTAACATGTGCGCTAGAATAAAAATATTGAGTACAGAGTATTTATCTATAGATTGGACTAGTATTACGCACCGTAGATCCGTAGACCTAAACTATAAGTACAACAACGTATCTTACTGATGAGGTAAACTCGCAACCCGAAGTCTATAGAGTAATCGGTCAAAGGTCCCTTGGATCAAGAGCGCTGACTAGGTCAATACCGGAGTAATCCCCTAGTCATATTGTTTCTATGATCTGAGAAGGTAGAGTATCTAATCAATAGCAATTAAGAGTAACAGTGAGATGAATTCGTTCTGTCTAGTAATCTGTATCTCCAAAGTAACAATTGCGAATAAACACCAAAAACTAAATACAGTAAATAACTGTTGATGAACGATTTAAGAGTGCCTTAGCAAAGGAGTAACTCATATAACATCTGGTTGTTTAAGCCAAATGTGTCGCTCGCTTAGCGAGCGTAGCTAGCTAGTCGCTCGTTACTGAGAACAGTGAGCTCCAACAAACCGCTACTCAACACCGTAGACAATCCACCGATCTGGTAGTGGACTCCTACTAGTTGAATATTGCAGTTGTTGTGAAGTCTGCTTTTTCATTATGAAAGAACTAGCTACTTATAGTATATGGGTGCCCCTCTGCCCTGGACGAATGTCAACATTCGTCCGAGACAGAAGAGACGGTGAAGACGAGACATTACTGTCGCGAATGCACATCGCTCAAGGGTGTCGTTTGCGATGAATGCATATCGTTCAAGGATGCCGTGATATACTAATCTAGTTCCAGAGTCACTGTCTTGGCAGAAGCTTTTTTTCGGCCGAAATACTTTCCGTCTGTTGATGGCCTTGTTTCTCGGCTGTCGCAACAAAATGAGAGTTGAAATGGTTTACTTTAAGATATAGAGATCAAAAAACTGAGGATAAGATGACTACAATCCCAGGACTCTGAGAAGGGAAGAATCAATTATCAGTCGGAATAGCGACTAATTGCATGCTCTTAATCTGCGAGGGAAGACGGTAGTGGTAGAGATGATCTATTGATATTATGGAGGATGAGCTAATAGCTAGGTCATTATGTGACCACGGGTGAATATCTGTAACTTTTGGTCGACGCTACCTATAGGGATGACGTACTATATCTTTATCTATCTTATTCTTTAGCATCTTACTGCTATTCAATAGAGCAGTATATGTTGCTTTATCTTTGACTGTTCCCAGAGCCACTTTAAGCTGGTGATGAACCCTTTATAGGCGTCTATAATCATGCTTACGCATTTTCCTTCTTAGCTTAAGTACTTATATTATACAATTGATAGTATTGTGATGAGAGTTCAGTGAAAACTGGGCCTGTTGAGGTAGTTCTCTCGCCTGGTATCAAAGGCCCCAAAGGAGTTTGATCATGTCTCAATTTAGGTATTTTGATACTTAAATTACAAGGCATAATGTACTTTGGAGCTTGAAAAGAGTAGATTTTTCGCATTTCAAGTAAAAAAGCTCTACTTTTTTGAAGAAAAGGGAAGGAAGCGCGTTCACTTTCAAGTCGCGGGAACTTGTTCTCTTGTTTTTATCCATGAACACCAATCCAAATCTCATCAACACAAGCTTGAATCCGAACCTGTAAGTGAAACTCATGAACCATATATGAATTTGCTTGTTGCTAATAGGGATTCCAGCTCCATGATGACGAAAATCAGAGATTCATTCAAACTTCACTTGCCTGATACGGACCCCGTCCTTTTCAAGTGGACCTCAGATGGCTATCGTAACCTGAGTTCATGCCAAGGAGAAACAGCGGCACAAGATCCCGCCATTGTTTATGTCGTAAGAACAATCGAATACTTCGAGAAGCTTTTCGTGAAGCATTTTCCCCGGGCCGTTGGAAGAGGAAAAAAGATCCCATGAGCGGATGGATGGCACGCCTCGAAAATACCCACTTCATATCAACTGAAGAAGACGTTGTGCGGCTATCAAGCCTAGTACTTGTGAACCCAGTTAATATCGCATTGGCGTGTCTTATTCCAGCCGGTCATAGACTTGTCTGCAATTCCGAATTTAAAGAAAAGACGTCCCGCTTTGATATGAAGTGGGCCGTCATGACACCCGACGGTAATGAGTACGCCCTGGCTATATTGGAATATAAAAACTCCCATACGATAAATGCCAAGGACTTCGAAACCGCGAAGGCAGAAACAGAAGAAGAAGCAGATGAAATGGAGGCAAGAGCATATGATAATGACGATGGGGAAATTACCCTTCTCTCCAATAATGCAGTAATTCTGGGCAAGCAATGCGCAAAATATGGTAAATCAGCGAAGCGTGTTGGTTTGTTTGACTACTTATCATTGTTTTTGTGGGAATTCAAGGCAGACGATGTCGATGGGTACCAATACGACCGTGGATTTCTGTTCTCAGAAACCGGAGAAGGAGGGAATATGACCTTCCGGAAATTACTGTTTGCATGGATCGCAGACGCTGTTGAGGAATGGAAAGCTAGCAATCTTCTAGATGAGCGAGCAATTGTGAATATTTAATTTCGGTCTGAAACCAAATCTATTATAGAAAACACTCACTGATTGTACATGCAGGCCATATGCTAATGTCGGTGGACTCGGTCAACCTACGTATGGATAGTTGATAATGTGAAGTTCATTACATTCTTGCAGCTATCCAATCTATATAGCTGCGGTCTGACTTGTCATGGCTGTTGAAGTGGCTTGTTTGATCTGTTTGCATGGCCCACTTTTCGGGTAGAGTAGCTCTTCAATCAAGTTCTTCGCTCTTGCTTGGCACAATTGCTGGTGATACTAACCAAATCTTGCTACCATCTCTGGGGTAATTGTATCTTTCGTGTGGGCCCACTGGTTATTGACCCATGCATCCATATCCCAGTCAATCCAGTTATCTTCTTTCTTGTCGGATTTAAAAGCTTTCCAGCTTTTGCCCGTGCACCTAAGAAGCGGCGATATATATTGACCGAGGAAAGTATTTAAACGGGCGAACCGAGGTTCATCAGGTCTGCGATTGAATAGACAATCTGCGAAATCAATGAAAACGAGATTGTGTTGAGTATCTTTCATTATCAAGATATTTCTGCGGTGTAGATCGAGAAGTTTGATGTCTTTAAACCCAAACACATCGCTTTCGAAGTTAATTATTGATTTTATCATTTGCTGTCGAGTGTGTTGTGAAAAATCAGCTGCATTGGCTTGATCCATAGATGTGCCAGGGATGTACTCGATTAAGATAAGGCGAACGGTGCGTATTTTGTCGAAGAATGGAATATCAAGGGAGAAGGATCCATAAAACCTGGGAATCCGCTTTCCTTGATACTCTGAAAGCTTCTCATAAACAGCACACTCATGGGTATAATCATGGTCAGTAAGCTTGATAGGACTTATGAATCCAGCCACATCAACATCATCAGCATGATAAAGAGGATCATATACTTTAGCAACAAAGATTCGGTCTGGTTCAAGTATTTCAGAAGGAGTGTCAGTCGTCGCATCTCGTACGATCACAGCAAACACCTGCGCTCGAAGTCTGTCTCCGTTCCGTATATTTTCGACAATCTCTAAAGTAATACTGTGTACCCCTTTTTTGCCCGGAAGAGGGGCGTTCTTGAGAAGCCACTCCACACCACCAAGCTGATCATACTCAGTAGCATCTTGGGGAGTGTAAAGGCGGTTGTTGGAGATCACAGGCGTCGGGGGGGGCGGAATATGTGACTGGACTGTAAATTTCCAGCCTCTCACGTAGGGTACGAGAGGTATCGGTAATTCTTCACCACGAGAGTATGCAGGCTTGATAAAATTTCTGAGCGGCATGACAAGTAATTCCAAAGTGATTAAGAGAAATTTTGTGTGTGTGTGTAGAACTAAGTTAACTAAATAGTTATAATATTTAAACGGAAGATGACGAATAACTAAGATTAGTCATCTCTTATCTTTGGTGTTCCTGTGGGCAAAAATACTGGAATATAATTGGCTTTGTCGACACATTTTTGTTCTATTTTGCAGGTCTAAGGTGCGATAGCACGCTCAAGAGCAATTTTCTGGAGATCTTCGAAATTCATCCTTAAAGTTCAAATCTAGTACACTTTAGTTAGAGCTCGGCACGAATATGCGAATGTTGGAATATGGAACAAAGCAGTCATGTGATCAAATTGTTACTTTATAATAGATAGCAAACTAAGAATGAAAACCAGACTTGACAACCACTTCAAGAGGACACAAAGATATCATAGGGGCGTAAAGCGTTACCTGTGATAGGTGTCAGAAGTGGGCGTTAGCCTCATCACCTTTATCGAATAGCTATTCCACACTTGGTATAGGTGTACCGACAGCGAATATTCGCGAATAAAATAGTCTATTCCTGATTAGGCGTAATTATTAGTGCCAAATATAGGTGTCAGCTGACTATTCTCACAATCTCTCAGATATATATTTCTACGCATGCATATTCAATTCAATCAATTACTTCCAGATAACTAGGTTTCACAACCAACAAATTTCAATTTCTAGCATCAAAGTAGTTTCTCACTATCCTTAAATACATAAGACTTAGACTGATCATCAGACTCATGATAATTGACTTGAAAGACATTGCGAAGTAGCACATTCTTTCGCATAGTCTCACCTGTTATAGAGTGTCGACGAACACCAAGTAGGTCCCTGACTGTCGGAACATGGATATTGCAATCGCGCAATACCATAAACCCGGAACGGAACAAACAGACCCCCTAGTCACGGGGGAACGACTATATTAGGAACTCAAGTAGCTACATGAATCGAACACACTTCACACCACTTTGCACAACGTATATACTAAGAATCTAGGACGAACCATGCCCTTTTCCAGTGTATATAGTGCAACGTGTGAACCCTGTCCTTTCAACGTAGTTGATCGACAATAGTGTTCCAAAGTTTCCTATTCAGAAAATCCACGAGGCTATTCAACATCAATCGGACCAAGGGTCGTATCCTTCAGGCCATCCAAGCTCCTCCGCGTAGTCCGACAATCGAATATCTTCGGGATGATAGTCTTGTCCAGTATCATATTTCCAGTTTTGAGTTGAATTGCTGACAGGTAGCTTCCCCTTGACCTTTCCTTTACCATGTCTTTGTCTTTTTTGTGTGAGTTTCTGCTCTTCCTGCAATCGAGAGATTTCTGACCATGATTTAAGTTCCTCCGGGTTTCTGATGCACCAGATGACGACATCTCGTGCTGCAAATGCATCTTCTAAAGCAATATGGCCGCACTCTCCATTCTGTATAGCCAAGCTTAAGAGATCCTTTGCAATTGTTTTCAACGCCCAATGACGGGGAAATGTCTTTGTTGATATGATGGAAGGGAAGACTGTCTCAGCAATCAAGACTGAACTGTCAACAACGTTCGCATGAGATATGCCTAGTACTTCGAGATCATAGTTGAGAGAATGACCAACTAAGACGGTTGAATCATCCATAAACTTCCATAGTTTATTGCGTGCCTCTCGCCAGCTTTCAAGTGCTGCACCAGATTGAACAGCCGCACTCATGATCTCCTGTGTCACACCACTAAACTTAAATCTCCAATCAATCACCTTCTCTTCTGGATTGACAAATTGACTTATGAGCACCTTCCCAGTCAAAAAATCAATAGCACTGAGAAAAGCGAGTGTTTGGCGACCATGTCGGACTCCAACCATCTCGCAGTCAATAGCAATAGCACAAACACTGCCCGCTGCCTGAAATCCACTGCGAGGTCTTGCTCGAAAGTCATCTCTTCTAATAGACCCCTTCCATGGCAGTTTCTTGTTTTCCACATATTCAAGGTTTGGCATGTATCCTTCTGTCTGGAGACGAGCTCGTGAATGGCACCTTGAACGTAGGTATCGCAAGATGAGATTGTACTCTGAAGGGTGTATAACTTGATAAAGTGTGGCTCCAGGTGTAACATGCTGTGGAGCTTCTGTTTAAATGTAAATCAGTTTTAGATTAATCAATGAGTATACTCGATATCCCTTACCTAGTGTAGGCCCATTTTCAGAGTTTATTACTGGAATATAAGCAAGTGGAATAGCTTGGTTCAACGCTTGGCCATATGGAAGCTCTAGACCCTGCTTGAAGAGTTCCAAGGCTTTGTTCTGGTAATCTGTTTGTACTGCTCTCGACTGCATAACTGGTATCAACGCTGTACTTGATGATGGTATAATTGGTGACAGCACCCGAGGGACATAGTTTCGTATACCCGGTGAAGTGGACTTATTATACTTCTGATAATGCTGTATAAGACTCATCTCATCCTTGAAAGGATTTTGGCAAACAGGACACTGAAAAGTGTGCCGCTGACTTAAAAAATGGGTTTTGACGCTATTCAGACTCCGAAAGTTGTTTTTTTCACACCCAGGACAGGAAAACCGATTCGAAGCCTTTTGAACCATATTCACATTCATATAATTGAAGCCGATCGGGATGTAAAATCAGACAAAGATTATGGATATGTGAGTGCCGCTTGAAGACCAAGTTTGAAGTCGCGACGTACTCTTTATTTTTATGCCTAGCACTGGCGCTCAAGGTAAACACGTGGTCAAATTCATGCATAATGAGGCGATAAACTATTGGCAAATACAGGGGTTTCAAACTACGCTACTTTGCCATAACCTCCTGGATCACAGCCATGTGATTGTACAATCTCAGTCTGCTCTATGGGAGAAGAATTGATATGTGTTAAAGTAGGTAATCGAAATTGATCTTATCGGCCTAGTTAGAAGTCATTAAGTCAAGGCCTTTCTAACGTATCTCGTATAACCCACATTCGCGGATATTCTACATCCCAGCACGTCCCCTGTGTTCGGTTAGCGCGGATACCGGATCGGCCCATACGTGGAGGCCAAACAATAAATGAACTACGAGTAATTTCCTCCTTTTTTCTTTTTGTTTTATTTCTTTTCTCTTGTTCCTTTTGAATACAGAGCTTATTCTGGACTTCCATGAAACGAAATCTTCACTAGCACATCATTATCCCTTAGTGCCAGTGATTATGTCTTTTTCATCACTCCCACCAGAGCTTTTAGATTCTATTGCAATTTTTCTACCTGTCTCAGCACTTGGGGTCCTAACATCTGTTAGCCGCTGGTTTAACATCATATTTGACCCACTCCTCTACGCTAGGGACCCTAATGGTGGATTGAATTGTGCTGCTCGCCATGGTATGATGCATATCCTAGAGAAGTGTATCTTCTTTGGGGCAGATATACCATTATCTCGATCACAGGGTCCAAGAAGACCTGACCGGATCATCAAACATATATATGGGGCACGTTATAGGGTGAAGCGACTACCTCATGAGTGTCCGCCCGAACATCCGCTATGCCTAGCAGTACAGTACGGCCACGAATCTATAGTAGAGTATCTCCTCTCCCTAGGATGCGATGTCAATATGCAAACTTTAGAGTTTGAATTCTCTCTTCTGACGTTGTCTGTGATTCATAATCATAGTCGGCTTATGACAATGTTACTTGATAAAGGAGCCGCGATCAATAAAGCGAAATTTGAGCCATGTAGTGCTCTTTGGGTTGCGACGTTCCAAGGGAATCTAGATATGGTTAAGCTTCTCTTATCATACCATGTTCCAGGGCGTGATGATATAAATGCTGTATTAAGGTAAGTTAAGTACTCTCTATATACCTAGTGTCTAGCGAATAATTTACTCATATTGTATCTTAAGATGTGCGACTGAGAACGATCAAAGAGTAATTCTTAAAATGCTCCTTGAAAAGGGTGCTGATCCAAATGCTGTTTATAATTGCAATGATCCAAGAAAGGGCCTTCGATACGCAGGTCGAAAATTCCCGGAAGAGAAATCAAACTGTATGGTAAGTCAAAAATTTGATGAAGAAAATATCCTATGTAAATATTTATCTAACTTATCTAGGAACCCGACCATCCATCGGGCGCAGGAAAATGCTATCATAGTGTTTTCCATGAGGTATTTCATCGAAGAGATCTAGAATTATTACAACTTTTTCTTAATAAAGGCGCCGATTTTAATTCAAGCCCCGGCATTGATCCTTGCTTGGTTATAGCGGTCAAAAAACGAGATGAGGAATTATTCAGATTCAGTATCGAGGGTACAGATCGTATCTTCCGTATTCTTGCGCTCTCAGAAAGTATGAATCAACAGGATGGGCATTTTGCTCATATTCTTTTGGCAGAGTATAAAACTCCACCAGAGGTTTCTGTGCGATCAGATGAGGAAATGATATTCTGGTTCCGACGCTTAAGACAACCCTTATTCCAGGCAATCAAGAACAACAATCTTTCTCTTGTTCAATTATTGGTGCAGTATAGGGCAAATGTGAACATTTCATTTTCATTTTATGGAGAGATAGAATTGGATCATTATCCTAGTCCACGCGAAGACAGATTACCTGAAGGATCTGCTCTTCAGCTTGCCATAAAACTAGGAAATCCAGAAATTATCGATTTCCTACGATCCCATGGAGCAGTTGAGATGGTAGAGTTGGTCGATTAAGTGCTAAATTTACCTATACGGATATGAAACTTGTCAGTTACGATCGGATGGAATCATTTCCTTCCTATATACCTATAAATAGACATGTTCATTGGGTTGGGTAAACCCATACCCAACCCAACCCAACCCACAATGGGCTGGGTATGGGTCAGAAATTTTACCCAAAACCCATATGGGTTGGGTATGGGTTTGAAGTAAAACCCACACCCAGCCCATAAACCCATCTTTTTGCCAAGACTTTTATTTCACGTGATATTTGTCACCTAGTTAGTACTAGATTGAGGCAAAAATTAGGCACTAAGGCACTAATTACCCTAATTTAGTTTAGGTTGAGGCGAAAATCAGGCATTAAGGCATCAAAAATACCCATATGGGACCCATACCCAACCCATGCACATGTCTAATACTGATTACGATTGATGAGAAAAATGTGCCGGGGAGGAATTTTGCCTGGGATTCTGATCCTACAAAGCTGATGGATGGAACATGGTCACTAGAAGAATGGAATAAGGAGGTTGAAGAGGAAATAGCATATCATTTTCGACCTACCCAAGATTGAGCAAGATGGCAGAAAAGGCTCTCTTATGAAGCTGAAGGCGAAAGATGCTAGGAGGCCTATGTCTTATAGCTGGGAGGAAGATTCTTTTGAGATAAACAATGATTCTGGTAAGACTTCACGATTATGATTTTTTAGACATTAGACAAATCTCAATTCAATGTCTTTCCAAATAATCTAATTACAGAGAATTGAACCTTCTGTGGCTCCGGAAGGTTCCAAAACCTCTTTATTTCATCAACTGAAAATTGGTGAGCCTAATTTGATAGCGAATGACAAGTATATTCAATGCTAGAGTTAATAGGGATTAACGCACAAGAATTGGTACAGATTTTACAGAACACTAAATAGTCCCAAGCCGGGATACTGGGGACCAGTATTTTTTGAGTGTACGCCGAGTTTTTTGCTTATCTCCATTAAAACTCATAGCTTTTCGCTTCGCCAAAGCTACAAGTCTCCAATGAACCTTCTGCACTACCTTGCAGTGATAGGTACTCCTAATTAGAACCATACTCGGAAGGAGTTCTCCGCTAAGAAATCTAGTGAATCCAAATAATAATTTCACCTTAGTGCCCATGTATTTAATGTACCTAGATACCAGCTTATTCGTAGTATCAGAACGCAATTCTGCGAAGCAGTTGATGAGGTAGCTAGAGGATTTTTAATGAAATTTATGCCGCTTTCGACGTCAAGTTGCACTCCATTCTAAGTAGAATCTATGACTTGCCATTCCGCTTCAATGTAGTTAGCACTGCCTTTCTTTGCTTTGCCCTTTCCCAGATTGGAGGGAACATGAGATTCGGGACTCTGCTAGCATCAGACATAAGAAAGCTCATTAATCTGATTCCAATATCTAGCTTTTGTAGATGAGAAGGTACCTAAAGCCAGTTGCTGAAGATTATGGCTGTTATGAGCAGGTAGAAGTACCAATTCTACCTTATTCTGCTTATAAATCCATATTAAACTGATACTAAGATGGCTGTAATGGCCATTTAACATAACCTTGTAAGTAATCGATATCAGTCTGATATAGATGTTTCAGGCAAAAGATTGCTTTTAGCCATCCAAGCCCAGTTGAAAGCCAACTTCGGACGTAGAATAAATCCAGTCTGGTATATCCTTTTGAAAACATAAAGTTTGGGGAGTTTTCCTTTAAAAATGATCAAAGGTGTAATGGCTTTACCAACTAGGCTAATCGTCTCAGCAATTGACACCCATTCCCAATTCTATAGTGATTTAATAGAAGTATGCTTTTTTACCAGATCTTGCAAGGACTCGGGCATTCGTTCAGACTCCAAGAGCAATCCCATGCCCATTTATATTTCAAATATTGTAAGGGTTAGGAGCCAATACGGATAAGCTACCGTAAACAAGAGAAGAACTAACGTCAAGATAGCCGGGGGCTACGGGAAGACTTGGTTGATCGGTGATCCAGTAGCTGGGTGCTAAGGGCTTTTGGACCATTGCCCGCGTTCTACAGGGGCTTAAGTACGGCTAAGCGGATGGGAAGCTCTGTTCTCCACACCCTGTGATCGTACGTGATAGTTTAAGTGTAAATTATGAATATAATATAGGATGAGAAGGAGTAGTTGAAATGTGGCGTGAAATATTGGTTCCCTTTGATCCTCCGGCAAGATATTTGTGAGCTAATTGCTCAGTCTTGGAAGCACAAGTAGTAATTTATCCATCCACGGATTGGATTATTCCGATGGACATCCATGGATAGCTTGCTGCAGCTGATGTTGGTGCTCAGATGGCTTATCCTCTGTATTCCAACTCTATCTAGGCTTCAAGTTTCTGCATCCATATCCATTGTCTAGTCTTTACAAGCCCTATATTAGAACGTGGAGCCCTGGAGAGATATTTGATTCTTAAAAAAAAAAACCAGTATCTGTGCTTTAAACCCTACCTTACCTATTCTCCGGGTCATTCAAAAGGGGTTGCATTTCAAATGCAAGTGACACATAACATCTACCTAGTTATTTAGTTATAGAAATATATAAATAGTAGTTATTAGGGTTAGTTACTTGACATCAACTGAATTACCTAATGTCCATTATCGATCATGAGTAATCTACTTATGCCTCCGTTGATTGTCTCGATAAAGTTCCAAGGTCGTGAATAATTGTTATCAATGTTTGATAGTTACTGAAGACTTCAATATATTGGTTTCAAACAATCTCATGAATTATATCTACTTCCATGAAGTAGTAAGTGCCGAAAATTGCTGATTGCGCAATCGAATTGTAGAGAGCGGAGAGCGGAGGTCGGAGCGGGCACTCCAAAGCTAAGGCAGAATTTAATGCCTCTTTCTGCTCACTCCCATTGCCACGCACATCACCATGTCTGGTGCTCGGAACCTCTCAGCTGCTTTGCGGCGCACTAGAGTGCTTCGTCCTTGCCTCTCCTTCCGCCCAGCCCTTCCCTCGTCACCACTTGCAACCGTCCGCAACTTCTCTGCCACCATCATCATTCGAGCCGGACAGGTCAAGTATACCAGTGACGCATACCCCAGTGTCAAGCGCGACCCAAATTTTGCCGAGGTTACCGCGGACGATGTCACTTTCTTCAAGGGCCTGTTGGGATCCCAGTCGGCTGTCATTGATGGAGTGACTACTGATGCGACGGACGACATTGAGCCCTTTAACAGCGACTGGATGCGCAAGTACCGTGGCCATACACGACTGGTCCTAAAGCCCCAGAGCACTCAGGAGGTGAGCAAGGTGCTCAAGTACTGCAACGATCGCAAATTGGCTGTTGTCCCGCAGGGTGGAAACACCGGCCTGGTCGGTGGATCCGTGCCTGTCTTCGATGAGATAGTGATCAACATGTCACGTCTAAACAAGATCCAGTCCTTTGATCCGGCTTCTGGTGTTCTTGTTGCTGACGCCGGTGTCATCTTGGAGATTGCAGACCAGTACCTGGCAGAGCGTGACTACCTCTTCCCATTGGATCTGGGTGCTAAGGGCTCCTGCCACATAGGAGGTAACGTTTCGACCAACGCCGGTGGTCTGCGTCTACTGCGCTACGGAAGTCTTCATGGAACTGTGCTAGGTCTCGAAGCGGTCCTACCTGACGGGACCATCGTTGATGCCCTGTCTACTCTGCGAAAGAACAACACCGGCTATGATCTGAAGCAGCTGTTCATTGGATCTGAGGGTACTTTGGGTATTGTGACTGCTGTCTCTATCATTTGCCCGCCGCGACCCAAGGCCGTGAACGTTGCCTACTTTGGTCTCGAGAGCTTCGACAAGGTGCAGCAGGCCTTCCTTGAAGCTAAGAGCCAACTCTCTGAGATTCTCTCTGCATTCGAGCTGATGGATGGCCGCAGCCAGAAGTTGGTAAATGAATCTACTGGTAACAAGTACCCTCTCGAGGGTGAGTACCCCTTCTACTGTTTGATTGAGACCAGCGGCTCCAACGCCGAGCATGATATGGCCAAGCTGGAGTCATTCCTTGAGCATGTCTTGGGTGAGGAGATTGTTGCCGACGGTGTGCTTGCTCAGGACGAGACCCAATTCCATGCCATCTGGCGCTGGCGTGAGGGTATCACTGAGGCTTTGAGCCACCTGGGAGGTACCTACAAGTATGATGTGTCAATTCCCCTTGCCGACTTGTACCAATTGGTCGACGACCTCAAGGTGCGGTTGAATGAGAAGGGTTTCGTTGGTGATGATGACTCCTTCCCCGTCCGCGCCGTTACTGGCTACGGCCACATGGGCGACTCAAACCTGCACCTGAATGTGTCCGTTCGCCAGTACAACAAGGAAGTGGAGAAGGCCATTGAGCCTTGGGTATATGAGTGGATTCAAAAGAAGAAGGGCAGTATCAGCGCTGAGCACGGCTTGGGACTTGCCAAGCGGGAGTTCATCGGGTATAGTCAGAACGACACTACGCTCAAGTTGATGAAGCAGCTGAAAGCAGTATATGACCCGGTAAGTCCGATGATGAAATTTTCTTCCTTCTCTGTTTTTTGCCGTTTGAGCCGTTTCTCTCCCGTGTTTATTTCTCTTTTTTCTTGTTTACAGTGGCTCCTTGTGCCTTGTGTGCTCCGTGCGTTTCGATTCCAACTTTTACTAACAAGGTCTACAGAATGGTATCATGAACCCCTACAAGTACATTTGAAATATCGTTAAAGCATCTAAGTGGAGTGTGTAGTATATCAAATAAAAAGGTATTGGATGAATGGACAATAATTTCCTCATTAATTAGATTATTTAGTTCTGTATTTGGATAGATTCAACGCTGACCCTTGCATCTATTATACACTAGTCCCGATACAGATTAGAGTTCCCCACTTTATTCCTCAGGTGTCAACTGGTTGCCATGCGAGACCAAAAGAAAGTTGTTTAGGCCGACGATTGGTGTTATATGTGCTCCACCCCTTGACCTATCCTTCCATCTCACTCTTTTGCACGATTGAAAAGCTACGCAGTTTATAGTGCCAGCTCGCAGCTTAACTTGAACCTCATCAGCCCCCGTGGATGAGTCCTGTTCAAGTAGTTGCCCGCCTTGTCTGATCGGAGCTACTAGTCGGGACCGATTATTGCCGGAAACATGGCAGAAGATATGGCGAGCCGTTATCAAGTGATGGAGGAGCTGGGAAGTGAGTGCTTGATAATCCTGGATTCTTTTCGTGTAATATACAACTAACTTTCGACCCCTATTGTTTGCTAGGCGGAAGCTTTGGAACCGTGTACAAAGCTATTGATAAACACACCGGAGAAATTGTCGCGGTGAAACATGTATGCATCCTCGACGTGCAGGTAACCGAAATAGAGTCCCTGTTAACTTCTTTTGCCGTTGCAGATCGATCTCGAATCCAGCGAAGATGATATCCAGGAGATACAACAGGAGATTTCCGTCCTGGCTACTTGCGCCAGTCCCTATGTTACACAATACAAAGCGAGCTTCCTGAAGGGGCACAAGCTCTGGATCGTCATGGAATATCTAGGAGGAGGATCCTGTCTGGATTTGGTACGTCTGCGATCATTGCTCGGTTTCTCGCGCGAGTTGCGTTTGCTGACTAGCCAAAGTTAAAACCAGGAGTATTCAACGAAGCGCATGTCGCGATTGTCTGCCAACAATTACTGCAAGGCTTAGACTACCTACATAGCGAAGGAAAAATCCACCGCGATGTGAAGGCTGCGAACGTTCTTCTCTCAAATACAGGCAAAGTGAAGTTGGCAGATTTCGGTGTCGCGGCACAGCTTGTCAATATCAAATCACAGCGCAACACATTCGTCGGCACTCCGTTCTGGATGGCCCCTGAAGTTATCCAGCAGGCTGGATACGACTTCAAGGCAGACATCTGGTCTTTGGGTATCACCGCGATCGAAATGATCAATGGCGAGCCTCCACACGCCAACACGCATCCGATGAAAGTGCTCTTCCTAATTCCCAAGAATTCCGCTCCACGACTTGAGGGTAACCAGTACAGCGCCACGTTCAAAGAATTTATTCACCTATGTCTGACGAAGGACCCTGATCGCCGACCTAGTGCAAAGGAGCTGCTGCGACATAAGTTTATTCGGGGTGCTGGAAAGACCGACGGCCTACAGGAATTGATTCACCGCAAGCAAGATTGGGACGCTGGTCGAGGAATTGCGAAGGACATGAAATACTACGCGGAGACCCTGTAAGAACACTCATATCATTTGGGCAGGGGGCATATCAATTAACAATGAATCTTTAGCACAAATATGCCCAAGTCAATGGTTAATGAGGAGGATGATGACGATTGGGTCTTTGATACCGTCAAGGGACCACCAAGTATGTGGGTTCCCAAGGGTAGAGACTGGAGTACATTGGATGATGAAGAATACGATACCGACCCTGCCCAGCTGATGGAGGACATGCACCTTTCTCCACCACCGCCACCTCCGAAGCACCAGGCCAACTCTACCGTCAGACGAACCCCGGGTGCTGAACGCTCACCTTCAATTCGTCGTACCAACACTAAGCGACGATCCAGTGGCGTGAAACAGCCTTTGGGTGTAGATCTAAGCTATGGAAACAGCACATCCACCGTTCGACACTTCCGCCGTGTGTCAGACAAAGCTCCTAATGAGAACACCGTGATCAAGACCCCACCTGGATTTGATGAGAATATCAGTCCTAAGCCTATTTCTATCGATACATCCAGCAAAGAAGCACAATTAGGACGTCGCGCATACAGCAAAGCAGTTGGACTTTCTTGTCAGGAAATACTTTCTACTACTGCTGATGGCGAGAAGCGTGAGGCTATATCTCGACTAGCCGAGGCCTTCAGCGATCTGGAAATGGTCGATCCTGAAGGGCTCTACCACATCATCCGGTCCATGAATGACAAACTTCAATCGTAAGTCATTCGTCAGCTAACCCTACTGTATGGCCATAAACTAACAGCATCTAAGTGATCCACGCCTTTGCTCCTTGCTTCCTGCAGAAAGGGACTCTGACTCCCCCAAGCAACAACGCCTTGTGCTAGCCCAAAGCAACCCCCACCTCAAACGCCACCGTCAACCGACACAAGCGAATGAATCTCCCACTTCACCTCCCGCCAATCTGCCCGGCCAAAATGTGACCGGCATGGAACACACCAAACAGCTCTCCGATGTTCTCTACCAACGATGGGCAGAAGGACTTCGCAACCGTTGGGGATACTAATACTATGCACGCTCGGACCAAGTGCAATACTTTCCCCCTTCTTTTATGCTCCTGCTTCATCGTTGGATAGACCATATTGGCGTTTTCGGCCTGTTTATAATCTCCCCTTGTGTTCATTCCCGCATTCATTGTCTGAGTACATTTGTGCTCATGACGTCCGATCATTAATCGTGTCATTTTATTTTCCTTTGTTGGGGCTGGACTGGTTCTGGAGTTTTCTGTTAAAATCTGGAGGAAATAATGATTTTGTTTATCCCGCTGATGATCTCTGGATCCGTATTGGATCTCTTTTTACATACTGTTCTGACTTGACGTCTTTTGCTTGGTGGATTTATGGATGGCCTCCTTGCCTTTTTTTTCCATTCTCAATAGATACTTTGCCCCCTGGCCCTTGTACAGCAAGGGGGAGCTTTTCAATACCACGTATTATGGTGTCCACAAAGAGCGAGTTGAATGCACATCTATGATGTAATTATTCTTGATAATTCTGGACAGTCAATTCCACTGTAACCCTTCGCATACTTCTTAAATACCTGGGCCTTTAGAGCGGCTGGTCGTGTATGTTCAGATGTCATGTAACAATATGTACAATATGTTTGCATCTGTCCATGTCTGATGCCAACGTCAATCCCTCTTCTACTTCAAGGATAGTGAACTGCGAAGCATAACATTGAAGAGATTATGCATGTGTATGCTCAGACATACACGGAGTAGATTCCGAAATATGACTAGTATGGTTTAGAGGTCTCTAAAATATAAGGGAAATCGGGCTCCCCCTGAACAAGAGTAGAACTTATTACACAGTAATTACATAGAGTCTTTTCTCTCTCCACGCGGCGCGGGTGGGGCTTCGTTTCTTGTGGAGTCGAAAGTAGCGGCAACCGTGGCCGTTGTTGTACGGAGTAATGGAGTAAGAGTATGCGGCGTAGTTTTTAGATTTACAACCGAGTACGTGTTCCAAGGCTGTATGAAATATGGATTCAAATTCCCTATGTTAGAGTCTTGCAATGGAAGATTGAAGTGTTGAAGTACATGTCGATTAGTAAGTAGCTTTCTAGGATTCTTCCACGTTGTACCTGTCCACGTGTACATGTAACCTAAGATTAAGCATAGTACTACGGAGTACATGGAAGTCGTGATAGATTGGCTCCTGAGCCGGTATCTCACTATTTGGCCTTGATTTCACTGGCTATTTTTACCACCCCCTAATTAAGGTAGTTACCTATGTATATTTAGAGTAGATTAAATAACATCGTGGAACCTTGAAAGTGGGTTCAGGTTTCTTGCATTAGGACTAAACATAGGAGTCTAACTACCCTCTGGATCCGATTGACTTGTCGACGCTGACAGGGATCGATCTTCGATGCTGAGTGATCAGGATCGATTTACTAGTTTCATCCTCAATTCCATGTTCTGTACATTGGGAAAGAATGTTCTTTTAGCGAAACCTTGGAACGATGTCAATCGTTTAGCCCTAATGTTACTATATGGTGTACATCAAAAGATTGTACTTGGATGTCACTCCTCAAATACTTACTTACCACACCAGCCTCAGCCGTCTCTCTATTCTCCAGTGAGAATTGATTTAATGAGAAACGAGAGATCCTTCTTAGTGGGATCTTCATTCAAATTCCCCAAAAGGTTTAAATAAACTCAGCTAAAGTCGACGCCCCCTGAAACACCCGTGGCCAGGCCCGCTGTGGGCTCAGGAGAAGAGAGCCGTCCAGACTCACCTGTCATTCGTTTTCTTCCTTTCTCTTCTTTAGTTTTTCCCATGTTCATACTCCTTTCTCAATAAAATATTTGATCCTCTCCTTGTTGGCTGGCCCATCATGGAGAGTTTTAGTTCCCAGGCAGGTGATGTTCTCACCCAAGGCTCATCGCCGGATGCGTCCCAGACTTCCACACCTTTAGTCGACACCTCAATTCCAATGCAACCGCAGTCATTGTCCGAGGAAACTCCAAAGTCCAGAATTTCGCGATCCCCATCACTTCTCAACCAGAAACCACCATCGCTGTCTTCCCGATCCAGTCCCGCTACTCGCCATGCTAAACGTCTGACTTTGAACTTTCCCATCAACGTGCCGCATCAAATCCCAGCTACGCCAGCTACTCCAAGTATTGGCTCTCCAGGACCTATGACTCCCGGCCCAAATTCATCCCGACCTTCCCCTGGGTTTCCGATGCCTTTTGACCTCGAGGACGATGGCTACGACTTTTTGCGAGCTATCGCTTCGCAGGAACGAAGGGTGATGGACCTCCGGGAGGAGCTGCAGCGGGCCGAGGTGGATCTCGAAGCACTGAAAAGACAGTGGGCTCTAACGGAGCAGAAGAAGAAACGAGCTGAGATTAGACTTCACGCTGAGCCGATGCAATCGCTTCGGTTCCCCGATCTTGGTGGAACAGACGCTTCAGGCTCAGGTTCAGGTTCAGGCTCAGGTTCAGGTTCAGGCTCAGGTTCAAGCTCAGGCCCAGTCCCAAGCTCGAATTCGCATCGCCGAGAGCAAAGTGTCAGCTCAGTCGGCTCACAAGAGCGAATGAGCCGGGAGCTAGACCGGCGATCAGTTTGGCGCACCGGAGCAACACCGGGCACTACCATTTCCTCCAACGGTCGGCGTGTATTCACAGGCTCTCATACACGTACCCTTTCACTTCTATCGCCGGTCACTCCGTCCATCTCCTCGAATATTGGCCATAGTCTACATCATGGAGATCATCATATCGGAAGAACCCCACGTTCAGCTACGTTACCATCAGTCGAGCGCAAGAATACCAACCATATGCCTGTATCTGTCGATGAGAGTGAGGTGCCCGAACATTTACTTGCGCAATGGCGAAAAACCATGCCACCCCCATCGCGCGAGGCACTCATGCGCACTGGCAAGCAAATGGCTTCCGATTTCCGCGAAGGTCTTTGGACATTCCTCGAGGACATCCGACAAGCCACCGTGGGCGAAGAAGGCATTAACGCAACCGAATCACGAACCTCACCATCGAATTCTCTAGCACCACCTCATGCGCGTAAACGAGATTCCCTCGTGTCCCGGAGTCGGGAGCGACTATCAATCGCAGGAGCCAGCAACTCCCGATCATCCTCATCATCACGCGGCAGGGCTTTGGCCGAGTCAAAATCTGGTAAAGAAACCGAGACGGCGGCCATAGACGCGTCTTTCTGGCATGAATTTGGTGTTGATTCACCAGCGCAGAAGCCTCTCGCCACTCGCCGCAGTTCCGGCAATCCCAGCAACTCCACGACCCCGCAGGGCACGAAAGAACGCAAAAATCCCGATCACCACTCCGAACCCTCCGCGAGAGTAGAGGACGACACTACTGATAACTGGGATTTGTGGGATACACCAATGCCCGTACCGACAAAACATACGCCTTCGTCTAGTAGATCGACATTCGAGTCATCCAAGCCAGACCATTCTCCGACAACACAAGGTAGTAGTCCACGTACAAGTGCTAGGTACGTTAAAAAATTTCACCTTTGTTTCCATCTCCCATCCCTTTTATTCCTAACACGCTCCCTAGCTTTGGCGAGTGGAACCCTATATCTTCTATTCCCGACACCAGTGTGACTGAAGGTATACCTTGGCCTATCATCACCAAGCTCGCTCCGTCAAAGCTCCAGCGAACCGCTTCCAATCTCATGGCTGAGTGGGAGCGAAGTCTTTCGCCCTCTCCGGAGCGATCTTCCCTTAGTAAAAGCAGCAAGAAGGACTAAATGTTGAGTCTCGAATGTTTTTTTTCCCTTCCCCTTTCCCAATTTCATGTAAATATTTACTCCATTGCCTTCTTCGGCCCCGTCTGCGTGGGCCTCCGTTGAGGGTGAATTGGCACGACACGGCATCAACGGTATTATGCAGGGCTACGATTGTTCAACCCACGAAAGCGTTTTGTTCTTTATATTGCGTCTTTTTGAAGGCATCTGGCTATCTTTGCTGGCTTGTTATAAAAGCTGTTTATAAAAGACTGAGATTACTTCAAATATACAGACTCTTTTTTTTCTACAATCGAGAATGAGATGCCCGTTAGTTATTTATGCATCGCCGTTGTAGATTTCACATATCACGTGATATAAATGCGGAACCGGCCTCTATGGTTCCCCGAATAAATAAATTTGCTCCGCAAAAGCTCCGCGTTGGCTAAATTGATAGTACTTACCTCTTCTTAGGGTTATCACCTTTTCTCTCGGGCCCTAAATATCGGAATTGGATCGATATCTTGTCACAACGATCAATATCCGAAAATCATTGACCCTTCCATCATCCTAGCAGAATCATCACTACCGCCAATATGAACACATCAGGCATGCCGGTAGGCCCCATGGGCATGGGAGGAAACCAGACGGCTGGAATGAGTGAACAGGAAGCTGCTATGGTGAAGATGGTATGTGGATTTATAACAGATCTCCTGAATTAGCCCTAACCTTCTGTTTGCAGATGCAACGCGGTATGGAATCGTGTCCTATTAAGACCGTCATCTCCGGTACAATGGGTTTCGCTCTAGGCGGTGCATTCGGTCTCTTCATGGCTAGTGTAAGTCATTCAAAAAAATCAAAATCACATCTTCAGTTATAATGACTAACCCCGACCTCACACTAGATGTCCTACGACTCATCCTTCACACCCCAAGGTCGCGAAATCGCAAACCTCCCCTGGCGCCAGCAAGTGCGCATCGGCTTCAAGGATATGGGAGCGCGCTCATGGTCTTCTGCTAAGAATTTTGGCATCGTTGGTGCCCTCTACTCTGGAACAGAGTGCTGTATCGAGGGTCTGCGCGCGAAGAACGATCTCACTAACAGCGTCGCGGCTGGTTGTGTCACTGGTGGTATTCTGGGTGCTAAGGCTGGTCCGCAGGCGGCAGCTTTCGGTTGCGCGGGCTTTGCGGCGTTCAGTGCTGCTATTGATGCTTACATGCGAATGCCTGCGTCTGACGACTAAATATTGCTATGGCTTATCAGCCTACACGAAGTCCGACTTCGACGTTTCTTCGATCTGTACATTTTAAACGACACTTTTCCTGGGCGAATCTTTGGGGTGAAATGGGAGCATAAGGGGCGTTTTTTCATTCACCACTCATCTGTATTATATGGTAATCTTCGTCATGATTTATTGCCCAGGTGGTTGATCAACGCCCGAGAAGCAAAAGACTAGACAAATTTCAATTGATATACTATTCACATATATATTTGTTACATATACACAGGTCTAAGGCAACACGATGTACTTTTCCAAGCGCTTAGGAATGGAACCCCGTAGGTTTTTACTCTCGAGCCAAGTGTTGGAGAACAACCGATCAGCGTATCGGTACGCTCCGTCGCACAGAATTGTTACCACGGTGCTGCCCTGGCCCAGCTTCTCAGCGACCTCCTTGGCAGCTACCACGTTCAGGGCAGAACTAGCACCGAGGTACAAACCCTCCTCATCCAGGCAACGGTAGATCATCTCAATGGTCTTCTCGTCACTGATGTTCAACGAGCCATCCAAGAGGTCAATATCAGGCTGCAGGTTGTCGGTGACACGACCTTGGCCAATGCCCTCGGTGATGCTGCTACCGGATCGGTCGATCAAATTACCACCGCTCTGGATGTAACTGTGGAGAACGCTTCCTGGAGGATCGGCCAGGAAGCTCTTAACTCGACCGTCACTGACCTCCTTAAGGTAGCGAGTGATACCAGCCAGAGTACCACCGGTTCCAGTAGCACAGGTGAAAGCGTCAAGCTTGCCATTAGTTTGAGCCCAAATCTCCGGGCCAGTAGTCTCGATGTGCGCTTGGCGATTGGCAATGTTGTCGAATTGGTTCGTCCATACGGCATTTTCCAAGGATTCAGCATGGCGACGGGCCTGGTGATTGTAGTTCTCGGGGTTATCGAATGCGACGGCAGGGACCGGGTACACCTCAGCACCTAGCAGGCGAAGCAGATCGATTTTACCCTGGGCCTGGGTGTTGGGCATGTAGATCACCAGCTTGTAACCTTTTGATCGACACACATGCGCAAGACCGATACCAGTGTTGCCGGCAGTACCCTCAACTACGGTACCACCAGGGCGAAGTCCCTTTCTCTCGGCGTCCTCGACGACAAAAAGCGCGGCACGGTCTTTCACACTTCCACCAGGGTTCTGGAACTCCGCCTTACCCAGAATATTACATCCGGTTTCCTCGGAAAGTTTCTTAAGCCGAATGAGTGGTGTGTTACCAATGGCTAGATCAAAGAGCTGTCGTTAAATAGAGGATTCCACAATCGCATGGAAAGTCGACATACCTTCTGTGAGACCATTTACAACACCTTGAGCAGTAGATACTTTAGACGTGTATGATGGTGCATTGGCGGCACGAATGGCCGTGGTACCAAAGCGCCGGATACTGTGCCGGAACATCCTACAGTAAATCAATCGCGAAAATCCTCTTAAAAGTGAATCTACAATTTAAATCGAGCCTCAATCACATCATCCATAGTTAACTCCGATTACGGGCTGAGTCATCATGCACGTGATATCTTATCGTCTTTCCCCGTTTGGGCTGTTTGTTTACCGCCCGCACTCTCCTTGCTTTCATCTGTGGATGCGGTCCTGCAATGCTCATGCTTTTTTCTCTTTGCTAATTGCGCCTTGATAACTAACGCCCACTATGCCCGGCCGAGTCGCCGCACGTTCCACCTCCGCGACAACGCGTAGGTCGTCGGCACAACCTTCAGCGGGGCGTGCCCCCTCAGTGCCCCCATCATTTGCGATTCCCGAAGAGGCGGCGCTTCCTGAAACATCGCCAAACCTCCGTCGTGATGTGTGTACCATTTTTGCAGATGCGCAGCGCTCAACTACCGGTCACCGTAAGCTGGTGGTGCGCTTGCGGAAAATTCAAGAAATTTGCTGTGGTATTGCCCAGAAGAAAAAAGGACAGGAGCAGGTGGATGTGGTGATTCCCGAGGAAGAATCGGTTCCGGAGAGAGAGTTCAACGTGGAGGTTGGGCGTTGCATGCTTCGAATTTTGCCTATCAAGAAATCTGAACCTGTCGGTGATCGCATTCTTCGCTTTATGGATGCCTTCCTCACCCATGCATCCGAGAAGGATGCAGAATTATTTGCTTCGAAGGCCGAGGATGAAGAGGAGATGCACACAGCACCGGAGACACCCACTTCGCGACTAACCTCCAGTATCGTGTCCTTGATAGTGCCTGTTCTCAGCTCCAAAGATAAAATGGTACGGTTCCGTGCGACTCAGATTGTCGCCCATATTGTCAATGCACTCGAGTCGATTGATGACGAACTCTACCACATAATTCGACAGGGCTTGCTCAAGCGCATGCGTGACAAGGAATCAACCGTTCGTGTGCAAGCTGTTCTGGGACTTGCACGATTGGCCGGCAATGACGACGAAGATGATAACGAGGACAACACTACGGCTCTGCTGGAGAAGCTGATTGAAATTATGCAAAATGATACTAGCGCCGATGTTCGTAAGAATCTTCTCACTAATCTCCCGCTTGCCCCCGTTACCCTGCCGTATCTCCTTGAACGTGCCCGCGATCTCGATGCCCCGACAAGACGCACGTTGTATTCGCGTCTTTTGCCAACCCTTGGCGATTTTCGCCACCTGTCCCTATCTATGAGAGAAAAGCTCCTCCGCTGGGGCTTAAGAGACCGCGATGAAAGTGTTCGCAAAGCTACCGGTAAGCTGTTCTACGACCGCTGGGTTGAAGACTGCGCTGGTACCAATAGTGGCGAGGACGGTGCAACCGGTCAACGCTCGGCTCCCAACACAAATGCCTTGCTAGAACTCTTGGAAAGAATTGACGTGGTCAACTCCGGTATGGAGAGCGGCATTGCCCATGAGGCGATGCGCAGCTTCTGGGAGGGTCGACCTGACTATCGGGAGTCGGTGGTTTTCGACGAACCTTACTGGGAGTCTTTATCAGGAGAATCGGCTTTCCTCCTACGGTCATTCAATGACTTTTGCCGTGTGGAAAATGATGGCAAGTACGAAAGCCTGGCAGATGACAAAATGCCGGAAGTTACGGCGCTCGCATACTACCTTTCCAAATATACGACCGATTTACTACAAAGAAAGAAGACCGCAAAGGAAACGGGAGATGACAACGATGACGATGCTGTTGAGCAAGAATTTATCGTCGAGCAACTGCTGCACATCGCAATCACACTTGATTACAGCGATGAGGTAGGCCGGCGGAAGATGTTTTCCCTTCTCCGAGAGTCACTGGCCGTTCCAGAATTGCCAGAGGAATGTACAAAGCTCGCAGTTGAGACGCTAAGGTGCGTATGCGGCCCTGACAATGCAGCCGAGAGTGAATTCTGCAGTGTGGTTCTAGAAGCCATTGCTGAGGTTCACGACACAATTATCACTGACGACAGCTTTGTGTCTGCCAAATCTGAGATCAGTGATGATGCCAGTAGCCGACACCGGTCTGAGACTCCAGCGAGTGAAGATGATGTACCCTTCAATAAGGAAGAAGCTAAGGCCAAGATTCTCCGTGAGATCGTGGTCAACATGAAGTGTCTGCACATTGCGCAGTGTATGCTTCAAAATGTCCAAGGCCACCTACAGCAGAACATTAACTTGGTGACCATGTTGAACAATCTCGTTGTTCCTGCTGTGCGAAGCCACGAGGCACCAATTCGGGAACGTGGCTTGCTCTGTCTGGGCCTGTGCTGTCTACTTGATAAGGTCCGCTTCCGCCCCTCTGAACGCGAATTGCCATTTCTAACGTGCACTAATAGAACCTCGCTGAGGAGAATATGACACTCTTCATCCACTGCTACAGCAAGGGACACGACGGTCTGCAGGTAACGGCCTTGCAGATCATCTGTGACATGGTTACAACCCATCCGTCGCTGCTCACTCCCGTCACACAATCTGACGGCGAGACAGTGACACCGTCAGCCGTTCACAAACCCTTGCTCAAGGTGTTTTCACGTGCCTTGAAGGCCAACGCTCCTCCCAGCGTGCAGTCGGCTGCCGCCACAGCACTCTCAAAGCTTCTCCTTACCAACACCTTCACTCCTTCAGACCCCAACATACCATCCACTATTCAAGAATACAACGAGAATGCTGTTGAGACACTGCTGCAGTCCCTCGTGATATCATTCTTCCATCCTCGCACACGAGAGAATCCGGCATTCCGACAGTCCCTGGCTTATTTCTTCCCTGTTTACTGTCACTCACGGTTAGAAAACACTCAGCGAATGCGGCGGGTGTCTGTACCGATTATTCGCGGGGTCATGAATGCGGCTGAGGAGCACTATTCGCTTGAGGCTGAAGAGGACAGTGACGGTGAGATTGACGCGAGTGTTGGCGAGCGCGAAGTCAAGGCATTGATGACAGGTGTTATTGGAATGCTAGCTGAATGGACTGATGAGCGCCGCGTTGTTGGTCTTGGTGGTGAGCGTGTTATGATTGGTGGCACTGCCAGCTCGACTGCCTGTGGGTGGGTACACTTGGCCCTAGTCAAAGACATCCTGGAGCGCGTTCTGGGCATCAGTGCTGGTAGCAATCGTTGCTCGAAAGATGAACGCAAGCTAGTTTTCTCACTCTTGAGCAAACTTTACATTGCCGCCCCGACACTTCCTTCCACTTCCACCCGCGCTGGATCCCGTGCTCCTGAGGGTGGCGATGACCAGCTCCGTATTAGCGTTCGAAGTGCCGCGACACTCGAGATTGATCCCAACAATGTCCAGCTTGCTCATGAAGTCAAGGACCTCTTAGACCAGACGATTGAGGAGGGTCTTGCTGGTGAGGCATCCAGTCGAAATGCCTTGGTCAAGGCCAAGAATGCAGTTCTCAAGATCCTTGCAGTTGCCCAAGATGCCCGGGCCGCCAGTGTACGGCCCCGTGCAGGCACCGAAGATCTAGAGAGTGACGCTGGTAGCGTTCGGTCAGCGAGTGTTCGGCGCTCTGTCGAGCCTTTTGGTGCTGCAAGTCGTCGTCATGTCTCCGTGGAACCCAGCATCATGGAAGAAGATGAAGGAGACAGCGGTATTCAAACAGGAAGGATTCGTCCCTCCGTTGAAGTCGGTCGTCGTATTGAGCCTAGTATTATGGAGGAAGATGAAGATGATCTTGATACTAGCAGAGGTACTGTGATTAAGGATGAGGTCACTGACTGATGAATAAATGATTTTCTGTTGTTCAGTGTTCATGATGGCGTTTATCGAGTTTCGTGGATTTGGGGTGGGGGGTAGGGTTCGAACTCTATGTGGTCTTATTTTTATTATTATTATTATTATGAAGAGTACAGAAGTTTCAATTTTGCAGTATGAGTCTTGCGTTGGAATGGAATAAGTTAGGGCTTCGACGTATGCTTCGATGTATACCCAACGCCACGTGATTTTCCCATTACTGTTTGTTCCTTCAAGAGTTCTTTACGTATTTAATACCTTTGAGTATCTCGAGTCAAAGGCCAGTTACAGTTTCTACTTTAGGGCTATGGTCTAAACTTAGGTGTTTCTCTCCTAATAGCTCATAATATCTTATCTCGTCTACTCTAAAGCATGGGCCCATTTCTCTGGAATTTGACAGGGATCCACTCTACCAGCATCGCATTGAACGAGAGAAAGTACATTAAGAAGCATGGGCTAGACTAGAAATTAACACGGTATCCAATTTAGTAAGACTATAGGAACAGGGATTCTGGCCTGGCTGGGGTTGCACGGAAGTGGCATTTGAAGGCAAAATCAGCAAAACAAAGAAGGCAAAAATTAATAAAATAATCAGGGGAATTTAACACAGACTCTTATTATCCTACAGTGGTATCTACTAAATAAACTGTTTGCTGTTGCTTCTATTGGGATCAGTAATCTCCGACCCCCGTGAACCCGAAACTTTTCTTTTCCAAACTCCACCTTCGAGTTGGCTCTTTTCTTCCTCACCCCCCTTTCCCTTTCCTTCTTCTCTCTTCCCCCGGGTTTCTTTTTTCCTTCTTTTTTTTATATACACCACGACACCCCCGGTCGTGTTTGTCTCTTGCTGTTCCTTGCAGAGGCAACCGTTTCCTTCTTTTACCCCCGGCTCTCTCTCCTGTCGTTCTGTTGGAACGTCCAAGCTATGGCCGCCGTCACAGCTCCCACTCCCAAGCTGGATCGCTACGTTGTAATCCACGTTGCAACCACATGTGATGAGCATGGAGTCTATGTCACCAAGGATTCAGCTGAGGTGATCGAATTGGGATGGATTCTGTTGGACACCAAGACTTGTGATGAGGTACCTACACACAATCCGCAATCTTCCTCTTTTCCCCTCAGCATTTTTTAGCCAACATCTCGCCCCTCCCCAACATCTATTACTGAACTCGAATTAATATAGCTTACCTTTTTTCCTCTTTCTACTAGTTGCATCGTGAAAGTGTCCTTGTAAAGCCTGTCAATACTCCAATCACACCCCTCTGCAGTGAGCCTTCCCATCAGCTAAGACCATTGATATACCCGTACAAGTACATGGCCTCCCGGAAACGTTTCAGCTAACCTAGTACCACAGCGAGCTTGACTACTTTGACTTGGGAGCACGTCCGCTCAGCAGGTACATTCCGTGATGCCATCTCGCGGTTTGACGCTTTCGCCGCGGAACATCTCACCAGCAAGCAACTCGAATTTGCCTTTGTGACGTTGGATTCGTGGGATCTGCGCGTGCAGTTGCCCCGTGAAGCCCGTGATAAGGCCGTTGTGCTGCCTGCATACCTGCAGCACTCCCGAACCTTTGACCTGCGCACCGAATACCAGCGCTGGCAAACTCATCATCCCGAGTCGCTGCCCTTCGGTCCCAGCTCTTTGTCGAATATTTGTGCCGCTCTCGAGGTTGAGCCCGTCCAGTCTTCCGCCCCTATCAAGCACAATCTTCCATTCCATCTGCAAGCATTGGCCCCAGCTTCCCCGCGCCGTGCTATGGAGGAGGCCATTACTCTCGCCCGCGTTCTCCGAGGCCTGATTCGCAAGTCACAGCCTCCTCACGAACACCCCGAGATCCTGACCCGCCCGATGGATGCCCACGCCGATGTGCGTGCCTTCCTCACTGAGCGGAGCAAGGTCCTTCACTTGAGTGGCCTGCCCCACGACACCACACAATCGGAGCTGGAGAGCTGGTTCACCCAGTTTGGCGGCCGGCCTATTGCTTTCTGGACTCTGCGGACTCCAGACCAGCACAAGCCTACCGGAACTGGCTTCGCCGTTTTTTCATCCCATGAAGAAGCCGCCGAGAGCCTGTGCATGAATGGCCGAGCTCTCAATGAGAAGGCAATTGAGGTCTCTCCATCCTCAAGCCGAGTCCTCGACCGAGCGGCCGAGATCCTCACACCATTCCCTCCCTCGAAGAACCGTCCTCGTCCTGGTGATTGGACTTGCCCGTCTTGCGGGTTCTCCAACTTCCAGCGCCGCACTGCATGCTTCCGCTGCTCCTTCCCGGCCATGGCTGCTGCCCCCGACCCGATGGGTTACGGCTATGGATACGGCCCTCCGTCCATGATGCCCCCTCACATGGGCCATGGTCATGGCATGGGTCACTCTCGGGGTATGGGAGGCAACGGCGGTGTTGTTCCCTTCCGTGCTGGTGACTGGAAGTGTGGCTCGGAGGGTTGTGGTTACCACAACTTTGCGAAGAACATCAACTGTCTTCGCTGCGGTGCCCCTCGTTCTGGCGCTGCAGTTGTGGCCGATAACGCATTCAACTCGCCGATGGATCCACCATCTCAGTTCGGCATGGGTCCCAATTCAATGGCAAGCACTCCGGCTCCCGGTCCGTTTGCTTCCACCGCTGGTGGTAGCTTCGGTGGTTTCAGCCAACAGTTCGGTGGTCCACCTAACAACTATGCCCTCCCCACCGGTGGTCTGGGTAATGCTCCGGGAGCTTACCCTCCTATGGGCCAAGTGAACTCGGGATATGGCTCGTCAAACAACTCTCATTCGGCTGCATCCTTTGCAAACCCTGCAACACAGGCGGCATTCACTGGCGCTGACCACGGCGTCCCCTCCACGAACGCCTCCAACGGTGCTTTCTACGGCTCCGAGGCCTCCAGCGACCCTTTTGCATTCCTGTCGACTGGCCTCGGTGGTCTGACCGTTTCTGATGATCCTCACTCTCGTCGGAACGGTACTGGTTCTAACAAGTCGCCAGCCTAAATATAGGGTGACTTATCCACTTTTTCGCCCGAACCGGGCGGTCACACTTACTGTCCATACTGCAAACCAAAATTGCATTGGTTGAAATTGGTTGATACGCATTGTAAAAGGGATTCTGCGGTTCCGGTGCATCGGGTTGAAAGGAGCAGGCGGGTAGCGTGCGTCGACGATTCCGGTTATTCTTCTGCCGTCCTCATTTCTGGATGATTTCTTGTCTCTTTGGTCCTTTTTTTCCTTCTTGATATTTTGGTTGTTGGCCCCCTTGATTCCATCTTGAGCTCTATATGGTCTGATCTGGTCTGCTTTTATATTTATTTTTCTCTTTTTTCTTTTTGTCTTGTTCAGGATGGCGGCATATTTGGAGCCCGCCGGGGGCGTGGATTTTGGCCATTGTCATGGGTTTGGACGCGAAAGCATTGTGAGCCTAGGTTGTGCACTCGACCTACACTGCATTTTAGATCTTTTGTCCTTCCCTTTTTGCGTTGGGTCATGGCAAGCGTCGGAGAATTCACGGTATTGATCTCACGGGTGGGATATCACATTGGTTCGGACTCCGTTGGGGGTGTTGGGGGGTTTCAATTTTGCGCTTACGCCGGCTTTTGGGCTTTGGGCTTCGGATCGAGGGTGTTATTCATCTTTGGAGGCCATCCACATGGCATTGGGCAAGAAAAAAGATTGTTCTGTCTATATTTTTGACTTTTGTGACTCGCATCTATATTTCGTTGTACTAGTACATCTGCCGTGGTTTACTGCCTGGCTTGGCCAAGATATATATATAAGTGACACATTTGTTACTGATGTCAGGCTCTCTATCTCTACCTATGTGGGCAGTCTCATTCAGTTGGAATAGACCCTATTTCCCCTAGTAGGTGTAGACTCTGCCCAGTTGCACTCGAGGTTCTACTATATAGATCAAGCATATCAACTTCGGGAGGTTGATATTTGGTCAAAATGAGTGATAAACCGTGATAACCTTCCTATAATATCAACACAGATTTTGTGACGTAGCAGACTAGTATCTGATATTTTCAGCCATTAGAAAGAAGTCGTGGCTTCATTGCTGAACTGATTAGCTTATGAGCCGTTGTCCTTAACTATGGCGCCAAGGCAACCGTAGGCTTTCGTGGGCGGTGACGCGGGCCCCATTCATTGCTCTGGCACATCATCGCGCTCTGCAACAACTACCTTCCCAGCTCCTCTCTTTTCTCCACAACTCCGATTTACAAGAAACCCTTGCCTATTCATTTTTACTGTTTCTGTCTATTTTCTCGTACTATTGCATCAATATGTCCGGCTACGACCGAGCTCTCTCAGGTAAGCCAGCTAGCTCCTCCATCAATAAGAGCCCTTTCACCTCGTTCTCATCAAGTCAATCATGCTAACTCAGACTAGTTTTCAGGTACGCATTAACACTTTGAGCTCCAGCTCTGGATATAATTACTAAAATCATCCCCAGTCCTGATGGGCACGTCTTCCAGGTTGAGTATGCCATGGAGGCAGTGAAGCGAGGTAAGAGCATATTGCAACAGATCAAGCACCTCTTTCTCACCTTATCTACCATTAATCTGGGGAATGATAAGTGGAATGAAATGCTGACGGATGTCACAATGTAGGAACTTGCGCCGTCGGTGTCAAAGGCAAGGATATCGTCGTCCTCGGTTGCGAAAAGCGTTCCGCCCTTAAGCTCCAAGATACGCGCATTACCCCCTCGAAGATCGCCATGGTGGATGACCATGTGTGCCTCGCCTTTGCTGGTCTAAACGCCGATGCTCGCATCTTGATTGACAAGGCCCGGTTAGAAGCCCAGTCCCACCGTCTGACCGTCGAGGACCCCGTTACCATTGAATATATTACCAAGCACATTGCGAGCGTGCAGCAGAGATACACACAGAGTGGTGGTGTGCGTCCATTTGGTATTAGTACTCTGATTGTCGGTTTCGACAAGAATGACTCTACACCACGCCTGTACCAGACCGAACCGTCTGGTATCTACTCCGCCTGGTAAGGTTTTTCTGCATTATACTTTGGTGTACATCGTTTTCTGACTGAGATTTTATCCCCATTACAGGAAAGCCAATGCTATCGGTCGTTCCAGCAAGACCGTTCGCGAGTTCCTTGAGCGTAACCACCAAGATGACATGGACCGTGAGCAGACAATCCAGCTGACCATCAAGTCATTGTTGGAAGTTGTGCAAACGGGAGCCAAGAACATTGAGGTAGCCATCATGGCCCCGGGCAAGGGTGTTGAGATGCTGCCGGACGAACAAATCGAATCGTATGTCAAGAACATCGAGACCGAGAAGCAGGAGGAAGCGGCCAAGAAGAAGACCCGAACAGGGACTACCACTGCCGCCATTCTCACCCGGCCTGGCGGCGCCGAGTCAACTGATTAAGCAAGATATCAGGACTTATGGTCCGTGAAGGATGACTAGTATCTTATCTGTGTCGATTTACAATAGCGCTGGTCTCTCCCTTTCACGAGGATCCAACGACGAAGTTTCTACACATTTGACTTTGTTCTCTCGTATTTGTACAGTATGTAAAAGGGAGGGTATTGATACCATGAGCAAATTGACCCCAGATGAAGGCGCAAGAAAAATGAAGCATCAGGTCGTCAACATCATGAAATTAAAATAGAACCAATGCAACTTCACGACACTAGCCCATGCGATCAGACAGGTCTTTGAAATTGAAGATGGACTTTTCTTGATCGCCGCGAACACGGTCATCCTTGAGCATACTGGAAATACTTCGTTAGTGTCTGCTTTGAAGGCCGCAATATTGGATCTTCTTCATACCGATTGTCCATTCGCACGTCGTCGCCTTCCACCTGTAGGGTTGCTTTCGGTGTCACGGCCTCGAGGACAAAGTGGTTATCGCAGTGTGGACAGTACTCGTCACTGCACAAAAATGTTTAGTATCTCGCGCATCCCTGTGGATGGTGGAGCAGTCGTACCTCTCCTCGAACTCGGCGGCGTCCTTACGGAAGGGCTTCCTGCATTTTTTACACGCGAAGACCTATATGGTCAGCATCATGATTTAAACTAACACGAGTGTAGAGATCTACTGTCATACCATCTCTTGGGACTTCTTCAATGGATGTGACTCTTGTTCCTGGTGGCATTCGGCACAATCGAACCACTTGCGGCCTGTTCATCACTGATGAGTTATCTTGTATATAAATGAAGGCTCTCGTTTATCATACAGCAAGGGGATCGAATAGACACTTGCGCGTTAAGGACGTGTTTACTGTTAAGCGGGGGATTGTTAGCTTGTCTTTTTTTTTTTTTTTTTTTGTTTTTGGGCGGCCAGGGGTAATGGGGATTCCACTCATAAGAGCGTCAAGCTGAGTAATGAGGATATATTAGACTCACCACATGATGCTGACGAAGATGCGTAGACTGTTCACTAATATATGGGGGCTTCAAGGAGTTGAAGAAACGTTGCGCAGGAACCTGTTGATCAGCCTCTCCCGTGATCGTCCTCCACTTTCCTCCCCGCCATTTATTCCAACTTCACCTTCTCCTGTCCACTATAGCGTTGCTCGGACGGTTCACTTCTCCTATTCCTCGGCCTTTGTGCCGCTCACGATTTACAACTTCGCTTCGTTGTTTGTTGTGCTCAAAACCTTTCTTATCACTCCTACCTCAAGCCAGTCCCCCCACTAGATCCCCGGCAATAACAAGGAGGCCTATGATCGATTCTCACAACCGGTTTCGGCGACGAATTTACGGTTATTGTTATGGAGAAGAATGACTCAGAAGAGGCTGATGGCGCCTCCATTGTATGCAATGCGCAACCGTTTTAATGTGGCACGTGGAATTTAAACTGACTCGCATATACCAGAGACCTGTATCTTCCCTACTATCCCATTTCGAGAACCTCGCTCATCGCAATCCTCAATCTACCTCGAGTACCAGCCCGAATGACTCTTCCAGCCGAGTTTTGAGAACCCCTGAGCCCATCGACGAGCTCCGATCATCCAGCCGCGCGTCCCTAGATCTTCCCCGGCCACAATCACCCTGGGACCCGGAGGATAGGCAGGGGCGAAACCATGGTCTGGAAAACATACGACAGAGAAGGTTAAATGGATCTTCTCGAACGCGATATGGCAGGCCCATTTCTATGAGTGTCCATCAATCGTCGCCGCAGCTCACACCTACCTTGACTGTCCAGTCACCTCGTTCGCCGCCGCGCATCTCGGAACAAGACCGTCTGGCATTACGCCAAAGTAATGATCGACTGACTCGAAGTCCCTCGCTGCATTCCTCTAGAGAGACTGTCTCGGCCGGCGTCTCCCCCAATCCATCTAATCGGCCAACAACACCAAATGATGGTCCGCCTGTTCTGCGGGGAGCGCAAGGGGGTCCAATCGGGCGACTTTCACCAGTTGCGCCGTTTTTGAACGGCCATGGGGGTCCAGGGGATCGGAAATCGAAAAGTATCTCGTTACCGCCGCCAGTAAACCGGGCAGATAAGCCGAAAATACCAGTCAAACCAGCCATGCTTTCTTTTCACGATTCAAACTGTTTGGCTCCCCAGGCAGATCCTGTTTCATCTGAGGGTCACGTATCGCCTTTCAGTACTCCTCCCAGCAGCCCAGAGAAGATACCGGCCAAGGTCTTATCTGCTAGTAAAACTGCTCCTCCTCCGCCCCTATCTGCACGGCCTATCACTCCTATTAGACATTCGTTCGATAGTAGATCTGCATTGGCGAGTGCGAGTGCGAGTACTCGAAATGATGTCCAAGCAATCGGTTCCCCAAAGATCCCTCCTGCTCCTGCTGAGCCTTCTCGAGCTACGAAACCCTTGATGGTGCAAATTCCTTTAACATCCTCTTGGGTGTTAGAGACTTCAACAGCCCCACCTTTTTCTACTCAAAGGATTTCGACAACTGATAGCCCCATTGAGCGCCCTGGACTTCCACCACGACCGTCGCCTGCAGCACCTCGGCGGAGAGACTTCTCGTCCGTGAGTGGACCAGTACAACCTGTAACTAGCCCATCATCAATGACGCCAATTTCTCGATCACTTTCTCGATCAATCCCTTCAAAACCTCAAGCGAGCGAGGGCCGGACACCGCGGATTCCTCTACGCCAACATTCTCTGCCGCGCGAATATTACCGACCTTCTACCCTTGTCGAGCCTCGAATCATACGCACAGATACTGAAGAAGACATCACGGGAGAAGAGAATCCCATTCGGGCTGATTACCCGGACGCCTCACAGGCTAACAGACGCCCTCCTTATCTCAAAACTGGACCTAGGGAAATTCCTACTAGATATGATACCCGTCTGCTCGCCGTTTGTGGGAAATATGTGTGCACAGCCGGATATTTGACTCGTGCGTGGGATCTCACAACTGGGGAGCAAATCATGAGCCTCAGTCATGGTGAGACCGTAAAGAGCTTGGCAATAGCATTTAAGCCAGGAAAAGGACTTGAAGACGAGGGTCAGCGTATTTGGCTAGGTACCAGCGCTGGAGAGCTTGTGGAAGTTGATATTTTATCAAATTCTATCGTTTCGACGCGGTCATATCCCTCTCGCCGAGAGGTTATTCAAATATTGCGTCATAAGAAAGATATGTGGACTCTTGACGATGAAGGTCGACTACTGGTGTGGATGCCAGATGAGTCTGGCACTCCCAATTTACAGTACAGCTTTCACAGTCCGCATGAGCGCGTTGCACGAGGCCATACTTTTTCCATGGTTGTAGATGATACGCTTTGGCTGGCCACCGGCAAAGATGTACATGTATATCGTCCTAGTGCACGCGATGACGGCTCATTCAAAGTTTTAAAGCGGCCACTCGGCTCCCAGCATTCTGGTGATGTTACATCGGGGGTATATACCACCAAGGATGGTGGCCGAGTATATCTTGGCCATGCAGATGGGAAGGTGACCGTTTATTCGTCAACTGACTATTCATGTTTGTCCGTGGTCAACGTTAGCCTCTACAAGATCAACTGCCTTAGTTTTGTTGGCGACTATCTATGGGCAGGATACAAAACGGGCATGATCTATGTCTACGATGTCAGAAAAAATCCCTGGATTGTAAAAAAAGATTGGCGTGCTCATGATAGCCCCGTCTCTGCTTTTGTACTGGATACGAGTAGTGTCTGGACGATTAATCGTCTCCAGGTGACTTCACTTGGCACTGACCAGTGCATTCGTCTTTGGGATGGTATGTTGGAGGATGATTGGCTTGGTAAGTTCCTTGTGCACTGGCTTTTAATTTTTAAAACAGTTCTTTTTCTAACTACTGCCAGATGCTCGGATGCAAACCAAAGATGTGGAGTTTTGCACCTTTCGGGAACTGCGAACTGTCATTGTGTCTTGGAATGCCGGAGCTTCTACTCCCGGTAGTGTTCGCACGTCAGATTTCATTAGAGATGCTGTCAATCCGGATCTTCCGCCTGATATCGTGGTGTTTGGTTTCCAGGAGCTGGTTGACTTAGAGAATAAGAAGATCACTGCAAGTACGTACAAATGATTCTCACTGTTTACGATGTTATACTAATCCTTGTCCAGAGAGTTTACTTATGGGTAGCAAGAAGAAGGAGAATGGCGAGAAGGAGCATATGAGTCGACAGTACCGAGTATGGATCGAACATCTCACTCAGACTCTTAATGCATGCATGCCTCTCGATGAGTCGTATGTTCTTATCCACACTTCCAATATGGTCGGGTTGTTCACCTGTGCCTTTGTAAAGCACAAAGAACGCCACAATATCAAGAACCTTAGTGCATCGGAGATTAAGCGGGGAATGGGTGGATTACATGGTAACAAGGTATGATGCCTGTTGCTCTGTATGATTTATGCATACTAATTGGCCATCCTAGGGTGCCCTGATCTTCCGCTTTGTTTTGGACGACAGTTCTATGTGCTTTGTCAACTGCCATCTTGCAGCAGGTCAGACCCAGACCGCTAACCGAAATAATGACATTGCAGCTATCCTGGAAGCCGAGTCATTACCCGTGGAAAGCAATTTCAAATCACGAGCTGATCAGTACGCCAGCGGTGGTGATGGTTCTATGATTATGGACCACGAGATCTGCATTCTGAATGGAGATTTGAACTACCGAATTGACTCTATTCCAAGAAATGTCATCATCAACGCCGTCCAGCAAAACAACCTCTCTAAACTCCTTGAACGCGATCAGCTTCTAGCATCCCGACGAAAGAACCCGGGATTCCGGCTACGCAGCTTTATTGAGGCGCCGATCACATTTGCACCGACGTACAAGTATGACGTTGGTACAGATGAATATGATACAAGTGACAAGAAACGCTCCCCGGCCTGGTGTGATCGTGTTCTTTACCGAGGTCTTGGCCGCATCAAACAACTCGACTACCGACGACACGAGGTTTATGCCTCGGACCATCGGCCTGTCAGTGCGAGCTTCAAGATCCGCGCGAAGACGGTGCTCCAGAAGGAACGGGCTGCGGTTTGGGAGACGTGCCAACTCGAATTTCAGGATGAAAAGCGCCGTCTGGCTTCTGAGGCGAGGTGGGTTCATCTAACTAGTTAATTTTCTTGAATGTCCCGAAAACTAATCGAACTTTTATTTTAGCATCGAGTATCTCATCACTGTGCTCGGCACTGACCCCCGCCAAGCGCGCGCCCTGATCTTAGGAAAGGCAAAGTAAGCATGGGCATTGAGTTTGGGCATCAGCGATGCGATCTGCCCTTTTTTATGGGCCGATGTATCCATATTGTACGAGTAACGATTTCACGATAGACATACATCATGACGGAGCTAAGAGCTCTGTGCATTACTGTTATTTATCCACAATGCACTATTGTTCGAGCGGAGAAAAGAGTACAAGTCGTATGACTTGGGCCTTCGAAGTGTAACCCAAGTATCTTGTTTGTTCTTCTGTTTCTCCACCTATAGATCTGTCTAACGCTATGAACATTCCCCGCATGAATTATGCAGATCTGCATGGTTCCGTAGTTGCTGGGCTTATTTATCCGTGAAGCTAGGTGGTTTCCCCGGTATTTCCCCTCATTAATATGTCTCTGATACCCAACTTTCAAGGGTTGGATCAGATTTATCTACCTATTTTGCAACCTATAGAACCTATTTCCAGCTTTAGCTAATAGCAAGCCATTATCATGTATCATTTCTTGACTTTGGCGTTTTTAGCCGCCCTCCCCTCGACACGCGCACTTGAGAGGGAGGACGGAGTGGTGAGTCTTTGTTTGACCTTATGATGGTTATCGGTCCAAAGTTGACAAAAATCACTTTTGATTAGGGGAGACTGCCAGCCCTGGGTTGGAATTCGTGGAATGCCTTCGCGTGCAATGTGAATTCCTCAGCTATTCTGACAGCCGCCAATGAGATAGTCAATCTCGGACTGAAGGATCTCGGATATGAATATGTCAACAGTAAGTACCGAGTCCTTCATCTTAATTAGCTGGTTCAGACATTAATATTTGAATATCATTCTAGTCGATGATTGCTGGTCTGTCATCGATGTTCGCAATTCGACAACTCAGCGCATCATCCCTGACATCACTAACTTTCCAGATGGAATTTCTGGGCTTGCAGATCAGATTCACGATCTAGGCTTGAAGATTGGGATTTATAGCAGTGAGTTTAGACTGGTCATTCTCTCTCATGAGGATAAACAACTAATCGTTCTTTTCTCAGGTGCCGGACTGACGACTTGTGCTGGATACCCTGCGAGTCTGGGGTACGAGAAGGTCGATGCCGAAGCATTTGCTGAGTGGGGAATTGACTGTAAGTGTATCTTCAGCTGATCGAGTCTTTCATCCAGTATACTAAGACGCATAGATCTTAAATATGACAATTGCGGTGTCCCCAGTGACTGGGAGGATACATATAGCGCTTGTGTTCCTGATGGAAATGATATAAATACCAATGGCACTTGTGTCGATATCACGAATCCAGCACCTGATGGCTATGACTGGACGACATCGAAGACCTTCACACGTTATGCGGACATGCGGGATGCCCTTCTTAGCGTGAACCGAACAATTTTGTACTCACTCTGCGATTGGGGATACGCAGATGTGAATACTTGGGGGAATAAGACTGGTAATTCCTGGCGCATTTCCGGCGATATCACGGGTGAGATCCATCTCTTATCCAAGTGCAGACAGTTACTGACCTTTGAAAATAGCAAACTGGACTCGGATTGGCCAGATCGCCAACGAGAACAGCTTCCTGATGAATTACGTCGACTTCTGGGGCCATCCAGACCCAGACATGCTAGAAGTAAACAACGGCAACCTCACAACGGCCGAGAACCGAGCACACTTTGCTCTGTGGGCGATCATGAAGTCTCCATTGATCATAGGCACGGCAGTACGTTGAATCCATCTGATATCCCCGCCAGTGTAAACCTACTAACAAGAGAATTAGCTGGATAGCATCAGCGATGAGAATCTCGCCATTCTGAAGAACAAGTATCTGCTAGACTTCCACCAAGACCCCATAATCGGACGCTCTGCCCGCCCATACAAGTGGGGGTATAACCCGGACTGGACCTTTGACCCATACCATCCAGCCGAGTACTGGTCTGGCCCGTCATCCCTCTTCAATGGTACGCTCGTGTTGATGCTCAATTCGGAGAACTCGACTGAAACTCGGACTGCGGTCTGGAGCGAGGTTCCAGAGCTTGGTGGCGATGCGTATGATGTTGTTGATGCATGGTCTAATGAGGATCTGGGGTGCGTGAAGAATGAATATAGTGTCTCATTGGAAAGTCATGATGTTGCTGTTTTAGTTGTGAAGGGGGAGTGCTAATGAGCTAGCTTTTAGTCTATAGTTACTCTTTTCGATAGAAGCAAAGACGAGAATGAACAGCTTCCTTCCAATTATTGCTTATTTGATGATATTTCAAGATTCTTAGAGGACGATCGAAGCCAGGTGTCGAAATTTCCAAGGGCGTGGGTGGGGATCACTGAAGGTTGATATGGATGTATAGAGATGAGCAGGGCCCAGGTACCTAGGTATATATGTCTTGATAAGACTGGCATGGGCGCTCATTTTACACCCGATACCTAGAAATGTATCTAGTACAATTAGTATTAGCATATGGTCCAGATTCCAACGTAGAGAACCACTATCTGTGACTAGCAGCCACTATAGCCTAGACTATAAACAAGACCCGCCGGCTGGTTACGTTTGAAAAGCCGATGGCTCTGGGGGTCTCGAAACCCGGTCTACTTGGTCTTGGAACACCTAAGTAGACCATTCAGACCCGGCTACATAAGCCATCTATTTTTGAAACCTTAAGAGATCCATTTGATCACGGGATTGGGACCCTCTCTCTTCGAGTACGAGTTGTTTTAACATACTCATCATTAAACTAACTAGCGGCGGTTGATTAATCAGTCTTATTCTACAATAATTCCGCTGTATCTCATACAAAATTACTTGACCAGCTCATAACATAGCAGGAAATTAGCGAAGTTGCCTCTGCTCAAGCATTACATATCACGTGATGGTCCACTTTTTACCCCGGATTCATGTCATCCTTCCCGAAACGCCTTTGTTGTTCTAAATTTAGTTACTATTTAATCATGAATTTCAAGATTCATGGCTATGTAAAGAATCTTTTTAAAAAACCGTGGAAATAATGGTTGATTTAATTTTATGACTTTACTTCATTTTTCAAGGAACAAGATTGGGGTAATAGTCAATCCCAAGGCACCGTAACGTATTTGGACATAGACATTTGGTCTATAATATTGACAATAATTAGTCATGGAACGTTGAGATGAATGGGTATGATCTCGTGTGACCGAATGCGATAAGATCTTCCCATGGTTGAGTGGTTCGCTGCTTTCGGACTTCTAAGCCACTGGTTCCATGGAAATGAGCAATCAAACGATATAACCGTTGCTCCTTCCTCCTAGCCTTCCTCTGTCCTTTCTAATCTATCAGCCTTATAACACTACTTCTACTTAAAAATATCCTTCCAAGGTTGTGGTCATAACTAATTGAATTGAAAAAAATGCCTTCACTGCCATGAATTGGCCATTCCGCTTTCACCATAACGAGTCCGGGTCGTTTCGCCATGGCAGATTGTTCGTTTACCTGGCATTAACAGCTAGCTTCCTACTTCTTTCCTACCAGTTCGTTCTAAACCGCGAGTCTCTGAGTTCAGTCTCACGGGTCGTGGGACATAGTCTCTTGGGGCATGGACACGAAGGGATTGAGAAGGAATTGGTATTTGCTGCTATGCTTAAAAGCGACATGTCTTGGGTTGACGACAACCTGCCTGGCTGGAGAACGAATATATATCGTGCTGATTTGGCTGCTGCTGAAGAAACTGAGGCCAATCTGACGGTCCCAATGAACAAAGGGAATGAGGCGATGGTCTTTCTCACGTATGTATCTCATCTTTTTTATCCTCTGTTTCAGGCCGTTCTGATTGGATTCGGATAGTTACTTAATCGATCGTTACTCCACGCTACCAGATGTAGTGATCTTCCTCCATGGTGGTCGTTACCAATGGCACAACGACAACCCACTATATGGTATGCCAACTATGTCACTCGATTACTTCTACCCAGCAAGTGTCATGATCTAACCTGTCTCTTGTAGATTCCCTCATTTCAATCAAAGATCTACATCTCAATTTCGTCCGCGAGGCAGGTTACGTAAACCTACGCTGCACCTGGCCAATAGGTTGTCCTTCAGAGCTCGAACCAGGTAGATACTTGCGCGATCGCCCTGATGATCCACAACATCCAACGGCTGTGCAGTATCCTGATAGTTTCATGGCATTATTCCCCGGTGAGGAGGTCCCTGAGGTCGTGGGCACGCCGTGTTGTAGCCAATTCGCCGTCTCGAGGGATCAAGTGCATCGACGAGAGAGAAAGGAGTATGAACATGCTCGACAGTGGTTGCTTGATTCAGAACTGGATTCAGCTACCAGTGGACGCATTATGGAGTATGCCTGGCATAGTATGTATTCATGGCTTCTGAGAGTTGGGATTTGAAGTTTGATGCTGACTTTATTACAAGTTTTGTTTGGAAAACCACCGCAGCACTGTCCTAATGCGACGGAATGCTATTGTAAAACGTATGGGTACTGCAATATGAACGAGGAAGATTTGCGCCAACAGTGGGTTTGGCGTGGTACGAATATTGATAAATGGATGGTCGAATCTAGGAACAAAACGGCTTAACTGGATATACAAAAGTTAAATAATATAATTCATAATTGATAAAGACAGTTGGTCATTTTTTTAAGTTCCGACCGTATTGATTTATCGCCACAGATCCTGTTGACTCGATCGCTTGTATCCAGCCGAGCTCTGGGGCCTTTCTTCATCTACTGGCACAGCGAGGAAGCCTCCAAACCCATTACCGACCAATACACTCTTGCGCGAATCGCCGCCCCAGGATCTATTCAGCTGCGCTTCCTGGAAGCTCACTGGGCGCGTCTTGGCAGGAGGCGACCCAATGATAGGATCTGGTTCATATGGAGTGAAATTCCACTCCAGTTCATCCAGACCCTTGCTGTAAACATTCAGGGGCTGAGAAAGTCCACGAGGAGATCTTCCGTCCTCGCCAAAGAGTCGTGGGGGAGGGGTGAGTAGAAGAGTGTCGGGGAACTGTGAGTCTCGGACGTACAAGTCGCGAAGAGCGGGTAATGAACGAGATAGCAACGATGTTATGAGGTACTTGTAATATGACTCGGTCGCTGGAGGCAGTCCTGGGCAGCCAGTTTCTGCTGTGATTTCATAATGCAGAAGGCGCAGTGATTTGGATGAGAGTGCGGGGATTTTCTGGTCCGGAAACGATCGTGATACTTCTTGTTCGATAGAAAGGCTCACAAGATGTGAGGAGAGTGACAGGATTTGATGCAGTGTCGAGGCTAGGACACCAGTTGAAATAAGAGTCAATGAGTTCAGGGTGGACTGGCTGTATGGCGATGAGAGAAATGAGGCAATCCCGCTCGCCGTCACATTGGGAACATCCCGAAGTGTGAGCTTCTCTAGCGCGGGTAGAGGTGGGAAAGAAGTGTTCCCCGCAAGCGCGGAATCATCCAGCGTTGGGATGTCATCGAGAATCAGATCGCGTAGATGGGGAAATGCTGCCAGGCTATTGCGAAGGATGGCAGGTTCGATTTGCAGCCCGGAGAGTTCTAATCTCTCTAGCTGGTTCCAGAGTTGTGATCCTGGCAGCCGCGCAAAGCTTCCCTCTGAGCCGTGGCGATAAGCCATGTGACGGAGATCGGTACATCGCACCATCAGCTCCTGTTTCAAGGCCATACAAGATGGTTCATCGCTATACAGACCAGTCGGAAGATCGACATAGCGAAGGTGGGGCAGTACTGAGATGGTGCGGGCGATATTGGCCTTGTTCGCTTCACGAGTCATGTACGGCATGCGAAGGGACAGCACCATATTTCCCAGACCTTGGGATTCCCGAACAGAGCGCATCAACAGTTCCAGACGGACTTGGGGTGCATCAATTGGATTCCCATTGCGATCGAAGAAAGAGCGTCTTTTTCGCTTGGCGGCCAGAGTCACTTCGAGCTGACAGTAATGGACAGGATCGATTCGAATATGGGTAAACCTGCCAAGTTAGCAATGATGTGAAATAAACTATCCCGCTGATTGAAGTCATACAAGAGTGTTCTTGCCTCCAGGAACCATCGTTTGCACACCTGGGTGCAGCACGCGAGGTCGCGCATGTCACACAGCATACAGCCATCACTCATTGACTCCTCTGAGGTATCATAAGAGCAATCATTGGTATGAGGACAGACAAAGGTAAAGATCCTGGCCAACACAGATCGTGGAAGCTCCCTGGTATAATCACGGCCGAGAAAGCGGGGCGGCGTTGGAGGCTCGGTCGCGCTGACATTCCCCGCACTATGCCTACCACTGTGCCTGGACCGAAGCCGTTCCAGAATTCCCATGAAGAAAGTGTGGTTCAAACTTCAGGGAAAATTGCCCAGGTAATGGGGATGAAGAAAGAGGAAGAAAGAGTAAGCACATATAAAGAAAATGTTGATCCAATAGCCGTCAAGGCCCAAACACCGTTCTTATGTTTCACGAGCGGGGATACCCTGGTATAAGCCACTACTTACAGCATAAATCCTCTAGGCTTATTATGGAAATATGTTTACTCAATACCCTGAGTACACATTAATTCAGCTGTTTCAAGGGTATGTAACTCACTGTTTCCAAGGTTATCTTGTGAATACAATAAATCTTCAATTTTCTACCTCAGAAGCATTCTATAAACTGGGAAAAGCGGATATCAGGCCTCCAAAGGCTGCATTGACAGGTAGAAGGCCGAATGATCTAGGATATAGATGAGCATTCGATGCATGTACCATATAGTTCTCTATGCTATAGGCTAGAATACAGTACTGACCGCTAGTGATATCGTCCTCAATGTCTTTGGTATATTTTCATCTCTCAATTTTTGAAGATCTTTCTTAGCCACAACATCAGTCTTTATATCCTCAAGCATGTTGTAGCAAAGCCTGAGGTTGCCTCTGAATGCCTAGCCTTCTTCAACACGACTGACCTAGTGTATTAGTATGATAAAACCTTCCAGTCGTTGGGCGGTTACTGTGTGGGCTCTTTTACATCACTGGAAAGTTTTAAGTGATATTCAACTTTTCTTATTCTGCTCCTCCAGCTACTCATCCAAGGCTTTGACATGGTGTCTCAGGGTCCTCTGCAAGCGGACCTCAATTACGACTATATCAATCCAGGATGGATCTGCTGGCTCTCTCACTTAGCTTTGTTGGTGCATACGTGGGTGATCTAGAAAGGTTGTTACGGCATTTTTTCTTCAGCCTTTTGCGCCCCTCATCAGTCTCCAAGTCCTTGGTAGATTCTCACAACAAGCACGTCAAAAAATTCCGTAGAAATGGTTTTTTACTAGGCTTCTTGGGCTAGTAAGTGCCTTGAGGGCACTGCAAACACTTGAGATTGCTGCTGAATAGTCATCGTCACAATCAATGTCTATCACTCTTTGGCCATTAGGCAAGTAATGGGTGGAATCTTCCGAGCAAAAGATACTTGGAGTCTATCACAATCGACCGAGTAGTTCAGGAGCTTTTTTTTGCCTTGGCGCGATTGTCTTCTCGGTATTTCAGGTTACAAGGTTAGCTCGAGGGATCGTCCACAACTGAGGATTTTCTCTGCTGTTTTCACTCCAGAGATTTTGCCGGTATCCTGCCCGTCTGAGGGCGGGCATTTTTGGCAGAATGCCAAGAATTATCCAGGTCCACGGGTGGTACGTATGATGTATGATGGAAGCAATAGTGGATATAGGGGTAGTTTCTAACTAGGTATATTACTAAATTATACCCTTATGTTTCTAGAGTGCCATCTTTGACCTCGGGATGAGGGAGTGGGAGTGGTAGATATGTAAAGAAGAATAGGTCCCGAGAACTCAATTCATATACCTTCGGGTTTCGTCATATATGTCTCCTCTTTTCGTGATGTTAAAAGTCAATGACAATGAAGTGATAGTGGAGTAATAAAGTAAAAAGTCAGATAAGGAAAAGGCAAAGTCGGAACGGAAGCAAGTGAGTAAAGTGAAATAGAACCTTGAAAGTGACTGCAAGTCGCATTTCCTCATGTGGAATCTTCTCGAGGTCTCTCTTGTACTAAGAGTCTTTCATCACTATATTATAACCTTTCAGGGCTCTAAGGTTGTCTAAGAGGTGCGAAGTCTCGAATTCCCAGTCTACCACGGTGACTTTGTTTGATCTACCTAGGTATGGTCCTCAAAAGAATACTTCTTGTTCTTGAAAAAGAAAGATGATAAAGGTAAATAGCCGCATTCTGCTTGGAACGAGAGATGCTTGATCTGGATACATAGATAATTAAATCTTTAAGATTCAAAAAGTTCAGCAAAAGATTTGGACTACTTGAAAGCTGGGGTAGTCGATCTATGATGTCACGTGACTTTAGATTCTTACCAAGTGGGTCTTTTATCTACAGTTGATTGGTTGAACCAAGTTTCGTCCCGCTGGATCCACTTGAACTCTCCCATGACGTCTACAATAACTCGGTAAGTACGGAGTAAGTTAGACTATTATTTATTTAGTTAACTGGATAGTTTCTTCAGGGTAAATTAGATAAGCTCTACAGTATATAATGTATCAAAGCAGGGGGATCAATTCTAAAAGCCCTCACATGTTTTTGCCCATTGATCAGAAACTAAGAATGACAGGTCAATTTAAGGTTTCCCGACGACAGTCTTAGTGAAAAAGGGGACTGACATCATTCGTTGTTCCTTGGTTTCCCACAATGATGTACTTCTTGAATACTATTTAATCCCTTAACTCATCCCATCTTCAATACCGAAATATCTATCCATAATTCCAAAATGGCTGAAATGAGCTCTGCTATAGAGACAAGTGCTCCATTGCCCACTCCAGCCTTCACCAACAATCATTCCGAGCATACTCTATCCGATGAAAAACTGAAGCACCGCTCCCCATATAAGCTCCATCTCCCTGGAGAGTTTGGAGAAATCAAGTGGAGCGCCCATTGCCAGTGTCGCAAAATCTCATACTCTCTGAAACAATATTCGCCAATAGATGCCAAATTCTGCCATTGTCGCACCTGCCAGGTCATGCATGGAGCCCCATACCAATGGGCAGCCATATTCAACAAGGATGATATTTCTTTCGATCATGGCTGTAGTGGCCTGCTGTTCTATTCTGCTTCTCATAATACTCAGGAATCAGAGCTTCCCATGAAGGTCTCGTGTTCCTTCTGTCATACTCTGATCATGGACGAATATGACGAAGTTTGCTTGCTCTTTCCGCAATTGATTGAGTTTGATGGGACATCAGATGACCGGCGAAAGCAGATGAATCACTTCAAGCCCAGGTATGCCTTCTTCTCTCTTTAAGTTAATTATGAACTCGAAGGCTAATACTCTCGATTAGCTGTCATGTGTTCTATGAACAACGCATGCTAGATATTTCTGATGGTCTTCCTAAGTGGTCTGAGATGGCTAATAGCAGTCGGCTCCTGAATGATGGTGGCCACAAGATATAATCTTAACGAAGGGGTGAGGTTAAAAGGTGGGATAAAAGACTCCGAGACAATGCGAGTATACCTAGGTCCAGTTCTATTTCCAACTTCCAAGGAACATCCATTTACATATTATAACCTTGGAATGCTTCATCATGCTACTCAATGGCTTGCATAAGTGACGCGTAGATCCAGAGTTGCCAAAACCGATAGTTCCTTTCCTCTCATAAGTTCTAGTTTGTAAGTACATGTTGCTTTTGTAAGACCTAGACCAGACATATTAGGAGCAAATGAAGTCATCTATATTTCATTTTTTTCTTCTTGGAAGTTGGTTATATTTTCACTAATCAAGAAACCCGCTGACACCCTATAGAGATTAGATTAGCGAAGACTGTTAAACCCATGTTGCTTGTATATGCAGTGATTCCAAGGCTTATACATAAGAAAGCTCAGCTTTAGGCCAATGGGAGTACATAAAATACTTGTTTACCCTCACCTATCTAAACACTGCTAATATACAACACATTCTATCGATCCCCACTACCTGCTTCGCTTTTTGTTTGGGGGTTTAGGAAGGTGAAGGTTACCGTACGTCTTACAGGGACCGGCGTAGTCTCTGTCCTTATCCACATACAGATGCTCGAAGCCAGTATCCCTATCCTCACCCTTGGAGTTTTCCTTCTGTTTCGTGAGCTCGCTCTCCTTCCGCTTATTGTTTTTCTCGGGGATTCCCGAAAGAAAGCCCACTTGTTCGTCCTTGTTGTTGATGAATTTGATATCCGATTGTTGGACGATGGGTCCTTCCGTAAATGCAACGTCCGCAATAAAATGGTTCAGGGACTTACCAACAGCAACTGGGGTCAATTTCGAGATATCACCAAGATTTCTATCGGCGTTGTTCATCTCTTTGATGCTTCCAGACCAGACTCGGATATCTTTGTTATCTTTGATAGTAGGAAGCTTAAGTTTCTTGACTTCTTGGATTGTCAAGACCACTTTCACAACGTCCTTTAGTAGGAGTTTTGGGTTGATTGTTGTAAAAGGAATTTCGAGAAGATTAGAAGTCTTGGTATTGTTTTCACCACTTTCTATGCCGGAAAGACCCAGAATGTCGTTAGGTAGCAGCTTGTAGACTTTGGTGTCCGGTTCGAGGTAATTGACGGTCAGGATTGGACAGGGTGCTTCGCTTCTAGCTGGAACTTTCCGGGTGATTGTAATTGTATTGTCGTGGCAAATTTCAAAGGTACAATATCATGAAGTTTGCTAAGCTGCTCTTGTGAAAGAGTCAAAGAACTGGCCTTGTTGTAAGTCAATGTATTGACTGTAGGGGGACCGTCGTTGACGAATTTGTGATGATGGGAATTGGTGGTGGGGAGGTCACCTTTCTCACAATCAAGCTCGTCCGCCATGATTTCCTTGATCGCTTAGTCTGTATTTTCTTCAATACTATTATAATATTAGTGGTGAGCCTGATTATCAAGTGTTTGGAGGTAGCATACCGTACTTTGGAACGTGGACTGGGGAGATAAGGAGATGAAAAGGAGTTGGAAGCTTAGAAATTTCAGAAAATGGAGGATGCGTATAGAACTTCAAGGAAAATCACTTTTAGGATTATACCATCTAGGTGGAAACGTACTGCTTCATGGTGACCTAGATTGAATGAAAAATGACCACGTAAGTATGAATCTCAGATACCTTATTATTTAGATCTTAGCAATAGCTTAATCCCATAGTATAGTATACATACACATATACTCAAGATGTAAAAGATATTTCCATTTTCCCAATAAAAGCTCTAACTCATTTCATGATACGCCTTTCCTGATAGACGTCTAAAAGCTGATCTTTTTCACTCCACACTTCAATACCACCTAATTATGAGAATCCAAATGCATTCAGCTCTCAGTCTTAAATTTTCAAGAAGCTCTAGAATTATATAATTTTATGTTTTGACCTGAAGAACTAATTACAAGACTAAAGGAAGCCCTAAGTATGAATATCTTGAAATGACATCATCCACCCAATCAAAACCACCTTATTTCCTCCCCACCTCATCGTCACATTTTCATCCAAAATAAATACAAGACAACAATTCCACTGCAGCGACTACACCATGTCTTGGTTTCAAAAAAGCTTCACGCTGCCTTCACGCAGCCGTGGCTCCTATCTCATCACGGATCAAATCCTATCGGAACTGCCTGAGCTCCGCGACTACAAAGTCGGCATGCTAAACCTATTCGTGCAACACACCAGCTGCGCACTCTCGCTAAATGAGAACTGGGATGACGATGTTCGTGCCGATATGAGTGATGCGCTGGATCGCATTGCGCCGACTGATCGCAAGGGTAATCTTTATCGTCACTCCGCCGAGGGGGATGATGATATGCCGGTATGTGATTTTCTTTTTATGTTTCATGTACCCCACCGTCATGACAAACTCGAGATGTTGCCTGATACATGTATATATTGTGTTGGATCTTTGCTTATTCCTGCCTCGCTTCTTTCTAGGCTCATATCAAATCTGCTCTTATTGGTGCTTCTGTGAACATCCCTATCTCTAACGGCCGTTTGGCTACTGGTACTTGGCAAGGCATTTGGTACCTGGAGTTCCGCACTAGCAGACACACTCGCAAGGTTGTCGCTACTATTCAGGGCCAGAAGGAGTAGGTGCTCTATGTCATTGATAAAAAAAAAATGAACGATCATGTCGATTGTATAGTCCAACTTGTATAGTCCCAGCCTGCTACAATATAGGCGACCCAACCCCTAGGAATACAACTACAACATTGGAAGCCAATCACATTAGGCGCATGGCAGAGATCCATTGATCAATATATCTGTACATAGCCTCGGGCCCAAAAAACTAATACACGCAAGGGAATGATCAACGCCAAAAAATGAATCTAATGCTAATCGTCTACTGCTCAGCTTCGGCCTTAAGGGGGTAGCTGGTAGTCGGCAAAGACTCGAGGTAGGTACGGTGGTGTTCGTGAGCCTATTTTTAGATAAGTCAGCGGCGGTCCAGGTTAACTCATCTAACAAGTATAAGCATACATAGGGGACTCCACAGTATCCGCAGGTCACGATCTCGGGCTTGTCGGTGTTGATAAAGATCTTGGGGTGACCAAGGGGGCCACCGCCGCCGTCACAGCTGACGGCCCTCTCCTTTGTCCAACTCACAGGCTGCTTGTGAATGAGCTCAATGGCGGCCATGGGTCGGGGCTATAAGTTGCGCGAGTTAGTCCTATATTCCTATATATGGTTCCGAGTGTTCGGAGCCCAATGGCATAAGTCGAATAAGTTATGGTCAACCCACCTGAGTCTCCATGATAGTCTGCTCAAATCGAATGCCAGTCATGGCCACCTCGCGGGGCTGTTGGCTGGCAGCCCAGGTGGTAGCGCGGTTGGGAGCCTGCATGCGACGGATCTGCTCGGCCTTGACGGGGTCCTCGCTTTGAAGACCATCCCACTTCACATGCGAGTCTGTAGGGACAGCGTTGGTCTCGGAGACATTGGGCTTGGCTACAGGCGGGGTCGGGTCGTTGGCTGGGATGCGGTTCTCAGACAGACGGGGCACGGTCGAGGAATAGGCGCGGGCAGTGAAGCGCGGGCGGACCGACGCCAGGGAGGAGAGGCGGCGGCTGCAGGACATCATACTGGGCAAATTGAGTCCTGGGGACGGAGGTAGTACAATGGTAGACAGCGGTGATAAGGAAGGTGTACCCTAATAAGGAAATGTTACTGCTGTGATCTCGCAAAAGGTGGTTTTAGAAACCAATGTCATGTGATCTCTAGCCAATAGAATCAGATTCCAGTTCCTGGTAACCAATCATAATCAACTTAAAAATTTCCGGATTAGGCGAAAACATGTCCCAATAGCGTCTCGATAGCAAAATATGTATGTCCAGCAATTCCCAATTCGCAATGACTTTTGTTTCACTCTCATTCCACTTTACTCCTACTATCACTTCCGCCTTCTATGCTTTGCTCGCCTGATTTCAAGTCGACTCTTGGGATAAATAGATCTTCTTTTTATACCTAACTAATATTTCTATAACCTCTTCTACCAAAGTTGAATGTCTCCAATTGAAATGAATACGCTGCTCTACATGAAGCACCACAAGCACGGTGGATTAAACGTACCGCCCTCCTACAATGGACTTATATGAGGATGAGAGCATAGATAGCAGTGCTGCTCAAAATCAGACAGTCCCACGATGTCATTGAACCAGCTCAGTAAGATTTATTCCTTCGCCAAATGACGAATATGGTTGCCGATCAGTTACCCAAAAAAAGCCTGGAATACTTGACAAACCGACATTTCCAAGTAGGGAAACAGCTCGGGAATACGAGGATATCAAGCTATACTGCTACCTGGGCTTGATCTCCAATCGCCTAGTGCCGCGACAAGATCAGTTTGAAGTCCAAAAGAGAGCCACAAGGACCGGGGACTAAACTACCGCCTTCCTACGGTGGCATCGACTTCTTGGACGATGAACGCCTGGAAAACTTGCAGGAGAAACCGTCATTCTCAGGTAGACAAACAGCTCGTGAATACGAGGATATTGACTTTTCCTGTTCTCTGGGCTTAATACCCACTCTGATCGCCCAGTGGCTACGATAGTATCAGGTGGACGGCGTCGCCTTTCTACACGAGCCGTTTGTTTATCAAAATTGCGGTATTCAAGGAGATGATATAGGTTTAGGCAAAACGATCTAAGTGATTTCATTTTTAACGGCCATATATGGCAAGATGATGGATGAAAGAGACGTTCAAAGAATGTGTAAGATGCGAAGGGCTGGCAATAATGTTTGGTATCATCGGACGTTAATTATATGTCCCGGCATTTTGATTTCGAACTAAATTACAGAACTCTAGCGATAGGGCAGTGGAACATCGACGATTATCACGGTCCGAGCAAGGATATTATCCCACATGCCGCAAAGTCTAGACGGGAGGAAATAATGATCACCACCCACACCACCTACGCTAACAACAAGGCCAGCGTTGGCATTATACTGATAGAGAAAGTCGAAGCGCAACTCACAGAACCTAACACAAAGCTAGAGTATCGCCCGCTTCACAATTCTAAAGCTTCCTCCAAATAAAACCTTAACGTGCAGCTCTAGAATCAATGCCATTCCGATGACTTGATATTACGAAATCCTCCGTAGATGGTAGGTGCTCTGGTGATGTTACCTATGAATGTTTCTCAAGCAATCCAAGTCACCTGATGCTAAAATTTCCAGCGGGATCTAATGCAGGGGATGTAATAGTTAACCTTCCAAGGGTGAAGAAGAATCTATGGATGTTGCATAGGCGGAGGATCCGGTTCATTGTATATGACTATCTGGTATACACATCAAGGTTTCGGTTGATAGGTCAGAGCTCACAGTGATCTCGTCGCAATTGCAGATTAAATTAGTAGAAGATATGGATGTATAAACAAGAGTTGGTTATAAAAGGAAGATCTATTTATACCCTAAGAGTCGACTTGAAGTCAGGTGAGTCAAACATAGAAGGCGGAAGTGAGAGTAAGAGTAAAGTGAAACTTCAAACGAGAGTGAAATAATAGTCATTATGAATTGGGAATTTCTACATCATATCTTGCTATCAGGACGCTATGACATGTTTTCACCGAATTCGGTTAGACACTGTTTTAATGTTATAAATTCGAAGCATTCAAAATATAGTTACTCATGTGCATCTTTATTTTAAACTCTCACCAACTTCTTGAACGCCTTTTTGAAATCTCTGAATAGCTTTGAAATGGGTAAACCCAATTTCATTACTATTGGTAATTAGGCTCGACTAATCAGAAGCTCTACTTTAGGCACAAAGACACTCCATAGTCCATCAAGAGGCGTCAGTTTAGTATCTATTAGCATAAGCCTCGTGGTACAGAGGCCTTTAAGATCCACAATATGATTGGCCCAACTCCATAATTCTGTTTTGGATTCTCGAACTTATTATGCCTAAGGCGGTGTAGAGCATTCAAAAAATTCCGACGGGAAGGGGAGCTTTAGTGGCTTTTTCTGCCGATATATTTTCTTATTCACTTCCCCTCGGGCGTCACTCTTGCTTCTTCTCTACGTGTATAATATTACCATCGTATTTTCACCATGCCGGCTTCTCCAGGTGGGGCTGCAAAGCCAGGGAAGGGCCTGTCTTCGCGCCTTCTCACAATGAAGGTAACTGCATCCCATATTAATTCCAGAATAATATTAATTTTTCCTCCACAGTTCATGCAGCGCGCTGCAGCATCCGCAGTCGAGAAAGAAGCTCAGGCTGAAGGATCATCCAAGCGCCAGAAGAAAATCGGGGAAGATAGTCTTTCGGGTTCAAAGTCTGATCTCGATGCGATCACAGCAGCAATTGCAACGGAAGAGGAAAAGCGCCGCCAGGCTACTTTGCGACAGGCTGCTGATTCGGGTGATACCCAATGGGTACTAGATATTCCAGATGCGCCCCAATCCCAGCCCCTTGTGGTAGCAGCTGACTCGCTTGATGCGGATGACAAAGTCTTGAACGGCGGTCGTCGGGGTTTTGGTAACTTCATGCGCAAGCAGGAACCTGTAGGCCATTCTGCACCCTCGCCACTCACTATAGTTACTAACTCCACCAAGATCCCCGAAGCAGGCAAGACTGACGAAGTTCCAGAGGATATGGAGGAACTTGAGGCGTGGCACAAGAGAACCAAAGAAAAAGACAAGAAACATATGGCTCATCTCGTCGGTATCTCAGGTGCAAATAATCGAGCCATGCCTTCGCCCTCAAGCCAAAAGAAAAAGAAAAAGCGCAAGCATGCTGTTTAGGAGATACCCGTTTTGCTACTGTTTGAAATTGGTGTTTTAGCATGTCCATCGGCGTTACGAGTGTACGATTTTATACAATCTTGGGTTTAATGAAGATCCCTTGGCAGTTCAAATTACGAATTCACATCATGATTATTTAAACGTTCTCTCAAAACCAAATTAAACTCGGGTATGATAGATGCCTATTGAGGCGACAACAAGCGAAGTAAATTCAGATCTAGATAGCAGATATTAAAAGAAGAAAAGAAGAATCATAACCGTGCCTTTTCCTCCCTCTTCTTCTTCTCCCACTCCCTCTTCGTCGCAAAATTGACTATCAAATTCCACGCCGCAACTCCAAAGCCCACCGGCGGCGCAACTAACAAAGCCCAAGCCCACCACCTAGGACTTGAGGCCGAGATGCTCTCCATAGCTTGCTTTAGAGCAAGCTCCAGCTCTGACCTATCAGTATCATTCCAAACCACCACGCCGCGCGCACTAGTCGTACCACGGAACTCAGCCTGAACAGCTTTACCATGTACATCGCTCTGGCTACGAACCCTGTTCTCCGCGTCCTCGGCTGTAAGATGCGCATCCCGGGCGCGAAGTCGTGCCATCTGAACAGCCGGATCGTGGACCCCAACCACGACGACAGTTCCGCAGATGAGATCCATGCCGCTTTCGAAGAGGAGGGGTACATCTAGCACGACGGCCCATTTCCCTCGTACGTAGTTGTATATCAGTGCTTTGTATATTTCCCACCGCACGGCTGGGTGGATGATGCCATTCAGAATTTGGCGGTCGCGTTTGCGTTCTTCTGTGTCGCCGAATATGCGGCGACCGAGAGCTGGCCTGTTGAGTGGCTGGCCTTGTGATGTTGAGGTAGATGGATCATCGAGGAGAAGATCGGGTGTGTTGGGGCCGAAGTAGCTCACGATAGCTTTGTAGCCTGCTGTGCCTGGCTCGACGACCTTACGCGCGAGGAGGTCGGCGTCGATTATGGGGACGGAGTATGGAGGCGAGGAGAGAATGGAGGAGACGGTTGATTTGCCTGTGGCTATAGAGCCGGTAAGACCGATTATAAGCATTTTGGAGTTAGAATTAAGGTTGGTGTTTGCAATTCCGTGAAGTTGATTTTAAGGTCCGATAAATGCGGGGAGATCCTTCATCCACAAAGAGCCTCGGTTCCACAGTTAAAACATATCAGACTGAAGTAGATCCATTTATTATTTAAGTAATATTGGTAACAAGTTGGAATTTAGATTTGATTACATCTTGCGAATTGTGCAATAACGTTTGGGATGTCCCGAGTCGTCAATTTCCTCGAGATTATGCCTGTTTTTACATGATTAAATAGACCTCATTGCTCAAATTTCAACATGAGCTAGATCCTTCCAACATATTTCCTATGATATCCTCATACGAGAGCACAATCCAGTTTATAGTACAGGAGTATTTTCCAGCACACTGTATCTGCTGGGCTCATGAATCGTGGGTTTGTCCAGGTTGGCGGTGTTGGTGAGTCAGCCGAAGTTATATCGGTGAAGGGCATCTTGAATGGTCATATGTAGCGTCTTTATTAGGAGATGGCTCTCATGATTCCGGTAGACCATGGCTCGGGTCCTGTGCCTGACCCTTCCATCCAAGGAAGGGCCATCCTTCTGGCAGTGTTGAAAATGGTGGAAGCGCATAGCGGTCATCGCAAGAGCCCTTGTCGGGGCAATTCAGATCACAAAGTCCAAACACATTACAGTAACACTCCTGTGCGGACGGACAGTGAACGGGCTCCTTGCCAAAGATGACTATAAAACCGTCAATATCAAATTTAGATTTCAGCAAGACTGACCAACTTACTGTGCCATGAGTATTCCATAATCCGGCCACTCAAATCATCTCCCAGCTTCGTCTCCGCAAGCCATTTGCGGTAGTGCTCATAGTCACTTTTCGGCCTCTCGAGTACTTTAGCACGAGTCACGCCGAACTGAGCACAGCACGACACGCCGACCTTTTCTGGGACGGCCATGCTAGGAAATAGCTCCATGAATCCAGTTCTGAAATACTCGCCAGCATGTATATCGTCGCGGTGTGTATCTGTTAGCGGGTGAATCTCTGCTGGGCAGCCGAGTGTCCAAGCGCAGCGTATATTCACGTATCCCTGTTTCTGTAGATAGGGGACTTGAAATTTGCTTAGCATAGCGACACCGTCATAGTATGGGTCGTCATTGTGCCATTGGTATCGCTGAGAGTGGATGAATAGCATGATATCCGGCAGGTTATTGTAGTTGTCGATAATGTATCTATAGCGAAAGGACTGTTAGCGAATTCCAGTCTGGTAATGCAGTATGTGAAATTTCCCACTCACGTCAAATACACCATTGACTCACGACCCTTGTTGCGCGACACTGTCAACGAGGCCGATTTATCGTCCACCACGTAAATGCTGCGCGACCAGTCTGGGAAAAACTGGGCCAGCCATGAGGTATCATCGTTCTTCATGCTGGCTACGACAAGGTCTTTGTGTTTTTGGATGATAGGACGGGCCTGTTCGTCTGTCTTGGGTGTCGGGGTAGGGCCATAACGCTGTGCATAGCTGGGCTCGTCCTTGTGGATAGTCGACTTAGAGGATGAGGAGAAGAAAAGGAGATAGAGTATGAGGACAATGGAGATTGTAAGGAAGATGGACTTGATGCGGTTGCGACGGCGTGGACTTTGAAGACCACTCGGGGCGAATAACATGGTGGTAAATGTAGATACAGTCGAGAGGTTCGATTCTCGGTGGCTTAGCGGCACATTCTGTCGCAAGGGTGAAGATCAAAGCGGAGGGGAATTTGGCCCTTTATGCCGTGGATCTTTTGAGCAAGAAGTATATAATGCGGTTGTAAAGAGAATTGAACAAGTAAAGGCAATTGAAACGTGTCTCCAGAAATTCCTGGAGGCATACCGTACCACTGTTTACTTACCGCTCGGGAATAAATGTGGATTAATCTATCTACACAAACTATCCACGAAATCGAGAAATACTGACACATATTATTATTCCACTTATTCACATCTTCACAGTTGCGATTAAATGAAAATCACCCAACTATTCAATATGTACTGTTTTGGCAAGAGCAAGGTACCTCCAATTAGCCGCTCAGGCAGTCATACTACATTTCGGCCGACGACATCCATCCTAGCTACCAGTTATCAGGGCTTTGTGCTCAAGAGTGCTTTCCGGCGCGACGAGTTTATCCGCACTAATGGTTCTAGATATTCTTATCATTCAAGTCAGAACTTCTAGCAGTATAGCCAATGCCCTCAACAACTGTGATCTTCGATGCGGTCACATCACTACTGGTTTTGATCTAGTATTCCGGACTAGCGTGGTAATAAATACCTAAGGAGTACGGTAGGTGCTTTTAGAAAAGGATCATTTACGTGAGTGACACGCCACAAGCTGCCTTGGTCGGTCATGTATTGCCAACGCGGGGTTACCAAAGAGAAGTTGGCCGTAATTATACTAATGAATTCATCGCCAATTGAGTGTATACGTCGGTCAAGGTGTTGACACCTTCCAATTCCAGTGTGTATGTTTCATTTCGTAGTGCTGTTGCACTCAAGGCAGCTAGAGCCACACCAAGACTGCGGCCTGTGAAGACCAATTTACAGTCTGGGTATACCGCTATGGCGACTTGATATTAAGTGTTAAGAGGTCTATAACAGTCTCCTATTCCTTCCAGAATCCCTTATGGACTTCACAGCTTTCACAAAGGCTGCTTACACCGAGTATCAGGCCCAGATTTGCAATCCAGTTAGAGATATCGGCGCTACGAAAGGCAAGCACAATAACTTTATTAGTGTCGTCGACGGCTATGAAGCCAGCCAAGTCTCCAAATTCGTAGGTTCTGTATGGTGATTCAATCAGAAGGCTTTTTCTCTGGTATTCATCTTTCGCAGTACCCACTCGTCAACCCCGTAAAGGGCTGTTGCCGATGCGGCCTCTTAAGCTAACTGTTGGAATATGGAACAAAGCAGTCATGTGATCAAATTGTTACTTTATAATAGATAGCAAACTAAGAATGAAAACCAGACTTAACAACCACTTCAAGAGGACACAAAGATATCATAGGGGCGTAAAGCGTTACCTGTGATAGGTGTCAGAAGTGGGCGTTAGCCTCATCACCTTTATCGAATAGCTATTCCACACTTGGTATAGGTGTACCGACACTAACCTAACATAAAAATAGGATTCGTAAGTGAGAGACCTGCATTATACAAATTCTCAGCTTTACACGCGTGTTCACGTCATATTCCAAGGATAACGACTCTCCGGGGCTTTTTTATACAAGGTTTTCAGGTTCGCCCAAGCTTGGCCCCTGGTTTGCTATAGATAGATAAACCGTGCCTCGTTTCAGACATATATGTTATTGTATATGTTGACTACTATCTTTCTTTCTATCAGCCACGACTTTGGGGATTTCGACTCTGTCGGGAAACCTTGGAAGTTCAACAGTTTCAACCTTGATACATTGCACATATCGGGAACCTCCCCTTGTCTTTTTTGAGATGTGAGCGGAGCTTGCATCTGCCTGTCACCTTTTACTGTCAGGTGTAAGAACGCTGGGTCAATAAGTTTCAAGCCTTCATTATTCGAATTTGAGGGTTGATATCCGGTCCAGGCCCTTGGGATTGAATAGTTCAAGCTTTCGGTGATGAGAGATTCCGTCGGGTTCAACTTAAGAACCATTATAAGTTCTTCACACGCGCCAATGATCCGGTGGTTGGAACTTGATATATTAGACCTCTTCAAATTAGGGGCGTCCAGGGTCAGATCACAGTGCTTGGTTTGTTCTTTATGTTTTTTATTTCCTATTTCCTGATGTTCTCCTTTTATTCCCTCTTCGGATGATTCGAGGTATAATGTGTTATAAAACCGTTGTACTGAGTAAGACATGCTTTCTGGCAGATAGTGGGAACAATTATGTCACCTCCTGCGGGACAAATAATGCCGTGGTGATTGATGTATTGGAATTTAGCGCTATGATGACTAATAGTAAATCGGGTAAGAACATAACTCCGTGAACCGAGGTTGGAAACCTCAAGCTTAACAAAATAGTAAAACAGTATCGTCATGAGCGAGAAATATGAGAAGAGTTCAGGAGTGCAGGGTCAAGAGTACAGGGTCGAGAGTGCAGGGTTAAGAGTTCAAGGATAAGAGTGCAGGGTTAAGAGTCAGGGACAATACGAACTCAATCCTTTCCTCCCTCGACATCGGTCATACCGGTGTCCTGTCCATCGTCGCCGCCAGCGAGGACCTTAGTCTGGAGGTTTGCGTGTGCACCCGGGGTCATGGCGACGACATTGTTGTTCTCGTCAACAAATTCAAAGTTGTATCGTGACAGAAGGTGAGGGATAGCGGAAAGCTGCGGGCCATAGCGGGCAGTGTTGTCATACAATTCGAAAAGAGGAACGGCGAGAAGCTTCATGTTCTTGGGCACAGATAGGACCTCTAGAGAAGAGATATACGTTAGAAAATGGTCAATACACTGGAGAAAAAGAAGATTCCTCCGGATTTCAGGATAATTGGGTGAGCGCGTACTCTTTTTGGGAAGCTGAATCAAGTACAGCTTCTTGCACTCCTTAGGGCGAGTGACGTGTCCGGGGAGAAAAGGGTACATAAAGGTCTCAAAGTTGGGGCGCCACCACTGAGCTAGTGTGTCGCCAATGTCCCAATCCTCATTGACGCCTTCACCGGTGAATTGGGTTCCAACCGGCGCGAGTCTCTCATTCAATCGCTTTTTGAAACCGTCAATTTCCTCGTCATCGTGGTGCAGATAATCACCCGGTCTAGAATCGAAAAGAAGTGGTTAGTAGGAGTCTTATCACACAGTATGATATGTTTTTTAAGAAATAAATCCTACTTACAGCTTGAAGAATGCGTTAGCAATCTGCAACATCAGGACGTGCGGGTGGTTATGTTCATGGCAGACGAGAATACCCTCGCAGGTACGGCGCATGCCATGGAGATCATAGTGCTCTTCTAAGCGTTTGAGGCGAGCGAGAACTGATGGGTCTTCCTCTGGCTGGGTCTCCTTGGTGCCAAATGTGTAATTGGATAGAGGGTAGAGACGGATTGTTTCTGGCTGCTGCGCAGAGAAATCCTTGGGCAACTTGGGGCTATGAAAGTAGATTAGATGTCAGCAGTGTGAGTCATGGGTAGAGATCATTCGACTCACGGTCGACTGCTTTGAGTCATTGTCGTGGTTGATGATGCCATGACAAATAAAGAGGTTTTGGATGAGAAGAGCTGAGGCGCGAAGCTTCGATGTTTGGGGTCGTGTCTTATCGTTATCAGTAATTCCACTATCTACACCGCCTACATATGCAACACTTGAATGAGTAATTTGGTATAGAATATTTGATCATAACTCATGGTCTACCTTCTCTCAGAGGTATGACCCAATGAATAAATATCTACTCTCTTCTACCATAGTTCCCCATAATTATTAACACCATATCCCACGTACATAGAAAGACATGCTCAGAGCTTCGCATCAAAATCCTCATACTCGGTAATATCCGACACAGGAACCGGCCCAGTGCTAACAGGAAGACGGGCCTTGAAAATAGACACATCCGTAATGACGGTAGGCTCCGAAGATGTCGTACCGTTGATTTCACTGTTCGACTTCGGCTCCAAGCCCAACTGCTTCATCTCCACTGGAAGGCTCTTCTCGAGCTTCTCCACAATCAGATTGACCTTATCCTGCGAGCTGTTCAGCTCTGTGAGTAGTATGCTCTTCACAAGAATGATAATTTGTGCGTGGTCTATTATCGAAATGTCTAGCTCTTGGAATGATGAGACCAGTGTAGCTTTCTCCACGGTGATACCAGCTATGTCGAGCTGTTTCTGAAGCATGTCGATCAGACTAGCCTTCTTTTCTTCCACGGTGATATCGCCAATATGCTTGCCAGCTTTTGCGTTCAAGTGGATGCTAAGCTTAGCCCGAGTAATGGAGGACGGGTCAATGTACTGTCGGTAGAAGGAAATCAAGTCCTCCTTAGTAAGGGTGCGTACGGCTGCTGCATCGGTCTCGTGCTGAAGGAAATCGAAATACTCGGACCCGATGTGCGCCCAATAGCGTCCAGTTTCTGAGCCCAGGTTCTTGAGTTTCTCCAAGCGCTTGTTGACAACACTTCGCTTGTGGCCTTCAAATTCGTCTTCAGGCATCTTCTCCAGGGTAGCTGCGAATTCGCGCAAAAAGGACTCAATACGAGATTCTAGGTACTGAGCGGGCCGTTCGCTCTGAATGATGACCCGGTAACCCATGGTAGTCGCGTTGTAACGCGAACCACTCCACACCACATATCCGAGTTGCTCCTTGCTGCGCAGCTGGTCGAAGGCAGGCTCATCGGTCAGCTGGGAGAACAGCTGCAACTTGGATCGCAGGGCTCTCGTCGGAGAACAGACCAATGTATAGGTAATACTCGATACAGTGGTTGACGTTCGCGGGGTCCGTGAGTGTCCGCGGGTAGAGGAAGTTGCTACCTGGGGGGAACACCATGTTTCGACGAAGATACCACTGCGATGCAGGCAAGGCGCGTCCTTTAAGAATTGACTCAACTGAGTCTGTCATACGTAGAGCATCCTCCTTGTATAGGTTACCGTGGGCCAGGACTTCAATGTGGGTCTGCTCGAGAAGCTGGGGGTAGAAGTTGATAACATCATCAGCTTCCATGTGCGCCAATTCCTCGATGAATTGCTCATTCACCCAACTTCTTTCGGCAAGAAGGTAGCGAGTGTAGTCGCCGACTTGGTAGAAAGGCTGCTGGTACTCGGCGTTACGGAACGCCCGAGTCAGGCGCTCCTTGATAATATTGAATCGATCCTGACTAACGGACACCCCGCGCATGGTGGTTAAAACCTTATCCAGCAAGACGGACATTTTGTCGTTATATCCACCAACGGAGATATCCAGACCCAAAATGTTCGCCGCAAGGTGATAGTCTAAGCCTGCGAGCTCCGCATCATAGGAATATTCGTCAAGTGAATCCCGGACAAGTTCACAGTACAGCTTCGTCTTAATAAGGTTGGCAGGTGTCGCCCATACAACCGGGTTGCGAAGCGTCACATGGAGACTGCCCTTGGGGACCCAGAAGCGGTCGTCCTTCTTGAACCAAAGGCGCACCCGATCATCGTGACGGATAAGCTTCGGTACCTTAGTGGACTCGACCACTTCCTTCTTCTCAACAGACAGTCTAGTCGGAACAAACTCGTTCCTATGGGGCATATGCACATCAGAGGTACGAGTGGCTTCAGTCGATTTTAAGGCGTTCTGAATACTACTCAGTAAGTCCTGTGGGATTTTCTCAACTTTGTACTCAGTCCCGTACCACTTCTCCTTCTGGTCCCAATCGCCAGGGACCTCCTGGGAAACAATGACGAGACGGAAGTTATCAGCTCGCAGGTATGACAGGGCCTTCTTGATCAATTCAGAGTCAAATCGGCGCATCAAGGATTGACTGAGAAGCCACTCACGAGGCATAGACTTCTGCATGACACTACTCAGACGGCTCGTGAAGCGACTAGCAGGGGTCTTCTGCTTGAATCGGAAATCAACCTCGGCCAAATTTTTCATTTCGTCGAAAATCCACTGCTCCGGCTCCCGGCCTTTGATCATGGCGATGTACTCGAAAATAACCTTGGCAACCTCTTGGTACTGTTTCAAACCCTCGGGAGTTAGACGCACAGAGACGGTGAAGAATGCAGATCCAGGGCAAATAGGCATAGCACCAGCAGAGAGGCCGTTAGCCCAACCCTTAGCCTTGAGGTACGATAGGACGCTCCCAGGACCCTCGTGGCCAATCAAGTGGCTGATGTAACGACTCGGCTGAACATCTGTGAAATTTTCCTCATCCAAGAAGGGAAAGTACAAATCCATAGAGCGTGAATCCATGACCGGTTTCGCAAATACTTGAGTGCACATATCTTTCTCAGAGAAGGGCTGGACATCATCCCAACGGTTCTGCTCTAGATCCTTGTTCTGAACATCGGCGAAAAGCTCAGCAACCCATTCTTCCAGAGTGTCCAAGCTCTCCCGCCCAAGAACCACTAGCTTCGCACGGTTGGCGGAGTAGTGCTTCTCATAGAACCGAATGAACTCACTGCGAACCTCCAGACCGCGTTTCTGCGGGTCTTCCTTGAGGGTCTGCAAGTTACCGGTCGAAAAGTGGTGGTAAGGATGGGCAGGGTTGGAAAGGGATTTGTTTAGCTGCATCAGCCGCCACAAGTCACTCTGTAGGTTCTTTTTGTTCTCTGAATCCACTGCCTGCAATTCACGGTCTAATGTAGACTCCAAGAAAAGAGGAGCAACAAAAAATTGGGCAAATCGATCCAAGGCCCCATACAGGGGAGACTTTCCATCTGATTCAGTAGCACTGCCAATGGAGTCGGTAGGTGTGTTCTCGCCAGAAGATTTCGGGGCACTTGAGTCATTGGTGGCGGAGACTTCAAAAAAGTAGTTTGTTTCAGTGGCAGCAGTATAAGCATTGGAAGAACCGGAGTGAGCAGTCAGGTACTGATTGTAAGCATTCTCCTTGGGGTACTGAGTCATAAGATGACATCGTCAGCCTTGTCTATCTAAGCTTGATTTAAGCAGATTACAAGAATAAGATCCCACCTTCTTTGTGCCCATAAAGAGTAAGTGCTCTACAGCATGTGCCATGCCTGGCATATCATCTTCATCTGAGAAATTGCCTACGTTGACATTGACAGCAGCACTAGCCTTGTCGGTATCGGGATCATGCACAAGCAATGCCTCGAGCTTGTTCGGCAGGCGAATGACACGATAGGACCGGTCATCAAGCTCTGGTCTCTCCAAGTTTTCTGTGATGCGCTGAATTTGGGACATGATGGAAGGGTTGGTGGAGGAGGAATGGTGGGATGAATGGGAGAATAGGCGGGACTGGCGGTGACTGGAAAGAATGAGGGCCTGGGATCTGGAAAAGCGACACCAAGTCGAAGCTGGTAGACGGGATAATAAACGTGGCTGGGCAGTTGGATTGCAACTAAGGCGCCTGTACCACGACCACGGTGTTGTTGCGGTAGAGGACCTTGCGGGCATCAAGAGAATGCCAGGGGAAAGCAATTGATGCAGAGCTTTGTTGTGTTAGTGCAGCTAAACTCAACAATGCATCAAAAAGGGAAATATTATCACAGAGATGATGCGTGATGTTTGTGGCGAGATCCTTGCATACCTTTGCTAAGGTATCCGAAGGGTCTTAACGTTGGGGCAGTTCCCCTCCCAGCCGAGCTAGGATTTGGGCGGTGAGAGCTGAAATATTGCCGTGTAAGCAGGGCGGTGCGTAAAGCGCTTATTTTGCTTCAACCATGTGAGACTGCGCCAGCCACCTGGGTCAAACGACTTAGTCCGAGCGAAAACGACAGAGTCATTTCTAATAATAGAAGTTAGAACCCGTAAAATGACTGGACCAGAAATGTAGTACTAACACGCAGAATCATTCTCCACAGTCCGATCCCCCGCTATTGCCCCATACTAGTGAGGCTCTACCACCCCACGCAGACTATACTCTTTCAGGTAGGTATAGACGCCCTTCATATGGCACTGACCCCAACCACCTAGATCAGCCAAAAATAGTAATTACGCTTTTAGCCCCGAGTAATAGTCAAAGCTGGAGTTTAAGGCAACTAGAGTCAAAGTTAAGTTGGTACACCCGGGTTAGAAGAGTCCCAAATACTTTCAAGGCTACAATGGCTGTGTCCAGTACCCAGGTATGATATCAAAGTACTGCATCTTGGACAATCAATATATTTTAGAATAGAATAAATCGGCGCAATATGAAATATGTATGCTGGGCTTCTACACCCGTATCTTAGGGCTAACGAGTTAAACTTACTCATCAACTAGCTAAATAGATAGCTATCTACCTAGTGGGAAAAGGCTGTGTAAAAATATTGTGTTTTACAACCTTGCAAATGGCTGGGGAATAAAAGATGAAGTGTTTCCCCGTGGTCCAAGAATTGTGGACTTAACCCTCCATGTCTTCATCTCCAGAGCCATCCTCATCGGGATCCGCACGCTCAGAAATCCACGCAAAAACCTCCTCCTTGTGCTCTTTCAACATGCTGCCGAGGAGAGCCTGTGGTGACTGTCGAAGCAAACCATAGCGTTTTGAGGGTGCCTTCCGGTCCTGGTGCCAAATTCCATGCTCGTGAGAAACAAAAATGAGAGAGTTCTATGAGGATGTAAGCAATGGTCATGATTCACCATTTAGATATATTCTTACCTCACGATACCACTTCGACAACCAGGTCTGGGTGGGGGACGCAATTGCACGAACGGGGTTTTCGGCAACGAATGAGACGACGCCGTTAATACGCTTATACAGATTATCTGTTCCAGTTAGCATGAGTTTTCCTGTGTAAGGCGTCATTGGATATACCTCTGTTGATCAACAGATTCGCAACTCCATAAAAGGAATTTCCGACTCCTACGAAGAATATCTCCGGTGTGTCCATGGATCTATTGGTTATTTTATTAGCTGTCTGGAAGAGGAAGAGTTGGGGCATGTTTGGCGGCTGAAGAGAGAGAGAGAGAGAGAGAGAGAGAGAGAGAGAGAGAGAGAGAGAGAGAAGACATACTCGATATAGTTGTCCCACAAATAACTAGCGAGCAATTCAGTTGAAGTGGGTCGGTCTTCGTCCTCACTCATGTATTTGCTGGCAGACTATAACACGTTGTCAGTTCAATGAAATCGAGAAAGATATTCATGTGCTACAGAACGTACTCTTTCACGGGTGATATGCTTGGGAATATTGACATCGATCACGGCGTATCCCTTACCCACAATCCACCCAATGTAATCGCTGATGGGATCAGCCTAGGTAACATAAGTTAGCAAGAATATCTTCTCAGGGACTGAAAAAAACATACAACCCAGCAGTTATGCGCTTCCAGTTTGTTGTTTGCCGGGTCAGGAATCCCCATGATCTCGGGCCTATACAAGATTAGCTCAGTTCCAATGGTCCAAAATTTAACAATGCACTTACGGATCATGGAAGATGACAACAATTGGCACAGCGTCACGGTAGTTGGGACTGTAATTTGGGTAAGATACGTGGTTTGAAGCCCGCTAGAAGCCTGTCAAGACTTACCTCGCGAGGACTTGGTTGCTGAACGACGTGGAAATATCCTCGCGGTAGATAGGCAGTGGAATAAGTTTAAACTTGTTGAACAGGCTCTTAGACTGAGCCTGGCGAATGACATCTTTAATAATAATTAGTTTCTGTATGTTGTCCGACAAAGGTTCTATTTACCATGGAGGCGATCAGCCCAGGGAGGCGGGTCTGACCTCTTTGGATACATGCACTGCCAATACGGAGCTTGGGCTGCCATGACCCGGTTTATTGTGGTCACCGCAGCATCGGTAGGCTTAGTGGTCCGCAAGCGGTCCGGCGGGTCACCCATCAATGCCTTTGTGACTGACAATGCAGCCTTTTCGATGGACTTTAGATTGTAGCCTCCCTATCACATACTCACGTGGTTAGTTTTTGGTGAAGCTTGAGAGCAGGTAAAATATTTCTAGTCCTACCTCGAGGCACACTGCAACTTTTCCGTTGGCCAGAGACATTAGCATGTTTGTCATGTGGGCGTAGCAGGGAGGGTTGACGTGACAGCCACCCAGAAGATCACCTGCTGCAGCATCAAATCCGGCCGCAACTATCAAAATTAGCGAATTTCAGGCTCGAGCAATCAATTGCTGCTTACCGATAACCAGATCCGGGTTGAATTCCATTGCAATGGGCATTACGACTCTCTGGAAAGCCAGCATGTAATCTCCATCACCCATTCCCTGATCAGGCCAAGGGATGTTAACATTCCTATTAGTTAGGAGTCAGTTAGTATGCATCCTTCAAAAAACAATATCGATCTCAAATCGTCCAAGGAAACGTGCCTTCCAACTCCAGGTCCCTCGCCACAGTGATCCATATCTGCAATAGGATCGCTCGGATAGAATGTTGCGTTTTTGTAGACGTGGAGGGAGATATATAGAACATTCGGGTCATCGTAAAACGCCTTCTGGATTCCATTTCCTTCAAATCATTCTGTGAGTACGAAATCATTCAACAAGCGACATATTTCCCTGACATACCATGATGGACATCCCTGGGCTTGAAGTTAGTAATGCGAGGTATGAGCGATGGGTGTGGGCTACTTACCAATCCAAAATCAGAATCTTGCGACACTTGTCTCCAAGTTCAGCCTGGCAGGCACGAGCAGCGATGCAAACGTTATTAAAGATGCAAAATCCCATGGCAGTGTCATGCTCTGCATGGTGGCCAGGCGGACGGATGACAGCAATGGCATTTTTAACAGTACCACGAGCAACGGCCAAGCATGTCTCGATTGCACCTCCAGCTGACAGGAGAGCAGATTGATAAGTGAATCGATTGAAATAAATCGAATCCCGATCTCGTTCCAGCCGAAGAAGCTCGCTTTCGGACATATCTGAGACTCGGTTAGCATATCCATCATCCAAAATCAAACAATATGAAAGCTAGATAACATACTTGGGGTATCTTTCACGAAATCAAAATGAGCTTTGTCATGGATTTTGATGATTTCCTTCTCGGTAGCTTTACGAACAGGAATGTCGACAAGTTGCACAGAAGCCAAATACTGCTCTGGTACAGAACTGTCTTTGACTAAGCCTGCCTTGCAAAGAGCATCGTAGATGGAGGCAATACGACGAGGATCCTCGGGGTGGGCGTCAGAGGAAGGTCGCAGCTCGCAATGGAATCGCATCTGAACATCGTAGCAAAGACCAGTTGGTTTGTTCGCGAGTGCTTTATGAGGCCCCGAAGGCTGATGATCTTCAGACCAATCTGAGGTCGGGTCTTCCATGCTATCACTGGCTGATTCTTCACGGGAAGGAATTGACAAATTGTACCGTTTGTCTTCTTGTGTAACTGACAGCAGCAAACGATTGTTATGGTGAGGAGGTGGATTTGCTATAGTCAACAACTGTTGAGGTGGATCTTGAAAAGTCAAGCCTGCAGGATTGACTGTCGTAGCAAGTTTCAAACTAGGGAGTGGGGAATTAGAATGGCGACGAGGTAGAGTTTCCAAGTCAGGATGAGAAATTGTCGAGTCAAAGTTCATTTCATTCTCCGCTGAGGACGCCAGTACAGGGCGAGTTGTGTGTTCAACGTGCGTTTGTTCAAGCGCAACATGGGGCCCAATCATTGGCAGGGAGTGTGAATTATTATCCTCCCCCATGATGGCATCCTCGGCACCTTCCATTGTAAGAACTGGGCCTTTGTTTTCAAGCGCCAACTGTCTTACAATTTTTTTTTTATAAAGGATGTTTAGATGCTTTGACAGTTCATGACAAGATGCGCCACCAGCAGCTATTCAGTCGTCTTCAATTATGAATGAGATAAAGGTCAGAAGCTGTCAAAAGTCATTAGAACACTAATTATGGAGGATTAAAGCATTTGAAGATTGTACTGTGTGTGGTATATAGTAGTGGCGTCAAGTTGGTGGTGTGTGAGATGCATCAATGAGCATTGGGGGATCCCTTTTGGGTTGACGATCCCTACTGCCAGACAAATTTTATCTCACCGCCTAGCAGACCGCCTACTATAGTAAGTATAGCGTACAACTATAATCAACGTCGAGGCTATAATTGAAGTACGGAGAAGCCACTATTACTTCAAAAAAATCCATAGATTCATGATGTCTCCCACCGTGACTCGAGCCTAGCTATCTAGGCCCATAGCCACGAACAATCACGAACACCAGATGATTCAGGTCAATACATGCATTTCAACTCGGGCTAGATAAACCCAATTCTTTCCCTTCCTTCTTTTCTTCTTCCTCAAACGGTTATCCTTTGTACAGTACCGGGGCGATCTAAGGGTAATTTGATATCTAGGGCTCACTATAGTACATGCTAATTTCCTCTGAAATTAGCACTTACTCTTCTCTATTCAATGTTTCATAGTAAGGAATTTTTGAACTCAAAAGGAGTTGATGAAATTGCTCTTGACTCTTTTCATTACTGGGTAAGTCATGGATGTTATTGCCTGTAGAGAAGAGAGGTTACATATCTACTGTATAATGCTGCCGAAGTTCTAAAGTTATTATAATAGCTTATCGCTTCGCTCAAGCTATTTACTTACCGGTCTTGCACGTGACGATTTCTCCCAGCCGTAGCTAAAATTCTCTAATTGTGGAGCACCCTTCCAAGGTTGGAGAATCTGACCAATGATAGTTGAGTATTGTAATTTGGTCCAATCATAATGTCTGATCTGATGTGGGTCTATATTCTGTCCAATCATATTTTCGTAATCAAGGCTATGGTTTCCCGCGTATATTTAAGACTCCAAGAAATGCTCACTCTTTCTGCCGTGATAATTTCACCGCCTAGATTAACCAATCAGCGTCTAATATTGTATATCAGATCCACTTTCATAGATGCGACTAGACATGTGCATGGGTTGGGTATGGGTCCCATATGGGTATTTTTGATGCCTTAATGCCTGATTTTCGCCTCAACCTAAACTAAATTAGGGTAATTAGTGCCTTAGTGCCTAATTTTTGCCTCAATCTAGTACTAACTAGGTGACAAATATCACGTGAAATAAAAGTCTTGGCAAAAAGATGGGTTTATGGGCTGGGTGTGGGTTTTACTTCAAACCCATACCCAACCCATATGGGTTTTGGGTAAAATTTCTGACCCATACCCAGCCCATTGTGGGTTGGGTTGGGTTGGGTATGGGTTTACCCAACCCAATGAACATGTCTATCTATCGCAATATCAACCGCTTTCACCTAGTCATTTATTATCATTATAGTCTGACTTCCGCCATACTAGATATCTTATTATCGACGAGAAATCTATGATTGGTATTTCTACCATGTTTTGGATTAATCGAAGATGTAGGGAGATCTTTATACGCGACGAACCATTTGGTGGTCTGAATATTTGTAACGGCGTGGGTTGCACGAAGGCTGAGAGAGGCAATGGACTCTCTACATAAGCTGGCTGAACCAGCTGTCAGGGAAGTAGGGGTTCCCCGGATAAGCTAGTTAGAGATTTGCCACTTCCTGATGTATTTAACTCTCTGAGGTCTTTGGACTCTTGAAGGAGTTCAAGAGTTGTTCTTGTCCCCAATTTACCCTAGGGGAATTGAGCCCTATGGGATACCACACCCACACCTCCGTCCTCTGGTAGCCTTCTCATAATAGTTCTTCTCTTGTTTACGGTAGCCCAACCGCATTGGACTCTAACCCTTACAATATTATCCTCGCCGGCGACTTTTACCAACTACCACCAGTTATGGCAAAACCACTATTCGATACACATGAGCTTGCTACTATTGACCTAATTGCTGGCCGGGAAGCTTACCATAGCTTCAACAAAACAATTGAATTGACTACCATCATGCGCCAGCAAGGTGATGCTACCTTTCTATTCCGCCAGGCTTTAGACCACGTACGAAATAGTGTTATCATAAAAGAAGATTAGGCCTTATTTTCAACTCGTGCACAGCCTATGCTTACAGAAGAGGAGGTTCACTGGTTTGATACAGCAATTCGAATCTTTGCTACCCATGATGAGGTTAACAAGTTTAATATACAACGCCTACAAGAGTTACGTTCACCAGTGATCAGAATTGATGCTATAAGCATAGGTGGTCAAGCCGCAAAAACTGCTTCAAGTGATGATGCCGGGAATCTACTAGAAACCCTAAGCATCTCGATTGGATCCCGCGTGATGCTAACTAAGAACCTTTGGACTGCGTACGGTTTAGTAAACGGTGCATTTGGCACTGTTACTGATATTGTGTGGCCGGCGTCGACTACTGATCCTAGATTGACTCAACCTCTAGCTCTGCTAATTGATTTTGACACCTACTCTGGCCCAGGTTTTTTTCCTAACTCCGAGCCTGAAAGGAGGAGGATTGTCCCGATTCTAGCATCTCGTCGGGACTTCACGTTGAATTCGGTTGCATGTAGCCGATCGCAGTTCCCAATGGCCCTTGCCTACGCGATAACCATCCATAAGGCGCAGGGGCTAACAGTACTATAAGCAGTATTGAGAATCAAGAAACCTGACTTCTGTCTAGGCCTCACATATGTTGCGATATCACGCGTTCGGTCCCTTGAAGGGGTTATGTTTAAGGAATCGTTTGACTTTGAGCGGTTCAAACTCAAGCATAGTATAACACTCGAGATGCGGTTGGCTGATGTCTATCGCCGACGATCTCAGCACCTTGGTCGTGTCCAGACTCCTCCTGTTGCTCATGCTTGGCCTACATCACAGGGATCTCCAGGAGCACTTATCCGGTCACTCCAGCAGCAACGTAGTCAACGCTTTCAAGATGAAGGGATGAAATATGAAGAGATAGAACCAGATTTAGAGCCTATGGATACAGACTCGGGCTAGACTGTCCGCCTCCACGGCAGTGGCCCCCGGAGGGAAGCAGCAGGCGGTGGGACAATTAGGGCAGAAATAGTGAACGTTTCCCGGAATCTCATATCTACGCATTCAATCTGTAGTATGTATCACGTAAAAAATACGGATTTGGCTAAATTTCCAAAATCTAAAAACGGATTTGACTAAATTCCCCGCTCAAGCTTCACGAGGCATTTCATTTACGCCTCGATCTAGTAACTTTGAAACCCTTGGAAGTACATCTTCCCAGTGTTACTACTCTAAACCTAAATTTTTAGTCCTCTATTCACTCTATATATTGCTTCCATGTTGTTGTTAAATATATATGTCACTGTTCAAATGGTTTACCCCACCGTCCATAACGAGTCTGTTTCTAACATCCCCCAGAGGGGAGATTAGGTCCCTGGAAGCAATACAACCTTCCAAGGTTGGAACATCTAAATATTGACTACCTTGCAAATACTAATACATCAGGGTTATGAGTGCATCGAGACTGATAAATATTGAATCTATAATTGATCAGAAAATAGCCTGGAATGGGGTCTAGGGATTCTATCTGAAGAAAAAGAGAGGAAATAATAGAATTGTCTCCTATCTCCTATCGACTGTCACAGCTCCATACTATTTTTTTTTTTTTGGTTGATCAGTTGGGTCATCGATTGCCCAGGTGAGGATTTCAACTACCTAAGATTTTAGTGTGGCACGACTTTTGAAGCAGGGACGAATGGATGAAGCTATTCAACAAAAGTACGATACAGTGGAAATATAACGAGAGGGGAAAAACTAGTGCCAAATCAGCTGACTGAGCTTTGACTCTATTCTAACCTCATTTCTCTAGACTATCTATAATCGACTACAATTTTAGAAGTGCAATGAGAAAATGTTTTATAACATGAAAGAAATTTATGGTTCATTATTGTGACGTTATCAGGTGGTTTTGCGATCAGGGCAGTAAGTCATAATAGCCGCATGACATAAGCGACTATCCTCAACTCCGTACCTCAAGGAAGACTCCTGGACTCAGTCCCGAAATCTACTGGCCGTCGACCTTGGAGATGTAGGCAATCAGGTCAACAACACGGCGGGAGTAACCCCACTCATTGTCGTACCAGGCAACAAGCTTGACGAAGGTAGAGTTGAGGGCAATACCGGCCTTGGCATCGAAGACGGAGGAGTTGTCGTCACCGATGACATCAGTGGAGACAATATCATCCTCAGTGTATCCGAGGACACCCTTAAGCTCGTTCTCAGAGGCAGCCTTGACGACAGCCTTGATCTCCTCGTAGGTGGCAGCCTTCTCAAGCTTGCAGGTAAGGTCGACAACGGAGACGTTGGCGGTAGGGACACGCATGGACATACCGGTCAGCTTGCCGTTAAGGGCAGGGATGACCTTGCCGACAGCCTTGGCGGCACCGGTGGAAGAGGGGATGATGTTCTGGGCCGCAGTACGGCCACCACGCCAGTCCTTGGCGGAGGGACCGTCAACGGTCTTCTGGGTGGCGGTGTAGGAGTGGATGGTGGTCATGAGACCCTCAACGATACCGAACTTGTCGTTGATGACCTTGGCGAGAGGAGCCAAGCAGTTAGTGGTGCAAGATGCGTTGGAGATGACGGTGAGGTCCTTCTTGTACTCCTCGTTGTTGACACCCATAACGAACATGGGGGCATCAGCGGAGGGAGCGGAGATGATGACCTTCTTGGCACCACCCTTCAAGTGAGCGGAGGCCTTCTCGGTGGTGGTGAAAACACCGGTGGACTCAACAACGTAGGTGGCACCGGTCTCGGACCAGGGGATGTTGGCGGGGTCACGCTCAGCGTGGAAGCGGATCTTCTTGCCGTTGACAATCAGGCCGTTGGTGCCATCGACCTCGATGGTACCCTTGAACTGGCCGTGGGTGCTGTCGTACTTGAGCATGTAGGCAGCGTAGTGAACCTCAATGAAGGGGTCGTTGACAGCGACGATGTCAACATCACCGTGGTTGATGGCATTGCGGAAGACAATGCGACCAATACGGCCGAAACCGTTGATACCGACCTTGGGGACAGCCATTGTGAAGATGAGGAATGCTAGAGAAGTGTGAGTAGATGGAAGGAAGAAGAGGAAGATGAAGATAAAATACCTTTTGAAAGTGAAAGATTGTTATTGATGGATGGATGATGGAGAGAAAGAAGGGAAGAAAAAAGAGGAAGGAGGGGTGTTAAGAATGAACCTTGGGAAATGGGCAGACCCGTGGACTGACGCAACGAGCCACTCACCTTCTACACCGAACAACCAGGATGGGGCTAAACAACCCACAACTACACCACTACCACAACCCCCAGATCGGGGAGAAATAGAAGGCTTTGCCGATAGTTACCGCTTACCTTTCCCCAGCAACCCTTTCCGGTTTCATACACCGGGGAATTCAGGAAGTTTTTAATCTTTTTATATTTACTTACCCCTCATGTGATATTATCCAATAAGAGTACAGTATTTACCTCGGGTTTATCCTAGGTCCCCAATTGCCTCGGAGCTGTTTAGGTTATCCTTTTGCTAGATCTATGCCTTCCGATAATATCTACGATAATTTCATGGGAAGCTATCGGGACAAAGTAAGAATATAATGGGCAGGTATGACGAAGGATAAGTCTAGATAGTTCTAGGGCTGTACTAGCATTAGGAGGGGCACAAACGATGATGACATGACTGGGGCCATATTTAGTAACATCTGGTTAAGGTCTATCATTCTATATTCATCTGTGCCATTGGGGAATCACTAGAAAACACTAGAGATGCCTAATTATTATTATTTTTTAAAAGGAAAAAATCAGTCCACATCTCTGAGGTTGTGGCTCCATAACTGAAAACAGGCTGCGGTGGGCCAAAGCAGCATAAGAAGTGGTCCACGCCCTAAAAACATTCACCGGTATCTCATCCGCCGGACTACACGGGATAAGCTAATGCTTAGTTTTACTAAGAAGTTACATGATCATTTGTCGTTGTCACCGAGATCTCATTACATGCTATTTTCCTTGAAATCAAGAAACTGGATGGTGATGGAAGTGTGATAGGAATTCTATCGCCGAGTTCCGTGCCTTATGTTTGATGGAGAGACATGCTTTGCACCTGGGCAAAGTCATGAAATCTACGGCATCTCGGATATTCAACCTCGTCGAACCACTCGATCAGTCATACTCAACAACATCTGAACGGACATATTACACTAGGAGGAACTCTGAAAAGAAAGATGGGTCAAGAAAGTATTACAATGTACACACAACTTTCGCTTCTAAGGATATCCGGAGCGTGACAGTTAAGGATATTGTACATTCAGGCATGGATGAAGCGAATCAAGCGCAAGAGCACTTCGACATTCTCTTCATGAAAAGGTAACCCCAGCGAAGCAAAAAGAAGTCAGCGGATATAGAAAAAGGAATAACGATTCGAATCTCGATCTCCATGCATTTTGCAATTATTCCTCCTTAACACCACCACGGTAGTTCTTCTCGGCAGCCTCGATAGAGGCCTTGTCGCTCTTGGGCTGGCCCTGGGCCATGAAGCCGCCGGAGCTCTTGAAGGGACGCGACAGATCGCCAGTGGCAGGCTTGCCAAAGATGTGGATCTTGACCAGGTTGGCCTCAATTGCACCCTTGAGAGGGATGATCGACTGGATAAGCAGAGGGTTGGTGTACTTCATGTACAGGTGCATCACACACATCATGCCGACACCCATCAGCTGGCTGCGCATCAGCTGGCGGAGCTGTGCCTTGTCATAGTCCATGACAGTGGTGGTCACGGGCTTGGGCTCCTCACCACTGCCCATCTGCGCAGGCTCAACGTACTTGAGGGTCGTCATATCTGCAATATAAAAAAAGATTAGCGTTTGAACATGTGACCACGTCTCAATTAATGGGGATGTATCCACATACCCTTTTTCGCATTGACCTTGGATTGCGTGTAGAGATAGATTCCCAGAATCAGCACGTTGGACAAGATGTACATGCCGCGCACAAGAAGAAGAACATCCGGGTCCTCGAATGGAATCTTCTTGGACAACTGCATCATCACCAAGATGATGGCAAGGTTTGTACTGCGCCGAGGGATCAGTTGGTGAAATCATGATTATTAGGATCCGAACGATAGATCAGAATACATACACTTGAGCGGAAACCATTTTGTCGAGTATTCTCTTTGTGAATGCCTAGGGAATGAGATGGAGATAGGAGAGAGATAGCAAATCTCGAATGTTCTGTAGAACACCTGGCGTGATGGAAACGGATCAATTATTCTTCCCGTCACGTGTAAACTACTCCACCTGACATCTGCGCTTTCATCAAACTGCATTTCAACTCGACCTCAGCAGAATCGGTTGCTACAACCAGTTGATAGGCAGTGCAATCCACTGGACTAACTATCAGAACTCTCAGCTATGGAATGGAACCCCAAGACTAATTCCTAAGTCCAATATACGGGCCCAAAATTGAACCAAGCTTATGGTGGAGGGTCCGCAAACGGGCTTTCTACTTGACGGACCTTCCACACCAGAAACAATATAACTGATATTCATGGAACTAACTCAGGCAGATTTGATGGTCTGAAATTATTACAGAACCCTGATCCAGTGATTCGTCCTACCTTGGAGGTCTTACTTCTCCCAGTCGTTGTGCCTGCCTCTGCTGCAGGAGTCTGGGCGACCTTGATATGGTTGCCTAATTGGGACTAGCGCCGGCCCGCGGTCGCAAGACTTTAGCACAGAGCGGATTGTGACATTTCTCACCTCTCCATCCATCAACAAGACGCGTCCCCGCCCGCCATTTAATCCCCCCTCCATCAGGTCTTTTACTAGGTCACCTGCGGACCTCATCCAACCTACACTCCACAAACTCGCGACTCAGATTATCTCAAAAATGCCTGGTGGAAAGGGAAAGTCCATTGGCGGAAAGGGTGGTTCCAAGGACTCTGCGGGGAAGGCTCAGAAGTCTCACAGCGCAAAGGCTGGTCTGCAGGTCAGTGCTTTCTAATTATCGTCGCGCAACCGTTGCCTATATTGTGGATGAGATGATGTGCGATTATGGGTCCATCCCCTCGATCTACAGATACTTGTGACGCGTCTATTTAGGAATCCCCCTCATTGCTGAGATGATGCGAACTATTCTAATTCAATATCACGATTTCTTTATCGCATATCTGTCTCACCTGATATGAGTTCACGGTCGCATCGATTTATTGTCTTCCCGGCAATGAAGAATTATGCTAACATGGATTATTTATTCTTTCTAGTTCCCCTGTGGTCGTGTCAAGCGTTTCCTCAAGAACAACACCCAGAACAAGATGCGTGTCGGTGCCAAAGGTATGACTCACCCATCACCCTACAATACCTTGTCGAAACAATAAGCTGATGGACCCTTCAAAATAGCCGCCGTCTACGTTACTGCTGTCCTCGAGTACCTGACTGCCGAAGTCCTGGAACTTGCCGGCAACGCCGCCAAGGACCTGAAGGTCAAGCGTATCACCCCCCGCCACTTGCAGCTGGCCATTCGTGGTGATGAGGAGTTGGACACGCTCATCCGCGCCACCATCGCCTTCGGTGGTGTTCTGCCCCGCATCAACCGTGCTCTCCTTCTCAAGGTCGAGCAGAAGAAAAAGGGCAAGCCCGAGCTTTAAACGGGTAAAACGAAAATTAACTTTGAAATGGAAACTGGCCAAAGGCTGGAGATGATGCGCTGGCGTTGATGGTCGCTGATGCCAGGCATAACCTTATCCGATCCGTTTCTTTCAACTCTTTTATCACGGCGTGTCTGACTATTCCCCTGGCTATTATGCTTCACTTTTTTTGTTTATCTTATGTCTTAGGGCGCTGTAATGGGAAATGGGGGATATCCGGGAAATTCTACTTCTGATTCCGTCTCTAATCCTTGTAGTTCCCTCTTGTATCAATGATGGCGATTTGTTTTCGATTTTCAAGATTGGCTCTTATCGGCACCTACCTAGGTAGATATCCATGGATTATTCTTTTTTTTACTACCTAGATACTTTGTCATTGGCAAAATCACACTCCACAACCATTCACCTCTGGCATGAAGGCGCGTCGCATGATATCACGAGTTGATTTCTGATAGCCATGGTGTATTCCCACTGGACAGCTCTGTACCTATGTACCATACACTTCTTGGCGTTGCTCTTCTGTATTAGTGCTCACTATCTCGCCGCTTTTGCTCACTGAGTATCAGGTGACACTCATGGGGGGTTATCAGTGAGACATCGTAGCCGTCAATTTTAAAGAACCACACTATAACCATCAATTCCACCTATTCTATGCATTCACGCCGTATCCGTTCAAAATATAGAGATATATATCTCTACCGCCGCCACTAATGATGGATGGTCTCTTGATCTATCTTCCACCTTTTCCTCCTCTATCTCTCAACCTCCTCCTGATCCTGCTGTTATGGGTCATAACCATATCTTTTTTTATATACTCTTTTACCCACTTCCTCTCTTTTGCCGCATCTTCTTTGGCTTTCCTAGTTGTAGTTGCGCGATTTGCATCACATGCACATAATACACCAGTATCCTAAGCCCTTTTAAGGTGTCGTTTAGTTTTTGGGCGGCGAAGTGGTTCTTGCGCAACCCTAATATGCTCAACTATATCTTTGCATAATTAAAGCTCTTCCTGGAGTTACCGGGAAAGGCGGCAGAGATGTGTAAGCGCCCTCTGTAGCTTCGGTGTAAGAAGATCTATATGCTTGAGTAACTTCTCCTAGTTCTTCTGAAACGTTTTCGTCGTTTTTGGAGCATTTTCAATACTATACGATGATGGTGGCGGAGATGGTGTCCGGTATTCAGTGCATTTAGTAAGGCCATCTTCAGTAACAATTAGACATGTTCATGGATTGGGTCAAATGGGTGGACAACATATGGGTTGCGGCGTTGGGTTTTGGGTCCTAAATATTTTTTTGGTGCCTTGATGCCTTGGTGCCTTGATGCCTACTTTACTATGATCACGCAGAGGACTGAGCAATCGAGAAATTCAAATTTACCTAATAATATATGTAGTACCCAGGTACCACATCGGAAATTTTCAGCCGGTCAGACAAATCTGACTTACAATGGTGTTGTTATCCTGGTCTAAAATCTCAGCCTCTGAAAAGTTGTCAACAAAGAGCACATGCCATAGTCTCGTGTTGGACTGATCTATACTTGTATGAGCGATTTCAGCCAATGTGGGTGTGTCTTGGAGATACTTACTGATATATGGCTTCGGCCGAGACGTCCTAAAGTCGATGATCAGCCAGTCTCGAAGTAGGTCATTCGTGATCCATTTCGAATACGAGCCATTGACTACGAACCTCTGGCAATGCTCGGTAAGCCTATCGCCCTCTCTGAGTAGCTCGAATCCCCACCTCATGCTACCCAGTCTGAAATCAATACGACCCAGTCCATCTGGAGACCATTCACTAGTAATGTCCGCTGAATATCCCAGAACGTGGTGGATAGCCCGATAAAACTCGTCCTGGTACGTAGCTTCGAGCGGACGTTTGATGGCACCCGGGCCAGTCCTCGAAGACTGCGATGTTGCTTGTAGATTTCTACGAGAGAAACTTCTAATCGTGGCTTCAGCCAGAGACGCAATATCGGGGAATCGTTCACACGGAAATTGGAAATGTCGGTCTGCGAGTTCAAACTCGATATACCTATTCAATTTGGTTAAGGAGAACTTCGATAAGAAATTATAATAATATGGTACTCACATGGCATGAAGGTTTGTAGGAAGCACGCAAATTATATGTGATGATGAAGAGTCGAGGGCCTCGGTATGGATCCAACCTATCTTGTAGCATGTGCTTATTCCAGGGTCTTTCATATCTCGAATAATACTTCCATTGAAGAGAACTTTCCTCAAGGTATGCCTCGCCTCAGGTGTAAGCTTTGTCGGATCCACGAATGAGCGATGAACTGCTGAGTATTTCAAATGCTTAAATGCAACCTGCCTTTCACAAAAGGTTTTCCTAATATGCGACTCCTCGATCGATGGTTGACGTCCCGATATTAACTCAGATCGGTATAACTTCATCAGCATGCGTAGAATACCATCCACGGCTCCCGGATGTCCACTGGTGAGATTAAACAGGTATTCCTGAGCACTCTGGTCGAGCTTGAGATACTGCTCATTTTGACACGTGAGGGCGACAACATCCTGAAACTCCTCCCGGCTGTAGAACAGCGAGATATTCGGAGAGTCCTCGAGGCTTGAGGAAGTGATACCCACGCGCTGTGGGACACCGAAAAATCCAAGTAGGCTTCCTGATCCGTATTGGTTTTCGGGCGGGCCTCCTTCGGGGCTTCCATACGAGGAGAACAGGGCGATTCTTGGTCCTTCACGGCCTGCACGACCACTTTGAGATTTTATCAAGCCGAGCCAAAGGCCGTAATCACCCCACGACATCTGAGCCTCATCCAAGATAAAGACAATATCAGCATCATGAAGCGATTGATAGGACAACGCAAGGCCCGCGTTTGCGGCCTCGTGAACAAGGATTACTTTGTAATTGTGGGTTCGATTTTGCGGCCAGCCCATAATCAATACAGCTGGGATGTTCTGTTCAAGGTAATACCGATGAAGGAGACCCGCCAGGACTGATTTTCCAGATGCGGGTGTCCCTCGGACATTGACGACTCGGTTTTCATCAAGTATACTTGCAAGTTCTTGGACAGTCGCTGCCCGTGAGCATGTGAGAGGAGAGGCCAGAGAGTACTGATTAAAATCGAGTAATGTCGAAAACAATGAGCGTATTTCAAGAGGCATGACTTACACATATTCCAGCCAGTGTGGAGACTTGGCTCCGGTTGGTGAAAAAGCCTACGAAGGAACTCCATGATGAGAGATAATAGACTCAAAAAGGAGGCCATCGTGGAAGGAACGTTGAATGAGGGAAGTTGCCCCAAATTACCTAGAACCATGTCTAGCGTTTTATCGCTGCCTGGGGCCTCGATATATTCGCACAAGAAAGTTTAATCGCAGCTCGCCATCCATGTGACACGCATCCAGCAGTTTGTCGGTCTTCTACGTCTTACATTTTCCTTCATTCCAGTACGATCAACATTCTCAATGAAGATTCCCTATGCATACGAAGACCAGCAAATGAAGCCATACTTCTTCGACTTCTTAAGATTAAAAGACTAAACAATAGGACCTCGTCCTCTCCGGGAAATGATAGTGAGCATCTCGAACTTCCTGAACTAATTAAAGCCCCCTTATCTGATATAGATCGCCCTCTAGATGCACTTGATAAGCTATCGACCCACGACCTTGAAACAAAGCATATAGTTTCATAAAATAAGTAAGCGCTCATGTAAAAGAATTTCTATATCGAGGCCCTACAAGCTTGGTTGAACAAGAGGGCAAATGAGACTGCCGAGGAGTATGCTAAGCTGAAGAACATCATTATCGAACTACAAGCAGAGCTGGGAAATACGTAGGAAAATCGTCCCATCCGTCTATTCGACTTATCAACTCACCAAAAGACTACCAAGGATCTTTCCTAGAGCAAAAGTAGGCTTGAGGCGGGTATGACCAAGTTAAAGACAGCAATCAAAGAAGCTGATAGCATGCGCGCAAAAGAGCTCGATGAGCTTAAAGAAAATTATGATACAGCTCTCGGCGCCTAGGAGGGGTATAGACTAAGGAGCTTGAGATCATTCCTAATTGTCTTAGCCCCTATTACAGCACACTTTATATAGGCAACCTACCACCTAATACGTCTAAGGAGGAGCTCAAGGCGCTCCTGTTAAATTATTGTGGGTATATGCGACTATGCTTCCGCAACAAGCTGAACGGTCTGTTGTGTTTATCAAATTTGATGAGGTGGCTATGGCGAGTAATGCCTAAATCCATTTTTGAGGGGGGTGAATTGAAAGATAGAGCAACTTCAGAAACAGCGACATGATTAGGGCATCAAAAAGTAGTTCATACAATAAGCATTGTGGGGCCGAATGCTCCTTTAGGACTGCTTAATAGATGAGTAATCAATGAGCACTGAGCAGCCAATCATAATCACTGAGCACTCAGTGAGCAGTGAGCCTGTGCCCTCATGAAAGTGGCGGCACTTGAAATAAGAAAACTCCACCCGTCAGAGAAAATACGATACCTAGATTGTACCTAGTCACCGAAGCCGAGACTAGTTTAAAAAGTTCCAAGAGTTTCTATTCGTTCGACGCCCAACTATGCAGCTTCTGGGGTCTGGAGGTGAGTAGTAGATCAGATGCAGCCCACTTGGACTTGGCAAAACGTGCCCGAGTGGGATCGGCACACGGAGCAGCGCTGCAGGGTCCGAAGTTCCTATGGACGCGAGATGACCTAGATAGCCGTGGAGCTGGCCATGGTCACTTGAGATGAATAGGTATCCACAAGGACACAAGGACATAAGGGCTAGATAACTAGGTATAATATCCATCTGTCCATGCCTAGGTACTCGTAGCTCTAATCTTGGTTTGGTAGGGGGTCTTGCTGGACCGTATAAGCCCTGGAGAGCTGGATATATTGTCCATGGATATCTGCCTAGGTGCAGCCCGTATGGGTATACGTATGCAAGTACAAAGATTGACAGATCTAGTAAATTGATTTTAGAGTAATAAAAGATACAATAGTCAAGAAAACGAGTACAAAAACCTTGCAAGAAGTCCACGGGTCCCTCTGCCGCACTCCACAATGCACCGAGGAACAAGCCCATCCTCGATCAAGACATAGGAACAAAACAGAAACACCTCCCAATAAAAACAAGTTGCACCCATGGAATTTTCACAAACCACCAGTCCTCATCTCTACCAGAACTCAAGAGTCACCTATCAATTCACATTGACGATGATGAGCCCCATTAGTCTGCAGATATCGGACGAAAGAGTTTTAGCCATTTGTCATCTTGGTCGCATTCAGATTGACGCAGAAAGAAAGTGAAGAAAAGAGACAAGAGGGGAGGAGTGTTGTTTAAGTTGAAAAATAAGAGAAGAAGACATAAAAAAGGGCAGGTCACCGTCAGGTGCCGGGACCTTAGAGCGCGAAGGTGCGACTCGAGGAATTAGCGCGTTCAGAAATTCAAAAAATGGGCCAAGACATTAGATGCGAGAGATATCGCCCCCATGTACAGAACTAAAACAGGCAAGAATATGCAAATGCTGAGTTGTCGTATTTCCTGCCCGGGGGCAGGGTCTTTTGGTCATTCTTCGTATGTCCTCACATACACCAAGCGGCGGGATTCGTGATCCGACAGTGTTGCAAGGAACGAAACATTTGCAAAGTAGTGAAACTTTCAATCGTAGAGGAAATAAAAAAAAAGGTAAAGAATAAAAGAGTAAAGAGTAAGAAACTGATCAACAGGGCAAAGAAGTTCCAAAACACAGAGCGTTAAAGAGCAACGGTTGCCACCGAAAATAATAATAAAAATAAAAAATTCAAAAAGTTGTTCAAGCTGGGCTGCCCCAGATAAAACGTCTAAAATATGCTCGATGAGCGAAACAATGGAGTTTTCTCGGTCTTTTTTGGTGGTCATTCACATCATCCCTCATCGACTCATCGAATTCGTAAGCCGGTTAAATTCGCAGAAAAGGGCCTCGTGATACAAGTCGTATTCGTCTCGCGGCAAAATCAGATGTTGGCATAAACAGGGTGGTATCGCCATCGTCGCATCATTCATCTACTCCACAATAATCTCAACGCCGGACTGGGCGCGCAGCTCATCGCTGCCACGAGCCTGGTGTCCGTTCTGACGGCGGAAACCGGTACCCTTGTCAGGAGTCGGACCGCGCGGCTGACGAACGGGCATGCGCTCCTGCTGAGCGTTGTCAAATCCAACACCCATTCCGCGATTACTGCCAATGGTACCAGCTGCAGAGGGTTGGCTGTCCTGCTCCCAGGAGAACATACCACGCAGTCTCCGGGGGCTCGCGTTAGGGCCACCGATACCAGTGCCCAAAGAAAGTCCACCTAGGCTGTTGACAAGCAGTCCATCGTCACGCTGCACACCAAGAGAAGAACCAGATGGCGCGGAAGTAAGAGTTGGGGTGTTCGAGGTACCAGTGGAGGTACCGTCGTACTGCAAGCGAGCTCCGTTGGACTGCATAGCAGCGGGGAAGCTCGCGGAAGAGGGCACCGGGGAAGGGGTGTAGGAGCGCAAGTCGGCGAACGACTTAGCTGCGCGGAGGTTTTGGGTGTTGTAGGAGTTGTTAGAAGAGTCCATAACACCGAGGAAGCTCGAGGTCTGGCCACGGAGGGTGTTGAAGGCACCGGGGGCACCCTCGTTGCGAGCCTCACTAAAGTCAATGGTGGCGGCACGGTTCAATCCACGCCGGCCATTGTCGGATTGGCCAGCAGGGGGGATAGCCGACAAGGGAGGGCTCACATTGGAACCTGCTGCAACCTTGAATACTTGAACCTGGCGTTGTTCCCCACTGCCACGGGAGGCATGAGCCAAACCCATGTTGTGAGCCAGAGTGTGAACCGTGCGGCGCTGAGAGGGGGTCAAGTTGGATGCGAAGATGAAGGAATCGCGGGCAGTGTCTTCCTTGAACAAGAGGAGCTGGGAATAGAAATTCAACGTGGTACTATCATTCAAATCCACATCTTGGGAGAAAAAGTCGTCAGTGATCAACCTGTTCGGACAGGGTAAACAGCCCCACTCACCTAGTTTCTGACCACGTTGGGACACAGGAGAAGGCGATGTAGCCGGGACATGCGAGGTCAGCGAAGACATCGAACTCTGGGTATGCAATTGAGCAGAAGCCATTGGACGATGCTGCTCTTCAAGCTGGCCACGGCGCTCACGCTTCTCCCGCTCGATACGCTCGCGCTCTTGCAAAGGCAACATCTTCTTGTATTCCACGCGCAATTTCCGGCCTTGCAGTTCAAAGTGGTTAAGAACCTCAATCACAGTGGCAGTCTCTTCGGCAGAGGTAAAGTTTGCAAAAGCCAAGCCACGGAAAACCCCGTTATCAAAGTGATAGTTAAACGCATAAGGAAGAGGCAGGCTTAGTTCGGTCATCAACTGAACCAACTGCTCCTTCTTGACGGCAAAAGGGATGTTTTTGATGACGATGGCGGTTGGGATCAGTTCGTCATCTCCATCGGACGAAGCCGATGGTTCCGGTCGCATCGCAGTGCTCTGGATGGGTCCAGGGCCGAGGTTGGAAAAGGCGCCGGGCATACCAGGTTGCTGATCCAGCCAAGTCTATTGAAAAAAAATCTCGTCAGCATATGGGCCTTAAAAAGATAATAACATATTAGAATAGTCAGGTTAGCAACGCACCGTGGGGAGACCGGCACGACCACGGGAGGTGGGCTTCAGGCTGGCGGAAGCCGAACGGATACCACCCAGGGATTGGGAGTTGGAGAAACCGTTCGGGTTCCAGGTCTGAGAACCAGAAATGTCATAGGCGTAAGAATTGTTGTGCATCGGAGCATTCAACCGTTCCAGCCGGGGGGTGTCGTAGCGGGCCATCTGGGGGTGTTCGTCGTACAAGCTAACAGGCATAGCACCGTAGGCGTCAAACTGGCGCGAGGGCTGACGGTGAAGGGGTTGTTGGTGACGCTGGGAGCCAGGGGAACGCGCAGAAGGGTCGTGATACATGTCTTGTTGATAACTCATGGCTAAGGAACGAGGATTCCTTGGCGAGGAACCGAGGAATGTGGACATGCAAAAAATCCAAATACACCAAAAAGTAGGTCGTGAAAGGTCGAACGAAATACCGGGGCTATCGGGACATGAGAGTAGAAGCAGGATAAAAATAAGAGGAATAGGCGAGAGAGGCGAAAGGGGAAAAACGCAAGTTCAAAATCGCTCACGGATGCAAAGTCGTGCACGTTCTCTCGTGAAAAAGGGGGCAGAGGGGTTTAGATAAGATGTATCTTTTTTTTTTTTGCTTTTTTTTTCTTGTTAAAGAAGATATTCCTTTTCGAAGACCAGTTAAGAAGGAAATGGTCTTAAGGGAGCGGGGGGGGGGGAAGAAGAAAAGGATTGAAATTGGAAAGCCGGAAGTGGGAGGCGGTCCACACAAAATCGCCAAGAACGGGGCAGTAAGGAGTTGAGAGAGAAGAACTTGTAAGATACTAGGTATTTAGAATGTTAGATTAGGTCAAAAAATAAATCTAAAAAATGGAGAGTTGGTGAAGATTTTATAGAGATCTTCAGGGAATCTTTAATCCACACTTTTTTCGAGCTTTTCCCCCCTGTTTTGATCTCCGGTTCTTATTCGTATTTTCTACATATATTCTTCTAGATGCTCTTACTTCAACCTAGGAAAGTAATTTAGTCAACATTTTTATTTTATTTTTGAGCCTCGGAATCTCAAATCAGTCCTTAGATAGTTATCTAGTACATGCTGATTCTTCTCTTTACTTACCCCTGGGTAGGGGAAGCTTCAGTGACTCGGCTCCCCTATCCGTCATGCTTTTACGGGTCCTACGCCCTTGCGAGGTAGTAATTACCTAGGTATAGGTAAATATAGATAGGCTTCTCAAATTTTATCTTTAGCTATCGAATATTCACCCTTGAAAGTCTTTGTACGAGAGAAACAAAGTCACATGTAATGAGTCTACTATATTCCCACTTACCGCCTCGTGCACTCTAGGGCTTTTACTTCACTCTACTTGATACACGAAACAATTTGATTCAAGTCCTCCCAGTAGACCTACTGTACCTAAGTAGTTACTATATTTACTCCAATATTTACATAATCTATAACCTTCTTCTTTGCATTGACTTTTTCTTTATCCTTTTTTTAGTTCTTTCAATGGGTCTTAATCTTACCTAAGTAACCCCTCCCCCTTATGACCTCCTTTTTGCTTCTTCTCTTTACTCTTCTTGTATTAGCGTACTCAGGAGAACGACTTTGATCTCGGTTCGCCACCCCGACATGTCTACTTTGTAATTATTGATGGCTCTGGTATCCCAATATCGCTTATTAGTATAATTACCTCGTTCTAGTCCGAGGTTCCATATTTGTTGAACGGGACGGCCCATCGATTTCTCCCACTTCCATTTGGATTCTGGAACTTGCACCGGAACTCCACGATCCGCGCACTCCCTGAACTAGCGGCACCGCGGAACTCGCTCGGAAGATCCCACCGCTCGCTAGAATACGCTAGCCACGGGGTAGAAAACCCTGGGCACGTCAGATTCTGACGGTCTGCAACTGGTGGGGGTTAAGGGGCCTGGATATTGGGAAATGGGTCTTCAGAGAAACTAATATAAGCTAAAGCTTCAGGAAAGCCTTTAGTCTTTTGTCCGGCTCGCTCTGATCTTAATTCAGCTCTGTAAATTGATGATGTTGATCAAGATCGACAGGAATGTACAAAGTAGTGACGGCAGCGAACTAAGCGAAGGTTCACATGATATCACAAATACGGAGTACTCCATATGGGTTACAATATCTGTGATATCAGCCCCTTTTCGAGGTCAAATGCGTGATGACTGCTCCATCTTTAAGACAGGGCATTTCAATGAGCAAATTGCAAATTACAAATTAATTGAGAGACTGGGTTCAAACTAACTATCTATCCTTACGACCTAAGTGGATCGCAGTGGCGTACTTCGCGAGGTTACTAATTGGATGGATCCGACCAAGGGAGGTTAGAAGAGCGAAGCTTCACACTTTCTAGAAGGCAACCTACAAAAATCTAAAATCTAAAATCTAAAATCTAGGAATTGATTTGGACACGTTCAGTGTACTTACGAGCACACTATGGCATCGGACATACCAATTTAAATCTGATTGACACTGCAGAGACTCAACCTTAGTTTGGCTCATTCGAAACGAATCAACCAAACTAATTAGAATGGATGTGGGGTTGATACATCGGAGAGAAGGGCGAGGTGACCTAGATGGACTTATCGAGGTTCATGATGGTAGAAGACACAATTTTTAAAGCATGTATGTACCAAGGTATATCCAAGTAGCGCTAACGAAGCGGAGACAGGTCGCCTAGAGGTACGCGTTCATCTGACGCCACCGTTGATTCATAAATTAGTCTGAATTTTAAGATCAGATTCACCGGTTATGGGTATTGTTCCAAGGGTGATAATTTGATAAGTTGGGCTGAGTAACTGAACATTTCAATATCCAACAGGACCTACCCAGTTGGTACCTGCGTACATGTTATATAAAAGTAGAACTACAGTAGGAGAGTACAGATCGACTGCCAAGAACCCAGGAACGGATATGAAACCCACAGCCAAGACTACTTAAATGTGTACAGAGTATATGACAATCGCATGTCAATATACTGATTGACTAATTGCGTTCAAATTTCACTCTAAATTGAACAAATTGGAGTAGACATGGTTCATCCGTGACTTGATCTAAAAATTAGATTAATTTTAAGCCTATTTGTGGTTCGAGTGGAATCGAGTAGAAAATGACAGGACTCTACAAACGTACCTAGGTAGTTAAGTGGGGGCTATAAAGGCATCAGCACAACCTCAAAAGTGAATTCAACATTCCTCAAGATCTTTTAACCTTCTTCCTCAGATCTCAAGGCGCGAAAATGCGGAGTACTTTCCGTGTTGTTGTTGCTTTTGCGCTTGCCTTCTTTCTCTTCCTGGTGAAGGGACATCTGGAATCAATTGACTCGCAACGGCAGGCCACCGCGGATTCAGTGCCACGTTTTGTTCGGGACGACGCTGGCGCACATATCGAACTAGTCCCCATCGGCAGTTCATCCCCAACTACTTCACAGGCCGTCACCTACCAGAGTACTAAAACTTATCTACAACCTACCAATCCGCCCATATCACCGACCAAATTCCAATCTAAGCAGATTCCTGTTCAGGTTCCTGGTGCGGAACTGTGGGATGATGAGTATGAGGATGAGGACGACTATTTTGATCGAGATCTTGATTTCGGCATTCCTGTTGGGAGGCAAAGCAAGCCGAAGCCGAAACCCTCACCTCCGAAAAGTGAAGAAAGTGCTAAACCATTGCCACCGAGACCGAGTGTCTCGCCTCTTGCAGACCGAATTATTGTCACTGGGAGGTTTTCTTGGGAGAGCACTAGTTGGTTAGAAACTGAATTACCCGAGTAAGTACACAACACCCAGGTAACAGAAAAGCATTTCACTAACCAGACTCGGAATAATAGGTGGCAACGTGCAGTCTATGTGGTAAATGACCAAGAAGCTGAATATCACGTCCAACAGAACAAAGGCAAGGAGAGCAACATATATCTCCAGTACATAGTGGACCACTACAACAAACTTCCCCAATACATAGTCTTCCTCCACTCACACCGCAAAAGCTACCACGTCGAGTTCGAGGAACAAGACAACGTCCTAACAGTGCAGCGCCTACAGTTAGACTACGTCAAGAAAACAGGCTATGCAAATCTACGCTGCGACTGGGGTCCCGGATGTCCCGATGAGGTTCATCCGTTCAGACAGAATCAGGCTCGCACGACTGAAATCGCATTTGCGGGTGCTTGGATGCAAATTTTCAACAATAGCAATATTCCTGAAATCGTTGCTGCGCCTTGTTGTGCGCAGTTTGCTGTCTCGAGGGAACAGGTGCATGCGCGTCCTTTGAGCGAGTATCAAAATTTTCTCCGCTGGATTATGGAGACGGAACTTGATGATGAGACCAGTGGGAGGGTCTTTGAATATCTGTGGCATATTATATTCGGGCAGGATCCTGTCTCGTAAGTTGCTGAACTCCGATTTTTTTCTTTTTTCTTTTTTTTTTTTTTTTGGGAGGAGAGCTGATTTGTTTATATAGTTGCCCTTCTAAGGCACAATGCTACAAGGATATTTATGATATGGAGTATGTCGAGCCTGTTGACAGGTGGGCTGCCTTTTTGAAGGACCTGAAGGAGGACTATGATGAAAACCAAGATGACGACGATGATTATGATGATGATCTATCTGCCATGAAAGGGGCTGAGAGGGCTGCTATGCATCCTCTTGGGTTGGCTGGACATGTGCAGGTACTGTGAATATCTCGGGGCCATCTACTATAATCTACTAGATCATAAAACATTCGATCACTTGCAGTGACCAAACAAGGAGAAGGACCTCGGGAGTACATTGAACGAAGCTAACACTTTGAAGAAGACGCCGATTTTCGATGGACCGTGGAAGCAGCCTTGGAGGATACCACTACTACCGAGGGATCAATTAAGACTCTACCAAGGTAGTCACTGGGTACAAGGCCGATATCGAGTCGCTCAGTGGTCTACTGGTTATCAACCTACACAAGTGTATGACGAAGTAATCAAGTATCAATATGATTCAATTCACTAATTCTCAGGTGGTGTCAAACCTGGGAGTTCCAATTTGAACATAAAATTGAGATGAGACGTGCCCAGGTGAGTGGAGAAAATAACGGCATGTATTTATTTATGTGGTGCCTATATCACTTAGTAAGGGTTGCAACCCCGCAACTTCCAACCTCCAAACTTCCATCAACTTCCAGCCGTCTACTCTGTACCAAATTCCAAAAATTGAGATAGAATTGACAATGGTTCCCGCACTGGACAGTATGTGGGAAAAGTATTGCCTACGACTCACTGGGTCCACTCCAACCTTCATTCCAGTTTTTCTCTACGGCACAGCTTGGAAGAAAGATCGGACAACTGATCTCGTCTACAATGCGATTAAGAACGGCTTCCGCGGTGTGGACACGGCAGCACAACCTCGCCATTATAAAGAGCCCCAGGTGGGCGATGGAATCCGTAGAGCTATTACTGGCGGGATCACACGCCGAGAGGATTTATATGTTAGTAATGCTCCACATCGGATCATACGATGCGAAACCTGGAAAGTGGCATTCTCGCTGAAATGACGCAGTTGCAAACAAAATTTAGCCCCATCTCGGCCCAGGACCTGGATGATATGCCATATGATCCTAATACGTCAGTGACAGAGCAAGTCCATGCTTCAATCAGATCATCTTTGCACAACCTCCGTCCATTAGATGACCCTGGCAGCGTGGATGGTGCATATATTGATACTGTCGTCATCCACTCACCCCTTCCAACAATTGAGCTCACTTTGGAGGCATGGCGCGCACTAGAGATCTATGTGCCGCATCAAATCCGAAACTTGGGGATTTCTAACTGTGATTTGTCCGTGCTTCGTGAGCTATGTACCTCCCCACAAGTGACTGTCCAGCCCGCCGTGGTGCAGAATCGATTCTACGTCGATACCTTGTTTGATACCGATGTGCGGGCCTTTTGTCGTCAGAATCAGATAATTTACCAGAGCTTCTGGACTTTGACAGCCAATCCCGAGCTGGTTCGAAGTACACCCGTGCAGCAGCTCGCTGATTCAGTTGGCATCAGCCCTGCATCGGCTTTTTACGCGCTTGTTATAGGACTAGGAGGGATCACGGTGTTAAACGGAACTAAGAATGAAGTCCATATGGTGGAGGATCTGGCCACGCCGTTGAAAGTGGAGGCGTTTACACGAGAGCACTCAGAGCAATGGCAGGCACTGCTAGCAGAATTCCAAGAATCAATTAGGGAGACTGAGCCAAGTAGCTAGAGGGATAAGTATCTCATAGTATCAACTACATTTAGTTAAGCGAAGAATGATGAAATGATGGAATCCTTAATCTGATTCTCAATGTAAGATCTTGGTTGTCTAGCCGCTGACTCATCAGCCAATCAGCATGCGTTTTCTTGAAATTGACCTCATCGCCTCCAATCGACTCAGCGCAAGATTTCTTGCTCTCACAGTCTTCGACTTTTCAAGTTCACCTGTGGCTCTGATCGCGCCTGCTGTTTCCTCACAAACAGCCAGCCGACTTGGCAAGCTCGGTTTTCTGCCGTTCCAGGGTCGTTCCGAACGATCTTCCCTTCGCCCTCCCATTGTCGTGATTTGCCAACTCGTCCTGTGCCCATTCCTGTTTCCTTAGGACTGCACTCGAAAATCATCATCTAGTTGCGCTTTGAGTGAGAATCTACAAAAGTTGTTGATTCCTCACTGCCTTTCGGCCTGTTTTTTGCCCGAGCTAGGTGGACCGACCCAGTCTTTTTTGACTCAAAAATCCTTTTATGGCAATCACGATCGACTTCATTTGAATTTTTATATGTGTGATCATCTATTCTACCAATTTGCTGTTTCAGTGCCCTAACCCGTTCCGTGTAGTGCTCAGAAAAGCTATTTATCCCATATTCCTCCACCCCGCAATAAATTTCTCTACGCCAACCTATCACAGTCACTTTGACGATGACTTCTCAAGGCATGACTCGCAAAAGGCCGGCCCCAGGTACAGTGCCTGCAGTTCTACCACAGATGGGCACAGCCCCAAATTACCAGACCTCAAACCCGGGCGCCACACTATCAAATGACCAGTTCTTGCAATGGGGTCAAAATCCTGCCCCTAACACTGTCAATAATGCCGCATACGTCGAACCGTCAGCATTCAGTGCGACACCATACGCAGCGAATCAGGATTTGTCGGCGCAACCAGTTGCCTCCGCCAGTCAAATTACGCGTCGGCAGCCGCCAAATCAGCTGGTCACGCGAAACCGCGGATATGAGCAAGCGCCCGCAACATATGAACCCAGCCAGAATCTTGCACCAGGAGAGTCGGGCGCTTGGGGGGAAAGCTTGGAAGAGCTCTACCGACGTGCCTTGATTGCGAAGCGAGAGGCGCAGGCGAAGCGCAAACAGATTCCACCATTTGTGCAGAAGCTTAGCAGGTATGTTTTTTTGAAATTATTGACATGAAAAATTTTGGTCAAAACTCATCGCTAACCTTGGTATAGTTTCCTAGATGAATCAAAAAACACAGAATTGATTCGATGGTCTGACGATGGCAATTCTTTCATTGTGCTTGATGAAGATGAGTTTGCGAGGACATTGATTCCCGAACTTTTCAAGCATAACAACTACGCCTCATTTGTTCGACAGCTTAATATGTACGGATTTCACAAAAAGGTGGGGCTTTCCGACAACTCCATGCGTGCCAGTGAGCGCAAGAATAAGAGCCCCAGTGAATACGCGAATCCATACTTTAAAAGAGGCCATCCAGATCTGCTCTGGTTGATTCAAAAACCTAAGACTGCAGCCGGCCATTCAAGCAAAGGGAGTAAAAGCGGTGCGCGTGTAAAGACCGAGGATGTGGATGATGTTGATTTCGAGGAGTATGGTGAAGACGTGGCAGCTGCATCTCGGGACAACCGCCCTAGGCCCCAGCAGTTGTCTATCCTCACCGACTCTTCAATGCCCAAAGATCAACTTGCTGGAGTGTATCGAGAACTACAAGCCATTCGGCAACAGCAATCAATAATATCGGGCACCATAACCAGACTACGAAAAGAGCACGAGCAGCTCTATGCGCAAGCGGCAAATTTCCAAGAGCAACACACACGTCATGAAAACTCCATCAACGCTATCCTCACATTCCTTGCAACAGTGTACAATCGCAGCCTGCAAGGGCAAGATGGAAATCAAAATCTTGCAAACTCATTCGCTGGAGCCATTTCTCAGGATCTCCAAGGGAACATTGTTGATATGGGTGATGATTTTTCATTAAGCTCATTGAACGGCGTGACGAGTCCGACTGGACAAAGGACCATGAAGAAACAACCACTTTTGTTGAAGGCTCCACCAGTTGTCGATGAGACTAGTCGTGCCAACACTTTATCGCCTGCAGCTAGCAACGGTTATGACATGCATTCTCGTGGCCATACTCGTCAGCCAAGCGCTACGCAGTCTGGTCATGTGGAAGAGGTTCTTGATAATAGCCCGCGGCAAACCGCTTCAATTCCTCCCATAAAGCGACAAGGTGACGAAGCCTTCCCCCGACAGGACATGATGTCTGTTATTCAGAATACCAATGCGCGGAACGGCATTCCAACAAATTTTTCCGAGTTCCCCAATCTTCTCTCTTCCCTTGAAACATCTGATGGGAATGTTCCCCTCACTCCCAATCAACGCGCCGACATGCTCCGCCTCATGGCAAATGAGACCAACCCAGCGGATCCCAGCACCGCAAACTCTCCAAACAATGCTCTAATCACACCACCCCCACCACCAATGCCGCATAATTACTCCAATCGCCTAGCAAACACTCGCCAAGAGATCGATAACTTGGTGAAAATGCAAGCCGAACAAGACCGTTCTGTCCAAAACCTCACCAATCTCCTCCAACCTCTGAGTCCAAACGGTACCATTCCAGGCCTGGGCAGTGATGGAAATGTGCCACCTCCGCCACTTGACCTCGACCAGCTTTTCAATAACGACTACTTCACCGATATTGGAGACATTCATGACAAGAAACATATGAACCTAGGCGACAGCTCCATCGACCCTGTCACGAATGTAGACGATCCCATGGATACTTCGCACGTGGACGAGGATACCAACGATCTGTTCGACTTCGACCACATCCCAGCTGAAGCCGACCTTTTTGATACCCCCAGCCAGGGCCAAAATCATTCAGCATACAACTACGGCTTCGACGGCGCTGAATACGGTGACGCGGGATCTAGAAATATAGAAGCCGGCCGCATTGAACAGCTGACGGATAGCGACGTTACCAGTCCAAACACCGCAGATGAGAATGCTAGTGAGGTTGCTGATGTGGAGGGAAGTGCCAAACGACGCAAGAGGACTTGATTAGCTCTTTATAGTGCTTAGCGTTGGAAAATGTGATTTTGGGGAGTGGGGGGCGCAGAGCCTAATAAGACCTTATTCTCGTATCTTTTGAAGTCGGGTGGAAAGGCTGGATTTAAGATCCATTATGACCAATTAAACGAGGCGTTTTATCTTTTCCAGCGGCTTTGGAAACTTTCCTCTGATCTCTGTAGTACGTCTACGTCAAACAGAGAAGCTATAGAACATAGCCACTATATAATTCAAAGATTATTTTGGTGTTGAATCCAGCGTTATGCTGTAGACTTTGGATCAGCAGTTTATGAGATGCGATAGGCTTGTAGGAAAATAGGCCTATTCCCGGGTATCTTCTATTAAACATTCAAACGTTCACAGAACTGAGGTCTCGAAGTCCATGATCAAAGCAATATTTCATCCCCTGGATTCACAGCATTATTTTGGAAAGACGGTTGTCAAATATGTCCAAGTTGTCGCGAGCGGGTATGGTCGTTCTGTTCCAAGAAGAGATAGAGATTGGCGGATAGAAGTCGTGAAAAGGAGGTGGAAAGTATATTCCGCGGCAAGAAAAGTCTTGAATTACTAGTGGAGAGAATTATCGTCGAAAGTATCGCGAAGGGAAGATGTGGGTTGTCGCATATGGAGATTGATTTGTCGCATAGGGGAGTACAGGGTACCATGTCGCATTAGGTGGTGGCGCATAAGGAAATTCTTCTTTTAAAAAAACAGCCACAAGTCTCTTGAAAAGATCAAGAAGCCGTGATCTGCTTGGCGATGATAAGAACTCTCTCAGCCTTAGAACTAGAATTCTGCAGCTGCAGAGATTCAAGCGAATCTCTAGCATAAAGCCCAAGCTGAAAGCGTAGTCGACGAAGGGTACGTTCGGAGATATCATAGCCATCCTGCTGAAGCAATTTCAGCATGGCTTTATCTCTAAGTCTATCCTGAACGAAAAGAACTTTGATCCGTGCGTGAAGAGTCTCGTCTGCTGTTGTTGTTCGGTGTCGCTTTCGAATACCCCACTTTCGAAGTCGAGATTGGATTGTGCGCTCTTTCACTTGTATATTATATCGGCTTTCGAGCGTGCGGCTTATTGAGTCACTGCTTATACCGTTTTGAAACAGATTGATTATTTCGTCCCTGTAGGGGTCTAGGTTGATTTGTTGGCGGGCCATTAGGGCTGTGGGTTAACTTGTTGATTTAGATTGTGGGCTTGATGTTGATCATGTAGAAAAGGCGGTGAATTTGCCTGCCTGACTACTCTGATTGGTTAGATCATAACATTGAGGAAATGGAAGGATATTGAATTCGATTTAATTACTTGTTGATTTCTAGATTTCATATAAGAACCTGGAAGATGCCAAGCGGAACTCGTGGCCAAAAGCAAGGGAACAGTGATTCGTGTATCATCATTGAGTTATCACAGCGAATTGGGATAGCAAATATCGGATTTGGACCAGTTTTTCTGAGTTTTCGGAACTTGAAAAGGCTTGGTAACTCATTATTGCTGAATTTCGGGAGCAATCTACGATTTCGTAACTTTCAAATCAGTAGGATTGCCGATTGTAGGACAAACTCTGGCTGCTTTGCTCCGCTTAGCAACCCGCAATCCACAGACTAAGAAGATCAGAGCCTCCAAGCCAACGAGTATAGCGAGCGTCACCATAGCACCAATGACACCAGCCACGGCAAGCGGCATACCACCTGAGCTAGATGATTTCGAAGAAGAGGTAGATATGGCGGAAGATGTTGTGGCACAGCTCCCATCCGTATTACCGCACTGATTGCACCAGTCCGAAGTAGATAGAACAGCAACCTCCTTGGTCAGAGCTGTGAAGTTCGACCAGGGAAGAGATGTGCTAGACTGGTTGAATAGAGGATAAACAGTGAGCTCGTCAGAGCTGCCCATACTTCCATTGCGGAAGGAGAACCGCACATTGATATCATTGCTCGATGGGAAGGTTGTCCCTGTAGCATTGGTCACCAGCTCCAAGACCATGGATGACGCATAGTCTGGAATACTGGTGAAATTGGTAAATGCAGCAGGCAGCTGCATCAATCCAACCCATGAGAAAAAGGTGCCGTATGAGCCGAATTGAACATTCAGCTTGTTCTTAGTGCCATTAGAAGCAATATTTGCATTGAGGTTCGTCCACATCTGCCCAGATAATACAGCACCGGCGATGGCGCGTACCTTGTCTGATGCATTGTATGCGAGGTTGTACTCGTGAACGCCGGCCAGTGAGATTAACTGCAGCCAATCTGCGTCCGTGATGTTGGCAGTATTCGAACTCGCGTTATGGATACGGGCCACGTTCAGGTAGTCGAAGATGGAGTAGGCATTCTCGAAAGTCATTTGCGAGGAAGTGAAGGCCTTGCTCAATGTGGGCGAAATTGACTTGTAGAAAGGCTCTGTGGAATTGAGCAGTGCTTTATACGAGGCGGTATCATAGTAGTTGTTACTACTGATGGTGGCCTTATCACAGCCCGTGGATCCCTGTAGCCAAGCAGAGGACTCGCTGTTAGAACCGGAGGAGATGGAGGATATCTGGATGAGCTGGTAGCCACCCAGTGGTGATTCAACAGTTGTTCCATTGCCCAGGGTCTGTATGGCCTTGGAGCCGACTGGTGGATAGACACCCTGCAGAAAGCCAGTGGCTGAGTTCTGCAGCACTGCGTCGGAGGGAGCACTGGCGTTGACTTGCTTTGCCTTGACTACATACTCGCTAATGCCCTCAATCTTATGGTCTGAACTGTTCAGAATGTAGCGGTTGTGATAGAAAGTACCGGTTTGAAATACCTCACGATATCCCAGATCAGTCAATTGGGTACTACCAAAGACCTTGGGTGTGCGATCTCCATGACGTGCGAAGATGTAGGCACCAAGTATACGTTCTGCAGCTACCAATGGTACTGAGAGAGTGACCAGAAGCAGGGTGGACTCAGAGAGGCGCATTGTGAAGGGCGCCCAGGCGAGATGAAGCTGGACCAGAATGAAGTATAGAACTGGAAATTCCAGAGCACAGCTTGGGATTGCACCTATTTTTATGCGCCTTGACAAACGTAAGATCCACGCAAAAGGTAGTAAGCCTCCTCGGTTGAAGTGCGGTCGAGTTGTTTCCCTCTCTCCGCCTCAAGTCAATGCCACAGTGTCATTGGAACAGAACTTATGTGATACACAACTTGGAAACTACTGTAGGCCAAGAAAGGCCCAAGTGCAAGTAATAAATGATCGGATGTTGCATAGTCAATGAAAATGGACCCTGAACTTGAATCGCATGTTACCCCGCGCAGGGCTAGCTCAGGCTCAATCCTATTTTTCGTTTTATATTATGCAAATGGTATTTCAAAAAAAAAAATCTAGATTACTCAACCAGCAGATCATAATCATGATACAACCTTATTCTCCATCAACTCACAGCCATTACGCACGACACCAACTAGCCCTCCAGTCTGCACAGCCTCTGAACCGCCTCCCGACAGCCGCCATTCAATCTCAGCTAAGCCTTCTAGCCAGGTGATACGGGTCTGAGCTGGTACTTCGAGCTGCTGCAATTGATCTGCTAGAGCGGATAAGATATCTGCTAGGGCTAGACCCTTTGTGGCCTTGAGTGTGTTGACGGTGTTTAGACAGGAAGTAACATCGCTAGTAGAGAGAATGGTGGTCATGATTTCTTGGATGTCGGCTGGATGTGGGGCCGCAATGCAGTCGTAAATAGTGGCGTTGGTGATAGTCTCAGGTTCGGGAAGAGGAGCTTTTGGTGCATTCCTCAGCGGTAGTGGTTGACCTATTTCATGTTAATACGCTCTCCCACGTGAAGTGAGTAAATAAAGGGCGAAAGACATACTGCTTGCGTGACAGGCTTGAAGAACGTTGAGCGCTCGGCGCATGTCACCTTTGCTCAATTTCACTAGACTATCAATAGCTTCGGGTTGAATCTGAACTTGCTCCTGTTCGATGACTTTATCCACGAGTACCCGGATGTCTTGCTCCTTGAGAGGACTAAATCGGAATCGGGTACACCGTGACAACAAAGCCGGCGCAAGCTTGTGTGTGTAGTTGGCGATGATGCAAAACCGCGCGTTGGCTGTGTAGCGCTCCATAATCCGGCGGAGAGCCATTTGAGCTGTGGATGTCATGGCATCTGCCTCGTCGAGAATGATCAACTTGAACCCAGCGAGGTTTTCATTACTGGCGGCTTGCGGAGCCATGGAGAAGATCTGTTTTGTGCCTGTTTAAAAGTCCCCCAGTCAGTTCGCGCTCAAACAAGATGTTTTATTGGATCAGCGCACTGGCAAAAGTCTTAATCTGTTCTCGCACGACATCAATGCCACGGTCATCACTGGCGTTCAGTTCGAGCACCATCTGTCTCATATTCTTGCTGCCGTATATCCGCCGAGCCAGCGCCAGGACCGTTGATGTCTTTCCAGTTCCGGGGGTCCGTAAAGAAGGAGATGGGGCAGACGCTATGATTCTAGTCAGAACATATAATATATTTGGTCAATCGAGAGGAAATAATACATTAGCTTCAACGAATCGGTTGATGGTTGCAAGAATGTCTTGATGGCCGGAGACATCAGCTAGAGTATCTGGACGATATTTCTCGACCCTGTAATTTTGTCAGCTTCTCCCTTAACATAGCTCAACAGAGTTGATATCATTGAATACCATGGTAGATTGTCAAGAGCTTCGACAGGAAGATCGGCTGCCGTCCTCTTCTTCCCATTGGCATTTTCAGAAGAGAATTGCACGTCATTGGAGGGCGCATCAACGTCCATCTCATCTTCGTAGTCTGACATGATAAATATCAAATGATAGGGTGGTGATCAGTAGAAAAAAGGTGATCGCGAAAAGTAAAGCTTGACGCGTTCCGCGCGTAAAGAGATTCAATCGTAGTGACGGGCGGTGTGTACATAATGGGCTGGAGTTCCAGGTGCTCCACCGAATAATGACATCCTGCCTAAACCAACTCCGCATCCTTATTCTTTAGCATACCACCCACAATGCCTGTATGTTTGCTGCCATTTTTCGCTATCAATCAATACTGACTTTTAATTAGGCATATCACTCCATCTTCCTGGAGGACAAAGATGCCCCCGTAATTGGTACGCTGCCCCGCGCATCCCAAACGATAACTCCCCCTCTTCACCCCCCTTCCCCCGCAACTTTGGATTGACTGTTTTCCTCTTCTTTTTGCTACAGGGAACTTCCCTATCTTACCGTTGCGTACTCGTACCCGTGGTCCCGCATACACCCTTCCCGCAATTCCCCCCAATACCCTCGACATTGACGTCGCCCCCGACAGCGAATCCTACGACTGTGTCGATGAGATCTTGTCACTCTTCCGCGCGAATGTGCTGTTCCGTAACTTTGAAATCAACGGCCCTGCCGACCGTATGCTCATCTATGGAACTCTCTTCCTCAGCGAGTGCCTCGGGAAGGTCAAGCCTACTATGAATGCCCGCGAAGCCGAGAAGGTAGTTCTGCCCATCATATGGTTGGAAATGGTTGGAAATATAAGGGGTAAACTGACAACTCGTTACTAGGCTTTAATCAATGTCTCACTTGAAAGCTTTGCTATTCCTGGTGATGTGTCCTTCCCACTCAACCAGGCCTTTGAAGCCCCCCGCGACCGCCAGGATGCGGAGACTTTGCGACAGTACATCTCTCAGATTCGACAGGAGATTGCCTCACGGCTACATGCTAGATTATACCCCGGCGGAGAAGGGCCGTCGAAGGTAAGTTGACTCAAAGTAACTCCTGATATAGTACAACTATTAACACTCCCGCAGTTTTGGCTGAGCTTTACTAAGAGAAAGTTTATGGGAAAGAGCTTGTAGACGCAACGGTGTATATTATTTCTTGAAATTCAGCGCCTGAATGGACCTTGATGTGATCAGCTGTATTGTAAGCTAAAAGCTGCCCGAGCCGGATTTCGGGCCTGCATTGCTGATTCAATGATAATTCTGGTTCTTGAAGCATGAAGAATGCTCAGTCATTATTTCTAACAATATTCGAAAGTTCTGAATCTGAAAATGGAACGCAGCAAAGACAGGTTGTATCGTTATATTCATACAATTCTTTCTGTTCAAGTATCTAGGTACTCGAGAGTAACTCCCTGAAAGGTACAGATTAGTATTAGGATGTCATCACAACGTCCCGGTCGCTAGCGGGCGTAGATGTCGTTTCTACCTTGCGCTTTTTCCGGAATGTACCTGCTGCTTGGATGTTCTCTGACATGGGAATGACTCGGATGCCGTGGAAAAGATATCCCTGAGCACCACCCCGGCTCGTCATTAGAGGGTGTGTCCGACCGGGCAACACCTGCCATGCTCGGATACGTGAGGTTTGCAGTGATGGAGTCAGCAGTAGAGTAGGATCGATTTCAAATTCCTCATATAGCGAGGATAAGTCGACAGTGTCATCTTCGGATGCTTGCTGAGCTTCTAACTCCCGCTTACGATTGATAAAGGCCGTTCTTCGAGCAATAGAGTAGAGATCCATGAGCTGTACGAGCGGCTCGACGTATGGGGAATAGATGGAAACCGATGCTGATCCAGCAAGAAGCGGGACCAGGTGTTTCAAGACGCTGGAGGGTTCCATAAGAGTGGATACGATGAGACCATCAAGTTCGCCCCGGCGTGCTTCTTCGGTCACGGTCTTCACTCGTTCCCATCGTGAGCGCTTGTAGTTATATGAGCTACGCTTGCTGGGTTTGAGTGCGGCTAGTTCTTCCGCTGAAAGTTCGGCGGGTGGGTTGGCTATTATAGGGTCCAAGGAAGGGTTCACGAGCTGTAACCAGGACACGGTCTTCAGGTGAGTGTAGAGGGGGTGATTTTCATCGGGGCTGTTCAAATCGTAGCCAAAGTACTTCAAGAGAGAAAGGTTGGGTTGGGGGTTGGCGTGGACGACAGTCAATGTGTTCCCAGTTGCTGACATGGGGCGGGGACGATTGCGCCGAGGATTATGAGATGTTGGCTTTGCTTCTCCAGTGTTTTCTGTAGGAAATCGGCCGTCCGAAACGGCAAACTGTGCATTTTCGTCATCATTCGCAGCAACCTCTACATTTTCAGTGGTCTGTTCCCCTTCATTGCCGTCTACAGCAGACAAGATTTCATCATCCTCTTCGCGAGGGTACAAAATTCCCATTCGCTCAGCCATTGCGGCAATAACGAGACCACCGGTTTCATCAACGACAAAGTACCGACCATTCGGCCTGATATCATCGAGTGAAACATTTCCACCGTGGTGAACGTTACCCAAGCATCCAATAAGGCCAATGTGCTCGTCTCGCAATTCCATCGTTTTTCCAGTATCCCGCGACGACAGTAAGTAATTGGTGAGGACACTGACGTCCAAAGGCTGGACAGAAAATCGGCGAATGTACTTCTTGCGCTTCCGGAGTGTATATTTAGCCTTTGAGAATGCCGTCTTCTGATCCAAAGCTGTGTGTGATTCCAAGAGCTTTGCGACGATATCCTTGCCGGCGACACCTGCCTCTTTCTTCAGCTCCTCAATTTCCTGGAGCGTCATTTTCTGTGTTGAAGCATCATCCACGATGTTGCGATTCGTGCGCATGGGAATTCCCTCGCCCGATTCCTGGACATCATCTTCGTCTGCATCAGCCTCTTCGATTAAATTTTCCGCATGCAATTCTGTCGCTGAGACCACGCGGAGCTGGTAGCCACCAGCCTCAGGGGCATCGAGTATCTCGAATGTTAGGTAGAAAGGACGTCCGATGACCTGATTCGCGGCGAAGCTGCCAAATTTGCCCAGTTGAACGATGCTGCTCAGCGAGTTAGTACTTTTTGAATGTATGATTCGGTGGTGGCGAAGCATACGTGTTCGGGACTAGCTTAAGAATGCGAGACTGATCTGAAGGCAACTGTATGACCACATATTGGTCAGGGCGAATGGAGGAATGCATGGCTTGGAGTTTAAACTTGCATCTCCAATGTTTCAACTGAAAAGATGCGCAACTTTTTTGAATGTAAAGCAGCCAATCATAAGCTGTGGCGGTGAGATCTCGGGTCATCCAATGTTCCGGTATTGTAATGATACGGTACAGCTTGACGTGGTTAGTGCTCATTCGGTAGTCTTTTTTGTTTACGATGACAGAATGATCGACGGAATTTGGGTGCCTGTTGTAGCCAAGCTCAATCCCCTGATATCATATCGAGGCGGAGCTTGAGGTCTCAGCGCAAAGGCGCTTTATTTTACTAGCTTTGCCCCATCCTTGGCTTTTTTTTTTCCCATTAGTTTCGATTCTTTTGATTCTTGCATTGATTTAAACTATCAGATCTCTCCTGCCTTTTGAAACCGCCTTGAGTTATTTTACCACTTTCCCTTCTGGCTTACATACCAGATAACGGACTAGACCTTCTACGTCGTAGATACATGAAACCCCCACATTAAACATCATATTCATGGTGCTTCGGAAACAGCCTCCTCCTCGCTTGGACGACCTTGGCAAGTGGAATGCTCGTTCTGAGTCGAATTCACCAACTTCCTCCAAATCTCCAATCTTTCATCGTCGGGCTCGTCTGAATCCGATTCACTCCGAGGATTCTATATACTCCCCAGACCTCAACACATCACCAGCTTTCGACCTTATGCCGCTCGAGGATGCACAGAGGTCCCCGGTGGGATCGCCATCCAGCCACATGTCAACCTCTTGGGCCGAGGCTGCAGAAGACCACCCAGCCACCCTCGACGGGCCATACTCGGCTGGCACGGCAGAAACCAAGAAGGAATGGCTCCCTCAAAAGAGCCCGCTGAGATCACGAAGTACCAATGACAATACAATGGGAGATCAGTTTCAATCAAAAAATCCGTTCTTGAAACGTAAGCCGGTAGCCGCTAGAACGAATTCGTCAGACACGAATGATTGGAAGGATCGCAATTCACAAATCACCACAAATGGTGATGGTCTGAGCCCATGTAGGAAGCATCTATCCCCATGAGAATACGCATGCTAATATCCTGGAAGCGGAGGGATTCATTCCCATGACAGCCCGTTTATCATTGTTGGATGAGCCTGAAGAGTCCTCTTGGGAGCGCTCTATACCTCAGGTTAAACCCCCAATTCCAGATTACCAAACATATGAACTATCCCCGTCTGAATCGCAACATTCGATTAAAATCTCAGCACCCAGAGAAATTTATCTAGAGGGACAAGCCAATACTTATGCCCCAGCCGTTGTGGTTCAGCCCTCTGAACAATCGGATACATATGGCCCGCTGCCATCATACGGTCATGATATATTAGGATCAGAGGCTGGAAGTCGTGCAGTTTCAGCGGTATCGAGTGGGACTTCAGCCACTTCTCATGAGCTAATAGACCTGGATACTCATAGCAACCTGGGCGTGGAAACAGGGACTCAAATTGTTGTACCGTCAATACTCTCATCAGATGGTGTTAGCAGAAATGGCCAAAATATATCATCTGGGCTTTTGTCACATTCATCACTACTTGATAACCAACAATTTCGACCTCCTTCAATACAGCGCCCGAAACTCTCACCCGCAGATGAAGCCAGGCAACGAGAACAACGATCAGAAACATATTCGATTCGGCAAATCAATTGGACTGATCGGACTGGAAACCTGATTCAGTCACCCATCTTGGTCCAAAACGAAAACGGACCGTGCCCACTACTTGCGCTCATTAATGCATTGGTGCTGCGTGCCGACTCCAACTCCCAGTCGCCGATTGTCAGAGCCCTGAGCACACGAGAACAAATATCCTTGGGATTGCTGATTGAAGCTCTTTTTGAGGAACTGATAACTTGCCTTGGCCCTGACCAGGAGTTTCCTGATATTGAGGACCTGTCACAATTTCTCACCATGCTACATACGGGGATGAATGTAAATCCCAGTCTTACTTTGGTACGTATGATCAATCACTATGTGGGTGAATTCTCAGAACTAATTTTTGACTAGGAGTCTGCGGATTCTCTCGGCACGTTTCTTCAAACCTCGGATCTTCGCCTGTACAGTACATTCGGCGTACCTATTATCCATGGATGGATTTCTTCATGGTCAAGCCCTGCACACGCTGCAATGACCCGAGCTGGTAATTTTCATGAAGATATCCAACTCTTACCTTTTCGCAAGCAAGAACTCGAAGATCGCATTATGAGAGGGGAGTCTTTGACAACCGAGGAAGAGCAGCAGATGGCAGACATTCAGGAAATCCAAGGTTTCGTCGAATTTGAGAATGCAACTCAATTAAGTCCGTTCGGATTGACACAGCTGAGCACGCGGCTGGCCCCGGGCTCAGTCTCTATCCTTTTCCGGAATGATCATTTCTCTACTCTCTACAAGCATCCTCAATCTCACCAACTCTATACGCTGGTCACAGACGCTGGGTACGCTGAACACGCTGAAGTTGTATGGGAGTCTCTCGTAGATGTCACTGGCTTTAATGCTGAGTTTCTTTCTGGTGATTTCCGTGTCGTTAGCCACGGCCCATCAGGCTCAGATGCACCCGCCGGCCCTCGAACATCAAGTGTGGCGGCAACGCTGGACCCAGTTGCGGCAGCTGCCGAGACTGAACAAGGACGCTTATCGCCTCAAGAGCAGGCAGATGCAGATTATGCATATGCACTATCGCTTCAATTCCAAGAGGAAGAGGAGCGTGAGCGAACAGAAAATGAAAATGGAAACGGGAACCAGGAAAGCCCGCAAACATCTGGTCCGCGTGCTTCACCACCAACTAGACCTCCCCGCCCTCCTCGTAATGAGCACTCTCCTACCATGCCTCCTCGCCCTCGCAATCAGCCCTCTCCTGCTATGACCAGCCCTCATGTTCGGTCCTCAAGCACTCCAAATAACGTTGGCTCCTATTCAGCACCCCAAATGCACATAAATCCAGATGATGATCATAATGCCCCGCCCCCTCCTTATGAACAGGCTACCAGTGGTCCACGTTATTCACCTCCCGACAGACGGCCCCAATATGGCAACGCAGCTCGAGATCAGTATGCAGAAAATGGAAACCGACACTCGCAACAACAACACCCGCAACAGCAGCGATATCAGAATCAGAATCGACCTGACAATCCTGATCGAAATTCAGATCGCGACCGCAGAAACTCGAAAGACTGTATCGTGATGTGATCGCATCTAGTGTGAATCTATATTTCTGATTACAGCTTGAACGATGAAACGAATTTCATGATATAATGCAATTTATGGAGTACCCAAATAGATCAAATACCGTTCACTACGGACAAACCTCTCTGGAAGCCACTATCACGCTGTATAATCCCTTTCACTTCATTCTCATATGTAGAGATTTCACGTCAGTTATTACGTCAACCACAACAAAGACGCGTATGCTGTGATTAAGTCAAAGTATTAACATCCATGGATCCATCCGGATTCTATAGTAACACCTCTTCTATACAAGTAACCACATATGGGCACCTAGGGAAATGTATAGTAATTTGTAAATAGTGTTGCAAAGAACTAAGGTTGACATTTGAGACAAGTACGGTGATATTGCGGCAATTTCAAAATCTTCCCATCTGTAAACTCTCTCTTCTCTAATGGCGACCACAAGGGTCACCAAGTAATGAAAAGATGAATGAATACTGCAGATGAGAAGTAATCTTTTGGGTAAAAAAAATTCCCTGGCCACGAAGGCAAGGAGCAGTCAGGTTGATAGTTTTCAACAAGCAATCACATAATCTCGGATTCCTCCTCACTGATATACGTAATACCCATGCACTAGGATGGTTGAAGAAGAAAGAAAAAATATATCAAGATTTGGGAGGAGACGGCAGTTATACTTTGAAAGCGCGCTAGTGATGACTACTCATGTCACGGGGGTGAGGCCAAGGGATGATAGGGACGATAAGGCAGTATAGCAGCAAGTAGATGATGTTCTAAGGTTGATCAGTACAATCATTATTCTTGCACCTGGGAATTAACCTGACCAGACCTTATAAAACCAAACACAGCTAGGGTTATAACGATGTAGACAGATACTTACATCGAAACGTTGGTCTCATTACAAGGTTCCAATTGGCATGTATGCTACTCGTTAACTCAAGGTAAGGTCAGAAAACCATTGGAAATAGTTTAGGTTTTCATAAATCATCGCAAAAAACCATGAAATGTATGTGATTCGTTCAATGTTCTGAGTTCTCATCTATATCATCAAATTTCAATCTCGTTGCTCGCATAACAGCATAAACCCCGTATGAAGAAGCAACAAAAGGATAACCGCCAGGGCTATCAGTAGATCGTCTTCAAATTCCGCAGCGGAAGATGAGGATCATCTCTATCCCACTCGATATTATTTTTTCCATTAAGATGGGCACCCTCATCCGTTATCCTTATGACAGGATCAGTATTCATAATCTCATGTTGACTGATACCCCACTGATCACGTGGAATCCAAAGAGTAGGCGCAGGAGACGAGATACACGGCTCCCAGTATGCCGTTCTCATCTCCTCAGCTGTATATTGAACTCCGCTCCCATTACGGCGCACCTTCCGCCGCAGTGATGCATAGTCCTTGTAAACATTTGGATGGAACCATCTCCAGAACGCTAAGCGTTTAGAGCGACGGCGCTGTTCGTTCATCTCGTTCCGGGAATATTCTTTCTCTTGTTGATACTCCTCTTCGGCATCTAGAGATCGAGGAAGGAAGGTGTTGAGCGGGGCGAGGGCTTCGTTAAGGGAAATGTGAGCTAGGACGTTGCCGATAAGAAATATCAACATTATTATGAGCGGACCCACGGCTCCTTTTATTGCGAATAGGCCTATCATGCACACTTCAGCTAGGTAAAGACCTGTTAGTAAGTGCTGTAGTGCTCGTGGGTAGACTAGACCCCTGGTATCGATCTCGATGTCGTAGACATAGAGGAAGTTGTATCGATATGCTTGGTAGACGAGGTATAAGCCGAAGAAGGCAAAGCCCAGGATCAGCGGCGAGATGCACGAATAAGTTAGTGCTAGTTGAGGTTAGCCAAAGGTAAACGCCATATAGAGAAATTAAACTTACCAATCACGCCCATGTTGGTGAAGACAGGGAACACGTTGCCCCAGCTTAGGGTAGCGAGCTGTCCCCATTTTTGAAACGAGCGGCGAGGGGAGTAGGTGAAGAACGCGGTCACAAATTTAAATACTAAGGCACTGGCGATTTGCACTAGAGCCATAGAGCTCAGACTCAGCCCCTGCAGCAGGAAGTATGAGATGTAGAAGTTTGAGGACTTTGGCAGATTCTTGGCCAGCAAGTCTTTCACTGAGAGAGGATCCTTGATGATTTGCGACGTCGCTGCTGAGGCGGCTGATGTGATGGTAGTCACCAAAAATACTTGCACAACCTGGAAGACGAAATGGGCTGATTGCGTAAAGAGTTCGACTCGTGCTGTTGAAGGCACTCCTGCGCGTCGGGCACAAACTTTGCAACTGGTTAGCACTTAGGTATACTCGTTTATGTCAAAGCAAAATGAGTACATACTTCGACAGATAATAGGAACCAGCGACATCAGCATCACAAGAGCCGCAGAAGGGAGCAGTCCTTCGATAGCCCCAGTGATAATATCTGGAAGACGATCGATAAATTTGAGAAAAGGGAGGAGGTTGGTCAGATAGGAAATGTTGGAAATTGTACCAACTAATGCAGCTGGGAAAGACCAGAAAATAACCAGCGCCGCCAGAAATCCCTGCACAGCAAACTTTCGCACAATGCGCTGCCACCAGCTCAGATTGAGGGCAGACCACACGATCTCATGTGGAGATATTCCGATGAAACGAGGTGTCATATGGAAGGGCTGATGGTGAGATAGTGTCTGCAGCGCAATCTGGGCGTCGGCCTGGGACAGGAACTCGATGAATAGTGCTGAAAGCTGTTTTGCTTCGCCGTCTTGGTGTTTCTGCTGGAGACTATTCACTTCCTCGGTCACTCTGGCTAGCTCCTCTCGGTACCAATTAATGGAGTCGACCTTTTGGCCGAAGAAGTTCAATCTGTGCATAGGTCGTTTGACCTTGTGGATGCATGTAAGGGTAGATGACTCGCAGTGGAGACAGTAGTCGGCATAGAACTCACATTTTTTTATGGCATTATTGCGCGCTTTGTTTGCTCGTCGAATGAGCTTTGTTTCTGCTGTTTCAAGTCTGTAAGAGAGCTTGTCGCGACGGTCCACTTTCTTCTCCAATTCGTCGCATTTCGAGGTGATCCAGATGCGACTAATGGTATCTCCAAAGATTTGTCGCAGCTTCTTCTCATTTTTATAGTCTGGTGGAACTGACATGAAGAGGACTGTTCTGGAGGACATGCGGGACACATATGATGGGGAGTTGAGGTAGGCCTGGCGTAGGTTTGCATAGTACATGCTCTCTCGAACGACGACATAGAAAACGAAAGCTACTCGTTTGATCAGTAGTCTGATAGTGCAGAATGATATCTGCCCAACTCACTAAAAAATATCAGTGCCACAATGGCGTTGGCATAGTATTTAGTGGGATTGTTGATATTGCTAAAACTTAGCATATCCAGCTGGACGTTCCCATTTCCGCCAGTAGCATGAATAGGAAACAGAATAGGCCAAGTAATCAAGCAACCGGTGAAGCACGTAGCACATAGAACTCGCAAAAACCTCAAGAAAAGATAGCCGTCTAGTGAGGAATGGTGCAGGACATGGCTGTCTTCGATCTTCAAAAACGTTCCCACCCAGTCAACCCAGCCACCGGGCAATTCCGGAGTCCTTTGATGCTCATGTAGCTCAGGAAGGTAAGATCTTGGCGCATACCATCGGCGCTGAGTTCGTCGAAAGATGAGAAAGAGAGCGACCCAGAATGCAGCATAGATCAATGCTGGGAGCAGAGTCATATACAATGCTGAAGCTGAGGAGCCGCCTGAGGAGCCGGTGATACCACTGAGAAGTGAACTAGTTGTTGACGAGGGGTCACCTCGTGAAGAACCGATGTTCGGGTCATCATTTGGATTCTATTAATTGAATGAGCGTTGACCATCTGGAATGAATCGTTTCTACGTACGGTTATATTCGACATAGTGACCATGGGTAGTTCTCAATTAAAAGGAACTGGGAGGAGGGGCTATTAATGCATACTAAGAAAGCAAACCCTAAAAAGTAATTGATAATTTCTTTAAGAGGAAAGTGGATCATACAGATGTTGATCTGTCACTCCATGCTTGATACACATACATCAGCCCTGAAGTTGATAGGTTCACTGTATCTTGGCAATATACACAGTTTGTTGATCCAACAGCGGACTGCAGTCGACAAGGTTGAAGAACTTGTCAGGTACCAGGAAGATTTGATTCGAATATTCGAACTTTCTTGTTCAAGCTTCATGTCATTGATAATTGATTCGTGGAATGGAATCAGTAAAAAGAATCGGCATAATTTTCAGGTTCTAACCTCCGAAAAAGCAAAACTACCCACTATTGATCTACACATGATCGTGGGAAGTTCAAGCTTGTCTCTGACCGCATGGATCTTAGTTCTTGCATGTTCCAGGAGGTTGGGACCAATGATCTGTTTCAGAAGACTCATCCAGGGACTGAACAAGGACTGATGATAATCTCTGCCGATTTCTCACGACTTAGCAACACATCAATTTCTGAACACCTGGACAGACTCATGGGAGGTTTTGGAAGCGTTTGATGTTGAAAGCTTCCTCCAGGCCTAGGTATAAGATATTAGTTTCTCGCTCTGAGGTTCGATTCTCAAGATGGAAGATGCAAGGGAGTAGTGTTTGGAGGCTGGAGACTTGTGTTACAGCGCATACGCCGCATGCACTAGGCTTAAACTGTCAGTTTAGGCTTCACACAGACGCAGAGACGCGTACGATGTGATATTCCAAGCTTAAAGATCAATTTCTGGAGCTGTTTATTACCTAGGTCTGTACTGGGAGTATAGAGAATCGAGACCACGTTTAGAGGCTCTTCTACAACGTTGAATTTTAGAATGATCTCTGTACCTGAAAGATCAGATAACCCATTTTAAGAGATCTTGGAAAGCGTTATATCTCAGGTAATCCTTATGATTGGATTGTCACGGGTGAATAGCCCTATACAACAACTTTGTATCAATGTTTAGTGTAGAATTGAAATTGAAGGTATATAGTTGAGCTCGCACATGACTCCGTAAGAGCGAAGTCATAACGGCCTTTTAGTCGAAGCATTTAGAGATGAGTACAAGCATTACCCTTAAGATGGATATTTTCGTATGTGTGAAGTCACTCACCTACTAGAAGGGGGCGCGCTCTAGGCAGCACGGTTAGAACGTGTAGGTTGATTCGGCGCGGAAGAAAACCACTAAACTATAAGGGAAAGCATAGTGAATAATTGGGAGTACTTTCGGAATCGCGCAGTCCCTTACTTAGGAGATAACATCTCGGGTTCCTCAATACTAATAGAGATTAACAGAAGAAAATATCGGTTAATAGATGATCGCGCCTATGACGAAGTCTGAGCTTTTAAGGGTAATCTATCCTATACGTCAGAAAATCTTTGTTCCATGAATCATTTGAGATGTTTTTAAAGAGCGCGGAATCTATCCTATGGATAGTAATTACTAATAATATCTTCGATAAGCTCCCTAGCCCATGGGATATGATACCTGATATTACTGCTACTGAAGGTGGCCTTGCTAAACACTATGACGATCTTACGTTGATATAACCTAGCGTATGACCCAAAGACTTGTAATTAATCTAAGTACTGGCTCTAATTTCACTGGTCATTTGAATTTTCTATTCTTCCCTAGTCTTAGGTTGTCTAAAAAAAGAGTGGCTATGGTCGGGAAATCTGCTACGTAGAGGTACCTAGGTAGTTTTATAGTCCTAGAAAATACTAGTTTCCTCGAGGACAAACATAAGATGAAAGCTGGCCACTATAGCCACATTTGTAAACCAACCTTGGAAGGGTAAAAGGTTCTTGGAGGTCGCGCGGTGTTTATCTTTGGCTTTGGGGTTACTTAATACTTTTGCTTTTGATACAATACATGAGCTTCTCATTCAATTTCAACTTTGTGAGATAATTCTCGTCCTCTTTCAAATACCGTGGCTGCTTTAAGAACCATTGCATCCTCCCAACGTCTTCCAACAAGTTGCATCCCTATAGGCAATTGTTTCCTTGAATCATTGAGAGTAGAACCGAAACCACATGGTACATTCAGTGCTGGGTGCCCAGTAACATTGAACGGCGCAGTATTGGTGGTGACCCCGATTGCTACAGACAGTTTTTCCATGATACTAGAGCTGGGCCCATCGGCATCAGCCTTCATTTTTGGATGGGGCATCGCAACAGTTGGCGCACAAGGCGTGACGAGAATATCTACCTGCGTAAAGACTTGGTCATAGGCGGCTCGGAGCTCAAATACTTTACGATGAGCTTTGGCCTCAACGCTGGGACCAAAGTGCTTTTGGAGAAAGGGTCCACTGAGCATGACATTCATTGCAGCTGGATTTGTCGCTGTGAGTAACTCATACATCCTTTGATCTGGGGGCCATCGAGCTTGGATGTGCGGTGGTAGAAAAGATAAAAATCCGGACGTCTTTCCTTGACATGCCCATTCTGACATTGACATTCTGGTAGAAGCGGTCCAAATAGAAGTTCCTTGTCGATGCATTGGAACAGAGACTTCCACTACTTCTGCTCCTGCAGCTTCGAAATACGTTCTGGCTGAGTGACGCACTGTGTCCCGAACTTCATCTGAAAGCCCAAGGATGTCAAAGGACTCGGTCAGTAACCCAATCTTCAACCCAGAGCCTAGTCTTCGAACTTCCTTATGATTTTTAAATTCTGCGAGAATTTGTGGATAGTCTTCCACTTGGTGTCGCAGCGGTGATTCAGGTGTCATGCGTGGGTCGATCCCGTCGTACCCTGCCATGACTTGCAGTAACAATGCAATATCTTCCAGAGTCGCAGCCAGCGGGCCCAGATGGTCTATCATAGGCGCCAGAGGTACAGCTCCAGTGTACGGAATGAGGCCGTACGTTGGCTTCATGCCATAGATACCGCTATATGAAGCAGGAATTCGCACCGAACCAGCCTGATCTCCGCCAATCGCGATATCAACCGTTTCTCCAAACGAAGTCCCTTTCTCCTGATGCACAGTAGTGGCAGCTACAAGGGTAGCAGAGCCACTACTACTCCCACCTGAAGTATAGCCTTTCATCCGGGCATTGTGAACAGGACCACTAGCTGCGCTGTAAGAAAGCGGCGAAGCGCAATAATTCTCGCAAGTGGAGGATCCTTTAATGATTGCTCCCGCTTGAAGCACCCGCGAGACTACAGAAGCATCAATAGGCGAGATGGAAAGATTGCCATTTTTACATAGAATCTCGGTAAAGGTCCCAACTGTTGTGGGAATGCCCCCAAGTGAGATATTGTCTTTGATGGCGATAGTCTTGCCGCGGAGTAAGTCGGTTGTCGGACTCGCTGCTGCAAATTCACAGCGGTGTCGCCATGCATTGAGAGGGTTACTGACATCTTCGGGCTCCCAGTATACCCTCGGGTTAATGGTGGGTACAGGTGACAGCGCGGGATGGATGTAATCGTCTTCACTCTTTACTTGTCTCATTATAGCTTCTACGGATTGAAGCAGAACCAGATAATCTTCGGCATCCTCTTCTGGAATCTTGAACCCTAAACTTGATGCTGCATCTTGCAGGTCATTGACTGAGATATTGGATCTTATCGGTCAGCAATTGTCATGTTCTAGAGATTCGCACATACTGAGTCTTATCCGCTAAGAATGCTACCGACATTGTAGAAAGTTGAGCTGGGACTTGCAATGATCGAGTGATTAATGATACTATTGTATACTGTTATGGTGGATATTTTGAGTCTAAGATACAAGAGCTCATTATCTAGGTTGGTTCCAGTTCGGGGCTGCCGACTGCTGTGCGGGGGCACCGATACGACTCAAGTTCATAGATAGTGCTGTATCACTATTTATAACCTACAAAATTGACTAGGAATTTGTAAGGGTATCTAAGTCGTTATCATTGACTTGCATCTACCTCGATAACCTAGCTAGTTCTCTTTTCAAGTTTTGATCAACTTGATTAATGAGATCAAGCCTTCGTCGACCTCTTTCGTAGTTATAACGTTCTCAATTGTTCAAAGCACATAAGAAGATATCCTTAGAATAATACTTAGAATTAATTCAAGAACTCGTCAATCCTGCGATCCATCCATTCAATGTCCCCTGGGTTGCCACCTCCTCCAGCAACATGCCCCCAAATGGAGGGTATCACAGCCAACTGCCCATATTTCAAGAAGGATGCCTCCTTCTCACTAGCCTCCCACTTGAAGTATTGATCCGTCTGACAAGGCATGAGAAGAACCCTACTTTTCAAGCTGCTCAGAGCTTCATCGATACGAACGCCGTCACGATCTGGGACAGATAACCCGATATCCGACCGTTGCCACATTCTAGCCATGACAAGTAGGTTCTCGGGATGCCAACTATCATACATAAGCTCGCGACTCTCAGACCATTCGCCCAAAGTGTTGAAGCCCCCCTTCTGGAATAGCTGCTCTTCAAACCATTCCGCACTCGTGAGCCATGCGGAGTATGCCCTGGCAAATGCATGCAGTCCTCTAAGTGGAGGTTGCTTGTGAACAGTCCATGATTCACTATTGTAGTCGACTGAATTCTCAAGTGCGGCTTTCGGTCCCTCTAGGAATTGCCGGTTATGTAGACTTGTTTTGGCCGATGAGCATATAATCACTGCGTTCTTCACCACTTCCGGGTACATGGCTGTCCAGTGGTAGGTGCATTGTCCTCCCATGGAGAATCCGAGCATTACATCCAGTGATAGGAGTTTGAGGTGCTCCGTGATCAGTTTATACTGGGCTTTCACGCAATCTTGGTAGTCTAGGACACTGGGGAAGTCTGTCTGGGTGGAAGGACTTGAGGATTCGCCATTACCAAACAGTGCAATCACAATTACTCGGTAGGTCTTCAGTACTCCTGTTTTAAAGTTCAATGTGTTGTTGATTCGGCCGAGGAAGCATGTGTGTATCACAGCTGTCTTTTGGCTGGTGGGGTTGAAGTCTCGATAGGCAATTCGTACATTTGGGAGAGTCACTCCGTTTTGAAAGGTGAAGTTTTGCAGATCATAATATTGCAGGCCAGTATTATCATGGCTAGAAGACATTCTGCCGGTGAGATGTTCAATGAGAGTAAATGTAGGTAAGAAAGTTGTTCTAGGCTTCTTCAAAATCCAAAGGTACTTTAGTACTGCGTGGGCCCATTTAGTATACTTCGTTTCGGGGCATCCGACAAAGGTGTCCATGCAAGTTCTAAGATTCCTAATAAATTTAGGAGTTGGATCCCTAGTAGGTGCTCGTATACTTGAAAGTTTCTATACACATATCAATTGAACAATACATCCTGATTCATGCTTCAAATATCGCAATCACTTTAATTTCCACCATAAAACGAGGATCCGGGAGTTCTCTAACTCCAATAGTAGCCCGACTAGGAGCACTTGCACGATCGGACCAGATCTTGTTCCATTCCTCATTCATGCCGGCATATTGGGTCTTCATATCCAAGATATAAACGGTCGCATCGACAATGTTGTATAGATTTGCTTTGCCATTTGACGCGCCTTTGATAATGCTTTCGATGCGACGCAAGACGGCCGCTGTTTGTTGTCGTACATCGGCTGTGAAGGTTCCATCTGCATGCTCGATGACTCCCTCATAGGTTCCATCTGGGCTTACTGCGGCAATGCCAGAGACGTAGATTGTGTGGTGAGTTGAAGGCTGCACTACTCGCGCATGGCTGTATCGCATGGCTCCCGTAGGCTTTTCGGGGTCGAGGAGGAAGGATTGGCTGCTGGAGGACATGATGTAAGTAGGTATTATAGAACTTCAGTCTTTGGAGTGATATGACTCAGTTCTGTTAACTGAGAAATGGATGCCATCTGTTCCCTGAGTCTCTTTATATAGAAAATATGCCATGCAAAAATAGGGCGGATTCTCCGATATGTCCAGACCCCTAGCGGCAACACCGATTAGTTAGAAAATCATCGACTTGCCAACTTCCATATTTGATCCTCAATCTTCAGTCTTTAATCTTGGTTTTAATGTTAGTCATTGAAATTCAATTTACTGGTTTTCATCGGTCTTAAGCTCAGTGAGTTCAGAACCAATACTTTGATATTCCCGAAGGCTATCGTTGACACTGAGCATGACGCTGCTTAAGTCGGGGATCTGAACAAGGCGCAACGCTTTTAAACCTTCAGTCAGGCAAAGATCTCCCACTCAGTAGATAATCACTTGAATCACTAGATAACTTAGTAATACCATGGAGTGGAGACAAAGGATTGAATTAGCCCCTTAGTTGGGTCTAGTACTTCCCCGCAGCCTCCCACAGCCAAGTCAAGTTCTTCTCTCTGAATGTCATTCTCCTTGAGGAGAAGCCATCGTCTCAGCGTAAGTTGTGACAGTAAGAACAAAAAATAACATAAGGATCAAATGTATTGAAGCTTCAAGGTCTGTTGCATGAACTCGGGTTGAATAAGTCAATCGTGACATAATATCATCCTTTAGATAAGCGCGATAAGTATGGCCAAGAACAGTTAGGCTTATCTCTGTCTCTATTCCCTTCTGTACTTTGTCTCCTCAATGTTCAATCATCTAGTATTACTATGCATGAACCAGCTGCGAGAGCAGAGAATTCTTGTAAACGCTGTCATAGGAGGAAGAAGCGTTGTGATAAGACACTTCCGCAATGTCAAGCCTGCCAACATGCCAAAGTGACATGCAGCTTTTTAGATGACGAGACTCAAGTCGCATCATATCCGATCGCGTAAGTTCGTAGCCACCCACTTCATTTTTTCCCTCTTAATTAACAGTTGGTAGATACGTGCGCAGCTTGGAACGAAGAGTCAAGGAGCTTGAGGAGCAGCTTGTCGTTTCATTAACTCCACAAACCTCACAGGACAATCTGGTATATTCTTGGAGCGATGATACGCACATTCCTCTAGGAGATGAGTTCCTTCACTCTGATGGCAATGGAAACCACATGTCCCTGCGACATGGGAAGAATACGGTCTCAGAATTTGCTGCTCTACCCTCTCCCAAGCACCTCATTACAGGGCCAAGATCTGAAGATTTGGCCGAGGAGTTGAGGCTCCTGTCCCTAGAGGCAGCAGCAGAGAGATACTTAGGACCTTCTTCAGGGCTTTCCCTAGCGAAGCTCACTCAAACGGTTCTTCAGCGTCTATCGCCGGACCAAGATGGGTTCATGTTTGACGAGGAGATCAATGGGAACCAACACCAACCCCATCACGAACCTGATGCCGATCACACTTCTTTCAGCCCCATTTTCTTCGAGATGAACCCATCTGTGACCAGTCCTTTACCAATAAATAACATCTTCGGAACACCAGCGGTTGAAGACTATGAAGATTCCATCGGTCTCGCCTTGCTGGAAGTCCCCCACATCAACTATATTCTCAGCTTCTACTTCGCTCATTCCCACACACTCTATCCGATCATTCGAAAAAGCGAATTTGAATCTGTGCTTTGGAGAGTGTATGCCGATCCTTCGAATCCACTTGCACAGTCATCTTTATGGCAATTCAGAATATGGATGGTCTTGGCAATTGGTTCAACGACGTACTGCTCGGTTTCTCTAATGGATGAAACGGAGCCTGTGCGATTCTTTAATAAAGCTATGACATACTTCGAGGCAGCTATGGAGTGTGGTGACTTGGTAAGATTTATACAGATTCTTGTTGTGAGCTCACAATACTTACTCAAAGCAGGCTGGCTTGGAGGTATTGATGCTCCAAGTTTCCTACTCATTTTTCAACAAGATTGGGCCCAGTAAGTTTCTGCCTGGCCCGGTGTACAGTATTTTCCTTATTAAACATTTTGCAGATACATGGTTCTTGGTGGGCGTTGCAGCTCGTATGGCAACAGGCATGGGTCTCCATGCAGCCGAATCGTACGAGTCGATGGCGGTGGATGCCGCTGAACAGCAAAAACGAATTTTCTTCTCGCTTTACATGATGGACCGTGTCGTGTCTTTAGCTCTCGGGAGGCCCTTTGCCATCCAAGATGGTGATATCACCGTCGAGGTCTGATTTACCGCTTCCCGTGACGTTTCTCGATTCTGACTGCTATAATAGCCATTCTCCGATGCTGAAGATGTCAATATAAAACCAGAAGGCATCGTTTCCTCGTCTACAATGGAGCCGTCCACAATGGCAGTTCCCCTCCACATCCTAGCCCTCCGACGAATTGCCAGTGATATTGGAAGCCAAGTACATTCCCCCAAATACAGCCAAAATATGACAGCAGAACAACGCGAAGAAACAATAAAAGCCATTCACAAACGACTTCTCGATTGGCGCCGGAGCATGCCATTCCCGCTACCCGACCTGCAATCGAAAGTACCGCACCTATGCACCAGCTGGTTCGATCTCAACTATTATACCCACATTATAACATTATACCGCCCATCGCCTCTCAGTCCGAACATGGAACCATTCAGGATGAAAATTCTCGCGGAAGCCTCAGCCATGGCGATTCGACAGGCAGCTAATCTGCACCGCCAGCGCAGGTTTGCATATAATTGGCTCAATCTAGTTGTTATTTTCAACTCTTCTCTTTCTCTTATGTATACCTCTATTGCACAGAAAGAGGATTTATCTCTTGTTTTGGACCAGCCTAGGGCTGCTACTGATCTAGAGCTTGCTGTGGAGATATTAGAGGCGTTTGGGAACAAGTTTCCTTCTGCGAAGAAGATTCAAGGCATGATTCGTAAGGTTTCGACAAAGCTTGAAACTTATGCTACTTCTTCTGATATTGAGTTTTAAATATTCAAACAGACATTGAAACTTGTCATAGTAGCCTAAAGAAATATTACACATAGCAATCAGTACTATGTCCAAGAATATGTATATTCGAGGGAGTCTTGGCAAGGTATGGATTGATCTCCTGAACAGGAGATTTTAACCCTATTTCAACATTTGAAGATCAGACAGAACTGGAGCAAAAGTGGATTATCGGGTCGTCCGACAGACCAACTCAGTGGGGATATCCCCTTCACAACTTTGCTTCGCAAGCTTGATTAGCTTCGCAAGGTTACTAGTTATATTTTAAAGGCTTCTTAAGCTTTCATTAATGTTCAAAGCCTATTGGCACTGACCCTGTTCGAACCCATATACATACATAGGTAATCACTGATTTTAAGTATGGCCAATACATCCAAAAAGTGTTCCCAAATTCAAACAGGGTCAGCTCGAACAGTCTCATCATCCTATGAAGAGGAGATAGACCAGAGCAATCCAGATCAAAGTGAGCTTAGCGAAGATGACTATCCAGAAGGTGGATGGGCCTCATGGAGTGTGGTCCTCGGAAGCTGGATGGCCTGCTTCGGAACAATGGGATTAATGAACAGCGTGGGTATCTTCCAAGCATATTTGGAAAACCATGAATTACGACAAGATTCTACTGGAAAAGTGGGCTGGATATTTGGTCTTTACAATTTCCTTGCCTTCTTCTGCGGCATTCAAATAGGCCCAATCTTCGACGCGAAAGGTCCACGCGTTTTAATCATATGTGGAAGTATTGGCACAATATTTTTCCTGATATTACTGGGCTTCTGCGCCACCTATGCACATTTCATGGTTGTTTTTGGACTTCTGGGGGGATCAGTCAGTCTCTTGCGTTTAATCCTGCCATCTCGATTATTGCACACTACTTTAACAAGAGAAGGGGGTTAGCGACGGGAATTGCATCGTCTGGAGCTTCCTTCGGCGGCGTGGTTTTTCCATTACTCTTTCAGCATGTCGTCGTTCGAGTGGGGTTCGCATGGACCACTCGCATAATCGCACTGGTTGTCTTGGTGGCATTTAGCATTGCCATATTACTCATCCGAGCACGAAGACCTTCCAAGACAGCATCGATAGGAGATATCCTTCCGGACCTCACAATATTCTGTGATAGGGCCCTCATGCTGGCAAGTATGAGTATTTTCTTCATGGAATGGGGGCTATTCGTTCCGCTCACCTATCTAATTTCATATGCCTTGTCACACGGGCAATCGTCACAGTTTTCCTTCCTACTGCTATCTTTAATCAACGCCGGATCAATATTCGGTCGTTGGATTCCTGGCTATTGTGCTGATCGAATTGGTCGCTTCAACACTTTGATCATCACCCTCTTCGGTTGCCTTCTTTGTACAGTTTGCCTTTGGCTTCCTGCCGGGTCTAGCAAGGCAATCATCGCTATCTTTGCGCTTCTCTTTGGCTTCTTTAGCGGGAGCAATGTGAGCCTGGCTCCTGTTTGTATTGGACAATTATGTAAGCTGGAAGCTTTTGGTCGATATTATGCAACTGCATATGCTATCGTTAGTATAAGGTATTTGATAGACCTTATCTCGTTTGAGCCCTCCAGGCCTGGAGCAGACCTCTCAAAGATAATAGTGAAGCTGACACATCCTGTGTAGTGTCCTTACCGGAACTCCTATTGCGGGAGAGATTATCAGCCGATGTGATGGGAAGTACTGGGGTTTAATTGCCTTCACTGCGGCTAGCTACACAGCGAGTCTTTGCTGTCTCATGGCAACAAAGGTATACTGCCGTGGCTGGCGCCAATTAAAAGATGTGTTCTAGCTCTGTTCATATTCCTCAGAACTCAATTACTGTCATTATCTCCACATTGTCCAACCGTCCACGTCCACGGTGAAATTGCATTGCAGGTGACAGTGGTGATGTAGACAAGTTCCAATCGGACGAAGCCGTGTTCAGCCTCGTCCGAATTACTGCACATAATCGGTACATATCCGAAAAATTGTGGTTCAAATAGGGGCGAATCGGTATATAACCTAGGATATCTCTTCTCTATATCATCTCTGAATGCTTGCTGCACAGCTTCGAGTTTGTCTCCTGAGAAGGCTTTGGGTAAAGGTAACACGACCTTTTTTCTGTGTTTCCTGTAGTTAATCGAAGTAGCGTGTTTCTTTTCACAGACAATGTTCAAATCAACAAGCTGAATTAGTGTATCACCAAGAAGACCGAATAGACCCGTTTTTGCACCACATTCTGCGGTAGTTTGTATGGAGATTTTTACGGTCTAGTAGACCAATAAAGATGTATTGTGTCTTGAGTAGGGTCAATCGGGCAATATGTATTAGTCACGTTCATTCGAGTTCCTATGAGGAAGTTTGGCGGGTTTAATACGTCTTCACAACACTGAAAGTGTACCCAGGTCCTACCTAGCCTACTAGGTAAGGATCGAATTTCAGCATTATCTCCTCCTAACCATATCTATTCAGATTACGACCTTGAACCAACTTCTGGATTGAAGATTAATCTGGAGCATACACAGTTCATCAAATTCAAATGATCATACCACATCTCCAACAATTTCAAGCCGATACATCGTAGGAAGTCATGCAAAACAAAGCGGTGGGGATCTATGTAGGATTTGGGCGGCAGAAAAGGGTGCGCGTCGCAACAAGCATTCGGAGGTCTCCTATTATAACCAGTTATAACCAGGATGAAAGGTGCGACCAAGCGGACGAGCTTTGAGAAACCATTAGAGCCTAAACAGCCATTTCCCCCGTTGCTCGACCACCTCGCCTCACCCGAAGATGCACCGGAAAGCTACGACGAGAGCATAATGTCTCGCTACAACGAGATTGAAGTTGAGGATGATGCCGATTTCCAGTCACACTATTCTCTAGACCCATCCCTGTCTGACTCCGAGTCGGATGACTCTGGCGACGAAATTGAGAGGCATCACCCATTTAGACAATCCTCTGGCTCCCTACACGCCTTTGCGCCTCCCTTTTACAATCGCCCACCCACGCCTTTGCCACCATCTCCTTCCTTGACATCTCTACTTCGGCCCCCGTTCTCTACAACTACATCACGCCCAACGACGCCTGACAGCTCGGATGTCGAAACACCAAATGATACGGAGGCGGCCGTGGCCAAGTCGGCCCGTCGCGCGACTACTGTCCCCCGCGCCAGTCCCAAAGTCCCAACCTATGAGTATTACGGATTTGTCCTCTACCTGGCTTCTTCGCTTGCATTCTGTAAGTACAATTCTCTGCCAGCATCCTTATACAGCACCTATAGATCAGTGCATTCCACGGCGTTCTTCATTTGTACTAATCTAAGGCTGTGTCAGTAATCTACCTGCTCTGGTCGTATCTCCCATCCCCGTTCCTTCACCAGCTCGGAATATATTACTATCCTAATCGCTGGTGGTCACTGGCCATTCCATCTTGGCTGGTGATGTTCATCGTCTACATCTACATTGCGCTCGCCTCGTACAACACCGACTACCTGACTCTCCCAATGAATAGTATCGAGAATATTGTCGACGAGGTTGCCAACATCGCTGTTATAGATGGAAAAGCCCGCCGAAGACCAGGTGGAGCCACCAAAATGAAACCAGGCGCAACCTCATACCAGATTATGGGCCCTCAAAATCGCAAGGTTAATTGGCGGGAGATTTGGAATGAGGGCACTGATGCGGTCATGGATATTCCGGTTGGAGGAGTATGTGAGATATTATATGGTCAGGAACGCGACGATGATGCAGGCTCTTTTGTTACAGAGCCGTAGTCGCAGATTTACAACTAATTGAATTCGATTATCATGAACCAATGACGTCGATGTGAACTGATCACGTGACAACATCGCCCATGATCTCTTTCGCTCTCTCTTTTACAATCGTCATCACATCAAGCAACTTTATACTTCTGAAATAATGGCAGACCGACCTTCAAATCCTCCGCGGCAGGATGCTCAGCCTGGAAAACTGCCTCGAGGTCCAATTACACCTGAGATGAAACGAAAGATAGTAAGTGCCTAAGAAAATCAGCCAGGCATCAGTCATGTTTTTACTCACACTCCCGTATAGGAACTAAATCGCCTCAAAGCAAAAGCTATCCGTGACCAGCGAGAGTCTAAAATGGCTAAAGCTTCAACATCCGCCGCGCCATCCACACAAGGAGTCAAGCGATCCTTCAACTCGATGACAGCCGCTAATTCCAATCCTCCAGCGACCCTGCGAGATGCCCGCAAGAATCCAGATCCTAGCAGGTCTTTGGATACGATCCAGCCCGCCCGTAACTTCGCAAAAAAATATGTGGATTTCGATTTCAGTAAGATGACTGATACGAAGGGCGGGTTCCTGACAAAAGAGGACGATCCATTCAACAAGGCCTTAAATGTTTCTGATGGGAAAGATGATAAAAAACCGGCGCACATGACACAGAAAGAATGGGAGCGACATCAATTAGACCAATTTCTCAGGCGGAACCGTCAGGGCCCTTACGAGCCAGGATTGAGTGTCTTGGACGACAAAAACAACCAGAAAAAATGTCGCGAATGTGGTAGTGTGGACATTGATTGGAAATGGGAAGCAGAGCTCAAGTGTTGTATTTGCAATTCCTGCAAGGAAAAGTTTCCGGATAAGTACAACCTACTAACTAAAACTGAGGCGAAGGAAGATTACTTGTTAACAGATCGTGGGTGATATTTCGACCTATCTTTAAAAATTTTCACTGACACTTGACAGCCGAGCTACGTGATGAAGAACTTTTACCCCGTCTTGAAAGACCCAATCCGCACAACTCTACATGGAACAGTATGATGCTATTCCTCCGCTACCAAGTCGAGGAATACGCATTCTCAGAAAGAAAATGGGGTTCAGCCGAGGCGCTAGACGCTGAGTTTGAGCAACGCGAAAATGATAAAAAGAAGCGACGAGAAGACAAGTTCCAGGGAAAACTCAAGGACCTGAAGAAGCGTACCCGTACAGAGGCGTATCGACGTAGACTAGAGGGCGCCTCTGGGAATTTCGGAGATGATCTGAGTCGTAACCGAAAACATGTGCACAAATGGGGCCGAGCAGTGGACAATGAAGAGACTGGTATGCCGGTCAAGACATGCGTCGACTGTGGTATGGAAGTGGAAGAATTGGAGTTCTGAGTATGTGACAGGAAAGCAATGCCCATATTCTTGCTTTGTCAGTGGCAGGAACTGACAAATACCGAGGCTATTTCTTATTGATCGGCCAGGCAGCTGGGCAATCTGAAGGATGAAAATTGGCATATATCGAGGGCAACGAGAGTGAATCATGGCTTCCAAGATGAATGGCTTGCAAGGCTTTCCTGAGTGCTTTACACTTTAATTATTATTTTATGGGCTCCATCATCCATGATATGAGGTATTTTATCTCCCTGCTTACCTAGTGAACGCAGTAGAAAGGATTTCGGAGGTCTTCAATTCTAAGGTTATTATTCAATTGACATGGAATTCTTGTACCTGCGGCACTTCAATGTTAAATACTGTATTTTCTTTAAAGCTTAGAGTTTAAAGTCTAAAGTTTATAAAACTGCATTTCGATTTCCAACCTTCAACTTTCACCTTTCATTATCATCTCCAGTAGTTAAACGGGGCTTATGAAGTGAAGTTGTGATTTAGGAATTCAATGTAGTTCACTAATGCATATCCCGGAATATTATTAACCCGGCCAGGATGGCTTCTTCAAAGACAAGATGTTCAGTGATTTATTCTTCTATGATGGAATTAGTAGTTTTTTGAAGAAACGCCAAAAACTCATAAAGTAAATAATACTTGACGCCATGCGAAAATGTGCCCTAATAAGCAATTGGACAGATAGATATATTTTACTGAATGTTCAAACTCAAAAGCCTGGTTCTGCTGAGCAATGGTCATTGATCAGTACAGTCACCCTAGAAAATTCAATCATTTTATCAAATATCAGTTTACTGAAAACTTGGAAGTTGTCAAATGATCAAGTTGTCAAATGAGGTTGGCTATTTAGATCTGGACCATCCAGATAAAGAAGGCGGTGAGTACCAACCAAAGTGAAGTCACCCGAAAGCCACCCAGCTTGCCCATAACAAACGACACACACCTTCGGACTTCCTACAGAAGATCAGTGGCCTTTTCTCTTTACACTTTGTGTAGGCTTCATATCTCCTACTTATTGGCTGACACAGCGTGGAACGTAGTTCCCCTGCTGTTGTCGCCCCCTGGGAGACTGGATTCGCTTTCTGCGGTGTGGATACTACCAGGGTCAGGAGAACCAGAAAGCCAAAGAAACTTGTCGCCTTTAGTCTGTTTCAAGCTTTGACACTCACAGATTCTGCCACTTGCTCTGTCTTAGTTGAGTACTAAATTATCTTCGCTAATATGTCATGGCCATCCCAATCGCCTATGGGCGGTATGGGGGGAATCGCCGGGGCGATGGGCGAGGGTCACGCCAATGGTGTTCCCACGCAGGGCACTGAATACACGCTTCAGGGTCAGTTATTTTCAAGTTTCTTTCATATCAATTACTCACTGACCTCACTTCACAGGCGTTATGCGTTTTCTACAGACAGAATGGCATCGCCACGAGCGCGATCGTAATGCCTGGGAGATTGAACGCGCCGAGATGAAATCTCGCATTGGCAGGCTTGAAGGAGACTTACGAACAAGCAAACGTCTACACGAATCACTTGGCAAACATGTTCGGTTGATGGAAATTGCATTGAAGCGAGAGCGGGAGAATGTGAAAAAGCTCTCTAATAATGAGGAGATCGAGGGTCCAAAAGACCCTAAAGAGCTTGCGCGCGATGGTGTCAACTACCTGAAGGGTATGCGTTGTACTGAATACTTCGTTCCCTTGACCATTACTAATTGATCTTTGTTTTACTTTTTCTAGAACAACGTTCTTCTTTCAATTTAGGAGCCGGTGCAAACCCAGAAGAATCCGAACACCACAATCCTCAAGCTGTCGACCCTGATGACGGCCGTGAAAAGTCTCGTGGCTACTTGTCTAAGTGCGCGCAAGAAATCGCATACCATGTTATTCCTACATCTCATCCACTCCCGGACCTCAGTGACCCGGATCTGGCCCATGGTTATGGCAACCCCCATCTGTCGCAACATATGTCGCAACAGATGTCACAGCAGCTTGAGCAGCATAACTTGGAGGAAGCATACTTCAATCGACACAAAGCTAATGAGAAAATATACCAAGAGAGGGAGCGGGCATTGCAAGAGAGGGAGATGGCCTTACAGAACAGCCAACAAGGCGGCCAGTACGCAGAAAAGCCAGGCATGGTAATGGGTCAGCATCAGTTCGGTCAAGCAATCTCCCAGAATACTGTTGATCGGCGACAGACGGAGCCCCAACAAACCCCCATAACTGCCGTCGACCACAGAAAGCAGGCGCAGACACTTGAACACGGGCTTTCAGATGATCCTGCCTCTACTCAACATTCAGCATACGATAATCAGGGCCCTCAAGCGGGGTTTAAAGAGAATTCTCCGCATAATACGAACGATGAGAAGAAGGAAGATATGGATGGTTGGAACTTTGATGAACCTGAGGAGCAGCAGCAGCAACCAGCTCTCGAACCCATTCCATCTCACCGTCCCGACACTGATGCTTTTCCCAATGCCAACTTTGTAGGATCCAAGTCGCCGTCTCGAGGCGGATCTATCTCTCACCGGCGAAAGAGCTCTGGATCATATCGCAAGAGCGACAGTGCATCCGAGTCTCGAGACTCTGCCTCTACTTTTGGTCAACAAGATGGTAACTTCAAAGTTCGATTTGCTCTCCGTGGACACTTAGATGTGATCCGATCAGTGATATTCACTGGTGGTGGCAGTCCCTCGGAGCCCGAAATTTGTACTTGCAGTGATGACGGAACAATTAAACGATGGATCATCCCTGCGACCTACGGCACATTCGGGGCCCATGGACCGAGTTCTAGCAATGATTTGGATATCACTTGCTACTTTACTCATCGTGGACATGTGGGTGCAGTCACCTCATTGGCAGCCTGCTCTCCCTCTCAGAACATATCTAACGGCGGTCGAGCTCTGGGTGATGGATGGGTCTTCTCCGGCGGACAAGATGCTAGTGTGCGAGTCTGGGAACGTGGTCGGGTTGATCCTAAGGCTACCCTGGATGGTCACACAGATGCCGTGTGGGGTCTCTGCGTCCTTCCAGGGACCGCAGGCTCTGTCTTTGGCGACTCATGTAGCCACTACGGCGGTGCAGACCGTATCCTGCTGGCATCCGGTGCGGCAGATGGTCGCATCTTGATCTGGGCTGTTAGTGCGCCCCCGCTCGTCTCATCACCCCAAGCAGGATCGCGTCGCCAGGGTGGAAGCCGACGTGCAAACTCGATATCTTCTGGGTCCAACTTCCCGTCATCTCCCCAGCCAAGTGTCGCCACATCAACTCCCTTCCACTACACCCTTGTTCATCAAATTGTGCGGGGTGGTGATTCTCCTTCGCCAACTTGCATAAGCCCTCTGTCATTATCTGGAGTTAACTTTGTGGTATCATTCACAGATGCTTCTATCCTTGTATATGATACCAGGACTGGTGAAGAGATTGTCGGCATGGCTAGCCTTGAAACATATGATGGAACTCCGTCAACCGGCGTCAATTCAGTCGTCACTTCAACCATTGGCTTTGATGGAACTGCTAATTTGGACCCCAACCGAACAATGGCGGACGAGGAAGTGGTTCACGGAGCTACTGGTTCAAGTAATGCTGAAGGTGTGATTATCAGCGGCTATGAAGATCGATTTATTCGCTTCTTCGATGCCAACAGTGGTAAGTACAAGTGGATTCGTTTTATTTGTACATTCTTCTTGCTAACTACGTTTCTCAGGTCAATGCACTTACACGATGTTGGCCCACCCGGCTGCGATTGCCGCTTTGTCGTTGTCTCCGGATGGCCGCGAGCTTGTCTCAGCTGGTCATGATGCAAGCCTGCGCTTTTGGAATCTCGAGATGCGCAGCTGTAGTCAGGAATTGACCAGCCACCGACTTATGCGTGGTGAAGGCGTCTGCGCTGTTGTCTGGAGCCGTGATGGCCGCTGGGTTGTCAGCGGTGGCGGAGATGGCGTGGTTAAGGTCTTCTCTCGATGAACCAAATGATGAGATGACACCCCTGTATGATTTTTCTATTCTTTTCCCCCCTTTTCAAAGTATGTATTCCTTGGGTATTCTTATCATGATGTTTCCATTGAACCGGATGAGCGATTGGCCGGACCAGTTCTTTTCGAGCATTTGCAATGGTGTCCCAGCTGATTGGCATACGATGTATTCTTCTATGTGGTTTTTCTTACTTCTTCTACATGCGTCTCTATGACGCTGACGCTGATAATATGCCCATCTTCGCGACGATTCCTTGGCCTGCGTTCTGACCAAGTCTTTTCTTATTTCCACATCTTTGCTGTATTTCTTCTTGGTGCATACCCCGGATTTTTTACTTCAGCTTTGTCTTGTTCTTGATCCCCTAGCCCTACCCGACATTTCCCCCCTGCTTCGTAATTTTCAGGTTTAATGACCCCCGAAATCGGTTCACGAGGCTTTCTTCATGGGTACTTTGAGCGTGAGTTGCGTTGTTTTCAAGATATCCACTTTCACTATTAAGGACCCCATATTTGTGTACAACATTGAGAAACTTCCCACGGGAATTATGAACGATTAAAGTAACATAAAATATGTAAATTAATACATTATTGTAGTACTATAGCCCTCAATTTATTGACTGGAGCTCCAAGCACCCTTGAAGAGAATACTCAAACGCTCCGCTTCCTCTTGATCCTTCAACCGCTGCTCCAGATAACCCTGAAGATCATTCCAGAAAGCCTCAGTCTGTAGAACCTCAGCACCACTAGGCCCAACAGCAGGCTTGGGCGGCGATATATCTGCAGCCTGTGGTACCTCCGGTTGAGGCTCCGCAATCTCAACTACCTGGGCCCCTCCAATGATCATGACTCCAAACTCAACACCTTTACCCCCAGCCAGCATTTCAGGCTCGTCGGACAAAATCTCAGCAATGGTTTTTGCAGTACCTCCCACAGGTTTGCGCTGGTATAGGATCTTGATCTTATCCAACGCCACAGGGTTTCCTTGAGAATCGGCGATGCGCTCACGTACCGCATCCTTCAAATCCTGGATGGTTGTTGTAGAGAGGGGCGCCTTGATAATTGAGAATTCCAGAGCAGGGTTTCGGGCTGATTTGATGTGAACGGTGATTGACTTTGATGAGCCTGGAGCTTGTGCTTTCTTGACTTTCTTGGGCATCGCCGGGTGTGGGGCTTGGAGGCGGGGCAGGGTGTACTATTTATTATAGAGGTTAGGATATATGGGATGCGTATTGAGCTGTAGAGGCTCTTCAGGTGGTTAGCTTACAGGCACATGAAGGCCAACCTGCTGAGGGTCGAAGACATGATCAGCTCGTAGCTTGATCGGTCGTGAGTCCAGTGCGGACAAGAACGACTTGGCAAATGATACTTCGGACATTCTTGGTAAAATAATTGATAGGAAAGAGATAGGTGGTAGAGATATTGGCGGAGACAGAACGTCAAAATCGATACTCCAATGGGGTTCGTTTGTCGTATCGTTGTTCTTGTCTCTAGTTAAAGCGGCCAGTTGATATTGGTGCCTTGGTTAACAGGCATGAATATATTCTGTTGCTCCCGCTTTACCGCCTTTGAATTTATTGCCGCCATTCACCGCTGCCGAGGAAAAAAGATTAAAAAAAAGTTGGATGAAGCTGAGAGAAAACCAATCACCCAAAATTCACATTCACAATGGGAGTCGGACGTCGTATGAAGAAACAGGGCCCTCCGCCCCCTCTCGATGAGGCCAAGTTTGCAGCAATGAAGAAGCGCAAGGCTGGTGAGGCGGAATCGGCTGCCAAAGCCGTCGAGGCTAAGAAGCGGAGGAGGGCTGAGGCCGAGGAAGAGGTTGCAACCAAGAAGGCCGCTTCCAAGAAGGCCAAGGTTAATGCTGCTGCTGCAAGTGCTCCTGCAAAGACTGAGAAGAAGAAGGCGACCCCTGAAAAGAAGGAAAAGAAGGAAAAGAAGAAGGCTGTCCCAGTGCCCATGTCAGACTCGGAGGACGAAGACGAAGAGATGCTGGACGACGAATTTGACGATCTCGATGGAGTTAGTGACGGATCAATCGATAGCCAAGATGAAATCGATGGACTTGAGAACGATGAAGATTCAGTCATGGACTCTGACGAGGAGAATCACCCGCGCGAGGCCATGTTTTCTGACGATGAGGATCTGTCCGATGCCGAAGAGAGACTTACTGCTGCCAACATTGAGGGTCTTTCTCGTAAGCTTGATGCCGCTAAGCAACTGGAGGATGAGGAAGCCGAGCAAGAAATGCAGGATGCTATGCAGACAAATATCTCCGGTGATCGTCCCGATGTTTTCAACGAGGTTGGCCAACCAGGCCTTGCTCCCGACCTGCAATTGCTGCGCCAACGTATCACCGACACTATCCGTATCCTGGGTGACCTGAAGGGTCTCGGTCAGCCTGAAAAATCCCGTACCGACTACGTTGACCTTGTTCTCAACGACATTTGCACTTACTATGGTTATACCCGATACCTCGCCGAGAAGTTGTGGAACCTGTTCACACCCATGGAAGCCTTTGCTTTCTTCGAAGCTAACGAAACCCCGCGTCCGGTCGTCATCCGTACCAACACCCTGCGAACCAACCGTCGATCCCTCGCCCAAGCCCTCATCAACCGCGGTGTTGTGCTCGAGCCCGTTGGCAAGTGGTCCAAGGTTGGTTTGCAGGTCTTCGAGTCTGCTGTTCCTCTTGGTGCCACCCCCGAGTACCTTGCAGGTCACTACATTCTGCAGGCAGCCTCTTCTTTCCTGCCCGTCATGGCATTGGCTCCCCAGCCCAACGAACGTGTCCTTGATATGGCAGCTGCTCCCGGTGGTAAGACAACCTACATGTCTGCGCTGATGCGTAATACTGGATGCGTTATCGCCAACGATGCCAGCAAGCCCCGTGCTAAGGGTTTGATTGGTAACATTCACCGTCTCGGCTGTAAGAACTGCATTGTCACCCACCTCGACGCCCGTACCGCCTTCCCCAAGGCTATGGGTGGATTTGACCGCGTACTTCTCGATGCTCCTTGCACCGGTACTGGTGTCATCTCCAAGGATGCAGGTGTCAAGACTTCCAAGAACGAACGCGATTTCCTGGCCATTCCCCACATGCAACGCCAACTGCTCCTCGCAGCCATCGACTCAGTGGACCACTCATCTAAGACAGGTGGCTACCTCGTCTACTCCACTTGCAGTGTGACTGTAGAGGAGAACGAGGCCGTTGTGCAGTACGTCCTGCGCAAGCGTCCCAACGTCAAGATCGTCGACACAGGTCTGGGTGGCTTCGGTAGCCCCGGTTTCACTAGCTACATGGGCAAGAAGTTCGATGCCAAGATGGCCCTTACTCGCCGCTACTTCCCTCACCGCGAGAACGTCGACGGTTTCTATGTCTGCAAGCTGAAGAAGACTGGTCCCACTCCTGTTGTTAAGGAAGGTGAGAAGACAGCTACAAGCACCGGATCCAACTCCGCTCGCCGCGCTAGTACCACTGAAGACGAGGTTATTGACCGCACTCCTATCCTTAACGATGATGGTACCACCGTTGACCTCGAGGGAGGCGCCTTCGAGTCTTTCGATGCCGAGGCTGACTCTGAGCGCATGCTCCGTGCTGAGCGTAACCGTCTCCGTCGCAAGGGTCTTAACCCCAAGGGAGTCTTGAATAAGCCAAAGAAGAACAAGGATGAGGCGTCTGAATCGACCGAACCATCCCAGGAGAAGGAAGAAAAGAAGACTGAAGCGAAGAAGATTGAGGCCCAAGCCGAGAAGAAGGGAAAGAAGGAAAAGAAGGCTGAGGTTGAGGAGAAGTCCACTGAAGCCAAAGCCGAGAAGAAAGACAAGAAGGAAAAGAAAGAGAAGAAGCCTGAGGTGGTGAAGAAGTCTTCTACTGAGGAGAAGACTGAGAAAAAGGCTGCTCCAAAGGGCGATAAGAAGGAAAAGAAATCCAAGAAGTCGAGCAAATGAACTTACCTAGGTATTGGTATGCGAGCGTCTTTTATATTTTTTTTATCTCTAGCTCTGGCATTGTCAAGTCAAAAAGCATCTTCTTTTGTTGGTGGTTGGCGCATTGGACATATCCCTGTGTTTTTATGTTGAATATCTATTACAATTCTTGTTTTCACCCCTTCCACAACCTGCTAGCCATTTTGCAAGGCTTCATAAAATCTCAAAATTTCAAGAGCAGATAAAATTGGTCTATAATCCACCGATAGTGGGTGGTAATGCAAATGTGTATAAAATGAAAGTATAGATCCTCAGATCAATATAGTATCACACCCCCCCCCCCCCCCCCCCCCCCCCAAACCGCCGTGCTCGCCCAAGCCCATATGTGTCTCTATAAGAGGACAAAAAAGTAACAAAAACAAAAAATAACTCCACCGTGCCAAGGACGCAGTTTATGTCCGGTACATCTTGATAACATTCGTGATCTTTTTCCGACAAATTGGACACAAATCAACCTGCTTAGCACACCCAACACAAGAGCAGACGTGTCCACAATCAGCAATAACAGCATCCTGCTCCTCCGAGAAACAGATCTGACAAAGATCCGCTTCATCCTCGGCAACCTCCCAATACGTGATACCCTTGCCATGCCGCTTCCCGTCCTTAAAACCGCCAACATACTTGTTGCCAGTCGTACTATCGGTGAAGGAACCCTGGCCGTGTCGCACATCGTCGACCCAGTCGCCGTCGTAGACATCTCCGCCGGGATAATTCATCTTGCCTGCGCCGTGGCGTCGGCCGAAGACAAAGTTGCCGTCGTATAGGGTTCCTGTGCCTGATATGTGTTTGCCTTGCCCGTGGTAGTGGCCTTTCAGGAAATCGCCTTTGTAGTAATCGCAGGTGAAGTTTGCTTCGACCGTCTTGTGGCCGGTAAATCCGCGAATTGGGTGGCGGCGGGATGAGGCCCATAGGTATTGGACTAGGCGGTCTGGGCTAGAGAATAGTCCGCTTGTGCCGAGCTTGTAGCGTCTTGCGTTGTTCATCTTGTCGCCAATTATAATACAGGAGCCATGCGCGAGTCTGACATCGCCGAAGCTTTCGGCTGGGGATACGGCTGTGATGCTTATTCCGTCTACTCGTTGCCACATGAGGAAATCGGGTAGCATTGGACGTTTTAGATGTTTTCGGACTGATGCCTTAACGTTCTCTTCGAGTTTGGAGAAGAATGAACCGACTGTGCGGAGAACCTGCTTGTCTGCATCGAAGATTTGGACGAAGTAGTACGCATGCCCGACAGGAAGGGTAATTTCGGGTTGGGTCGGTGCCTCGATTGTCGGTTGCACCGTGGGAGTGTCAGCTGAAGCCTCTACAGGGGGAGTGCTTGGTGTTTCTTGACCGAGAGCTGCAACCACAGCGAGAACGGCATCGTGCTCGGCTCTCTCTTCGGAAAAGGCGTCGATTTCAGGAGCCGAAGTCACAGCAGGGGGAAGGGAGACGTCATGAGCCACACTTGAGCTAGCTACAGCATCTCCATCGGCCTCTGCTGGAACTGGCTCGGGAGTTTCCGAGCTGACTCGCTCGACAATAGGGTCTTCAACCTTGTCATCAGCCAAGATAGCCGACGGAGGATCGGGAATGGCGAAGAACTGGGCATCGTCCTCTGAAATTATTTCCATCCAAAAACGAGAGAAACCCTGGGATTGATCAAGTGTGTCATTTAGATCTCCAACAGGGTCAAAAGCTAGGGTGGGACCGCACTGCGCATGGGTTTGTCCGATGCGCCAGAGGCGAACGCGCTCTGGTCCAATTTTCTCGTCACCAGTTGATTTGCCAAGAGAGATCTTCTTGCGCAGTTCGGCAATCCGACAAGATCCGGGAACAGACATGTACATGACACTGTTGGTCAATTTGGCCTGCGCCATGAGATCATAGGTATCAAATAAGCTGTTCATCTCATCGTGCTTGGCGACGGAATACACCTCAACTTGAACGTCCTTGTGCACGGTGAGATCCTCTTCTGGGGTCTGAGTAAATTTGCCAGTCTCGTAGTATTCCTTCAATGACTCGGGAACCTCCCACGGTCCCTGAGGACCAGGTAGAAGTTCCGAAACCATATCACTGCGGACATACATGGCGACAACTGGAATGTCATGACCCTTCTTATGATCTGGAGTCTGGGACTCATCGAGACCAATGTGCAAGCTCATTGCTGTCTTCTGTGTCAGGCACTCAACCCGGTTATCGCTGCCATCATCGAATGCCAGCCAGCGAGTTCCAGGGCCGGCAGGGCGAAGGATGCTGAAGAATTTGCCAGAGGTACGGCGGCCACGGTGGACCACATACCCGTACAGAATGTACTTACTTCCTTCGGTATCAGCCACAAACGGTGTCAAATCCAGCTCATCATCCAACTCGACTTTGTTGAACTGCAATTGCAAGCGCAGCGCCTTGTCAAGGGTCTGGCGACCTAGTTCCACATGCAGAACCGGTGGAAGAGACCAAAGACCCTCATGGTCACTCAGGTATCCGCGCACCGCCTCTCTGGTGGATTTGACCTCGCTAGCTTGGACGCGGATGCGGGAGTTGAAGTCTGTTGGTAAAGTTTTGATTGTTTGGGCGTCTCCTGACCCGGCAACGCTGTGCGGTGAAGGGCTGTCAAATAGTTTGCCGAATGCTTCACCTGCCTCTGTTCCAGCGAGTTCCAGCTCCAGTGTGCGGCGAACACGCTCCCAGAATTCAATGACGTCGCTTGAGTACTCGCCCAGATTGCGCAGGGTGGAAGTGATGCCGTCTGTATCCACGTAATGCAATGACTGGGTGCGACAGCGGAGGCGCCACAGCAGCTTCTGTAGTGCATCGCACAAGGGCTTTGGCTTGATATCGCAATTGGTGAGATGCTCGAGCACATTAACACTTTGGATGATCTTGCAGAATGGGGCAATGTGCAGCCATGAGGCAAGTCCGGCAACTTCGGCACTGTGGTTGATGACCGAATCTCCTATTGGGCGGTAGCCGGTCAATGCCAGACTGTCCCAGGTTGGTTCCGAGTCACTTGGATGCCACCACAGAGACTTGGTAGGATCGTCGACGACTCGAATGTATGTATCAAATGCCAGCGTGTCGTTGTTCAACAACGCACGGTGTTGGCCCCGTCGACGACAGTGAATCGCGTCCCATGGGCCATGGAAGTATGTCCAACCCCAATCCAAGTTATGAGGGTTGAACTGATGACAAGATGACTGCATCCAACCTGTCCGAGGCTCATCGGGGTTGTATACGATGACGCCAATCTGTGCCGCTACCCGCCAAGAACTTGAAGTTGTTTCTTCTGTACAGCGAGATGCCGAGGCCGCACGGGGATATAGGGACTTGAAAGTTTCCATCCAAGCCGCTGAATCAGTGGTGGCCGCTGTCCGAAAATCTGTATCAGGAGTCTTATCATTGAGGTTGGCTTCTGGAGTTCCTCGGCGGACGGTAAACTCGCACTCGGGAATCTTCTCATCAGGCTCGGGGAGAGTAGTAGAGCACTCGACATAAACACTCAATGAGCCGACATTGTTACCCCGGGGGTAGAACTTTATTCGCCACCAATATCCACCAACGTAGGCAGCAGGTGAACGGATCACAGTTTCACGGTTCGGAGCATCTGGTGTGCCGCGAACACCCTTGAACTTCCATGTCAAACGAACCTTGTCCTTGGGGGTGTATTCAGGATCCTCCAAGTCCCGGAAGAAGTTGTTTTCCCAGTACGTGTCTATTGTTCACATTAGCTACCTTGAATCCCGCTTTACTATATTGATATTGAGCTCGTACTTACGATCACGGGCACTGTAGTCTGATTCTGTGTGCTGAAATGCTTTCAATTCCTCTTCATTTGGTGAAGAGGTATCCTCCTGATACGATGCCCAGTAAGCATCCTCGACTTCCTCGCTCATTGAGGCTGGTCCAGGGGCTTGAGATTGGACGGTGGCTTGTTCGATGGGAGTGCTTTCTAACGTACGCGAGGTCTCGAGGGATTGAACGGGCAGAGTATCGGTCTCAGAGGCAGGAGAAGGCTGATCGACAGAATCCATGTTGTTTTTCGCCCCGTGTCTCAGATGACCGCGGTATAGGGAGTATACCCCGATTCCCAACGATGAATGCTATACCTAATCGAACCTGTTGCTAATCAAAAGTCGGTCGAGATGGATTGAAAAGGACCGGACGAAACTATAAGGAATTGCAGTCGAGGCTAATTTCACTGTATACAACGAACGAGCGATAAGCCTTATCTGATAAGGCCTTTATATCGGAAAAAGAAGGGAAGTTAAGAGACAAGGGCAGTATGATATGTATATAAGTTTAGACGATCAGGGAGGTAAAGAGAGACAGGATAAAAAAAGAGAAAGAGCACATGAGCAGTAAGATGGATGAATAGAAAAGAGAAGAAAAAAAAAGGAAGAAAGGAAGTGGAAGATAAGAGTCCGGGGATTCGCCATTTTTTGAGTGGGGATTCGGACTCCCTTCGAGTCTACCCGATAGAGTGGACCGGATATTCAATACGGTATTGGATTCGCGGCTTTTAGCCCTTACACTCTTGGAACCCCCTTTGAATTGTTGAGATTATATCCATGGATTAATCCTTCTGCTGCCTTTTTCCGTTCATTTTCCCTAATCATTTAGCATCACTTCTCCATCATGAAAAAGGCTCTGGAACTCGCGGTGAGTCTGATCGACAGTGGATCGAGTCTCCACCAAAGAGTTCAGGGCATCCAACCTTAAAAATTGCACATCGAAATGTTCTGAAATATTCCCTTTATCAGTTTGCCACATCGCCGATGCCGCATATCCTTTTGCCACTTGAAACTCCCCGTGATTGTGATTGTCTGGGGTGGACCCGTGGATCCCCGGAACACGCCAATAATAGTACATGGCTAGTTATGCATCGAAGGTTTTTGGGGAAGGAGAGACAAACAGATGACTGGCAAAAGTCTTTATTTCGAAGCCAATCAGCAAATCTTGCCCTATGATAGAGAGGAGAATCGAAGAAAGCTAGTCCATCTGACATTATGTTTTCTGCCTGAAAGAATCAGGCGATGAAACAAATGACTAAGCCGTGGTGTGACTCGGGTCAGCATTAGTTCTTCACCGATGGCTCTGCCCGCGCAAATGAGGCCGCAACAATAAGTGGGAATGCCACAGTTGCCTCCGCATACACTTTAACCGCTCTAGCGCCGACCTTGATCTTACCCCAGCTGACAGCCTCATCGGGCCGTGCACCGGCATCACTACCGTCGAACTCCTGTGCCGTATTAACATAGACAGCGTGTTCGGCCCCATTGCGCATAAGGCACGCGTTGGCAATGTGGTGCTTGACAATACCACCGCCAAGGATGATCATACCCGCAGAGGCCGCACGGACTGCCATGGTGTTGATGCGGCGTACATCCTCGACAATATCCACACGCAGCTGTTGCGGTGATGACTTGAAGGTGTGGAAGTATAGCATGTCGCCTAGTGACCCGTCGGTCAAAGCAGGGCAGAAAATGGGAATGTTATTGCGGGCGGCCCAGTAGAGCACGGAGTCTTCGTTGTTGATTTCTCGGCCTAGCCGCTCAGTAATTTTGCTTGGAGTCCAATGTAGCTCATCCTCCACATCGCCGCTTTGTTGAGCCTTGAGCTTCGCAGCCTCTTGCTCCTCTAACATCTGGTTAAGAATAGGAACCAGCCAGTCTTCAAAGGCGCAGTAGTTGTTATTGGGCACGACAAGGTTGCCAATGCGGTTGAGGCCTTTGGCACGAAGTCCGGCTCCTGGGGTCGCAAACGAGCCGAGATATGTCGGGGCCAGACATTTGATTAAATCTTCTTCTACTCCGCCTGCCGTGGTCACAATAGCCGATACATGTTTATGCTTGACAAGATAACGCAATGTGTCTCGCAGGCCGGAGGAGATCAAGTTTGAGGTATATCCAAGGAAGATGGTGGCCTTTTCACCGGTTTCGGGGTGACGAAAAGCACGCTGGTAAAAGGAAACTAAGTCAGTCTTGAAAGAGTGAAGCTTAAAGACATTAATACCATTTCATTAATGATGCTGGCGGCCTCGGCGACTGCACTGCCTTGGAATCCCATACGGGTCATGTTGTCCACAAGCTCAGCCACAGTAATATCACGACCCTGGAATTTATCAAAGTCCACTCCATGAACTTCTGCGGTTCCCTCTGGCATGGGCTCAGAGGTGAGGAGGACCGAGTCCGTGACGGACGTGGGGACTGCAGTGGAAGATTGGGCCATTTTGTATGGGATAGAAGAGGTAGAGAAAGGAAATAAAGCAATGCCGGAGTGCAACTGAGAAATTGAATCTATAAAAATAGATGAGTTTTTATCATCCAAGATCCAAGATGTATTGTTAAGTGGCACGTCATGCAAGGTGAGATATCTTTTTTTTTCGTTCTTTTTTTTTGGCGGGGAAAGCGTTATCGTAAGACATCGACACCTCAGGCTGCAAGGGGTTCGATTGAAACTAAGGCTTCAATGTTCCACGTGAGATTATATAATAGGGTACTGAAATTATTAAATATATTTTTACTGGTAAAACTTATAATTCTGATATCACATGTGCCATCAGCGAGCTAATTGATATACTGATATGTCAAGGAGCCAAGGTTGAATGTACTTTAGTCTGCCAATCGGAGATCAAGCTCGGCGTAGTTATAGTTAACCCTGCATTCTGCTTTTATCAACGAGTATAGAGGACATAGATTTCCGTATTTTCATATTTTCATTATTAAAATTGGGATTGAAATGATGAATTAAGCAACAATATACATATATATAGACGAGGTCATGCATAGATCAAGCTTCATCAATATCGGCCTGCAGCCTAGACCCCCACATCACAGGCTACGGGTCGTGCACGGACCACTTTCTGCTTTTCCACTGAATTGAACTTCCGACTCTTGTTTTTACCTTTAACTTCCATCTCTTCATCTGTACTCCCAACTCTTTTTGTGACAAAACGCGTATATAGTCCTTCTCTTAGTACTTTTGACTTACAACTAATCCCCTTTCCACCATTAGTATCATATCGGGTCAACAACATCACCTTCAAACCCCAAAAACCCCTAACCCGATCGGGTCCTTAATTGGCCCGTGCTTAATATCACGTGAACACCCAATTTGGTATGGATTCTTGCATTCCCCAACCTACTTCAAATCACTGATTTCCATCTTTCTTACCCCAGGTCATCTCATAGTAGTATGACCTGGTAATGTCTTCCCGATTCCCTCCATCGTCTGGGTTTAATTCCCGCGACCGCTCTCCTCAACGCTTTGGAGATCGTCGTCCACCAGCAGGTCCCCGCGGCCCCGACGACAGCAGTCCTTCATTTGGTAGGGAACCTCCACGTGGCCCTCGTGCTCTGGTCGACTCTCCTCGAGGAGGGTTTGGTGGCCGCGGCCGAGGCTACGGCCGTGGTGAATTTAGAGATCGAGACCGAGACATTCGAGATCGTGATCGCGAATTTAGAGATGCCCGCGATGGGCCGCCATTCCGCCGCGACATGGATCGCGACTGGAATCGCCGGGACCGAGATTTTGACCCTAGGGATGCACGAATTAGTTTTGGCCGAGGCCGCTCAAGGTCACCCGCACGCGACTTCCGCGACATGAGAGAGCCGCTCGGCCGAGATTTTGACCCGGTCCGCATGCGACGTAATTCTCGTGACAGCATATTGTCGGCTTCTTCTGGAGGCCCTGATGGTCCACCTCTTAATACGGGTCACCCTCGTGGCGGTGGGATGCGTGGCCGTGGACGTGGAGATTGGGAAGGAGGTCGAGGCCGAGGCCGTCCCACATACTTCGATGACCGTGAGTCGTTTCGGCGTCGGAGTCGGTCTCGCGATGGCTGGCGGGATCGGGGGCGGGATCGTTTGGATCGCTTGCCAGATCGCATACAAGATCGCATGCAAGATCGCATGTTAGATCGTTTGCCAGATCGTTTGCCAGATCGTTTGCCAGATCGTTTGCCAGATCGTTTGCCAGATCGTTTGCCAGATCGCATGCAGGATCGCGTACAAGATCGCCTTCAGGAGCGTCTAGATCGCGTAGAACGGCTTCCAGAACGACTGCCAGAAAGACTTCCAGAACGACTACCAGAGCGACTCTCAGAGCGACTCCCAGAACGACTTCCAGAACGACTGCCAGAACGCTTGCCGGATCGGGAAAGAGACCGTGATGTTGACCGAGATCGCCTCCCAGATCGTGATCGACTAGTAGATCGAGACCGTGATCCCCGCGAGAGGGAACGTGATCGTGATTTCGACCGACGTGATCGATTTGATAGACGAGAAGATTGGGATCAAAGGCGGCCTGGTCGAGAGGACCGTGAGCGTCCTAGTGACATCTGGAAGCGAGACCGACCCGCGAGCCGAGCAGAAAATCGCATTCCTTTGGGACCACCCCAATCGTCAATTCCGCGTGCCACCCCTCCCATGGGCCCTCCCATGCCTGATCGCTTACCAGACCAAGCCCCTCCCGAACTGATCAGAAAGGCATCGATAATATCGAGCATCTCAAATTTCGAAACTCGACGTAATAGCGAACGCTCAGAGCCTACCACTCTCCTTTCTGAACCCTCCAAGGATGCAGAATCCACCGTTCAAAATTCACCCCCTCCACCTGGTCCTCAGGTTCCTGCTTTTGGTTCGGTTCCTGCTCCCACAGCAAATTCTCCATCTGATAAAGGCGCTTCCGAGGGGCGCCCTTCTATTGATTTGTCTCTTTCTACTGATAAGGATCAACACGAAGAGCCCTCGATTCAGCCGGGAGCTACTGGGCCCAAGTCAGAGGGAGTTGAACAGTCACAATCTTCAAAATTTCATAGCCGTTTCGAGGTGCATGACGCCCAAGATGGACATATTCATCCTTCAAGAGCCCTTATCCAAGCAGATCGTTCTCCGCCAACTGCTCCAGCTGCAATGATCAAGCGCCACTCGGTCTCATCTGCCATTGGGGGCCCTATTCCCGAAAAACTAAGGTCACGCAATCCCTCTCTCCCCAGTTCTCAAATATCTCCACCTGCCCCTCGCGCTATCTCGCGTGACCCATCTATATCTCCCCAAATTCAACACTCAAATATTCCTACTGGCCCACGAGCATTACAGCAACGACCCGGCTCATCACCCCGTGGCCTGAAGAAAGTCATTAAGACATGGCCTCGCTCTAACTACGGACGTGCTTCCTCTCTAACTGGTTCTCCGCCAAAGAAGGAAGTCGATGATCACAGAGAATCCCCTCCCCCTGCAGCTCCACCCGCAAAAGAAATACAACACGAAACTCAACGTGCATCACTGGAGACTGTCGATGAGACCATCAAAGCCAACCATACGGAGAAGGATGTTAGCATGGCCTCCGCACTAGGTATCACACGCTCAACGCTTGAAAATCCTAATTCTGCAGATGAAACTTCGGGCTCGCCATCTAGGAGGCTCCCTATTGGTAGTAGTCCTCCTCCTATCCCTGCCATTGAATTCACCCCTTTCAAAGAACTTCAACCAAATGGCAAAGAGCAAGATTCTGCTCCAATTCCTGATTTCGGACAAATGAGTGACGAAGACGAAGAGGAGGAGCATGTGGTTTTCAATGGAGAATACATGGACGAACGCAAGCGAATCTTTGAGAAAGATATTCAACAGCTTCGTGCAGAGATGCCCCCACCCCCCTTGGAAGACCCTACTATTCTGTCTCTATTGATGAGAATTCAACTGCTTGGAATAATCGCAAACGAAAAGAATTTCGAACCAGTACCGGAGCAAATTGCGTCGGCGGAAAAAGACGAAAGCATCAATCAGGGCAATGACCCTGTTGTCACGTTTGCACCGACAGTCATTGATGAAGACATCGTCGATTCTGCTGAGTCTGCTGAATCTGTTTCGCAGGAGGTCGATCAAGCAGCAGTTTCACCTATTGCAGTCCTTCCTGAAATTACCATCGATAGATTGCCTTTCTTGAACTCTGGGCCTCTTACACCCCTTTCTGATATGGATGTTTGTCATGAAACCAACTCCACTCATGACATGAAGTACTTATTTCTCGGAGAGCTTTCTAAGAGACGAAAGGAAGTTGCAAAGAAGAATGCGATACTCAGGGAGAAGTACATGGCAATCTATAAACCCTGGCGATTTGCCATCTGGGAAATGGATCAGCAAAAAGCCCAAGCTCGCATGACCCCGGGTCCTGCATCACCTCCTCCTTCCATTACCCCAGTAACTCCAGCACCGCTTCCCGAAGGACGCGAGGGCCGCCGTTACAAGGGTAATAGTCAGCTTGACTTGGAAAATGCGCTCAAGGCATCTCAGATCACTGCGCAACAGGAGCTTGAACGCAGGCGCATGCAAGAGGCAACTGTTTATCCTGACTTATCTCGAGAAGCAATTATTCCCGATATGGTGGAGCCGGACGTGGCGAAGGCTAGTATTTTCAAAGACGTGAACAACGTTGTTGATGCCAACAACGCAATGGCGGTCTTTGGTTTCAAGCCATTACCTACCGACTTTACTGAAGAGGAGCACAAGATCTTTACCAATGCTTTCATGATGGATCCGAAGAAGTGGGGCAAGATTGCTGAATCTTTACCTGGCCGGAATTTCCAGCAATGCATTCTTCATTACTATCTCACCAAAGAAGACATCAAGTACAAGGCGAAGGTCAACAAGAAAGCAGGCGGTAAAAGGAGAGCTAAGTCTAACAAGTCGAATAAGTCTAACGCTCTGATTGCTCCTCTGGGCGAGGTTAAGCCAGAATTCCAAGGCGAGGATGAGCCTGCACCAGTTACTGACACTGGACGCCCACGTCGCGCTGCCGCGCCCACCTTTGGGCCGACTTTTGGCGAATCAACAACCGAAAGTGACAATATGAGCAGTAGTCGCCGGACCAAGGACAACGAAGTTGTTGAGAGACCTACGGGCCTTAAACGTGGTGGTGGGAGAGGTGGTGGTACTCGTGGCAAAGGAAAAACCAAGGCCACCCAACCAGATCATAAAGCCCAGGGACCACAACCGCAGCCTAACTCTTCACTTCCACCATTTTCTAAGACGGACCTGAACTTAGATGGTGTAGATACAAGTCTTCTTCCGCCTGCTAAAGAATTACTTGAAAAGGACGTTCCAACTCCGCGCTCAAGGGCTGGACGTGGACGCAAAGAGGGGATTTATGTGTTCGATACGACAGAGGCCGAAATTTCCATGACACCAAAGCAAGCAGAGTCTGGGTACGGGTCTTTACAGCCGACCAGTTATTGGTCTGTACCGGAACAGCGTGATTTCCCTCGCTTGCTTGCACACTTCGGACGTGACTTTGAAGGAATCTCCAATTTTATGAAAACGAAGACAACGGTTATGGTGGGCACTTCAAAAATCTGTGATGTGAAGCTTGATGTACTAACACAATTGTTGTAGGTGAAAAACTACTACCAGAGAGGTCTTGAAGCAAAGAAAGACTTTGAAGAGGTGGTTTCAGTCGCTGAGGATAAGAAAACGCGTGGTGAACCAACAGATCCCCTTCCTATGCTTAGTGTTGCCCCTAAACGACGTTACGAAGCGACTCCATCAGCTATCGTTCCCCGTACGCTTGCTCCCCACGGTGATTTGATGATCGAGGCGGAAGAGCCACGGTTTTCTTCCCAAGGCCCTCAGCCAGTTTCTCTTCCCGGTCGTACACTGTCCGATGGCGAACGTGGTAACCGCTACCCGCCGCTGTCTGTGGCATCTTCTGCTATGTCTGCAGCCGGCTCAGTCTCGTCCACGACAGTGACAGCCGCTCTCGATGATGAATTGCGTCGGTCTGGAATGCACCCACCTGGAGGCGCAGGCGCATCTCGCATGCCAGGTCCTCGTCTTGGATACTTCACCAATGATGATCGCCGGGAGTCTGTGATGTTGCCGCATTCAAATCGTGTGCAAGATATGCAAATTCCCTCTCGGCACACCCCTGCGGCTGATTTAGCCCGTATGGATTCCCTATCTACGGCTTCGTACATCTCTGGACAGCCCTCTATTCCGCCAGGTCATTCACGCCATCCTAGTCTTACTCAAGTACCTGGCTCCCCTTCACAGTTACTGAGGTCAGATGAGAGAGCTTCTATGCACTGGGATGCTCCAGGACGAGCATTCTATCGTCAGCTTCAACCCGTCGGTATTTCGTCCCAATCACCTCGACCTGTCTTATCTCCTGTGAAGGATAACACAGGACCAAGTACGACCCCAGGCCCCGAGTCGACTCCTCGCCAAGTGCCGGCTAAACGCTCTAACATTATGAGCATTCTAAATGACGAGCCTGAGGAGCCTCAGCCTCGAAAGCGCTTTGCTAACGAGCCACCGTCTGGTCCCATGTCTACACCTCAATCACGGTCCGGCTATACCAATTATGCGCCACCATCGGAGGAGGAAAAGAAAAGACGCAGCGGCTATTACGCAGACCCTAATGTTGTACCCCGAAAAGACGGACGCCCACACCGAACCCAGACGACATCTGAAGCCGAATTACAGCTTTACCTTTCCGGTAGATTGAATGGGGCGAGCAATGACTGGATGGCTCGATTTGACCCGCGTGCACAGCAAACTGCCTCTCAACAACAGTTGCAGCCTCCAGAACGGTCATCACAACAGAGTGCACACTCGCCTGGATCGGTGGCATCACGGAGCCCCTTCTCGCACTACGCTTCTGCCCCGTCACAGCAGGCTGCTGCTTTGGGCAATCATTCTGCCCCACCATCCGCAGCAGCAACCCCTCCACCATCTGCTTCACAGCGCCTTTCATATTCCAGCGTCTTCAACCAAGCGCCTGAAAGCCAGGCACATTCACTTTCAGGCTCTCGTGACATGACACCTCAACCCTCGGCGTATCGACCTGGTTCCCCGACTGCACGGACAAGCAGTGTTTTATCACGACCAGAGCCCACCTCAACCCAGTCATCATCCAGCATCTATAGTTTGAAATCTCACCATCCTAGTTCTCAGAGCTATCAGCAACACGTCCAGACCCTTGTTAACGGCTCGCATCACTCGAGCCGATCCACTCCCGTGAGCATTTCCGGCCCCGTGATGCTGCCAGGTGTTCCCTCCCAATACGGACACAACACACCCCTCCCCCAGACCCAGAGTGGTAGATCTATGCCTTCGCTGGCGACGCTCGGGCGCTCTTACACACCGCCGGCCTCCATGCACCCCGGAGCCATGGCTTACGCACCTCCATCGACATCCCACCATCAACGACCTCCAGGGCCAGGTTCACTGGCTGATCCTGGCTCCACACGGGGACATCACCGTGTTTACAGTCAAGGCTCAGTGCAAGGGGGGTTGCCGGGTCCATTGAACCCATCTTCTCAACCACCCCGACAGTGATCAAACTGAGCTCTATTTCTCATGTCTCTTATCAGACATGATTGTCAACAATTTTGAAACGATTGTTAAGATCTGGGCCCAGGTGGTTCAGTTGTTGTACGTTACAGGAAATGTTCAGCACATTCTTGAGTTTGTTCGTGCAGAAGTTGTTGAGCTAGGTCAGCAAGTGTATGATCATTCTCTAGAGGGCAGTGGAAATTGGGTTTCTTAAATCCCTTGGAACGATAATGTTGGCAAGATAGGTAGCTAGTTTCGAGACTATATTTTTCTACGCATGTACTACTAAATGAATAACTCATGTAAACCGTTTAACTACTCAGTGTTCCCTTTTTTTTCATCCTGATAAGAAGATATCAATATCGTCTTGACCGGAAGAGACGAAGGAGGAAAAATCTTATTTACCCTCGTAATGCTCAGTTGCTTTCTCCAATTCACTACGGGTGAATTGAGATTACAGCTCTCATACTCAATTTCAACGCAACGCTCACCGATCCATCTGATTCATATGACTCGGCAAATTCCACACGTAATAATCCAGATGAACAAAAGCCCGATCGACAGTTGGTACGCTCTCCAGTATATACTGCAAACTCTCACCAACATCATGCGCATCACGAAGATTAGTCTTCTCATCAACGACAATATCAACCTCAACATTCAGCTTATCACCAGCATAATAAGCCTTCAGATCTTGAATCTTCTGTATCACATGCGAAAACCGCATTGTCATATATAGCAGGATATTGTGGTCGTCAGCTGAGGCGGCAGCACCCGTTAGACGTCGGATGTACTCGCTTGCCGTCTGGCCCCAGTTCCACATGATGTAGATAGAGAGGAACAGACCACCTAGACTGTCCATGTACCAGATGCGGGCAAAGGTGCCGATGAGCGGGAAGATGATGCTGAATGTGTTGAAGATTACATCTGTCATCGCGTCCTGCGCTAGGACTTGTACGCTGGGACTTGGGATTAGACGGCACCAGAGCCAGCAGCCTAGCTTCATGATGACGGTGCCGGCCATCAGGGCAAGGGATGGGGTGGTCAGTTCTACGATGGAGTGGTCATCGGCCATCAGTCTGTTCAATGAGGATAGTCCTACTTGGAAGAAGGAGGTGACCATTATCACGGAAAAAACGAGCACACTGATAGGTTCCAGTCGGCGCCGGGTAATCGGGTATCGACTACGGTCCTGTCGACGGATCATAATAGCAGTTATCCAAATGATAACCGTGGACAGAAAGTCGAGGACTCCATCTACCAGACCTGCCAGGACAGACATGGAGCTTGTCAAAAGCATGATAGCGATCTTAGAGCCGAGCAGAATGACATTCGCGGCAAAGTTGATGCGGATGGCTAAGTTTATCAGCTTCTCTTCTTTCTCTGGAGACATGCCAGTATGGGAATCTATGTCTAGCATTGCACTGTGATTAGTAGCAGGACGTTCTTCATCCGAAAGATGCTCGAGAAGCGGAGCTGTTTCATCGGGGATGCGATAGAGATTGTGCGGAGTGCGCTTTATCTTGCCAGTCTCGCCATTAGGAGGGCTATCTGAAGGAGAGTGGGGTTGCGAGCCGTCATTATATTCCTCAATCAGATTGTGCGGAAGTGACGAGTCCAACAGACGATCGATATAAAGATATTGAGAAATGAGCGAGTTATTGCGTTCGTAGTACTGGCGTCTGCGAGTGTGTTAGATAAGGTCAATTGAAAGAGCAGACCCGGTATCGGAGCGTACATTGGTTTACGTAGTCCCTTTAGCGAATCTGGGGTCCGGTAGTATTGTTGCCTAGCGGGGGTTAGCTTCCGACATTCAGGAGCTTAGTCCGATCATGCGATGCACGAACCATTCATAGCGGCGATTCCCATGTCCAATAAGGACCGATCCACGGCGAAGGAACGTTGGTGGAGCTTCTAGATCTTCTGGGTCATATACCAATGCTACGCTCGATCCACGACGAGGAAGCAAGCTTAGTATTCGCTGTCCGCGCGTGGTGAGGATATCGCGGTCTAGGTCCAGAGTGGGTTGTCGGGGCCGCAGTGTAGGTGAGATTGGCGACGAGGGGGCATGATGAGAAACGTAGGAAGACATGTTGCTTCCGTCGTAGCCATTGACTTTCTCCTTTTATCTCAGTGTCAATTGAGGTCTTCAATGATACTCAAGATTTTCAATGTTCCACGGGTAAGCGACATATTAGATCCACATGGTTTCTATCGGTCACGTGATTTGCGTAGATGCGATTGTCGAGTTATCATGTCTTTGTTTCTTTATCTTTTGTAAAGTGTTTTCTAAGCGTTCCTTTAATATTTCCTTTTTCGGGAAGATAAGATGATATCAACGCAGCTAATTTAATAAGGTCTAGCGCCATAAGCATATATCAACGTGAAAAGGGGCATAATCCCTGCATCACCTGTGCTGATCCGGTATCTAACATTCGCAATGACCTCAGAACCACACATGGTTTCGGAAATCATGAGTCATGAAATTGCATTCATCTCTGGACCAATCGATCCAGGTCCCTATTTCCACACCCACTACACATCTCCAATACAACAAGCTATCAAACGAGGCGACGACTTTGTCATAGGACCCATCCCAAGTGGAGTCGACGCAGATGCACTAGCTTATCTCCTTGCATATCCCGTCGCACCGACTCGGATCACAATATTCGTGACTCCAGCAGAAAATGGGATGTGGGGCACTAAATTTCGTGCATTGGGTGTCAATGTGCAAGTAACAGAGGGCCAAATGAGCCTGGAACGCGATGCGGCTCTCACAAAAGCTAGCACTTATGATATTCTTCGTGTTCGCACTAAGAAGGAGGCGAAGAAGTTTTATGGTCGTTTGTGGCGTGATGGATATGTCACCAATACTGAGCGCAATTGGAAGCGTCGGAGGGGAATTGGAGAGGATATTAAAGTCGATGCTAAGACGATTCGATCTGGGATGCCAGAGGGATCCCCCAAAGAGGGTGCTCTGTGGAACTGGCTTGCGAAATTGAATCGACCTTAGGTATCCGAAATATCGATTGTCAAGGTTGTCATCTAACAGAAGCGATATCTACTCAAACATATATTTGGTTGCACCGATCCATGGTCCCCGGATATTCCAACCCCAAGGTTGGAAGGTGAACATTAGTAGGAGCCTTCAAATTTTGTGTCCACGGGTATTTTACACTTTCAGCGTACACATACCATCTTACCTGCATAGATAGGTAAGTACCGGGGCTTGCAGAGTTCTATTACTCCTTTTATCTCCAAGGTTCCTCTCACTGTTGAAGTTTTTCAGATCTCGAGATATTTCTGCAAGTTTCTGACCTTGAGACCTAAACATCTAATATTTCCTATCGTCATTTTCTAATGTTCTGCCAGAGTACGTTCATAGGTGACCTCAGGATGAACCAATTTTTCATAATAACCTTTCAAGGTTGTAAGCCATTTTGGTGCACGGATCTAACTCAGGACTTGGTACTGATCTTTGGGGATTTGTTCTTTTTTCCGTTGAAAGCTTGAAAACATAAAGTTTTACTACCTATGTATTTTCAGGTCGCTAATATATTTTAATTTGACCCATCAAATCCTGACTGTGTCTATTTTGATGAATTTCATAAAATCACGTTGTCGGTACACCAGTACCAAGTGTAGAATAGCTATTCGATATGGTAGACAAGAGGCTAACGCCTACTTCTGACACCTATCACAGGTAACGCTTTACGCCCCTATGATATCTTTGTGTTCTCTTGAAGTGGTTGTAAAGTCTCAGTTTTATTCTTAGTTTGCTAGCTATTATAAAGTGACGATTTGATCACATAATTGCTTTGTTCCATATTCCAACACACGTATTCAGAAGTAACTAGTTAGATAAGTGGAGTTTGTATGAGCAGATCAGGGTTAGTATAAGGACCAAGGTTGGTTGATAGTTAAATCCCATATTATGACCTTGTAGTGTACGTGGTCTTCCTTCTATTCTCTGATTATACTCCTCTGTAAAAACCCGAAAGCTATAACTACCAGGCGTCTGTGGTAGTTATGAGTTTCGAACAAATTTTGGAAAAAGCGTCATTCCAACAATTCTTTTGCGCCTTGGATTACTTTCACCTGCTTTCATGAAATTGTTTATAATAAGTGATAGATAATTGGAGCATCGTTTTATTCACAATTCTCGCTAGCAATCCTGCAATTCCGCAATTCACAAATTTTCCATAATCTTTAAAAGCGTTATACTCTTTTTTTGAACATCCCCTTTCCTCACCTCTTTGAACGGCAATTTCCTCCCTCCAAACTTCTATCTATGCCGAAAATTGAATCAGGACTAACGTTTTCGGGAACCCAGTGCTAGAGATCAACCCATTACCACTTTTTGGTCCATTTCCGATAAATTCACTGCCTTCCATTCCTTCATTTTTGATAGCCTGACCAATCTTCAAATGAGCACTATGGCAGGTCCTTCTCCGCCAACACAAAGATCACATCATAAATGTTGGAAGCCAAAGAGAACGAACGATACTTTGACGTGGGTAAGAATCAAATCATTCCTGCTTCTCTTGGCCTCCAGCGAAGGCTGCCCTCCTCCCAATTCATCATAACATCCCCCGCCGGTTTAATGATATTCATCACGGAACAGCGTACCAGGGCATTGAGTCCAGCAATTTAGGGGAGATTCCAGAAACTCCTTCGGATGAAGCTATCTCGACTTCAAACAGACCTGAGGCCATCTTCTCTGCCTTACCTGATGATATCTCTTCATTGACATAAGTACTAAATAGCAGTATTCAGTACCTAAAGAGAGCCACAGTCGTTATTTAACAGGTCCCAGAATCGGTTGATTGCTCAAACGCCTGCGAGCAAGTAGCAAATCTCGACTAGTCTCAACATATTATTCCAAATGAGGTGTTTTATGTTCGTTAAAAGGCAAATCTTGTCAGCACCCGAACTGCTTGGCCATCTCTGAGCTGATCTCACGATATGTGTTTTGGATATACTGAAATTAAGTAAGATGTAACGTCATATCTTGTTTAGGGTAAGAACCTTATTTCCCCGCATTTATACTTGAATTGACCTGAAGATTCCGTACTTTGTAGTTCTACTTTCTACCCCGCTCGCAATTAATTAATCATTGGTTGGTGCGGTCCTTATTCCGTCAAAACGACTCACCGAGGTATGTTATGGTACTTCTGCCCATGTCAATAGTACTCCTACCCATACATAGTCATCCTTCACACATCTTCTCCAAAGTTCAGAACTCCTAGCTATAATAGACACTCCTTCCTGTACTCTTGATCTCTAACTTTTATTCTTTCTTTGCTTTTAACCATGGGATTTCAAATACTGGCCATCGCAACGGTCGTGATTACATACTTTATCATTCGATATTTTAATCGAACCGATGTCCCCAAGATTAAAGGCTTAGCCGAAGTCCCCGGTGTGCCCATCTTCGGCAATCTACTTCAGCTAGGAGTCCAGCATGCCACGGTGACGGCAAAGTGGGCAAAGAAGTTTGGACCAGTTTTTCAAGTGCGCATGGGCAATAAGGTATATTAAATTCCTCATTTCCGTTCTGCAAACCTACTGAGACAGAGTTAGCGAATCATCTTTGCAAACAGCTTCGACTCAGTGCGACAGCTTTGGATTAAGGATCAGTCAGCCCTCATATCCCGACCGACTTTCCACACATTCCACAGCGTCGTCTCCAGTTCCCAGGGATATACGATCGGCACGTCTCCGTGGGACGAGTCTTGCAAGCGTCGACGCAAGGCGGCTGCTACTGCACTCAACCGAACTGCTGTGCAATCGTATATGCCGATTATAGATCTCGAGTCTAACACTAGTATCAAAGAATTGTATCGTGACAGCAGGAATGGGACTGTTGATATCAACCCAACAGCGTACTTTCAGCGATATGCCCTCAACACCAGCCTGACACTCAACTATGGCTTTAGAATCGAAGGCAATGTCGATGATCAGCTTCTTCATGAAATTGTCGACGTCGAGCGTGGTATTTCAAACTTTCGCTCGACGTCAAACAATTGGCAAGATTATATTTCTCTGCTGCGGATATTTCCTAAAGCGAATCATGAGGCTCAAGAGTTCCGCGATCGTCGCGATAAGTATTTGACATTTCTATTGGATGTACTGAAGGATGAAATTTCCAAGGGCACAGACAAGCCTTGCATTACTGGGAATATTATCAAAGACCCCGAGGCCAAGCTTAATGATGGTATGTTGAAAAGGGTACAGCTATGAAGTCGAATTTAACAATAATCGATAGCTGAGGTGAAGTCCATCTGTTTGACTATGGTATCTGCTGGGCTCGACACAGTGCCTGGGAACTTGATAATGGCCATTGCATACCTAGCATCAGAGGATGGACAGCGAATCCAGAAGGTAGCCCTTGACGAGATCTTGAAGGTTTATCCCGACGGAGATGCCTGGGAAAAATGTCTAATCGAGGAAAAAGTGCCCTACGTGACAGCTTTAGTGAAAGAAGTGCTGCGATTCTGGACAGTTATCCCCATATGCCTGCCTCGCGAGAGCACCAAAGACATCGTTTGGAATGGGGCTACAATCCCAGCCGGAACCACTTTCTTCATGGTATATTCTTACCATCCCCAGATGCTCATCCTCGTACTAACGCCCGAATAACAGAATGCCTACGCCGCAGACTACGACGAGGACCACTTCAAAGAAGCTCACAAATTTATCCCTGAACGCTTCCTTGAGCTCGGAGAGGGCTCTGGGACTCCGCACTACGGATATGGTGCAGGTTCCCGCATGTGTCTTGGCTCGCATCTAGCGAATCGGGAGCTTTACACCGCATTTGTCCGTTTGATCACAGCTTTTGAGATGCACCCGTCGAAAGAGCTGAGTGATCGACCTATTTTGAATAGTATCGATTGTAACGCCATTCCTACGGGGCTGACTACGGAACCTAAGCCTTTCAAGGCTGGCTTTATTGCGCGTGATCCTCAGAAGTTGGCACAGTGGATTGCTGAAAGCGATTACCGAACGAAGGATTTATAGTTATGACCTCGGGAGTCTTTATACGCCCAGAAGGGCAGGATTGATGCACCAATGAGTGCATACCCAGGTACTCAATGAAATAAATTCCAACCTTCCTGCCTTGGGGGTCTAGGTAGATTGTTGCAAGACCTTAGATTGCGTCATAAGATATAACTATGTATCAACCTAGCTAGATATTTCTATTCCGCACTAGATACTCTAATCATGGAATTGGAATCTAGTAACCTTGGAGCAATACCCATTGACATTACTAAGTGTGATGTTTCAAGGTAACCTTGTATGTTAGTAGAGAGCGAGGTCTCAGTGACGTCACATAAAGCATTCTAATGAGAGACTTTATTAAAATTGGTAATTTTATTCAATTGCCCTTGCTGACTGTCTCCAACATAGAAGGGTCTTGGCCATTAGACAAGCTCATTCCGCACACTAAGATGAGGTCAGACTAATTCATTCATGTTTGCTTAGTTTGGTTTGGTTTTAGCTTTTAAATATTACCATAACTGGCCCCATGCGCCACCTACATTGTAAGCCAGGCAGGATAAGGATAGATATGAAGATATATGATGCTGAGAGTGTGCAACTTAGGTTACATCAGTTGCAATATCTATGTCAGAAAAACCGTCTGCACAACATGGCTGAGCTGGTCGAATCCTAGTCCAACACCAATGTCGTATAGCACATGATACCCAGCCAAGGTCCTGTTGGAGGTGTCAGCAGTCAGTGCTAAATGCAGTCTCGCACCAACATTCGATAGGGCGATGCCAGGGATATTAGGTGGGTTGTGGCCAGAAGACCGGCTATGACTGAGCATATAACGTAGCCACAATGGTGACAACATGACACCAGATTCTAACGCCGATTGTACTGAACGACCTACGACAATACTAGGATTGAAAGGCTAGCCACATATATCCCGCCATTGATACACATTACATGCCGAATGGAGCCCGGTACTGCTACTAAGCTGAAAAAACGCTATTATTTGAAGACATAAGTGTGTGCGTGGAATATAACTTATCCACCAAGAATATGTAGATCTGAGTTATCCCCCTAGGCCTCCCCTGCACCTTGTGGGTCCATGATTCTAGAGACTCCTTAGTCCGTTCCCCATAATCGGCTGGAGTTCTCGTAACGTTCAACGGGAAATATCACTTAGATAAACGTCCCCTTGTACGCCGTTACACTATTCCATATGTATGAATATATTCATAGATGTACACACACGTATATATATCTCTCTTTCTCACTTGTTCTTCTTTGCACATATCTGTAACGTCCAAAATTGAATCTACTGTGAAGTCCTAGCCCTCAAACGCAAACTCAAAATGCAACTATCTAAGCTTGTATGCTTCACATCCAATTTTGCTTACTTTATTTTCTGTATTAATTAGATTTAAGTTCATCTTTACCATCATCGCTGCCGTAACAGCTGCTCCCGCTCCCGCTGAGAGCGATAAAACTAAAGACCTTGGATGTCCCTACTCCGGCGGCTATTCGGCTTGTTATAATGACCAACTTCGTCTTTGCAACAATGTCTGCCTCAGTTTAACTGGGCTAGCCGCGAGGCTTAGATGCCAGACAGCCTGCCCCATAAATAGCCAAAGGAGTTGCTCAAAACCACCTCTTGAATGCAATTAGATTTATAGGTCGGAATTTCTGATGCAGTACAAGAGGCAGGATATATGCAGATCATAGACAGTTGAGTTCTATATTACTTGGCTATGAGTTGGTGAAATATTCGTCAAATAGTGGTGAGGAACAAACCCCTTGCCCCCAAATTCACTAGAGGCTTGACTTCAGTCCCAAAGTTGTTGAATCCTATATTTACGATGCATGATGTGCTCCGATGCATCTAATAAAAACAAGCCAATCCTCACCTCAACAATTTTCCTTAACCCATCGGAACCTACCTATGGGATTCAGTGCATCCCAGTATTTATTCCACCTATGTACCTCACCTATTTACTTCTGAATAACCTCATAAATTAGAGGGCTGTAATCGGGATTTTTAGGATGTGACTGCCATATTATTATCTCCTAGACTTCCAGGTAACAATAGAGAAATCCGACCAAATGTGACAGTCGTGGGGGCACTTTTGTAATAAGATTAGAAAGGGATAAATATTTCCTTTCATGCCCCGCTTTAATATCCCTTCTTCCTCAAATGAGTTATTGTCGGTACACCTATATCAAGTGTGGAATAGCTATTCGATAGGCTAACGCCCACTTCTGACACCTATCACAGGTTGCGCTTTACGCACCTATAATAGCTTGTGTCTCTGAAGTGGTTGTAAAGTCTGGTTTTTCATTCATGGTGAGGACTAGCTATTTATCCTACAAGTCGCTCTTCTGTCTGAGACGAATGTGTTCCATCGTCTAAGACAGAATAGTCGGTAAAGACGGGACATCACAGTTATATGCATACTGTTCAAGGTTGTCGTTTGCGATGCACTCTGAACAGGGATTCGTGATGTGTCGTTTGTCCGATATTCCAACAGTTATATCTACTCCGTACTCTGTAGATAATCTTCACAATCTTTAAATCAAACATCCGTTCTTATTGGAGTGGCGTGTTGCTTTACATACCTATCGTGGTTAGTACTTTCGGACTCCACATGCCGAAGAGGTCTGGGGTAGAAACTTGTTTCCCAACCAAAGCCAATCCTGAAACCCTGGAAACTGCCAATCCAAAGTATCGAAATGATATCAAGTAGATAGGCCTATAGAAATAATCCAGAAAAGACGGTATTTACCGAAAGGATTGAGAGTATGCATGGTGAGATTTCTTATCAAGGGTTCGTCGGCCCGAAATTGGTGGAGATCTTTGAAGAAATGATGATACTGGTTGGAGATAACATTCAATTATTAGAAAAGATCAACCCTCTTTATCTAACATGAAGTACATAATTCACTATACCTCATTACCTCATTCCTATATATCTCAAGATAAATCTTTCATTATCAGCATTTCAATCTCATGGTTTTACTACACTTCATTTTAGCACTTAGCTCTATGAGAAAAGATTCAACAAATTCATTTGATAATTCATTTGATAGTTGCTGGCATCTTTCCAAAGATCATGCCCATGTCATCCGCTTTCAATAATAACATGCCTGCCTTAAATCAGAGCCCTTCTGTCGAAAAGGAAGTCGATCCTGAGACAATTGACGAAAAATCAGCTGGCGAAACTGATGTCATACTCGACCCAAAGAAAGAAGCAAAGCTGTTATTCAAGCTAGATTGTGCCTTCGTGCCAATTATCATGTTCACATTTATGACCTGTTTCCTGGATCGATCGAATATCGGTATGTCGTGATATCCATCACTTTCCGACCGCTGAAGTCCATCCCGTGCTCATTCATAAAAGGGAATGTCAAGGTTGCCAATATGCCAGAAGACATTGGTGCTTCTACCACCCAGTTTGCTACCGCAGTCTCTATCTTCTATGCGACATATGTCGTATTCGAAGCACCTTGGGCAGTTCTCATGAAGAAGCTCACGCCTCGAAACATTCTGACTGGTTTATGTATCGTGTGGTCGCTGACGACTATTTTTACTGGTTTTATTCAGTCAGTAGGGTCGTTATACGCGACTCGACTTATTCTGGGCGTTTGTGAGGCTGGACTATTCCCCTGCTTGAACTTGTATCTCACGCTTGTCTATCGTCGGGAGGAGCAGGCAAAGCGTGTCTCGTACCTCTTCAGTAGTACCGCTATCTCAGGTGCGGTGGGTGGTCTTCTAGCATATGGCCTGTTGCAGATGGATGGTGTTGCAGGCAAGGCAGGATGGAGGCAAGAATAACCTGTCTTTTGAAAAGCAAAATTCCCACTGACAAGTCTCTAGATGGGTTTATATGATCGAAGGGATATTCAGCTTTGTCTGTGCTTTTATCATCTGGTTTGGACTACCAAATGATCCTGAAAAGGCATATTTCCTCACGGAAGAAGAGCAATGGATGATGCGTGTACGGAATGAGCAGCGTCGCAGATATATGGGTAGCGAAGAATTTAGCTGGGAGGAGATTCGCATCGCTGCGACGGATCCGAAACTTTACCTCTCCGGACTGATCCAATTCTGCCAGGACATCCTACTCTACGGATTCAGCACATTTCTCCCAACTATTCTGAAGGGAATGGGATATAGCACACTCATGAGCAATGTCCTGACTGTGCCAGTTTACATCTGGGCAGGTATTGTCTTCATCACTGTAGCCTTCTGCGCAGATAAGTACTCAAAGTTTGCATCGGTGAGTTTGTGACAAGAAAAATTGATCATGCTCATATCGAAGCTGATATGAATGGCGCAGTACATCTTCGGTGTCAACATTTCTGGCATCATCGGCTATATTCTGCTATTATCAGTGAAGAACAAAAGTGTCCAATACTTCGCCACTTATCTGTGTGGTATAGCCGTATACTCATCAGTGGGACTGAACGTGACCTGGATCAACGTCAATGTGGCTGGTCAACACAGACGGGCGATGGAGATTGGTCTCCAGCAGACAATGGGGAATATGGCCGGAATCGTTGCCGGTCAGATTTATCGTTCATACCCCTACGTGCTTGGAAACGCATTCTCCTTGGGTGCGTTGGTCATTGCACAGTGCCTTGTGATCGGACTTTGGTTTTATCTGAAGCACCAGAATAAGATCAAGGAGCAGGTACTCAATGGGGAGAGGGAAGATACCCGACGAGTTCGTACTGGTGATGGTGACGTGGAATTCAAGTACATTTACTGATTGAGGCTACAATTTGACCCCGTTGCAAAGTATTAATAGAATCATGAAGATCAATTGCTCTTTAATTTGAGTTGAATGGGAAATGCTGGCCAAACGTCGTAATAGGAATTATAAAATTAACAAAAGAAAAATAGAGCTCTATCTTCCTTTCTAAGGATTTTATTATAGCCCTGCTAGATCCCCAATTGTACATAGGTAGATCATCGGTGGTTGGGATAATGTTGTGAATCCAGCTCAGCAGGTAGCTCAGCATATTCCGAACCCAACTCAGCAGGAAGCGGAACATGCTCTGAATAAAGTTCCTGATGCGTCTGCTGCGGCCCCGTCGAAGCGAGTTCCGACTTATAGATTTTATCTGTCTCCGGAACGGCCCCCTGCGTATACATAGGAGCAGATTCCGGATGCCCAACAGAGCAGTCTTTGAGTGGCTCTTGCGTAGCCATGTTCATCGTATTTGATTCTTGATCAGGCCTCTGTGTATACATTGGCATAAGCTCCGACTTGGTAAAATCGCCATGATCTTTATTGGGAACAGTATCAGATGACGAATTGCCCTTTCGCATACGGCGTATTATGAAATATGCGAGAGCACCAATTAGCGCAATACCGGCAATCGCTCCTCCGACACCGGCTCCGGCTTTGGCACCGGTACTAAGACCAGTACTGGTCGATTTTTGTGAAGTAGTGATTGTGCCATTTGTCGAAGTGGCCGTAGTCGAATCAGCGTTGGTGGAAGAAGTGGTAGTCGATAAAGAAGAGGTAGATGATGAGGAAGATGTAGTAGAGGTAGTAGATGAAGTCGACGAAGAAGTGGTAGTTGTTGATCCAGAAATCACTAAAAACCCGGGCGAATCGATCATCTCCGCACTTATGTTGAAGGTTGTCACTGGGACTCCGAATCGAAGAACATATTTGGCTGATTTACTCAAAGCTGAGCTACTGATGTCTATCGTCCAAGAGTAGGATCCGGCATTCGAAATATTTCGATTAGCTGTGATAGCTGAAGTTAGGACCTTGGAAGGGCATTGGAAAAATCAGATGTTAACGCTGATTACATTCTTGGGAAGTTGTACGTACTCGTGAGCAAGGAAGAATATTCGAGGGCATCCCAAGAAAATGAGGTCACCCATAGATCTGCCACAGTTTGACCGTCCATATATCCGTCCGTCCAGCCTGAATCCCAGCCAGTCCAGGCAACAGCAATTGTTTCGCCATTAGTGAAGGTTTGCGAGAGATCCGATTCCGATCCATCTGGAGTCGTCCAATGACTTTGGATAGAGTCTGAAGCCACCAGCTGGGAGAAGTAACCCAAGGCGACCACACTTCCTAGCAGCAAGGGCATTCTGGATGAAGAGAGCATTGAAATTGTGATCCAATACCAGTTTCCAGAATCTCGGGATGATAAGAGTTCTATGATGAGCTTGGTATATAGAATAAGAAGCTCAGGAATTTTGAAAGATATCTTTTGTTTAACAAGTCCTGAGGTTTAGCGGCGTTGAATTATTGTGAGGAAATCTGCTACACCTAGTTATTCGAAGGCTATGACAAATCTATAAGGGGTTCGAAATGAATCTGTAAACAGTAGTAGTATTTTTGTACAACTAGAGGTATTTCGTAGAATTAGTTCTAGGTTAGCGGTAAATAAAGCTGCTGAGATTTTGCCTCGTCAACTCCTGCTTTGGAGGCTCAAAAAAGCCCTGTCGATTGGCTAAAGTACAGCATGCAATCATCAAACCACGGCTCATAGCGTTGGCATCAGTGCTTAGTGCTGATGTAGCGTATACTAACGTATTTCCTACGCTATTAATTTTGATGGAAGGAGCGCCTTGGCGAAAACTTCAATACCACACAATACCGAGGTCTGGAGAAGTTTTTCCACTGGGTTATTTTAGTCTGCCTCTAGATATGATGTATCAGAAAGAAGTCTGACTTGGGGGTGGATTTGATTCATATATCAACTGAGAGAATGGTAAATATCCGCGACAAAACATTAGAATGAAATGGATTATGATACTCATTAAAAGTTGGGCCAGACCACTTACTCCGTACCACTGTGTAATCTGTATGTCCACTTAGATACAAGGCTTCAGCCTTGCCCTCCGATATTTTCGTCGCCGTTGTAACTTGCGCCCCAATATGAATTATAGAGCGAAATATTTTTCTCCAGAACTAATCCTAGAATAAAATATAATTAAGTAAAAATAGTATGCATCTCCTTACAAAGTAGATTTATTAAGTGGAAGAGGTGAGATCAGGTATGTAATCTTCATTCCCCACCTTCCGCAGCTTCGATGTCACGCTTGACGCAGTCACCATCTTTCCAAGTGTATTCCATTCTCCTTTCTGAATCATTGCATTATGAGTAGGTGATAGTATGTGAGATCTTTCATATCAGCGGTTCGCTTGAGCCATGGAATCAGCTAAACTGATGACGCACATGACCGCAACAACGACTATAAAGATGAGACCTTAATCATTTACTCTGTAGAAGTGACAATAATCCCGAAAACTTCGGTGATTCCTTCATCCTTTCAACTAAGATCTCCACACAACCACACGAATTCGAAGGCCCGCGAATCCACTTTTGGAACTACCGCTACTTGCTCCACTACCCGAAAGTGAAATATATACGCTATGGGTCTCTGCTTGTCAATGCCACCCCGCCAAAGATACCCACCTATGGGAATGGGCTATGGCGGGGGAATGGGTGGAATGGGAATGGGCGGCATGGGTGCATTCGGCCCAGTTCCTCGTCGAACCTACTACAGCGGTGGATATTATAGTGGATATGGCGGTGGATATGGCGGAAGAGTGCCAATGCCAATGGGCGGCGGATATGGCTATGGTGGAAGAATGGGAGGCGGTGGTGGATTTGGTGGACCACGTTACGGCTCTGGAATGGGAGGTCGCCGGCCTGGTGGATGTGGGGGTGGTGGAGGCTATGGAGGAGGTCGACGCTGGTGAAAATAATGTATAGAATTGTTGATTCCAAGGCTGCTTTGCTAAACAAATCTTGAAATGCCTCCATATTATACCGATATTGATCACTTCATGTATCTAGGTATATGAGAACTCTTATTTGCAATGCAAAATGACCCTTCAATGGATAGATGTAGTATTATATGTATGATGTATGAGATGTACAACTTTACCTGGAATCAGAGACCGCCTTTTCCAGCTCCAAGTCCACCTGATTAAGGATAAGATATACTTTTCTAGATGCCTTTATTTAGGTATCACCTAGGTTTCTTAATCTGAAGCCTTTGATGCCAAGTTGAACTATCATTTCGGCAACTCCGAGAGAGGGATAACAATCCAAGATACAAGAATGCTGCGTATCAAATAAGACTCCGACCCTACAACTCTGGAAGTTGTCCATCCATTGAGGAAGCTTCCAAGGTTCTTACTAAGAAGGATGAGCTCTTCATCCCTAAACCACGGTGGTTTGGACCTCAAGAACGCCGACGTCTCACTTTGGTCAACGATTCAACTAACTCAAGCCTGGCTCATTTTATTACAGCAAGAGAAGTTGTTTGAATAGACTTGATCTATTCAACTCAGGCTTAAACTTTGAAACTGAGGTCAATTTTTATTTCGTCTTAAAATTTCTCAACAATGATCAATGCAAAGCTTCATTATCGCTCATATATAACATCCATAGTACCCTATTTTACCAACTGATGGTGTATTGCAGAATTGTCTGCGTTCTTTTTGGGTATGTTCCTCATGCGCTGCGCGAATGGCCTTAGTTTCCTGATGGTGTCACAGTGTCAGCCGTTTAGATAAGGTTGGCATGCTAAGGTGTAGCACCTGACCTTAGCCTCATGTAAACACAGCACTTCTGTCTAAATGTAGCTCTTCAATCCAAGTCTTCATCCAGAGCCTGCTTACTAGAATACAACTGATTTCCCTAAATTCCGCCTAACGGCTTCTAATAACTCCTACCAACCCTACAACTTGAAAAGTGAAGAATAGCATTCTCTTGTAAAAGAGAATTAGCACCTTGATAATTAGCTCTAGGGCTGTTTTAAACGGCGTAGGAGGGCTTCATGAGATCTTACAAAGTAAACCCTTATATTGCCGACGTAACTAGTTCTGCGTAGTTAGCGACTTTTGATGTATAACTTCGACTAGGATCCTCTCGTTTTGCCATTCCAGAATTACAACAATTTTAGTAGTGAGTTTCAATTCAGTTATATGTTAACCCCAATCTCGTCCGATTGTGAGAGGTGGATTTTGCAGTCGGCGAGTAGTAAATTAGCACCTGAGCAATTTTTCCGATATCAGATGGTCTAGAAGCAGCTCTATGGGCGTCTAGAGAGATAAACCTCCAAGAGTTTTATTTAAAAGAAGAGAGTTGGCGCATGTGTTGATACGATTCGGGGTGCAGAGATTCGTCGCGAGAGGGCAACCCGGGGTAAATTAAACTTAGGAGCAGCTTTGCAAATAGAGGTATTCTCATGATATCCGAGAGACTTAATAGCTAATAAAATCCTACCCTCCTGCTCGACCAATATTTGTCAGTTTTGAGGTTGATTTCGTGGCATGGTGGTTGAAAAAGTAAGACACGTAACTGACGCGTGGCTAGGTGGGGGTTTACTCTGACTACTAGGAAAAATTTAGCTGCCGAGGCTGTCCATTGTCTCGACCTACGATGCTCTGGGCGCTGAGCTGAAACTCTGCCCATTGACTCTTTTGGGTAATACGAGACCTCGATCGAGGGGTTTGTGGGGCGTTCATGGGGCGTTCATGGGGCGTTCATGAATAACGAACGGGTGCTGTCAAGCCAATAGTTATGGTTCTGTCCTACTAGTCATCTGTTTGTATTTATTTTGGATTTCTCTGCTTCTTTTTGATGATAGAAATTACATGCTACTCATACTATGTAAATATGTAATGACTTTTGAGAATTAGTTATCAATTTCCGTTCAATAACCCTAACCATATGGTTGTCCCCACTTCAAGATCTTACAATAAGCTTTAGTGGCATGCTTTTACAATAAGCTTTGCCATGCATTTGATGCCGAGACTTAACTATAACCCTTGAAATCTCCAATTCTAAATATTACATATTTTGATTCTCGGCCTGGGTATGCGGCAATGCCTCTCGTATTCCCTGTTCTGTTACACTTCACGCCATTTGTAAAACCACAAAAACGATTGTGAATATTGAGACATTCAAATAATCACTAAAGAATTAGAGGGTGCGATCAAGCGGGTGATATCAACGTTTGACATAAAATGATTTACATGATAATCTGTCTCGTGATCGATCCGCGCGATCGTCACGGCAGTTTTAAGTACGATCACATAATTTTGACAGGGACTACCAGCGCTTAACCTGTGAAGATGGTGGAAACCCCTTGACGCTTAATGGTTGTCCAAGGATCGTGGAAGGCTAAAATTTAGAAGACTAAGAGTGAAATGTTTCCTTTCCTTTTCAATTTCGTCACAATCGCAGTTCAAATTCTTAATGATCCTTCCCGGTTACCGACCAAGATCAAGTCTAGTAGAACGCCGCCCTGTGAAGAATCCTTGATCAACTAATCGAAAATACCTCAAACTAGCTGATTTTACATAGTGTGAGACTTATGAAAAGAATTAGCGAGCAAATTAGGGCCATATGCGGCAGGTAACTTCAGATAGTGACTAATAATAACTAAAAAATTTATCATCTACCAGCTGAAAAGTGATAGAATTAACCCAGAAGTGGAGAAGTCCTGTACGGACCAAAGTTGTTTCAATATTCTCCACTCCATTTTTCAGCCCAGATTCCACTAGCTTTAGTCGAGGACCACTTCCTCGTGGGACGTCATTGGCAAGTCAATTGAATCTTGCCTTCCACAGTGATACACTGACCTGTAACTGGCTAGAACTCCACTTTGTGAGACATCAAGAAATCCAAGATTTGCCGATGCTTTTCTCCACTCTCAATCAGATCCGATTGCATCAAATCGCTTATATACAGGTGTCTCATGTCACATCTTTTATTACAATTTCCTCTGTCAAAAGTTCATTATGGGGCTAGAGGAGAAATATCCTGCTTATGGTGGTCGTGGCCCAGGTGACCTACGACTGGGTCTTGGCCTGGGAGCCACAGCTACTATCTTTATGGTGTTGCGAGTCTATGTTCGACTTCGGGTGAATAAATTTGGAACAGCAGCTCTGATATGGTCTATCGCAGCTTGGATTGTTACTATTGTCACTCAAACCATGAGTATCATTGCTATTCTACATGGACTCGGAAACCATATTGGGGATCTAGTGAAGACAAATGAGTTGGGTAATTACCTACTCTTTACTTGGATCACTGTCTTCTTTTTCAATATGGCAATCCCAATTGGAAAAGTTGCAGTCTGCTCATTCTTGATCGAAATGAATGCGCAAGGCAGTAGGTGAAACGAACAATTGGTACCGCAATATACAATTGACTAATATTGCTTTTCTTTTACAGATCCCAAAATTCGCATGAGTTTAATGGTTGTCGCCGGATTAAATGTTCTTTTTAGTATTCCTCAAGTCATCATCTGTTGGACGCAATGTAGTCCCCCGAGTGCACTATGGGATCCTCTCCGACAAGCAGATTGTCACCCAGAACGAGCGACATACTATACATACTTCATCGGTGCCGTCGCAGTAGTCTCAGACTTATATCTCGCCATCATCCCAGCCGCTATGTTGGTACCGCTCAAAATCGACCGCAGACTGAAATGGGGTTTGAGCTTCTTGATGGGTTGTGGAATTTTCGCAGCCATCGCAGCCATCATTCGAACATGGGCAGCCAAGTCCATGCTGGGCACCGATCCTTCATGTGAGCGATCCACGTTCAACATTCATTCGTTTTTGAAATTCTCCGAGTAATATGTGCATCTACTGACAATTGACGAATCAGACGGAAGCGGAGTGCTTTTCCAATGGGGTCAAGTTGAAGAGTGGGTTCTTCTCATTTCCATGTCTATCCCGCCAGTCTGGCCTCTCTTTCGCCCATGGACCAAGAAATTCTTCCCATCCAGTTCACGGCCTTACGATCCTTATTCCGGCAAAGGCTACGACCAATTTGCTTCCACTGGACGAGAGCTTACAAATGCCGATCCTCCTGTTGTCACTACTACTATCTCGGTCATGAGCAACAAGGGGACTAAGATGGTCGAGGGGGAGAGTACAGGTGCCGCATCATCCTCAGATTCTATCATCAAATATAATGCTCAAGAAGAGGCTGTCTTGCGACAAACTGGTGACCCAGCGGGTTGGTTAGAGCTCGGCCACTACCCACCACGCCAATAACTGGCAGTGTTAGGAAAATTTCATTCTTTATGTATAAAATATAGAATTTTAATTGATGCTTTTGAACAAGACCTTACGGAGTCTCATCGTGCATGCCCAGGTGTCGTGGTTGAATTTAGTATTTGCTGTGCAACTTCCGGAGCTGATTTATCAACAACAGGTATGACAGATTAATACCTAATTGAATACATAGGTAACCATTTAGTCCCAAAATTCTTGATTTATTTCTTCACTAAAGAAATTTACTTCCCATTAGCGGAGATTAACAGTCCGCAGAACTTGGAACATTACTATGCAACTAAATGATAAGTTGACTAATTAACATTTAAAATTCGATTCACGTCAAGATAGGCCCGAATCAGCGCGCAAAAGGCGGTGTTTGAGTCACGAGAAATTGTTGTACTACTGACACTATCATGGGGAAAAAACTGGGATGATTGAGGGGGTAGCGGGGTTGTAGAAGGTGATTGGTAAATTTGCTTAAAACCTTGGAAGCTACCAATTGACATCTACAGCAGTTGACCTCTGAAGGTTGAATAAAATGCTGTATAAATTCATCCCTGCTATTCCACAATTCCTCCAAGATTTTCAATACACAAATTTTCTCATTCATTAGGGCTCATTTCCTTTTACAATTAACAGATTTGTTTAATGGTAGTTATAGATTGGGAGAGCCGAAGCTAAGCGATCTGAAGCAACTGCCAAAATTCCTACTGAATGACCGATACCTGCATCTTGGAAAAATAATACTCGACCTTTGACGTGCCGCACAAATCAGGCATATTAACAGAAAGAGAACTTGAGGCCACGGAACTATATGACGCAACCGATATGGTCAAAAAGTTAGCAAAGAGAAAATATACATCATTGGATGTGACTACCACACTCGCAGAGCGAGCGGCCATAGCTTAGCAGCTGATCTGCTGTCCGACTGAAACCCTTTTTGAAGCTGCACTTTCTCGTGAGAAGGAGTCAGATGATCACATCGCAGCCACTGGAAAGTTAGTAGGGCCATTCCATGGCCTACCTATCAGCATCAAGGAGTCCTTCAGCGTCACTGGTGTCGACACAAGTTTGGGGGTTGTCTCCATGCTTGACAGGCTACCTATTGCACACGACTCAGAAATGGTCGAGATTCTGATTGCGTCTGGTGCGGTATTGTACATTAAACACGAAGACTCTCAAAACAATGTTTTCGGCCGAATTCTGAATCCGTATAGCACAGATATCACTGTCGGTGGCAGCAGTGGTGGTGAAGCATCCCTCATAGCCATGCGTTTTATTTAACGGTAATCCTTTTCATTTATCATGTGGATCTCAAATTTCTGATGTTCCGTGTAGAAATTCACATGGTTGGCTGCTGTATCTTTGTGCAATATTTATTTCGAGCGGTATGGGTTGAGATAGTATGCTATCAGTTAGCTACTATCAAGACTTGTCATCCATAAAATATGAAGAGAATTTAACATTGTACGAGCGACTAGTCAATCACTGCCTCTCTATAGTCCTTAGCCAGATTAGAAGATAGAAGACTAATTAGAAAAGCTGGAAGAAGAGCAAGTGGAAGAAAAGAAAAAGATGTTGTGAGAAGCTGCCCATGTGTGTATCCAGGTAATGAAGGATGGTTAGTAAAAGTGGAAGTGAATGGGAAAGTGAAGTGAGAAGTCTGGAGTGAAAGTACAGTCAACTCTCGTGGGCTGCACACCCTCTGAGGCTTGGATTTTTTCTTGCACACACCCAATGTGTGCAGCTCGTGAGATGATTATATAATATATACATGAAGCTTTTCCTATTTGGGTTTAAATCCCATCTCCATCAATGTCTTCTGTCTCTTCCCATCTACCTCAAGCTTCTTGAAAGCTTTGGTTAAAGCCTCAATTGATGACATATTCTCCTCTGTGCATCCCTCTCTATGAGCAGCCCATAGTGATAGATCTGATAGATGTCGTAGAATTACCGCATCAGAAGGAATCTCTGGTCTTGGCCCAAATATATATTCCTCGTCAGGATCAGGTAGATCATCGTCGATATCCTCACCACTGAAGTCAAACATAATATCTTCTAATTCTGGCTCTGCGGTATCAATATTTTCATCTGATAGGCTGAGAAACTCATTAAATGGTAATATTTCATCCGCATCTGGTTGAAATGCAAGCTTTTCAACAACCTGATTATAAAGAGGCTTTAATTCAGGATCCAGTGGGTTACTTTCTATCTGATCGTGATCAGTCAGATCTTGATTAGATGGTCGGCACCCGGGAACAACAGTACTCTTGATATAGCAGTTCTGAATAGTCTCATTACTGACCTTTGTTCGCCACGCTTGTGTTAACCACCGTACTGTGTAGTTTAGACTCATGCGTTCACGTGGATCGATACCACGGTCTAGCATACCTATCATCCAATATATCCAGCTCTTGCGATAATAATGCTTGAGGTTTTGGATAATACCCTGATCAAGGGGCTGGTAGATAGATGTAGCGTTCGCTGGGAAGAAGACTATCCTTATATTAGACGGCGGTGGCGCCTTTTCAAGAGCTACAAGATGTGCACTGAAATTATCTATTAACAGAAGTACACGTCTTTGCCTACCGATCCGTAGGTAAAAAGTATGTAACCATTGTTCCATAATTTCGTGTCGCATCCAAGCCTTCTTATTGTGACGCCACTTACATCTAATAGAAGCCATATTAACACCCCTTAATGCATGAGGTGTCTTTGCAGTTCCAATAATCCAGAGAGGTAATCGATCCGAACCAGTCGCATTCGATGCTACGACAATAGTTATCCTAGTCTTGTCTCTTTTCTGGCCAGGTCGACCTTCAGATGCAAGCCCACCATTAGGCATACGACGCCAGTAAAGACCAGTCTCATCCATATTATAGATATCTTCAGGTGTATATTCATCACAGATAATCTGGATCGCTTTCATCTCATGATGTATCGAGTCTGGGACCGAGGCAGCTTCACCATGGAAGGTATGCCATCTGATTGAATATCGACGTTTAAAGCCAGTCAACCAGCCATCACTAAATGCAGGCATAGTCTGATCTTTGTACATCGGCATCTTCTTCCAATATTCTGCAGCTTTAAGCCGAATCAGAGGTCCAGTCATAGGAAACCCCTTCTCTGTATGACGTCGTTGCCACTGAAATAAAGCCTCATCTAACAGCGGCCAGTGTGCGGTAGACTTTCTTGATTTAGTCCCAGCTTCGCTATTATCTAGGTAGTTATATTGAGATGAAAGGGTTCGAGAAACTGTCGTACGATCGACTATTCGGCCGAATTTCTCTTGAAACCATGCAGCACAAGCTTTCTGGGTAGGCTTAGGACGTGTATCAAATGCAAAGATACGTAAGGCTTTTCTCTGAGCATCAGATATAGTCGCATTTGATCGTTTTGGATAGGGTAATTTCGCTGAAAGGGCGACCGAAGATCGGATCGAAGGGGTGGAGGGGAGCGACGGCGACGGCGAGGTAGAATCCTGCATTGTGATTGGACAGATATGCTGAGTAAGCGAACAGAAGGGGAAAAAAAGTGTGCAGACCATAGATGGTGCAGCCCACGAGAGTTTTATATGTAAGAGTGGGGCAAAACTAGTCTAGACAGGAAAAAAGTGTGTCGCTGACAAATGTGTGCAACTCACGGGTGTGCAGGCCATGAGAGTTGACTGTAAAAGGGACCTCGGGGCACTATATACACTTGAGAACCCTTGGAACCTTGGATTGCAAGTAGAAATGCCGAGAAAATTAAAAAAAAATTGGTAGTATTACCTGCGATGCGTCCACTATCGATGGACGAGAGAAGGATAGTGACTTGTAAAGGACTGCCTAGGTGATATGTACTGAAAGAATCAGAATTTTATAGTTAATTCTTTTCATATTTTGTCAGTATGTATAATCTAAAAAGTCAGGAAGAATATACCTAGCTAGGCACGATAATTGGAGGCCTTTACAGCCGTGAAGCTCTCGATTATACCTAGATGGTTATATAGAGCATAGTTAATACAAAAATTTAAATTTATTTTAAGTAGAAAATTTATTTACTGGACTTGGCTCTGGTAGCTCTCTGGTGGAGACGAAAAAAAATCTAAAAACTTGGTCCCAGAGGGGGTCGAACCCTCGACTTTGGCGTTATTAGCACCACACTCTAACCAACTGAGTTATGGAACCATTTGATATAATAGGTCAGCAAGAAATAGTTTTATATCCCTAAGCTAACAGAAACAAGAAAATAGGAGTGTTTTTACGCAAACTTGCTAGTTTTTAGTCAAGTAAAGTTTTGGCTGGGAATTGATAGGAATACTCCTAAATAATCTTTGGTTATTTACTTACATACGTTGTTAACTTACGTAAGTTAGGAGTGGCTCGAGTAAAAGTAGAGGTGTCTATTAATTTCCTTCTGGCTTCCCAGCTTACCTCACTAAATATTCTGCCGTGGCTGCCCGTCTTACCATATCAAATTAGCTCATAGTTTAGTTGGTTCTGAAAATGAGCTTGTCATTCTATTTCAAAACTAAGAGCATACATACGTCTTCCAAGGCTCTGTCTGAAATTTCGTCAATTTTTGAAACATCTTCGGATGATCTTCCTCCTTAGGTCCCCAGAAGTAATTGCCCGGGCGAGTATCCGAAAAATATTCCATTATTGATAAAAACTTTGCCATCTAGTAAGGCCTGTAGTCCCAGACTCCTCCATCTTATAAATGTGATATCACTCAAGCCACCAATCTTCCTATATGGGTGACACTCGCAAGATCAGTCATGGGAAAGCTATATGTAAGTATTGGGCTCAGATCGGCCTAACTTTTTCTGTCCCCATATTTGCGGCCGTAGCTGCCCTTTTAATTTGAGTCTTTGGCCGATACATCTTCAAGCTTTTTACAGGCCTGAAATATAGCGTTACTTGAGACGGAAGCTCCCATTATGGACAGGCAGTTAACGGATTCGGAGAAAGCTGAAGACTCTTATTCACAGTTGCTTTTGTCTGAATGTGAAACTCTTGCGAATGTGATAACCAGTCCGAACGATGATCTGCCTATTCTCATTACTTGAAAAGTATCGATGATCGGGATAGCCCGCGCAATTGGCCGAATTAGAAAAAGTGGTATATTCTCTGCATGGTGAGTATGTTTCATGTGATAACATACTTTAATGAAATCATATGGAAAAAGGGAATTCACCTAATAATGTCACAGAACTCGGTGCGCTGAAGGTATCATCTCTGGCGTGATAGAGATTTAGAAAGAATTTGGCGTTTTATCTGAAGTCACTACATTGGCATTTTCTCTTTATGTATTGGGCTTTGCTATTGATTCTGTTCTACTGGTGCCATTGTTTGGATACTTAGGAAGTCAGCCAGTATACGCATTGTCGTAGTTCCTTCTCTTCACTTTTCCAGATCCCACTCGCTTTGGCTTCTAATATTGGGTTTAAAGTTACGTTGAGGCCCCCAATAACTATAGATGAAGTTTAAAATAAATTTAAAATCAGTTAATAGATGATTTATGCAGATAAGTTGTAGTCAATCGATAGTAAAGTAAACTTAGCAAACAAATACCTAAATACTTGCTTAGGCAATCCAGAACCAGATTCTTTCTGTTAAAGTTAGCATGTTGAGTCAGCAGCCAGGGCTCAAAAGAATACATACCCAGAAAGTTATGAGGCCTGGGTTCCTCCCAAGTAGCCTCCAATCTGTCAGCTTCTTCTTTCCCAGACCATAGATCCATGTCGTCTACTTTCACAAATTTGGTACCCTTGGTCAATTTATAGCCCAGAAACAGACAGGCAAAGATTGGGATATCGATATATGGAGGAATAAAAGTCTTCGCGCTGAAATGGCCGGGGAAAAAGGCATCAAAGCCATTGAAAAATGCCACAGTTGAGGAAAAGATCACAGTAAAGTATGCTAGGTAAGGCTGGAAAGGCGATTGGAAAGGAAGTGATGATCTTGGAATGCCATGGTGCTTTAATCCATGGTAAAAACGGATGTATGTAATTGAAACTGACGACCAAACTACCAGAGTACTAACAGAGCTCAGGTTACTAATCCAGAAGAACACTTCAGCCGAGCTCGATGAGACATTGAGATATACCAGTAAGCTCAGTGCAGCCGAAACAGCAACACAGGCATATGGCACACCAAACCTTCCATATGTAAGGATTCGAGGTGCTTTGCCATCCAGCGCAGTAGCGTAGAGAATCCGAGTTGAAGCGTAAAAGAATGAATTTCCAGCGGAGAGCGCGGATGTAAGTACGACTGCATTGATGATGGAGGGGAGTACTTTGATTCTACCATTCTCGATTGCAATCACAAACGGACTTGCGCCAACGCCATTAGCGCCCGAGTCGAGGGCATTGAGAAGACGGGGATCTCGCGAAGAGACACAGAGACAAACGAGGAAAATACTACCGACGTAGAAAATAGCAATTCGCCAGAAAACACGGCGTACAGCCTTTGGGATATTTCGCCGCGGGTTTTCTGTCTCGCCAGCTGCAACAACTACCATCTCACTCCCGCCGTAACTGAATGTAGCTTGGATAAAGACCTTCCAGAATGCCAAGAATCGACCAAGGGAGCCATTCTTTAAATATTTGTTCATGGGGCCCGGGGTTTGCCAGTAACGGAAACCGATCCGGTCGTGGGTAGGGGTTCCGCCAAGAGTAATTATGAACATGAGGAGCATCAATCCGATGATGGTCGTGAGTTTGATCGATCCAAGCACGAACTCCAATTCACCGTATACTCGGACAGGGAGAAGATTTATGACAAAGATAGTCGCATACAGAATAGTGATCCAGACTGCGGATGAGATATCATTGGCCCAGTAGTCTATAACAAGAGCTGCTGCACTGATCTCAATGGGCACTCCGATGGCAAATTGGTACCAATAATTCCAGCCCAGCGTGAATCCAAGCGCTTCATCAACAAATCGAGATGCATATACAGGAACAGCGCCTGGGAGTGGCAGCCAGGTTGCCATCTCCCCCATGCTGTTAATCACAGCATAGAGATTGAGCCCAGTAATGAGATAGGCAAGCACTGCTGATAATGGCCCAGCCAGTGACAGAGCTTGACCAGTGCCGACAAAGAGACCAGTCCCGATTGCTCCAGAGAGAGCTAGAAATTGAACATGTCGTGACTTGAGTCGCCTCTGTAGACCACCGATAGTATCTCGTGTAGCACAATTCTTGTCGAATTCTAGCTGTCCGTCTTGAAAGTCGTATGGTGTAGCATCTCTTTCAATGTCATATCTATGCGGCTGTTCTGATCTAGCTGACATGTTTCAATTGTTCATATTTCTGTAATTGAATCAGAATTTAAATAGAAGGCCAATAAATAATATATAAAGACATCTCTATAGTAGCAGTACACGGACCCATTACAGTACACGGGGTTTCCGTGGTGCAAACGCGGGGTTGATTGCCGAGTCGAAGTCAATTTGATGCGTCTTCTGGTTATGAAGGTCGCTTGTCGGCAATGTAAGGAATTGTTATTGATATACAAGGTCCACTTCTAAGTCTTCTCCTCGTATACTTCGCCGGTGTTGGATCGTTTGGTAGCATTCAGTCCTTGAATGTGGGGGTATGTGGGGGCCACTAGACCCTGGTAATGTGGGGGAGATAAGAACATCACATAGAAAACATCTCCCTTTCAACTTCTCCTTCCCTCTCTCAACACACTGAGAGAATCAAAGATGGAATCTATTCCGGCTTGGGAGCCAACTGAGTTTGGCCATGACATGCGAAAGCATTTTTCGTTTAAGCCTGGATGGCGAAACCTTAATCATGGTGAGAATCGTCAATTCCTTATCTTTTCCAATACTAATAGCCCATAGGCTCATTTGGGACTGCACCTGTTGCTATTCGCAACAAAGCGAATGAGTTCCGAGAACAGTGCGAGATGAGACCATGCTCCTTTATCAAATATGAATTTAACGATCTTCTTTACGAATCCCGTGTGGCGCTCAGCAATTTTCTGGATATTCCTATCTCGACTATCGTCCTCGTTCAGAATGCGACCACGGGAATCAACACTGTATTCCGGAATATCTTATTTGATGATCGGGATGAGATTCTTTATTTGGACATTATATACGGTGCATGTGAAAAGACTGCAAAGTATATGTGCGAGACAAGCCAGGGCAAGGTTCGCATGCGAGAAATCGGATTCTCCTACCCGGTTGAAGACTCAAAGATCATTTCTGGGTTTGAGGAAGCAATCAAAAGCTCCATATCGGAGGGCTATCGACCACGAATTGCCATTTTTGACACGATTGCATCCAATCCTGGTCTAAGACTTCCATTCGAGAAACTTACAGCACTTTGCCGAGAAAAAGGAGTATTGAGTCTGATCGATGCTGCACATGGAATTGGGCAGATTGACTTGAATCTTCCATCTCTTGATCCAGACTTTCTTATCAGTAATTGTCACAAATGGCTTTATACCCCGCGTGGATGTGCGTTGCTCTATGTTCCTGAACGCAACCAGGCAATGATGCGAAGCACTTTACCAACAAGTCATGGATTTGTCCCTCAAGAAGATCATCAGCCATCAAAAACAAATATCGAGTTTGTTTCTCAATTTGAATTCGTGGGCACTACCGATAACCTGGCCTTTTTAACGGTGCCTGAAGCCATCAGGTGGCGAGAAAGAGTTTGTGGAGGTGAAACCAACATTCAGAACTACTGCTCTCAATTGGCTCTCAGGGGTGGATTGAAAGTTGCGAATATTCTGGGAACCCGAATACTGGACAATACGGCGCAGACGCTCACAAAATGTTTCTTGGTCAATATTCTCCTCCCTGTAAATATTCCAACCTCTGGAAAAGGTAGCCTAATCAAACAGGAAGGGACTTCTGGCACTTCAGTCACAGATTGGACGCAGCATATCATGATTGACAAGTATAATACCTTCATGCCAGTTTTCCCTTTCCAGGGCTCTTGGTGGGTTAGATTGAGCGGGCAGATATATCTCGAAGACAGTGACTTTGAATGGGCAGGCTGGACATTGAAGAGTATATGTGGACTATTGGAAAAGCAGGAGTTTGTTTAGGAATATAGAGAGAATGGAAGAGTATTTACCTAGGTGTTTTCGAGATAGAATGGACGAATGAATAACTGTTAAAAAGTCCACAGACCTTTTCCAAGACTGCAAAAAGCTTCAAAGATAATCAATCGAAATTGCCAAGGTCACTAATGATATACGTAGTTAGTAGCAGGAAACGGCCCTCCGATCCCCTCTAGGTCCAAATTTCAAATGCGCCACTTTAAAGAATGGGCCCTAGGGCAACTCGATCTCACAATAGTCTAGTTTAATCATCGGTAGGTGTTTTCCTATTTAAATACATTTAAGTCAGTTGGGATTTAGATAATTATACTCCTTTATTGGTTATATGCCTATAATTTGCTAATTTTTTTAGATAGGCATCTTCACAAAATAGCTTCACGAACCTCAATTAAATGGGTGAGGATTTAGGATGACGATAAAGTATGTGTTGAATGAGGTGTGCAGGTAGTTGTTTTCATGATATTTTAAAACTGTAACATATTGGACTCGCACTAAGTATAATAAAGCTATTCATATCGCGGGATAGGTTGTTTTCAGAGCAGCTTATAAGTGGGTAGATCAGACTTACAGTTCACTACCGTTGTCCTAAATCTTTCGGTCGTCCTTTCCAGAAACCGGAATCAAAAAAGACAATGATTTCTCAATACTGACAACTTTGCCCATTGAAGCACATATTCATGGATGTGAAGTTAAATACATCTGAAGTGAACTTCTAATATAAGCCAAGAGCCTTGATCACAACATGATCTTCGCTTGTCGCACACGATTAAAGGCCGTATACCACGAAGTCCTAACATCCATGACCTCTGTGAATCCAAGAGCTCTTGCCCTGCCAAGGTCAAATGGGCGATTGAAGCTCATCAGTCGCAGACTCCCCATCCTGGATCCAGTGTTGTGTACACTCTTATGTATAACGTCTTCGCGAAGACCATTTTGATGACACAGCTCCTTGAACTGATCCCAGTGGCGATCTATGTACTCTGTTGGATGTGGACTTGCCTCTTGCGGGCCGACACCTTCAAGTCCAAAGAATGCTGCAAGGACTGGCCAGCGCTGAGACCATGAAGCTGGCGTCTCACTGTCTGCTATGTTGAAAGCCCGAGTGTGAACATCCTTTCGATCCTGTAAGGATGCAAAAATGCAAAAGCGAGCAATGATATCCTGGTTAGAGTCCGTTGATAAGAGCTGCCAAGTTGTCTCGTTTCCAGGAAATGGAATGCGTGCACCTTCGCCTTCAAGAGCTCGGTATAAACCAAGATATATACCCATAGTCTGCGCCATACAGTTTGCATTCCCAAATGGTGCAACACCAACCTGTAAGTTGCTCTAGATTAACAATTTTTCTTTCACTTATAGAGGTTGAAAATTTCTTACTATCACATCAGGCCGGACTTCACACCATGACCAAGGTTTTCCGAGAGATAGCTCTTGAAGTAAATCAACTTGGTGATAGTAAAACAGGTCTTTCGCCCAATCGGCTGGAATCCTAGGAAGATCCTCCTTCAGTGGAACTTGTTCTTTAAATGGGAAATTATCTAGCATCTGAATGCCATATGCCTGTCAAATTTCATCAGGTATCTTCTAAAGCTTATGATAATCAGATTACCCTTACCTTCGTTCCAGTGATCAAGGTAACAAACGTCAACTTGGGAGAAAGAATCTCAAGTGCATTCACAGCCGCCCGGAGCATCTCCTTGTTGAGACGACATTCTTCCGATGGGTCATCACAGGATTGATATGCTGATAATTGTGAGCAGGCTATTATTATCCGCATGAATCGCAAGGAGGGATTTACCAGCATAATATATGTGAGTAATAGTTGAGACAGAGGGAATCTGGGCGCTCAATTCTTTTAAAAGAGCATTATCATCGCCTTTCATCAGATCAATCCCAGAGAGGATATGTAAGCGAGAATGCACGTCGTTGGGCCATTTGGCTTCATCGTTAGTGAATGGTCTGTTGGAAATGGCAGTCACCCTTGAGAAGGTATTGGCTGAAGGATATCCAGAGAGCAACTGGTTGACTAATGCCCATCCATTGATTCCGGAACTTCCAAAAACCACAGCATGGTGTTCACTGTAGATATCTTGCAGCGATGCCATCGATAAAATTTATGATTTGTACAACTTGACTAGGCTCCTGTTCATCAGGCTTTGGGATAAAGTATCCAGGTAGTACAAAACCTGCTGAATCATCTGCAAGGCCAATTTTCTTGACCGCTCAAAAGTTTGGCAATCAATTATCTGATTCGCTTCACTTAGCTTCCTTCATTCGGAACGTTCGGACTACCCGATTTCAGGTGACTGACTACGTTTGAGTGCATTACTGTCAAAACTGACGCCTAAATAAATCATCAAATCAGGATACACTAGCAGAATACACCTTCAGGGTTTGATATAGATGATTGGATACAGTCCGAAGTTAGGGGTGCATGATTTCTCATCAAATTATACCATGTATAAAGAACCAACCTCCTTGTTTACAGCCCCACATCTCCCCCAGCTACACAGTAGATCACTACCTACTTTATAGTGATGTCAACCATCGCTAACACGGTTACAGTGCCTTACTTCTATCGTTCAAGTGTCATTCTAGTCAACGTTGAGAGGAATGTTATCCCTTATCTCAACCCTTGTTTCCGCTCTTGTTCCCAAAATCGTCAATTATTGCCACTTGAAACAACAATTTATTCTTCAGGCTAGTCGTTGAAAAAAATAGGCATTATATCCGATGACTAATTTTTAATCCAATGGAGGGTTAATAAACGTTTATGTTGAAGCAGCCTTCGGGGTTTAATGTTTACCTGTGACAAGCCTGTCGGTCATGTACCTAGGTAGGACCTTTCCAATATTATTACCCGTGGACCTACTCGACTAGATCAAATTGTTACAGGTTCTGGAAAATGGTCTATCTAGATGTTCTTTCTCCAGGACTCTTTTCTCATCACCAACACAGTCCCGAGGCCCCCATAAGTTTCAGATATGTCTAAATTTACTCCCTTACATTGATGCAGAGATGATTATCCCTCTTATACGTACTTTTGTAAGTCTTAAAAAAATGCTGTAGTGGACATACCAGGGATGTGTAAACTGACTTGCTCGGCAAGGATTTTCATTTCAGAAATTCCCACACGAGCATTAATGCTTTGCCAGGACCCAGAGTCGTGGGTGGCTCGGTAAAGTATACCTGCTCAGGTGCCTGACAATCCAGTACATCTTCACAGTAAAGGTGCTTCTAAGGCTCTTTTGATCTTAATTCTTCAATTAATCGTGGCCATGCCACAAGTTTATGCTCATCAAGTGTCCTAATCTTCAATCTCGATCCCTTTTTTTGATGAAGCCCCGACAGTGGCCATTTTAAATTCACAACATCCAGAATGACCACAGCTTCAGACTCACATGATTCAAAAGTCCTTTCAGTCATTCTCTGCAATGGATGTCTCATTATCGCTTCCACCTTGGCTCTTTTTGTACGGTTGTTCGTACGAATGAAGTACCTGACTGGAATACAATTGGATGATGTCTTTTGCGTAGTTGGCTGGGTGAGGTGTTTTCAAGAAAGATCCAGTGATCTTTGTTACTGATATTTACTGCTCAGATATTTGCCCTTGTCGAATGTCTGATTTCCATATTGAGTATGGTCTAAAAAGTCAGCAATACCATGAAATCGTTGCTCATACTGATATATTTATAGTGACCGGATACGGATATGGAAAACACATTGATACAATTCATAGTGAAAAAGAATTGGAGATTTTTCTGAAGGTTAGATTGAACGTGCCTTTCAATATTTTCCAGAATGACTCGCTTACCTTGTTGCCTTTAGCTTGACTTTGCGACGGAACTAATGTATTTGCACGCACTTTGTGCAATAAAGATCTCATTCTGCCTGTTCTACTTAAAAATCTTTCCCGGTAACCGGTTTAGGATAATAGTATGGTGCATTTTGGGGCTAGTCATTTCAGAAACCGCCGAAGAAACATTCGTTGTGATTTTCCAGTGCTGGCCAATTCGAAAGGCATGGGATCCAACAGAGAAAGAGGGTGGCAAATGCCTACCGCTCCTAGCCTTTTTCTACATCTCCTTTGCAGCAAGATTGGTGACAGATCTTGCGCTGTTCACGCTTCCGGTACCGCAACTTATAAGACTAAAGATGACATTCGTTAAACGAGCAGGACTCGTATTCATGTTTGGGCTGGGCCTATTGTAAGTACTGAATCTGTCAGACAAACTTTCTATACTAACAAATTGAAGCGTAGTTGTGGCAAGCATCATCCGGTCGACTTATCTTAATAGATTTTTCAAGGATCGCACGTGTAAGTAGCCCAAGAGGAGTCTCAAGGCTCTGAGTAACTAATACACTGACCATTATTAGACAATCTAGTTGAAACACTCAACTGGTCCTCAGCTGAACTCGAATTAGCAGTTTTCATATCTTGCTTTCCTTCTTTTAAAGCTCTTGTTTCCTTCCGCTATCCTGGACTACGTCGAAAATTGGGGTTATCAGCTGAACACAGCTATGGAGCAAGTTACGAGCTGTATAACTCAAACCCAGACGAAGACCATTCCCGCGGACTGTTTCACAGTTCAGAGTCAAAGAAGGCTGGTGCGATATTTGGGACACATATCGAGGTAGGGGCAAGCCAAAATGGATCTGAGGAGCCTAATTTACCATGCCAACGAATGTGAGGGTAAATCATGGGTAGATAGTAGACATGACGAAAAACCGCATCGATCACGGCAGATGTAACGTACAGATTTGCATATTCCTAGCATCAAATGTTAATTTATCATTGGTAATGTAACTTCATTAATCAATACATATTGACTATCAGCTACCGACCCAGGTAACTATAAATTTTGGCAATTCGTGTATAAGATCTATGCAGGTGGTGAATTCAATTCTAATCTTTACTCGGTTTTCTTTTACAGATCAATACCTCCAGCTGACCAACTAATCCACTTCAATAACTGGCTCTGGTGGTAATTGAAATTTGATAAAACCTTCTGCCTTAATTTAATTAACTACATTCCGCAATTTGAATAGCTGCGCTATTCCTCAAGTCCTCTGATTGCGGTATCAGATCCCGGCCTAGCGAGGTGCTTTGTGTATCAACAGATTGATGATAAAGAGATAATCAATACCCCAAACCTATCCAGTAATATTCATTGAGCAAATGGGGTGCATCAAATTATAAAGATACTTCCAATGTTCAATCAAGAGCCGACCTGAGCCGCTTTGGGCAATGTTCATCCCTTGTGAAGCCTTCCCTCGCAGTACCACCAATAGCTACAACTTCCTTGCAGGTTTCGGAAAAGTCCGAAATTCTCGAATTTTCAGCTACAGCCCGTATGTTGCTTGCTTTTTTGATCGTATGCACTGACCTCCAAATAGAATTCGTTCCAAGGTTTGGTTTGAGTTATATATCACTTGGAGGTACGAAGAAAGCTGCGAAAGATCGAAGCTTGCAATGATCAACAAGTCATTCCTTTGAGCATCAGCCACCTATATGGAGTTCCCCTCTCTTTATCCTAGTCTCGTTCATTTCATCTCTATATTCACTGAAAAAGCTTCTCTCTTCAATAAATTTCTTAGCCCTACAATATGGCAGCTCCCCACTTGTCTTCAGAAACAGAGACATATAGTGCTTTATCAAATTCCAAGCTGACAGCTACGAATACTTCGGTCGAGTTCCATAAGCTTCCTAAAGGCTACTACATCAGCACCAAATTTTTGGGATCTTTGGTCGCCGTTTGCTTAATGGCAATAAGCTTGTACCTAGGTTATGTATTGCCGGTAATTCTATTCCATATTTAACTAATACACTCGATTACTAAGACTCAGATCAGGTCAACAGTTTGACTGCTATCAATGCTGATTTGGGCCCACATCCAAGTTATAGTATGATCTCGACAATGTTCACTTTAATCTCTGGCGTAAGCATATTTTCACTTCCCTGCAGTATTGCCTTGCTAATACATCTTCAAGGTCGGTGTGCTTCTAGTAGGACGTCTTGGAGACATTTTTGGCCGCCGATACTTCCTCATTGGAGGCCAGCTACTCGGCCTTGTTGGAAGTTTAGTGTGCGCAACTGCCAAAAATATCCCGACTGTCATCGTTGGCAGTTCACTATGTGGCCTTTCAGCTGCCGTCCAACTAACTTTTACCTTTGTTATTGCAGAATTAGTTCCCAATAGAGTCCGGCCGCTCGTCAATGGTGGTATCTTCATCACGACCTTTCCCTTTGCTGCGTTTGGGGGCCTTATTGCCCAGCTTTTCATCACCAGGACGAAAATGTCCTGGCGATGGAACTATTACTTGAACATCATCACTTGCGGTCTCTCTTTGATACTGTTTATATTATGCTACTTTCCACCTGGCTGGGAGGCTAAGCGGAATTCCAATAAGTTCGATGAGCTAAAAAGCTTTGACTTCGTTGGACTTGCCCTCTATGGGGCAGGTCTAGTTTTACTCCTGCTCGGACTCTGTAAGCTCCAATTTCTTCCAAAGCTCAATGAGTAAGTTCATACTTACAATACTTAAGCATGGGGAGGGTCTTCCTATTCATGGAGCTCAGCTCACGTTATATGTGCTATTGTTATTGGCCTTGTGATGCTTCTTCTCTTTGTTTCATATGGTATGTGTAGCCATATTACCTGTTTTCCATTTGAAACTGACATTGATTTCAACTTATAGAGTTCTTTATGCCTCTCAAGCAACCCCTACTTCCAATGTCTCTTCTCAAGCAACGCACATACAGTGCCACTGTATGTGCTGCTCTGGTTGGGAACATGGTATATTTCTCGTTCAGGTAATGGAACATCTCCCAAGGTCTTATTTCTGATCTGTCAATCACAAGACTTCAAGCTGACATACTTGTAGCCTTTTGTGGCCCCAAGAAATTTCTTCAATATTCGCAACAGACGGTATCGAGGCCGGTTGGCTATCTGTATGAAAACAGCCGTCTTCAAAAATATGTGCCGAAAAACCTGACCATTAATTTTAGATATCTACTGGAACTGGTCTTATATTGGGGGAGATCTTGGCCGGCTTCATGATGAAACCTCTTGGGAATTCTAAACTTCAGCTTATCATCTCTACTGTGGTTATAACGGCTTTTTCCGGGGCCATGGCTGCTCTAAATCCATCCAGACTGGCTTGTGGAATTGCGGTAAGATCCAGTTTAATCATATTCCTAGTATCTCGAAGTTTAATTTCCCTAACCTGATAATCTATAGTTCACAGGGCTTGGCGGACTTGCAACAGGATACTTAGAACTTATAACGTTGATCATGTGTCCCTTATATTGCAAGCCTGAAGATATCGGTCTCGCAAGTGGGTTTCTTGGATCAGCAAAGCAGGTTGCAGGCACTATAGCGGGTAAGCTTTACGAATCTTTGTAATGAAAACCCCCGGAATGAAACTAAATTATGTTATTCAGCGGCTATTTATGTTGCAATTCTCAATAATCGTGTCGTTGTCGTTTTGCCAGAAAAGATCTCTTCGGCGGCTTTGGAATCTGGTCTTCCCCAAAGTTCACTTAATTCCCTTCTTGAGGCTACATCCTCTGGCAATGCCATGGCGATTGGAGCCGTTCCTGGAATTACGGATCATATTGTTCAAGCCGTTTTCACAGCAACCAGGATTGCATACGCTGATTCATTTAGTACTGTGTTTCTCGTCAGTATCCTATTTGGTGGCCTCGCAGTTATTGCTACTTTGGCCTCTGCTTCTGTGGACGATAAGCTTGATAATTCGGTCGCTGCAAAGTTGTCCTGCTCTTGGGATAGCCACAATGAGATACTTACGGGTGAGCTTGAGTTGAAATAATTTGAATCCATACACAAGCTCACGCATTCGAGAGATACCTATGCATAAGGGCTTGTCCAGTGCTATTATGTATAAATTGTTTGTGCCTACGTCGAGAGGTGGGACTAGGTATATGACATTGAACCTTGGGAAGAAGAAACATGTACATTAAGATAAACAGATCATAAGTGGTGTAATGACAAGAATTATTTTATCGATATTAACTGACTATGAGTCACGACCAACCATTGAAACCAATCATTGATGCCAATTCTCGTGGTCAGTAACATCAGAAGGCGAGGAATGGCCTCTGACTCCTGGAATGCTCTGGTGAGAAGGGTTGTTGTAGTCTGCATTCAACAATGGGCTTTCCGCTCTGGGTAGTTGGCGGTCGGCTAGGAGATAGGTATCTGAACCTTTCATTGAAGGGTCCTCAATTGGCTGCTTCATGATTTCTGATTGCTCGCTAAGCTTTCTTGCTGCGATACGCTTCGCCTTGGCTCGATCTCGGTAGCAGTACAGCAAGCCAACTCCTACAAACAACATGATAACGCAGCATCCTATAACGATTGCTGCTATGTTGCCTCTGTGGTTCCATTCTTTCAACTCAGCACTCTCAGTTTCAGTGCTTGTCGCAGATGATGTGGATGTTGTCGTGGTGGCGGTATTTGTTGTCGTCGTAGAGCTAGTGAAAGTTGAAGAAGAAGAGGTAGTAGCAGTAGTAGACGACGAGGTAGTAGATGAGACAGTTGATGTAGTAGAAGAAGTAGTAGAAGTGGAAGATGTGGTTGAGGTAGTGGAGGTACTAGTCGTCGAAGAAGTTGTACTAGTCGTGGAAGTTGTACTAGTCGAGGAAGTTGTACTAGTCGAGCTGGTCGTTGTACTTGAAGTTGATTCTGTCGCTCGTGCCACTACCACATCTCGTTCCCAGTATTTCCCGATCTTAAATTTTCTGGCCTCGTTGTCATCGAGTGTCAATGATTGAATGGAAGCCGTGACCTGCGATTCAGGCAAAGCTATTATAGCTGTAGCAGCGGCATCGTACGGGTGGCAAACCACCAGCGAACATTGCGCCGCCAGCAGTAGTAATAGGGTATTCTTCATCTTGTCTAGTGCGCTGAATATTAAATAATGATATCTGGTATTTATTGGCTAGGGGATGAAGAGATTTAAAAGTGTGAATCTTTGATTTTCAGGACAGTGGGCCACGAGTCGGTTGACGTGGACATTGTACTAGCTGCCGGCCCACCGCAATTGACTTTTCCTTTTTCGTCTGGTATTAACGATTTTTGATATTCCAAATTGTACCTAGTTTGATAATTCAGGGCTGAAATCCTATTTTGGTTGTAAGCCCGGAATGGTGATTCGTAGTATACGCAGATGCCGCGCGGCTCCCACGACATGTACCCAGAATATGGCTTAGTGTATGGGGTGTAACTCAATTTGTTTTCCAATAGAATCACTTGGTTACACGAGATAATAGATTCGATTGTTTATCTTGATTCCTTCTAGAATAAGGTTATTGAAAATTGAATAACGCGTGCGCCCGTTTTGGAAATAGTTTATGTGGACGATCAGATGTGGCCCCACCATTTCCACCCGAATTTGAAATTTTCAGACTTGGCGTGCAGCGGGTTGAATATTTACGCTAAAAGTTAACATTATATCAACTGTTCTTTTCTTAGTAACTTTCCTAGATGCATAGCCCCTGGGTAGTCAAATTATCCATGAGAGTTTTAACCCCTGAACATCACTAGCGCTCTGAAATTTGAACCCGTTCGTTTTTGGTATATCTTGAATGGTTGCTAGCCCATTCTACGGGTAATTTGATACATACAAACAACTTTCAAGGCTTCGTAAGAACTATTTTGATATGAAACTATGAGAAATTACTCCCACAAGTTGCAAGTGGACGACATATAAAGATCTCGGGGACCTCCCGAGGTCAAAATCTCCATTCTAATATGTCTTTCCAGGGCCCTCCGATCTAAGCCTCGCTCCACAAGTTAGGTATGGATCAGTCCAAACCATAAACTTGGAATATACATGAATGACTCCGGCTGCTATGGATAGAATTGAGTTAAATTGAGAAACAAAAGAGAGAGAGAGAGAGAGAGAGAGAGAGAGAGAGATAGAGAGAGGGTTGCAGGTACAATAGAGAAAGGCCTAATAATTTTGAATGTGTGACGTACATTTGAAGCAAGGTTATAGGATACACTACCTATAGTTTATTCCACTACCTAGGTAATTTTTATGTCCTATTCAAGTATAGATGACTAGTTCAATTCTAACTAAGTTAATATATAAAGTTCTGTCCTCTAAGGCCCTTGACGGATACAATAGGCCGTTGTTTTTCAACGGTCCTCGTTCCGATCTTCTCGGTCCCTACCCTGGCCAATCCTAGGATGGACCGATTTCCAAGGCTGGAATTCTAGAATAGGACAGTTTCTACCTTAGAAAATCCATTTGATTTATATTTTACTGGCAGCTTACTCCGAGGTTGAGCATGAAATATTTAAAATTCGGCTTGAACACAGCTGGGCACTATGTCAGTGTATTTGCCTCCTGAGATCACCGTATTCTTCCAAAGTTTCTATTGGAGAATCTACACTCCATGATGTCGGTAAATTTTGACCTGTGTCTTGACTGGGGTATGATCATAAAATCGGCCAGGTGAACCGACTTGATTGGTCATATGAGTACAAATCATTGACACCCCTCGAGTGGCGCGATAAAATTAAAGCCAATCACAAATTTACTATAGGCGTAAAGCTCACATTTCAAAAAATGACGAAGGTTCATTTGATGCAATAGACAGAAGGCCTTGAAATCACACATAGAATAACGAGCATTGTTCCATGTACTGACGTCATCATATAATATATGCAGGGTTCAGTTTAAAAGATTACCAAAAGCTTTGACACCTTGCTTGACGTCGATTCTACGCAGATTCAAACAGATCTCATAGAAAATACCTACTTAAAGCCTCTGAGTTGTTACCCGTTACGTCGTAATATAATTCTGGCAAGTTCTTGAGAAAGCAAGTGAAGGCTAGTAATAATTTGGGTCTACTTTTCAAAATCTATCAACTAAGAAGTTTTTATCTTCATGATGTCTTTATTTCATCGTTATTCCACTGTTAGCTCATCGTCTAGTCGAAGTGGCGGTGAGCATCTACATCGCAGCCGAAGTCGGAGATCGTCTGGAAGTCACTCATCTCACTCATCTATGTCAACCAGATCCTCTTCTTCTGTTGGTCATAGTGGCCATCGCACTGTTGTTCATCGAAGGGTAGAAGACCCGTCCATCACAGCCGCTCGGGAGCAGGTCATTCGTGCTGAGGCAGCAGAGAGAGAAGCTGATAAAGCGCTCATGGCGTCCAGATCAGCGGTCAAGCAGGCTTGGGATCATGTAAAGCACCTTGAGCGGGAGGCAGCAGAAGAGTAAGCTTTTGATTATTGAAATCTCACTGACCCCATATTTGATCCAAAGCCTGCTCAACCCCATGTGATACATTGATCTGATTTTCCTGTTTTAATAGGGCTCGACTGGCCAAAATTAAGCAAGACCAGGCCTCCACGATCTCAAAGAGAGCAAGGCCACTCGGTCGTAAGTGTTTCTTGGAGCTTTGAATATAATGAAAATGATATTGACGGAGTAAATAGGGCATGTTGTTTAAACTAGCCATAGTCACACAGTGACCTCGTGACAGTCCCTAGGTAATCTCATGCCGGCATGAATACTTGAGCGGAACGTCATTCAGTTCTTTAACTTGTTTTCTCCTTAACTTAATGTATGATATGAGCATAGTCTGAGAAGATTTGAGTTTGTGATTTGGGCAATTTCTGGCTGGTCATCAGCAAATAAGAGTTGTAGAGAACGTGACGAGGTGACTCGCCTCCGTTGTTGTGATTACAACCATAGAACAACTGTGGAATTACCTTGGAATCTGCTCGTCATAGGCACCAAGCTTATTATTGACGGTCAGCGAACAGATTGGGTTACATTCGGGATGTTACCCCATTCCCGCCTGACAAGCAAATTTGCGTGGCCGTTGATGTGCAGATTCTTGTAGTACAATCGGGGTCGTCTCCAATCACCAGCCAAGCATATAGACCATGCCCACGGGTCACTACAACTCTGAATGTGTGTCGTGTCCGTGTATAATATCATAATTCAATATTTTGATATGTATCCGTCGTGAGATGGATAATCTAAATGTCGTCAAAGTACATTGATAGCCGTTGCTTTATCATTTAAAGTACAGTTCACTCTGAATGTAATGAATAAAGTCTACAAATCAAAGTATGAAATTACTTTAATCAAACTTGCTTGTTAGAGACCCCTGGATCCTCCGAAGGCTTTTTCCTTAAGCTTTAAGAGGCAAATTGTCATTTTGAGCCACGCCGAGTAAGCAACTTCGGTAGGGGTTTCTGGTATATGATTTTCGAAGGAATGTGATGACTCCTCCCAAAAAGTCTCGCAAAATATAGTTACACTCGGAAGATCAGTTGCCATGCTCTAGAAGAAAAGTTCCGAGCGGCTGGAGCTTTATTAAGATCTCCGATGCCCACGCTTCTATGATGGAGTGAAAATTGAAACATACACCTCTGAAATAAGGAACATCTGGAGTAACCGATACAATGATTGTGGAACGACTATTTCTGGCTTTTATGCTCGCATTGGGTATAGTAGCTAGTGTACTTCCTCATACGAACAAAAATGAATCCATCTTGGATGCACCAAATCGACTGGTCTTCTCTCATTTCATGGTAAGTCTATCTACATCAAATTGGTCTTGAAGCACCCCAGGCTCTCAACTCCTTTCAGCATTGGAGATCCTGAGGTCGACAAAATGTAAATCTACTAACAAAAGAGACAGATGGGAATCACCAGCACTAGAAAAAGCGCTGCAGATTACGATGACGACATGAAAAGAGCAAAAGCACTTGGAATTGACGCCTTCGCACTGAATATCGGGACAGACCCATTTACTGAACAACAGCTTGAGTTTGCTTTTGAATCTGCCGCCACAAATTCTATGAAAGTCTTTCTATCATTTGATTTCAACTGGTGGAAGCCTGAACAGGTTTCGACAATTGGCCAGAGAATTGTTAAATACGCTTCCAAGCCAGGCCAATTGATGGTCGATAACAAGATCTTTGTCTCATCGTTTTCTGGTGATGGATTAGATGTTGCTGCATTACGTGCGGCTGTTGGAAAACCTATCTTCTTTGCGCCCAACTTTCATCCATCTCAGGGGACCAATATAGCGCCTGTTGATGGCCTTTTGAATTGGATAGGCTGGCCCAATAATGGCGAGAATAAAGCTCCGACAGCGAGTCAAAATGTCACAGTGAAAGATGGTGACGATGTCTATATCAAGGCTTTGTCTGGCAAAGCATATATTGCACGTGAGTCTCAGTTTGTTCCTTGAAAGGGTTTTTCCAAGGTTTCAGTTTCTAAATATTATGGTAGCTGTTTCACCTTGGTTTTTTACCCACTTCGGCGCAGAAGTTTCTTACAGCAAAAATTGGGTATTCCCATCTGACTTATTGTGGTACAATCGATGGAGAGAGGTATTGTCTTTGGGATCACGTTTCATCGAGATTATAACATGGAATGACTACGGCGAGTCTCACTATATTGGGCCCTTGAGTTCTCCTCATACAGACGATGGTGCATCAAGATGGGCTAATGATATGTAAGAGAATAAAAATATTGACTTCATCACTTCACGAGATACTAACAATTTATAGGCCTCATTCCGGATGGTTAGACATGTCTAAGCCATTCATAGCCGCTTTTAAAGCCGGTGCATCTTCCCCAGATAAGTATATTACAAAGGATGAGTTAATCTACTGGTATCGTCCAGCGCCACGCGATGTGAACTGCGATGCAACAGATACATGTATGGGGCCAGCGAATAATGGTAGTGGAAACTACTTTGAGGGTCGCCCAGATGGCTGGCAGTCAATGTCTGACTCTGTATTCGTGGTTTCTCTTTTGACGGCCCCTGCATCGGTAACAGTCAATAGTGGAGGCACAGTATACAATTTTGATGCACCAGCAGGAGCATATGCCCAAGCTGTTCCGATGCATATTGGAACTCAAGTATTTTCCGTCAGTCGTGGAGGCAAAGACGTTCTCTCGGGAACCAGCTTGAAGCCAATCATTGATGGCTGCCAGTGTGGTCTTTATAACTTCAACGCCTACGGTAAGAGATTCATTTTTATTCTAGGAATTCTACAGGTTGACTAATCTATATGCAGTTGGCACTCTTCCACCAGGACCCAGTGATCCACTTCTGCCAGAAGGACTGGGTGCGTTCACCCAGGGATTACGTGTTACAACTTGTCGTCCGACTCCATCCCTTGGAACTAAACCTCCTACGCCACCAACTACTTCGACTTCAAGTATACCCACTACACCCGGCAGCTCCACATCCCCTCCAACTTCATCACCTCCTACTACTTCATCTCCCTCTAAAACCTCATCGCCTCCTGGTTCTTCAACACCACCTCCGCCAACATCGACACCACCTGACGCTCTGACTCCTCCAACCACTAAACCAGCAGGAGGCTGTTCTGCCGTGACAACAACAATCAGTTCAATCCAACCAACTTCCCCCACTAGTGGTGATGGTAGTAATGGTGGCAATGTGTGTATTGCAGGACAAGGACAAGGTAACTTTATTGGACTATGCGCCTTTGCTTGTCGCTACGGCTATTGTCCTTCTGGTCCATGCACATGTATTCAGTATGGAGCGCAAGTTCCCGTTCCACCTAAATCTGGAGGAAATGGCACACCTCTCAAGTCAGAGGACAATTCTTACCTTGGTCTATGTGCTTTTGCATGTAGCCATGGATACTGTCCTTCGACCGCATGTGCGCAAGCTTGATTATATTTCAGTTGCGGCTTTGCTACTTTTGTCAAATATTGCATCTGTCATACATGTGTCCTATCACCAAGTGTTTTGATTTTCTTTCCTGCAAAATCTTCCACAGGTATTTATGATGCTACCGGACATATATGGGGACTACTGTATTTACTACTTGTTCATTCAACATAGTCTAGTGATACCATTGGCATTGAGAAAGTTTAGGAAATTTGAGTTGATTAGGAAATACTTTCAGAATATTGTTGTAAATTGTCTTGGGTAAGCTTATTGTTGGAACGAATATCAGCTGACATACCAAGATCATGTGATCTTGGCATGGCAGCTACTATATCTTCCTTCATCTGAGCATTTTAGAATGACACTTCACTTTTACCCAATATGCATACACCTATTATATACGTACAGAAACGATATCAATAGCTGTCTGCTTCGGTAATAACCTAGTCAACCGACAATGTCCTTTCACTTCAGAAAGAGATAGTGAGTGCCAGACCTCATAAATAAAGAAGAGAGAATTGACAAGTCTAGGTCTCTGATAATTTAGACAACATAGTACCTATCCTTTTTTCTAGGAGTGGCAGTCTGCCAACGGCCATTCGTGAAACTATTGATTTAATCACCGGATATGCCGACGAATTTGAAGTGCTGTCGAAGAATTTTCTGGACTGTCATTCATCTGACTCAGAACTCCAGCAAAATATTGATCTCTATCTCCGAGGATTGCAACATGCTATCAGTTCGAACTTTTATTGGGGGTTTGTATACACCCTTCCTCGATTATCATTCTATTCTAATATTTCAAAGGCTTCAATCGCCTCGGTACGGACTTCCAGAAGGTGCTGCAAGCGGATGTGAGCTCGTTTTGAGTACCTAGGTAGTTTTGACCATTAATATGGTGAGAAAATTTGAATCAGCATCTCAAGGTTGTTTTCAACTGGTGGGATAGATGTTTTGAGGTTCATCGTCGTGCTGGCTTCAAAATTACATATTTTTGCTTTTCTCAAATAAATTACGGGCTAGATATATCAAGATCCCGGAAATCTTTCGTTTATTTATTCCAATTTTGCCTGAATCGACTTCCAACTTTTATACTCAATCAAGCCCCTTCACATCCTTCTAGAGATATATTGCCCGGATGCCCATGCAGTATGGCGCCTTAGCGGATCATAGTAGCCATTCCAGTGAACCTGTCTCTTCTTTTTTCCCTAAGCTAAGCTTATATGCATATGTACCTGAATTATTAAGATTCCATCACATACGACCACCCGAGGGTGTGGAAAACAGGGCGTCCCGTCGTCTTAGTTGTACTTAAGCCACGTCGGTCAGCTAGTAGTATGGTGGGTGACCTTATGCGAATCCTGAATGTTGTATGTTTTTCCCCGCGGACCAGTCTTAAGTCGCTGATCTTCGGCGATGATCTTGAGTTCTAGAATCTAAAATTGCCATAGGAAACAGAAAGGGGGGAATTGTGCGACATATAAGGAGCTCCAGGGCTATATAGCTGATTTGGTCATGGAAAACGCATCATTTCACCATTCTGGTCAGATATAGAAGATGTGTTCAGAAGCTAGAGTCAAACTGATCCCTCTACCACCATATTCACCCGATTTGAACCTTATTGAAGAGTTCTTTGCTGAGCTGAGATATTGATTTAATTTGATTATAAACTAGAAGGGAGATTGAGATGGAACAATTCAAAAAGAAGTTGAAGGGGAATAAAGGTTGTAACTTGCTTCGCTCATATTCGGAATTCCGAGAGATGAGATGACTAACCATATACAGCGGGATCCGAGAATGACTAGTCATAACGGAATTCCGAGAATAACTAGTCATAACGGAATTCCGAGACCATAACATAACAGTATAAGAGTGTTCGCTCGATCTTCAATTTAGCTATGGACATTCTATCACCATATTTAAAATCACCCGAGATCCCAGATAGCTTGCACATATTAATATGGAAACACTTCTACGCGAAAGCTCATTTGGGCGATGTTTGAACTACTTATTTCAAGACAGATGCTTTCCATATCCTGAAATCGACATGAAGGAATGGGAAAAGCCCTCAGAATCAGAATTTATAGATGACCAAATAATATTAAGGTCTGATCTGGAGCATTTTTTTGATTTCTCAGGCCCCGAAGACCTAGATATTCCGAAGAATTGGCCTAGGCTGGTGAAAACATTTGTCATACTTGATATCATGCTACTGAATTTCAGTTTTTACGCGGCATCAGCAATTTTCACTCCAAGCATTCCAGGAATTGAGAAATACTTTAATGCTACAACTGTCGAAGGAACGCTTGGATTGTCACTTTTTGTGATTGCCTATGGTATTGGGCCTCTCATTGTGAGTTTGTTCTCTAATCCCTTGGACTTACAGTGTTTTCTGATTTTCTAGCTCACGCCATTTTCCAACATACCCTCAATTGGACGTACGCCTATATACTTAGCCGGTTCCTTGACATTTTGCTTGTTCAATATTGGTATATCTTTCGCAAAGAATATGCAGACAGTATTGATACTTCGATTCTTTGGAGGTCTTTTTGGCAGCGCTCCTATTAGTCTCGGAGGCACCACATTGATAGAAGTTTTCGACTCAGATGAGGTGCCTTATGTTATTGCTCTCTATGCAGTCAGTGGTGTGTGTGGGCCAATCTTAGGACCGGTATGTTTATTTTCTCTAAGAGCTCACTTATTTGGTGATAATTCCTATGTTAACTAGTCTGAAATTGTCTGAATACGTCTTTTTCGTATCATGATGACTAACGGACTGAAGGATAGTTCAGGCCCAAAGGGGACTAGTGGGAATGGTGGGGCTCCAGTCAATATGGTTCTTCAGTTACTTTAGAAGAATTAGACCTACACACACCTACAGAAAAGCATATGCATTCAGTAGAGAGATCTCAACTCATAATATCTAACGACAGAAATAAAGCTTTTGGGTACTGCTGTACTATAAGTTTTATAGGATAGGTAATTCTGAGTCACATTACTTACGAATATAAAAGCGAACGTTGGAAAATATGGACAGCAAGCCTTTGGCTTATCACCGGTACAAATGCCTTTACCACTCTCTTCATATTTTTCTTCCTACCTGAAACGCTATCCACAAATATCTTACGTCGCCGTGCACATAGAATCCGTGCAGCAACAGGCAATCCTTCAGCCCAAACCCAGTCTGAGATGACAGCACCCAAAGCTAGTTTCGTCTCAACGATTATTCGGCAAGTTGTGCATGATCTCAAGCTGTCTTGCATGGATCCCGTCATTTTATTTATGAATCTCCACACAATGCTAATCTACGGTATACTATACCTGTGGTTCGAATTTTTCCCATTTGGTATTAAGATTCTTCCAAATTTCCGAGCTTAAAGCAGTCAACACTAACAGAAGTTGTAGTTTTCGGTGGTATTTATCACTTCAGTGCTATCCAGCAGGCCAGTATGTTTATTATTCTCCAGAAATGTTCCATGCTAATTTCTGTCAGTAGCCTTTTTTGGTATCCTAGTCGGCGCGATAATCTCGGTGACACTTTATGTCCTCTGGCTTTACTTTTCGTATCAGCCTAAATTGCGTGATATCAGTGTGTGTTTAGAGCCTGAGGCACGGCTAGTTCCTGGAAAGATCGGTGCTATCTGCATTCCAATATGTCTATTCGTCTTTGGATGGAGCTCAAGAGCAACGTATTTCTTCCTCTCATGACTCGTTTCATCCATATTGCTAATGATATTAATAAGCACTCCGTGGATTGTTCCGATTATTGGCACAGCATTCTTTGCACCTGGCTTTTATCTGACATTCCAATCAATCCTCAACTACCTTGGCGAATCTTATCCGAGATATTCGGCAGGCGTATTCGCCGGTAATACTTTCTTCAGAAGTTCGTTTGGAGGAGCCTTGCCTCTAGCTGCTCCGCGAATGCTAGAATCACTTGGAATTGGATGGGCTTGCAGTGTTCTGGGATTTATCTCTGTAGCTATGGTACCCCTTCCTTTCATACTGGAAAGAGTGAGTAACTACTATATACCGGAAAATGAAAATTTGCTGACGCCTTTTGAAAGTACGGGAAAAAGCTTCGTTCATGGAGTCCACATGCAAATTAGTGCTAAAACTAACTATGGAGTGCAATTCTGAACGAATATGCTGGAATTCCAGGGCTTGCTTCGAACTCCTTGTGGAGAGTCGAGAGTCCGAGCATTATAGATTATAATCGAACTCATGTGAAATAGAACAATCCAAATGGTTCACAATCAATGTTGTAGAAAAACCGACAAAATAAACTTCAAACCAACTCCACACATTCATGAAAAAACGTATAGTATTGTAATGTAATAATGGACCTTCACCGCCTATAACTAGATTAACACTTTTGACCCACTTATGTATGTATTAGGAATCAAGATAGACCAATAAGGAGAGTACTATCACGGGATCAATTAGTAATAAGCGGATCCCAATGAAACATTCTGCCGTAAAATACGTTATCTAAATACGGTTTTAGGGGATTTTTCATGCGCCTATGGCCCCGTAGGCCATGTAGGTTGGAGTATAAACTTGAATATCAAGATTTTGACTCAACAGACAAGGGACAACTTGCCTGAGCACTTGACAATTAATGTGAACAGTATTCAACTTGTTTCCAGGGCACTCTTACCATTTCTTCGAGAAGGGTGTGAGAAAAAAATTGTCAGTAAGTCTGTAGTCCCGAGGCTTTGGGATCTACATGACCTTGGCTGACCGCATATAGATCATTAACCATGGGATCCATCACAAGAGCCAAAAGCTTCATGTTTCAACCTGCTCAGGCCTTTCTTCATCTCGATGTAATTGGACCTCACGTTGCTGAGGGACACTATGATCAAGTAGGGCCTAATGGCGATTTAATTCCACCCCAGGTTTACCCAGGTGGGCTAGAGTTGTGGAGCCCTGTTGGTCAATCAATCACTATGCACATGTGGCCTACTCTGTAAAGATCTTCTGCAAAATTTCCTAGCGCGAAGAACATCAAATTCAATATTTCAATGCGATCGAAAAGTAAAATCTTTGGAACATATATGCAACTAAAGTACCATCTGCCAACTCACCTTCTTCTCTTTGATCATCTCCAAGACGCCGATTGGTAAGAATTGTTTATCGACAAGATTCAATCCACCAAAGTTTGCCAGAAGACTATCAGCAAAGAAGGCAAGGGTCCAATGTAGTTCTGCGGTATTCCTAAGACCAAATTCACTTCTTACACTTTGCAATGTTGTGCGAAAGTTTTGATCTGACCTTGGCTTTTTCAAACCACATAAGGGGACCCTCATGAACTGAAGATATAGATCAGCCAACTTGGAGCTTGTACTCTCCCGAAACTTACTCCACTCATCAAAAGAAATGAATTTTTCCTTATCAGTGTGCAAAAAAGCTTCTGTAAGTTCAGTCGGTTCATGATCTTCCTCTAGGGATTCCCATCTGCGACGTCGAGCGTTTGCACTCATTTTCTCGAAGTCACTTGCCGCAGAGATATAGCTCTTACGTTCATGGATGAGGGATCCCTTCATGTACGCATCTGGAGAGCTATCCAAATCGTCGCGGAACCTGAAAATTGAAATAAATGGATTGCGCAAGTTGAGACCTCCAAGCTTCTCCGGCAGGAAGAAAAACGCATCTGGAATTTCAGAGAGCCCAAATTTAAGCTCAATCATATTTTTCAGATGCTTTGTGATAGTCCCACCAGTTTTGCAATCCCCAGTTTCAAAAATGACCCCATACATTTTCTTGTAGGTTTCAAGGATAGCGTCAACATGAGGACGTCCGAAACACCATGCTGGCGTACCAAAGGTGCTCTTGAAGAACCTTCCAATACAGCTGTTCCAGGTGCGAACCCATGAGATGACACTCTGGCAGCTCTCAAGTTGAAGCTTAAGCTGCTGAATATGTGCATCAACTTGAGATTGAACAATGACCCACATACCCTCCGTGTTCAGCATCAAAAAGCCGACCTTGACTGGACCTAGAGGCATTCGAGATCTCACTTGAACGTCAACTGAGTCTCCGAGACATACAGATCCGGACTTGTTTCGGTTGAATTCAAGACCCATCAATTTGGCAAACTCCTGCATGACTTCCCATGCCTGTGCACACTTTTCAGGTGAGCCAGTGAGCCAAATATCGTCATGAAGACGGTAAAGAAGTAAGCCAGTCTTTTGGTTGACCGCAAAATCCATGATGAAGAGAACTAATTCACCAATCAACTTTGCTGAAGTGTGTCCGATCGGTATTCCTCGTCCGCGCTTTCGGGGCCCCACCTTTTCATGCCCTTCAAATGACTGATCCATATTCAATGGCGCTTCTAGATATTTTTGAAGAAGCTCTATCCATTCCTGTGGAAAGCCGGTGAACTCCAAAATAGCGTAGATGGTGCTGTGTGGCATTGATGTTCCAAACCACTGGAAATCCGTCTGTAGAATAGCAGCCTCACCATGAAACTGGTGGCGAAAAAAGGTCTCCGTAGCAACCTTTCTGAGTAGCTCCTGCCTCACACTTTTCCCTTCGAACGTCTCCTCATCCTCGTCGTATCCAAAGCCATGTTCTGTTGAATTGTCCGGTAGAGATGACATGAAGAATGTGGATTGAAAATCATTTTCACGGAGCTCCTCAACAGTATACTCTTCTGCAGGGCCAACGAAATACTTTCGTCTAATGGTATCCCTATCCATCATCTGAGGCCCTTGCTTGAATTTCCACCACGAACCAGTCATGAATCTCTTCAGAGCGTCTTTGAGAGTATCGCAAATTTGGACGCAGATATATTCCATAAAGATCATTTGCAGGAAATCATCATCCATACATATCCGGTATTTGCCATTGAGTTGTTGGCGGGGAAGTACAGGGATACCATCGACCCCGACATTCCAGTCCCAGTTCTTCAAGTCCGCGTATCTCATGTTCAAGACGTCGGCAATTTCGGCCAAGGCGACATTGTTGTTGAGGAAGTACTTTAAAGTTTCTCGTTTCTCCTCTGTAATCACATCGGATCTCTTGAGAGCTTGGATGCAGTTGGATAATGTGTCGATGTCAAAAGGATCCTCCTGGTTCCATATACAAGTGAGGCCCCTCCGTAAATCGTCGCGCAAGCGATCCAGAGAACTCTTGGCCTGCTCCGTTTGGAAAATATCATCCAGAAATGAATCGATCTCCACTCGGTCAGTTTGGTAAGGCTCAAAGACTGCTCTCTCAAACTTATCACAGAGCTTCTCAAGTCTCAATCTCTGACCTTCCAGAGTGTCCTGGTCGGTGAGAATCTCTGCAGGCTCTGCAGCTTCCTCGGAAGATGAATTTATCCATTCAGTCAAAAGTCGCGAGTACAGATCGGCAAGCTCCAGCTTTCGACTATAGACATCCAACTTGTTTCGCAGGCATTTTTCAAAGTTTTCAAGCTTTTCAATTGGAATTGATGCAATACTAGTATGAATCATCTATTTAGTAGCTCTTTATTACGTCGCAATTCAAGTAACGGGGAAATTTGCGAAAAAAAATCGGCTATTTTAATACAAAGTACTATGCAGATAGGCTAGTCAAGCCCCTTTATCTCTCTCTTCTTCTCTCCTTCTACTCTTTGTTCTACTCTCCTCCATTTTCCGATTGACTACTGCAAACCCGTTTATCCTATTATCTCCTATTTACGCACGAGAAGATAAGAAAGAAACCATGGAGATTTCCATCTCTCTGGCGACAACCCATGATATCCCCGATCTTGTCCGGGTACACACATCGGCATTCAAAACGGATCAATTCTCAAATTTCATGCTTCATGGTCGCGAAGAAAATACGCATGAGAGAATGATGCAAAAATCGATCGAAATCTGGCTTTCTGATCCGACATCGAAGCTAGTGAAAGCCGTAGCTGAGGGAACAATAGTCGGGTGGGCGTGCTGGCAGACTAAGGATAAAGACGACCAGGACAGAAGTGAGGCATTACGAAAGCCAAAAACTCTCACAACGCCTAATAATGGAGAACCAAAAAGGCCAGCTCAGCTCCTTAGTTCTTTGATGCGCAGCGATTCTATGATATGGGAGGAAAACTCGATGAAAGGCAGATACCTTGTGCTCCAAGCATTAGCAACAAGTCCAAGCTTCCAATGTCGAGGAATAGGGTCCCAGCTCCTCCAATGGGGCATCGATATAGCTGATGTAGAGAAGCTTCCATGCTGGGTTCACGCATCGCCTGCCGGTCATAATCTAAATAAAAAGGCCGGATTTCAAGAAATAGGTAGCAGCGAGTATGACCTTGAAGGAGGCTGGGGCCGGTATACGTTTCGTTATATGCAGCGTTCAGTTCAGCCTTAGATAACGACCTCCTTTATTTTAGGCTCTTCCGCGTATCAGATCATCTTAACCGTCAGAAATAAGGAATAAACCAATAGTTTCTGTATTTCTCAAGAACTCAAGCAGACGGGGTAAGATGTACGGACGCAAATAAGGGCCATACTTACCTAAAGTAAGCTCACTCATCAGCACTTTTCTCTCAGAATATAAAAAAAGAAAAAAAAAACATACAACAGTCAGGATTCGCATGTGGTCACCCACCATACTACTAACTGACCGGCGTGTGGCTTATCTGCGCTCAATAGTCGGGTGGGTGTCGCTGGGGTGAGCAATGGGTGAGTGCTGCTTTAGCGTCGCGCGACCGGGGGTGAGCAAGGTGAGTGCACAATAAACAGGGTGAGAATCGGGTGAGTCAGGTTGAGCATCGGGTGAGCCAGGGTGAGATTGGGGGGAGCCAGGGTGAGATTGGGGTGAGAGTAAGCTAATGCATGACTACTGTACTGATCCTTGAATATTTCAAGACAATTGGATATGGTAATTCCTCCTGAAACAGTGCTGCCTTCGTATCTGCACATAACCACATAGTAAAGCTAGCTAATGCATGATTACTGCACATTTTGTTGGATTCTGAAATACCATTGGGTAGTGTTTAGAAAATGAAACTTTTCCCTATTTTCGACTGCAACGAAGTCTCTGCCGTCTGACCGCTTTTACCCGCTTCTGTCTGATCAACTAGTTATCGCATCCCTTACTTACTAATTAAAGTAGTCAGCAGCAGAGCTTGCTGGATGGTCAAACCTTCCTTTTCTGACCCTCGTGCACGATAAAATTTCTCTTTTTCCAAACAATCTTGATTTTTTCCTCCCGAAAACTCACCACACGGTGGGTTCCTTCCTCAACCTCACTGGACCAACAGCTACGAGGCCATGTCACAAACCCGAGGACATACGTCCGCTTCACCCGACTCCCTTGACTACGGGTGCTCGAATTGGCGGATTAGTAGCCAAAGAGCTTCAGATCTGTATATATCTGATACCAAGCTTTGGACAAAAGAGGATTTCAAAGACATAGAACAGCAATTAAGCCAATCCTATACAATGGAACGGTTTTCAGTCCGTCGAATTGATGGAAGCATAATCCAAATTTCTAATCCTATGTTCCAAGTACAGAATCCTATCTGGTATGTGTGGTATTCTGAAACAGTTTTAGCCTATAATCTAATCTTCTTAGGAAACCCTATATCAAGTACCAAGAATATTGGAAACTTGTGAGCTCACAACCCGACGGCCCAGTCGAAACCTACCTATGCTCTTACATTGTGGATTGGAGAAATCAGACTGCACGAAACTTTCGAGAGCTTATAGCACAGCCTATGCAAGTCTTTGACGAGAAAGACTTGATGTGGCAAAACAGCACCACCTGCAAGGAATTGGTAGCCTTAATCCAAGATTTACTTGGTACAAACGTTGTGAAGAAAGTTCTTTGCTTCGGGCTTGGTGATTTTTGCCGCTCCGCCCCTGAACGGCAAAAAAAACAGTTTGACTATTGGGATGAAACCTCAGATATAGAAGATGTGATGGGCTGTATAGTCCAGCATTCGATGGCTCTCACTATTGCTCAACGTTGCTGTGGCAATGAACCAGTGCCATTACTTACTCAGGACCCAGACTATACAAAGGTCGCAGAAGAGATCTTGACCGAGAAGAAATTTGACATTGTTGGAACTCATGGTGCAGGAGGATTCGCAGAAATCGACGAAGAATCGATCGTGATATCGCCCTTTCCTGCCGCTCCAGTCAAGCAGATTATCGCTGATATTGCTCGGCCTGTGCTCATTATTTCCACCGGCTTTAATATCTTGAATATTGATGCGTAAGTCCGCTTTTGTTGACCCTCGAATCTGTCTAACTTAAGCACTTCACAGAAAACCATCAGCAGATCCTGAATCTCCGAGAACCAGGCAAATGTGGCTTGATTATGATTCCTATTGCCTTCCAGGCCATTCTGATGATGTTAAGATACGCTGTGCGTTGAAGGGATTAAATTTGTATCGGAGACGCCAGCAATCTCTGGATTCGCAAGGAGCCTGAGTTCACAGAACCTTACATCTAGGGATTGTGGATCACAAAAACATCGCAAAACAACCTCAAACTGGCCTTATAATAAGTATCCAAGTCGGCTTTTGCTTCCAAGCATGCTTGCTTCTCCATATCGACAATAACATGATTACATGATTTTGGAGGGATGATAACGGTTTAACAGTCCTTTTTGTGTTCTGTAAAGAGAGATAACCGTCTTCATCAACTTAGATGGCATCACGCATAGAGTCCTCAGTAAGGCTCCACAACAGGGAAATGATTTGTTGCTGATTTCTTCTAAGGACTGAACTTTTCCCTGCGGACTGGTCTAGAACTACTAACGATGATAGCGCGATGTGGTCACTAACGCTAACTAGGTATTCGCGTGGACTTGGTCTATTTGATTTATGCGCTCGGATTTTTTGGAGGATTGGAGACTGATATTTCTTTATGTATGAGAATAGTCATACTAAATAGGTCGCCTTGTCTAGAGGCAATTTAACTATTTAAGAATATCTCAAATTGCCTGTTATCATTTATAACTGGTCATAAAAAAATCAACTTCCAAGGTTTCTATTAAAGGGTGCAACTGAAATAATTAAAGCTTTGATCAAAAAATGCAGCTAAACCTGCCTTGTGTATACATCTGCTTCCGCATTCGCGAAGTGAACGTGGGGAAAACCCCCTAGGGGAAAACCCACGCCGAAGCAGTCCAACTCTTGCTCACTCCATTACCTTGCAGCTATTCGCCTCCTATTCCCATCATTTATTTTCATTTCTTGAAGGAGCAATCACAGCATTTAAAACACTGACCACAGGATGCACAGAAAGCGTTCTTCTCTTCCTGGCAGCCTCCACATAAGGCTGCGTCTACAGGAACGGTTATCTCGGACGCAGAAGTCATGACGGAGGCGGAGACTATACAAGTATTAATTCAGAGGCCACCGATATAAAAAATAGGGCAAGTGTACTGTATCTGAATGCTTCTGGTAATTAGTTATACACTTAAGAGTAGCGGTTCAGAGAATCGGGTTAGGAATCTGCCTGGTGGTCAGGATTTAAGTTTAGAGGTGTAGAGATTTCGAAGATTCTGGGAATTGATTAAACTCACAAAGAATTATATCTTTAGTGATGTTGAAGAGCTTGATATTCTGTTTCCAGTGTCTGACTCTTAAACTAGGCATGCTTCAATATTTATACCTAAACCTGGATTGGCAGCTCAACAAAAAATTTTGAGCGATAGCTCATAAATCAGGTGGCATGTTGAAGCCATGAGCACAACCGAAAATTTGACCAGCTTTCTATGGATGTCTACACTGTTAGCCTTCTTGAGCTGGCTAGTTTAGCCAATAGAAGTAGTTCAACTACTGCACACAGGAGGTAGGACCCCTCATTCGTAGAATTATGAGAAGTCTGACACATATAGTGTTTCTCGCGCTATCTGAAGTTCTCTGCCCAGGTCGTGTGGCTATGACATGAATTTCCTCGAGGAGCTTGCCACCTCACCATACCTCATCGTACCTCACCTTGGAATATCTACAAACAGTGAAAGTTTTACCCTGCTTTAATCCCTGTAGTTTATTAGTTTCAAATGCTGTACTATATATGATTTTTAATCAAATAACTCTTTATGCGTTTTATTTTTGTGACCTATACACCAAAGTCAGCTAACATCTTAAGTGCTGCATACTTGAAGTTCGCAGTATAGCATCCCTCCATCCGAAAAGTGAAGTGACATAATTTTATTGTCGATTAACTAGGTTATTACCTCAGCAGACAGCTTTTGATATTGTTTCTGGACGTATATCATAGGTGTAAGCATATTGGGTAAAAGTGAAGTGTCATTCTAAAATGCTTAGATGAACGAGAATTCTTGGCATATGAGCTGATCTTCGTTCAAACGATTATTATCGTAATCCAATTACAGAAGATATAGGAAATAATAAAGAGGAAATAATAAAACCAAGAGAAATCTGGTTTGATAAGACTTTATATCTAAAACCTTGAAATGATGTACTAGAACATCTCCCGTTACATGCGTACATACACCGCTCTATCTAGTAGGCAATAGTTTTCAATCATTGGTTCATATTCAAGCTTACTACTTATCAACAAGATGAGTAGCAGATTGGCGTACAGATAAAGAATGACATAGGTGGGATAAATATGCGGCGAAATCAGTTATACCTAGGTAAAAAGATCTTCGTACAGGAGCCAATCAAATTCGGTATTTCTCTGGCCCAAGAATATAGCCCAAGGTTGCGAAGGGATGGTTACTTGGCTTGCTGTAGACTGAAGTCAGCAAACTTTCATTACTAGGTCAGGTGATGGAGTGATACGGTTTGCTTGGTGGGATCAATAGAGATATGGCCACTTTTGACCTTGACACCTTTTTCATCCTCACCCTGGACAGAATAGTGAATGTTGGGATCGCTAGGGCTCGCGTGAGGCATATGACTGCTCGAAATCCTTTTGATCAGAAAAATAGTCTACAAGGAGCAGAATAATTGCTCACGTTATGACAACTCTCTCCATCCGCATGAGGTCATTATCGTTGAACACTTTGCCATTCTCAACGCGATCCTTTACCATGGCTAAAGCCCTTACCTTCACCTGCTCGGCAATGACGTCAACTGGGCGTACGAGAATAACATCGGGATAACGGGTTGGGAGGGTGGTAGCAATGAAGACTGGTATCATCTTCTTAAGAGCTTTATTGAAGGTATGTCCAATTAGGCCCGACTTCCTGCGTTGGGTTGAAGACAGACTCTGAATAGATACCCAAGTATGAAGTTGATCCAGTCACGATGAATAGAAGCTTTTTTACAACTCAAGAGGACAGGCTTCCCTTATATAGGCGAATGAAAATTGTGTGTCTTCTTTTTCGCGAACAATTAAACCATAATTGCATAAAGGCTTTGGGAGGTTTCCTAAAAAAACCATCTTTCCTAGCTAGATGAACCATCAATTTATTGTCGGACCTAGACTGTTTGAACAAACGGCCAATAGTCCTTTCACATTCTATAACATTCTGGATCGCTCTGGTGTATTACTTACAAGGAATTTTGAATAAAAAAGCATATATAAAATCTGTTGAGCTCACTCACATTGATCAGTTTCAGATCTAATTGTGAACAGCTAACCGGATTTAGATCCTGAAAATGACTCAATACTGCGGAGACACAAAGCCTATCACGTTTTTTTTTATCTTACGTTCAAAATATATCCATGATATCTATCTGGGAGCTGGGTGTTTTGTTGGAAGAGCTCAATTTTTATCCTTTTTCTTGAAAAGTTTTCCATAAAGCTCAATTTCCATTACTGTTTTCATTATCTGGCTTAAAAAACAAGCCTGTGATTAGAAATGGATTGTGATATGTTTATAGAGTAAAGACCATGACGGTATAGTGAAACGGCAAGCTTCGGCAGGTGTACTTCGGGTAGTGCAAGTGCAACAGAAACTTTAAGCATGAGGGCTAATAAATGGTGAGATGTGAGGTGTATTTGATAGGATATCCATACCCCCAGGCTACGAACAAAATCTGGTATAATAGCTTAATTAAGACATAATTTCTTTAACTCTCGAAACTCCCTCGATGAAAGCACACATGAGGCAGAGGGCCTTTCGACTAGATTAGGCGCTAACATGAAACGAAGAAGATCCCTTAACTGTTGTGGTATATCGATATTTTTCATCTCTTCGTTGAAAGGTGAGATTGCCTGTAGCTCTGGAATATTCTGACTTAAACGTTGAGCAGACTCTACCGTAGCTTTAAGGACATGGCTATGGAGCTCGTCGGAACTTGGAATTTTCCAAGAGGGGAAGAGCTGTTTGATTTTTGCCACACACCAAGAATCGTTGATAAAATAATCAGGGCAATCATGGGCGCCTAACACCCCAGGCTTAATCCAGCAAAGCAACATTGCGGCAATTGCCCAGACCTGTGATGGTCCTGTGCATGCTTGGCCTAGGAAGACTTCAGGGGCTCGCATAGCATATGGCTGGACATTATAAAAATCACCAATCGGAACTACTATGTGTATTTTAGTAAAGGTAAATTTCATCTATCCATCAATCTTTACTTACCGAGTCCTAAGTCTCCCACTTTAGCTGTAATAGAGCCAGAACAAATACCAGAAAGCAGGATGTTAGCAGATTTATAGTCTAGGAGCCATTAGTATATATCCTTCAAAATATGTACATATGTAACGGCTACTTTACCAGTATTTATGTATTGATGGCCCTCGAGAAAAACGCAGGAATTAAGCGCTGCTTCTAGAATAGGCACAACAAGAGAAGGGATACATTGAGTTGACTCGTATCTTACTTCTGCAAGAGTAGTTTCAAGCCATTCCAATGCGATGACGCTGTTACCGACCATATCGTACATCTTCCGGAAGCACTTAGTAGAAGCGATAGCAGGAAGACGATAAGCCTGAATTTCACGGCCCAAATTCTCCATAGCAGTTAGATCACTAGTCGAAACTACTTTGATGATCGCCCTAGATGATAGATAAATTAGCCTGAAAACATACTTATTATTTGTATGATATAACGAACCACTTAGGTGTTTTATGGGCGTCCTCATCCGCTATTACTTCAGCCTTGAACACAGTAGAGAGATGCGTTTTATCTCCCTTGATAGGATCGAGAATGCGGTATTTCCAATAGGCACCTTGAAGGATATTCCCAGGAGCAAGAGACGACATAGTGGTTCTGGTTCCGGTGCTAGATAGAAAGTTCCTCATAGTAGATAAAGCCGGATTCTTGAAGAGGTACATTGCGGGAATTTGAGCTGTCAGTACTGTGAGGAGACCCCGGTGGATAGAAGGAGATCATAGGGATAAATAGTTGGAGAATTTATCCCGGCGCACGGACGGTGTGGCTATGTGGAGCTTTTCTAAGACTTTCAATTAAACAGGAAAGGGCTCTCGACACCACTTGATAAAAAGCCGCTCTTCAATGGCTAAAGGTTTTATTAATCTAAAGCCGACTTGAAGTATTTTCTAACATTAATCTGCATAGAAACAAATTTTTTCAATTTGTTGAGCTATCAAAAATCAAAGATCAAAAAGTAAAATGAGATGTAGACAATAAGTGGAGTAGATTAGAGTGAGGAAATAGTTCATCCATCTACATGACTAGGAATGACAGGGGTATGGGCTCTTAGCCCATACCCCTGCCCATACCCCTGAGGAGGTTGAATCAAATCAAATCCAATTGAAGAGACCCTAGTAGCTCTAGTCAATCCTGACTTGCTCTAGTTATTTGATATTGGTGTCTTTCTGGGGCCCTTGTGCTGTATTCGTAAATATCTACGCGGTACAATCGATAGGTAATTATGGAAAATTACACGTAGATTCCATAAACCAGGGCTATGCGGCCATCTTCAAAACTGTAGATGAAAGACCTTGGACACAAAACTAGGTGATAAGCTTTATCACTGAAATATGGAGGGGGTAAAGTTATGTTGTTATTGACACTGGTCTCTCAGACTGTTGTCCTCTGACCTGTGATTTGAAGAAATATGGGTCACGTGCTTCGCACATTGGCTGGCTAAGTATATGATGATTTGAGCACAGTTAAAATTCATAGTTCTGGGTTGACTTCCGTGAAAAACAAAGATATTATATTTAAACAACACATAAAAAAATACTTGTCGATGAATGTTCCAAGTCTTCGAGTTGGAGAGCCCCATGGTGGGGTTCAATGTTCACGTGCTCCGTCATGGTGTTGTGCCCAACCCCGCCTTCTGTGCTAATAGAAAAATTCGGATCATCTGAATTATCTCGACTTTCTAACACACACTATTAAGCAACGTTCCATATGCGCATTCCATTATAGCTCTATTGGCTGTTTCGTGAGCGGACTCATGGCCTACCTTCAACCGGCTACAAATAAACCTGGGCAGGACCCTTGCGACAAATTGAGGAACTGGTTGCCGAAGGCAGAATTTTCGGCGAAGGACGATGCGCCAAACATGAGATTATGTCGCAACGTTCCAGCAGATCTTCTTCAGCCTTTCCAAAAGGAGGTATGTAAATCGTGTCAATATTCGCTCTTGCTCGCGTGTAGCTGACCTTAGGCCAGAATATGAAGACTAGTTTGATACAATTTACGAACGGAGCATCCCCTCGGGAACCCTATGGTACTCTCACAGCAATCCATCTACACGACAATAATGTACAAGTATCTCTTGTCAATCATGATTCCAAAATCTCACTAATAAGTGATGACTCGGTTGAATGGAGTGGGTTGATAGAGATTCTGAACTCGTGCATCTGTGTGGTGACATGGAGCAAAGAGACAATATGAATTTATTATTCCTTGAATTAGGCTTATGTTTAAGGAGATGGAATGCCTGTGATTTGGGAGAATGATGGTATGCAAAAGTCAAGAGTATCAGAGGGTAACGCCGTTTGTTGAGCATGTGTGAAGTTAGAATATGGTATAAAGGGAATCTCCGATATGGCATTGAAGGACGGAAGGGAATATGAAAGTGCATCTGAAATACTAGTGGTTCCTGTGAAATGTAGATTGTGTTGACCTGAGTGTTGATTAGCCTCGACGTATCAACAAGTCAACCATTCTTAACTTACTCGGGTTCTCTTGTTGTAGGAAATCCACGGAGTTAGTATCTCTACTCGAGGGCTCCATTTCATGGTCTGTGAGAGTCAGCGGCATGATTATTGATCTCAGTCCTGGTGGGCCCACTTGGAAATTCTAGTAAGATCGGACTGGTCTCTCTGTCGGGGGTTATCTGTATTCGCACATTGGCGGGTGAGTTCGGAGTGGTACATAGGCAGCCTAGATTAGATGAAGACATCTCTGCGAGTTCTGGAGTGGACCTGCTGCTGATACAACGCCTTTTTTCGCGCTTCGCTTGTCAAGTTTCTTGTAGGCTCCGAATTCCTTTGTCCTTGGCTTTCAGCACCAATATCAAATCTAATACATGGAGAGTATGTCACGGGGAAAAAGAGCTGTTGTCTTTCTAAATCGTCCATGGCATCCCATCCATACAGCTCAAGATACCATTTTGCAAATGACCTCCGAGCAATGTCAAGATTGCAGTGTAGAGATTTACAAACATCAGAAAGTCTAGAGGCTAGTTGTTAGTTGATAGTGATGTTGAAAATTTTCATTGCACGTACTTAACACTTTTACCAAATATACACTTGATAATGCAGGGAACGGAGAGGTTATTCGAATGCAAGACTTCATTACTTGTACCATATCGATCATCTTTAAGCTCGTTGGTGAATATTGATATCGACTTGGTTGCCTTGGCCCAATACCTCAAAGAGGTAAAGGTCGGTGTGACTATATGACTTGTTAGCTCCATAAAAGACAAATAGGTAAGAGAGTCTGACAATAAAAGAGGATATCACCGCTTCTGATATCCCAATTGCTTTCCATTTGGAGCTGATCAATAGCCTCAGCCCCCCAAGCCGCCCCATGCCGAAGTTCCTGAAGATGGTCGGATTTTGCTTTTGAAATGAATTTCATCATATCATTCACTAATTGAGGATCCACACCAATGCAGCATGCAACATGGCAGAGCGCTGCCAGCATAAATTTCCGATACTTCACAAGAAAAATGGCCCACTTCGCATCGTTGACGCATTTTTGTGTGATGGAGGCATAATTCCCAAGAGTTTGCAGGATATCCGAGTGTCGATTTTGGAAAGTAGTTGCTGGAGAGTCTCGTTCATTTAGGGGAGCATCAATTTGAAATAAGAAGTCCAGAACAGAAACTCGTGGAGGGGAAATGGTGACTGACCATTTTTCCGCAGAAGGTATCGTTTGGATCAAAGTTCGTAATGGCTTTCTCCAAAGTTCTTCTGAATTGAGGGGGTTTGATGGAGCTTTTTTTCGACCATGAACCGCCGGAAGGACCTGAGGGGCTTGAATCTGGAGAGTATGAGATGAACCGAGTTCTTGTGGAATTTCATATTGCAACACAACATCCTGTGGGATGTAATGTACCCAATGCTTCAGGATCTTTTGAAGGTGAAGAATGCGTGTCTCTAAGCTAGCAATATATCGAAAAGCATCATTGGATTCCATTTTATTAATACAAAATGGCTCTATAGAGGGAAGGAGGGCTGTTTGATGGGGATGGGTGATAGTTTAGTCCACGAGAAAGACAAAGCGGGGAAAAATATAGTCAGATTTTGAGGTGACAGGGGTATGGGTTGAGAGCCCATACCCCTGTCAAGCGCAATTTATTTCTGGCAAAGCACCTGTTTAGTAGTGCATAATCTCATATGCACATGACACACTTCCCTTATCAATGTGTTCTAGCCATCCATAGAGGTCGGTGTTAAAGAGCACTTTTTTCCTGAAAATATCTTCATGATCTAGAAATCAAATATTCAGGAGATTAAACCTGATACTCTAGATTCTGCGGTCTTCAATTTCCGAAATTTCTATTCAAGGTTGTTGACTAGGTCCTCCTATAAACCCTTAAAGTTATTCGGTGCTATTTGCCTCCTAAGTCTTGAAAGTTTTTGCAGCAGTACAGCCGAAAAACGCTTCTCAGGATTCTCTGTCGAGTTAGCTTCTTTTCGTCTCACATTTTTGGTCTATAGGTGCCCTACAGGAAGTTGCCTTACCAGAGATTTACTACTAGAGACCCTTTGGTGCTTTCACCTCTTGACCAGCGATTGAAAATGCTAAAGATAGTCAACTATGTTTGATTCACTTGCCTGTCATAGATATGAAGATTTATAGGTCGTTCTGACCATTATCAGCCAAAGTTTTAGACTTTACTATCCTGCACGTGACAAATTTTTTTTATTTCGCAGGCACAATACAATGTACCATCATAATACTGTCGAAACCTCTGATTTACTATTTGCGGATGTGTATCATGGTGGAAAGAGGGGGATTGTGCACGGTGGTTCATGGATCTATGTAAGGCCGTAGAGTGTATTCCAACTTATTCTTGTATTTCCTCAAAATTTGCCAAGCAAAGGGGCTAGTGCCATGGAGGGAGTTGATGGAAATTAGATTTATTAGAAGGGCCTCAATGCTTCTTTCGGTCGGGCCCTTCAAGCCCTTGTTTACTATTCAAGTTTGAAGTATTTCAGAGCACACGAAGAATCCAGTTCTTTCGCTTATCCACTTATGCCCATCTCTATGGCTATTTCCCACCTCGTATTCTTTATTAGTTAGCCAATGACGCTAGTGAGATGATTCAATCCGAGAATTTTAACAAGCATTTCAGAAAGAACAGATTCCTTGACTTTTTTTGGAGTAGCTATCTACTCTATACAAATCTATTGTGGCCTGTGTGACTTAGAATTCTAATAAAGGTGACAAGCACTTGAGGTATATAAGATATAATCTGCCTATAAATGAAAGATTAATTAATATTTGTAAAGACTTCTAAGAGAATTACCCGTGGTAATGCTGGGAAAAATTTGGAATTTCATGAAGTCAAGCTTGGTCTGCTTTACGGCAGAGGACACAGACGACTGTAAGATAGTGAGAATATTGATCAAGAGGGCCTTTGCTAATAAAAAGCTATTGTAGTGACTTCTTTTGAAGTTCCCGACCGATTGAGCTCCAATACCGGTTTTGAACGTCAACATGGAGAAGATATTCCTCTCCCTTATCGTCCTCATCACGGCATGTACTCTTCAGTGCCAAATTCCTTAGTTACCCTGTTTCCTCCTCTACAGGCTCAAATTCGGACTTCTCACCA